CTTGATCGCGGTGCCGATATTAATGCAACTGGGAATCAGAAGGAAACACCGCTGCACTGGTCGATATCGCCATATAGGAATATGGCAATCGTCAGGCTGCTTCTAGACCGGGGCGCCAATGTCAATGCACTTGGTGATCTTGCGGAAACACCACTACATAAGGCAGCGCGGTATGGGCACACGGAGACTATCATATTACTGATTGATCGCGGCGCCGATGTTAATGCAAAGGCTCTTGATGGAAAAACAGTTTTGCATGATGCTGCTGAAAGTGGATCTATGGCGATTGTCAAGTTACTTCTTGATCGCGGCGCTGATGCAGATGCAAAGTCTATGGCAGGCATGACACCTTTGCAACTGGCTACCTTGAAAGGACATCGTAAGGCCATGAACATTCTGCGAAATCACGACCCTCATACTATGGACTCCTCCTCTAATGAAGAAGTCTCCTCTGATGATGAAATCTCCTCCTCTGATGAAGAAGTCTCCCTCCCTGATGAAGAAGTCTCCTCCTCTGATGAAGAAGTCTCCTCTACTAATGAAGGAGTCCCCAAAGTCTCCACATCCGTAGAGACAGAAAACATACATGGAGTCAAGCGCAGAAGGCTTACTAGAGATCAATACGCTCCCGTTTGACGCTAATCAACAAGGGGTGTGACACTTCAGGAGTCATTGAATAAGATGATTGAAATATATCGCAGATGAGCACTATTACATTGCCTGCAAGAATCTCGTCAAGCCTGTCTCCCTCTTTTCCTCGAGAGATGTAGATATTCTTCAATCAAGCATTCTATTGTGAAGTGGTAGTCGTATCACTCGTTCAAGATGATATGCATCGGTTCAAACTGGCCAGAATTGCAAATGCGTCGTTATCTTTCCGACGCCGTGTTGGATGGACTATCGGGGCAGTTGCTCAGATCTTTATGTTTCTGATTCGTTATACAGTAAGCCATGTATCACAAATAAAGAGCAAGTACATTGCAAGGACGGTTCGATTTTACACCACAATCTAAGTACCGATGATGCGCCGCAGCCGTGACTATGTTGTATCGGACCCTTTGGGTGATACAACGGGAATAGTGATCAAGTCTGACTATTGACGCATTAATTTCGTATATGTAGACCATTTTTTGTTCATCTATTTATTTTGAATACTAGCCGCATCAGGTTTATAGCCACACAGTATACCAGAATCTTGGCTAGTAAGCGCACTTATGGATCATGTCCGAAACTTAGGGCCCCTTTCCCCTTACGGTGTTTCTACCACTTCGTCCCTCAAGAACCTCTTGACAGCATCGCTCCAGTTTGGTGCCCTCTTGTAAAAGTACATGTTGGGCGAGCTACCAGTCTGCAACCCATCGATTGCATCTGCCAGGGCAGGTCCGCTGCCCTCTGCCTTGATCTCTCGCAGAGGATACATGTAAGTACGAATTGTCAAAATCACATCGTCAGAGTCTTGAAGGCGATGGAGTACTTGTCTCTCGCAGCGCAGGCAGGCCTAGAGAAGAAACTCTGGATTTAGTGAAACTCTCTTGTCAAAGTGATCTATCCCGTAACAGTAGGAATAAGGGAGAAAAGAAAATCGTGGAACACATGATATAGTGCATTGTACCTTTTCAAAGTCGACTTCTTCCGCCTCTACCTTGTCTCCTGCGTATAAATGCACGTTTGCCACGGAAAAGAGGTTTCCGCTGGTCGAAATAGACCACTGCTACATGTTAGGCCCATATATTTCTCGTCGGGGAATACATCTAGAGAACCTCCTTACATTGTGTCTCTTCACAAACTGTCCAGGGGCCATGCGCTGCAAGAATCTGTTCATGCTTTTCTTGAGTTTGACGTCGTAGTCAGGGACAGGCACGTGAATCTGTGACATGTTTTTGCCAAATTTCTGCGCCCAGTCAAAACCGTTGGGAAAACAGGCCACAAATGCCGTTAGTTGGAACTCGTCGCTTTCTGCATCGTGCTGCAGAATGAGGAAGTCCTCTTCTACTTGTCGACCAATGGCTTCCAGCATGGACGAAGAGGTTGCCGTCGGATGCAGCGGGATCTTATCCTTGGTGACGAGATTCAGGAGGTGTGACGCCTGTGATCTAGATTCCGGGATAATTTTGAATACATCACTGTAACGTGTAGGCAAATAGGCGTTCACCATGAAAGCGTACAGTTTGCTGATTGTGCCATGTGCGCTTGGCAGCGCACGAAGAACTTGGTCGCGGTTGGATTGCAAAAGCTGGCAACGCAAATCGATGCGGTTCTTGTAATGTTTATCAATCTGAATCCAGTCCGATAGCTTCATTTGCTCAATGCCTACACAAAGAGCCGAGCTCATGTCAGTAACTTGTACATCGGTATCAATGCTCAGGAAAGGGGCACCAATGGCCTACCCATGGTTATGTGATATTTTGGCTTGAAAGTCCGAAGCCGTAATGGCTCTTGTGCTGACCATGAGAAGTTGATAAGCGGTTCTATTTTGTCCAGCGGTGTCTGGCCCGATGTATCAGCCGTGGGCTTTGCGTCGAGGGGTGACGGCGTCATGCAGCGGAAAGCAAAGCGGAGGCCGATCAATAACAATAAGATTGATGTTGCGGTGGTAGCCATTACCCATTTAGGGCTTTGGCCATGCTCTAAACACCACGGGAAAACATTCCAGTCGTAGAATCGATCCATGTCTCTTCTGAAAGGATGTAGCACAATCTGATAGTCGCTGATGAGAGGCAACAAGAAAATATTGCGGGGTTGTAATTGAAGAAAATGATGCTCTAATAGTCGGACACAATAAGCCAAGGCAAAAAAATTACTCCAGCAAGTACAGTAGCGGAGGGCTATCGGGATATCTAGACCAGCATTTTACAACAGAAAGTTCATGTATCGTTACTCGAGTATCTTGCAGAAGGCGATAAGCACCAGAAACAAAACTCGTTCTGGCCCAACAGAAACCATCAGAAACCTTAGGGAATGTATTGAACAAGGTACTGAGTAAGCCGAGCTGCTGCTTGCATAAGGCATGGGGTACGTACTGTCACTCTGGCTAGTATAGGCTGGCAAGTCACCGCCTATGAATGCCATTTTGGGCGAAAGTGCGCACCAATCACATTCCCCCATCACAGGTATTAGTGGCACATAACGCAAGTGATCGTTGAGTGGAGACTGATCACAAATTGACCCTGGTAGTCTCTTTTCAAGCTGATAAGATCAAACAATTTCTTCGATAACAGTCGATGAACTAGTCGTGCCGCCCAATTTAATTGGTGTCTCAAGTCAGTGTATGGTTAGATCAATCCCAAGTACAAAAGTTCGATGGAGAAAGATCCCCACAGGTGCGTATGTATCACTCGGCTGTTGTATGTCGTGTTCGTTGTATAGCGCAATTTGAGAACTGGCCGTAAATGGACAAGGTGCGACTGTGGCGAGCTGTTCTAGATCAGTCTGTGGATCCCTTTACTCAAATGATCTTCGTTACGCAAACGATATGGACTATATTGAAAGAAGCCAAGATGCAAAGTTGCAATGAGGGTTAGTATAATCCATACCGACAGAAACAGTGGGCAACGGACTTTCAGATGGCTTTAGGGTATAGGGGAAAGAGGAGGAAACCACGTACAAGTCGCCGAACATGCACCCAGAGTCCGCACTATTGCTGCAATAGGCAGTCTCTTGAACTCTTCTGGCATCAAGGTAGGGACTTGAAATGATCAACTGCTGGATGAGTCAGCTGCTCAGTATACGCATATATCAAGAAAGCGAAGCAGCCCTGCTGGAATAGTATGGGGACATTCGCCTCTGGCATTTTAGCTTGGCGAGTAGAATCATCGTCTCATCGTCTCATTATCCAAATCACATATCTATCATTTTATTCTACCTGTAAATTCTCAACAAGTTCCCCAACTTTAGCCAGCTATGCCTTTCGTCGCGACTGAAGAGCAGGTCAAGGCCTTTCAGGCCTTCTCACATCGGCCTGGGTTCTCGCAAGAGGTCATTGCTGTTGATTTCGAGACAACCCCCGAATTCGTCAAGAGCGTTCTACCCCCAGGGCTAGAACCGGCCATCAGGCCTGTGGGTACAGTGTCTCTGTCGACGTGGGAGAGCAAGCTCTGCGGCGAGTTCGAGTGCACCATGGTCTCGCTGCAGGCAGTGCACGATGGCGTCGAGGGCAAGTACATCCTGACCCTCATCGTCTCGGGAGACACGCCCGTGACCTGGGGCCGAGAGATCTGGGGAGAGATCAAGAAGACGGGCGTGACCAAGCTGTTCCGCAGCGGTCACCGTCGCTCTGGCTTTGGCGAGCGCAATGGCGTGCGCCTGGTGGAGATGAGGGCCACGTTTGACGAGGACCTGCCACCCAATGTCGAAGAGTCCATTGGCTACGAAATCAAGGCCTACCCTTCGTCTACTGGTATAGGTTTGCACGATGAGCCCAGACTTCTCAAGCTCAACATCACCGATCATAACACGGTCCGAGCCGAAGGAAAGGGTACCCTCATACTGCGCGGCACGACGAGCGACCCGCTCCATGACATCCCCATCAAGTCAATCGACAAATTCAAGTATGTCAGCGGAGTGGCGGATTATTTTGTTCTGGAAGAAAAGCCTCTGGGAATTGGCAATGCCTACCTTCCCTATCTGATTGGTCGTCATTACGATGATCTGCGGGCCTTTCAGATTGGAGCTGATTTCGACAAAACTACCCAGATTGAGCACAAAGTCTCTGCAGCTAGAGAATTCACCTCACTCTAGGTACAGTCTTGTTATATTGAGGAATTGTTTCGAAATGAATTTAATGTGACACGAAGCAGTACGCAAGTCACCAAAGGGGCAAATAGTGATTCATGTACAAGCAATTGATCTCAAGAATGTCGTAGAGAGTAGACGTGTACAGTGTATCATATCAGTGTAGGCCTGACCCCATCGATTGACAAAAGTTACAAAATTTCGTGATATTCATACTGTATACGGAATCTTTCCAAAGCCTAGGTTTTCTTCATCATGTTCAAGATAGAGCGGTACAAGACTCAAAAATTTGATTACAGTGAGAATTGTACTGTATTGTGAATATTTCAGGAGACATATATCTAATCGGAAAACGAACGAGCAATTTCAAGACTTTAGATTCGAAGGTCAAATATCGGCTTCATGACTAGCTCTATATGATACAAGTAGGCCGTAGCACATGAAGGTATGGCTATTGTCCGGCAGCATCCTCAGCCTTTGCCTTTGCAGCCGCGCGTGGCCAGTCATCGTAGAATCGGCCATAGACATAAGGTCTGTAGTCTACCGAGTCATCAAGTTCGATTTCCCTCAGCACCTTGGTGGCCATTGAACACCCCGATGCCCAGGCTGAAGTAATTTCCTTGACTGGGATGGTGTGCAGCGGGTCATCGTCTGTTCCCTTTAATGACAGCTTGGTGTGCTCCAACTCTCCATCCTGAGACGTAAAAATGCTTTGGGTACATTCGAACTCGATCAGAGTAGGTTTACAGCTGAACCCGCCCGATGGCCGCATTACAGCCTTGATCTCATAAAATACGGACTTGATGGTCTTTGGCTCCGTGTTGAATTCTGGTGCCTGGAGAAGCGTATTCAGACGCATCTCGGCGCCCTTGCGGTGGGCAAGGACACATGTCTTGCGGCCGTTTCCCATGAGGTGGACTTCGCCCAGCTTCTTTGGCATTGACCACACCTCGCGGCCAGTGGCGAGAGATTGGTCACGGTTGACAAAGACCGATAGCGTATAGCTGCCGGGCTTGCCCTGGTAGAGGACATCGAGCGAGACGACGCCTGCCTCCTCGTCCTCGCCCGTGCGCTGGTCGTCGATCTCCTCGCAGTTTGTGCACACGTACATTGTTCCAGTGGCTGGCCGAGGGACCTCAAAACAAGGTGGAATAACCTCGCGTGCAAAGTCGTGATCGGTTATAAAGGTAGTACCAACTGCGTGGTTCAGAGCGGTGACATTGCGGTAGAACAAGTCGTATGCTTCGACTTCCTCGGGAGTGCGCACATAACCCATAATGCCGACTTTGTTTGGTTCTTGGTGCGACAGAGCGAGAGAGAGCAATTCTCGTCCCAATAAGAATCATTGACCGTTATCGTGAGTCGTATCCTGACGATTGACTATTTATTAACACGGTAAACTTGATGTTAATCCAAGGCCTGAGAAAGATGCACTATATCTTTTTTCCTATTACGTCCAAAGTGCGATGCGCCATAGCAGGCTATAGGCCTGCTGGGATTACCCAACGGCTGCTATCGATGTGACGAATTAGGGCCGTCCTTGACCAACAGGGGTGCGGAGCAGCTATCACGCGACGTATGCAAGAGATACGTACGTGAAGTTCTATATCAGAGGTGCGCTCATGCCTTAGGTTCAATGACTAATAAATTGTATTACTACATATGTTAGCATAATCATCACCAGGCTCACCATATTTGCATCGCCTAGGCAAGAGTCGCAAGACCATGTCGTCGGCAAGTCGGAGGGGTGGGGGTGGGGCCTCCACTCCCGGCGACAGGCTCAGCTCATGGCCGAGTGTGTTGGCTCGACTGACCAATACACAGACGACCCAGACTCAGTAGCACTCTCAAGCCTTCCCTGAAGACTAGAGGGACTCTTATCTAGATTGCACCTATTCACGTTCCAAACTAACGGCTCCCATCCACATGTCGCTTCTCCATATCCCGCGGGGTTGACTCACCAGCTCCAGCATGCATCCCCCCATGGCGCCGTGACTACACGTGATAACACGTCTGGTCGGCCGTGTCTGTAGTCGGACGAGATTGCAGTGTTGACAGCAGAACAACAAGCAAATCATGGCCAGCAGAAATGGGCTCAAGCCGTCGGTGAAGGCGGAGACAAGCAACAGGCGCCATCAAGGCTCTGCATTCAGGGTGGTCAAGTTTGATCACCAAACTACCGGGAATGACTCTGGGCACAGCTCCCGGTCATCGGCAGCACCACAGCCCCCAACCTTGAGCCGGCCGCCACAGCTACGTCCCCGTCAAATTAAAAGCCGCTCTGGCTGTGAATCCTGCAAGCGACGCCGTATCAAATGCGACGAGGGCCAACCGCAGTGTCAGCGCTGCAAGAGCCGCGGTCTTGTGTGCACCGGTAATTTCAAGCCTGATGTCTGGCAAATCGAGCGGCCATGGATATACACATCGCATAAGCGAGTCCAGCGGCTCAGCATGCCGGCCACACAGCTCCTTAGGAAGCACCAGGCAGCCACCAAGAATGTCAATATCCACAGTGTCCCTCCTCACTCGGCGCGGGTGCTCGAAAATGAACTGGTCCGGCACTGGTTTGAGCATACCTGCACAATCATGGGTATCGTCCCGCAGTCTCGCAACCCGCTCTCCTACAGCCTCTCTCCTTACCTGCGCCGCTCCTGTGCTCTTCGCCACAGCATCCAATGCATTAGTCAAGCCCATTCAAGCTATTTCACTGATGCCCATTTGGCCGAAGTCCTCGAGGAGCGTGCACGTGCCCTCGCGAGCTTACGCCTCGAGATCGAGCGTGCCTTTATCGGCGAGTCCGCGTGCTCACGGGCACAGCTCTTACCGACAATCTTGCTGTCTTCGCTCATCCTGGGCATCACCTCGGACTGGCTGACCAAAGATCTCACCAGCCAGGAGTTTCTCATCGGAGCAAACCAAATTGTACCACTCTTGCTGGAGTCGGGAGTAAAGCAAGACCCTGTATCACATTATGTCCTTGGTCTTTATCTCTATTGGGTCAGCGTGGAGTCTCACATTGAACCATGGGAGCCGGACGAGCAACACCAGCGGCAACATGAATTTCAGCTGTCATACTTGCACTGCATAGTCGACCGATGCCTCGCGAATACGGTTCACCCCGTCACAGGTCTTGCCGCCGGTGTCTTGCCTCTGATGTGGGAGGCTGGACGTTACTACCGGCGAGTTTCTCAAGGGTACGCTGGGGATGCTACATATGCCGAGACGCTGCAGTCAAAGCTTGAAGCATGGACTCCGCCCACAGCCCTATGCTCGTTAGAGAAGGGCCAACCTCTCATAGCCTTGGCCGAAGCGTACCGGGCTGCTGCTCTCTTATTGTTATATCAAGCCCGTTGCGTCTCTGACAGACCTCCAATGGCGGCCACGTCGTTGGCTATGAGCAATGAAACTGTGCCAAATAATATTAAATCGGCCATCTCGACAATTGTGGGCGTGCTGGGGAGTTTATCGCCCGGTGATCCGCTGCTAACCTCTGTGGGGCCATTTCTGGTCATTGCTGGCTCCGAATTACAGGAAGATCAGATAGAGTCACGCAACTTGATACACCGCATAGCTCGACAGGTAACACAGTATACACGTGTTCCAAACTTCTCCTCAGCGCTGAATCTTGTCGAAGAGGTGTGGGCCCGACGAGCATCTGGCAGCCAGGTTACCTGGCTGGAGCTTATGTTACAAAATGGTTATATACTAGGTATTGCATAAGAATAATAGACCACAGACATTGCGGATCAAGTTTGTATATCACATACATCCCAGTTTCGTAGCTTGCCTCGACGAATTACGCCATATCTACCGCCCTAGATGATGTGGACTACTATCTTGCTTGTAATGACTCCACGCCAGCTCTTGCCTGTAGGCATGGACTAGAGGCATTGAGGTTTGGCTTGTCCTCCTTGCTATGGGAGCTGTACTCGAGTGCTGTAGAATGATTTCAATGCCCCGGCCGGTCTAGCCCTCAAAGTAATCCATGGGCCTCGTTTATGGGGCGATTGGTTGATGTGAAGCTGAACGAGGACTAAGCACATGGTGTGTCTCCCCCGAGTCATGCCCGAGATTTTCCTCTTCGGGCGAAAGACCGGTCCCACTTGTTATAGTGAATATGTTTTAGCCAAGAACTCCACAGCCAAATATCACTCACACGTTTGCGTGATGGGTGCTTCGTCTGGTGGTATATAGATGGTCTTCTTGCTTCGAGGATCATTGTCTTTTCACCTATCACAATCTGTGAACCTATATATCTCAAATATCAACAATTCGCTCATCAATTAGCGTGCGCCTCCAATTACTATCCACAATGGCCCCGGCTCTGAAGCACATAGCCAATGCCCAAGAGGCAAGCATTCCTAACTATAAGAATTTCCCCAACATTTTCCTTGGTGCAATTCACTCTAGGTAAACCGAGACGACCCTTTCTTGTCCTTCACTTTTGCATTGTGTTTTCCACTAAAGCCATTTGCTTACGCTCTATTCTACAGCACCCAGGATGACTCGGAGAAGCCAATCACCAGTGGCTTTTACCGCATCGAAAAGGGCGCAACCATGACCGCCACTTACACCTATTACGAGTTCAAGCTCGTCGTTGCTGGCGATCTTATCGTCTCTGACTCGACGGGCCAAAAAGTCAAGGCTGTCAAGGGTGATATCATTTACTTCCCCAAGGGCGCAACAAGTAAGTTCCCACAGTATACTTGGGCCTTGGTCCGCTCGAAATTATGTAAAGATATTGGTTGCAATATTAACGTGGAAAACATCAAGTCACTTTCGAAACCGAGAATGGCGGCGAAGCCTTTTTTGTAAGTAGCTGTCATATCCACTGTTGCTTGTGCCCCGGACACATATCGCTTCATCTACATGGTTCTAGACATTAACTAATGCTTGCAGGTCGCTCAACGTGCCTCACCGTAGAAGCGAGATGGATTTGATAGACTTGTTGAAGGGATACGAAAAAATCGCCGATGATAGACTCTACATGTAGCTCGTATTCTTCATACTTGGAGGTGGAAAATTAAAGCATTTCAGCCTGGGATACTCAAGCCTTTTCATGTCCGGGCATCATACTTCAATTCAGAGAGCTAGCAACATTGTTCAAAGGCCTATATTGAACTGAGTACTGACCTATTATAACTGTTCTCAAGTGAATCCATTTCCTTGTGACAGTGCACGATGGTGCATAATTCCCACCACCACATTGTATCTCTTTCAACTATCGTAGATCGATACATTGTTTATTTGATTGCATGTGGAAATACAACTGTCATCAATCGGAATTGTCTTTTTGTCCCTCATAGCATGGTCGGCAATTTCATTTATTGATATGTCTACGACTTTGGCTTGGTTCTTTGCATTATTTCCATGCCACGAAATTCCCGAGTTGCAGCCCCCATTGTTGGAGAACTAAAGTAGGTGGGATTGTCATTTATTTCATTACTGCAAGTTGACATGGACTGCCTTGGATTGCGTATACGCATCCAACGCATACTGACCTAATTCGCGACCAATGCCCGAGGACTTGCAGCCTCCGAATGGGATGCCAAAGTGTGAATCACCCGACGAGTTGATCCAAACCATACCGGCTTGTAGTTTGCGAGCAACAATGTGAGCCTTTGTGATATTTGTGGTGAAGAGTGCTGCGGCCAAGCCATATGATGTATCGTTGGCCTTGGCAATGACCTCGTCTGTTGAGCTGAACTTTGCAATCACGACTACAGCCCCGAAAATCTCCTCTTGTGTGATTTTCATCGTTTCCGTAACCTGTAGGTTCTGTTAGCGATCAATTCATGTCACTTAAAAGTTTATTCCGTTTGGCCCTCTCAAGATGTACTGACATTGGCAAAAATTGTTGGCTGTAAAAAGTAGCCTTTTTTTGCGTCGCTTCGGCCTCCATACACGAGCTCGGCACCCTCCTTCTTACCCTCCTCAATGTATGAGAGGATTCTGTCGTACTGGACTTTGGAGATCTGAGGTCCCTGAACTGTCTGTTCCTCGAATTGGCCACCGAGCTTGTCGTTTTCTCTGGTGACTTCGACAAACCGAGCCAAGAACTTTTCATAGACAGCCTCATGGACGTAAATTCGTGAGGTTGACGTGCACACCTGTAGTAGTGATAATTGTTAGCTAGATGAAATGTCTCCAGGCCGTGCTAGATGACTACCTCGCCCTTGTTGTCCATGATGCCAACATGAGTCCACTTGACGGCCTTTGCGATGTCTGCGTCATCAAAAACAATGGCAGGACTCTTTCCTCCGCACTCCAAGGTAATGTTCTTCAAGTTGCAGGCGGCTGCCTTCATGACGGCGCGACCGGTCATGGTGCTGCCGGTAAAGGCAACCTTGTCAATGTCCATGTGGCTCGCAATAGCATTGCCAGTGACGCGGCCCAGGCCGGTAACGATATTGACGACACCTGCGGGGATGCCGGCCTCGACGACAAGCTTACCAAAATACAAGGCAGAGAGGGGAGTCTGTTCAGCCGGCTTGAGAACCACAACGTTGCCACAGGCAAGCGCAGGAGCCACTTTCCATGCCAACATCATGAATGGAAAGTTCCTGATAGAAGTTAGTGGAGCTCATTGTCAGCTCATAACTCAAAAACCCCCAAAGGCAGCCTGGAGCTTCGGGAGCTAGGGCTCTTCTTACCAAGGTATAATCTGTCCGCACGCACCAAGAGGCTCTTGAAGAACGTAGGCCAATTTTTCCGGGCTGGTTTCAATCGTCCGCCCAGTAATCTTGTCCGCAGCGCCGCCATAATATTTGAAAACGTTGTAGGATTCATCGAGATCGGCAGCCAACGCTGCGGCGTAGGTCTGCACCAGCCAAATGTCAGACCTCGGGTCGTGATCGTCGTCACTGGTGAAGTAACTCTCACCTTGCCGTTATCGAAAGCATCAATTGCTGCCAGAAGCTCGCGATCGCGGTCAATGAGCTCAGCAAGCTTGAACAGAAAAGCACCACGCTCGACAGCAGCCAGCTTGGACCATGGCCCCTCAAAGGCCCGACGAGCTGCAGAAACAGCCTTGTCTACATCTTCAACGGATGCACCTTTCAACTGGATGATTTCCTCTTCAGTCCTATCGAATTGCAAGGATATGTCAATATCAAGAACGCAGAAAAGACTTGTAAGTGGGCTATTACGTTGGGTCATAGACTGTAAACTCCTCGCCCGAGGGCGAAACATATTCATTGTTTATGAACAGGCCTGTAGGCTGTTCGTAGGTACGTCCGTTTGGTAACGTGATTGAGGTACTTGACGCCATTGCGGTAGTGATAGAAAAAGAACCTTCAAAGGAATATCAAGAAAGCCAGATGACAAAGAAATTGCGAAATTTCTGGATAAGACGGGGCTTTCTATCGTACCTCGCAGACACCGTTCCATGTTGAATAAACTGCAGGTCGTGTATAACTATCAAAACTCAACACTGAGACTCAGAGTGACTTGGCCACTTTAGGTGAAAGTGCGATTGCAGCGTAGGTTCTAGAATACTACTGCCCAGATCGATTTTGGGCCCTGGGCTCCATAGCCGGCTCATGCACGCAGTATACATGATCCAGCCACTCTCTGTGCTGCGTTAAGGGCACATTATCTGTCCCACTACTGAGATGATTGGATACATGAGCGACCCTCCGGGTCCACTCAGATTTTGTAGGCTCTGTAACCAGAACGCTAAGCAAGTCGGACTGGGCTGCCAGGCCATGAGTCGTGTGAATATGCTTATCAAGACATACGATATACATTACGTCGACAGATAGATCTGCGGACGTTGATCCTGGCTTGGCAGTCCGAGGTTATGTGTACCTCAATGGTTGGGGTCCTTCCCCACATCCGTAACTAGTTCAAAGTATGACCAGGAGGCGCGCACTCTGGCCGAAATAGGAAATAATTTAGATGGTAAGATAAGCAAGCTCACACTGACAGGACCTTGGCACGCGGTCCAACAAGCTGGGCTGGTCATTAACAGGAGCCAAGTAAAACAGTGGAACGGTTGGTCGTGCCTCGCTTTTTATCATCATATTCATTAGTCACCTGAGTCTCCAGCAGTCAGGATCCCGTAGTCCAAACATAACTGCTACCTATAGCCTTTACGAAAATGGCGTCTTTCCAAGACGGCACCGGTCGGATTTTACCGTCGAAAAACGAAAAGACTTGCGACGACATCGGACTTGAGAAACACGTTTCTCAACAACATGGTGAGGTCACAACCCATCTACACAGGCGTTTCAACTTGTGGACTTGACTGGCCTATCAGATGAGCGTCATGGCTTCTTGGTCGAATTATCTCGTCACTATTGGCACCTTTGTTTACGTCGGCGGTCCTGTCGGCTTCCTCTACGGGACGCTGGTCGTCGGGTTCTTTCAACAGATCACCAGCTTTTCTCTGGCCGAGTTGGCTTCGGTCTAGCCTCATTCAGGCGGTGCACAGTTTTGGATCACGCAAATGGCGCCCAAGAAGTGGGCTGCCAGTCTAAGTTATTTCGTCGGCTTGGTCAATATCCTAGGGTATGCGACTAGCCTTGGCTCCTGCAATATATCGGTCTCGCAAACCGTGACGGCCTTGATTACCAACATCACCGGCTAAGAGTGGCCTCGCTGGCAGATAATGCTCTTGTACTGGGGTCTCTGTCTCTTGAACATCCCAGTCAATGTCTGGCCAAGATATTATACTGCATTTAATGTGGCCTCTGTCGCCTGGCTGATCGGGTCCCTGGTAGTCACAATCGGGGTATGGTCTTCATCCAGGTCCTTCCAATCAGCCGACTTTGTCTTCAAAACATTTGTCAACGAAACTGGCTGGGAGATGGACGGCTTCGTCTTTATCCTGTCCATGGTCCAAACGACTTACGCCATGACTGCAATGGACTCGGTCCTCCATTTATCACAAGAAACAAAGAGACCCAGGTGGACGATTCCGAGAGCGCTCATCGGTTCCATTGCCATGTCGATCCTTTTCTGTTTTGGATTCGCCATCTTCCTTTTATACTCCCTCGCCGACCTCGATACTCTGGTTGGATCATCTCTGAGGCAGGTTTACCTCCAGCTGTACGTCAATGCCATCGGGTTTGGCGGCGGCTTGGCTGTCGGCACAACCATTTTGGTGATACTGGGAATCTTCTGTGGCACTCAGATCATGACCACTTTGTCCCGTCTCATCTGGGCCATGTCTTTACAAAGAGGGGTGCCCTACTCTGATTACTTTTCCGTGGTTGACGAAAAGTCTGGGATACCATTACGATCATTCGCCTTTGCCTTTTTTACATCTTGTTTGATGGGTTTACTATATCTTCCCGGAGATTCGACTTGGAATGCCATCTCCTCCAGCGTGGTGGCATCCATCCAACTGACCTATGTCGCACCAATCGCAGTCTTGCTTTACCAGAAAAGATCCATCTTACCAGCACGGAGCTTCTCGCTCGACATATTTCCAGGAGCTGGAGTGGTAATAAATGTGATAACAGTTGTCTGGGGACTATTTATTGTGGTGGTCTCGTTTTTCCCAGTCTATCTCCCTGTTGATGCAAATAACATGAATTATTCGATTCTTGTTTTTGGTGTTTGGGCAGCTCTGGTCGTCCCCTTTTGGTTCATGTCAGCTTCAAAGAACTTTACCATTATGCCGGCTGTCTCAGAAGATCTGGACGGGGATGAGGGGGCTTCTAATTATCAAACAAAAGCTTAAATTGGTAAAGACATCAAGGCTCTTCTATTACATAACTAGTAGTCATTATCCACAATTCTTACTATCCATGATTCTCTCTGGGGTGCAACACTAGGACGTAGGACTATGGGCGCTTAATTCCATGCTCCATTATATATCGTTGGCCACGTTAAATGTTGGTCTATTTTTTCCTTGTGTGTAATGTATTGATATTACAACGTACATTACTATGCCTTTTTCATTTCACTTGTCTCGACAAGAGTCCCGAATCGGCACATATCATCTTCACATCTGAGCTTCTTCTGCAAGAGAAGCATAGAATCCAAACTTATTGTCAGGGTCGTACTTGGCCTTGATAGCCTGAAGCTTTTGTAGGCGTCCAGCTTCCCAACCGTACACCTGCGGAAGCTCCTCGCCGCCGATGGCATAGTTGACATAGGAGTGGGCAATCTCACCATTCCGACCGGCAACTTGGAGCTTCTCTCCAAACTCACGAGCGACGGCAAGCTCGGCCGTATCATCACCTGACCAAAATAAGAAGGCAGCCAACATGTTGTGCTTGTTGCGCTCTTCTGGAGCAACAGCGTCAAAGTCATCGGGTATATCGCGGACGCCTTTGCGACCATAGGACTCAAATATAAAGGTAGAGGTGTTGTAGGTATCAATGGCGACCAGATCGGCAAAGATGTCGTAGCTTTCGCGCATAGACGTGGTGTTCCACCGGGCAATGGAATTTACGTAGCCGGCCCAATTCTGATCGGGAACACAGACAGAGTCATCTAGACCGAAGTTGGTAACATCGAACAGTTTGTTCCAATAGATATCGGTTATGTTCTCCTCATGGATCGGGCCTATGGCACGGTATGCCTCAATGTACTGGGGAGCGGCGGTGTCGTAGCCTTGGTAAATAAGTTCCATGACAAGAACAGGCTGGAGCTGCATTAACAAAATACAAATCGTGTCAATCAAGACGGGGTATTCACTCACCTTTTCATCGTTGTACTCGGGCAAGTTGCGGTAGTAACCGTTCAGGACAACCAGTCCAGGGTCAGCAATGTCGTCCTCGAGCTTGTTCCAGGCTTCGAAATATTGTTCAATTTTATCAGCCTCATAGACAAAGGTGATAAAAGTCCATGGGTCAGGGTGAATGTCGTACGCTTTGACCTCGAACTCAAGAACGATACCCAAGTTGTGGCCGGCACCACGAAGGCCCCAGAAAAGATCTTCATTCTCCGTGGTCGAGGCAGTGACGACAGTACCATTATGGAGTGCTACTTGGGCCGAGACCAAGTTGTCAGCAGCGAAACCGTGGGCGCCTTGAAGCATGCTGTGGCCTCCACCTAGGAGAGGGCCCATGATGGAGACACACTCGCAGAGACCGTGTACTGGAGATAAGAATCTTAGTAAACTGACCACCTATACTAATTCCGTGCAAATTCTGCAGACAAGGGCGTTGGCATTTACCTGCTTGCTTCCCATAAGGATACAAACCCTGGACGACTTCGTATTGAATAACACCACCACCGGCGTATGCGGTGTCATTGTTGGGTCCTAGACCGACGTGATTGAGGCCACGCATGCGGATCTGTATCCCATCCTGAATCTTACTAATGTCGTCAGTCCAGCCATGAGAGCCGGTCACGGCTAAAAATGGAACTCCGATCTCATTGGCGACTTTAATCTGTACAGGAGTTAGGTCATGTTCCTTTCTGTCGTCAAGCTGCCCATCACCTACCGTGTTCACAACATCATCTTGAGCTGCGACTTCAACAACGGCGAGATATCCCGGGTTGACACGAGGAGAAGCAGCACGTTCGGTCACATCACCCCACTGATCGGAGTCGGGATAAATGATAGTGGCGTTCTCGGAGAGCTGAGGCGTAAGCAGTTCCTTGATCTTGGCCACCTTGGCCTCTGTAGTACTGTTGTACGCAGCAGCCTGGGCAGCACAGCTCCAGAGAAAAGTTGCTAGGATCTTCGAGGGCTTCATCGTCCAATATCTGATGATGACTTGAAATATTTCAGATCGGTTCGCAAGTTATTGGGTAGAAAGTATCGCGATCTGTTTGACAGAGAGACAAAGATCGAAATGCAACTGGCGAGAGAGCCCATATTTATGTTTTTCGAAGCTCGTCTCACGACTCGTTCGTTCATGATAATTCCGGCTCTCCTTGATAGCATACCCCCAAAAGTCCATCCATTCCTTCGTCCAATCCTGCGAGATTCATGTGCCGCAGTTTTTGGATGAGGGATATTTGTCGACACTGCAGTCCGGCTCTCATTCGCGATGATACTGCGTCGTTCTGATGTGTTCTTTGGCCAAAGACTAGACTGCATCAAGTATCGTCAGCAGCGTCAAATGGAGTCTGCAGTAAATAGTTCGTGTGGCTTTGTCTTACATGAAGTTTCTTTGGAATCTTACGAGTAAGAACGTAGCCGACACCCATGCGTGATAGATCGGCGGCGTCGACACCATGTTTCCACCGATGCCTAGCAAGAGCTGTAAAGTGGCAACCTATCTGCGGAAACGGGTAAGCTGAAGGATCTTCATATACTTGGTGAGGCCATTCTTATACGTATTCCACCCACCAAAGTGGCTGTACTCGGTACTATCCAACTGGTTGCAGCTTCCGTCATCCACGGCTGGATTGTTATCCATGGCGAGCCCCCTGAGGGTCATTGAGACAATTGGATCCAACCCTGGTATCAAATGGATATCTGCTTCGGTAGTCTTGCAACTAATTCCTGAATGATACATGGGCCAAATCGGGCGAAGTCCATTCCAGTGTAGCCAATCCTCGTACTTCAAGGCCGAGAGATAAGGACATGCATATTGATCGTTCATGGCACTTTATTGGACGATTCATCTGGAAACCAGGAAGTGCATCTGTCAGAGGCTCATGGTTGCGAGGTAGAAGTATTTAGCCTTAGTAATCTTCGTCCTTGTGTTGGCTAATGTGCTCTTTGTGCAGAGAAGAGATTTGTGGGAGACATTAACGAATAGGCAGGCAAAACATACAGGGTTGAGTTTTCTTCAAAATGAAACAATAGAAAAAATAACTTCGGCCCCTGCCCTTTAGGATCCCATCAATATCACCTAAGAATCACTCGATACCATCCCCAGAGTGCCAGAGGTGATATCCAGCGACCATTCAGCGAGAGCCTACTACATCAATCCTCAGCCGTACGAGGCCCCCTCAAGTCCGTGTATAAATCCTTGTTGACGAAAGGGGTATGCTTCTCCAAGAATTTTCATACTATAAGTTGGCTGGAAAAGGAAGAGTAAAGAAAGAATGAACGAGAAGATCCTTTAATGAGAAACAAAACGTCGCACAAGTGTTGGGATCGACCAATCTCAGTTTCGCTTGACCACTGCTTACATGTTTCCACAGTTCCCTTTAGCTGGTGTAGTGATGTGTTATCTATGTTGAGAATAAGTTTGGTATTTTTACAACGAGGGAAAAAAAAATTATGTGAATATTTGTCATCGCGTGATGCTCGATTTCAATATTGAGTATCATCATGATTGATCCCCTCGGACGTTCTTGTATCACAACCAGGTTTGGAGAGCGGGGCCGGCGCTTGGAGCTAATAGCCATAGTGGGCTCTGGGCGAAGGGCAAGTGGAAGCGCCGCGATCTTGATCTAGTTCAACCTTAATCCACCTGAGTTTGGTGACGAAAGTCAAGTCCAACCGCCAGATTCTCTATCCCTGAATTCTTAAGGCATGTCGAGCCCTTTGACCTCGTCACGGATCGCTTGAGGTTACAATGGTCAACAAGAGAACACGATCTGGATGGCGAGTAAGAAGGAATCCACAGTCCTCGGGACAAGTTTGCTGACGACACTCCTGATAACAGCTTGTCCTGCCGGCGCAGGCGGCGCAAGTGTTAGTCTTGAGCCCATCTGTCTAGCTTTTCCGTCGAGGCAGCTCAGCTAAACAACGCAACAGGTGATGGAGCCCGTCCAGTGTGTCGAGGTTGCCAAGATCGTGACATGATTTGCAACTGGGGCCTCAAGCTCTCATTTCATCCGTCTAGATCCTTTGGGTTGTCTGCAAAGGATTCTGCCGCGCTGTCAGCTATTGAGCAGAGTAGATCTCTTGATACCCGACATCATTTACAGCAACTCAATAATAGCACATCTGAGGTGATCTTCTCTACAACAGAGGTGCGTACTTGGGACTTGTTCAAAAGTGCACCTGGCGAATCACCGCTGATTGACTCGGAATACCAGTTCATAGATGATACAGAAGACATTATTCAATGTTATCAGCATGATAATGGTGACGACGAGCGTCAGTCTACATCAGAAGAGCCTGATGTTTCTCATACCTTTAAATGGCCTGAAGATCAAAGGCGGATGACCCAGAATGGTGTTTCATCCTCTGCACCCCCAGAAACCCCTTCTTCAGGTCTACCTTTGAATCATGAAAGTAGTCATGTGTCGTCTTTCTAGGCCCCTTTCTCTTTAGGCCGTGAGTGTTCTCGCGACAGGTCGGCATCACCAATACCGACCCTCGATCTTGACCAGCACACTCGAGCGAGTCTTCTCACAGCGTATCTCCGGGAGACTGCGACCTGGTGCGAAACTACTGACTCCGATTGCAACTTCTCTGTCAAGTTTGCGCACGGCATGATCAAGTCTGAGCCCTACCTGGCAGCCGCCTTGGCTCTTGCTTCCCGGCAAAGAGACTCGATACGACGGGAACACAACCCATTGACCCTTGAACTGTATCAATACGCAATACGATTGCTTTTGAGACATGATCCAGTTGAAGCTAATGCGGATATTCTGGCGACTTGCACCGTTTTGTGCGTCTACGAGATGATGGTAGCTGACGTTAGTGAATGGCGTCGTCATCTAGGGGTGAGCAGTCGCCGTTCAGACTGTTTACAGTTAACCAATCTCTAATCATACTGCTCGTAGGGATGTGCGGGACTGCTAAGATCCCACGGCTGGAATGGTAGCAGCGAAGGCATTGTTAAAACCTGCTTCTGGGCTTTTGCTAGGATCGGTAAGTAAAGAGGAGGAAGTGAGTGATCAAAAAGTTGGAGCTGACACTTGAAGATATCTGGGCCGCCTATCTCATGGATCAACCAACACTCATTCCGACCGATTCATGGGTGGCTGATGAATCTTTTGAAACCACCGTAACCAGCGGTAACATCGATGACTATTGCAATCTCGCGATACTAATATTTGCAAGACTCATCAATATGATTAACACATTTAGAAATGATCTTGACCATTATGAACTCGACTTCCCAGATCACATAAATCGAGCCTGGGAAAGGTTTCAAAAGTGGTGGCGACTGCGGCCGGCGGGTGCCAAGCCCTTGGTTTGTAGTGAAGCTACTGCCTGCAGTCCATTTCCTGCCATTGTCTTTACCCAGTCGTCCGCAAGTAAGTGGAGTTTTGGTTTGATAGGTTATGGATATGGAACTAACAACCTAGATTGTGGCAACACCTTCTATCATGCCGGGTGCATTCTGCTACTCCGTACTGGGTACATCCAGAGCAACCCAAGAGACACGGGAACTGTAAGGCTCATGCAAATCTTACAGGATGAGAAGTACTAACGTTTCGTCTTGCCTACCAGATGGACCGCGTCTGGCATGCCAAAGCTTTGGGAGGCATATCTACAAGCAATCCCTCACAGTATGCAAACACCCCCGTTGAGTATAAAAGTAAATGACTCGGGCTGACTGATCCTACGGTAGTGCAAATTGGGTAAATCATCTGCAGCCCCTCTATATTGCCGGCCAATGCTTCGGGTCACAATCGCCTTTACTTGACCAATCCAAGCAGCGGTCGTCGACCAACACGACGGATAACTCGCCACGCTATGGTACAGGCAGCGATTCTCGGACAGAGGAGTACGCCGCGGAAAAGATTGCTCTACTCAAGCATTTGACCAAGATTGAGAAGCTAACCGGCTGGAAGACTTCGGATCGGGCGAAGGATCTGAGAATTCTTTGGGGTTTGGAAAATTAATGTTCAAAATCTATCATCCATATCAAACTGTCTCAAATGAAAGCTCGAATCTCTTCTCACATCTATCGATGTGATTCAGTGTTTACAATCGAGATATTTATGGCAGATTGAAATACTCGGTAGACAATATTCTTGATGCAGCATCCTTTCCGGCGGCTTGTAATCCAAGGTCAAGCCAAATGTCCAACTATTGAGCTATTTGTAGTATAAATAGAATTATCCGCTGATCCTTGTCCAATTCTCCACCAGAAACGCCAACATAAACTCCAAGCCCGGCCACTCTTATTTGGGGCATCTGCAAGCGCCGACATTGCCCGCAAGCCAAATTCGTCAATCCGTGGCTTGGGCGTTCCCTCTCTCGAACCGACTCTTACGCGAGTTTAATGTCCCATGCATTAGAATTGATGCACGACTGATGATGTCACAGTCTATTACCAATCCTACACGGTCATTTGCAGTACATCGTGGGTGAATGATCCTCCTAGATAGTGGCATTAAGAAAACCCCGCTGTGCTGAATGTGTCCAGCACTATATAAGAGCTGCAGCTGTTGGAAAAAGAAGAGAAAACAAATCGCATCACAAGCAAGACTTCCTTGGAAAGAACAGAAGTGAGGAAAATTTTGAAAATGGCACCCCAAACTGCTTCAGCTCTCGTCACTAAAGACGGCAAGCTGTCCAAGGAAACGATTCCTGTGCCGACTCCAGGCGAGCATCAGGTACTGGTCAAGATCACTCATGTCGCCCAGAATCCTACCGATGGTCACTCATATTCCCGAGTCCAATACTACATAATCATTGTAGCTAATTCTCTGTCTAGTCCAATCACTTGATGCCAATGCCTTTGGCGACGATGCGGTGCTCGGCTGCGACTTTGTCGGTACGGTCGAGAAGACGGGCGATAAAGTGAGCAAAATCAAAACGGGTACTGTGATAGCCGGTCTGATTTGGGGAGGTCAGTTGTCTTCTAACACCTTTTCATGGTTGCATCTTTCTTGTACTAAACCTTCGCATGAGCAGGCGAGATCAAGGGACTGGGCGGCTACAGCGAGTACACCCTCGCAGATGAGCGCATTTGCTTTCCCGTGCCCGAAGGCATCGCTCCGGAGCAGGCCGCCACAGTGCCCCTAGCCTCGTGTACAGCTCTGCTCGCTCTTTTCTCCAAAGATTGTCTCAACATCCCACAAAAGTCCGGAGAGACTGTGCTCATTTGGGGTGGCAGCTGTAAGTCGAATCAATCATCGAGTGTCTTACAAAGGATAACATCTCACGCATTACAGCAAGCGTTGGGCTCTATGCCATTCAAATCGCCAAGCACTATGGTCTCAATGTGATCACGACTTGCAGTCCCCGACACCACGATCTCGTCAAGTCTCTTGGTGCTAGTCACGTCTTTGACTACCGCGACGCCAAGGTGGCAGAGAGCATCAAGACCGCGACAAACTCGAGCCTAAAGTACGTCTTTGACACCATTGGCAATGATTCGTCCTCGGCCACGGCGTCGCAGGCCCTATGTGAACAGGGCGGCGGCTTGTGCACCGTTCGCCCCGGCAAGGCCTTTACCGAGAATGTGACCAAGCAGACCAAGGTGACGGATGTGCTGGTCTGGACGGCCTTCTTGAAGGAACACCAGTACAAGGAGTTTCACTGGCCGGTAAGTAATGTTTTTGAGCTTTAGCATGGGAACATCTGTTGATAACCAGAATTGCAGCCACACAAGGAGGACCACGAACTTTCGGCCAAGTTCTTTGAGGAACTGCCCAAGCTGCTCTCATCAGGAGTCGTCAAACCCAACACCCCAAAACTTCTAGAGGGACTCGACTCTGTGCCAAAGGGATTCCAGGAATACCGCGATGGAGTCATTTCAAACTACAAGATCGTCTACAAGATTTAAGACTAGAAGATTACCTGTAAAGAGCTTGTGCTTCTGTCCATATAATGCTATGGCCATTCCTCTTTCATACACGGTATCGTGTTTAAATTTTACCGTGTCACCCACACCCCAACAGAGGTGCCTTGGAAAGGGGTTTCGAGCTTTGCACAAACTCGAGAACAGACTCTGGGCTGAACATCCGCGAAGTGAATAAACATGACTCAGACATGGCCTGTCAAGTCTTGCGGCCCGTCAAGTACTGTTTCATGCCTACGATGCGCTATAACCATTCGGGGATGAGTTCAAATTACTTTGGTTTACTGGGATGAGAATAATTCCTGTTATTTGACCACTGCTCGATAATTCACAAGCCTAGAAGGACTGAACCAGTATTAGCAATTCTGTTCGGCAGCTTAATCATGCCTCGTTGGAAAGCTATCTGAGCTTCACTTGTTTTTCCGGACCGAAACATGAGAAGGGAAAAAAAGAAAAAGAAGAAGACTAGAAAAGTCAACTGAAACCTTCACTCAAACAAGTATAAAGTCCTTGAGTTCCCCAACACTGGACCAGGCTTCTTTCATCATACGTCCGACTCCAATTCTCTCCACTTCGTAAGCATCTTTTACCGTCGCTGGATCATCTTCCTGCACAACTTGGCATCTCCCTTGGGACATCCTTTTCACAAGCATAACATTGAAGATTGAGTACGGCTCAGTGTAACGTGACGCTTGCCGACCTAGTTCCTCGCTGGAAAAGTTGTATGCTTCAGAGAGGATGATGAACTCGTACTCGTTTGACAGCTTGCGACGGAAGCTCTTGGGGAGGCGTATTGTGCCCAGCCACGGTTCGTCGTCATCAAGTCCACCATTGCCTAAGCTGGCGCGCGGGGGAGACGATGCAGAGTACGAGATGCCAAACCGATAGATACCAGGTGGCTCATCAACTTGTCCACTGCGATCGTGTAGGGTAAGTCTAAACTTTCCAGCCCGAGTTCTGATGTACAATCCATGAGGAGAAATCGTTGATTTGATGTTTTGACCAAGCGACACCATCTCTTCAGATCTGGGCTGTCCATGGCTTTCAAAGCGACAGTGGCTCAATTTTGTTATCGACCGGGTCCTCAAGGAGCCGCTGGAAAGCTGATCGAGACCATTATAATCACTTTCGGGGTCATACTCTACACCTCCGATCCATCCTGCCCAGCTCCAACTTGGCCAAAGAGCTCTGCCAGTGGCTGGGTCAATGGGCACGCGAGTAAGATCCTGTTGTGGTCGCCACAGGATAGCGGCTTCGAGCAGAGGTCTAGGCAAACCATACATATAATCCATCTTGCCATCTTGATCTAGTACTGAGAGAATTCCGCCAACGCCGTTCAGCCGATCGGTTGGATAGGACATGTTTCGGGAGGTGTACTCGGCAATGAGTTGACAATATGCCGGAAAGAGAATACTCCGCAAACGATCCTGTTCTGACAGTCCTGACCGAGTTTCCAAGTCAAGCCGATATCTTGTTCTTCTCGTCATTGTAGGCGGTTGCCAGCTTCTGCTCAAACTGATGTCCATCATCGGGGCAGTCTGCTGTAGATGTTGATGTTCAGCAAGGTAGTCCTCGCCCCAGACAGCTTTGTGGCATTGAAAGTAGACGGTGTCGTTTACAAAGAATAAATATCTCTGCGACAAAATACGTTCTTGATATGTCCAGCCTCTTGTATTCCATGTTGTGGTCTCTACAGCCAGCTGGCAGTCAGGCTGGAGAGTTACCAGCTTGAGTTCGGATGAGTAATCCGCCACGACTTGTGTCAATGACCTCGAGCCTGGAACGAGCCCTGGCAGGCCAGCATCGGCACCATCACCACCAGCGGCCACAATTGTAAGTGCAGCTCTAGTGTAGACATGATCCATGGCGGCAAGCTGCTTGGACTTGTCCTCGTTGCTGTCCTGTATGATGCAGATCGAATCTATCCAAACGTAGCGATAGCCCAGCAATAGCGTGACTGTCATGGCATCCCGAATCGATTTGGGAAACGTGTCTCGTTTCTGAGCCAGCCCACCTGAGGATTTGAGCTCTTTGATATTGTCCTTAAGAGTTCTGAAGACGGGCTTGGTTCCCCATACATAACTGAGAGCCACATAAGGACCCGGATCTTGCAGCTCGACGAGCTTGTCTTCTTCAAGGTCTAGGAGTCTGATGAAGGGGTCAAAGTTCGGACTTTGGCCATTCCCGGATCCTCGAAGAGTACCGGTGCACTCAGATCCGTGCCAATCATTGCAGTGACGAATCCAAGACTGCACAAGATCCAAGTTTATCTGGCCAGTGTTCACTCTCCTGCCTGCGAAGAATTTGGAAAGTTTGTTCGAGTTATTCAGTGGTACAACATCGAAAGGTGCAAAAGCATCCTCAGGACCAATCATGTCCGGCACAACTCTTATCCTGAGTGATGTCGTGTCATCGCCTTCGAGCACACCGTCACGGATCCAGCACCCCAAGACTTGGGCATCATTGGCGTGCATTGTATGAGATGCCGAGTCCGCAATTAGGCGACAGAGGACGCAATAATCGCTTCGCTCAAGCACCTCGGCCAGGAGACCAAAATCTGTATCTGGGGGCAGTTCCTTATCTTTCGGCCAGCCATAAAAGTCTGAACTCTTCAGATTCATCGCTCGGTGTCGTGCGCACAGGTGGAGGCTCCGATCCTCGTCCGGCAGCTCTACCGGTCGACTCCAATGCCTGCCTTGACGCCAGGCTTCGTCATTCTGTGGCATCTGTCTTAGACTCAGCGACATATTTCTTACTCAGTGATATATGCAGAAGTAATCCGAGGATGATGCTTTAGAGTTGATTGTGCCAAGCGTGGAGTGGCAGCAGCCAGACCCCGGGGATCCTCCAATTTTTGATCCGTTCGTGATACTGTACTGCTGCGGGCTGGAACTAGCAGGGCTCATGCATCAGCTCTTGGCCTCTCACATGTATCTACTCTTTGTGGCCAGAAAAGGTCATGTAGTATGACGACTTAAATTGGATTTCTGTTTGTCTCTCTTTTAAAGGAAAAGAAAAGTATTAAATTATTCCCTTTCTTCTCTCCTGCATACCGAAGCCATAAGAACCCTAGTACGGAAATCAGATACAGAACATGATATAGCTCTCGTTAATCAGTGCGTGAATTTTCCTGTGTTCATGGATCGGATTCATTTGCTCCAAGGGGATAAGACCCTTCATTAATCGAGAACCATCCAGTGTTATTGGCACATGATGATAGGATGCCGTATCTGTTGTTCCCAAATGCTAGCTACCGGGTATGACATTATACTCGACTAACAAACGAAGCGGGACTAGTAGCCAATGCAGCTAAACAGTTATGCTGGTTGCACGGCGCGGCGCTGATAGACGCCCACGATACGGCCCCACTAAAATTTTCTGTATCCGTAACAGACTTGCGCAGGGCACTTCTGATATTTTCACCCAAACGAGCTTTTTCTTAGCCACCTCAGCACAGCAATTCCTGCACTTTTGATTTCTGCCTTTTCTCGGCTCACGTGGAAACGTCGACGTCCAGGAAACTACCTTGTGACATTCAAGACTCGGTCTCACAATCCCAGAGAGAATCAACAATGGCCAAGCGCAAGTCGGAAGACAATCCCGCGACCAGCGACGGCGATGCCAAGAAGAGACAGCGCATGAGCGAGGATCCCTTTGCGAAAAAGGTCAAGAAGGCCAAAAAGGACAAGAAATACAACAAGACCAGGGAAGAACCCGTGGTGGAGGAGGATGTGGTGGATCTGGCCATGACCGACCTTGACAATGGCAAGATTGAGCAGCAGCAAACAAAGAAGGACGAGCAAGAAGAGCCAGCGGCTGAGAACGGCGTGGCGGGTAACGACGAGAACAAGTCCAAGAAGAAGCGCAAGAAGAACAAGAAGGCCGCCAAGGAGGACGACGGAGAAAAGGCCACCAATGCCGACGGTGAAGGCGCAGAAAACGACGAGACTGCTGCTGCTGCTGTGGCCGGCAGCAACGAGGGAGGAGAGAACAACAAGAGGCAGTCGGCCAAGAAGAGCCGCTTCATCGTCTTTGTGGGTAACCTGCCCTACAGCGCCACGGCCGAGGACGTGGAGCGGCACTTTACGGCCGTGCAGCCCACGGCGATACGCCTACTCCACGAAAAGACCAACCCCAACAAGTCGCGCGGCATCGCCTTTCTCGAGTTCGCCGGCTACGACCGCATGAAGACGTGCCTCAAGACCATGCACCACACCACCCTAAAGTGCCAAGGGCGCGACCACCGGGGCCGCCCCAAGCTCGAGGAGCGCGTGATCAATGTCGAGCTGACGGCAGGCGGCGGTGGCAACACCGAGGGTCGCCGCGAGAAGATCAAGGCCAAGAATGAAAAGCTCAACGATGAGCGCCACCGACGCGCTCTCGAGGAGGAGAAGCAAAAGGTCAAGAAGGAGCAGGAGCGTCTACTCAAGGAGGGCGAGAAGAAGGGCGGCGCCGACGGCATTCACCCCAGCAGGAGGGGTCGCGTGCCTGGTGGCAGAAGGTGAAAAAAATGTTGACAAGACAAGGGGGAAAAGAAAGTCATGATACCCGCCAGTCACAGCTGGCACAAGTGCTGAAATTTACATGCCGCCTAGGCATACCATCTGCCACAGAACAGCTCTGAAGACAAGTTCTGGGCAAGTACAAAGTCAGGAGCTTAGGATGAAGGCATCTCTACAGACATATTGGCTCATGGCCGAATTGTCGGTTCCGTGGCTGCTTGTATAAAAGCTGTAGGCCGCGGCACTGCTAAAAAGCACATGCAAATTCGAGAAAGTGACAGGGGAAAAATAAATAGACTCAAAAAGCGAAACGTAGATGCGAGTTCATTATCCGTCTACTCAACCTTTGGTGTTCCAAATGCTCTCTGCTTTAACTCATGTGCTATCTACAGAAGTGTGCGGTGAAAACAAACAATGAGTGACCTTTGACTATCCTTGGACATTCATACAAACAATCCTGGCAAGCTTTCCACATTGAAGTAAAACCTCTTGCCGAGATTGAATCTCAAGCCCAATAACAAGGCGGATTTGGCTAGAACCAAGCTGCCCGTACGGTAGACCAGAAATTTATATCGGCAAGAGTACCGTGATTTCAAGAATTAAAGATACCCAGGCATGCTCAAACAGATCGCAGTCTCCCCCAACACGCTTCATGCCAGCCCAATATGGAAGTCTGCCCAGGTATGAGATGTCGTCGAAATTCAAAAGGTCATGATGGGGTATGTAGGGGCTGTCAGCTCCTCAGAAAATGAGAGGACGTGGATGACACAAGAAGCACGTCGCCTCATTTCCTCGTCCACATGGGAAGGGCCGTCTTTCTGTCATGTCTGCCGTGAAACGCCGTCGCATCGGTCAGATATCATTCGTTGCCTTGCCCCATATGATCGGATCAAGGTGTCAATCCCAGCTAACTTGAAAGACGTCGCCCGAATCATTGGCTCAAAGGTTGAGCTACTCTATAGAATGGTGCACTTGGACTTCTTTTGTTTCGTGGGTTGCGGCCTTGGGTTCAGCACAGCACTGGAAGAAGTTAGTCAGTTGCCATCGGCCGACTAAAGAGGGTGGCAAGTAAGATAATCGCAAGCCATTGCTTAGGTAGAACATACCGAATAGCCTCGTCAAAGACGCTCTTCAAGTTTCTTTGAGTCAAGGCCGAACACTCTAGGTATTTGACGGCGCGAATCTCCTTGGCGCAGACCAAGGCCTGGTCATACGATACTGGCTCCATGCGCTTGGATCGCAGGCTCTCCAAGGTGGAAGGGTCCTCTCGCAAATCTAGCTTGGTACCGACCAAGATGATGGGCACATTCGGGGCATGGTGGTCGATTTCGGGGTACCACTATGCACAGATTTAGCTTGAGCAATGTGGCGGTGTGGATTGCAAGTTTGATTCTTACCTTGGCCTTGACGTTATCGAACGAAGGCGGGCTGACGATGGAGAAGCAGATGAGGAAGACATCAGTCTGAGGGTAAGACAATGGTCGCAAACGATCGTAATCTTCCTGACCAGCCGTATCCCAAAGTCCCAAGCTGATGGGCTTTCCATCTACCATAACACTCGCAGAGTAGTTATCGAAGCTGTAGTTGCACACGGCACGTCAGCTACTGGCTGGTCGTAGACAAACCGCGGAGACCAAACAAGGAGTTCAAGGTTGTACTGACACTGTGGGAATGTATTCGCCAGGGAAAGCGTTGGTCGTGTATGAGATCAGGAGACATGTCTACACTCGAGGGTTAGGAGCAGTCGCGCGAGAGGGGATACGCCGCGCTCGGGGCGGTTTGATCGCGATGTGTTACACACCTTGCCGACAGCACCGTCACCGGTAACCACGCACTGTTAAAAGGAGGAGATAAGTCAGCATGTGCCTCGATTCTGCGGTGAGTGGGATGGGGGAAGCAAAAGATTAAGAAGCTGGCAAACGTCGAATGGGGGTGAGGGAGGCATGTCCCGCGATGCAGTCTTACATACCTTGAGCGACTGGACTGCTGATGCAGCCATGATTTATCGAGATTTGGGGGGTATCGAATCGAAACGGCAAGTTTGATAAATAAAAAAAAGAGCTGGCTGGCTTTCTTTCGGGGGCGCGGGCGGTGATTGCACTGCAGTGCACTTTTGGGGGAAAGGTAAAGCTAGTAGCTTCGTCGGGTTGATAGCACAGAAATGCGGTGATTGATTGCTGTGGCAATGGACCAAATTCCCGAATTGATGATAGCGGTTTGGTTTTTGGTTTTTGGTTTGGGATGGGAAAAAGGGCGGGCAACTAGTTCGAGAGCAAGGACGGGTTTATGGTCGACCTGTGATTCGATTGATTGGTAGATAAATAGATACCAGGGTGCCTATGGTGGTTTGGCGGCAGCAAAGCAGGACGCCTTTCTTTGGCTTTGATGCGTGAGAGAATGGAAAGAAGTAGTAGTAGTGGCCAAGGTTATTATCTCTGGTAACTTTCTCGTCGAAGAGAAAGAAGAAGTAAAAGGAACAATGATTATCAAGAGTTCACGTCTGCTTCTGGGGTTTCTGCTGCGTTGAGGGTTAGAAATGTTTTGACACAGGCCGGAACGGTGAGGTGCCGCAAGTTGCAGGAGGGGAGGTCAAGTTGCAGATGAGGGTGGGATTTCCGACCACGACGAGACTGGGGACTGAACTTGACTGGCCTGGCTGGATGGATGGACTGAACTGGGAACTCAACTGGGAACGAACCTCGCTCGACTGGGGACTAGGATTAGGACTGGACGTCCAGGAGTCGGCGAGCTAGGCAAGTTAGGTACCTCAGCTTTAGTTCATGTAACCAGACCAAAAGAGGTGCAAATCAAGAATTTGGGCTGGTTTTCCAAGGAGATGTAGGCGCTAGAAGCATCCAAGAGACAACTGGTTGGAGGCTACCTGTAGCCGCTGAGAGGTACATCTACACGTCGCCGGTGCTATCAGATATTTCACCCTCCATCACTCCGTCCATCCACTAACAACATCTACTCCTAGGGGCTCGACCACCTGAGCTACCCTTTAAAGGGGACCTACACTTGAAAGGGTAAAATGTACAGTACCTAAAGGTAATGTAGAAAAGTGCCCCCTTGCCGCTGACCATACCTGGCCAAAGTGGGCTGTCTGTAGATCCGACAGTGGATCACTTGAGAGCTGTAATTCTTCAACTCTTCTTTTTCTGCGACAGTATTGGCCCTGACAGGGTCACGGATGAAGATATTGGGCCCATATATAACGGTCTCTGGTGGGAGACGCAATCTTGGTACAGATGTATATGAGGCATCGAGTCATGTACTGGCAAAAAGGGCATTATCTCATTCAGATACCCGGCGGCACTGACCGCAACTCAATTGCAGTCGGTTATCCACTTGCGTACTCGCTCGCTCGCTCGTGCTTCATGCATTCAAGGTTTAATCGTGGAATGCTATACTGAAGAATGTCCGGCGTTTTATTCGCAAGCACGCTATTGAGCTTTAATGGACGGCTGCTTGGCTAATTAATGGCGAGTATAATCGCTCTTCAAAAGTAAGCGTCACAGCCTTGTACGTCTTCGAAATATTCAAAGCTTTCATTTCTGCTGAAACCCGATGCTATTATCTATTTGTGCCTACTGTCCATAGCATGATATCAATCACATTGGCGTTGATGTATTAATCAAACAATATGTATTTGCTTCGTTGGGAAGTTGCTTGCTGTGCTGGTCCTGTTAATAATGATGAATTCGTCAAGATTGGTACCATTGGACATCAAATATCACAGTTGAATAAATCCAGCTATAGCAGTATATCCAAAAGCAAGCTTTTAATTGTGTATATTCAACTAGTATGGTAACACACTGATAGAAGGGTTCATGGCTCGGGCATCTCAACGAGGGGTCCCAGGGCCTCGGACTTGAAGCGCCTCGAAACATCCCAATGCCTCTTCACACATCAATGACGAGTCTCAGCTTGATTCGTTGCGCAAATGCCCCCAAGATCGATTCTTTTCGCGGGTTGACCATTTACTCCAACCAGGCACCAAGAACACCCCATACAAGTAAACGAACGCCGGTTGCGTCACAAACCACAACTTTGATTATACGACCCAAGATGAGCTCATGGTGAGCCCACCTAAACTAGATTCATATATACGAGTGGTCGTTCATCAGTAGGTGATATTGCATCTTGGCCAAGACCTCGGCACACTCAACCGTCAGGCGCGCGTTTGAAGCATTTCACGTAACAACTGAATTCTATGGAACCCTTTTGTTGCCGCAAAGGGGGCTCCGGGGTCTGTGGTTCAAAGAGGGGCGCCCAACCCAGGCAGGGCCCCGTAGGTAAAATGCAGTGGATATATGCAGTTAGCCTCTTGTTGTCGACCTCTCTTGAATAGGCGCAACGATTCGTCCGAGTTGAGGCTCCTCATGGACGAATCAAGTCTCTTTTGCAATGAGACATCACTTGCCAGTTGGATCGAATCGGAAAAGATTCACGCAAACTCCAACATGGATAAGGGATATCTAAGGAGCTTGATAACCAGTCGTCACCCTCCATTAGCCCGGGTAGTTGCCTGTCAAAGGTTGACTGCTGCCAATCGGCTCTCCTGGTTCTGATCCTGGAAACCGATTCCATACCCAGTGATGGTGGTATGATAAAACAAAATGCCCATCTCGTACGTACATTAAGGTACAGTACCTACTTGCATTTAACCTTTCAGTAAAATCTAGGATAGCATGACCCAGCGGTGCTCTAGGACTTCCACTACAAGCACTGTCGCGAGCTGGGCGCTTCACGTGTGTAGCAGCTTGCTTCTAGTATCACATTGATCCTTGGACCAGCAACGGACACAAAATGTAGCTCACTTTTTCTCTCCTTCTTTCATATCTGACAGTGATCACGAGTGAACGAGAGTGAAATAGTCTCATCCCTTCATCTTGGCTAACAAAGATGCTGAAAATGATGACGGCCTGAACGAGACAAACGACATCTGGATACCGTTCAGACCCAGAGTCTTGGGACAATTACCACATGAACCTCTCTCCCCAAACATCCACTACACAGTCGGTACGAACAATTAATAATTCATCAGTTCGTCATCGCAATCTGAGCAGGGCTCAAGCTAAATGTGTCAGAAGCGCACAACCCTCCGACTGGCACGGCCTTGGCAGATATATTGTCCTGCGAAATAGCGACTACATCATGTACCTGGAGCTTCCTTCAGGGGTTCCCAGCTTGACCTGAACGGTTTCAACGTTTCACCTACCCCACCAGTGGATCGTGGTAGGCTACGAGGGGCCAAAGTGCTCTAGTAGGTGTACCGCTACCTTGTACCTTAGGTAGGCACCTAATTCCCGTAGCCACGTGCTAAAGCGTGCGATCAACCACACCAAACTCCCGCTAAACTCTGGCCGACGCGTCTGGTAGCTGCCATAAGACGCGTCGAGAAATGACGATTTACCTTAAGCTGGAGGACCGAGAGCGATTAGCCAAGGCGCAAGCTGCCTCTGGGATTCTTGACCGATAGGATCGACCCCAGATTATCAACACATCCATGGCGACACACTGATAGCATACTGACATCAATCACTGTCGACCCATTGGAGTTGCCTCCTTGCCGGCAGTCCGCCGTCTGCCTCTTTTCGCGATGGCTTCAAATAACCCCTCCTCAGCCAGCCGGATTCGTTTCGCACCACCGAGCACACCGGGACGCACAGCAGGAGCTCCCACTACCACGCCGAGCCGCCGCGCTATCAGCGCCGACCCGACGTCTGGTGGCCGCCGGTCAGCTTCGGCGCGACGACCAGCCGCAGCAACACCCCACGCCCGGGCAGCCATCAGGACAATCGACCAGAGGCGCCGGACAATCTTCACGCCCGGCCGCGCTCGCAGGCGTAGTCTGCGCGACCAGCGCGAGACGCCCAGGGATATTCTGAGGAATCTTAGTCGGCTCCTCGCCCCGGCCTCGCAGCCCGTGCATACTTCTTCGTCGTCCTCTCCCGGCCGCGATGTCAGCAACGATACCCTCACGCCCGTACTCGAAGACGACGACGACGATGACTTTCCCATCGAACGTCCGCGCTTCTCTCTGCCCCTGCAAGAGGATGACGATGACGATAGTGATTTGAAGGCTCCCAGGCTTAGTGGGCTGGAGGATGAGAATCTCACTACGGCGTCGATTGAGCTCCCGCGAAGAGCCGTAAGCGAATTCCCGAGCCGAATTGGTCGGGAGAGTCTGGGGAGCATTCGTTTCAGTGATGTCCCCGGTCCGGATATTGTTAGCGATGATATCAATGTGGATTCGGGACTCTTCCCGCCACTGGGGCTTGACGATGATGGAGCCAATGATTTCAGGCGGCAAACCCTCAACCGGGAAAGTCTCTTTGGGCCCATCGAAATACCGGCAGGCGTGGACGAGACGACTTTCATGATGGACCAAGTCGGGTCACCGACCAGGGAAATCACCGCTCAAGAGGACATCGTCGACAACGAGGTTCCTGACATGTTTGATGATGACGATGACCACGTGAACGAACCCATGGACTACCGGGATCCTGCAGACTATGATGATGAACCAGCGGATTACGACGATGTGCCTGCAGACTATGATGACATCCCTGACAATAACGAAGAGATTCCCGACGATGATGCGGATGACGCCACGCAAAATATGACCGTGGCCTCAAATACGGTCGAGCTCACGGCGGCGATTGCAGCTAGGCGAAGTGGACGAACGCAAACCGGCAAGAAGATATCCAAACACGGAATCGAGTATCCCTCACTTCCCAAGGGTGTCGTGAAGCGACTAGCAACAACGTTTGCAAAGACATCTGGAGCGGGCAAAGCGAAACTCTCGGCGGATACACTAGATGCAATGATGCAAGCTACAGATTGGTTCTTTGAGCAGGTTGGAGATGATCTCTCAGCATATGCCAAGCATGCAGGACGAAAGACAATTGATGAGAGCGACATGTTGACTCTAATGCGAAGGTATGTTACACTATTGTACTGCCCAAAATTGACTGGGCTCGTATCTGACTTTTGTACACAGACAGCGCCAAATAGGGGCCTCTGCCACGCCGTTCTCTCTTGCCCAACGATATCTCCCTAGAGAGCTTCTCCAGGAGTTGAGAATGCCTGTCCCGCCCCCGACAAGAGCGCCAAAGAAATCGAAGCGTGCCAACGCTGACGAAGACGATGAGGAGGTTACCTGAAAGCCGTTTCGTTGACGGACTTATATATATATCTATTATGACATGCTGCATGACGTCTCATTTGATCACGTCAGTGCAGCAATGATTCTGGACTGAGATATAGGCTGCCCTAGCAGCGTGATATGCATCTCAGCAGAACTCCGCTCGCGTCCTCCCGACTCTGGGCGTCGATGGTGGAAAGTCCATTACCAGTTCTTATTCAACCGAACTCTGCGCGAAACATCCGTTGGTGGCTTCTTCACCACCATGTAAAACATTATGGATGTAGCTATGGCAAGGCCGTACCTGCACGCGCAATCAGTATGATGGATAGACGTTGAAAAGACAGCCAGTCCAGTGGCCATGGTTTTTGGGACATACCATGTAAAGATGTATTGGGCGTGGTTATTCCGCAGGTTGACTTCAGCAGCTCTGCCGATGGGTATACCTCTTGAGTGCATCTCGAGACTCTCGGACCAATCCGGCTCTTAAGCATGATGCGCATTAGTCAGAAATTCATAGAGCAAAGATGTGCTTGGCCTCGAAAGCCAGAGTGCCCGGGGCATTGAACATGAATAAGAAAGATCAACCAGAAACGAAAAGCACATACCCATAGTAGACTCGATCCAGACAGCCTGACTGCCCGTCAACTCGGCCATCTGTCGCACATCTGGAAAGTAAAACTCGCCCTTGTCAGGGCGGTTATCGGGCGTGAACATGTTCTTCTTCCAGGGCTCCCGCAGCAACCCCTCGACGACAACCTCGCCCCGGGGCAAGGATCCCGGTCCACGATCGGCCTGGCGGCGCATCTTTTTGCTGATCCAGCCCCGGTTGACCAAGACCGTGGTACCGTCGCCCTCGCGCTCGAGCGGCGTCACCACCATGTACCCGTCCTCGCCGTCGCGCATGCGCGGGCCAATGAGCATTTCCTGGTCGTGGCGCAAATGGCCCTTTGCCACGACGCGGCGGAAATCAAAGTCGTGGATCGCGTCGGGGTCCACGCGGCCCGGCAGCGGGAGGGGGTCGCGGACCAGACGGTCTTCGAATCGCGCAATGAGCTCCGTCTTCCAGCCTAGACGTTGGACCTGCCAGGTGCCCAGCACGAATGCCGTCACGGGTATAATGGCCAGGAATGCAAGACCCCACATGTTGTGTCGCCGGCCTGTCCGCACCAATTGTGGCGGGTTGTCTAGGATGGACGTGAAGTTGGGGTCTTCGGCCGGCTGCTGCTGGCTGGTCCGGCTCGTCCGCGAGAAAAGCCGTCTGGTTTCTTGTTGCTGTGCATTTTTGCTGCGTGTGACTGCTCTAATCGCTGCCGACGGGCTTGTCGTCGACCGGCATTGTGTTGTCCTTGTGAATAAGGAGCTGCCGTTGCTCGTTCGCGATGCTGGTGATGGCCTCGAGGTCGCAGAACTGTGGTATCGTTGTTGTAGAGCCAATTCGACCTGGCGCCCAAGCGATTGCCTCAACGCCCAACTTGGTGACTTCATTTTAACCCCCCAGTCTTGTGATGGGCTGAGATGCGGTGGTGTACAGGCGATTCCAGCTCTTCACATGATGAAGTCCAGGAAATTCTTCAAGCTCAGACGGAGCTTTAGCTTACATGCAATGAGCCGGTGTTGCATTGTGGGGCCGCAGTCTCGGACCCCTACCCCAAGCTACGTATTATGTACTTTAGTACAGCGTATATTGATTTCCATGTCCATTTTGGTCCGTTGATATTTTTCTTGATCGTTTCCATTTCCTCATTACCCGTAATCACAATCACCATCTCATTGTTGCTGGCAATTCTGTTCAAGACAGCTGTTCGACCGGCATTAGAACTATGGACAGCCAATTAAGTATAGTACAATCAGATCGTAAACTTCTGGCATGCAATCCAACCCGGCTCATCTACCCGACGTAGAGTCAAGGTTTACTAACAAAATATTTACTACTTGTTACCCTCAAGTGCCAATTGATACTCGCCCGTCTAGAATCCCCAATATCCGCAGAGATAACTCATTGCTAATAAACCAGCAGTCCAGAGTAGAAGGCTCCAATTCAAAGGCCGGAGCTTCGATGTCTCGTTGACAGTCACCATCCAGGGTTTCGTGGCCGATGGTTCTGGACCAACAGGCTCGGGCGCAGAAGTCACAGGGCCCTGGGCCTGGCCGGGTATGTTGCCGGCTTGGCCGCTGGCGCCAGGGAAGGGCGCAGGAAATGGTGTGACGGTTGTGACAGGCATTGGAACACCATTAGTTGTAATGGTCATAGTGATGGTCGTCGTTGCCCAAGCCGTGACAGTATTCGGGCCAGCACTGTCTTGTCTCAACTGGAGGCCTGGAACTTCTGGTAATTCTCTGCCCTCGAGATACTCGACTTCGCGGCCATCGAGCTGCTCCTTGGCTGTAGCGCTGGTGAAGCCCAGATTGATGTCGGCGCCCGAGGCAATGCAAGTCTTCATGCTGTAAAGTAGGGCGGGACCATAGTCAGGAGGATCACATTGGGAGTAGAGGCACTGGAATAATGACTAGTTCGCGAGTCAGTACGGAGACAACTTGTCGTTGCCCACATTACGATGAGCTCACCTTCTGAAATTGTTCCTCGTGGCAGAGGCAGCCCACATCTTGGCATTGGGTGATGAACATGCTATCCACCATGCATCGATTGACGCAGCTGGGCGGCTCAATATTGATGCCATTGAGAGCAGCTACACGACAAGCCCAGAACAGATAGACTAACGAGAGGCTTCGCATGGTTGGGACGTGGTGAGATGATGGGATGCAGCAGATTTGTGTCGTGATTATTGTTCTTTGTCTCTTACGTTCGTTGCTTTGCTGTGCTCTTAGTGATCCGATAAATCGTACAAAAGCGAAGGAATGATCACCAAAAAGATCGTCCAAAAAGAAAGCGAGTGTGGATGCTCTGAGATGTAGGATCGTTGGGTAGAGGAGGTAACGAAAGAGTTGAGTGGGATATGGAAGACGAAAGCTCGAGGATACAGAAGACCAAAGAGACTGGCAAAGAAGGTAATGTCCAAGTCTCTGTTCCCATCTGGAAAGAAGTTTGGGACGAAGGCTACTTCCCGCATTTGCCTTGATGCCGACAATTTCAGTCTATTGAAGATGATTGCAGAAAGAACAATGTACCTGCCTGTTTCTCATGGGACTTTCCCCAGTGCTGGAAGTAGTGCATTGGTGTGTACTGGCAGAGTTTCGTATGGCAAAGACGTTGAAATTGCCCGTCGATCAGGCCTCATTCTCTGGATGCGCAAATGCTCCACTTGCTGCTCTCTTTTATGGTCACGCAAGATTTGTTGATCGACAAAGATGCTATTTAATTCATTGTATTCTCCAAATTTTTCTCCTGTCGTACATACATATAAGCGCCTCATGCATGATTCATCAATCATTGACTTTGCGCGCTTATGGGAGGAGACGCTTGGGAGTTCTGGGGTAGTAACTCGACAGGTGAACACTGGGCAGGTTAAGATACCACGAAACGACACGGTCCAGACCAATACCACCACCACCGTGGGGTGGCACACCAGCGGATCTGAACACATCGACGTACTCCTTGATTCCAGTGCTGTTGGGGTCGACACCCTTCTTGCGGATTCTGGCCTCCAAAGCCTCTGGAGTGTGGATACGCTGGCCACCAGAGAGGATTTCTTGGCCACGCATGAAGAAGTCGTACGCGTTTGTCACCTTGGGGTTGGCAGGGTCTTCCATAGCATAGAATGGACGAGCCTCCTCAGGGAACTTGTCAAGAACGTAAAAGTCGGTCTTGTACTTCTCACGGATCAAGGCACCAAGAGCCTTCTCCTGAGGCGTACTCATATCCTCGTCGTCCTTGACGTTGCGGTATTCCTCGGGACCCTCCTCACGGAGAAGCTTCTGACCCTCGGCGAAAGTGAGGCGCACCTCCTTTCCAGGCTCTGGAAGGAGGAACTTTTCAGACGGATAGACAGAGCGGACGAGTTCAATCTCTTCCGATCTCTTCTCCTCGAGACCTCTGAAAATGTACAACATGAGACTCTCGATAGTCTCCAGAACCTCGACGTAGGACTCCTCAATCTCCATCTCCATATCGAGACCAGTGAACTATGGAAAGTTAGACGGTGCCTATGTCATGATGTTCTTTTTGCAAAACATACCTCGGTCATGTGTCTCGGGGTGTTCGAGTTCTCAGCTCTGAAAACGGGACCAATGCAGAATACACGCTTGCGACCGCCAGCAATCTCAAATTGCTTGTAGAATTGAGGGGATTGAGCAAGGTAGGCGTGCTTATCAAAGTACTTCATTCCAAACACATTTGCACCACCTTCAGAGGCCGCTCCAATCAGGCACGGGGGTTCAAACTGAACAAAGTCTCTAGACTCCAGGAACTCGGCAAAGAGCTTTCTGACGGTCATACGGATATCCGCGATAGCCTGTTGGACAGGCGCTCTCTTGTGCATGACAGGGTTGTTCAGATGGGTGGTCAAGCTGGCTGCAGGAGCACCGGCCGGGTCGGTGATGGAAAGCTCCTTGACAGCCTCGGTCGGGGCTGTCTCGTCCTCGTCCTCAAAGCTAGCCACAGCCTTGTTGGCGGCTCCCAGGGTCATACCTAGAACCTCGGGGCCCGAGGCGATGAGGTAGCACTTGGTGATGTGAAGTTCATAGTCGCTGACGCGGCAGCTCTTGACGGGCTCGAGTGGCTTCTTGACAAGAGCCTCGACGAGCACGAAACTCTCGAGTCTGATACCACCAGTCCACTTGACCATTTGCTTGCTCACGGGCGTGCCCTCGGGGCTGACGGCCATGACACCCTGTATCGACCAATTGCGCTCCTCCCTGATTTCAACAAAGGCCATCTTGGCGCCTTGCATACGGGAGTTCTGGATCCATCCTCGCAGCTTGACAGTCTTGTCCAGGTGCTGCTCGCCCAAGTCCTTGAGCTTGACCTTCTCGGCATCGACCTTGGTCGTGTGGTGGATGTCGCCGTAGTTGTCCTTTGCGAGATCCTCGCCACCGCCAGCGGCAGCCTTGGCGGCAGCTTCTCTGGCCTTGACCTCAGCAGCACGCTTGGCCTTTTCGGCCTCCTTCTTTGCCTTGGCCTCGGCCTTCTTCAAGGCCTTCTTGGAGGGGCCGGCGTCGTCTCCCTCAGCGGCCGGGGCGTCGCCCGAAGCTTGGGTAGGGTCTTCGGTGGGTTTCTCGGACATGATGAAATTGGAAAATCACAAGCAATGAATTGTGACTGTTGCAAATAGCAAGCGATTGAACGAACGGCGCTGTTTCAATGCCTTTCCTTCAAATACAACCAACGATGGAGGGGTAGAATCGAGTGACTCTTCTGTCGCCCGGCGTGACGTGGGGCAAGGGAATTATTTTTGGCGGGGCAGGCACCGATAACCGCAACCCACCAACGTCATTGGCATCTGCAACTAACCAACTGCTTCGCCCCGCTAGTCGAATTTTTCGCATACCAATTTTTTGCTTGGATGAGCGAGACTAGGATCACCAGCAACACGATTCAAACGCATCTTGTTCGCCCACCGACACAGTCATGTCTGAAGAGCAGATACCGAAGTCGGAGAGTTTGGCCTCCAAGGCAAAGTCCAAGAAGCGGTCTCGTGAAGACGACGGAGGACGTCGCAAGAAGAAGAAGACTGGCTATGAGCAGGACGACAGCCTTTTGGACACTGAGCTGGGCGTCAATACCGGCATTGCTTTCATGGACTCGCAGCTTATGGCCGACCATCTTGCGCAGAGAACGACAAAGTTTGGAACGGATTTGAGTGCTGTGGAACTGGCAGATTTGTACATTTCTCGTAAGAATTTCCCGTTCCGTCGTATCTGGAATCTACATTTTCTGACATCTCGTTACAGCCGCCTCCATTCAAGACACTACATCATGGCAAGAGCCCAGAACGTTGGCGAAGCTGCCTGATTTCTTGGAAAAGTTCACAAAAGACCCCAAGGATCTCACCAAGGCGCCGAAACAAAAAGGTGCACCTCACACGCTCATCGTAGCTGGTGCAGGTCTAAGGGCTGCGGACATTGTGAGAGCATTGAGGAAGTACCAGTCCAAGGAGAACAGTGTAGCAAAGTTGGTACGTATTTTTCTTTTCTTTTTGGAACGGATGAAGATTTCAAGCATATGACTTACATAATGCACAGTTCGCCAAGCACATCAAAATCGACGAGTCCATCAAGTTCCTGAGTTCACACCGAACAGGCTTGGCAGTAGGAACCCCTCAAAGACTCACAGATCTGTTGGAGAATGGTACGATCCCCCCCCCCCTCTTTCTACGGTGTCTGCTCATAATTATGAGGCTAATATGCATGCAGGCTCTTTATCATTGGCCAACTTGCAGCGCCTTGTGGTGGATGCTTCTCACATTGATCAGAAGAAACGAGGTATCCTCGACATGAAGGAGATAACCATGCCGCTCGCAAAGTGGCTGTCCAGAAAAGAGTTCAAGGACAAGTACACGGCCGAGGAGAAGCCGCTGCAGTTGCTCTTTTATTAGGCCAAGGCGCAGGGACTGTGTTATTAGTTCTATGTACGGTTGCAGGGGAAAACACGGCCACAGTGAGAGACGGGGTTTAGAAATATGTACCTGTATGAGACAGCATAACGCCGTGACAATCCAGGAATGGTGGCGCAAGGGCAGGCTCCGCTTCGGGCATACCGAAGAGTTTGTGGTCCGAGGAGCTTGGGAGTGACAGGCAAGGCATTTACTGGCGTTTGGCGGCAACACAAAAGCAAGGCTCGGATAAAAAAAGCACAATGATACCATTAGACAGATCAAGACAGAATCTTTTGCATTATTTCTTATGAGAGTAAAGAAAATCTGATTTCTAGGCTTGGGTAAGGTACTTTATTACAAGGGTTTCATGTGCAATCATGTCGATTTATGCCCCCTCCCGACCAGTATGCATCCTTGGTCCAGTATCCTCAATTAATTATTATCCATTAGACTCCTGGACCACCTGGAGAGTCAAGTGAAGATTTGCTAGAATATCTCTTGAAAGAATGACCATGAACGAAGTGGGAAGAACGACACAGCTCCGACAAATGTCTCCACGCAACCTGGTATTCTTGCTCTCCTCTTACGATAGGCAATGACCATGTTCTCCTGTTCCGTTCTTGAGGTGTCACAATGCATGTGCCCAGCCTGGTCATCGTGTTGCGGTGTGTCTCATGATAGCATGGCTGGCAAATTTGGGCTTTTTGCCATCCACTGTGTCTCTTGAATAACGGAGAAGTGTTGTATAATTTGCTTCTTGTGTCTGGAGATTGCTGCAAGATTGCTTCCTACTTGAAAACAAACGCTCTTATCACGGAGGTTTCTGCACCAGTCCAGAAGATTTGACACCTAACCGAGATGGGCGGTTCCTCCGAGCGAGACATTGTTGTTGAGCGGCGGACTGCAGTGATGTCGGCTAGGAGATTCCACGAACCGAAACATCGGCCTCATTCCTGGGGCGGTAAGATGGGTTCATCTTTCCCGTTCGCCGCAATTTGCTTCTCTGCAAAAGAATTGGCATGGCCGGGTGGTGGGACTGCTTGACCGAAGATACTCGGACAAAAGCACAGTCTCTGCCATGATTTGTTGTAATATGGAAGAAGATGAACCCGTTGAGCAGTGATATGTACGTGGCAAACTCCAATAAGTCCATTCAACAGGCTAAAAGGATGCTGTATGGATCGAACGATTTTCTCGGAAGTTTTTTTGGTTATTAGCTTGCCACTGAGGCCCACAGCCATGGCTGATCACGATGTCGAATACATGAAGGAGAGGTTACTAGTCCAGATTGCTGCCGTGGCCTCATGAAACGGCCAACTCGTGATCGCCTTGGACGTGGAGTCACTAGCACTCTATGGGCCTTGGACGATCACTGCCTTATCTAAGCTGGGTATACTGCTTCTTTTCTTGCATATGTCTTCTGCAAGTGCTTTCTGCCCATGTATGCGTTGGCACGGCATACCACGGTTTGCAGATGGCAACAAGGTTTACGACACGCGATCGGAAGCCCATCTATGCAGCGGCTGTATAGATTGACATGGTCCGGCATCAAATATGGTACACGTGAGTCGATCCGCGCTCGCCACTACTTTCACTTTTTTCTCTCTCTCCGCTGAAAAGTCAAGTTCCCGTGCAAATCTACAGCCCTAGGCTTTCAGTGTTGAGTAAATGAATTTACCATAGATGACAAGCTGAATGGCAGTACTATATTCCGCGCCTTTGGAAGATGATGCCGTACTCTGTCATTGTACATGAATAAATATCAACTTGTGCAGAACCTCCACGTGAATAGCCTGGTTTCTTGCGACTGGATCGGGACAGAAGTTTCACACCGGCCCCATATCTAGATCGAAGAAAGGTATTCTTGTTTGCTTTGACAGCCAGTCATCAGCCCGACTACCTGGTTTTCCAACACAGTGTATCTTGTAGCCGAGCGAGGGGTGCACCCAGGCACATCTTTGTATTACCGCGGGCTGTTGTAGAAGGTAATAGTCTGTCAGGTTGTCTGTAGACTAGGATAAGAGGTCCAGGATGATGTGCTACAGTGCCTCGGGGGCCTGGCACTGCGCCAGGTCAACCGTATAAGACAGTGGCTAATGCACCTGAGTACATAAAGACAGCGAGGCTTGCATGTGTACATCGACTAACCGCCTCGATAGTTTTGCAATACAGATCACACTGCGGAACAGTGCATGATCTGAGCCTACCCTGCCTACCTCCTTACACAGAGATCGCTGCGCAGTATCCACTTATATCCATCCAATACTTCCCGCCCCTCATGCTTCACAAGACGCATCTGGTTAGCTTATCGCCATGCAGAGCGGGATGTATGAAAAAAAAAATCAAGACATACCAGGAGACAGTCGTCACCATGCTTGTGAAGCAGCAACATTCCAGTCTCAAGCTCGACTTCAATCGCCTCCTTGCCCACCTTTCGATCATGAGGGTAAAAGACCGTTTGGCCTCCTAGACAACCCTCGGCGGCTGATGTCAGGTAGAGCAATAGTGTCCATGTCGTCCGTGTACTGACAGCCTCTGGTCTATCAATAGTGGCGGGGAGGGTCACATCGTTGAAGTCGTCGTCTGGTCTCAGTTCTTAGCTGGTCTGTTGTACAGAGTCTTGGTTCGTGCGGCGTCATTGGGAAACATGCAGAAGCGCCGACATTGTATAGTAGAGATCCGGGAAAGGCTTCACCCGAGTCACGACACCGAAACATCGGCCCAACAACTCAGGTTGAATTTCCCCGGTAAAGGTGATCGAGGTGGCTGCGGCTGAAGATGCACACGAGTTGCTACTTTGGCTAGGTTCATGTAGATCAAAGGGATGAGGCAAGGAAAGCCTTGAATCACTTACAGTGCGCATCGAAAAATTGGCCTTTTGAATATCGATCTGCAGAGCCGAGACATGTTAGTACTGCTTGTTGCGTTGAACCAATGCCATTTTCTGTTGCCAACGCCGCTGCATTGATGTGTCTGGTTCACGAGGGCCGCAACGCTAGGCTGGTGATGATACGCAATCAAAGGCTGCAGGGCAACCGGAAAAGCATATCAGGGGTTCTGTACGTACACTATAGCGTTCAGTATTAGTAATGATTGTACAGTCTCAGTGAAGCTCAGACGGCCGAGCTCGTCATTTGATGCACTCAGATCAAGGCCAGCGGATGGGCAATAGAACAAGCAAGCAGGACAGAAGGCTTACAACGCGTATGTTGGGATTTACTGGGTGCCCGGAATCAAGTTAGCCAATTGGGTCCATCATCCACAACAGAAAGTTCCTCATTGACCATTTTCGGCCTCGTGCAGCATTTAAGAAGGCAACATGATGTGATGTGTTCAAAAACCAATTACTCACAGCCTACGACGGCACCACCCCTATATCAACAGTCAGCAAAAGCAACGAGGCGGGTGGTCTCCGCGACAGGGAGTTCCTTGACTGGACAGGATGCTCACCAAAGGTTAGTCAAGGTCTCATCTTGCACCAAGTCCTTGAGACCAGTCTCCATCCACAGACGCTGGGCAAAAGCGAAATCATTTATCTGAAATCTGTCATTCACTCGCACGGCTTCCCCGCGTTTGGGACGGCCTGGGGTAGTCGTCAAGGGAAGAGTCTGGAGAAAGGCGACATAGTCTCGACAGAGAGACTTTGGAAAGAAGTTACGGGCCACGAGGATCTTGTCCTCGAATGCCGGCACCGGTGGCTCCAGAGTCAAATGAGCAACAGGCAGTGGGGGTTTGAAGACGGGCCAATTGGGCAGCGAGACTGACTTTTCGATGGTTTCTGCGCCTTTCTGCACAATGGACTTGGGCTGCTTTGGGGCCTTGCTTTTACCCATGTTTGCCTGCCTCGTTGAAACCTGAGCCGGCCGGAAACCCGGAATATGGGAGCTGAGAAGAGGTTGAGGTTGGGAATTCCAGGATTGGAACAGAGCTGCTTTGAGATAGGGCCGCTAGATGGCTTGGCGTAATGGGGCCCGGTCTTCTGGTAGGTGCACTAGGGACACAGGTAGGGGGATTGTTAGCGAGCCAGCCCCCAAATAGCCCCAAGTATATGCACTGTTATCGCCTCTGGGACCAAACATCACATACCTCTCTCTGTACTCTGTAGTTACATGGCCCTCAAATGTTATTACCTAGACGCCTCACAGATGTCATTTTAGGTTTCACTGCATCTTTTTCTTCTTCATATTATTGGATATTGTCACCTGCTCCGTGGCTTTCTGTATGCATTGTACTTTGGCCACACTTATCTAAGAATATTAGTCAGTCAGGCCATTGTCATCCATGTTCATGTGGCCATCCGAGACTCTGGGGTACCCGTAACAAACAAAGTAAGCAGCCATTGAGAGTGTTTAATCTGTAGCGAATCCGCTTAAGTTGACCTGTCAAAACGAGCTACAGACATTCATGCAGTGCTCACTCTATGTACTTCACCGGCCCGCCCTGCCCCCTCAAATGCTACTGGATTCGTTTTGTACCTAATCTTCCTGCCGCTTTCGCAAATCTCCACGAGCGGTGTGTGCCTGCAAAGCGATTTATGAGCTGCCATTCGTCAAGGATCATCTATTCAGCTCTCGGGCTGTTCCAAGCACTCGGGACGAGAGGTCGCGAACAGTGCGGCGGAGAGATCCAATACCTTGGGCAAGAAGGGGGTAGCAAAGGCCGGAAATGCATTTTCTTTTTCTCATATATGCTTACTTCTCAATAGACAAAATGCCAGCTGTTATCATACGGAACGTCTGTTGCGTTATGCCCACCTTGGATTGAGGTCAGACATTCCCCGGGTAGAGATGCACCAAATTATAACAGTCTTGATATATGAGGAAGTCTGTGCTATATATACTTCAGGCCTGAGCTTTCCCTCCGCCTCCAAGCCTGAAAATATTGTAACAGCATAGAAATCTGACAATAAAATACGATGAGCAAATTAGCCACTTGGATCAAAGATGGTGACAGGGCTCGTAAGTTCGATTTGTTGTTGTGGTACAAATAGAGAAGGCTACCATAAAAGTGTTTGCTAATAAATAGGTACAGTGATTCGCTTGAACAAGGCAATCGCCAGGAACAATGACGACCCAGAATCAGAACTCTCGCATGTTGAATTTCCGCTACCAGGAGTAATGGAGGTCCAAAGCATTCTCAAGTATCGAAAACAACAACGTGACAAGCTGCGAGGTCATAGCCTAGCCGAACACCGCCGCCGTTTCCTTCTCAACTTTGATAAAAACATCCACCAAGCATGCATATTGTTGAACCAGCAAAAGCTGGATGGAACAATTGCCGACTTGTTGCAACCATTGGAGAACATCCGGGCCGCCTTGAAAGATCTTTGCGTTGTAGAGGCCAGTGACGATGCAGAAGCAGTGACCGAGCCGGAGTTACCACGGGAGCTCCTCAGGGAGAATGTTGATTGCAACCCACGGCAAGTATGGCTCATGATCAAGCTTGGCTACACCAGAATTTGTCTCGAAATCCAGATACATATTCTCAAGCATATATATCCAGATCAAATCGACTTTTGGGCTGAGGCGGAAGAGGACTGTAAGTGAACCCCACAGCCGACTCTCACCTGTAATATTTGTGAGCAGTAGTTGCCATGTATTTGAACACTGAAGAGCCTGCGGAATGGTAGTCCTGAATCACTTTATAAATGGTGAAGCAAGATCACTGACTTGTTCCTGCAGTACATAGACCACAATGGCCCACCCAGTTTTCTTTGGACACTCGAGAATCCATGAAGCTACAGTCTCGGGTATGTCCTGAGATGTTGTCACGACAACTCGCAGACAAGAATATGAGGCGGTTATGGCGTGAACAGTTGCCTCAACCGATTCGGAACTTTTATGATATAGACCTTGCCCCTGATAAATCTACGACCTCTGCCCAGTCATCACCTCGATCATTGGACACTGAAAGCAACAGTTCAGGTGGAGGGTTTTCGCGATCCAAGAGAAGAAGAGTCTATTAGCATGTGATGGAACAGACTGCTCTCAAGTCATGATATTGGATGTTTGTCTGGAATACAAATCCGAGTCGTGTACAAATGATTGACATTATATTGATTAAAAAGTCACCACGACCTACTACAAGATGCAAGTATGGGGGCTATAATGCAAGTAAAAGTACAGTAGTATCGCTATTGGAGCTTAGTTGGCGCTATCCGATCGACCCAGAGTGGCGCGATGGTTTTTAGTCTACCCCAGATTTTCCAGGTTGGGCGGGTCTAGCTCCACCTCCATAGCTTCTTCCTTTCTACACTACAGAAATAACTTTCCTTCAGGGTCGCGACCACCTGTGCCAGCTCGTATGTGAGCGTTTCCCTCCTTTGAAATCAACAAGTATCAAGCTTTCTAAACCCCGGAAAACTCCGACTCGAAGACTGCGATCACGACAATGTGGTCTTTTGGCACCACCATGACAATTGCAAATGATGATCACGACCGGCGGCAGGCCAAGGCGCCATCATCCTCCCCAGCTACGACTCCAGAGCCCCCCTCTCGCGACAATGCACCGTTTGTTAGCACTCGACCAGACACGCGATCGCCCATATTATCACAAAGATCACTCAGCCAGCTAGGCTTCTTCGCCGCCGGGGCGGGTTTCCTATCTCTTTCGGTTCTCATTACGCGACGCGCCATTCTTCGCAAGCACTTGACCGCGATACCCTTATTCTTTGAACAGAGCAACAAGCCAGCCAGCAAACTAAGCGGGGATGGAGGCTTGGTAGCTGTTGAAGCGTTGGGGCTTGCGACACTCAACACTATGGGATTCGGTATCATGGCGACAGGTGGCTTGTCCTGGGCTTTTGACCTCTCGAGCGTGGAAGAACTACGCGCGGCGGCTAGGAAACAGATCGTGGGAGAGGCCGGGGACATTGATGAGGCCGCTGAACGCGAGGTGGCCGAATACTTCTCCAACCTTCTGAGCGGTGGTGACAACAAGGAAGGCAAGCCCTCGGTCACGGAAGCAGTTGGCAATCTCCTACGGCTGAAGGATCAAAAAGGCGACCAGCAGCCAAGCACAAAACCCCCTACATCAAAGGATAGCTGAAGGGCCTACTTTGGATAAAGGATTGGAAAATCAGAGAGGGCGCATTTACAGCCCATGGTCAGCCTCAAGAACGGCTGAAGTTGTTGATTTCATTACAGCTATCTGACGATGGCCCAAAATATGTTGATGATCTCCGCAGCAACTGTGGAAAGCTCAGCAAAGATGAGGCCAGATACAGCATGACTCAGAGACCTCTACAGCTATGCTGAAATGTCCACCGCGGCGGTGATGGCCTGCCGGTCACATAAAGAAGAGTTGAAAGTCGTGTTCAGAGACGCCCGACCAGGCGACGCGTGCATACTTGTACAAAATCGATTAGAGAATCGCACAATCTCCCATAATAATTACCATACGAGGAACTGCTAGACACCGAAAATTCGCAGCGGTCTCGGGTTTGGCCGTCTTATTTCCGGGCATGGGTACCATGCTTGAGGATACAGAAAAAGCAATACAAAATCGGCACGATTCACTACGTGGCGCAATTCATAGTCAAGCCCTTGGAACTTGTGAATGCTTGGAATTCCCACTGTGTTTGGTCGTGCTCATTTCAAATCCCGAATATCACAGTCATGCTAATAGTATCTAGGGTCTGTGCAGTTTTGTCAAGAATGTCTGTCATTTCTACCAACATTGTATTATCATCAGCTGTCACAAAAGATTTTGGGCATTTCAGTTTCTTTTCACGTTTCCGAGTTTATTTTGATTCTTGACTCTAGGATCTTCTGTGAATTGGGCATCATGGCCAACTTTCGTATTCCAGCATGGAAATACAATTATGTGCGCGAGGTTTGCAGTGATGGAAGCCTCAAAACGCAAGAAATCCAGATTCCATACATTAGCCTTGAGAATGCAAAGCCGCCAATCATTGCCCGATACCTTGAGCAGAAGAATGCGGCTTACGAAGTTTTCCTCATCAGAGATTTGTCAACTATAGTCGACGATCTAGGCCGATCGCCCACTCCGGCCGAAGCCCACGGTGCGATTGTCGGACCCAACGAACAATCTTTTCGCCCGGTATGGGTCTTTGAGGATGGGGGAGATATCAACCTGGAACCGCCCTATTACGTCGATGTTTTTGATCTCAATGACTATGATCAACTCAAGGTCAAGGCGTCTACAATCTGTTGGGTACCTCACTTGGAAGATTCAAGTGGAAATCTCATTACTCTGCTCAAGGGCTTTCCAAAACCCACCAAGTCAAAGACTTTGGGGGTCCGTGTTCTCATTCAAGAGCCTGGTAATCCTGAAGCCACCAAGCTGGCCTGGAAGCCGGTGACTGAACTCAGAGGCCATTGCCGTGAGCTTGACTCGAATACAAAGAGAATTCTTTTCGAAGATCAGCTCGCCGCTCTACGGGCGTGGCTGGCGCAGCTGGCACCTCCAGAACCTACAGTTGTTGACCCAGTAGCCCCAGTGGAAGAGATCCGTACTATTCTGCAGGAGAACATGGACTCTCTGAGATGGTCGTCCATGAGGCGCCTGCCCACCCCGGATGCATCTGAAGATCCGCCTTCTGGTGATGATGCGTATTCTGACTGGACTGACGTGGACCGTAGCAACACCCCCATGAGTAACAAATCCGACGAGGAAATGGTAGAAGAGCTATCAGATGATGAGGCCTTGGCGCCACGGAGTAATGTATGTTCCTCGCCCAGAATTCATACTCCCACCACGGCTATTGTGATGGTACCTAATACACTAGTCTAGCCATGGTGTTGTTGCAAGTATGCAAGGTTGGGTCCAACATTGTCTAATCACGGGAAACCCGAACACCGTCATGGGAGTAATGAAGAATGTGCTCTGGGTTCTGATCATGACCAGCACGTAAGCAAGTTCTGGTGTCATTTCTCCCCTTCTCTGGGTTGTCTCATGAGCAAACATTGGCCCAGAATGGTGCTGCAAGAGAGCGGACTCGGATAAACTGATCAAAAGAGCTGCTTCAAACTCATTCATCCGCCCCAAAAAGGTAATTGCTAACACACGTCATTGAAGTGCATCTTTGCCGACGCGTATCCAAGAAACTGCGTAATTCCCGAAGTCGAAAGTGAAGACGGGGATGTACCAAGTCATACCCACTGCCTACCCCAGATCGCCGCCGATTATCACATGATTGATATCAATATTGCGCTCCATGGCTCCGACCAGGAGAACGAAGCATGGAACGGGGAACATGCACAAGAGGAACGAGCTCGTTTGCAAACCTCGCCCCTGACGCACTCCCCAGGCCAGGGTTTAGGTCATCCCCAAGATGCCAATGTCCCCAGCAGCCCGGCGTTGGTTCCCGATAACATCACTGCGTCAACTGAACCCCTCGAGATGGAGAGCTCTGTCGCGAGCAGTGATTTCATGGACATTGACAACATAGCAGATATGTCCGACGTGCTCTTCGACCCTAGTGTTCCATCGAGTGGACATGATATTCGGATTAATCTTGATATATACAGTCCACCACGGCCTGCAGAAGACAGTTATTGGCAATGAAGCAGGAGATACTTCTCTCGCGCTTTCTGAAAGCAAGTCTATGCATTTTTACTTGTATGTTACAAGATCACACCGTACTCAAAAAGAAAATAAAAAAAGGGTTTCTGAGCATGATTGCCCATATCAAAGTGTACATGAAACAGATAGCTGGCGGCGCTTTGGCAGCGATGCTAGATGAAAATCCCAATATATCATGAAAGATTTCGCGAAACAGGCTAATATCAGTTCAAGAAGATGCCCCCAACGCCTACCATATGCAGTTTCCTACTTGGTTGTTTTCCATGTGCTCTTGTTCCTGTCAGACCCACCAATCTACGAGATTGCATCATCGACTCTTTGCATATCTTGCCCTTCCGCCCTCAGCTTCATCCTGGCTTCGATGCCGGCGGCCTCTTCAAAACTGCCCCTCCGCCCCCAATTCCGTGGTTGCCGCTTCAAGAAGGCGCCGACGGAGCCCAGGTAGCCCTCGTGCCGGAGAAAGTAGGCCTGCTTGGCGCCTTTGCTCCAAAACTTGATTGCGTAGCTCAGGGTGTTCATGGTCTGCGGGTGCCCACGGATGAAGGAGCCTCCAAAGTATATGTGCGACAGGTTGTGGATCTGCGACTGCAGGTAGGCGATCTGGCCGATGTTGTTGGATACGGCGTAGAGGAGCGACCTCGAGACGTCGGCCGCCGAGAAGCGGGCCTTGACTGATGACGTTGCCGCCGCGGCCGACGATGAGGGGGCGTCGTCGCCGTTGTTTTGCTGTTGTTGTTGCGAGGAACGCCGGTGGTGGTGGTCATCGTCGCCGTTGGACAGGCCGCCGCTGTCCTCGGCTTCCGATTCGGCTTCGCGCTTCATCTTGAATACTTTGCCAAAGGATGAAGCAATGGTGGTGCTCTTGAGGCCAATCTTGCCATAGTCGGTGCCGTAAATGTCGCCTACGAGCATATCCACCTTTGCATTGTCCCCTTGAGCGGCCATTTCTAGCATCTCGTCAAATGACTCGGCTGGTGTGAGTAATGATAGCAGGCCCCAGAGTGTGCCTCCCCCAAGCGAAGTGCCCCCGACTCTTTCGTATGTCCTCGGCCCGGAAACCTTGAGCATGCTTACGCCAGAGCCAATGTTTACCAGCATGTAGGGGTATATGTTCTCTTCTGGCTCCTTAAAGTGCATTGGGTCGGTTTCGGAATAGGTAAAGACCTCGCGTGGTATCTCGGTTATGAAGAAGTCGAGGCCTGGATTTGCAACATGTTAGCAGCTGAATTTGCTAGACTTGAACAACACCAGACTCGGGGCGACACCGTACCAATGATTAGACACTCCATCTCGTCCTCGCGCACCACATCTACACCGAGCCTTTCCCTGATCTTCTCGTAGAACTTGTATGCGCCCCCACCGGTGGCCATGACACACAAATCTCCGGACCGCGACCCATTGAGGGCCAATTGCTTGTCTTGGAGGTGTTTCATAAACTCGATGCAGTCGTCGATACGGTCCGTCTCAAAGTTCATAAAGTTGAGACGGCCACCGGGTTCTCTCGAGTGCGCTTCGCGGGAAAAGTATACGAGCTTGGCCAACGAGCCTCCGATCTACGGCGCGCAACAGCGGGTTAGCAAAGGGAATTCGTGCTGCGTACAATAAACGGCCTGCATAACAGGCGCACATGAGCACATGTTGGGTAGTAGAAACGTACATCCACAGCTATATGACTGACCACGGCCGTGTGGTTCGGCAAGCGAATGTCCTTGGTCTCGTGAGCGGTACTGCCGGCGGGCGCAGCGGCGCCGTTGCTGGTCGGGGACCCCTCGGGAGTGTCTACTATGAAGGCGCCCTTGACATTGATGCGCACTGAGCCGGGTCGAACAATGGTGCTGTCTATTTCGGCAGTGTTGGTCTCTGTTCGGGCGCGCGGTCGCATGATCCTCTCCTCGCCAGGGATACCATCTTGCGGTTGCGCATCTGGCCCGCTTATTGTCGGTGCTGCTGCTGCGGCTTCTGTTGTTGCTGTGGCCGTTGTCGCTGCCGGACTAGACGTCGCGACTTCAATGTGCTCGACCTGGGAGTCTTCCTTGTCCGGCATCGCGGGGTAGATTTTGGTGCTGACTGAACAGACAACTATATACGTCGTCGCTCTGATGTTTTTTTTTATGGAGGGGTAATAATGTTCGCAGGCCCTGGGAATATTATTGCCTCGGAGCTAAGGTAAGGGTTCTTCGCTTTTTTTCGGGGTGCCTGTGGATGTGATTGTCTTGTCGCGTGGGTGGGATTGGATGGGATTTATTATGGATGGCTGTAGAGGGCCAACGTCGTCCTGGTCTATGGAGACATGAAGCAAACAAAAGTAAAGAAGTATCGGAGAAAAGTTATTTACCCTGGCCTTTATTACTGAGGATCCGACGTCAGATTTCCTCAAAGTAAGATCGGAACCCGAACTCAACAAAAAAGATAAAAAAGCGTGAGACCCCGAAGTGTTCCCAGTCCTTACACTCACATGGTTGATTTGCGTGCAGTAATATGACTGAAAGTGGACACCCGGGTATGAGTAGCTACAGGCAGTGGGTGAGGGCACAGGGAGGAACAGGGGACCTCCAGAACTCAATCATTGTTGCCCATGTGCCCTCTGTTGAACAGTGGACACCCGACTGAACCCCTCTGCTGGAAACGCGGCACGGCAATCAGATTTAGTACTGTAGGGGCCCAGGAAGACCCAGGGGTAATTGAGTTTCTTGGAGTTGAGCGCTGCCTACACACTTGAAGTGCCCAGGGAAACCACCTAAGCTTTTATCGATAGGCGGATGTCACAGTCACATCCCCGTCCCTTACCCCATCCATTCGACCGAGGTCCCTCCCTATTAGCGGAACCTGGGGACGGGATTCACAATCAGCTGCTCTATTTTCACTTTTATAGCGCCTTACAAGTTGCACTGAGATGAGGTCAAATGCTTTACGGTCGATCCTTGTACTTCCTATTGCCAGGTCTAGCTGTCTTTTCAATCAAAATAGCAACCAGCGGGACACAATGTTGCTTAATCAGACCCATGACTAGATCCCTCCATGTAATCTTCTGCCGGGGTAAGCATGCAATGTAGTACTCTCGGTAGTCTGTAGGCCTCTATCAACTTCCCTGACGAACCACAATTTCTAGCAAACATTAATGTTGGTGTGGGCTGCTGCGGCTCAACTACCAATAATGAGAATGATGACCGATGATCGTACCAGTTATATGCAACGTTCCATGAATAGATAGTGATAAAGATATTGTGGAAGATATATTACAAATAGATATAGTATTTACATATGGGGTTTTAATAATAAAAAAAATGATGTACAAGAAAAAGTGGCAGGGCGGCTCTCTCTCGAGCACAGTAGTATGGTATCAATCAAATGAAACAAATTCATCCCCAGCGCCCACCCATCATAATCCGAGAACACAAAAGGCCGACGACAATCCCTTTACCCCGTCGATTTCCCCAAGAAAAACCAGCGTACAAATGAAACGCCTAGAAAATGAATGAGTGACAATTGCACTTTTATATCTCCAGCGAGTGACCAAGGCAGCCTCTTCCTTGGGCAAGGCCACGACAACACTTAAAACAAGTGTCCGCCAGGTACGGCAACAAAAATGGCCGTAAGAATGGCACTCAGAACCAGAGCACTGCCCATGGCCTGGACAAAAATGGTGTCCTGAATCGACCGCAGCGCCGGCTCCTGGATCCAGAGCTCTCGATCAAAGACTTTGCGAACCACGTTGCGCTTCTCGTACCGGACCACCCACGGCTCGTCCTCGTAGCTGTTGGAGCTACCCAGGGAGTCGAAGCTGCCCTTGGGAAGCGAGTGTTCGTCGTGGTGGTGATCGTCCTCCCCGGCGAATAGCTCCCACGGCCGAATGTGTCGGTGGTGCAGTCCGTGGAGCACCACGCACATGCCCTTGTACGCCGCAATCAGCGTCGCGATGCCCAGGACCCAGCCAATGGCGAACAGGGCCCGGTAGCCCCGGCCCGCGCGGCTCAGGGTGAGCACAATGGCGCCCGCGGTCGCGAGCAGTATGGTGCCGACGCCGAGGCCGCGCGCGAAAAAGACGCGCGCCGGGTTGCCGTTGCAGATGGACCAGCGCACAAAGTTGGGGTGCGCCTGCTTGCGGAGCGTGTTCTCGGTCGTCCTGGCAATGAGGCGAAAGGCTGACGGGTGCGTCGTGTATGCCAGGGCGTGCATCGTCACCTTGTGCTCGTGGTTGGACAGGTTGAGCTGGCGAGGCGCGTCGGCGGCCAGGTACGTGGCAATGACTCTGTCGACCTCGGCTCTGAAGGGCTGGATTGTGACTGTATCTGCGGTCAGAGACTAGGTTTTCCTCTTTTGGCTCGCATTCCATTTCGTCGGATACTTACAAGGTTGCTTTGCGCCCACTGCCGCGAATGTGTCGTGCGCCTGTGATCGGTACGTTGGCGCATGTGAGCTAGAGTAGAGGGTCGACTGGTCGTCACTGCCAGGCGTTCGCGGTGGAGTGTGGAAGGGGTCTCTGCCTTCTGGTATCGTCTCGCCCCCTTGTCCCTCAAAGTCGGTTCCCTTGAAGAGCTCCGCCGCCAGAGGGTCCGTCTTTCTCTTCTCGGCAGCATCCTTCTTAATCTTGGCCAGCGTCTCTTCCGCCATGGCCTGAGTCCATTCTGGTGCCAGTGGTTTGTCAGAAGTGTGCGCCTCGTCAAAGCGCTTGACGTAGTCCCTGTACCACAGGAAGAATTGTAAGTTCTCCGCCGAGTGCTCAATATAGATGAGATAATTCATGAAATCTCGGATAGTCATTGGCTGGGACATTCATTAGTATGGAGATTTGAATAGCATTGTACATGATCTTCAATACTCACAGGACAAGTACCACCACTGATGATTTTATCAAAAGTCAAAGCCTCTGGCACGCCGGCCGAGGCACCAGACTCTTCTGAATCGAGAGATGCATTCTCATTCTCCGAGTGATTATCGCTGCTGACACTCCGCCTATTTTTCTCCTGGTCGACGTGCTGGGGTCGTCGGTAAGTCAGTGGCAGAAGACCCATTGTGTAAAGCTCGGTTGTGTATATAGGTAGACGAGGAACTAGAGAAAGACGAAGAGTGAAAATGCCCGGCTATAGGTTTCAACGCAGGACCGGGGTATCGATCTTTTTGTAATAGAAATATTACAGAGCACAAGAAACGAGCGAGTATAGCAGTTGGGGATCCGGAAACGATGGACAAAACTCTGATCAACCAAGACCGTTGGCCAGAACTGAGATTTGGGCGTGATATAAAGTTTAGTGTTTGGAGTTTTGCTTGCGCACAGAGGATGGGGAAAGCCCTTGGGTCTAGGCCAAAGTACCGAAGCCACTGCAAGGGAGGGGGGAGAGGGTGTGGTCTATAACAGATGGGAAGTGAACAGTGACGAGATTCCAGAGGGTGGCGACCGGTGGGCTGGGCAGCTTGGTATTCTTGCACTCACAAGCTCTTCGACTTCTACCTGTCAGCTCCACCTGGCTACAGCCCATACATTTCTAATACTATGGATCTACGTGATATGTGACAAGCGCCTGTTCGACCAGCGCCATACCCGATTTATTCGTTATGGCTCCCAGGCGAGCCCAGGAAGGGAGAATGAGCTACACAGGACCTGAGTCAATCGTCACATATCAAGCCTAGCTGAAAATCAGGCTGCAAATCGGTTCCTGGATTGACCTGATCCGGCCAGGTTGTATTCAATGAGCAATTGGCTGGAAGCTCTCGTGAGTGAAAGTGAACCAGGGTTCCGGGACCCTCTATCGAAGATCCTGAAGGTTTACTAACTAGGACTGGCGTGAGCTGTAGGTCGGTGTCGTCTGCCAATAAGAAAGGCATAGCCGGACCTATCCGCCGTCACTAGGGACTAGCTCGGACCGAGTAGTTGGTCCAACCTTGTAGAGAGTCTTTAGGAAACAGTTGGGAAGGCCCAGAATTCGTGGCAAAACCAGAGTTCACCGGAACTTGTTAAACTGATTCTGGCAGACCTGTGCCGATCAATGAACTCGAGATCCTTTTTGCGGTGGCCACGGAAATTCCGCCGGGCTGAAGGTTTTTATAGGGGGACTTTAGACTCAATTCCATGTATTCCTGCACTCTGGAGAGTTGACTTTTGGTATGCAGTAAACCACTGTACACCTGAACTTTGCCTATATTTGAAAAGTGCCTACATACATGTATACAGTTGCAAGTCTCGTTCCACGAATCTACGTATCGCCCATTTCTCTTTCCATGTGATCCGCTCCAATTATCCTCCAAGTATGCTGTGAAGATCATCCGCTGCGGGCAACGCGGCCAGTGGGGACCTATAGCACGATGATCTCGGAGATACCAAAACCCCCTAGCTATATAGATCTGAACCGCCGTGGGCATGGTGAAGCTTGGATATCCCATGTAATATTCTACGTCCTCAGCTTGGAGTCAACATGAAGATCATTTTGTTGTAATTGCTGTCCCTATATATTGACCAGTCAGTAAAAAGTCGGATGCGCGTACCCGTGGCTCATTCATAGCTCAGCTCTAGGCTGATCAACTAATATCAAGCGGCGCTACGCCACGCAAGCAACCACTGGACCGGACCTGTTCTTGTTTTTCCTCCTTCTCCGCGCCCAAGCATTCAAGTCTCCCTTTTCCCTCTTGACAAGAAATCGTATTTTTTTCCTGGTTGCCTGCCAGCGTGCCTTCAGTGCCGGATGGCGTTCTCCCCGCAGTGGACGGAATAAAAATTCTTCAGGCTTGCTCCTTGCTCATCAACGCCTCCGGCTCAAGGCTACCGGAGATGCTGACTGCTTTTGGCAATGGCTCCAGTTCCTTACAAAACGTCGTCGGCAATTTATCGAAACGGTGGAAGTATTTATCGATAGTCTTGTGTTCTGTTCTTCTTCCATATTTAGGCGACGGTACAGCTCTAGAAAAGAAATTAGCTGTCATACATGAAAGTGTGCAGAAAAAAAAAAGACACAAGAGGCAGCCAATGGTGAATCTGTTGAGAAATCCAATGACCAGAAATTAAAGAGCGATTCGGATTGTGACAGTTGACTGTTATAATATTATTATTCGGTACCGAAAAGCCCATGCGTTGATCAAGGTCTCAGGGGTTGCGATTTGCGAACCTTGTCGATCACCGGTTCCTGAGCCGGATCGACGAGCTGTCAAAGCGGAAGCCCATGCGGAATGTTGGTGTCACCTTTGTGCCCCGGGTCAGTGTGTCTGCGGCCCGCGGGCACTTGAAAGTTGTTGGCGTCATTGGCATTACTCGTCTGTGTAGCCTGAGCGTTGCCGTAAGTGCCGTGAAAGGAAAGCATTCATTCCACGTCTGGTGCAAGTAATCATCCGTTTTCTCAAAATATGTCAATTAATAGTTCGGACAAATAGTCTATACACCATGAACACGTGAGTCAGAATCATCTCTTTGAGGAACCCTCTACCTTTTTCTCCTTCTTCTCCGCGGTCTAGAAGACTAGGATTGCCCTACCAGTGCTTCTCGGAGATATCGACCGCATTGACATCGACACCATCCTTGAACCACCTCTCGTCGTTGCTGATCTTGACATCGTTGCCGCTCATCTGCCTCTTCCTCATGAGGCCATTGTCTGCAAAGGTCCAGTCTTCCAGGCCGTACGTTCTCCACCACTGGCCGGTCGCATCAAACCATTCGTACCAGAACTGAACCGCGCTAGAGTACATGGTCGTTAGTCATCAAATCGGTGTGTCACGGGGCGTTGCAAAGACATTTCTATCCGCTATAAACACCAATGCAGTAAATAGAGAATGCATGAAATGCGTAGCAAACAGATGGGAGCTGCATTCGTCTAGTAAGGTCTAGCAAAAGCCAGTATCCGTGTCGATGGTTGGGAAGATGTAGTGATTAGAGGCTTGACTCACATCTTGTTGCCATCAAAGGCGAACAACTCCTTCCTGAGCCTGTAGCCGTCTTCCTTTTTCCACTTCTTGGTCAGAAATTCGGCAATGGAGTCACGCCCAGTGAAGAACTGGTCACGGTTCCGCCAGATGCTGTCCTCGGTGTAGGCCAGCTTGACTTTGTGTGGGTCTCTGCCATGGGCGGTCGTCAGATGTATGCTACAGTACAAGTTCGACTCCAAAGGGATCAGTTGGGAAATACTTACTTGGTATTCCACGCATCCTGCGCCGCCTTGACCTTGATCTTGGCCGTCTCTGCCGTGAACGGCGGGTACGGAGGTCGGCCTTGCACTCCAGACATAATGACGGAGTAGCCCGATAACTTTAAATTTTGTGGGTTAGATAGGGTCGATATTTTATTCTTCGAGTCAGATCTGAGGAATCGGTTTACTTGTTTCCAAAAGCAAACAGGAGGCAGTGTACGGAGAACTATTGTTTTATACAGAAGCTGCACCGATGGTAACAAGTAAACATTGTTCTATTTCCTTCGAGGTGAAGGCGGCATAATTAGATCGGATGGTGTGGGCCCATCAAATCCCGAATCGGAGCACACATCTGGAGTCATCTCGGCATCCCGCTTTTCGGCCGACGTGGCACAGTTACCATTATTGAAGTCGTTATGCCTCCGGGATTTGAACCGTAATATGCGTTTAATAATCTCGATACTGGATTAGCCAAGGAGCACGAAACTTTTAATACAAAACGAAGCTCTCCACTTTACAGTTCAAGACACTGTTTAACTCCCCTCCCCGGCGGGTGCCGTCCCTCCAGCCAAGCCACCAGCGAACGTGACAGTGGGCAGTAACTGAAATTGATTCGCAGACATATCAGTTCAGCGTACTTTTATCCCGCGGCGTATATGACCATGCATACCCGCCTGTTTTTCTTCCAATATGCGTGCAAACCCCGTTTTGATTAATGCTTCCTGCGTCATCTCACGACCACAAATGCCGTTGTCTCCTCGCGCTATTTGGTGGGACTATATTTAGCAATCCGATAGTAACATATCCCCTCAGATTACCATTTATAATTGCCGACGGAAGTGCGACGCCATTTTGACCAGCGAGTTTGCATCGCTAATTGCTAACTCAGAAACTACTTCTATCAAGCCTTCATTCCCCTGACCCTTGTTATAGATCCCGACAATCTTCAAACCACAGCTCTCGATAAGCGCGTGCCACTCACGCTCGGTGCGCTCTCGGGCTGCAAGCTGGGCCATCATGAACATATCCAAAGCCACATGCTGCCAGGCGGCACCTTCATCTTCAACAATCTGTCATGCTCACATTAGTAATCTGCCACTAAAGAGCACGGGAGAAAGGAGACATACACAATCGTTGATCAGAATCTTGGAGTAGCCGGGTTCCATGGCGTCTTTGACATGCCTCAGAATGGTACGACATTGCTCCTCAGGCCAATCGTGGAGTACATATCGCATGAAATAAGCGGGCGCCCTTCAACGGCTGCGGTGTGAAAAAGTCATGTTCCTGCAGCTCGATCCGCGGGCCGTTGCCAGACTCCTTCCCAACGCCCAATGACTGGGCCACATTGATGACGTCGGGGATCTCTTGCAGGACCAGTCGTCCAGAGTATTCGGGAACGGCGGCCTGGAAGTCCTGCAAAATCTGTCCGGTGCCGCCTCCAAGATCCACCAAGGCCGATGCGTCGCCGTCCGGGGCGCCCTTCAAGCCATGCACCAGGTGTTCTCGCACGGGATACATGTCAATCCAGCTTGGCCGATGTATGCGAAGAGCGTGTACATATTTGTGGAAGGCCTAGAAGTTGTCCGGGCGGTCGCTGAGCCAGGCGAAGGCCGAACCACACTTGTTTGCGTATTGAAATGGTCCGTCGAGAGCGTTTTCGGGGGTTTGAAATTTTGTGTTTCGTAAGTATTCGGGCATCCGAGAGAAGGACAGCTGGGTGATATCGAAGCTTTCACCGCCAAACAAATCAGCCGCCATGTGCAAATCAGGAGTAAAAACGATGGCATACCAATGAATAATGCCGCCGACGTATTCGGGCTTTGATAGGAGTCTGGTCACGTCGTTGGGAACATAGAGACCGGGTCCTTGTTCGTCGAGCATATCCATTGATACACAGGCACGAGCAATCCGCTTGACCAGTGTCGAGGAAGCCCCTACTGCGGCCGCGAAATCTTCGTCCGTCTTTGGCCTACCATTGTCCTGCACGGCAGTTTCAAAGAGTTTCAAATCCACGGCAACTCGCAGAGCAGCGGTTCTGGTGGGCTGGAAGCACACTTCTATAAGTTTGGTCCCTTTCCGTTGATCAAAGGATATGCAAGCCACAATCGCTGTCTGGGACGCGGTGTTGGACGAGTCAGAAGCCATAATCGAGAAGTAAGTGAAGAGAATAGATAAACAGGCTGAGATGGGGAGCGCTGGTGCTAAGCAGACCAGACACCTGACTATATGCAGGTTGGTTGTTGGTTTATCTGTTGCACATGTCTCAAAAGGTAATTACATATAGTCAATCGAATGGTAAGGCTGGGATTCCCCGCCAGGCAAACAAACAATTGATGACCCCCGTCAGATTAACATCAGACTGTCTTATTTTACCACGACAGACAGTGTCCGGGAAAACTGCTAGGGGAGTGAACGAGGTAGAGACGGGCGTGGATTTTACCTATCTCCTACCTTCTGTGAAGAGGAGTGATTCGGGAATGCAGAGTACGCTGTGGTCAACTAAGTCTAGTCATGACATCCTATCCTCCAGCGCCATATTCAGACTGCACCCTCCTGAAGAGGTAGCTTGATGACGACTTCTGTGTGGCCGTTATTAGTGACCAGGTGCAGTGGTGTAACACCACGTTTAGTGGCGATATTCAAGCACCTTCCTCGAGAAGCAATCTGACAGCTTCTGTATAACCATACTTGAAACTTATATGAGTGGCAACATTCGAGTTTCCTTAGAGACAGGCTCAGCTGCCTTTTGCAGGAGCAGATAGATATCTCCAAAGCTTACATCAGCGTTGCTGAGTGGCTTGAGTCCGAGAGCCTTTTTGGCATACTGAATAGCTGCAGTGAGACATTCGAATGCCCTTGTTCTACTGTATTTATCCCAGTATACCGTCGCAAGATCTATAAGATACTCTGCCCGATAAGTATGGTCATCTGATGTAAGATCAACGACCTCGTGGTACAGCTGGAGGGCTTTTTCAATGCCCTCTGTCTCCTCTGCCAACCGATTTCTCCATCTATATGCCCAACCGAGGGTGTAAGCTTGCCAAACTCGATCAGAGCAAACATCAGCTGTGTCTTTTGGCCTAAAGTTAATAAATTCTAATCAGAACGAGTCGGAGTTGCACCTCACCAATCAAAACGCCGTGATGTCTTCTCAATCCTGTCGGATGAACTACAGGCCGGGATTGATATCGATGGAATTCAGCTTTCTACACCACACTTTTTCTGACCCCAAGGTCCACACAGCAAGCCTCCTGTAGCCGCTGAGCCACACTCCTTTATGAGCCTGGATGTCGTCATACATGACTAGGTTAGCTCAGATGATTATGGGGCGCGAAGCACCTGCTAGGACAATGTCGGTAATAATGGAAGAGTGCACGGCGGGTCAACTCAGTGTTTATAAAGAACAGGAAGAACTTTCGCTTTCATTGTGGGAACATATGTATCAACAAAGGGCCTGATATATTTGCGACGCCGCATCCATCCCCCGGTCTGGGCCTGAACAGCAGCTCTTCATCTCCACTAGCATCTATTGGCTGTGAGACGGCTTCTTGTATGGAAGCTCACTTATCAAGTCCTCTCCCATCTTTATTATGGTACTTGCGCTAGCCGTAGTGACTGTTGTGGTGCTCGTTCCTGAGTAATCATTCAGCAGCTGATCAAAGCCCCGTTTCCGAGGATTTTCAGAGTCGGCGCTTGACTCCAATGAAGATAGCTGCCTTGATCCCTGCAAGTTGGTTTCGATATTAGTCTTGGCCTCGGCCAGCATTGCCTTCTGGCCCTCTGGGTCGAATTCGCGCGCAAATCGTTTCAAGGTACTCATCTCACTCTCTGGCACGGAACGATGGATAGTTTCGAGGGCCTTGTCAAAGTGTACCAGCTTCAGCACGCGCTTGGCATCTCTCTTTTCTCCATCATCAGTCTCGCGAAACTCTTCCTCGCTCAGCTGAGCCGCCTCGATGCAGAGAGAACGAAGATCAGAGCCCGTGTATTGGGACGTACGGTCCGCGATGACCTTGAGATCGGCATCACTACCAATCTGCTCCTCACGAAGTATGATTGACAAGATTCTGTGTCTGGAATCTCGTGACGGGAAGCCGAGATAGAACTTGAAAGGAACACGGCGGAGGACTGCGTGATCCAGGCACTCAGGATGATTGGTGGCCAGTATGAGAAACGGTTGCTTGTTTCCCCGTGCCAGCCCGTCTATTTCCTGCAGAAATTGGTTGATCTTGTCATGATCCCAGCTGTAGTTTGATGCTCTACGAGAGGCGAGCAGCCCGTCAGCCTCATCGATGAAAATTATGCTTGGAAAGAGCATCTTGCCCAGGTTAAAGAGTGCTTTGATCGCTTTTTCGGTTTCGCCAACATATTTATCTGTGACATCAGCGGCCGAGATGCAGATCATGGAAGCTCCGCTTTCTGTAGCCAGAACTCGGGCCAGGTGTGTCTTTCCAGTGCCAGGAGGACCATAGAGCAGCATCCCACCAATACGGCTGTCCTTGAGGAGTCCATGAGAACCTGGCGAGCGTCCTGTTTTGAAGTCGGTCACCCTTGCTACTCTCCTTTTGATATTTGTTGCTAGATCGATGCTATTCCATGTCTCTAACGCTCCATCTATGGGTATGTTAGTAGAACACTTCGACACCGGATCATCCACTAAATCATGTTTGATTGCAACTCACCAGGTCTGACGATGTGGTTCAACAATTTTCTCTCTCCAATAAAGTGATTATCGTCTTGCATGACCTTACTTATCACTTCTCTAACATGCTTTGGCGCTTTCTCCCAACCCTTCATCTCATCTTGTGACTGCCACTGCTTGAGCATTGCTTCCCAGGTTTCAAACTCAACAATAGCTTGTTCAATGCGATGAGGTTCGCTGCAATCCCCAACCATTTGGGCTATTCTTTGAACTCGAAAATTGTCGAACTGCTTCTCCCCTAGGATTTTCAGAGCTCTCACATTCGAAAAATCCAATGAAAGATACGGATGACGGAGTTTGGTGATAAGCTGCGCAGGATACAGCGACCCGATCGCCTTACTTAACAGGCAAATGTTCACCCTCTGGAAGTAAGACATTCGATCTCTGTCCAACAGTTGTCGTTGAGACTCCGAGTACAAGGGCACGAGGGAGATGGCCCATGGTGATGGGATGACACCAGACTTGAGTACATAATCGAGCCTAGATACTTCTCCATCGGGAATCTGCATTTCCGGTTCCTTAGAGCGACAATCGGTGCAATCACAGGGCTTCTGCGTATCGGACCCAATCATGAGAACGCGGCCACCATCTATGTCGATTAGTTTGATGGCATGCTGCAGGGCTTTGCCAATCTTTCTGTATAGAGGAGCTTTGGAGAAGGCGAGGACCTTTGGGACGTGGACAACGAGAGGTCGATTCTCGTCAGAAGCAGTAAGCTCTTTTCCAGAATGGCCATTTAGACTCGCCCGCTTCTTTGCTGGCCCCAGTAGTAGGTCCGCAAAGGGAAACTGAGGGCGGTCATTTGTCTGGGTGTTGTCGCCCCAGAAGTATTCTAGATAATCAATAGACTCCGGGGGCTTTGTGCCTTGCTCAGGGGTTTCAGCGCGATAGAAATTGGCAGCCAGTGCTTTGATATCCTCGAGGTTCAGTCGCACCAGGTCCGCTCCAATGTCGTTGGCGAAGTGCTCAACAACGGCTTCGAGGAATTCATGCCCGCCAGCATTGTGTAATGGAAATACGAGCTGCAGAAAATCCAACCCGAAGTGTGATCGTGCCTCACTTGTGCCGTAAACAAGACTCTGAATACTCTCGTACATGATACTTGGCAGCATATATTTGTGCTCCTGGTAATCAGTAGAGACAGATTCGGCGATACCGAGCTCGTGCTCGCTGACGAGCGATAGAGTTTTGTCGCTGACCTCGCCCACGATCCTGACGCAGTGGTCGATGAACCACTCTGGGGTTGTTGGAACAAGAGAAGCATTGCGATGAGTACCACGAATGTTCGTCAAAGCAATTCGAGCAGATCGGCGAGGACCCATGGTGTTTGAGTCACAGGAAGGAGGCCAAAGAAACTAAAGTGTAGTAGATATTACGTTTTCTTCAGACCAAGATATCAAACTGAAAGCCGCCTCACGTCCATGATTCAACCAGGAGGAATGGCCAGAAGAGACACGGCGCGTGGTGCGCAATAATAGTGCCCCAAGGTAGGGCGGAGCCTTGTAGGTCTGCCGCGGCTCGTTCAAGTTGAAGAAAGGCAACAGGGTCAGTCAGCCCAGTCAGCCCTGCATGTCATCCATATCCATGCCAAGGCTGAAAGAAATCCAGTAGAGATGCGAGAAGAGAGTGCCTTGCCAATGCCCAACGATACATCAGGCTTCGTATTGGCCACTTGCGCTTCCAGAACTTGCTGCCTACATAAGGCTCCCATCATAAGGCAAAGTGCAAAAGTTTGCCTTACAGTGGTTCGCGTCCGCCGTCTCCAAACTTCCTACCAGCACTCACAAAGGTTCCAAGGAGTGCACTGGCTCATAGGACGTTCGCAAAGGCTCTCCCTTTTTTGAACACTGCTCTGCACATACACCAGACAGCTCATTCCCCCCCTTATTCTTCGAAAACGGTTTAAATGCGTATCTATCCTCTCGATTGTAGCCTTCTAGAAGACGACCTCCTGTTGCAATTCGATTTGTGCCCTCAACTTGCCACATTGAAAGTAGACGTTACTGATAAGATATTGTTGACTCTAATTGCCTATCAACCTGCCCAGAGGTTCAAACAAGACCACTCTCATGTCTCATCACCACAATACAGATCCTTGTCTTCTATCCCGGGGCCCCGCCCCGTGGAGCGAGCATGACATGACCTCCCTCTCCTGGGGAAGCATGCGCCCAGACGTCAGTCTTCATACATACCATTCCTCTATTACAGAGCCAAATGCAGGCAACGCGACTGTCTCTCAGAACGTCCCGACGGCGGTAAACCACGACGATCATCCAGAACTTGCTGAAAGTGGCGGAACTGACAAAAATCAACCGAAACGCATCCGCCGACAAGAATGGGACAAGCACCGAAAGACCATACATGAACGCTACCCCCTGATGACATTGCCAGAACTGAAAGACTTCATGGAGCATGAGCACAATTTCAGCGCAAGGTAGGAACTGCTCTGCATACGTTTCCAAGGAACGCACCTGTTTTCTAACTCAAAGACGTTTGTCTGTAGTACACAGCAGTGGAAAAAGAAGTTGGCCGAATGGAGACTCTCAAAGAATCTGACGAAGCGGATGACACAATTCATCAGGAAAAAAGGCCGCGAAAGATTACTTGCGAACAAGAAGACGGCCTTCCGTCTCGGTGGGCAGGAAGTACCAATTGACAAAATCAAACGTCACATTCAAACCGAGCGCGCTCACAATGGGACCCTGGTTCCTGACGATGCACCTAAGTCTACCTCAACCAGTATGATAATTTCCAACGTGCACATGGTCATCATTGTTTTCTTACAATAATGTAGGCGCGCCGACCGGGCTCTCATATTACACGCAGCAGACCAATCGGAGTGAGAGCGATCCAGTTTCCATCTCAAGAGCCGGTTCGCCAGCTGGTTTGCCAGTCGATTCGCCAGCCGCTGATACTCCAGGCATCAGCGATACCCCTCAAGGCTCCCTGAGAATGGCCTTCTGGTCAGGGAACGGCAAAGACCTAGACGGGTTGCTGGCTGACTCGCAGCTGGCAATTGATCTCACTAAGAAGGGAGATTATAAAGCCGCCAAGCCCCTCTTCCTGGAGAGTATTGATGGACTCACATTTCTGCTGTCACCCTGTCACCACGAAACTCTTAGGGTCCTCGAAGAGTTCGTGAAAGCAGCCATGTCGAACCGCGACGATCACTCTGCGACGGAACGAATGCACAAATCCTACCAGGAACACAAGCAGAAGTTTGGAATGGAACACCCAAAGACTTGGCAAAGCCTAGCTCATCTAGGAAAACTGTACCGTCGACAGACGCTCACCGGACAGGCGTCTCACATGCTCTTTAACGCCAGAAATGGTCTACTGGAGGCAACGTCTGCCAACCCAGAATACAGCTTCAATGCTACGCACTGGATTTCGAGTGAACTCGTCGAAATTGAGCTTGAAATTGGCAACTTGGAAGGTGCCGAGGAAGAATCATTGCGACACATCAGACTAGCTGAGAGTCTCGGTGCTGCCTATGAACGTGAGGCCGCTTTGCTGAAACATAACCTTGCGCATCTGTACCATAGGGCAGATATGAAAGATGTCGAACATGCGCCTCTACATAGCCGCCGAGCAAGAATCGAAGATCTATTGCTGGATCTTATATCATCGAACAAGCGAAAGGTCATAGGTTTTGAGAAGGCGTACTTGTGCTCTTGGGAGCAACTGCGCTATCTTTATACATCGACAGGCCAAATAAGCAAACTGGAGTCTTTCCTCATACGAATCGAAGACTTCCTTGAGACATTTAATCCACGCGATAGCGGTGTGCTGGGAAAGTGGATGGAGCTCACCAAGGGCATTGTCGATTCGTACACACTGTTAGAGCAGCCGGAAAAGGCGTCTGAATGGCTCCAACGACGGCAAGACCATATCGAACGATCTGCCTTTTATGGCGCGCAGTCTGCCGCGGCGCTGTCGAACATGATGCATTTTGCATCTGCATATCTCCAAAACAAGGAGCGCGACAAGGCTATCAGCTGGCTTGAAAAGGCACAGAGCCTGGCCAAGGATATTCTTCATCCGGAACATACTTTTCATTCTCATGTGTCCCGAGCCATCAGCGATGGGGTCCTGGATGGATCGCTATGTTTAATATGCCTGGTTAATCCAGGCTCTGAAAGGTCAGCTAGGCGGCCGGGAGAGGCACTAGAGGACCTATTTGAACGGTGGCTTCACGAGAGAGGCCACGCCAGGACCATCGATGCAGAGGCTCAGACCAGGGTCGACCGACCACGTGACTCACAGTTAGAGGTTCCGGTCTACACCATTGACGACGATTGATTAGATCTGCAGAACAGCTGTAATTGCTTGAAATTGATACAATAAATTGACTTTTCTTGGCTTGATCTACACAATTGCAGACTTCGAGCTTTACTTTGACTTGCAAAGAATTGTTATCATCGATGAATAACTTGTGGCTGGTGGCAGAATAATGAGACTAAGTTTAAACCAGGATCGCGAGAATATCAGTGAACAAAAGCTCAACCGGCGTGCTTGTCGCTAGCAATCAAATAAATGTGATTATGCGTGAATGTTGAGCTTTTGTGGAATGCGGAATCTGGTTTTTTTTTTTTTTTCCCTCCCTTCCTTTGGCGCCGGGGCGGGGAGCTTGCGATTCCAGCGGGTGCATGCAGCCAACACCTGTACCTACGACCCCCCCTTCCCCCTCCCGGGGCAACCCACGCGCGATGATTCGTTTTATTGGATGACCACATTGGTTCAAAAAAGTTCGAACCTTTGCGGCGATGCGTGCCACGAATCTGCCCCCAGACCACTAGTGTCATCAATCAGAAGCTCTGCCTTAGCAGACCGGAACCACCAATCATTTTCAATCCATTATTGCACAATGCATGTTGAGAGCCTCGCCAAATATTCGCTTTGTTCGACACAGAGCGCGCACCTTGTCAGCTGCATGAGTCGACCCGCGGTGAATGGTGAGGTCAGGGCGTCTATGACCATCGACGCCCATGGCCGAACCTGCCTACTTGGCAATGCCATTGGCGTGGATCATCATCGGGACTTGCTGGGCCTGATCTGATTGGCTATAACCTTGGAGTTGATTCCTTGTTAGGAGTCGAGGCTTATGAAGAAGTTCTGCTGAACGCTCACAATGGTTCCCAAAAGTCACTCTAGTTGGGTATTCAGGCCTGCAGATACTTGACTACTTGGTAGTTTGTGGCGTTTGTCGGTAACATCTGCTTCTTGCCAATTTACTATAAATCATGGGCTTTCCGAGAAAGATTTGTGGAAAAGAGGAGTCCAAGAAATACCAGTATTCCTCAAGTTATCCAGTACTTTTCTTCCCCTTCCAAAAGACACATTGTTCATTGTTGAGATCATGCCGTCCCAGGAAAATCCAACTATAAGAGGCAAAGCTGAGACGGGTAAACCCCCGGTTGACGTAGGGCTGACAAGATCCTGGTGCCAAATACATATACAACTCACTAAGTATATAGCAGGCATCAAGCTCTACAAAGAGAACTCAGAAACGAACATCAAAGTCCGCAAATGCTAGTCGATCGTGTCAAGAGAATTCTGAAGCCTGGGGGCATGGAGTGATGTTGGAATACTGGCTAGAAGAAGATCCCCGAGATGGCCCCTACCACGCCTTTGAAGTCGGCCTACAACCTAAGACTTAGAGGCTCGTCCCTCGTTATTGTCTGGCTGCCATATCTTGGGGATATTAAGACCAGAAACTGCTACCAAGGGGTTGTGCGTGTGTGTGTGTATGTGTATTGAGCGGGGGAAAGACCTTCGTTTAGTGAGATGGGGAACAAAAACCAAACCAAACCAACCCCCACCTAAGACGGACAGCCGTAAGGCTGTAATCTTTGTATGGTTTTTGATCAAATAGATTATCAAATTTTAAAGTATATGGGAACTGTATTGATTAAGAACAACGATGGGTGATGATCCTGTATGCTAAACGCAACGAAAAACAAAGGCTTATAAGTCCCTTCTGGACCATAGAGCCATTCTAAGCTAAGCCTCCACAGCCACTTTTAGTGGGCATCTCCAGCGCCCCCACATCATTACCTAGTAGGCATAGTCATTCAATTCAGATTGATAAATCTCCCTAACACGGTCGCGTTTGACTCATTTGAACAATCGACTGATATAGCTGCCAATGTTGCAATGTTGCGCATTTGACGTTAGCGCCATTAGAAGTCTCTGGACGATCTTTGAGATCCTAACATATAAGAAGTGGCATTCAACCTAGCGCACTACCGTAATCGCCGCCTTGAGCGTCGACTTTAGCACATTTCTGCATAAGCAGCTGAACGTGGCATGCAAGCCCAGTGAAAGTTGTTGCTCGATGGAGGCACGTGACATTGGTGGCCAGATTACAGACGATGAGCTCTGGGAGATTTTTGATGCATTGCATGATGCCAGCAAGGAGGAACAACGTGCACTACCAGTGTTCGTTTTGCTAGGAAATATGCCCAAATGCCGGGCGTCGGGCACTTGGTGTCGTTTACTCGACGCAGCATGTAGCGCATTGCCAGTATCCGTGTTTATCTTTCCCTGATCAAAAACGACCGTGAAAAATCAACACATAGCACCCGGGTATTCACTGGAGGTCTCCCCCTGACCGACCACTATACCGACTAGATAGTCGACTGGGGACTAGAGAGAAACTCCGGATGCTATGTGCCCAGAAATGGATCCTGATTTTCGGGCTTTTCATATCGGTTACTCTTGGAAAATCAATCCATAGGCCTTCGTCTTTATTAATGTTTTCTCAAGTTCCGAATTTTGTCAATTCATTGTTATGCAACATCGTGATCCTTTACAGCATATTGTCACCATACGAAGCCAATCTATACAATAAGGCAGCTACGATGTCTCAGCAGGCTTCGAGCCAAGATACAGATTCAGAGAGAGAGACTCAAAGACGGAAAAGGTGGGTAGAGTATAAAGAAGTATGGAGAAAAAGACAAAACCAAGCCATTATATTAGGGCGTCGTGTAGGTCTTGTCATAGGTGACTTCTTAGTCAAGAAGGTGGTTCCTGCAAACGCACTTCCCTTGGTCCGGACAATCAAAGGCATTGACCGAATATCTGGGGAGATTCTAGCTTTCAAGGATAGGAGATGACGTGATTACTATTACAGACCGGGATAATTCAACGGCTTACAAAAAAACACGGAAAATCAGTGGTTTCAATGCTCCAAGGAGTGAGAAAGCAGTTGGGCTCCGCCAGCACCTCTTTGTAAGGCAAACACATCAAGTTGTTTGATTGGACAAGTAGGTTCCAAGAGAATTATGTATATGGTGCGCTATGGTATGGAAACGTCATTCACGCACCCGCTCAAAGTAATACCCACATATTTCAGGACTATTGACAAGCAATTCGTCCTTTTGGGACTTTATTTCGTGCCTGAACCCGTGGTGGCTACTCGTGCCACCAAGCGCGGAAACATTTCTCCGACGCTGCCGCCGTTTACTGCCATGCTGACATGTCGAAGAGCTGCCGTTCAGGGGTTGCTTTCGAGGCGATAAAAGTCCAAACCCGCTTGATACGAACCGTGGCCTAAAATTTCTGTACAAACTTTCCCATACAGCAGCTGATTGTTCGATCGCGCCGGTCGGAGGAGAGAAGGTGTAGCGCCTCTCTCTAGGTGATTGGGCGTACGGTTCCACAGCAAGCTCAACTTTAGGGGTCACGTAGAGAAGGGGACTGCGACGGGCACAAAAGGCCGAGGCGTGGTACAGAGGTAGAACGGCACTAACTCGGGATATGGCACAGCAAAAAGGAGATAGTAAAATCTCCGGCGTATGAGCCAGGGACTTACAGCCACACGAAAAAAAGAGTTCTCCCGACCAGCGAGGTTGGAAGGACCTGAGAACACCAGCCATGAGCTAGAGAGACTGCTGCATAGACAAGGTTAGTGAATACGGATCGAGGTATCCACTATAAGTAATAGTAGTATTATGTCCTTTAGACAGAGTATTGGTTAGATATCAGCTTCAGTATGCTACTTGTGGCCCGGAAAACCGAGGCGGATAGACAAATTCCAGCTTGTCACCGTCTTCCTCTGCTTTCCGTTTCCATACATCTATATCGGTCTGGAAGATCTCCATAGCCTTCGTGTTACTTGTATCGAATGGTTCCATCCCACTCCCAATTTGGAACACCTGTGCTTGTGACACGAGCAGCCCCAAGAAAGCATCATTCTCCAACTTCTCGACGGGTTTTATAGCCCCAGGGACCCGATTATTCAGTATATCCCTTGCTAGGAGGGGCTCAGTAGTGGCAGGTCGACCAATACCGACACCGTCCACAACATCAAGGCCCTTCAGCATTGCCTCGGAAGAGCGAAAGCCTCCTGTCACGTAAACTTTCAACTTTGATTCCGAGCCTAATGTCTTGGTGATAATCTCCACCTCATCGAGAAAGAAAGCCTCACGGCGTCGTGCGTACTCGTCCTTCCACTGCATGCCTGCTGACCCTCCACTGAAGTCCACAAAGTCAAAGCCGACGTTCTCAAGGCTACGGCACAGCTCTCGCACTTCTTGAGGCGAGACGCCATCCTGCTGGAACTCAACACTATTGATCTTAGCGCCAACGACAAAGGTTGGCGACACGCGCGCCCTGATGGCTCGCCCGACGTCGCTAATGAATCGTAGCCGCGACTCACTGGTCTGCGGTCCATACTCGTCGGTGCGGTGATTGGTCGTGCGCGATATAAATTGCGATAACAAGTAGCCGTGGGCCGCATGGAGCTCGATGCCGTCGAAGCCAGCCTTTTCCAAGTATTCGGCAGCGTATGCAAAGCCCTCGATCAGTTTCGCGATCTCCTCCTTGCTGGCTAGATGGGGCACGGCATACTTGGTGCCGTTGTCTCGGACTATGATAATGATATCAGTCTCATACAGGCCGATGTATATATATATATATATTCACTGCTTCAAAATTCGAGATGTTCCTTACCTATCTGTACCTCAGTGGAGGATACTGCAACGGGATTGAAACGATATTGCAGCTGGCGTCCCGGGTTTGAGATTTGAGCGATAATAAGACTTCCTTCGGCCTTCCCAGCGGCAGCGAGCTTCTGGAACATCTCAAAGCGCTTGCCGGCTGTTTGGCACTCTGGTGTTACTATCATGTCGCCAGCAGCAGCGATGGATTGGAAGTCTGTCTCCACGTTCCCAGTGATTATCATGCCCCAGTTCTCCTGGCCTTCTCCCCAGCTAATTTCTGTTCATCAGCCTACAGTCGTTTTGTGGCGGGATGGCCAAGGAGCAAAGGAATGAACCCTTACCGCCTGTAGAGCTCCACTGATTCGCTGGTGGGGATGCCTCGCTCGGAAAGATTCTTAGGACTCCAGCTTGCTAGGCCTTCACCCATCGGAGCTTTCATGAGACGGTTCTTGACAACTCGTCCCGAGGGGTAGAGCTGAAGAGGCCGAGCTAGGCGTGACACGTCCACGAGCCTAGATCCATACCGCTGCGACCTCATGGTGGAGGACTTGGTCGTGATGGTAGCGAAGATGAAGTGGTGAAGAGGCCAGGCAGTCTATGGAGGGCGTGTGCTGTCTCTGGTGCTGCACAGTCTGGTTTGGGAGTTAGCAAGGATGGAGAATCAACCCGAGCCGACTTGATTCGGTTGCCAATTGGACCTTTGTCAGCGCTATGGGAAAGAGCCGATCAATCCCAAGAGGGGTCTACTCACGATTTATAACCGAAGCACGCAATCTCGGGTGGGATTGTGTTTCTTCCGAGCATGATGCGCATCAGTCATGCTTTCTGGTCATTGGCAGAATGTCCATGGGCCCGTAGGCGGCGGCTCTGCAGAGAGCCGCTCATTCTTTTTGATCAACCATCTCTGCAGCGAGAGCTCTCTCGCGAGCTTTGACTGTGACGTGTCCAATTTCGAATTTGCTTATCAATCCGGTGTGTTGGTGCCAAATCTGAAGTGTGTTTGTTTGCCTCCTATATTGCAGTGGGTGGAGGGTTGGCCCGTTTGAGACGAGGGACCGCGTTTGTGTTGCACCACCACCGAAATCGACACAGTCCATCACTTGCTCACCTTTTCTTTTTCCTTTTCCTCCTGCCCCGCCCGGATGACAGTGCGTGGGTTCTGCTCTTTCAAGTACTATCAAGAGGTGCTGGGACCGGGACTGTTCAATGCTGCTTGCTACATTTAGTGCGGCAGGAACAAATAGCAGCAGTAGTCACCTCACCAACGGCAGCCCCACACCACTAGGTTAGGTTAGCTCTGTGCGTCTTCGGAATATTGAATTCCCAATTTGGCAGGGGAATTTCCGAAGTCTCCTGCGCGCGCTGGACTCTACTACTGAGTATGCGCTGCGCTAAGCCCTACGCTCCTACCTTAGCCGGGGGATCGACACGGGACGGGGCTCCACTCTCCTAATTCGGCATTTTGAATGCCAGAGGCCGACACAAGCACCGAACGCACTGTCTCATTGCTTCTGTTAAGGCTTGCAGAGAAATCACATTAGAAATCAACTCTTGGTTTTGGTTGCAAACGCGCAAAAGTGAAATAACACAAAAAAACGCCAATTGCCTTTTCAAAGCCAAAGCCATTCACTCCAGTCTTCATTGCCCACCAGTGCTAACACTACCGCCCCGACGAATACCTCCCTTGCAGGCTTCTGAGTGCGAGCCACATTCTCCCCCCTTTCTCTATCTCTCCCTCTCTCTCGCGCACGCTCTCTGAAAATCCATATCCTACAGAGTATGGCGGAGAAAGTCAGTACTCCCGGCGGTCCTCCGTCCGACCACACGCCCTCTGACAACACCGACCACGCGCTCTCTGACAACTCTGGACACACCGCCGTCAAGGAGGAAGAAGCTGGACCTGATACCGAGGGCACCAAGGCAGCAGAGGCTCCAGAGACCTCTCCACGCGACATACACGGCTGGAAATGGGCCATATCGTACATTGCCCTGCTGTCCTCCATCTTCCTCTACGCCTTTGATTGCACCGTCGTGGCCGACGTGCAGACGGCCATTATCAACGATTTCGGCGCCATCGACCAGCTGTCGTGGCTCAGCAATGGATTGGTCATGCCGGCCACTGCCATGGTCATGCCGTGGGGACGCCTCTACGGCCAGTTCAATGCCAAAACGCTCTACCTGGTTTGCGTGCTCATTTTCGAGGTCGGGTCCGCCGTCTGCGGCGCTGCGCCTACTGTCAATGCCTTGATTGTGGGCCGTGCCCTCGCCGGCGCCGGCGGCTCAGGTATCTATATGGGTGTTATGACACTCATGGCCGCCACTACAACCATGAAGGAGCGACCCTTCTACATTGGCCTGACCGGAATCACCTGGGGTTTCGGCATCGTGCTTGGTCCCATCATCGGAGGCGCCTTCGCTATATCCAGTGTAGGGTGGCGCTGGGCCTTCTATATCAACCTGCTCGTTGCTGTTCCTGCAGTGCCATCATACATCTTCCTGTTGCCCAACCACGTCGATCCCCGCCCAGGTGTGTCGTTGAAAGCTCGTTGGATGGAGATGGACTATCTCGGCAACCTCTTCCTCATCGGCGGCATCGTAACCTTCATCCTTGCCATAAACTGGGGTGGTATCATTTATGCCTGGAACTCTGGCCCAGTCATCGGCTGCTTCGTCGCGTCCGGCGTACTATTCATCATCCTGGGCATCCAGCAGGTCCGCCTCATTGGAACCACACTGGCCCGCCGCATTCTCCCAGTACAGATTTTCAACAACCCGACCATCCTTCTACTTTTTGCAATCTGCGCTGCCGGCGGTACCTCTGCCTTTGTGCCCATCTACTTTGTCCCTACCTTCTTCCAGTTCACCCGCTCCGACTCCCCGTTGGACGCTGGCGTTCGGCTGCTCCCATTCATCGTTGTCATGGTCGTCATGATCACCGCCAACGGCCATCTGATGGGCAAGTTCGGATACTACCAGCCTTGGATCCTGGCGGGTGGTCTGCTGGCTATGACGGGCTCGGCACTCATGTATACGGTGAAGGCAGACACCTCCGAGAGCCGCATCTACGGCTACACGGTCATCCTCGGCTCCGGCGTCGGTATGTGGCTGCAGGTTCCCTTTTCGGTTGCCCAGGCGTTTGTTGCACCGGCAGACATCCCTGCGGCCGTCGGCTTGGTGATGTTGGGCCAGTTTGTCGGCATTACGATATCCCTTGCCATCGCTAATACCGTCTTCCTGAACGGTGCTGAGCAGTCAATCGCGGCTCTTCTGCCAGGCGTCTCGCCTGAGACGATCAAAGACGCCATGGAGGGTGCGACGAGCGGGTTCCTGGCCACTCTGGATGACAACCTGAGGGCACAAGTGCTGGACGCGATCGTGGCGGCCATGGCCAAGGCATACATCTTGGTCATTACAGCTGGCAGCTTGACGGCTGTGCTTAGTCTACTCCTACCAAGGAAGAAATTGTTCGGGGCGGCTGCGACTGCACCTGCATGAGAGCAATTGGCATTTTGCTTCCGGGAAACTGGTTGTCTGCCAGAGCCCTGTTCACGTATTGATGTCGTCGCGTACGAGAATATACAGCTGCCGATTGGCCGGCATAGTCGGGTGGGAAATGGTAATCAGGATTTGCATGGTTGAGCGACGACACCCTCAATCTCCGAGTGCTTTCTATGTACAAAAAGTGGTTCGAGTTAGAGTAGTTTAATAAAATTGTGATTGGCCACTGTAAGCACAACACACGACGCACTCCCGGGTCCTAATTCAATTTTATCCAAGGAGCCCCAGAGGCTATGATGCCCACCGTGTCCATCCGATTCAAATGATGTCACCGACTTGCTTTTCCCAGTTGCCCTCGTCGACTAACCACCTCACGATCTGGGCGGCCGCTTCAGTGATGGACTTGAACTCGCTCAGTGTTCCGAACCCGTCCCCATCCACCCATAAGAATATCTCCCCCCTCTCTCTATTCTCCCCCGCCATGACGCGTACTCCAATCTTGGGCCTGACCATGGCGTCGACCAGCTCTATCTTCTCGAAAGCCCCGCCTCCTCCGATGGGCCCCAGCCAATTGAAGACCTGCGCGGCAACGATTTCGGGTATCAGAGGTCCAGCCTCGGGTGCGATGGCGTCCCTGAGTGCATACCACGGCGCAGCTGCGTGTCTCGTGAGGAGGACGCCGTCGTCAGCCAGTCGGCGCACAAAGGACGATACAGGTTCGTCACGCGGGACGGACACGAGGTCAATGACAGGCACATAGGTCGGGCCGGCCACGTCGGCCCCCTCCTGCGCGACGGCCACGCCGGTGGGCAGAAACGAGGAGAAGCGGCTGCGGTTCGACTCGAGGGACGAGAAGAGCGCGTGCGTATGACCCGTCTTGCGCGCGTTGAACAGCGCCATGGCGGCCTTGACCACAACCGAGGGCTGTATTCCATGGCGCTGGCGGATGACCTCGAACGGACCGAGCGGGATCCACTCGGTGTGGTAGTTGGCCTGTAAGGGTTTGTGAGCGCGATCGCGGGCACGCGTCTCTCGGGCACGGGCCCTTGAGATGGGGGGATAGAGGGCTGCGGCGTGGTGGTCCGCGACATCCACGAGACGGGCGGCGTGGAACGCCACTGAAGTCTGCGCGGGGAGAGAATTTCGCAAGGAGTAGTGGTTGTCGGCCCAGGCCTTGTAGTCCACGCGGCGAGGACGGGCCCGAGGGTTGCTGAGAGCCTGATCCAGGTCTTCCAAGAAGAGGTCCACCGAGAAGCCGTCCATGATGGTATGATTGATCGCGGCAAGCAATGCCGTTTCGCCAGTGGAGGCGATGGTATACAAACGAAACTGCGCCATGGGGCCGTTGGATGAGGCGCACTGGGTCTGCAAGAGCAGCGTGTGGAACGTGTCCGCTGTCGCGATCTCGCCGTAGTCCTGGATGATCAGGTCCAAATACCTCTGTGACTGGCGCATGATGACGTGCAAGACGTCTTTACCACCTAGCAGTGTGGCGTCATCAACGAGAAATGATGCAAGGATCCTGTGATGGGACAACGTGGACTCGAGGGCTCGACGCAATGTCGCCTTGTCCGTACCTTTGATCAGATACCCATACATGAACTTCCATGTCTCGTATCCTTCTTCGCGTCGCTGTATGCTGGAGAAGTCGTAGGCCGGAGTAACATCCTCAACGTCGTCCCAGCTGAACCCATGCTTTTCAACAGTCGCTGAAACGACAGCCTTGGTGCGCTCGAGCTCGCTCCCATCTGAATCCAACGAAAGGTGAACCATGTCCTCTGGTTGGGGCGGCCCTTTGCGCTTGGATGTCGTGTCGACATCACCTGCCACAGGCTTCTGCGCCTCTACGAGCTTGACCAATGCAGCGATGCTCTCAGCGCTCAGAATATCAACCATCGAAGGAGCTGTGCCTGTCGCGCGCCTGATCTCAGCTCGGACACGCATGAGTGTAATGCTGTCGCCAAAACTGGCGATCGGCGCCTCTTCATCCAGCTCGGACGCGTCCAGGCCAATTGATTTCGCCCACACCTGCCGGACGAGGGTGGCAACATCGTGAGTTTGGCTGTCCAGGGCAACAGTCTGGCGCCGCTTACGGACCAGGGCCTCCAACTCTTTCCTTTGAATCTTGCCAGACGTAGTGAGAGGGTATTCGCGGAGACCTAGATCTTCTACGGATACAACGTCGTCCGGAAGATAGGACGGGCCCATCCTTGCCAGCACAAGCTCCAGGATCCCCTTTTTGACTTTCCCGTCAACAGGCCCAAGGATGATGACAACGGGAACTTGCCCAGCAATATCGTCAAGTGCGCCTACCACCTGAGGCCTCAAGGCCGCAATAGCAGGATCCGTGTTCAGTGCGGCCTCTATGGCAGCCGGGGAGATGTTTTCCCCTCCCCTGATAATCATGTCCTTATGTCGGCCCGTGAGGAAGAGCCGGTCATGAGCATCGATCCTGCCGACGTCCCCGGTATTGAGCCAGTGCCGCCCGTCAGCGTCCTGATAACACACATCTGCCAGGTTTCCGCCGATATACTCGCGCGCCACTGTTGGACCGGCGTAGTGGACCACCCCGGACACTCCGCGCGGCACCGTCTCGCCTGTCTCGGGATCGCAGATCTTGACCGTGGCCTCCGGCTGAGGCCACCCCACTGCGATGTCTTCGTCGTCAATAAGATCTTCGAGATGTCGGAGGCCCGAGAAGATATACAGCCCCTCGGTCATGCCGTAACCAACTTGCACCCGATCAGCTCCCAACTTGTCAATGCACATGCGCGCAACCTCGGGCAGGACTCCAGCGCTACCCACACGAACCTCTCGGAGGTATTTCAATGGTTGCGTCAGCGTGTTGGCAAGCGCTATGACCATGGTCGGAACGAGGGCCACATGTGTGATCTTCTCCCTGACCAGTGCTTCGGCTGTGCGCTCGAGGTCAAAAACAGGGGATGCATACACGGCGGTGCCACGCATGCACAACGGCCACACCTGTTGGTAACGTCCCGGTACGTGGTTCGTGGGGCCAGCACACAGAGCACGGGGTGGAGGCAGACCGGCAAACTGCGGCGACAGCCACATGGCCTCAAGGTACCGCTCAAAATGGGTCAACGGCGTCGCATGGACGCCCTTGGGCAAGCTGGTGGTACCGGAGGTGAAGACTACAAAGCTCGAATCATGTCCGCCGCGCTGCAACACTTCTTCGTTGAGCTCATGCTGCCTCTCTGCCATCAGCTCCGCAAACGCGGCCCATCCTGGGCTTGCGCCCTGCTCGTTGACAATAAATTTGTATGCCCCCGCGAGCTCGTCCAGGCCCAGATCATCGACCTTTCTGGCCGCGTGGTCATCTTCGACTAGAACGACGGGCCTCTTGGCCGGTCCAGCTACGCTCAGGCCCGTACGGACCATATGCGTAACTTCAGCCGAGTTGGCAAGACTTCGGGTATTCAGCGGGATCCAAATGCAGTCCAGTGCCTCCGCAGCCCACAGGGCCAGCGCACCCTCGGCACCCAGCGGTAGGAAGCTGACGATAGGCGTGCCGCTATCTAGGCCGATGCTTTGCAAGCCTGTTACAAGGCGTACAATGGCATCTTTGAGGGTTGCATACGACCAGCGGAGGTAGGGTGGAGACCTCTGGCCCAATACCACTTCCTCCTCGTCGGGCAGACTTGGAAACCCATAGAGGTCGGCACGCTGATGCATCGCCACGAGAGCAAGGCTTTCGGGTTCGGTTTCGGCAGACGCCAGAAACTTGTGCCATATTGGCGGGCCGGGGCTTGGCGCTGGCCCCGGGGTCGTGATCTCACTAAGGACTTTTTCGGCCGCCATTATGCAGCTTTGGTCGGTCTCAGTTACTCTGACCAAACGTGAGATTGCGGGGCGCCAATGTGCCTTCTTTCTTTTCTGTCTTTCTATATACGCACCGTTGTGTATACCCAAGCCAGACCCCTGGAGTACCAGTTCATCCTGGTCGCGGCTTAACGGCCGTGCAGGCTTTGGATCTCCTGAATTGGTATGTAATTCTCCGTATAATCCGAAAGGATTCAACCCACTTTTAGCGGCTCCCTCCGTCGTCAAGACTCAACGCCGTGTCTGCATCCGAACTCGGGATGGCGGAAAGAAACCCCGCCAGTACATCTGTTGCAGCGAGCAGTACTTTGCCGGGACTTCCTCGCAACAGTCTGTATTCGTTGGCTCCCCCTCCCCCTCTCGATGTTCATCTCCCCTAGTTAGTGCACCACGATGCCAAGCTCAAAATCTCACCACCACGAAGTACCGGGGTTTCCCCTCAAGTCATACCAGCCGCTACGCTTCCTGTATTGGCTGGGGTTCAAGACCTGGATCCTAGCGCGGGTGCCCTTTTGGCTTGTTCGCCTCGCCGTATTCCCACGGCCGCATGCCAGCAAGAAATGGACCCTCTTCAACACCTTGGTGGCATGGATCGGCCGGGAGGAGAGCGAACTATTTGCCAGACTAGGCATCACCGAGGAGCTATCCCTCGAGCCTGGAGAGGACAACTTCAAGATCATCGCCCCTAGTGCTTTGGCACAATACACTGGCCCTCTCCGGCACCCAAAGGTACAGCCCGCGCCGATTGGCATAACATGGTTTCCCACGACCAAGCCGGTTTCCGGAGCCGCAGACCTTGTTGTCCTTCATCTTCACGGCGGTGCATTTGTTTGGGGATCCGGTCGCGCCAAGCAGCTGCGCTTCCTCGCCGACACACTGCTCACAGAGGCTGGCGTCACCTCCATCTACGCCCCGCAGTACCGTCTGTCTGGCTACGGCGGGCAGAATCCATTCCCGGCCGCACTGCAGGACTCGTTGACCAGCTACCTGTATCTGCTCAACACGCTGAACATAGCGGCAGAGAACATTCTCATCTCTGGCGACAGCGCGGGCGGCACCTTGGCCATCTCACTCATCCGTTACATCGAGGAATACGGGCCCGACTTGGGCATTCCCCGGCCTCTGGGCGCCGTTTTTGTAAGCCCCTGGGTTGAGCCCGGCAGCGCGCTAGGCCCTACGGCGCTGGCCACTTTCCATTCGAACGTTCACTGGGCAACCGATTACATGCCGTTCGAGATGTGCGCCTGGGCAGCGCGCGTATACACAGCCCTTGTGCCCGTGGAGCATCCATACATCACGGCGCTAGGAAACCCGTTCAGCAGTAAGGTACCGATGCTTCTCACCATGGGCGATGCCGAGGTCCTAGAGGTGGAATGTACAGCCTGGGTGAAGGAGATGCAGGCCGTGGCTGGGAATCGAGTGGAGGCGTACTACGAGGATGCGGCACCGCACGACACGCTGCTGTTAGGGGGCGACATAGGTTGGGCTGAGAGCGCGAAGGACGTTGCCAGGAACATTGGAGCTTGGGTAACCAAGATCAGGGGAGGTCATTAGATGGTTAGTCGGTACTTATAATCGCGTGGCGAACTCAATTAGTAAAAAGACTACAGCTGTGGGGCTTTTGGGGTCTATGGCAAATGTTCTTCTCAAATCAAGAGTTCTTCTTGAGCCAAGAGTTCTTTTTGAACACCCCGCTATAAAGTCCACTAAACACCCACTATAACCTTAAAAACTATCCACTTAGCCATCCACTAAGCCACCTATTTGCAAAAAATAGAGACTTGAATTCTTGGCCCCCTCAATTTCCTATTATTATATAGGGCAGGTGGCGCCCGTTTCTATCATATTACCAATGCTATATAATAATATAAAAGCATTGATAAGAGGTAGGCAACTAATTTACACTGCTCCAGGGTTATAAATGTTAGATTAGTTGCAACCCTAAAATACTTATAATTATTAATAATTTTTAACACATCTAATATAGCGCTCTCTCTCTAATATTAGTATAATTATGTAACGATTCAACATTCATGATTATGGAGTAATGCAGGTAAGTAGGTAAAGAAGAACGTAGGGTATTGGTATGTAGATTGAAGTTTGAACCCACCTGTTTAGTGGAACTCTATGTTTTTGGGCTTGGCCTGTAAGCCAACATATTAGTCCAAGACTAGGAATTCCATTGGCACTTAGTTCTAATTTCTAAACGAGGTTACTATGACACAAAACCCGTAATTTCAATCTCCTTGCACAAATGTTCGAGGTCAAGCCAGCAGTCCATATGGGCACTTTCGGACTTTCACCTTGCCATCCTTGCCTCGTCATGAAATTCCCTTATGATTCGTTGGAAATTGTCCTTGGAGTTTCGAATCACAGCTTCCAAGTAGTCGACATTCGTTCTGCCTAACCGACAACCCGGGTTCAGATGCCTCAGCATGTCTTGACTTTTGGCACTGATCGAGTTCAGCAGATCATTACCCCGCCTCACCAACTGCATAACCAACATCCTTCTCCAGTGCTTGGCGTCTAATTCGTCCACTACTGTCTGGTAGGACCCCAGGCTCACGGTAATGGGTCCGTCAATGTCAGCATTAGCGATATAGTCGAAACAGACGTCGGCCTCTTGGAAAATAGACATGATGCAGATCAGGTCGGTACAGTTGATGTCGCACTTTCGGCAATCGACGATGTCCTGGCAGCTTCGCACGAGGTCGCCCGTCACCTCGCAGACAACGTCGAGCCGACGCTCCTGCAGCGCGGCGCGGGCGCTGGGGATGATCATTGAAAGGCCCGAGCGGCATTGGCAGCTTTGCGAGACGAGCAGGTTCTGCCCGGTCAGCTCGCTTGCATTTGTGCTGGTGACGAACGGGTAAAGGCCGAGCCTCGAGAGGGATTGCTGCTCCTCGGATGTAGGAGTATGATTGGCAGTATTAGGCAAGGTTGACGGAGGTGTCAGCGAAGTGTTGAGCAGACCGCCGATCAGGTCTCGGTCGCCCGGCGACCACTTCAGGGACGGGTCCGCCGCGGCCCAATCCATATGCTGGTCCAGGTCGCTGTCTGGCGGACAGATGTCGTTCATGGTGGACCAGTCTCCGGAAGAATCGAGCATTTGCTGAAAGACGCCGCTGTCCCCGCCGCCGAAGAAGGCCGCAGGGTCTGCCGTACGGAAGTCCATCTGGGCGTCTTCCTGCAGAGTCCGGTGCGCAACAGGGCGAGGCCGAGAGTGAGCCGGGCTCGGTGACGGAGCCGACTGTGCGTATCTGCATGAAAGGCCCCTACTGGTGCAACGCCCGCATTCGCGCTCGCCGTCTCCGGGACATTTTACCTTTGCTGTTCTACATCTCTCGCACGCCGTCTTGGGCCGCCGCACCAGGGGCTTCACCAGGTGCAGTGGCGAACTATGCCAGTTCAGAATTAAATTGGCGGGTATCCCGTTATTGCGCGAGACATGAGACTGAGAGCTGGGGCTCGTGGGCGACGACGACATGTTGGATGGTGTCTATTTCGGGTGGTCACACTGCATACCAGGGCTCATAATGTGGATTAGTCGTCAGGTATTTATTCCTGGTGGTTCTGGGCCGAAGGGAGGGCAATGACAGAAGGACAAAATCCAAAATCGCGCCACGGACAAACACCCCCTGCTTATGCCCCACGGGGCCTTTCAAGCATCCCAGCACTCTTCAAGGTTGTCAGGTTTGTTATCCAATGGCCATCGGTACGTATTCTTACGAGTGACCGACGATTGCGTGACACTGGCCCCTGCGCCCCTGCCGAGCGCTTATTTATATTGACTTTTTTTTTTCTTTTAATTTTGATTTATTCGTTTGAATATTATTAATCAAATTATAAAAACTTTAGATATTTAAATCAACTCTCGACATTGGCATATGTAAAGCGTATGCTTTTGTAACACATTATAAAACATTTATTAATTATTAATGATTAATTTTAAATACTAAATATTTGATGCGTGAAGCCCGGGTTGGCTACGGCTAGCCACTCATGTGGCTAGCTCGTGCCCGGTCCAAATCACAGCCAAAACACAAACAAGTAGTATTCCCGGAGGGCGGAGTTACTCGATGCATCCATCTTCACACTACTATAGTCACCCCATACGGTGCCATATCAATATCAACAGAAAGCAGAAATGTCTTCTTGTCAGCGCCCGTCCCATACCGTTTAGTAATCTGCGGCCTGTAACGCTTATGAGACCATTCCTCATGATCGAACATAACGCGAATGGTGCAGGCGGGACCGGGAGCCTCATCCGCCTGTCGTCATCCGCTAACGATTACCTGATACTGCACATGTGATTAGCCACGGTAATGATACGTACTTATGCGGCGCGCATTTGGACAAGGCTGTGGTTGGATCACGGGACCAAGGATGTATGATCCTCATAAAGAACTGTTATTGGATTGCATCGCGAGTAATTCCGCCGCTCGCAACTAAAGAGCAAAGCTGCTAATGGAGCCCCCACCCCCTTCTAGATTTTGATCGAAAGGATCCTTGCAATCCCCTTCTTTTAATGCTTTCCGTAATTCTCATTTACCAAAACATAACGAAAGCGAGCCTTGCCTTCGAACATATCCACGATGGCGTTATTTGCATCTCGCAACGGACGCTCCTCGACCCATGGTGTAATCCTCTTCTCTGCAGCCAGCTGCAGCATTTTCGTTATGTCGCTCCGGGAGCCAATGGCGCTTCCCCCAATGCTGATACCACTCTCGAATAGCGTCAGGGCGTTGATCGCGGGCATTTCACCTCCGTCTGGCAGACTGGCAACAAGTTAGTCTAAAGGCACATTACTGGGATTGATCTGTCCTTTGTTGAAACTCCGTCTGCTCGGGAAGATGGGGTACGTACCCAACCTGAACAAACTGCCCCTCGGGCTTCAAGAGGGTCAAGTAGTCACTCAGTGGCATCTCCTTTCGTGAGTTGGTGCATATAATGAGGTTCAGAGTTCTCTGATTCTCCTCGGCCCAGTTCGCATCGTCTTCGGTGGCAATGTACTGATCTGCTCCAAGCTTGAGCACGTCGCATCTCTTCTCGGCTTTTCTAGAAATGCCAACAACCCTATCCGCCCCCAGAGCCTTTGCGAACAGGATACCAAAGTGTCCAAGGCCTCCAACGCCAACAATACCCACCGTCTTCCCCGGCCCACAGCCGCTTCTCAAAAGAGGAGAAAACACTGTTATACCCGCGCAGAGCATGAGCGCAGCCAGAGAAGACTCTAGGCCATCCGGAATTGGGAATACGAAATGGCCGTTGGTGCGGTTGTAATCTGCATACCCACCATATGATTTTCCTTCCTTGTTCGGGTACACCCCCCCATACGTGCCTACGAATCCTGTGCAATAGCTTTCTAGGTTGTTTGAGCAGTCCTCGCAATCCCCTTTCAGGCAGGAGCGAGCCTGCGCACCAACGCCTACACGGTCACCGACCTTGACATGTTTGATGTTTGCCCCTACGCGAACAGCGGTGCCCAGTATCTCATGCCCAACAACACAAGCTGCTTGAATGTCAGCTGAAATGGTCACCAAGCCAGCGCATGTAGAGCAAAGAGGTTTCTCAGTTCTTACGGTAAGGGACTTCTCCCCATCCACTTCGTAGCACATGGAGATCCGAGCCACAGATGCCGCAATGAGAGACCTCAATGTCCACATCGTCCTCAGTCCACTGCTTGGGTTCGAATTCGCCCCATTCCATTTTACCATTGACGGAGTCTGACGTCTTGCCGAGCCAGCCTTGGAACTTGTACTGGACTGCCATGGCGATGGGGGGTGGGTAGTGATCTGGGTAGAATGTGAATGATTTTCTGGGCTCCGAGTGGGGAGTTTCTACACCAGACAAGGACGAATATGTAGGAATTGAGATGCTATCCTTGTTTCGCAACTGAAAGTCTTTACCGTCGACACGGGGTTCTCTTCTTCCCAATGATCGTGGCCACGTGTGATTCGACAGTATGAGGAATGGGCTACTACGAGTAAGTATTTGTGGAGTATATTCGGCAGTTATATACATCATAACTCATGATTACTTACTATTGGAGCCTACAGAAAACAAGGGGCGGGTATGCAGGCTACTCCGACATTGCCTGTTTCCGCCTCCGAAAGGGGCCCTGTCTAGACATTCAAACTATCGGCAAATTGATGATATATTCGGGACGGCTCCGGGAATCCTTCGGTGTCGTGATGCATGCATGGGATACGGCATATTACTTCCCAATTAGTAAAAGAAAACTGTCAGCAATTACAGCGGTAGGCCAGATGCTAGATTATACAAAAAGGCGCTTGAGTCGAGGCTAGCGAATCAAGAGACAAGGAAAAAGAACAAAGAAGATCTCCCTGTTAATATTGATCCAACCCATATCACCGACTAAGATCATGGCTGTGGACGCTGCCAAGGCAACCGACGTCACGTCAGACTATTCCAATGGCGTCAAAGATCGCTCTCGCGATGTCGCCTGGTACCAGGCCACCCTGAGCCGAGTTCCCCGGATCGCAAGAGAGGTATTGCAGGAGTACTCGAAAGTGCCCGAGAACCAATTGCTCGAGCATATCTACCGGGTTCGGGACCAGGCCTGGGATGTGTGAGTCTTCGTATATCCCATTGCACATTTCAACATGGATTCCATTCTGATGTACACAGTATGCCATTCCCATGTATTGGGGTCTTCAGATTCCTGGACTTCCCTGCCTGCCTATCGCCCGTCTATCCCGAGGTGCTCTCGCGCGTCCGCAACGGCGAGACGTTCCTGGACTTGGGCTGCTGCTTTGGTCAGGACATCCGGAAGCTGGTTCACGATGGCGCTCCGTCGCACAATTTGATCGGAGTTGATCTGGAGCCGAGGTTTCTGGAGCTGGGCTACGAGCTCTTCCGTGACCGTGATACGCTCCGCGCCAGGTTCCAGGCCGCAGACGTGTTCGATCCGAACTTTTTGGCTGACTTGGCAGGAAAGGTCGACATCATATTTGTCGGCTCTTTCCTGCATCTCTTCGACTTCGATCAGCAGAAAGCCATAGTGGCCCATTTCGGGAAGCTGCTGCGGCCGAGAGCTGGATCACTTGTCTTTGGGCGCCACAGGGCGACGGCCAACGAGGGTGGCATTACCAAAGCGAATGCCCTTGGATGGACTTTATTTCATCATTCAGAAGAGACCATGAAACAACTGTGGGCAGAGGCCCCCGTAGGCAAATGGGAGGTGGCCTCCAACCTTGTGCCATATCAGTCCGAGGGGTGGACCAAGTCCACCGAGTGGCAGGGCGGCGACGTGGTGATGCAGCAGTACTTCTCAGCCAAGTGGCAACCTTGAGAGTTGGTGTTTGGAATCAGTCAGATAGATCCTAGACAGCACAATCACCCGACTATTGCTATCTGAAAATCCCATGCACAATTGGAATGAGATGTCCAAAAACAGATGACCTTGGGTCGCCCACTATCATGCAGGAAATTCGGCGAAAAGAAGCTCCCACGATGTTTACATTTGTGGGTACCTGAGAATATTGGACATTCGCAAGCACCCACCTGTCTTGAATTGAGGCCGGGCGCCGGCCCCCGACCCCCGGCCCCAAAGGTGGAACAGTCGAGTGACCGTGGGGATATGTAAGGCCAGAGCCTTGAGGGGTTGTACCAGTTACTTCACGGAAATAGCGGGAAACAGAGAATTAGAGGTAATAGAGTGTGGTTTCTAGCTGCGGGGCCTCAAGAGTGATGATCTTAGGCGGGTGATCTCAATCTATCGTTGGCAAGGTGTAACTAAAGTGTGATGAAAACAAGAGGGCGAAAAGCTTATAGCAGCTGTGGGGAAATTAGGTACTTAGTACCTGCACTGATGCCTAGCACCCAACAGGATACCATTTTCTAATCGCACCTTGATTGATTTCCGAGCCGATTGCCTTCTGCCAAGGCTTATATACTATCCCTTCACCAGTACAGTGGCAGCCGCCCGAAGGTCTGACTTTACCACCTTGCCGGTGTAGTTAACAGGCAGCTCGTCAGGAACACCGTTGCCCTCTCCGATCCAAAAGAGGTGCTCGGGCATCTTGTGGGGTTGTATCCGACCCCGCATCCATAGCTTAAGTTCCTTGCTCCCCACATGTGCCTGGGCCTGGCTCTCAGCTTCCCGGTCGGCGGCCCGGTCCCCATCTCCGGCCTTGGCACGTTGGATGAAGGCGCCAACGATTTCACCCCAGTAGGGATCGGGGATCCCCACCACAGCCGCCGCATGGATACTGGGATGCTGCTCCAGCACCTCCTCCACGTCGCGTGGAAAGATGTTCTCGCCGCCTGCCCGCAACCAAGCTGTCAGCTACGTCCTAAACTCAGGTATGTAGGGGATCGGGATTCATTCATGCAGTGGGCGCAATCTTATTCTGGGACAGAGAACTCACCCCTCTTGATCATATCCTTCACCCTGCCAATCATGGCGCACCTTCCCGCCTCGTCGATCGTGACAAGGTCTCCCGTGCGAAGCCAGCGTCGCCCCTGCGCGTCCCTGACGACCGCTTCCTCCGTCTTGCCCGGGTTCTTGTAGTACTCTCGGAATACGCAGTGCCCTGCAACGAGCAGTTCACCTGGAGTCCCAGCTGGGAGAGTCTGGAGATCTGCATCGACAACCTTGGCCGATAGAGAAGGCAAGAGCGTGCCCACGGACGAGAAGTCATCCAGTAGGGAGACCTTGCTTGGGTCCGTCATGAACACAATGCAGGTAGCTTCGGTCATGCCGTAGCCATAGGCTACACCATGGTAACCAAACTCGGCGCTCAACCTCGTGAGTAGTTCTTTCGTCAGAGCCGACCCGCCGATGATACCAGTCCGCAAGACCATGTTGGGACGGTGGATACTGGCATCCGGATGGTCCATCATGGCCTGCAGCATGGTGGCTACTGAATGTATCACGGTACATTTGAACTTGGAGAGGGCTTGCAACGTTGCTCCGGCGAGGAAAACATCCGAGGGAAGGACGACAGTTCCGCCGTACGCCACCGTGGACAAGAGGCCGCAGCCGAGTGCAAAGCAATGGAACAGTGGCGTTGTGGAACAGACAACATCTGCTGCTGTGTACCCAAGCCGATCTCCCACGAGGACAGCATTGCTAAGGAGATTAGTGTGCGTGATCATGGCTCCCTTCCGCGGACCTGTCGTGCCGCTGGTGAACTGGATGCAAACGGCGTCCCCGGGATGGCACGTGGCCCAGTTTTGCGCCAAGAGATCGCTGCCGTCGCCATCCATTTGCTCCATTTGTAGGAACTCACGCCATGATGGCACGCTCTCGGTGGGTTTCCCAGTGGTCAACTGCACTAAGCATGTGGTGAGCCCACGCCGGTTCACAAGCTCAGCCAAAAGGGCGTTGTTCTTGCGATATCCGATCCTGTCTGCCACGAAAATAGCCTTCGGGTCTACACGGAGAAGATCAGTTCGTGAATTCCAGAGATGCGAAAAGTGAACATGGCCTTTGTGCTAGTAGCATCCAACTCACCCAAGAACTCGACCGCAGCAAGGACCTCATCAGCAGCAAAGGTTGGATTGATGATGCAAAATACGGCGCCTATGGCCGCCACTGCGAAGAACAGCTGCACATATTCCACCGAGTTTCCAGCCAGCACAACAACATGATCATGGCGCCGTACACCACGCTGCAAGAGATGCTTAGCAACAGATTTGCACGAGTTGTGCAGATCCCCGTACGTCAGCCTCGCATCTTGCCATGTAGAAACCAGAGCGGTATTCGTGGCGTGCTTTTCTGCCTGCTGGTCAAGGAACTGTCCGATATTGATGTCCTTCAAAACCAGGGCTGGTGGTAGCCCAGGCCCCTCGACGATTCGCTCGTCTTCGCACATGTTTCTGGCCATGTCTGCACAAGTTTATTCTCCAATGGGGGTCGTAGAGCAGGGCATAGAAACTAAGTTAGTCCTCAATTATGCTTCCCCTATATTGATCGTTTTTGTCTTAGATGGAGGAACACTATGGCGTGCCGTAGGTACAGAGCCATTCTTCTGTAAGGTCCGAGTTCGGGTAGTTCCGCTAGGAGGATTCGTCAGATCATCAAATCGGCGCATCTCTGGGGTATGGGACCATTCGGGCGTCAGATTGCTTAATTCGGGTGTAATATTCCATAGCCGGACATTGTAGCCTCGGGGGCTCTAACTCCAATTCTAATAGCTGGATCTGTGTCTTCTAGGCCCTGGGGCTTTCTTTGCGACTATGGAGATGCATCCAAGTCACGTTTGGTGTCGAGAATCTCATCTCATGCAAGCGACCTTGTCAACCACAGACAGGCTGCGGCAACACTTTGGCGCCCGATTCTCGGTCATGTCGACTGCCAGCCAATCATGTCATTCAATGCGATCACGTCGTAAGCCGGCATTCGACAAGCACCAAGGAACGGCATTTCCATGTTTGACTGCCTGATGGGGACGCGTTTCAACTTTCCTCGGCATCCTTCCGGTTTTTGCTTGCCCTGTTCAGATCACTACCCCGTAACTTCTTTGTTCGAGACCAGGCCAACATGTCAACATCTCCGATAGACGGCTGCTGGGAAAGTGGTGATGCAAGGTTATGTGGCTGGATAATGTACATCAATCATTCCCAAAACCAACCAACCGGTTCAGGGTTGTTTTCTTCAGGTTGATCGAAGCCGCTGAAGCGACGAAAGATTGGATAAGATGCTTCCTGTAGGAGAGATACAGCGCACGGTAGATGGACTAGCGTCTTCGGGCGATACACGGGTAGGTGTACGGCACTCACATGCCAAGGTTGTATACTAACATTCCATGCCAGAAGCCAAATCATAGTCCATCGTTGGACAGCGAACCTGTCCAAGCAGATATTCAGTCCAAGCTCCGTTCTATTTGGGCAAAGGTTCTTCATGATGACCCGTCAAACTTCAATGGAGATGATGTCTTCTTTGAGGTTGGCGGCGACTCCATCACAGCGCAGCATCTCATTGATGCGGCGGCCAAGGATGGAATTCGCCTCACCATGGAGCAAATCTTCATGCACGCCTCGCTCGAGGATATGGCAGAAATAGCTCAAATGGCCGTGCCATCATCAGAACTACCCGCCCTAGAGGGCGACAGCAGCTCGCTGGACCAGGACCGGCTGGACACAATCGCCAGTCACCTCCATTTGCAAGCAGGAAGCATTGAGGCAGCGTACGGCCTGACGCCGATGCAAGAATCTCTTCTCGTCGAGGAAGAAGAGAGGCCAAACTCGTACATGCGACAGTTTGTTTTCCGCGTAGGGCCCAATTGTGATCTCGACCGCCTCCGCCATGCATGGAACGAGACTATCCGAGCAAGTCCTGTTTTGCGCACACGCTTTTGCCACGTAGAAGGGCAAGAAAAGCAACAGGTGGTCCTCAGAGAGGATGCCGAAACCATACCCTGGATCACCTTCAATTCCAGTCTTGCTACGTTTCTCAAGCAAGATGCGCACATGCCAATGGTGGTTGGCGACCGCTTTTTTCGCTACTCGATTATCGAAGACTCAGAAACTGGGGATACATACTTCGTCTGGACAGCGAGCCACGCTCTGTGTGATGGTCACTCTGTTGTCGAGGTTCTGTCCGATGTGGCGAGGCAATTTCAGGGCCAGGCTGTGCCGGCACGGCCACCATTTCAATTGTTTGTCCAATCCCCTGCTGTCAAGCCAGAAGCAGTCCACGAACGGCAGTTTTGGACTCGGGCTCTGTCCGACATTCATCCCAAACCATACCCGACTCTACCCCAGCACCTCGAATTCCGAGCCAATCCAAGTGCTATCTTGGAGCATTGCATCACCCTGGATCAGCTGCCGCCGTTTGGCGTCACGAAATCCCTCCTCCTGCGGGCCGCGTGGGCCATACTGCTGTCGCACTATACGGGTACCGAGGAGGTGGCCTTTGGTATAATCAACAATGGGAGGTCAAGTGTCATCCCAGATGTGCCAATGATAACAGGCCCGACCATCAACCTTGTGCCCGTTGTGCTGGGCGTCGATCCCAAGCAGCCGGTCTCTGCCCTCCTCTCCCGGGTTAGACTACAAGCCGCGGAGATGATGCCATTCGAGCACTCGGGCTTGTCCCGAATCCGCAAATTCCTGGCGACTGAAAACAACCAACATCCCACGGCGATGGATCTGCAAAGCTTGCTCGTCGTCCATCATGCATCCTTCACCAGTGCCATCGCGCTGTGGATGCAAAAACTTGGTCTCGAGTATCTAGATAGCCTCGGCAAGAAAGAGCAGCACTCATTTCCGCTCGTCCTCACGTTCGTGTTGTCGAATGAGGGTGCGGATGCTACGCGTATCCTGCTCCGCATCGAACACGATGACCGCGTCATTTCATCACCGCAGGCGCTGCATCTAGCCCATCACTTACAAGCCATCATCACGCAGCTCAGCCATGCTGCCCAAGATACCCTAATTGAATCCATCCGTCCGCTAAGTGACCACGATCTGCACCAGATCAGCGTATGGAACGCATCCACGCCTCCAGGTGAGGAGACTTGCCTTCACCATCTGTTTGAACACCAAGCGCGTCGCTCTCCTGACGCGACAGCAGTATGCAGCCTAGAGCGTTCTTTGACCTATGCTGAGGTGAATGCGTACGCGTCAACGCTCTCCATGCAGCTTGTTGAGCTTGGTGTGCGGCCCGAGGTCTTTGTTGGCGTCTGCTTCGAGAAGTCAATCTGGACCGTCGTGGCCATGCTCGCCGTCTTCAAAGCCGGTGGTGCGTATGTTCCTATTGATCCTGCACATCCGCCAAATCGTATCCAAGAAATCATTCAAACGGTCGGGATCCAAGTGGCATTGGCCTCGCCAATTGGCCGCAATATCCTGGAGAAGTTGATCAGCCCAGAAGATTTGTCCATTGTCCAGGTTCCAGATGGCTTTACTCCTCATCTCTACGTTGAACCATCGTACGTAGCCAGCCCATCGAACACGGCATATCTACTTTTCACCTCAGGAAGCACAGGGAAGCCGAAAGGGATTCTCATGCCTCATCGGGCCATCTGCACATCAATCCTGCATCATGGACCAGCTTTTGGCGCAGGTCCAGACTGGCGGACGCTGCAATTTTGCGCGCATACGTTTGACCTTTCAGTCGCCGAGTTCTTCACCACACTCTCTTTCGGCGGCTGTGTCTGCGTCCCATCAGAGGAAGACCGAGCCAATAAACTGGCGGGTGCCATCACGTCGCTGGCGGCTAATACTCTCATCGTCGTTCCCACAGTCGCCAATCTCCTCTTCCCGGAGGAGGTGCCGACATTGAAGACGCTGATCCTGAGTGGGGAGCCAATCCCAAAGGAATCCATTACCCGCTGGGCCGATCACGTCGATCTTACCTGCGCATATGGTCCCTCGGAGACAGCTGTATGGTGTTCAGGAAACATCAACGTGACTTCAGACGCACACCAGGCTCATGTTGGTCACAGTATCGGCGGCACCATGTGGGTAGTGGATGCCGACGACTATGGCACACTTGCGGCTGTGGGATGTATTGGCGAGATTGCTATCAGCGGCGCCATTCTCGGAGGCGGTTACTTCGGTGACAAAGACACCACCGACGCGGCATTTGTGATGGCACCCGAATGGATTCGCAATCTCACGGGCGACACGATGCTGTATCGTTCTGGAGATCTGGCACGGTATAACCCCGACGGCAGCTTCCAAGTCGTAGGACGGCGCGATACGCAGGTCAAACTACGAGGATTACGGATCGAGCTGGGCGAGATCGAGAACCGGCTGACGCAAGGAGGGTTGGTGGCAGCTGCTCTGGCCTTCCTCCCTCCGACGGGCCCGGCCGCAAGGCGCATCGTGGCCGTTGTCAGCCAGGCCAAGTCTGACTTGGACCAGGCCGCGGCAGCAACGCCAACTGCACAGGGACAAACAGACTTCATCGCCTATAGGCCGCGTGGCAGCTCAGACGAGCTCATATCCAGGCTCAAGCAGCGTTTGCTCTCAACAGTGCCCGACTATATGGTTCCGTCCGTATGGATCGTGCTGGAGAGGATGCCGCTTCTCATATCAGGAAAGATCGACCGCAAGAGGCTGAAGTTGTGGGTGCAAGAAATGAGTACCAAAACCTACAATGACGTAGCTGGCAGCGACCAAGACAATGCAGATGGTGCTGCGGTGGTTCCAGGGTCTCTCGCCGACCAGCTACGACAGCTCTGGGCCGGTGTTCTTCCACTTTCGGCCGACGATATAACCATGAGCACTTCCTTCTTTGCCGCTGGAGGTGACTCTATAGCTGCTATTCAGATCATATCACAGGCCAGAAGGACCCTGCCCGACCTGCGTATTTCGGCACGCGCCATCATCAACGCCAAGACGCTCGGAAATCTAGTGACACTGCTCGAGGATGAAGAGCACCGAAAGCGAGAGCAGCAGCAACAAGAGGACAAGACAGCCTCGATCTCCATCCAAAGGCTCGCCCCAGGATCGGGATTAGCATTGCTCGCGCCGTACCAGTCGCTCGTTGCATCACGTCTAGCAGCCAAGCCCACGACTGTCAGCATTCAGATCGAAGATGCCTACGCGCTTTCTGCCTTCCAGCGCGAAGTCGTCCGCGCGCGCGATACCAATCCTGCGGTCCTGCTTATGTCATGGCGCATGGAGCTCTGGTCCCTCACTCATGAAACGCTCTCCCTGCCGCGCCTGGTATCCGCCTGGCGGAGCGTCGTGGCCCGGTTTCCAGTACTGCGCTCCATTTTTCTCAAGGATTCCCCAAAGCGCCTAGGCCTTCCAGTTATGCAAATACTTTTGAGTGCAGATGCCGCCGCCGATGCTGCAGTGCTCGTGTCGGAAGCGTCAGCTGGAGATTCAGAACCGGTGTTTGACGACTTGGTCGTGCCACCTGTGGACGATTCATTTCTCCCGCATCGCGCACATGTGATTCGGCACGGGGAAAGGACATACATGCACGTCGAGATGGATCATCTCCTCATCGACGGGTGGTCGCTGGGGTTAATCAAGAAGGCGCTGCTGGAGGCCTATGAAACCGAAAGCGCTTACAGCGGTGTCACCAGCTCGTACAAGGCATTCGTTGCCGCTCAAACTGCCCCGGAGCGCGTGCTCGCCGACGATGGATATTGGTCACGCCTGCTACACGACTTGTCGCCGTCCTTGTTGTCAACCGCACTTCCCGAGCCTGACCCAGCCTCACGGCAGCACAAGCGTCTGAGGAAGACCCTCATCCCTCTCCCTTCGATCTCGGCCGCGAGCCTCATCCCTTACGGCGCCGCTCATGGCATCACGCCGGCTTCCTTGTTCTCCGCAGCATGGGCGCAGACGCTGTCACATTTTACCGGGCTGGGTGATGTTGCGTACGAATTCATCGTCAGCGGCCGGGACGAAGATATTGGTGACAACCTCGGCACCTCCGCGTGGGACCTTGTAGGGTGCTGCATCAACGTGCTGGTGCATCGAGTGCGGGTGGATACGGACCTGGCTGGTTTGGCGTCGAGAATCCAGGAGGCAAGCGACGAGGGAGTGCGCCGGCAGTCATCCAACGTTCGTGAAGTCGCTCAAAAAGTGACCTCTGCGAAACTGTTTGACACGGCCATCAATTTCCAGCGACGGCCGGCCGCGGTAGAGAATGAGACGCACACGCTGAGGGTAGACGACGACTTGAAGCGAAGTGTGGATCCGTGGCATGTAAGTCTGCACTGCCAATCGGCTTGTTTGATCAAGCGAACCTAATGCGCTAACCGTGTGAACAGTTTGACGTTCTCGTCAGGGTGCTGGATATCACCGACGACAACACCTTCCGGCTATCGTTGGAATTTTTCGAACAGGACTACAGCCCAGAAGCTATGCAGAAAGTAGGAGAGCATTGGTGGCAGATGGTTCAGAACCTGACCGTCTAAGAACAATCTTTGGGGATAGGGAGAGAGGTCGTGAGGAGGTACCATGTAGATAGACTTGAGCGGCCCTGAAAATGAGGATACCACTATAAAGGCCCCTTTGGTTCGTACAACCTTATCCGACTCGTATCTCTGATGCTTGTCAACACTCCTCGTTGTTGCTAGAGCCTCCATTAGCAACAGAGCTTGGACTTTCTGGACGGAGTGATGGTGATGGCGGGCATACCAGGCTACGTGTTTGCGATGCTCAAATTGGGGTCATCGTACATAGTCGAATCTTGCATCACTTTCACATAGGTAGCCACCCACCTCAAGGCAGTCTGCGTACACTGCCACAACGACAATCCTTCTATATGTGTGTGAATGCTCCTGGATACAATTGCACAGCCATGAGGCTTGGCAGTAGACTTGGCAGCCGATTAGCAGGCCACAATGGCGTCTTTTCGAGCATGGTCTCTTTTACTCCAATCATGTCTAGGCACTCGCATTTGCTTCAAATCAAGGAGATTAGTGTAAGCCCGTCCGCTCCCAGAAAATACCCCGTCTTGGTTAAAGCTTTTGGTCGTAGGTGTTTCTGAATGCGCTAGTTCATCTTTGACCATGTGAGAAGGAAAAGCATAACGTGTGTGGGATACCTGCAGTCAGTAAAAGAATAAAACTTCCTATGAAATTGGGGATACTGTCTTCGGGGTCAAAATTATCAGAAAACATCATCTGATTGTCATGTTGTCGCACTGACGTAGTCAATACCCACTGCAGATGACCTGCTTACCTAGGTACATATATCGTTCGCTCTTCAGGACCTCTCTTTTGTAGATTAGAGATCAACTTAGACATCTTTCAATGCTTCCTCGATCATCTCGTCTTCAGTTTCACCTTTGCACATTGGCTCAGGGTGAGACATTATTTCATTCCATCAAGATTAGTATATAATACATATATCATCGCACCAAACTACTGCGCCAAGTTGCCTGTGGTGTTGCACGATATATCACTCTGGACTAGCCTGACCTAGGTGTGCAGCTCCTCCTTTTGCGATACGGCTCAGAGGTACATCGCAATATATGGATACTTTCCAAACACAGGTGTACTATATCATTCTTGCGCCGCATCATCCCTTCAGCCGAGAGCCGACTCTGCGTTTCCCACGACTGAAAAGCAGGATCTGGAGCCTTACCGCCCCTCATTCCGTGTTTTTGTACAAGCTTGTGGTGGAATCAACGTAGCACAAGCAGGGCGTTGAATGCCGCAGCGCGAATGCGGAGCAATGGTCAAGATGCGGCACAGCAATTACATCGAAACACAAAAAGCAAAATAAAAATAAATCCTAGTTGATCCTTCAAGCAAGGCTTTCAAGTCACATTTGAGGTCCAGATCTCCTGGGCGGTGCCGACTGCTAGAATAGCAACAAGGCCCCAAACCATTCGGGCGTCATCGGTCTTTTATCCCGAAACGTATATACCAATAGCCTGAGCATTTAGAGTTTTAGGTGAGCTGTATATAGGTGCCAAAAACTCTAGGATAAGTCTTTTGCTACGGAACAGCGGTATTTGGTGGATCATATAATGCAGCCTTGCATTGATTTGATATTGGTCTCCTGATCGCCATGCAAGACCCGGGGACTACAACCGGATACGGATGGCTGGAGAAATCCTAATAATTCAATGACCAATAAGGTCAGCTTGGCTAACTCCCTGTACCGTGTATAAATGTATGGGGTTCCCAGGGATTAGGCTGGGTCCACCCAAATACTTTGTAAGCCTGTACCTTGTCGTTGAACCAGACTCAACATGGTGTTCAGTAGTGGAAAGGCATCAACGCTTGTGCATTCAGATTATCCCAGTTAGAATCAAGATGATCTCAGTGGTCTCGTAGAGTTTGGGGGGGGGCATCTTGTGTGCTGATACCCTTACACGTATAGTGCAACGTCGACTTCTAGTTCGACACTGATTGGGTCGCTTGCAGGTGATATTGTGCCGTGAGATTACAGCTAATAAGTATCAGAGCCTTGCGGCTTACCCTGGGCGCACATTAGATTAGAACCTGTTATTTTTGAACGCTGAAGGCCAAGTTTTATTATAAGAAACGGATGTAAACTAGCGAGCATGCCCTATTTTCAATTGTGGTCCTTTCTTTTAGTATACCTAGGGAAATAGCTTCCACCGTATCAAGATTTTATTAGTTTCGTCCTTCTTTTCTTCGAAAGACCTTGATTCTCACTGTGGTTACTTCTTGTTTTTTTTGCTTTTGGCTTTTTCGTTATCAATTATATTCGATGTCGAATCTTGGACCTCTTACAACAACATACTCGGCGAGTGGGTCGAATTGCAATTCTATCATCCATTTGAATAATGCTTTAGCATACGGGACAACGAATGCCAGTGCATCTTCATGTTTTCCTACTAGTTTTATCCCTTACGATGGCTATTACTACTCACCTGGGATTTGCCCATCGGGTTATACTTACGCGTGCTTCGCTGGACTCGGTGATAGTGGCACGGCAGCCACATGCTGTCCGTCGTAAGTAATATTCGCAGATTTTTCTTTCATGGTTAACTATTTTTCTTTTTGTTTTTTTTTTCTTCAATTTTATAAACAAACACTTGTGTGCTAATATTTTTTTAATATACAATAGTTCCTATACTTGCCAAACTGGCCGGGCGGGCACTGATCCTGCTGCTTGCGCGTCGGTTATGCTTACTGATAGCTCCTTCACTATTAGTGAGTACATCGAAACAGGTCCGACGACTCGGTCCGCGAAAGTAACGATGTTCTTCACCGCTGGCAATCATGTATATGCGGGCGGTGTTGTTGTGCGCCGGTCTGGTAATGATCCAACGTGGACTGAGACGGGTCCTACAACAACAAGAACAAGCGGCAGTCTGAGCGACCCGACTCAAACCGGGGGGAGCAACAAAACCGATCCAGACACTTCTGGACTAAGCACGGGCGCCAAGGCGGGCATTGGCGTGGGTGTGGCCGTAGGGGCTCTCGTCTTCATCGGGTCTTGCATCGCTGCATACTTGATCGGTAAGCGCAAGAGACAGGCGGCGCGCGCCGAGGCATACCAGGCGCCGCCACAGTTTGCAGAGCACGATATACATCCTGCAGACCATGGAGGCTGGAATGAAGGCGCGAGATTGCAGGAAATGCCGCCAGCGGAGCTAGAGGAGCAGCGGAAACATGTAGAACTGGGTGGGCTTATGGCCTATGAGATGGCAGCGCCAGATGAACACGTAGCAAGAGTATAAATGGATCGAGAAGCAAGGCATCAGATGATGGCCACTACTAGACGTCTTAGTCAGGAAAGTTTTTTTGGACGGAGAGATCGTACTCGCCCTCATCAGAAAACATGCTACGCTCCACTGGAAAATAAGGTTAATTCTGCCAACAAGCAACAAACATAATTGAGTACCTAGTGGTTGGGGTCCACAACGCCTGTACGGCACTTTGCAACCCACAGAACAGCCCGTCAAGATACCAAAAAACCCTTAATATCTCAAGTCCTATCACAGCCTTGCCTATGACAAGGAGGTAAGCTTGTGCACCCCCTGTATGAAAGCTACATATGTGAAATGGCCCCTCCCAGGATCGGTACGTATACATAGTATGAACTGGTTCCGTACTAGGTTAGATGACCCGTATTGACTTGAGAACGAGTGCTGATTGGACTGGCAAATATCAAATCCAACTAGCGCACAAAAGTTTCCCTGTCCCATGGTTACATTGCATACATACATACCCACCCACGACGTCGGTGCCGTACATATTGTGGCGCCTCAAGCCCACGAAAGATGCCATTATAAATGACATGAACTCAGGGTCTATCTACTTCTTGATATATCACTAAGCAGACCTGCCAAATTACGAAACATTGGCTCGCAAAAGATACCTAGCCGTGAGACATTGCGTTATGAACTGCGCGCCGGCGTGTTTGTAAGTATGGCAGAGCAGTCGGACCACCTAGATGTAGGCACAGCCCCACCAGACTGGGAGCGCCACCGGGCACGCATCACACGTCTTTATGCCCTGCACACGCTATCAGACGTGATGCAAATCATGCGTGAGGAGCAGCATTTTACAGCCAGGTAAGGAAATGGTGTTTGTTCCACCATGACTCAGCCGCCTTGAACGTTTGCTCACCGTACATTTGGTGTTAGTCAAATGATGTACAAGAAATATATTCGCAAATGGGGTATTCGGAAAAACCTACGATCCATTCATGTCGTCGACATTCTTCGAAAGGATCCCAATATCGGGTTCAATGAAGTTTCGACTCGGTATACAGGGCTGGTCGATGCAAAAAGGGTCCAAGTCTATTTGCACCGTCTTTCCGAAAAGCGGCGACAGCAGATTGAAATCGAAGCGGTAGCTCATGGTGATGGCGGGCACTTGACTGGGCGCTTGACACCGTCACTCAACGTCGTCACATTCACGACGACAGCCCCCGAACGGTACCTGCACCATGTACAAGACTATATTAGGGGAACATTTACATCCGGAACGTGGTCCAAGCTGTGGGCGCCGAATTCGACCTCGTATGCGAGGAATTTTTACCTAATCGATTTGGCGATAACGGCAAAAAATGCCTTCATTCACGGCTATAGTAGCGAAGCCTTCGGCATCATCCATCTTGCCTTCAGTCAGCTTGGGCCCTGTATGAGATCCGATACAGTCGACATGCTGGCTTGCATCCATTGGGTGGGCTTGATCTATTACAGCTTCAGCCCAGAGACTGCCGGTTCTTGGTTCAAGTACAGTATTGGTTTGTCCAGAATCATCTATGCCTCGGGCCACTATCCGCAGTATCAGACGGCTTGGATCGAGCAACTGGGCGAGATCGAAATAGAGCAGTGGATCCATGTGTCAGTGCGAGCAATCGAGTTCAACATGCGCAACTTGTGCAAGCATCTCATCAATGATGGAAGACCAAAGTCAGACTTTGTTCCATTGACAGCAATGCTGATATCGCGTACTCGTGGGATGGGAGCGGCCGTCATTCCGCCGGCCGATTTTGCCAATGTAGGACGCCTGACGTGGGAGGGGTTTGGTTGCGTAGACCTCGAGGACTCCTGGACCAAGTTTGCGCTCGCCGGCGTCCTCTTCGACGAGGGAAAATACAGCAAAGCAAAAGGAATCGCCGAGGATATTTTGAAAATGAACAAGGCCGACAATCGTCAAGTGGTAGGGCTTTGCTTCCGGATCCTGTTTTTAATTGCCATGAAGACCGGAAACATGGACGACGCCATGTTCTGGGCCAGAGAGTCTACCTCATTTTGGACAACTCATCTAGACGCCGAGAATGAGCTGACGATCGATGCAATTTATGACATGCAGGAGCTGCTGCGCAGCAGAGGTGACGTCGGTGCAGCAAGAGACTGTCAAAAGCATATCAGCACTATGTTGAACCGAAGATGCGAGCGCATACAGCGGGAAATTCACGGTTACGATGTTTCGAGCAGCTCCTCTGAGATGCTAGCCAGCAGTAACATTGTCGGAATGTGGATAACTTGCAGATGAACCAGGTTCTAGGTATTGGCGGGGCGGATTGACGTGATTCAACTATTGAGAGGAGATGATATGATTACATCGTGATTAACTTCCATCTCTTCCCGATCCAGTAAACAACTCATGGAGCCTGCGCAGCATTGTCCGATTTCTTGGTGGAACCGACCGTGTGATTCGCGATCAGAGGATGGTGTTCACTATTTAGAGTAAAGTTCCTCTTATCCCTCCCAGATCACCTCAATGACAGCCAAAGCTGACCTAGGAGGCGTGTTGATCGAGACAACTTTGAACCTGGCATCAGCTTTGGCAAAGAGTCCATACCAGTCCTCTTTGCTACGGTCTTGAGCATTGAAGATCATCTTCATGATCAAGTCTGATCCCCTATTCTGTTTATTAGCCCGTAGTTATCAATTCTTTGTGCCAAAGAGTATGACTTACCAAGCAATCTGGTTCTTTACCAATCTCGATGCATCAGGCTCAGGGAGACAGGCCTCATTCACAAATAGTCTGGCGCCAGGTTTCAAGGCTGGGATTTGGTTCCTCAGCATGCGCACTGCGTACTTGTCTGACCAATTATGAAAGATATTGCGGAATATGTAGACGTCCGCATCCTTCACCGCTTGCTCCTCAAAGAAATCGTACGCGCCAAAACTCAAGCGTCCTCGTAACGCCTCTGGCACTTCGGTTCCCTCCACCACTTCCGGTCTGTCGAGGGAAATAGCCTCCTGGATTCCATCAAATCTCTGCAAGAGCGCCATGCACAACCTGCCCTCGGAGCCGCCAATGTCCACGACCTTCCGCGGACATGACTCGGGGCTTTTATCCCACCCGCAGCCCTCGACGAAATGCCGAACATCGTGGCTAGGTATCTTACTTGCAAGCGACATGGCACTGGCCACCATAGACACCCTCTCCGGGTCCCCCGAAATGGCCGAGTAGTAATCCGTTCTGACGGCTGCTGCCCCCTCGTCGTCCCCTTGCTTTGGTGCAAACGTCCCCAGGAGAGCGGCCACGCCTGCCGCATCACCCGGCTCCTCCGACCCCGGATAACGCTGCAGCGTGTCGGCCAGCACCAGCCCCGCAGACGCTTGTTCCTGGAGCAGCATGCCCAGCATGTCGTGCGCGGGCGGCGTCGCGGCCAGGAACGCCGACGGAGCATTGTGGCGCACCATGCCCTTTTCGGGCTCGTCAAACAGGCGCAGCGACGTGGCCATGCGGAGGTAGCGGCGCAGGTCCGCCTCGGGCAATCCACAGCGTTCCGCGAGCTGGGAGTGCGATATAGTCTCGTTTGGGCCGAGGTGTTGTGCGATGCGGAAGCGGTAGATGCCGTGCAGTGTTGCATTGATGGCGGGCTTGGAAGAGATTTCTTTTTAGTGATAGATCGCCATGACTTGGGAAATGCCGTTGAAGCAAGAGTTACACCAGGGAATCATGGTAACAACGAGATCAAAAGTATTGATAAGATATGCACGTACCACGGGAAGCATGGACGAAAAGAGATGGCCGACAGGACCGAGCACCAGGGCTCGCAGCTCGTCGAGAGCTTCTATCAAATCATCACGGATATCTTCAAGCTCGGAGCCGATCGGCAATACCGCTGGAGCTGCAGCGTCAAAGGATGGTTGTGGAATGCCTGCAGATTTCAACCCGCCCTCGATAGAGACTGTCCGGATTTGGATCAGCTGAGCTAACTCGGATAATGATCTTGTTGGAGACATTCTGGAAATTAGCAAGTCGTTAATTTTCTTGAGTCGACCTTTGTTTCAAGATTCTATCTCATGTTGCTGTCTTCCTATTACTCATCTTTATATTCTTCGGTATATCGAGCTTAAGCGCCGCATCCGTAAGCCCGCCTCGGATCCGCTTATTCGGGGTCCTAGCCGGGCCCGGAGCGGAGATCGGCTTAAGCGGGCCAGTCTGACTGGCCTTCACCGTCCAAGTCTAAATAGTTAATACTCCAACCTTGTATTAATTAGCCGGCGAAATTACTCACATATCCTCACCGCCCGATCAAGAAATTGCGACTCGCGTGGTGGTAATGCGCCTTGCCCCTCAGCTGCATGTTTGACAAGTCAAGGTGCTCAAAAGGTTTGGATCTGGCGGTTACTGCCAACGCTCACCACTGTGCCTTTTAGTATGGGAAGGTGGCACAAAGTTGGCTGGCTGTCAATAATAGACGCTAAAAGGCAGAAGCATGGATCAAAGCATTGTATTGTGACTTTCTTCTGTAGTGCTCATTGTCATGACGCCTTCTGCCAGGATGAAATCGCGGCTCGCCTCACCGTCTGGGACTCGGCGTTATTGATTAGGTTTCATTCATGTAATCACGGTAAGAGCTAGAAAACTTGTGCTAAAGGTTAGCTTCAATACTTATCTCTTTTGTTTGTATCGTCGCTTTGTACGAGGCCACCCCCGAAATGTGGCCTCCGTGTGGTACTAAGCTGGGCTGAGACTGAAACGGGGCCTGGATCCTGACGGTCCTTTGCTTCGTTGTACTCGATTACCAAGGCGCCTCGATTCGGTGATTGACAAAGTGCAGTATTTCTCCACGCCTCCTCCAGCTCCTGATCCGCATCCAAAACAGGCGTACTAGCGATCTCCAATAAAGGTGCCTGGGCGGAATACCGCACGGCGCAGTAAGGTCGATATGATTTCGGTGTTGTGCCGCATCCGGATTCAATCTTCAACTCTGTTAGCAAAGGCATGTCGCTGGCAGCTTTTGCCGCAGCTAGAAACCATGGCTTAATGGTGGTAAGATTGGGCGCGCCGCGGAATTCGTAGAGCCTCCAGTCCTCCTCAGCCGGTGCGTCTGGCTTATCGTCCATGAGATTATCTGCCTCGAGCCATGCCTCTTCATCTTCGATGGCGTCGGGGTGTTGGTCGAAGAGCCAGTTCCCGGAAGGTGTCACAGCGGAAAGAGTCAGATTCAAAGTCTGCATGTTGGGCCATTGTGCGGCGTCGGTGGAATCGTGCTCGGAACCTCTAGGTACCAAGAAATTGTGTTCAAGCGAGGCTTTAATATCGACCGTGACGAGACCCTTGCAGAGCTTTCGCAGTGCTGTACTGAGTCGATCTCCTGCGAAGTCCCCAGTATCTAGGATGTTTGTGGGCGAGTGTTTATGGTTCCTGGGAGGGGTCCGCGTATAGTGTAGAACCACGCGCTTCAATGACTGCGGCAGATCGGCCAGCCGCTCCGCAAAGTCCCGTCTCAAAGCTTTTCTGAGTGAGACATCCTTCTTCTCGTTGTCAGAGAGATGCCATATGATCTTGTCAAGCTTGCCTAGCTTGGCTGCGATACGGCAACAAGCGCTTGGGCTGATGCGGCGATACTTGAGGTCTTGCTCCACCGGGTCAGGGACGCAGAAGGTCGAAAAACAATCAATTCTCGATTTGAGAGGTCCCAAGAGGTCAAGATAACTCTGATCAAAGCGGGCATTCAAAATATTGTCGGTGAGACCATTCATCCTCGTCCTACGTATGCGAGGCCAGTCGGGACAGCGCCAGGGATCACTCGGTGAGTAGGCGCGCAATCGCAGCACCCGATCGTGACTGTTGTTGGAATTGGGCGCATCTAGTTTGTGCAAAAGGGCAAATAGCGCATCTAGACTTTGGGTGAAGCACTGATTGTTGCTGGCCTTGTCTGCCTCGTTTTCCACGCGACAGGCGGCCGCTTCATCATAAGCGTCTAGGACCACCTCTAGATCGACCAAACGTACATATTCGAGTCGTTGGGATGTGACGATACGGCCAGCAGCCTTCAAGCGTTGAGTAGAGAGGAACAATTCCTGAAAAGTCTGCCTTTCCACGTGGTGTTGCCAGAGCTTGGAGACAGTGGCCAGATGGGCAATTGATCCATGTTTCTTCCAGGGCTTGGCTATGCTTGTAATGGGTAGTCCCATTCCATTGTCTGGCACGAGATAAGAGATGATTCGAATGAGTATCTCTGGCGGCAGTTTGTCCATACTGAAGGGTCCAAGAGAGGTGAGCTGCGACGCGGGATGGTTCGAAATTTGGTTATGGTGACGGTTATGCCTGGTCTGCATGTCGTGTTCAAACCGGAGCAGGAGGGGTCAGGGCAAACTGAGGGATTGATGGCTACTACATTCTGTATGGGATCATGGTGGGGGCAATGCGCTGTTACGGCGCATCGTTAGGTATAAGCGAGCTACACATTGCATTATATCGTATCACAGGCTATCGAGGAAATGGTTCACTTTCGATATGTAGACACTGTTAGAGATATAGAAATAAATGGAGCGCTTCTATATATACATATTCATATTAACTATCCAACCTTTTTTAAAGCAACTCAAATGATATAATGATTATCACCCATATTTATTATGTGACGGCGTAGCAACGCCATCACCGGGCTGCAGCTAACTAAGCCCGACCTCCCCACCCCAGTGTTAGATAGCTGATTAGGTACCTATTTAGCGGGATCGGAGATCCCGCAAACGTTTAATCGCCAGCTTAGTTAATTTACAAAACATACCCTTTTATATACCTAGCTGAGCCTCATTAAGAGGGTGTGCACCGTGACCAGCACCGTCTGAACCAACGTCAGTACAACAGATCAATATGTACATGTAGATTTGACATGCAAGGCGAAGCGTTAGTCAGCTTTTACTTGACTTGCCATCGACTTGGAAAATGTGGTCAAAGATAAACGCGATTCAAGCAATAGGATTGGAATTGCGCTGTTGTGAAGGCTCGTGTATAGGACAGCACGGAGATTTCGACAGGCACTCTTCGGACAAGCTAGGTGATTGGTATGGAAATACTGTACCGCGTGATTGAATCACAAGTAAGCCTGCCTTTTCATGCAGTTGAAATCGCCTGCGGAGTATTTAAAAGATCCTGGCTATATCCATTTTGATCAAGCTCGATATTGCCTTTGCTCTTTTTTCTTCTTCTTTTCTTCGCAAGCATAAGAAATTATGCCAGGGAGTCCAGCTCTACCGTTACCAACCATTGCTCGTCGTGAGAATTTTGAAAGAGGTCCTAGTACAGTAGAATCTTGTCAAAATCTTTATCTAGTTTATGACTCAACTCTCCTTCCATCATCCCATCTATGTAGCATTCTCCGATTAGCGCCCATAAATCTAGACCATTGGCCGTGGTCATCTTTCTCAGGACGACAGGAACTGTGCAACCAACGAGTATGGCAATCCGATCACCAGCGCACGATCTGATGGGCACAAGACCAAAGGACGTGGTTGTTGTGGCAAACTGTCGACTCCCTGAAAGCATGAATCCCATGGAGCAAAGGGCTTCTTGGCCAAAATGACTCAAAGGTAGAGATGCACGTTTATTTTTCTCCTGCTGGCCGTGTTTCTCCACGAACGATGCCCGAAAGGCTCTCCGGGCGTCACTAAGCCAAGAATTGGTAACATGGCGTACACGGTCCCCAACTATTCTCCTATTCCCAGTCATGGCTCTGAGCAAGTGATCGCTAGGGCAGCCATCATTGTCGACGTGATGCTCCATCCCAGGCATCCGAATCCATTGTTCCCAAGGGAGTCGGATTGTGATTCCCTTTCCGTGACGCAGCGCCGAGGGTGGTTCGCAAGGTGCAATTGCTTTAATGGTATCCACAAATCTTCCCAGACCAGGAAAGAATGAGCAAGTATCAATATCATCATGGAAACCATGCAAGAGGCTCGAGGAGATATTGAAAGCATAGTAAACCGCTCCATTGTGGAGTTTGAAGTGATGAAGAGGGTCGTGAGTCATGTCCGACATTTTAGCACAGTCAAAGCAATAGTCAAAGTGACCACTGCAATCTTGGCACCGAACGCCTGCGCCTTCAATCTTCTTGTCGCATCCATCACACAAAATATTGTCGGCCTCAACGCGCTCCGGGTGATCAAGCGGCAAACGCCGGAGAGGCTGGCCAAATGTCGTTAGCGAATTGCGCTTATAACCAAGTATCCGGCAAACAAAGCTCTCAGAGGGCTCATTATCATCTGAAGTATTTTTGTCTACACGGACATTGTTTTCATTCCTGAAGGTTTCGTCCCGGGGGGCAAACCATGGGGTCCAGCCAGACTTGAGGGACTCAATCATTTGTCGGGATTTGTCATCTGCACAGTGGCATATGATATCCTCAGACCCGGTTCTTTTCATAATTTGCAACGAGACCTTGCGATAGAGATCAGCCACTGTTGCTGTCGGACTATAGTCCGGTAACCAATCTGACATGTTGACATCAGATGCCATGGACAACAAAGCATACACGCCATCAAGGGGGTCAAAACATGCGAAACCAGCAAAGTCGTCCAAAAGCTTTTCCAACGACAGTTCGATGGTTTTTCCTTTCTGTATCGCCTTCTGGGTACTGGTGAGGCGATAGATTGAATCAACAGGATCGACATCCATGGACGGTAACACGTTGGCATGCCCTGGTATGCGTTCCCAAACGTTGTGTCTCTGATGGCCCTTAACACGATGGTATGGATTCTCCTTCAGCTTCATGCTAAGAATGTTCACATATTCCAGACACTTTTTGCGACTGCCAATCCAGAAGTCAACATGGCCCGATAAAGCAAATTCCTGCACGACCCAGCGACGCGTGAACCACGGGCGAGCGAAGAAGTCGTATATAGCCACCCAACATTCGTCCGTGTTTGTAGGAGACATTAAGAATTCGTCGCAAGCCTGGGTGAACTTGCGAGTTGCCTCAGCTCGGTCGGCTAGATACTGAGCGCTCTTGGACTGGAAAAGATTTGTGATATGAGATCGATCGAGCTTCTCGAGGTGAGCTTCGAACCGATCAATCAGATCCAACGCCAAGTCGCTGTTGTGAGAGGGTTCTCCAAGCCAGACAAAAGTGTTTTGCCCACGATACACCTTGTCCATTGTCCGGACCTGGTGACCCTTTTCAACCGTGTCATCCTGATTGATGCAGATTGCATCGACCCAAATGACCCGATTCTTGAAGGAGCGACGCGCATGCTGAAGTAATACTTTGAGGTTTGGTCTCATGAGAAAGGGGTGCGACTGTTCAGCCTCCTCCGAGTGCCTGAGCAATATCTCGGCGGCAGGCTTCTCGATTCCCCATGTATATGATATTGGGTGGTAATAAGGCGCGTCTCCCCGAGGCAGTTGAATCAATACACCACTGAGCTTCTCTTCGTCTTGGTCGGAGGCTTCATCAAGCTTCAAGAGCCGGAAGTAGTTATCCGGGTCCTTCAAAGGCGTGTAAATTGGGTTGTATTCGGTGCCCATTGTCCGTTGTATATATTGTAGTACTCAGCAAGGGATGCACCTTTTGCTAGTTGCGGGATAAACCTAGGCGCTGTGCACTGCCCCGAGAGATGTGACTCCAAAATTTGAATCGGTTACCTTAATGGCGTGCCCAATTGCGAGCTGATTGAGAAGCTTGTAGGACTTTGGAACGCGAAATGAATAACAGATTGAAAGACCCTTTTTCAATTGTCGGATAATGGTGGGAAGAAAGGATTTCACATAAGGAATCGACTTCATTCAGCTAAGCTGTTTCAGTCGTGCCGATGGGTAGCCATAGTTTTGAAAGGCCTTTGAGGTGTGATATAATATGCAAGTTGACGTAGCTTTGCTGGTGGGCATCTTCCCAGCGTTTAATCAAATATCTTTTTGGAAGAGGTATTGCAGCGGGATACAGATGTACCGAGCTGAGATGTCAGCGAACCAGGTATAATTCCAGTCCACCATCTTTCTAGAGCCTTGCAATGGTGATCTCAGCAATTCATTCTTCTTGATTCGAGTGGCCGATATCTCGGAGGACATACAAAACCAACGACTTTCAAGCTATTGCGCCACGATACAAGTCATCAAATGTGACATTTATCATGTATTTAAATATGTTGAGGCAATAAATCGCGATCTCAAAAATCATAATACCTAATCGGTTGCAAGGGGCTGTGCGTGCTGCTCCAGTTTATCACCACTCGGTTAAGCCCGCCCGAATGAGCACTGTGATCCGGCTCGCAGTGTGACGGCGTGCGACGCCATCACCTGGTTGCAGCTGACTGGGTCCTGTCCAAAGAAAATGGATCACTTATTATATAAAACACATCTGCAGTTCATTGCATTTGTGTAGAGGCGCAGTACAGCGAGTACAGCTATGGCGACCAATGTGAATTAAGAATTTGAGATCTTCACTATTTATTGCCCTAATTTTCTTCGTAGCCCGCATAATTGCAAGCATTAACGTATCACATTTGGATTATGGCCAACACATTGGGGGCGTCATATTCTATCTGGCCTCCCACTCGCCCCCTCTGTCCCCTTCCCCCCGCTCCCCCCCCCAAAAAGCAATATAGATGGTGAAATCACAAATTGTTGAATTACCATGGTAAGGCTCCATGAAAGATGGTAGACTAAACCCGTATCTGATTTGCCCATATTTCAGCTTCAAAGCCACTCTGAGTAAGACGGAAGCGCCTAGGTTAGGTGCTGGGCGCTTAGCGTGTCGTACCACCTATATCTAAAAAGTGCAGTATTTCTGGAATAGGTAACACGGCAGAGCAGTCATGTCAATTTTATTTCTCCTCGACTTCGCTAAACTACTTTGCTCAATTGTTTTATTACTGCACACCTCACAACCCGGAGTTACTTGCAGACGGCATTGGCATTGAAATTGAAAGGTAGCTCTGCAAAAGCATCCCATCTGCGTTTAATTCGGTGTTATATAGCACCGTATTACCTGCCGCCCATGGAGCACACACCCATTAGCCTTCTCGTCCTCGGGCTCGTCTCAGTCCTCTCTTACATTTGGTTTCGACAAGTCCTGAAGCGACCGCGACAGACTTCACTCAACGCATGCGATCGCCGCCCAGAAGAGGAACTAGAGAAACCCGACAAACAGACTCCTTGGCAAGATGAAGCTTCCCAGCTTGGGCACGAAAGCCCTGCAGAAGAAGCTTCAACGACCGTAGCATCTTCCCATGCCCGATCGCCTCTCGAAATCCTCTATCCAGGCCAGTCCGATAAGTCGATTGAAGTCGAGTAAGTAGGCCTCAAAAACTTTATCCACCTACTAACAAAGTCCAGTATTGTCGCTGTACACGGATTAGGGGCCAACGTCGATTGGTCTTGGATTCATAAAGACGGGCCACGCGAGATAAACTGGTTGCGAGATAGCGACATGCTACCAGCTCAAGTGCCACAGGCTCGCATCATCGCATACAACTACGAGTCAAAATGGCATTCCGATGCACCGAAGACGCGCCTCCGTCTCTGTGGCGAAGATTTGATTGTCAGTTTGGATGTCTTCCGCGCTGATTGTCGCGACAGACCCCTCATGTTCATTGGCCACAGCCTCGGGGGCAACGTGATCCAACATGTACGTCAATGCATCTGATATACTACTCTCACTTGCTTACGGCTGCCGATAAGGGACTCCTCTATGCCGACCGCGAAAGTGATTACAGGAGCGTAATCGAAGCCACCACCGGCTTGATATTTCTCGGCACCCCTTTCCGTGGTAGCAAGATGCAACCGCTCGCAGTATTCGCCGCTGCGCTGATGACACCTATGGGATCACACAGCGGGATAGTAAAGAACCTCGGTTACGACGATGTCGATCTTCACGACAACTTGCACGACTTCTGCCGCCTTTGTAACCGCCTGTCACTTACCTCGTGCTGCTTCTTTGAGCTCGATAGCACGGACTATGGCAGGAAGGCAGGCATCTCAGGTATCATAAAGGGGATGGTACATCTCGTCATCTTGATCGTTTGTGGTAGCCTCACTAAGACTGAAACAGTGCGTGGAAGAGGCATCCGCATGCATCACAGGCCACGACAGGTTTAGCCTTCAGACGGATCACTTCAAGCTCAACAAGTTCGCCGGGCCCGGTGACCGATCCTTCCTTCTAGTCTCGTCAAAGATCAAGAAACTGGCCGATAACGCGGCAGGCATCGTGGACCGTCGGAGAAACCGTGTGTCTCTTTTAACTCTAAGATGAAAACTAGCTAACAGATCATTAGCATTGGAGATCGTGACGAGCAATGACTGTATGTTTCTGTCCCCTCAGTGAAATTCGCCACTGACAACTTTTAGATGCTCACACGAAGAAGCCAGAAGCCCGTAACTGCCTGCGCGATCTGTTTTTGAGCGACCCGGCCGAGGACAAGCAGAGGCTAAAGCGCAAAAAAGGAAAACGCGCAGCGAACACGTGTGAATGGGTCCTTTCAACGGAAGAGCTGACAGCTTGGTTGGGTACCGGTACAGAACCCACAAGTCGTTTTAACGTCCTGTGGCTCTATGGGAATCCGGGCACTGGAAAGTCCACCATGGCGCTCTATCTCGCAGACGAGCTAGCCAATGTGTTCACTCGAACGAATGGGAAGACACTTGCCTACTTCTTCTGTGACTCCAGTATTGAGGAGCGGAAGACCGCAACAGCGGTGGTGCGGGGTCTTTTGCTCCAACTGGTTCAGCAACATCCGCAACTCCTCGACGACATCCTCCCCAAGTATGATGAGCGAGGCGCTAACGTATTCACGTCATTCGACGCCGTCTGGTCTATGTTTATAAAAGCGGCTGCAGACAAGAAGACCGGAGTCAAGTTTTGCATCATCGATGCCCTTGATGAATGCGACGCGGCGTCTCAGAAGACACTCCTTCAACAGCTGGAAGAGACCTTTAAAGACCCCGAGAGTGTGCGAAACGTGAGTTTCCTGATCACCAGCCGGCCATACCCGGAGATACGCGAACCACTGGAGCAGTTTGCGACAAATGCCGATTTGGCAGCATTTCCACAAGTGACCAAGGATATCGAACGCTGTATCGCCGAGAACGTGGCGACGCTTGAGAAGAGGAAGTATTATACAAAGGCCGTGACAGAGCAAGTCAAGAAAATTCTTCGTGACAAGGCCCAGGGCACGTTCCTCTGGATTGGTTTAGCCTGCAAAGAATTGACCGATGTCGACTCCAAAGATGCCGTCCAGTGCTTGCAAGACTTGCCCCAAGGACTTCCCGCTCTCTATGAATCCCTTCTCGAGAGGGCAATGCAACGACCACACGCGGACAAGCGCATTATCCAACAAATTCTGAGCTTCGTGACAATTGCCCGACGCCCGCTAGAGATCCTGGAACTCGCAAATGCTTGCGGAATATATCAGGACGAAGACCGCGAAACCCGATCCCAGTTCACACAAGAGGCAGTACGATCTTGCGGTCTTCTGATCGTCGTTCAGGACAATCGCTTATACTTGCTTCATAAGTCTGTCACAGACTTCTTGATCCAGTCTCGAGACTACATCCAATTCGATGAGCTGCATTCGCATGCCGCGCTGGCGTACCGATGCATCGACTATCTGATCGAACAGCATGAGAATGAGAGGCGTGCCAACCCCAGAGAAACGGAACTCGAAAGCTACGCGGTAGCTTTTTGGCCAGAGCATGTACGCCTCGCAGGATCGGTATTCAAGATACTGGCTCGCCAGACCGTGTTCTTCACGGTGGATTCCGAAGTTCGAGATAGCTGGAGAAGGGCATGGAACTCAAGGCAAAATTCGTGGAAAGAAATACCAGATCAGTCCTCTTTGGCTCACGTGGCGGCTCGATTGGGACTTGTACCATTGATAGAGTATATGTGTGATCAGGGTATCCACGATGGGCCAGTCGACTGGGACAGCAGTGACTCGAGCGGTCGATCACCGCTAGAGTTGTCTGCTGAGGCGGGAGATGTCAGTTCCATGTCGCTCTTGCTACAAAAGGGCGCTCGGGTAAGCCACAGAGTATTGGTAGCCGCGGCCGGGATTCCATTGAATGGTCCAGCGATGTTAGAGTTACTACTTGACTCGCAACGCGACCAGGTCGTGGTAACCGAAGGCATCGTTCAGGCGGCAGCTAGAAACCCGTATAACGGCGAAGAAATAATAAAGCTACTCCTCGATCGACGCGGTAACCAGGTTATAGTAACCGAAGGCATCGTTCAGGCGGCAGCTGGAAACCCGTATAACGGCGAAGAAACAATAAAGCTACTCCTCGATCGACGCGGTAACCAGGTTGTAGTAACCGAAGGCATCCTTCAGGCAGCAGCTAGAAATGGGCGTAGCGGCGAAGCAGTAATGAAGCTGCTCGTTAATGCCCGAGGCGGGCACGAATGCAATATTCTGCAGGTAGCTTCATCTCAAGGATACCGGGAAATTGTGCAACTCCTGCTCGAAAACAAAGTCGACGTCAATGCCCAAGGCGGGCATCACGGCAACGCTCTGCAGGCAGCTTCAGCTATAGGGGATGAGGAAATCGTCAAGATGCTGGTCGACCACGGGGCAGACGTCAATGCGTCCCATAACGCAGCAACTCCTTTATTGACAGCTGCAAAAAAGGGGCACGAAGAAGTAGTATGCATACTTCTCGCTGCCGGGGCAGACTATCGAGTTACGAACAATTTTGCTCGATCGGCTCTCATGTACGCTGCTATCCATAATCTCCCCAGGGCAGTGGACGTTTTACTCGGGAAGCCTGGTCTTGATATCAACGCGAAAGATTACTGGGGCGGAACGGCAATATCTTTCGCTGCTCGGCTTGGACACTCAGAGATATTCCAAAAACTCGCAACTCTGTCCAATATTGATTTGCAGGCGAAAGACTGCTTTGATCGGACATCTCTCTGGTGGGCCCAGAGGCAAGGGCATATGAACATTGCAAATGCTCTTATCGAGTATGACCAACCAACAAATGGTGGACCGAGAACAGCCCAAATGCTGGCCGCAGCTGGAGAATCTGCGAGATTCCCAAGTAATATTTCGCACGGAGGTTTTTGTGATGTATGCATGGCCATGTTGAATCGCTCATGGTTCAAATATACCGCATGCGAAGGTGACCGTATTGTCATATGTCCGGAATGTCATGGGTTAGGTGTCTGCTGTCCCGGGAAATCCCACACGCTGTCATTTGAAGAATGTTGGTAATTGATCAATTAATTGTTTGTTTGATGGAATGAGTTGGACGTCTCGTTTCGTGAGACGTGCTGGGTGCGGTGCCAGCATGGTCTATGCTAATCAAATCCATGTTAGAAAGGTTGATTTCTACCTAGTATTCCCGTTTATTGCGATAGACAAATTCCCGCGAAGAACTTGGTCTCCTCCGCCTATTGACAAAACAGACGAGCATTATTGGCCGTGCCTCAAAGGGAATTTATACTATTTTGTTTTGACTATATATGCCTTTTGATAAGGTGCAATTATCCGCTTTTCTCTTTGGTTCTCCTTCCCTTGCTACACCTTTCTATTTTCAGTTTCGAGACGACTTATGGAGATGATGCTTTGAATCTCCGCGACATGTGTAGAATCGGTCACCGTAGCATGTCATGTGCACATCATCATCAAAAAAACAAATCTTGCTCTAACATTGATTTTCTAGTTCTAGACACTGTTCTAAGTAGTCTAAACACGGGCATGTCATCCAAATTGCAAGGGCTGGAGAGAAACTTCTTGTTGGCTTTAGCCAGAGCCCATATCGCTCTAGAGCTTTGCCAGGATGGCATCAACACCAGAGACGTCGACGCCCTTGACCGGCTCCTTCTCAGCATAGGTCACGGTGCCCTTGTCGACAACGAGGGCATAGCGGTCGGTCCGCGGCGTGCCCGGAATGGTCCAGCCGATGCTGGAGCTGAATGCAGTGTTGTCGTCTGACATGAAGAGCTGCAGCGGGTGAAATTGCCGTGTTAGTTCTTGACTTGTGGACACCTGTGTGTTGCGCCGCGATATTGATTCAACTTACAATCTTGTCGTCGACAATGCCATTGGCCTTGCCCCAAGCAGACATGACAAAGGGGTCGTTGTAGGCAATAAAGATGATGAGATCGGCGCCGCCCTTCTTGAGCTCGTCAAACTTTTGGATGTAGCCAGACAGGTGGTTAGCCTGGCAGGTTGGCGTGAAAGCGCCGGGCACGGAGACGAGGACAACCTTCTTGTCCTTGAACTCCTTGCTGGCGTCAAACTTGATGGGCATTCCGCAGGCAGTCACCTCGGACGTCTCTGGAGACGGGGCAACATATGTGAAGCTGATGCCCTCGGGGAAAGGCTTGCCGACCAGGTTAGACATTTTGGAGGTTGTTTGAAAAGGAATTAACAAGGTATAGGGTTCTCAAGAGTGGTCAAATATGTAAGGGTCTACTTTTCATAGAGTTGCACCAAGCAGGAAATTGTTGCGTCTTTGGAAGCTTATATTTATATACGCATTTTCCTCAGCTGCCCCTCAGGGTCCTTGGAGCTCGGCCGCCGTATTAGCGGGAAGAATGCGGGGTGGGTGGGTGCCAGGTGGGATGTGATGCGCGCGCGCGGGCGGATGATGGTGGGGTTGATTCCAGAGAGCGAATCGATTGGAAATGCATGTGGTTTTCCACCCTTTCCGCTGACTTATTGTCCAGAGGTCGCTATAATATCGTCATTGTACCCCTGCTTGCCCTTCGCATGCGGTCAGCATCGGCGGCCGCACCAGCATCGCTTCAAAGCTTGTGTGTAACGTGTATGGAATCAATGAAATCGAAAGACTAGAACTTCATGAAAGCAAAGTCTCTGGTAGATGCCGACAACCCAAATAAAATAGAAATGTCCTAGCCAAGATTTACAAGAAACTCAGCCGCAGCTTGTAGTAACTAAAAACAACGTCATGGGCGATGGATACGTGGACGGTCAGCAGCTAGTGAAGATCACCATCAACAAGAATTAATTCTCTACAAATTCTTGCTTCCACGATCAATGATTCCATCGTATGGTTCAGCCAATTCAAATCCACACCGTCACACTGATACTAGCTATCGCTCTTGAGAAAATATGACTTTTCACTTGCCGGAGATGGACAGCCACAAGGCCACCCTCACATGTGGACTGCTAGGTGTCCTGTCTACCACTGTCTTTTTCAGCATGAACACGACCATAAATTACCTTACGATTCCGACTGTATTCCTGGGTCATCCGCCACTGCATAGCTCGGAAGCCTCAGCATCGGGCTTCCTAGTCCGTTCCACCGAGAAGCCGGCCAGTGCCGTGAGCCACCTCAACAGACAATGGCAGGAGATATACTGGCGTGGGCACCGCGTCGGTCCCGGGTCGGCCATATTCAGCGGGATTGCACTCGGCGCTGCCTCCTTCTTCAGCTCCCATGGCCAGGCCATAAAACCTGGCCGCTGGCTGCTGTTTGCTGCCGCTGGAGCCATTGCCATGTCCGCCTACCCTTACACGGTGTTCGCCATGGTGCCGACCAACGACGAGCTGCACCGCCGGGGCGACGCCATCACGGAGGGTCTCGCGGAGAAGAAGGATTTTGATGAGGGCGAGACAGCAGCGCTGCTCGCCAAGTGGGTGCGCCTGAGCAAAGTCAGAGCAAGCCTGGCATTGATTGCAACGGCGTTTGGGGTTGCTGGTCTGTTGTGGTGAGATGATGATCAAGTTATATTGTATGCTAGCTGGTCAGTGGAACACGTATTTCGGATACTGGAATCAGATGAGTTGCATCGCTGCATTTTAGACTTGGCATATAAAATACCAAAGACGGTCGGGTCATTGCTGGAATATTTAGGTAGAATCCAGATGTAGTCAGTTTGAGAATCTTTTCTTACATGTAATGTTATGTGTTATGTAGGTACATACCTTTGAGGTAGGTAGGAAGCTTTGCAGGGACGGACAGGGCTGCATGGATATGATGTTTAATCCGGCATCGGCTCTGATGCCGCTAAGAAACAGCGGCTGCCAGCCACAAGGCAGGCACATGCAGCGCCACAAAACTTTTACATTACATTATACACATCTTTTCTCGCCTGGTTCATTGACAGCTACAACAAATCTTGCAATTCAACGCAGAACCCCAAATTCTGGATGAGTTGCTTGCTTTCTAGGCAATTTGTAATGTATTGTTACTAGATTTCACAAAGAGAGCTTCAACACCTACATTCATTTCCTTCGTTTCGCGAAAACACCAAAAAAATGGCGTCATTCCTCTCGCGGGCGGCGTCCAATTCCCACGTCCAGTTTGCGACAACTGCCGTAGTATCTGGCGCAGTGGTCGCGGGAACGATTCTTGGATACCAACGACTTCAGCGAGAGTCGCGCATCAGCCACCTCAAACATTCGATACCCGAACTAGAGAACGACGATACAGTACGGTCGGTATGTTCTATACTACTTCCCTGCCTTGTCTTCTCCAGCTTTTCAAGGCCTATTCATGTGTTCCCAGGCTTACTGACCGCAAAGCTGTGCAGATAAATGATTTTGGCGGCGCCTCACCCTCCTCCTCGAAAGCAGACGAAGAAGACCGACGGAACGAAGAGCTCGCACGACGCGCACAGGCCGGCGACTTTGACGACGAGCTGATCCTCGAGCAGCTGGCGCGCAATAGGGTATTTCTCGGGCCCGAGGGGCTGGAAAAGCTACGCAACGCTTTTGTCGTTGTCGTGGGCTGCGGTGGCGTGGGATCGCATGCCACTGCGGCGCTGGCCCGGTCGGGCGTGTCCAAGATCCGGCTCGTCGACTTTGACCAGGTCACACTGAGCTCGCTCAACAGACATGCAGTGGCTACGCTGGCGGATGTAGGAACTGCCAAGGTTCTCTGTCTGCACAAACGGCTCATTGCCATTACACCGTGGACCAAGTTTGACCTGCGCCAGGAAAAGTACTGGGACGAATCGGCCGACCGCTTGCTGCAGCCGTGGCAAGACAATGATCAGAAGCCAGACTTTGTTATTGATGCCATTGACAACATTGACACAAAGGTTTCGCTGCTCGAATACTGCTACAAACACGACATTCCAGTGATCTCGGCCATGGGTGCCGGCTGCAAGAGCGATCCCACGAGGATCATGGTTGGCGACATTAGCTCCAGCACAGACGATAGACTCTCCCGAGCCACAAGACGACGATTGAAGCTCAAGGGCATCACCAAGGGCATACCGACCGTTTTCTCTACAGAAAAATCTGGAGAAGGCAAGGCCGAGCTCTTGCCATTGCCCGAGGACGAATTCACCAAGGGCTCAGTGGGAGATCTCGGAGTGCTGCCAGACTTTAGAGTTCGTATCTTGCCTGTACTGGGCACCATGCCAGCTGTATTTGGCTACACGGTAGCAAACCATGTAATTCTATCGATCACAGGTATGTCTTGGTATTTTTCTCCAGTCTGTCCTGGCGCGATTGCTAACTCATCATAGGATACCCATTGGATTATTCTCCAGCAAAGGGCCGAGACAAGATGCACGATGGTATTCTTGCTGCTTTGCAGGGCAGTGAGGAGAAGATTCTTCGACTCATGACTCCGGGCCATGACCCCAATATTGCCCTCGGCCTCAAGATCCCAATCACGATGGGCGACGTGGCTTTCTTGACCGAAGAGGTTTTTAGAGGCAGGAGTGCCATCACGGGACTATCCACACGTCTTGCTCTTCTTAGGTGGCGCAAGCCTACAAAATCTACATTGATCAGCATTGGTGACCAAAAGTCCACTGATGTCAAGCTGAGCGATCTGGTCTGTATGACCAAGGACGAGGCTGCGCGACACGAAAAGGAAATTTTCAAGGGTGACAAGACAGTGGAGGAAATCTACGACGCAGAGACGATTGCAAAGGTTGAAGGACTTATGAAGGAGGCGGCCAAGTATGAGAAATATAGGTGAGATGTATGATTCAAGTGACGTGTATAGCTACTGCATCATCAGCGACGGGTAAACGTGCCGGTTTAAGACAAAGACTATAGAAAGGAAAGATAATTCCTTGGGACACGACTTCAACAAGCGATATGCCTTCAAAATTTGATCCCTATAGGAGTAAAATCGAACGAGATTTACATTACGTTATGGCATGACATATTTCGGGTCCATTTGCTGATACCTGCAATTCCACATTCATAACAGTCAAGTTGTTCAATTCATGTGGAAGCGCTCTCTTGCAGCACAATTTTTGACACCAACGATTGTCTTGGCTTGCGTCCATACCGGAATTTCTGTCTTTTTCTTTTCTTCCTAGATGCCGTGCCAAAGAAGGTTTCCTAGACTGCTTTTCTTATTGCTTGCCAAGAATTCCTATCCGCAAAAAGATTCACCACCGATACTTTGTGGCATCGTATCGTCGAATACCGGCGGAGAGCCAACCCACCTTCCCGATTCGGCATCCAGACCCCGGAACTTGTCAAGTTCCAGGGGCATCGGCATCAAAATTAGCAAAGCACACGAGTAGCAGACATACAACCCTCCCGCTACCGTATCTGGGGCAGGAGAGTTGCTTCTTCAGCAGCACCATCCTTTTACAGCCAATGACGACATGCCTGGCCAGCCACTAGCAACGGGGAGGCCATTGGCTTTCCTGGCCTGGATCAAGTCTGGATCATTATTCTGGGTCGCAATCAAAGCACCACCTCACCCACCTGACTGACCCCCATGGCGGCGCGCATTGTCTTTCATTCCAGTCGCTTAAGCTTATTTTGTTCCGGGTAAGGTGGTAACGACCTTTGAACAGGGATGGTTTCTCTATTGATGGGCTTGCCGAAATATATTTATGCCGGATGTCGCAACTTCACGAGGAACGAGAGAAGTGGGCGAGCCGTCGTTGGTCCGTTGTACTCCTCAGAATCTGTGTCTACAAATCCGAGCAATTGTCTCCTGTATAATACTATAAGTATTTTTGTCACTGCAAGAGCGGGAATACTCCGGTACCATCCAAGGTTTCTTGCTGAATAACATACTCTTTTTGAAGATTGCATACGGTAAACCACCGAGAAAACTCTATCAGCAGTTGGAGCGCTTCGAAATCGGACCAAGTCGAAAGAATTTGACATTCAGACACAGGACCTGATTCGGCATCCTCAAATCCTGTTCTAAAAATGAAGAGTACGCAGGTTTTCAGCCTTCTTGGCCTGGCAGCCCTATCAAAAGCCTGCCTCACGGCCGACGAAAAAGCTGGAGTCGTCCGTCGCTCCGGCCGGGTCGACCCAAGAGCGAACAATGGACTGTCGATTGGTACGGGTGATCGATTCTCCAATGGTACTATCGCTCCCCGCGGTCTTGGTACCCAAGCAGCATCGACTACTCCAGGTCTCATTTTCAACGTTGAAGAAATCAGCAGTGCTCTCCAGGGATTGGCCACTGTGTACGACATTGAGACTTTCACAGCTCCTTACACCACCTACGAGGGGAGGAGTATTTATGGTGCCAAGGTGGGCGGCACTGGAAATGGCACCGACGCATACAGCGTTTACATCAATGCCGGTATCCATGCCCGAGAGCGTGGCGGTCCCGACAATGTGATTTACTTCATCTCGGATCTTCTCTACGCCAACAAGAACAACCTGGGCCTGACGTACGGCAGCAAGACCTACACGGCGGCTCAAGTGAAGACTGCCTTGTCAGCAGGAATCGTGTTTGTGCCCTTGAGCAACCCCGACGGTGTCGCATACGATCAGTCGTCGAACAGCTGCTGGAGGAAGAACCGAAACCCAGCCTCTGCCACCACTGGCCGGCCCGCCACTATCGGTGTCGATCTGAACCGCAACTTTGACTTTCTCTGGGACTTTCCCAACCTCTTTGCTACCTCGGTCCAATCCGGTGTTGCCTCGACAAGTCCAGCATCAGAGACGTATCACGGAACAGCCGCCTTCTCTGAGCCCGAGACCAAGAGCATCAAATGGGTGCTCGACACACATGCCAATGTTGAGTGGTTCCTTGATCTCCACTCGGACGCCGGAGTAGTTCTCTACAGCTGGGGAAGCGACGACAACCAGTCTACAGATCCCAGCATGAACTTTTTGAACTCGACGTACAACAAGGCGCGTGGTGTCTCGCCCGACCGCAACGGTCTCGTGTATTCCGAGTACACTACTGCCGAGGACTGGGCCTTGAACGAGAAGACGGCCAAAACCATTGGCGCGTCCATGAAGGCCACTACCGGTCGATCGTACGACGTGGAACAGGCTAGCGAACTCTACCCGACTTCGGGTGCCAGTGACGACTACTCGTACTCGAGGCACTTTGCCGATCCCAGCCTAGGTCTGGTCCACGCTTTCACTGTCGAGTTTGGCTTCTCCAACAATGCTGCCTCTTGCGGCTTTTACCCTACAGCGGCAACTTACAAGCAGAATATTCTGGAAACAAATGCCGGGTTCATGGAGTTGTTGCTTGCTGCGGCCGCAAATGCATAAGCGATGCTGTATTAAGACATGGGGCGCCTGAGATTGAATGTAGTGTTTGGTACTTTCAAGTATATAGTTATCAACTCGTATTTACGACAAGAGGCGACCTAAACTTTGTACTGAAGCTTGTATTTGTGTCTCACCCGGGCTTACTGAGGGGATAGGACTTGCCGTAAAGAGTGCTGGCTAACACCGACCTACACATCTATACTACAATGTATGCTCCGTTGTACCAATCGAGCACAGGACTAAGCAATAGGCGACCTTGGTCTTGCAGATATAAGCAATGGAAGTAGGTTGTGCCCATGCTCTTAACGCCGACGCCAAATGAATAATATCTCATACATGAAGCCACACTCGTGAAATGTGACTGTTCTCAGCGGACTTATTACCGCCGGTCTTTCTGGACTCCTTGTGCCTGATGCGATGTGATTTTCTGGTATGGAATATACGGCGCACTAACTCCGGCTTCGACTTTTGCTTTACTGATTTGTGATGCTAAACATGTATATAAGGAAGAAGACCAAGGTGATAGATGAGTTGACGTTGACCAGGACAAGACAAACTCGAAAATCCCAATAGCTAAGAATCAACCATCATACAACTCTCACAACTAGCATTATCTTACATTTCACGCAAAGCTAGACGGTTCTCCCAAGAAAATGTCAAAGTATAACAAGCTCGCCGGAAAACACGTCCTCGTCATCGGAGGCAGCAAGGGCATTGGCCGCGGCGTTGTCGAGGCCTCCCTCGAAGCCGGCGCCATAGTAACACTCGTGGGCTCCTCGCAGAAGAGCGCAGATGCAGCAGTAACAGACATCAAGACGACTTACGCTTCAGCGAATCTCGTGGGACTGGGCTGCGACCTCTCCCAAGACACGGTCGAGGATGATCTGGAGTCCCTGTTCCAAAAGGCCGGCGGCACCCAACCCATTGACCATGTGGTGCTGACGGCAGCCGATAGCCTGACGCTTCCACCCCTCGACAACATCTCGACCGCGACGATCCGACACGTCGGCCACATGCGCCTCGTGGTACCGGTCCTCGTAGGCAAGACGGCAGGGCGGCACCTGCGCTCAAAGCCCGACGCCAGCCTGACGCTGACGACGGGATCCATTGCCGACAAGGGCGTGGCGGGCTGGTCGCTCATGGCCTTTATGGCGGCCGGCCTGACGGGCCTGGCGCGCAACTTGGCCCTGGACCTCCAACCCGTGCGCGTCAATGCCGTCGAGCCGGGCCTGGTGGATACGCCGCTCTGGGACACCACAATGACGGCCGAGCAAAAGGATACCTTCTTGCGCGAGGCGGGGGCTCGGGCACCTGTTGGACGCGCGGGCCGGGTCGAGGATGTGGCCGAGGCGTATCTGTATGCCATGAAGGATGGAAATTGTACTGGTGAGATAATCAAGACTCGGAGCGGTGCGCACTTGGTTTGAAATATTCATGGTAAAAATGCTTGGGTATAGGACCGATAGTTCTTGAAGGGAAACTCATCAAATTACTCAGCTGGTTCAAACTTTCAAGTGTAATGTGCTTGATCTCTGTATCTTCATCTGGCTCCTACATTTGACTCAAGACTTGTAGCGAGTTCGTCGATGATTTTAAAAATGAGGCAATGATTCATCGCAGAAAGTTATTCTGATAAAAACCCTCTCGTTTGTGATTCAACATTCAAGCATGAGAGTAGGAATGCTTCGTTGAGTGCAGCAATATGAGACGTAAAAATTGCACAAAATCACGATCGAAGTGGTGACTCGGTATCATATTGTCAAATTTCCCACAAATCATCGGCAGGCCCAAAACGTTTGTGATATCAGAATATCAAAAGACGTATTACACCCACTGTCATACATCATAGTGTCACTATTAGTCGTAGTGTGGGCTCTGGTGTATTGTGCTACTGAGTCCCGATTCAAGATGTTGACCAGCCACCGACATACACGACAAGAAACCATAATATTATCTGAATGCAGATATTCGAAAGAATAAATTCCTAAGTTATTGTCTTTCATTGCTAATCGACCACCAAATGACGTCCTTGACAGTTCAGTTGGCTAGTTGGACTCGACTGACGCTAATAAAAAGTTGAGCTCCGCAGATCTGAATTATATAGATTGCAAAAAGACCCTCGATTTCCGGACACCTGGAAGCAACAGCTCCATCCGAATTGGTGTAACGGTCAACATTTCGCGTTTTCAAGATACGTATCTGTGAATCCGCGGAGCTCGGGGTTCGATTCCCCGATTCGGAGCATACCAAGTGTTTCTTTTTGCTTTTTTTGGTGTACCTTCTTTTGCAGCGGTCCCCAAACATGTTGATTCGTTTGTCGTTTTTAATTTAATGCTGCTGGTATTAAGTGGTATGCATAGCTACGCTGGCAGTGGAGGTTGTTTGCCTGGGATTAGTGGGTCTATGATGCTGGTGTCTTTGAATCTGTAAATACCCGCCCACTATGCAAGTCACCTTGCCTGATGACTGCCTGAAGGGCTGAGATGTATGTTGGGTGTTCAAAATCATACATATAAAGTCCCAGAAATGATCATTCCAACGCTCCGTTCAAAGTCAACATCCATCTCAGTTCCAATAAATCCATCTTGCGAACCATTTATTCAACTCGCCTTTACCGTCCAATTGCGCCACTAGCAGCCAGTATATCATTTCGCAACATGACGACCATAAGGCTATCCGCGGCCGACGTTGACATTGTCGTGCCCGAGGGTCTATCCCAAGAGATGCTCGAGAACTTTTCTCCATTAAACGTGAGTATTCAAACACTGCATGGCTATTTGATCATGTCCAGGCTAACCAAACAACACCCAACAGCGCTGGCTCACCAGACTGACCAAGTCCCTGGCGCAGCAGCACACCAACCCCTCACACCCCTTTCGCGCAGAGCCCTACGCCCTGCGCCAGGTAACGATCCAATCGTTTGACCTGTTTGGGGGCAAGCGCGTCGGCTTCCTCAAGCTGCAGGCCGATGTGCGCAACGCGCGGGACGAGAGCCTTCCGGGCGCCATATTCCTGCGCGGGCCCAGCGTCGCCATGCTCGTCCTGCTGGTCCCCGACGACGTCGAGGCCGGCAGCGCGCGCGAGGCCGAGGAGCGCCGCGTCGTCTTGACCGTGCAGCCGCGCATCCCCGCGGGCAGTCTGGGTTTTGTCGAGCTGCCGGCTGGTATGGTGGATAACGGCACGTTTGCCGGCGCCGCGGCCAAGGAGATTGAGGAGGAGCTCGGGCTGGTGATTGAGGAGTCGGAGCTGACGAATCTGAGCGATTTGGTGGCGGGGGCGCAAGGAAGCGACGCCCAGCCTCAGCAGCAGCAACGGTCCGGCGGCAGCAGTGTGGATGTGGACGAAGACCTCCCTGAAGCCGTGTATCCGTCGGCCGGCGGCTGCGACGAGTTTATCCCAGTCTTTGTTCACGAGCGGCGGGTGGCAAGGGAGAGCCTTGATGAGTGGACGGGCAAGTTGACTGGGTTGAGAGATGATGGCGAGAGAATCACATTGAAGCTCATTAAGATGAAGGATCTTTGGAAAGAGGGCAGACGGGACGCAAAGTGCTTGGCTGCCGTTGCCTTGTGGGAGGGTCTGAAGAGAGAAGGCAAATTATAACTTGACCCAAGTAGTCCCCGTCTCTTTTGAATAAAGAAAGAATATAATCCCTAAAACATGGGCTCAAGTTTGGATGTACAATGCCCATAGAATCCTCCCGTATTCGGTAGCTTCCCGGTGAGCAATTCTTCAAAGCGCTTTATTTTAAGATCATCAATCATGAGTCGTAATTCTGTAGCGTTCATATCTCTAGATACAGTTCGCGTCCTCTCCATGCCCATTGCCCGCGCTATGTAGTTGAAAATGGTCCTATAAAAGGCAGGAAATATCCAGCGAGATAGCAAGAAGAGGTCAGTCCCAGCCATAATGCCTTGATCAGTCTGCCACTGATACATGAAGAAGTAGAAATCCCCCAATCATCTCAGCCTTTTCATCAACAGAAATCGTCGGTCTATCCAATCTTCACAGTCATAAATTTCGTTCAAGGTACGGTAGAGATGTTGTCCTTCAATCAGAGGTGGCGTCGTCTCACCCAGACGAAACCATTTCACCAGAAACTAGTGAAGATATCCTCGTACCGGCTTGCGTTCATGCTCGTAAATGACCTCGCGCTCAACAACCCTCTCGTCGTCCCAGTCACGATGCTTGTGATGGTGTCTGTGTTTGCGCTCCCACCGCTCTCTTGCTTCTCTCTCCCACTCGATCTCTCTAGCTCTGTCTCTACGAGCCCTGCGGATAGAGTCGGACAAGTTGACGATTTCCAAAACATCCTCCTGTGATTGGGTTAGTACGTGGGGTTTGCAGATATTGCGCTAAATTGGTTTCAAACTCACGTATTTAAGATACTCCATCACGTAGAAGAAATACTCTGTCTCCTCATATTCGTAGCCCAAACGCTCAATGGCCTCTCGAACGACCAAGTCCTTGGTAATTTCAGTCCACATGTCATGCTGCTTCTTGAGAGGACGTCGGCCGCGGTCCCGGTCCCGGTCACGATCTCGAATGGAAATGCGCGTGTCGTGCACATCCTCCACGACAGGTCTGTCACGAGAGCTGTCACGGTGCTTGTCGTAAATCTGGACACTCAAGCGATCACGGTCGGAAGTGGTCTCGCTGACACTTGTACTGCTGGCATAAGGTACGATGGGCATAGGACCGGGCGCAGGGGGAGGGGGACGGGGCGTGGGACGCTCGTCGCGTTCGGGGATGAATTTGGCACGTCGTACGCCATTGTACCTCTGCCATGTGACCTCGGCGCCTCCTCCTCCTACACCGTCCATCTTCACACGTTCGGTGCCAGGCGGAACATCGACAATAGTCCAGTCCTTGGTTGCACCGTGGTATGCCTCGCCCATACGACCCCGCGAGTCGATCTTGCCTGTAATGTATTCGGCCTCCTCCGAGTAATCAGGACGAGGCGGTGGTGGCGCAACAGAACGGGAGCGCTTGTGGTCACGCTCTATCTCGACCTGCAGACGATCCCGATCGCTTCGAACAACGACCTCGTCATCATAATACGATGGGCCCCGTGGAGGTGCGACTGGTCTTGGTCTTGGTCTTGAACGAGAGCGACTGTGTCTATGAATATCTACTTCTGTCTCATGGCGCGAAGTATAGATGTCAATGTCTGTTTCGGTCTCTCTTCCGCGGCGAGGCTCAATGATTGGTGCTGGCGGTGGGAACGGAGGATATGGGGCTGGGGCGGGAGCCGGCGGGGGCACACGTTCGACACCTATGTCAAGAATCAATAAATGTTGCCTCAAGTGGACTAGAAAGGATTTAAAACTCACCATGGTCAATGTCGCGATAATGCGTAATGACTTCTCGCTCAATCGTCGGGCCACGAATCACGGGGGGAGGCGGCGGCGGCGGTGGTGGTGAAGGACTCGGGGAGGGAACTCGTTGCCTCTCACGTTGAATGATTCTAATTTCCTGTTCTCTCTCAGGAGTTGGAGATCTTTCTCTGCGTCGGTCCACTCTGACAATTTCACGTGTATCTACACGCACTTCTGGAGACGGCGATCGCTCAATGAACCTGGGCCTCCGGAGCTCTTGCATGGGCGGCGGCGGCGGCGATCTTTCCCTCCTGGGAGGTGACACACTGCGCCGGCGAATGACTATGCGCTCTTGTTCGCGGACGGGACTTGGACTGCGAGGGCGACGGCGATCGATTGTCTCGACCTCGCGGGAACGGAGCACAAGCGGGCCAGCCTCGCGGCGGGGTTCCTCTCGCAGGAAAGCCGGCGTGCGACTGTCTCTCTCGCGGATGGAAATGTCGGTCTCCTCGTACTCTCGGACGGGCGCTCGCCTTGGAGGGCTTCGGCGCTCTTCCCGACGCTCAAAGGTTGTCTCGACCTCGTCGTACTCACGACGGGGCGGGCCACGGCGGGGCTCGTCATAGTAATAGCGACCATCGCGCTCTCCAACGTCGCTGCCGCGACCTCCTCCAACTCGATAAGACATGACGACTGTTGTTTACAGGAAACGCCTTTGATGAAATGAGTCCCTGAACGCGCTGATCTAGTATCTAAATCAAGAGATTGGCCAGTCCGTCAGTCGGTCACTTGGACAGGTCGAGGCTTTCCACGAGCGCTCGCACGACTTGATCTGGAGTATGAATGTACTTCGACGTATTTGGTGGTTGTAGCGGGGTAGTTTTAGTTGCAACGGGAAGGATCGACGCCTGGAAATAGCGTCATGCGACTGAGACTGGTGCAAGAGTCACAAGCCAAAAGAAATGAAAAACTCGGTCCAGATGCGCGAGTAGCGCTAACAAAAACGTTGACCTGTCCGAAAGGGACAAGAAGCAAAGCCGTAAGCAGAACGAACAGCTGGACAATGTGAGATATTCGAAATGAGAGTCCTAATTTGGAGGGGGATTGGGGGAAGAGACAATGATCCTGAAGGGGGTTTAATCCGGGACGAAGCGACACGCGCACTTCCTTGGGCCTTGGACCGGGTGGGCATCAATTAGAAGACAAACGTCGTCATCCTACAGCGGCTTGGGGGGCTTCTAGGGTGTTATAGGGCAGCGACAATTAACAGCCGAGGGGGGCTGGCAGAGCGAGCAAGTGGATGCAACCAAGGAACAGGCCCTGTCCTTAGGTACTCGGACAGCGGGATTGGTTGGGGAACAGATCGGGATACGACAAAGAAATAGAAAAGAATGAAATTATTACAGAATTATGAGACCTCCCAAAAATGGTGAGGAAGAAGTGCGACAACGGCCTTTTCTGAGATTGAGCAGAATCTCAGGAAACTCGTGGGAAACGGGAGCTAGATTGATACTTTGGGCTAGAGAGCTTGTATATGAGGCAGGCAAGTATATCTCTTTCCATCGTCCACTTTTCCCCATTGTCGGAATGTTCCAGGATCTATCTTGATCTCTTCCCCCATCTTTATTTTAGCTGACCCACAAATTTTGCTGTCGTTGGATCTCTAGGATCTCCAACTCTCAGAACACTGCGTTATTCTGCCTAGGTCTCCATCTACGGCACCCAAGGTGGTACACACAAGAGATTGGCACGCAGGCAGTTTTGCATGAGGCCAGATACACCATTCTTTGGCGTTTGATAGGGGGGCATGTGTGTATTGGAGGTAGCCAGCCTGCGCCTCTCCTACTTCTCATGACCGCTCCATGCAGGCATGTGCAGCAGGCTGAGTTCTTCGGTGTGTCTTCTGAGACTGAAAGCAGGCGTCTTGTCTGGATGCTGGTTGGGCACTGAAGAGGCGGGACGAGATCTACTAGATCCACAGCCTGCTGCTGGCGAAATGCAGGCTGACGCGAACTGGGTCGCCAGGACTGATGAAAGAGACGCACCTTGCGCCTTTCAGCCATGAATGATCATTGCATCCGTCTACAGTCTTGTTCAATTGGTTCTCGCATACATAATTTCCTAGTCACCGGTATTGCTTGGTGTACTATGTATTTCAATATGGATGCAGTAAGTGAGCTTGGTGGTCGGCATGCGGCAGCCTCCATCTCCCCTCATGTGCGGGTCTGCAAGACCAAGTCAGGTCGCGATGAATGTGGTCAGAGTCTAGAACAGTGACAGGATGACAGCTTGGATGGTCGCCATTTATGGTCTTCCCGTTGCCTGTCTTGTCATGTCGCCTTCGACTGACCTACTACTGTGCCTCCCTAGTAGGCCCTTCCCGCGGCCTGCTCTCACCATAATCAATCCCAAATTATGCTGCAATGGTGAAGCAAGCCCCAAAAGCCACGCGAGTAGTGGATAAACCTTGACTTTCTCCCAGTCGAACCTGTGGAGTAATAAATTGCCAATGCTACTTAAATCCATGATACCCGCGCCCGCAAGCGACGGTATTCAGGTCATTAATAAGATTCACATGTGACATCTCTACCTCTCTTTTGCATGTTCCTGCTTTTCTCACTGCAAGCACGACATTTCTGGACCTTGAACCGGGAGTCATGGACTCCAATGTCACATTATTTTCCATTTCTAACAAGAAATTCAATCACACCTCAAGTTGCGCTATCTGTCTTGTCACTGTATTCCATGTCAAACCGACATGACGTCATTATTGGATGGCTGTCTGCAGCAGGATCAAACTCGACGAGCCCCACCATAAGCCAAGGAAGGATAGGTAGTTTACAGGGCAGTTCAACTCCTGTAATTCACTGGGCGTAGTATGTAGCGAAACCCTCGTCCGACAATCCTCACGCTACATTTTCAATCAATCCAGCTTTGAAATAAAAACAGGCTTGAGCTTTTGGTACTGGGAAATCACTGACTTGGCAAATAATCAAACGGGTGGCTACCACAATAGGTATTCCAGGGTACACGTTCCATGAATATGTGTCCCTGCATTTAACCCTTCAACTCTTGCTGATAAGCATACAAATCAAAGTGCCAGATTGCATCGTCATGTCCTTGTCAAGGTTTTCCGAAATGTCGCAGACTGCGGCGCGGGCACTTGCTTCTTGCCGGCAGCCACAGGCTCAAAAAGCCGTTGACAAGGTAAAAAAAAAAAAAAAAAAAAAAGTCGAAACGCCTCGTACGGGAAGTAGGACCAGTGGCCTGTCAAAATACCTAGGCACTGAAGTCTTTCAAGAAATATTCACGCACCTTTCCGCTTCGATAGGTTTCTTGCATCGAAACATAGGTATACAGCAAAGGACAGTCCAAGTCGTGTATTGATCACTTGAAGTACACCAAACTGCCTCAACCATTAGACGGGACAAGGCATTGAACAATCAGGTCGTTTGACGCTGCGATATGTGGCAGTATTTCTCAGCATCTCTGCTGGATTCTCTTGGTCATGGAAATGGCAATGATATACTTTTTGATCGCTTATCTATCTAAACATTACTGCGCATCCTGGTAGCCATGGGAGATCAAGCCGCCTCTCTATCAAGACTCTGCGCCTGACACATGTCCCTGTACAGCTTCCCCAACGCCAAAAGCTCGTCATGTGTACCAGACTCGACAATTCTGCCACCATAAAAGACGCATATCCGATCCGCATCCTTGATTGTGCTCAGTCGATGAGCAACAGCAATGGTGATGCGTTCTCCCGACGCCGCCGCATCGGCAAGGGCGGCCTGGACAAGCTTCTCCGAGGCCGTGTCCAGAGCCGACGTTGCTTCGTCCAAGAGCAGCACGTTGGGTTGGCGAATCAGGGATCGCGCAATGGCGATGCGTTGCCTCTGGCCACCGGACAGCTGCGAACCGCTCGTCCCGCACTGAGTAGCTGTACCGTCGGGGAGCGACATGACAAAGTCCCACGCGTTGGCAGCGCGCAGAGCCTTTTCGACCTCTTCGTCAGTCGCCGAGTCGCCTCCATCTGACTGCTCTTTGCCGAGCAGCACATTATCGCGCACGCTGCCCTGATACAGTGTCGGTTCCTGCTGGACCAGCGATACATGCCGCCGGTAGAGCCGCGGGTTAATGTCGACGAGGGGCTCGGCGTCCACGCGGATGGTGCCTGAGGTTGGGTCATAGAAACGCTCCAACATGGCAATCATGGTGCTTTTGCCGCACCCCGAGGCCCCCACAAACGCGACGAACTCGCCGCGCCGGATGTCGAGGTCGACGCCACGCAGCACGCGGGTGTCGGGACGGAGAGGGTAGGAGAAGTGAATCTTGTCCAGCTCGATCCGGCCGGCGCCATCAGCTGGACCGCGATCTGCGTTCTCGGGAGTGTCTGCGCGGATCAGCGGTTGTAGGGCTTCAATCCAGAAGAGATAATTTGCTGCGCTTTTGCCCTTGGTGATACCTATTTAGCGTTAGCTTACTGGCAGTCGATCGAGGCCTGTATTGGACGGTGACTGACTGCTCGTATATCCAAACATCTGGCTGGCGGCCTGGCCGGCAAAGAATGTACCCATGAACGAGACAAAGAACTGGTAAAAGGTAATTTCGCCGTTTGATACCAGCTTGCAACCGTACCAGAACCCAAGTGCGAGAATAAAATATTCGATTGCTTGGGTGAAGGAAAACCAGAACATCATGTGCAGAAGAGGCAAGATTGACTGGCGGATGGCAGAACCCAGCTCGTTACTGTACCTCTCAAGCATTGTGCTTTCTATGGCTAGGCTAGATACGGTACGTATGGCCGTGATGGACTCTGACGCGATGGAAGCACTATTGGAGAAACGGTGAGAGTTCTTGGATTCCATATGTGTCTCGAGGCGGATGCGGGCATATCCAGCAAAGAGCATTGGAGGAAGGCCTGCAAAGACGCCGACCAGGCCGAGCTTCCATTGAATCACTAGTGCGAGGATGCTGGATCCGAGAATATTCAAAATGTTGATCAAAATGAGCGCCTATGTGATTTTGTAAAACTCAGTATTTGACAAAGGGGCCGTAAGAGGTAAATGTAACCTACGATGTTGAAACTCATGAGCTCGAGAATGGCCTGAGGATACGAATCAAGTCGACTCGTAAGCGCTCCAGTCGTATTCTCGGGCCGGTCAAAGAACTGGATATCCTGCCGAAGCATGCTGTTGAGTATAGTCTCTCGGAATTTCTTGTTCATGGTCTGCGCCATGATATTTGTTGTCCATCCCATGATAAAGTAACAGAGGAGACAACCCAAGCTCAACATGAGAAACATGAGAGCGTAAAAATTGCCTTGCTTCTGCATGGACTCGGCATCAAGCTGGAATACGTCCAAGACTCTGGCAAGGATAATGGCCTGGCCTGGGAAGACAGCGGCTGGGTAAGAAGTGAGCAATTGGATACCATCATTATGATTTGTTGGCACGGGGCTTACGTACCAGCTATCATGCATGATATTAGTATAATCAAGTATTGAAGCCTGAGCTCTGGCGTCCTTCGCATCAGTCCAAAGACGGACGTTAGCAAGCCCTTGTGCTTTGCCTTGTCATAGTTATCTCGATCTCTGAGGCGCTGGAGCTGCTGTTCATCCGCCGTGGCTCGTCTGGTCAAGGTTCTCCTGACGGACAAGTCTTCCTCTTCTTCCTTGGGCTCTACTTCCGATCCCGAATCTGTGCTCGAAACCTCGTTCTTGTTGGCATGTGAAGCAATGTTTTGTGCGGCGACCAGTCGGGAATCTAGTGAGTCGGAATGCGTCAGCTTATTAGTCTGCTCTTGATCGCGTAGGACATTCTACCGAGTGCTCGAGCTACAGCTGCCATGTAGGCAGGTATTTCCCGAGACAAAATTATGGGACCGGGAAACAAGTGCTCAGAGACCGGCGCTGATAGGGAAAAAGGATTCAAAAAATAAGATCGCCACAAATTCGAAGTACTTACAGGCACCATTCGCCGCCAGCAGACCGTCGTGGGTCCCCTGCTCCAGGATCCTACCCTCGGCCATGACGACAATATTATCGGCGCGCTTAATGGTGGCCAGCTTGTGGGCAATGACAATGGTGGTGCGGCTCCGGGCGACATTGTCGAGCGCTTTTTGCACGATCCCCTCGGCCTGCGGGTCCAGTGCGCTCGTGGCCTCGTCCAGCAGCAAGACCTTGGGGTCCGAGACGATGCTCCGGGCAATGGCGACGCGCTGCTTTTGCCCGCCCGAGAGGAGACCGCCGCGCTCGCCGATGCGCGTGTGGTAGCCCTCGGGCAGGGCCGTGATGAAGTCGTGGGCAAAGGCAAACTTGGCGGCTTGGACCACCTTTTCCATTTGTTTCTCTTGGGACTCCTTCTGCCACGGGGTGCCGACTAGGCCATAAGAAATATTTTCGAATACACTGCCGTTGAACAAGACTGGTTCTTGCTGCACCAAGCGAATTTTTGTCCGGAGCCAGTTGAGGTTCATCTTCTCGATCGGGATCCCGTCTAGTTTGATCGTTCCGTTTGAAGGCTTGTACCATCGTTCTATCAAGCCAATGATGGTGCTTTTCCCAGAGCCACTTGCTCCCTAGCAAAAAGTGAGTCAATGAGCATCAAAGTCACTATAGCTTAGTCACTTACCACGAGAGCAGTCACTTTCCCGGCAGGAACATGCAAAGAGAAATTGTCCAGAATAGTGACACCTGGCCTGGTAGGATAACTGAATGTAATATTCTCCACATCCAAGACTCCTTCAGTCGTCACTGGCTTTTCTCCAGTCTGGTCGAATGGGTCAATTTCGCTCACTCTGTCGATGAGGGCAAACACTTGACTAGCTGCCGTAGCCGCTCGGCCAAATGAGATGGTATAAGGGGCTATCATGGTGATGGAAATCGTAGCAATGATGACTGACATCAGAACACTGCAAATGTCAGTAAGGTAAGACACGGATCCGGGATCATGCTCATACGTACGTGAAAACTGTTCCTAGTGAAGACACCTCCTGGTTCGCGACCATTTTGATGCCCTGCCAAAACGCCAGTCCCATGCCCGCATAGATGAGAAAGTATTCCAAGCTAAAGAAGAGCCCAAAGATGGGACTCTTCTTGTCGCCGAGAGCCTTAGCCTTGCAAAGGTATTCGTCGTAGCGAGCTACGAGTCGCGTACGAGCCCCGAGAGAGTGGACTGTCCGGGCAGTCGATAGTATGCTTTCTGCAAAGGCGCCGCCCTGGGCATATATACCCAGCATCTTGGTCTCGAGTTTTGCTTCGGCGGTTGCGACGATTCCCATCAATACAATGAGTGCCGGGGCGAGCCTGAAGCAAGAGAAGGGTCAGGACCCTTGTCTTTCAGGAAGTGGAAGTTGGGGAATAGAATGACAGATCAACGCACCATATGAGTATAAGCGTCAGTTTCCATTGACTGGTAAAGGCAATGACAAACGCAGCCACAAAAGTGGACAAGGCCTGTACACACAAGCCTAGCTTTTCGGCAATGCCTGAATGGATCAAGTTGCCATTTGTTGTGGCTTGCACTATGGATCACCGTGTCAGTCGTTCTCTTTTCATAAAGGAGTATGGGCCAGGTGGGCCAACGTACTTGAGATTGAACCTCCTGATCCAAGATCGAAGAAGGCGATTTCCTGCGCCAGAGCAGCCTTGAAGAACTGCTGTCTGATGTTTCGCACAATTCTGTATGCGACATAGGTGGTCAAGGTCGTGTATATATACACGAGCACCAATCGACCAATACCAATGTAGACAAAGTAAAGGCAATACTTGGAAACATTGCTCATGAATTCGGATGCAGTACTCTCGCCGACCACGAACCTGTTGAGAATGGTGATGAAGTTACCAATCACAATGTTGACAATGGCGAGTCCGACGCCAGAGCCTGCCGCGGCAACAAATGCCAGGAGCTCGAGTACGATATCGATAGGTTGGGCATAGGTGAAGATGCGCTGTGTGTCCCAGACATTAGTCTCAAGGTTGTGTCCCCATCAGGTTCTGACACACTTACAATATAAGAACCTCCAGATCCTTTGGAAGGGTCTTCGTCTTTAGGCTTGGGCTTTTCGGTTAATTTGGGGTTGAAAGCATCGGCCGGCGAGGGAAGTTCTCCGGCCGCATTTTGGGCGTCGTTCGTGCCCATCTTGCTTCCTGCTTCTTCTTATGAGTTGAAGATGAACCAAGAGTGTTTCGTCCAAAGCAGTGCTTTTCCTGGGCCTTTTGTAATGCGCTGAATCCTGAAAATGTCGAGCTCGAGGTTATATATGACCCATAATGACTAATACCCCAACTTTAGGCATGCCATCTTCTTTTTTTCTGTAATGTTTATTCCTATTCGATGAAGCGTTTAGTGTCTTGGCATATCAAACTTCACTCTAATGGTGGAGAGTGCCGAGTGGTATAATAGAGGAGGATGACAGCCTCTTGCTAGTTCCTCAGCATCGAATTGTCGATATGGCTCAACCTCTTGTCAAAAAAAAGTCAAAAGAGCTCGTATTGGTAGTGGATCACTAAAGGGTTCACTGCCTCCAAAAATTTCCCTCGATTACGTTCGCCAAGTTTGTACTGGAGGAATGCGGAGATGTGCTGTAATGGTGGCTGCGGGCGCGGGCCCCTCGGCCACCGACGCCGTCGGTATTTTAAGCGGTCGGCCAAGTCAAGGCATGTCGCCATGAATCACCACAACGGCCCGGTAAAACCAGAGGCTCTTTTGCGGAAGCGATGGATAGCAAGAAAAAAATACTCCGCATTCGCCCCTATATGAGTGTACTGAGTGTACCGAGAATGCTAAAAGCAACTTGCCCGACGGCAGCGAGACCGATGAGCTATATATCTCAGGCCCCAGGACTACAGCTTACCCATCATTATTAAGGAGCACACTAGAGTCCCTCGGCTTTATGGACTCTTGGCATCCCGAGTAAATATGTGATTTGCACAACCATGACTGGGTCTTAAACTCGTGAGAGATGCACCGAGCACCATCTTCATATACTTGATATAACAAATTCTACTTGGGAACCACGACAGGTGCCTTGTAGCAGTGCACGACCTGGGGTTTACAATACACCATGAGACCTTCGCGACCCCATTCACCACCCACGCCACTCTGTTTATACCCCGACAGATGAGCCTGCGGAAGCGGCTTCTCAAAACTATTGATCCAAATCGTACCAGCCTCAATCTGGTCGGCGATGCGACGAGCGCGAACGAGGTCATCCGACCAGACAGCACCGCCTAGGCCGGTGAGGGTGTCGTTTGCCCGTCGAATAACTTCGTCCTCGTCTTTCCACTTCATTACGGGAACAATGGGCCCTTGTTGATCATGTTAGCTTACTTGGACGGCATCATACAATATGACGCCAACTTACCGAATGCCTCGCCAGTGACGACCAGAGACTCGTCGGGAGGGTTGCTGACAATGGCAGGCTTGACAATAAAGTTCTCTGGAGACTCTTCCGGCGTACTTCCGAGAACAAAGTTGTGGTTGCCGCTGGCACTGTCCAGGAAGAACTTGCGGACGATATCGTATTGCATCTGATTCTGCACCGGCCCCAGCATGATACCTTGTTGCATGTCTGAAGTAGGTTCAACCTTCCACTGCTTCACCGTCTCCACCATGACGGCCAGGAACTCGTCGTAGATATCCTCGTGCACGTATACGCGCTTGCTGGCGACGCAGAGCTGGCCCGAGTTGAAAAAAGACCCGACTGCCACCTGGGGCGCGACAATCTTGGGGTCCACGTCTGGGCAAATAATGCTCGCGTTGTTGCCGCCGAGCTCCAGCGTGACGTTCTTGAGGGTGGCGGCGCAGGCGCTCATGATCTTTTTGCCCGTGGCCGTCGAGCCGGTAAAACTAATCTTGTCAATATCTGGGTGCGTGCAGAGGCGCGGACCCAGGTCGTCGCCGCCATTGATCGCCTGGAACACGCCCGGCGGGAATATGTGCTGCACGAGCTCGGCAAACTTGAGGACCGAGTAGGGAGTAAAGGGCGACGGCTTGACAATGACACAGTTGCCAGTGACCAGACTTGCGGCGATCTTGCCCATGGCTAGTACCAAGGGAAAGTTCCATGGGCAGATTGCCGCCACGATGCCTATGGGCTTTTGCACCATTGTGAGCTTTAGGCCGTCATCATCTTGGATCACCTTTTCCTCCAAGGGGGGTTGCTTTGCTACGACAAGTCAGCTACAATGTTCGTGGGCTTGTCACAATGATGCAGTACCATTGAATTCAAGAAAGTTGATGGCATGCTCAACTTCAAGATGGGCGAGTTGGATCTTTTTCATTGTAAGCTGTATGTCTCCGAGACTGGGCAATCGTTGAATACCTACCGGCTTGCCAACTTCCTTGGTCAGCAACTCGGCCATCTTTGCCTTGTTCTCCGATAGGACGTCGCGGGCCTGGAGAAGTTTCTCCTGCCGGCTCTCCCAGGATGTCCTCGACCATGACGCGAAGGCATTCTTGGATGACAGAATGGCCTCATCGAGATCACTCTGCGCTGCTATTGGCACGTCCCATAGTGGCTTTCGCGTAGACGGGTCAATTCCATGGTGCACTTGTTGCCCACGTCTGAGTTGGCCGCCAATAATATTAGAAAATCGTTCAAAGTCGGCCGACGGCATGCTGATACTTCGCTTTTGATAGACGACGAGTCGTACAGGGAGGGACGCGCGGTTAAGCCGCCCCGCGATTTTTGGAGTAGGGAATCGTCTCATGATAATGATAAGAATACTCTGGTTCAAAGCCCGTCACCCGACCTGCCCGCGTGCTTCGACAGGCGACCACTCATAGATCAATATATGCCTGCACCATGCCATAAAATGCCCGAGGCAGATTGATAATCAGGGACCAACTCCTGGGTTTCAACGTGCCAAAGCTTTTGGATTGACCCTGTCAAGCCGTTAGCTCTCTCGATCGAATGTGGGGGAACGGCACCCTGCTCAGCGTAGCATGGAATGCCATTCCGATGCTACTCTGGTTTGGAATCGTTTGGCCGACGCTAAACTGAGGCCCACGGCTACCGGCCAAGTGGCGTGGTCGCGAATCGGCAGTGGGCAGAGCTGTGGTGCTGTTTCAATCGGCTGCAAAGGTAGGCAGATATTCTGGCAATTGAAGTCACGGCATTTATTTGAGATGGCTTTGTATATGATGGATCTCAAGCACAGCCAAACAATGGTTTATTCTTACTCGTCAATTTGCCCAGCGGCGTGCAAGCCGTCTAAACTTTATGCAACCGGGAATATACTGCACCTATAGAGTAAGACATTCATGTCTCTTTCTTTCTGGAAGAGGTGACACCAATTCAAAAGCTATCGTAACTGAGAGTGCCTGTATTTCCTAAACATGCCCAATCAATTCTCTTCCAATTGACCAATTCAAACAATCAGTGGAATCTGCCGTGTCTTTGCCTAGGATCTGTTCTAACCGACCGGTAATTTTGCGCGGCAGTGGGGTTGAGAGCGCCGACTTCCTCCCCCTGGCGAGATCCAGGAGCTGGAGATTAGCTGAACTCTAACGGCTTGGGGCCGTTGAAAGCCTCCCTGGCCCAAACCGTTTTTGATTCGTCACAGTGGAGTATACCACTGTGATTCCTGGGGGAATGCGGGGTTTATAGCAATGCTAAGAATGCTAAATGATAAATCTACCAAGGTAAAGCTGGGAGCCTATGAAGCCATCGCGTGACGGTTCATAATCTCAGCTTATCGACTAAACTTGACGTTCAATCTTGAGCGTGGGCGATTCTATTTGACTTTGAGCGCCCCCTGAATTACAACCACCGCCTGAACAGAAACACCCACGCCGACTCAAGATGACACTCACAAAAGATTATCAAAAGGCTGCTGTAGTTGTTGCAAGTTACGCGTGTCTCGTGTAAATCATGAATACCACCAGCTAATACAATTCTCCAGCGCGAGGGGGGCTCGCCACGCTTTGAAATCCACGATGTACCAAGACCTGCGCTGAAGCCTTGGGAAGTCCTGGTCTCTCTCTCGGCCTCTGGTATCTGTGGCACCGACGTATCTCTGGCCTCTGGACACCTGGGCCCCTGCTGCGATATACTGGGTCACGAAGGCGTCGGCAAGATCGAGGCCATCGGAGCCGGTGTAGATCCAACCATTGCAAAGATCGGCGACCGCGTAGGTATCGCATGGGTTCGAGACGCTTGCGGTGCTTGCGAGTATTGCCTTATCCCCGGCGGCGAGACGAGATGTGTTGAGCAGTTGAATTCGGGGAGAAAAATTGATGGCACATTTGCAGAGTTTTGCACCGTACCTAGCAGGTACCTTCTCAAGCTGCCGGATGATCTGGCGGTTGCCGACGAACTAGTCGCACCGATCTTGTGCGGAGGCGTCACGGCATACAAGGCACTGAAAAGCTGCAACGCGACGCCGGGTTCGTGGGTGGCCATATCCGGAGCCGGCGGTGGTGTCGGTGCGCTGGCGATACAATACGCTAGAGCCATGGGATATCGTGTCATTGCTATAGACGTGGGCACAAGCAAAGAAGAGTACTGCCGCTCTCTTGGTGCTGAAGTCTACTTGGATGCCAAGAACGATGTCGCAGCAGCAGTGTATACGTCGACTAAAGGCACGAGAGCCAAGGCAGTCATTGTGACTGCAGGCTCAGGCGCCGCTTATCAGAGTGCTTTCGATATTGTCGCTGCCTTTGGAACCGTGGTTTGTGTTGGTATACCGCCACCGCCTCAGACCATGGCCCTCCATCCTCTTCAGTTCATCGACAAGGGCATTTCCCTTATCGGATCCTTGACCGGGACGCGGACGGACACGTTGGAGGCTCTGGAGTTTGTCCAGAGAGGAGCAGTGAAACCGTCTGTCAATATCATTTCATTAAACGACCTGCCAGTTGTTGCAGATCGTGTCGCCGAGGTATGTATTATCTATTTTCAAGCTTGGACGTATCTGGGAGACTGTGGGACTGACGTTTGCCAGACGACGGGAAAGTACGTCATTCGTTTTGGCAAAGCGCAAATAGCAACTCCTGTGCAGAGTAATGGAGATGTCTCCAGCAACAATAACATTTGAAGTTAGAGCACCGATACTATGGTAGTAGATATATTGCGAACTTTCTATATTTTTGATCAAGGCAGTGGGCATAGAGCTTCAATACAATATCGCACCGTTCAAAGACCAGCTGAAAACTATTATCACCAAATTTGTGACCACATTGAATCAGCTTTCCTCCAACATCTATTTCGTGTTACTATTACCGGCTAATGGAGAAAGGCAAGCACCGCTTCATACTCAGCAATAGGAAATCAGGCTATTTCACTTTCATACTGCTTATATAGCTTTGCGTTGGACCGAAGGCAAAGCAAGGTCGCACAAAGAGCGTGACCTGTTCTACCCAACTTCCTGTTTCAATCATTTATTTACTAAAGTGGAAAAATTATTAGAAGCACTAGAATCTTTTCCGTATTTAGCCGACAAGTCATACCTTGAGATAGATATTCCAAAGGCAACCCGGCCTCTTCCCCGCATTACTTTAATATCCGTAGGCCCTAGCTTGAAGGTGTTCTTTGTGTATGTACTTGAGCTTCAGGAAACAAACAACCATTCACTATCAGGCTGCTTTTCATCCACACCCACTCGTTTGATAAGCCATAACACACGTGTTTTAATTTGAAAAAACTGCCAGACTCGAAGCGGAGAGAGAGGTGGCCGGAGAAATGGCGTCTAGCTCAAACCACTTGCGGAATGCTAATTATAGATGGTTGATGATGAGTATAAAGACCCTCCATGGCTTGGCTCAAACCGATGCCAGGTTGTATAGCGACTCTTTTTCTCAAAAGCACTCCATTCCAAACTTGCTAGGGACAACATCAACATGTATTTCAGTACAAGAGTAGCGAGCCTCGTTGCTCTCTGCACTCTCGGCAGCTGTCAGTCCATCACCAAGGTCAATGACTTCAATGCGGGTCCTACAAAGCTGGGCATGTATGTCTACGTGCCCAAGGGTCTAACAACGCCCGCACCGATCGTGGTGGCTGTCCATCACTGCCAAGGTTCGGCTCAAGGATACTCTACCGAGTCTCACTACCTGCCACTGGCAGACTCGCACAAGTTTATCTTGATCTACCCCAACTCGAGATCCAGCGGAGGTTGCTTTGATGTTGCGTCAACAGCGAGTACGTTCTTGGTCTTTTCTGTGTCGACAACAATTGTATCGATACCAGTACAAGGCGAATTGCAAACTATGGAGACATCTTACTAACATGCTCACAACAGCTCTGACCCACAACGGTGGCGGCGACAGCCAGACCATCGTCAACATGGTCAAGTACGCAGCGACCAACTACGGCGGCGACCTGAACCGGACCTTTGTCACGGGGACCAGCTCGGGCGCCATGATGACCAACGTGCTCGTCGGGGCCTACCCAGACGTCTTCAAGGCGGGTTCGTCCTACTCGGGCGTGCCGGACGGCTGCTTCTACGTTTCCGGCTCGACGGCGACCCAGGACCCTCCAGGCTGGAGCAACTCGTGCGCCAACGGGCAGACTACCAAGACTGCTCAGCAATGGGGAGACTTGGTCCGTTCGTACTACCCCGGGTATACTGGCGCCAGGCCCAGAATGCAAATGTGAGAATTTCGCAGCCCTGTCCTATCTTGCAAATCAGAACCGTCATCTAATATTGAAACAAACAGTTGGCACGGAACAGCAGATACCACCCTCCGATATCCCAACTGTAAGTCCATACTCGTCATGTAAGTCAATGATAGATGGCTAATTCCTATGAAAGACCAGGAAGCCTTGAAGGAGTGGTCCAATGTCTTGAATCTCACCACGTCAAAGGACACGGCCAACAGCCCACAAAGCGGCTACACCATGACCATTTACGGAGAGGGCACGGCAACGACAGCACAACTGGTGGGATACAGCGCTCAGGGAGTCGGCCACACGGTGCCTGTACATGAGACGATGGATCTTGCATTCTTCGGAATAGCATAAATCATGACCGTACTAGTCGCAATGTGACGTTATGGGTATTTCCTGGCTACGTAAAAACATGGCGGATGTGAACGGTGAATGAAGATTTCGGGGCAAGAGGCGAAACGGGACATGCTCTCCATATGTACTCCATTGTATCCACCTAGAGCCCCCTGCTCATGCTGCATGTTGAACAATCAAGATGATATGATTTGGTCAACAACAACGGGGCGGCCAGACAAAAATCCAGTCTCGTATCTTGACCAGGGTGTTTGAATTTTGAATCTTGCCATGGGCAGACATAACGTCCTGTGAAGAAAGCAATCCAGCTCTCGTCAGCCTATCTGAATGCGATCATGTCTTGGACCAATTTCATGTATACAACGACGGAGAAGCTCCGCACTCCTGATGATAGCAAGTCCTATGTGCTTGCTGTAATTACAGTGTTCCTACTGCTGGTCATCACAGTTGCAACATGGCGCCGGTACTTTTCGCCCCTCAGTGACCTGCCAGGACCATTTTGGGCCTCCATCACGCGGCTATGGCACGTCAAGATTATCATTGCCGGAGACCAAAATGTACAATTGAGCCGGCTGCACGAAAAGCATGGCAACTTTATCCGCATGGCGCCGAACGAGGTCAGCGTCACGCACCCCGACGCCGTGCGGAAGATTCTCCTCAATCCATTGAGAAAGGTGCGCCTCTCCCAGAACACTCGAGCGCTTTCTCATGTGCTGCTAACACACCTAGGGAGTGTTTTACAACATCTCTGCTATCCCGGACTGGCGATACCAGACGCCCATGTCGACATTGGACCCCAAGGAAAAAATCGAGAGGTCCAAAGCTTTCTCGTCGGGCTATGCGCAATCCAACGTGATCAAGTACGAGGAGGATATCAACCCGCTCATCACGCAACTGTGCGGCTGGTTGGATCGATACGCCGAATCAGGCGACCGCATGAATCTTGACAAGTTTCTCCTCTACACCGCCTTTGACGTGGTCGGCGAGGTCTTGTTTTCCAAGCCCTTTGGTTTCATTGAGAAGGGAGAGGACCTGGGTAACAGCATCGCCAAGAATCTGGCACAGGAATCCATCGGAACCCCTGTGGCTCAGTTTCGTTGGGCCCAGCTGCTGCTGGGGAATCCAGTGGTGACTACTCTCGGCCTGAACCCGGGATCCATGCTCATGGACACGGCCATGACGGCTTTCAAGGAGCGCCAGAAGAACCCCGATGCTCGCTTTGATATCATCGCACACTGGTTCCGCTACCTAAAAGACCACCCGGACCGGACCAACCTGCGGAATATTGAGGCGCAGACGACGACGAATGTGGCAGCGGGATCCGACACCGTGACTTGCGCTCTCCAGAGCATTCTCTACCACCTGATCCTTCACCCGTCCACGTACGATCAAGCCCGCGCCGAGATTGACGCGGCCCGGAAACAAGGACGCTGCGGCGACAAGGTCATCTCCTTTGCCGATACGCAGAAACTACCGTACCTCCAAGCCTGTATCAAGGAGGGCCTACGCATCCACGCCCCTGTGCCAATGGGCCTGCAACGAGTGGCGCCTAAAGGTGGCCTCACGATTGGCGAGCGGACTTTTCCCGAGGGCACCACGTTGTCCATCAACCCCTGGTAAGACATTGAGCCTGTCAAGTCCGGATGATGAGTGTTGTGCAGAAAAGAATTGCTGACAGTGATCTCTGTAGGGTATTACACCACTCCAAAGAGCTCTGGGGCGACAATGCAGACGACTGGAGCCCAGAACGTTGGCTAGTCAATGACACCTCCGTGCTCGACAAGCATTGGATACCTGTAAGTCATGGACCGACGGAATGGAGATTTTGCGTTTCCAAATTGACAGATATCCTACAGTTTGGAGCTGGATTCAATGCATGCCCTGGCCAGCACGTTGCCCGGATGCAACTTTCAAAGATTTGCGCGACCGTAAGTTCTTTTTTGGGGGGACCAAGTCCGGACGTGGTTTCGACTCTAGACTGACAACTCAACAGATTATCCGTGACTACGACCTCAAGCTCGTGGACCCATCGAAACCATGGAAGTGGATGGCCTACTTCACCATGGTGCCTAATTCGTGGCCCGTGTATGTAGCGAAAAGGGCAGACGCATAGAGATACACTTTGCACATATACTCGTGGTCATTTTTGTTCTTGTGGGTATGAACCGCAATGCCTCCTACGCCTAGGACTCATTCTGCAATGAGAAAGACCCAAAGGAAACCAGATGAAATGCTGGACCTTTGGTGGCCAAAGCTCCGGCTAACCAGGGCACGATCCGTTGCAGAAGTCGGCAATCTGACTGTGCCGTTCTGATGCGTCGAAGCAGGCCCCGGTCGTTTTTTAAGGATGGATTTGTGACGTGAAGATATGAAAAGAACCAAAAATGATGTCGGGATGATATACGTATATGAAAGAGCTTCGCACAAAATCGCGACATTGTTCGCTAGAGTCTGTGCTCAGTGTCCAGTGCCACAAAGGTGTACATACCTATTCCCTTGGTGTTAAAATGAGCCATGTTTTGATGGATGACGTGGGCCTAAATCATTGTCGGATACTGCTAAAGAGACATAATATTTGCGCCTAGCACGCGCGTGTGTGTCATGATTGATTTGATTAGATAGTTACTACAAGAGCAATCATTTGTAATCTTCAGCAGCAGTTGACGATCAAGGAGGCAGCAATGATGAGAGATCAGCGTGTTGAATCAGCACTAATGTAGGCAACCAGTGGATGGTATAGGACGCTAAAGGCCTACTACATACGATGATTCGAATGCCGATCAAGGCGGTAGATGAATTAGTACTCTGTTTTTTTTTTCAACATTTTCACCGCCAGGTTTGGAAAGTCTTGGTAAATAAGTTTAAAAACAAGTCAAAAAAATCCCCACAGTCCCGAGGGGAGAAAGGAAAAAATGGCAGCCTGTCAACCTGTACATTCAGGCTTACTGGGGCTTCCTAGCGATGATAGGCAGAGTAGGTCAAAAATAGCTACACTGGAGTCGGTGCTAAGCCAATTGCCGCAGAGGGTCCCGTCCCTTACCTCTTGGCATGTTCAGCCGTAATATCAAATATCCTTGCTCAGGGACCACGGATTGCATTTGGAGAAAGCAAGACAAGCCGCAGTCCAACCGAAGAAAGGCGAGTTGACAATATGCACAGTAGGTTGATGCTGAATCCTTTTTTTCATGCTCGGGGTCGTCTTATTGGAAGATAGGAATGGTAAGGGGATAGCATCAGCCAAAGATCATTGTGCGTGCGTGCGGATCAGCGCTCCCTCTCCCGTGTCCCCGGTTCTCGAACGTAGGATTCGGAACCCTGTATAAGCGTGCCGTGGTGCATGGGTCCTTTTGGACGGAAGAAAGCCAGCAAAGGCCCAATTGAAACGGAATATCTGCAGGCTTCGCAAGGACCTGAAGATCCAAGAGATCACTCGAAATAGTCTGCACTCATTCGGGACCGTGGGTCAAATCCTTTGACGTACCATTGCTCTCAAAACCTTGTGCGACTTTGGCCCCCATCCTTTTTGCCTCTGATATCATTAATCAATCATTTATATGGTCGTCTTACGACTATCTGTCGCCGCTACCATTTTTCTCTGGACTTGCCTTTCGTGGTAGCATTTGAAAATTGGTTTCTTCAATTATCGTGACTCTTACCTTGATATCTTCTTCCATGGTTGAACTATCATCCGTCTCTAGTTGAGCTTGGCATGAGAACACTGTGCGATTGAACTTCAACCTAAGTGGACAGGGGAGTAGGATCACCATGGTATTCGCACCGAGGAGGAGGGTCTTGGCAGCAGTCTGTCTGTTCGCAACTCGGGCTGCAGCTGGCTCGCTGGCGGCTTGGTACACGGATCTGGGACCTAGTTTGCTGCTCCAAGATGACGAGACGAGCCACGTCCGATACAGCCTGTGCACAAGCGAGAACACGCCCATCTTGCCCGAGGACAAGACCATCATTGCGCCTCTGTACAAGTATCAACCCAGGAACGGGACCGCGCTGGCGGGCACCGGTTGGTACGATTCCAAGATCACCTGGGCATCCATCTTTTACCAAGACACCAACGACAATATCGTCAACTCGTATCTGAAATGCGATCCCAATACGGGGTACTGGCTGAGCCAGGGAGACTACATCATTTCGGGCAACGCGCCGTCGGTGGCGACTGGCACCGGGCTGGCGGCGGTTCTGCTCGGGTCGACGGGCGGGTACCGCGTCTTTTACCACGACACCGACATGACGATTCGGCAGATTGGGTACACTACCGATTCCGGTTGGAACGATATTGGCGCTGTGACCCAGGACGGCAGCCTGGGCAATGCCATTGGTGCCGTCTACAGCGGCAAGAAGAGCAACATCACCGTGGCGGCGGCCACGGGCAGCCAAGACATCGAGATCAGCCAATGGTTCGACGACGACTCGTGGCATATCTGTAGGTCCTCCTATTCTGCATCCTGGACAAGGAATATATGACGTGTTAACACAGCTCTGAAGCCGCATTCCCACAACCGCTGTCCGGTGACCTGGTCACCAACGCCACCAACGCAACCTCAATCGCACTCAACACGACCAGCGCCGCCAACTTTACGCTGCCCGCCTGGGACGGCACGGCGTCGTCCCTGGGCGTGTCCACGCACCACTCCGGTACGCGCTCCATCTTCTACATAGGGACGGACTCGGCGCTGCACCAAGCCAGCCAATCCGGCAATGATGCGTGGCACATCGAAGCGTCCCCCAACGCCACCTTTTGGCCCAGCCCCGACGCCGCCGCACGCGGTCAACTGGCCGTGGCTTCGGACGGGCAAAATGGCCAGCTGCGCGTGTACTACCAGAGCGGGGGACAGATTGTCGAGCTCAACGGCGACGGCCTCGACTGGACCATTGCGGCTGCCGCCCTGCCCAACGCCAACTCGACCGCCAGCTCGGGGGGTACTAGCAATGGTGGCAGCGACTCGTCGGGGTCGACTGACGACAGCAACGGCGATGGCAGTAGCTCGAGCAGTAGCAGCAACAATAGCAGTGGTGGCTTGTCCACGGGCGCCAAGGTCGGCGTCGGTGTTGGAGTGAGCATGAGCGCTGTTGCGGTTGTAGGAATCCTTGGTGGCCTCTTCTTCCTCCGCAAGAGGCAGCAGCGTCGAAATAAAGAATCAACATTTGGAGGAAGTACACTTGCAGGAGGGTCCAGCATGGCTCCGACACCGAACATGGGCTACTCAACAGCGGCATATCCAAACCATGTATCTCCGCAAACAGCGTACCCACCATATGGCGTATTGGACCAAACTGCATATCATCAGTCAAACGGCTGGGAAACATACTATAGTCAACCACATGTGACACCGAAACAGCCAGGCGAGCTTGAAACAGGGGCCCCAGCAGCACAGGAAATGCCACAAAACTTTAGATATCATGAAATGGTTGGCGAAGGTCACTACAGGGAGGCGCCATAAGCCAGTCCTATTCAATAATGATGAGATGAACATGTCTTCATTTACCTGATTATTCGCTAAAACCCATTTTTATACCTCTAACCCATAAGGCCCATGCGCCGTGATCCCGGGAAATTTGAGAAGTGTGTATGTAATCATATAAGCCCGCGCTTGGCGTCCTTGGCCACAGAGCCTCGGAGGGCCTCGTGCGGCTTCTCGTACGGAGGTCGTCCACCGAGAATATCGGCAGTGTCCTTCATGTCGCGCCAGTGAGCTGCAAGAGGGCGACGGTTCTTCCAGTCAGTGTCCTTCTCTTCCAAAGTCTCCATGGGCGAGAAGACGACGGCAGCACCCATGATACCAATGACGGATGCGCTCAGTGGGCTGTCGCTAGCAGAAGCCTCCGAGAAGGGGCCAAACTGCTCAAGGTGTTGAATGCATCGGATTGCGAGTCTGACAGCTCGGTGTCTATCCAGAGGGGATGGGACACCACCCTGCTGCACGTGGCCGGGAATACTGTCACGGGCTTCAAATCGCTCCTCCGCCTCGTGGCGAATCAGATCTGCGATGAGCTTGGCCGTGAGGAGCTTGTCAGCCTTTTCATTGACCAGGATCAGACGTCCGGCGCGAGACTGTCCATTGTCATTTCTGAAGACCTCCTTTAGATGCTCGATATCTGAAGTAATCATGCCTAGGCTGATACCCTCTTCGGGAATGTACACGGCACTTGCTCCTACACCCAAACTGGCCAGGGTAGCAATGTATCCGGAGCGGCCACCCTGGGTCTCAATGACGAAAACTCGTCTACGGGTAGCTGAGGCAGACTGCTTGATCTTGTCGCAGAATTCGACAAGCTCGTTGAGGCAAGTATCCGAACCAAGCGAGTACTCGGAACCCGGAACATTGTTCGAAATGGTGGCTGGCAGCAGCGTGAAGGGGATGCGAAGCTCAGGGTACTTGGCCCGGGCCTTTCGCAGCTGTGAAATTGCGTGGAATGCCTCGAAACCTCCAACCAGGAAAAGCGCATCAAACTTGTCCTTCTTGATGCAGGCAGCAATCAGGTCCATGCCAGTCTCCTCGGGGAGTTCACGGTTGGTACCGATTTCCGAGCCTCCCTTTCTGCCCCAGTCATCCACATCGACCCAGTTGAATGGTCGCACGGACTTGTATGGCGAATCATCGTGATGACGCACATAGCCGGCAAAACCGTTGTAGATAGCGAGGGGCTCATGGCCACGGTTCAAGCAATAAGCAACACCGGCTCGGATCGCGGCGTTCATACCACCAGCGGGAGCACCAACGTTGATGAAACCAATGCGCATGCGCTGTGATGTGTTAGTGCATGAAGTCGATGGAAGGGATGTAGATGAACTTACCTTGTTGGCGGGAAGTTTGGTGTTCTCGTCCTGCCCAACAGTAGTTGTGAGGCTATAGCAGTTGTACATTTCAGCAAACTCCGTGTCTCGTAGAGCCATGGCCCTGCTAAAGTCTTGAGCTTCGATTGCCTTGGCAACTTCTTGTGTTGCCTTGACCGCTGCCATCAAAGGCTTGCGGACAATCTTGTTCTCGGTGATGGCAATAAAGCAGGTCTCGGACTCGGGCGTCGCTTCGAGCAGGGTCTTGACAGCCTCAACACCTTGCAGTGTTGCCAGGATTCTGTCTTGAGCGACGGCTGGACCACCACGCTGAACGTGACCGAGGATTGTGGCACGGGTGTCGAGCTTGAGGCCCTTGGGGTCCTTGAGCAGGTCGACAACCATCGAAGAAGTGATCTTCTCACCGTGTCTGTCCTTGGCTCCTTCGGCAATGATGACAATGGTCTTTCGCTTTCCTAGTTCTCGGTGCTGCGTACGGTCAGCTCAATGCATTTGGACAATCATTTCCATGGACACCGTAGGACATACCTTCTTCACAATCTTGACCATATCCTCGCGCCAGTTGTCGTCTCTGGGCTTCTCAGGAATAAAGATAAAATCGGAACCGGTTGCAACACCGGCCATCAGGGCGAGGTAACCGCAGTGTCGGCCCATGACTTCAATGACGAAGGCACGTTGGTGGGAGCTTGCAGTGGCCTCGATGTAGTCGACCATCTCGCAAATTCGGGAAAGGGCTGAAGCAGCGCCAATGGTGTTATCAGTTCCGGACAGATCGTTGTCAATGGATCCTACCAGGCCGACAATGTTCAGGTGCCTGTATGGGGCGACCTGCTGTTCAGTGAGCTCGCCGCCGGACACGAGTTCGTCGACCAGCGACGGCCACTCGGCTCTGAATTTGTCTGCACCGGTAAGAGATCCATCACCACCGCAAATGGCAAGAGCATCGATTCCCTTCAATATCATGTTCTTGGCGGCAAGTCGTCGACCGGGTCGCTCGTAAAACTCCATGCACCGGGCGGTTCCGATGAGGGTACCGCCCTCGGACAGGTAACCTCGCACGTCGTTCCAATCGGTCTTGCGGATGTCGCCGGTAACGAGTCCCTGGTAACCCTCGTAGACGCAAAAGGCATCACAGCCCATGTGAATGGCCGTGCGGACGACAGCGCGGACAACGGCGTTCATGCCTGGAGAGTCACCTCCAGAGGTCATGACGGCAATCTTCTTCTTAGGCGCCATGGTGGTAAGCGGCGCCATGGTGAGCTTTCGTTCTATGGGAAAGGTAGGAAGTCAAGTAGGTTTTGGGATATCATAAAAAGATGTCCAAAGACGAAAGGAGGGTGGCAGCTTTAAGTCTCAGCAAGGACCGGGAGCGCCAACTCGCCAAGCTGGAGGGGTGGTGAACAAGCGAAGCTTATGGGGTGATGTGGAAATATCAACACCCTTGTAAATGGAAGACGATGGTTCGAGAGCGCCACGGTCAGGAGATGATGAGAGGCTTGTATGAGCAAGAATGGTTTCAATAGGAAGAGAGGGAAAGAAGCCGGATGACAGGAATAATATGAGATGTTTAGATGGTGCTACTACTTCATTGTTGTTACACTATTGCTGCTTTTCCACCTTTGGAAGCCCGAGAAGACCAAGACAAACATGCCCAGATGAGACACACTGTCTCACCTGGCTCTACCTAAGCTGACGGACCGTTGCTTGCCAAAGGTCCGATTGGAGTTGAGTTTGGCGGGCAGGTGTGACGCAGTTGCACCACTTTTTTGTGGCTTTTGCTGCACTGATGCTCCTTATCGCTATCAATAGCGGGGAGCTCGCCCAAAACTTTGCAGCAGAAGCAGCAGCTCAGGCGTCTTGGATGCCCCTCACTAAAATAGAGACCCAGGTTGCTCGACTCGTGAAAATACATCATCATGCGGCGGGGTTGCAGCTGTTGAGTTCGACCTCAGAGATCTCCTGGCATTGGCCATGGGTCGTCATTCTGATGGATATGAAGTCCCATCCCTCGATAATTATATCGCAACCCACGATATTACTTCATTTTGCTATTCTCAACCAAAGAAACAATCACACATCCTCCCACATGAACTCCGCCTTAGGAGAGCGCGCAAAATCAACAAACCAAATGAAACTGGCTAACCTCTGAATGCAGCGATCTAGTTCTGCTCCCCCCCTACCGACAAAAAAATCCGACCGAATACTATATCATATCCCCACATGGCATCCGCAATCTCCATGTCCCTGAAGCCCTAACTGAGGCTGTCAACCAATGACGAAATCAGAATTATGACGGAAATTCGCGCAGGGTTCAGGTCCAGAGAATTTCGGTCAGCCAAGTGACTCGTGAAAAGCATCATTGCATAACTTGGGTTAGCTTTATGCCCATCCTGAACAGACTCTGGTCAAGGGACTCGGCACTCGGTGGAGATGGGGAGGCTATCGCGCCTGGCTCTTTATATTCCGCCCACTATAACATGACAGATTCACCAGGTGATAAGTGTGGCTAGTAACGGACAGAGTTGTGGCTTTTAACTGCGGCGAACTTCTCTACCCCTTCATCATTCTTGCTGACCTCTTGAGAAGTGCCTTCTTGCCAGTTAGCCGTCGAAATATTTACACATGTTTCTTGCTCTAATCCCAGATGATCCAACTAGCTTATACGAGCCATTGCACAACAGAAAGTCGAGATGAAACCCCAAAAGAAGTCACACGAAAAGACAATGATTAAGGGGGCCTCGATAGCCGAGGGTAATCATTCATTTGCTCGCGTTTCAACAGCAAGCCTCTAAACGCCAATGCTACAAACTCCATGCCTTCACGTGAAAATAAAACGCCTTTGCCATGCCTTGCCGTCGAAATGAATACGAATGGTATCGCTGGAGCGCATACTCGCCTGCCTTGGCGCCGTTTTCTTATTTTCTTTCGTTCTTTCTTCTTCCTCTTTCATGGTGAGCAACCACCACTAGTTGTGTCTTGCTGCAGCTTGAGCAAACTGCTCCGCTTGCAGTCTTTCCAACTCCTCGAGCGACATGCCGCTGTCTTCGAACTTATTTGTTCGCTGTGAGTAGAATATTAGCATTTGTGTAGCACTTCAGGACTCTAGGGACACTCACAATGTTCTTGATGACCTTTTGCGTCTCCTTGTGCTGGGCTGCAGCCTCTAGGACTGCCGGGACGTATTCCTCAAAGCCCAGTGTTTCTAGAGCCTTGGTGATGTGGTCACATGCAATAGTCTTCTTGGCTTCCTTCTCAGAAATCTCGTTGGCTTCTGAAGAGACCAGTGTAATGAATTCCACGCAACATTCTATGAGCAGGTCCCTGGCCTCTTTAGAAAAGCTCAAGCCGGTTGAAGATGGCAAGATCTCTGTCACGATCTTTTGGACCGTAGCTAGAAACGGTCAGCTGGATAGACGATAGCTGAACCAAAGTACATGAAATACCTTTGGGGAGAGACAAGTCATCATTGCCTACAGTCAAGATTAGAATTTACAATACAGAGAGAGGTGAAAGTATGTCATCCGTGCTTGGGGTCGGGTCAATGTCTTGATGGGAGTCGTTCGTATGCCTGTTGATCTGCTGTCGCCTTTTCAAGGAGCCACTCAAGAAGGTGACAAAGGACCACGTGGTATTGAGGGATATGACAAGAAACAAAGGGACCAAGTGTGAATATGGAACGTCGAGAGGATGGATATGTACTGGCATCGGCGCATGTCGTAATAGCAGCAGCAGCTTTATATGTGAGAGCAAGAGAGATGATTTTCGTGGATAATTTGGATTGACCAAGTCATGGAAGGCGAGTCGGTGCAACCGCAGTGCACATGGTATAAAAGCTCCCGATGGGCTGGGTCTGGATGAGATGCACTGAGCAAAAGACTTACCTCCATATTCGTGGTCGGACATGTTTGGCGCAGAGACGCGTATCTAGCAGAGTGCGAACTGCAGGTGGTATAGGAATAAACTCGGCTGAATTTATGACCTTAAATCTTGATGCACCTCTTTTTGTTGAAAACGCAGAGTAGGTTTGGTGTTCAGACAGTAAAATGCCGGGTTGTGATGCAGTCGTGTGAAGTCAATATCAGAAACGGGGTCTATTTCCAGGAGCGCAGAGGCGCGCAGATGCCAGTGGATCAGCCGCCATTTATGTACCTGAAGGCTGGCAGGTGGGGAGGGATCCGGCGGCAGCGAGCCAGATTGCGGCCTGGCTGTGGCTGACACTAGGTTGGCGCCCCCCGAAGTATCAGATGTGGCGCAGCTTCCTGGCCGAGCTTCAAAACATTCAATTCCACTGAAAATTCCAAAGCACAAAATTTCTGCTCTTTCTCCCAACACAAAAACTTTTTTTTGGGATCGTGAACAGCAATCCTCGATCGCCAACACCACCCTCGATCGTGTCGCCATGGACTAAACTCTTGCTACCTGATGCCTCATCGGCATCTTGTTCACCATATCACGCAACAACGATTCAGAACAAAAAAGCTGAGATACCTGCTTCCATCGGTAAGTCACTTATGCACCTTTGCACTTTCTTTGCATGATGAACAAGTTGTCGCCCCAGTCTTACCTGCCTCCGACAAGGGCAGGAATGCTGATTGACACGTCTTAGCCAATAGACATGAACTGATACAGCACCAAAACACCACGCGTTGTTGCTATTCCTGCCATTTGACAGTCCTGGCTAACGAGGCATTCTAGCTAGGTATCTCTCGATTCAGGGTCTCTGCATGCCACCCTCGCGCTAAATTGCCCACCTCTCAATCAACGTCTGATGTGATGCCTTTTGCTTGAAGTACTATCGAATACCGACATTCGTGCGAAGAGGAAACAATCTCGAAGCCTGATCGCGACGTTCATTAAGTGCCTTTGGCGCTTGGAAGATGGACATCGACATCGGTGCTGACAGACGCAATTAGGCTTGTGGCAGGTCAAATGGTCGCATAGATCACCGGCAACGACTCATTCCGAAAGGTAGGCCTAAATTTTTCTTCTCTTTTAATATTATGCACCGCTTGTGATGACGAACCTATATTCCATGCTAAAGCCGAATCTACATGTGGATATACTATAGAGCCTTTTCATCTTTCGACTGAAGCTTTTTATCACTTTTCATTTCTAGTTGATGCTTTTCTAATCGCATATGCTAATTAATGACAACAGGTATTCGTTATGCTCTACTTTTACGCTCTATGCTTGGAAGCTCTTCAGCTGGTCGTCATTCCATCTGCGCTTCGGTTAGTATTTGTAAATCTTGCTGGGTGAATGTGACAAACCTCAGGTGCTTGCCGTTCACTTCCTTAGGGGGGCCAGCCACCAGGTTTGCGATTACTGTTCCGGGCTGTTCCGGCTTGAGTAGTTTTCCACTCGCATGTTCCTCGATGAAGCTGGCATGGTCCTTGTCTGTCATATGGCCACCGCCAAGCTCTCTGATCTGCTGCTGCATGTCGGTATCAACCTTGCCTGGTGAAATGGCCACACTCGTGATGGCCGGCTCCTCGACTGCAAGATGGGCGCAGAGGTGGTTGATAGCTGCCTTGGCAGTGCCGTATGCGCCCCAAGCTGTGTAGGCACCCACTGACGCGCCCGATGAGACGAATACAATGCAGCCTTTAGTCTTTCTCAATTCGGGAAGCGCTGCCTTGACCTGTAAAAGACGGTAAATGAGTACACCATGGTCATGCAATGTCAGCTAGCTCAACGTACCAAGGCAAGTGGACTCGCAACATTGATGTCGTAGGAGCGTCTCCATTCCTCGATATCGACATCGGCAATCTTAGATAGTGGTGTCAAGACAGCGTGGTTAATAACAATACCATCAACCTTGCCGAATGCCTTTACAGCTGCTTCAATAACCTTGGGTGATGTCTGCAAGTCCAATGAGTGAGCGATCAGATCCGTGGAAAGTGTCTCATGAATAGCTCACGCTGAAGTCGGCCAGGTCAGCTGCCAGATACTCGACATTTGACGGATTCTCGCTCTTGATCTTCTGCAGACCCGACTCTGATCTGGCCACAAGAAAGACCTTGTGAGAAGCACGAATTAGAATCTGGGCAATGGCGAGACCCAGACCTCGGCTCGCGCCGGTGACGATGAAGGCCTTGGATGACATTTTGCTCTTTTTGGATTGTTTGGAATTGGTGAGTAGGTAGTCTCTGTTTGTTGTTATGCTACAGACGGTAGAAGAAGGACGAGTGAAATAGAAAAGCAGAACCGTCAAGAATTAACAGGAAGATGCTTAACCCGACGAGAGCCACCTTTGAGCGCAACAAGCAAAGGGAAGGGATCCATCCAGTCGCCGTTGGGTCCCGCCGATCGCGGGGCTAGGAGGGGCAACCAACCGCCGGCCTTGTATTATCTGTGTATGGCGTAATAACGGGAAGTTTATAGGCAAAGTGTAGGTGGCCCTTCAAACATCAAAAAATTCAATACAACAAATCTTTTAACTTGCTATCATATTGGAAAAATCACTACTTCATACTATATCCCATCATTCACATTCATTTAAATATACTCGATAGTTGCAATAATAGTCCACCAGGAGATTCCTGGTTCAGGGATGCCCTCACTCGCCGAGACTCGGCTTCTTGTGTGATAATCCTGACGCAGGCTGACAATTTTACCTGAGGTAATTACTTTTCTCATCGGGGCCTTAATCCCCATAAGTGTGACCCATATCCGAGGAATCCGGCCGACACCAAACATCAAACTGCGAGGTCGAAGCCAAGTCATGACCTCCTCGACTGTAGTGTTGGGCGCCGGCATCATTGGTGCGTCCACGGCGTATTATCTGGGCCAGCATCAGACTCCATCTTCAATCCACATCGTGGACCCTTCGCCGGAGCTCTTTGAGTCGGCGTCGGGGTATGCAGGCGGGTTTCTCGCCCGAGACTGGTTCTCATCCCAGACCTCGGGACTCGGTGCTCTCAGCTTTGATGAACACCGGAAGCTCGCCGAGGCCGAGGACGGAGGGCAGAAATGGGGGTATATGCGTAGCACGCCCATCAGCTTCAGTCCTGGAACAATGAAAGGCCAGACGGTTGTTGCTGCAGGCAGGGCCGAAGCTGCCAGCAGGACTGGGGGCAATGGCGTTGCACCACCTTGGTTATACCAAGGCGACGGCGGGAGAGCTGAGGCTATTGGTGAAGAGGGGACTGTTGCACAAGTGTAAGTCGCAGATCAAGTGTTGCAATGAAGTATTTGTGGTCAAACCTTTCACTTGTGCTTCTCCACCGATACGGGCTTCTGCCCCGTGCCGATGATATACATAAGCGTTTCTCGGGGCTCGCGGCTGAAACAATCATTGACCAGAGACCCTTTACAACTGTCCCGATTTCTTCTTCAAAAGTGCCTCGAATCTGGTGTAAAATTACACCACCCGGCCAAGGCCACTTCAGTCATGACGGATACGCGCAATGAGATATCGAGCGTGCGCATCATGGACACCAGATCGGGCACGGAATCCGATATCCCATGCACGAACATAGTTATTACGGCCGGAGCATGGTCACCTCAGGTCTTTGCGGCTCTATTTCCTCGGTCACAGCTCAAGCTTCCTATATCGAGCCTCGCCGGTCACTCGCTCGTCATACAGTCTCCGCGTTGGACGGCCGGGTACGAAGCACAAGCTGGATGCCACGCTGTTTTTGTGTCGGGTGGCTCTGGTTACTCACCTGAGATATTTTCCCGCGCCGGCGGCCACATTTACATTGCAGGCCTAAACTCGGCAACAGAACCTCTACCACTTCTGGCGACAGATTCAAGGTCCGGTATCTCCAAGTCCGCGATTGCGCAACTTAGAGCAACGGCGTGTGAGATATTGGGACGCGGACAAATAGAGATCGTCAGAGAAGGGCTTTGTTTTCGCCCGACGACAAGTAGCGGATCGCCCATTATAGGCAGGATTCCGGACACGCGTCTAGGTGAGGGCGTCACTACACGGCCAGGCGCAGACGGCGGTGTCTATCTTGCTGCAGGCCATGGACCTTGGGGAATTAGCCGTAAGTGTATCTCTGCAGTCCACTCCATTTGAAGTTGTCTTTATGGTTTCCACTGCCATCTATGATTGTTGGAAATGTCTCTGTGAGATATGCCTTGATGGAAAAGGATTTCAAGAGTCAATACTGATGACAATGCTCACAGTGAGTCTTGGCACTGGGAGAGTGTTGGCAGAGATGATTCAGGGGCGGAAGTTGAGCGCCGATATCTCGATGCTGGGACTATAATCGCTCCCTCGAGCCGAATGGATATAACGGCTTCATGAAGTCATCCAAGGCCCCTTTGTAACGGGATCGAGATTTCTGATAACGCGAGAGGCACCCAGATGCTCTCAAGTCTGTCTTAAGTCTATTCCATCGTTTCATATTCTCCGAAAATGGCAACCGCATGGCTTACGACGGGCTTGCGAATGTCGCCAATAAGGGCGGTTAGTGCTGATCCGTCAAACGGGTAGACTCTGGAGTAGTCAACAATGTTCCCCTTTTCCGGACATAATTGAGAGCGGAATGATTTTCCTGGGCAGTTTACTGATTCGTGTCAACGGCCTTCGCCTACTGCCCGGGAGGCGTCATGACCATCACCATGATCTACCGCAATGTAGTAAGGCTGAGTAAAAAAAACCGATAGACCGGATAGCCCTCTAGCGGCAGCAGCAGAGGGGGCTCGATCGCAGCAATCATGCCATCTCTCGGCAGGCCCAGGAACGATCACAAACAAGATAGACTCGGAGGGCCCCACCGCAGCTCGCAGCACGCAACAGAACAGACAATCACATAGCACGATATTTACCCCGCGAGCTTCTATAGTCGGTCTAGGCAAAGTCGTTGGAGTCTGTGCGGCAGGAAATAGCGAGCGCCCGTCCAAGGCATGTGTGGACTGATTTACGAAAGCTAAGGAGATGGCTTAATTCTCCGAATATTTCCTGAGAGCGGAAAAAATGGGAAAGAGGAATATAGTTTTTTTCATGACTACTGCGATTTCTTGAGTCGGTCATTGTCTGGAGGCCTAGATGTTTTTTCTCCCCCTGGCATAATGGCATGTCGAGACAGATTTGTAAGTTTATAGGCGCAAAGTCTGAAGTCCAGACTGCTACGTTTCAGATAACAGGGCCAAAGTCTATTGAGTATTGTTGTTATTCTCCGACGCACCCTCTTTATCTTGATGGCCCCAAAGTGTAAGAAATAAAGTGTTGGACCATGCATCTATGGGGTGGCCCGTTGATGGGTGCGTGTGTGGTGACCCCCAACGCTGCTGCCCTTTGTCAGCTCGTAGGGAGGGCGCCGGCGTGCTTTTAGGTTTAGATGGGTTTGCGTAGCCTGGGAGATTCTCGTGCGTAGCAAAGAGAAACCAGCTAAGGTAAGGATGCCGTAGCAGCAGAGACAGCGCGAAACCCAAGAGCAATGACTGGCATTAGCAGCAAACCTTGGTCATAAAATACGCCCTGTGGTATCCCGTGTAGCCGGGAACCTCTCGATCTTGTTCTGTGCCAAACGGGCTCCCGAGACAACGGCTGGTGTCTTGGGTTGAGTGCCTCTTCAGAATGTCTCTCGATACAGGGGAGTTGGTGGCGACGACAGATCCAAAACAACGGCCATCTTGGAATTGACTTTGAGCAAGCCGGCCCCTACCTACATTGCACACGTTTGAAGATGAGAAGGTTTCAATCTGAAGAAGAGTGGCCCTGCACAGAAGTCACGTATAGAAGAAGTATGTTAGCGAGCCAATAAGTTCCCATCCCAGCTTTCAATTATGGAGAAGTCGAAACACGATTTTTTCTCTCTTTGGTTTTGGGTTTTACAAGTTGCAACTCTCCCGTGTAGATCACCATGATGGGAAAGCCTTTTGATTGATTGAGCTGTTGCTGGTCTGCTATCGACGATTGTGGCTTGCTGTGCTTGATTGGCTCTCGCATCTCGACCAAGGATTTTGTTGCTGGGCTTGGCGCCGATCTCCTAGCATCCAGGCTCACGGAATTGGGGATTTTAATTGATTGATTGCTTTCTAAGCTGGTTGTCTAAAAGCCGGGCAACCGGGCAGTAGCAAGCTGAATTTGAGTTGCTAAGGAAAGAAAGCCGAGAACCGCACGGACATGGGGTTAATTACATCACCACTTTCGGACTTTCGACCCCCTGGCCTTGTCACGATTCACACACAGCTGACAGGTTTATTGGATTTTTTACTTCCTTGCTCTTTTGGGGTCCCATGCTAGTCGCTTTCGTCTGATGTAATTCTTAGCTGTCGTTTGCTATTATGGTCCATTACTTCCCGGCTTTCTGGAAGCGCTTGTAATTGGGATTGAATCATACACGATGAATGTGGACCAGGAAGAGACGAAATTTTTGTGTGTAGCTCAATAGTGAACATTGTATTATGATTGAAGTTATTGTGTGCAAAAAAAAGCAAATTGGTATCTTTTTCCCCCATACGCCGCCCAGCTCTGTTGGGGATTTCCCTCGAGTATAGAAAAATTGCCGTGTAGAGATCATGGCGATCGTCATTGGAAATGCAGTAAACCCTTTAGTCCCAGCCAAATTTTGATGTTTTTGTCTTTGCAGACATGTCCCGCTTTCTTTCCTCCCATGATTTCCCGTTTCAGAAAACGTATGCATCGTGAGTTTGACAAAAGAAAAATGATAAGATGTTGGTACAGAATCTTCCTTAATGGGAAAATTCAAAAGGGTTGACTTCAAAGTGCTGCGACTCGTCCTCGACCGCCTCGGCGTCCATGCCAAAGACGATGCCGCGGCGTTTCCATTCGCCACGCTTGACGAATTCGTCGAGGGGCCCAGTGAATTGTTTCTGTGGCCTCCTTTGGCTGACGGTAGATGATGACGATGTAGTTCGTGGCATGGCCCGTCTGGTCACGTCCTCTTCGTCGGACGAGTTGTCCATGGCTGAAGGCACTGTTTGCCAGTCCTTGAGTGGCCATTGAGATTGTTGGTCGTAGATGTAAGACCTCCTCCGATCGTCGCTGTTGAAGTAGTAGTCCAGTGGCGAGTCTAGGTCGTCATAGCTGGAGCAGACTTGTTGGTGTTGTTGATGTTGTAGTTGTGATTGTTCTGCACTCTGGCGCCTCTCCTCGTCGTACTCCTCATCGATGACGGGAGACGTGTTGAGTGAGAGTGGTGGGTGTAATGATAGTGGGTCATATGTGTGTAATTTGTGACCGTGAGATGTGGTCGACGAAGACGTCGAGGCGGTACTGGTGGTGCTCATACTTCTGGTGTGCTTTGGATAACCATGCTCGTTGATAATGACAGTAATGGGTTTTTCTCTCAGACTGAGCTTCGACTTCTTTTGAAAGAGTACAGGCGCCATGATATCGTCGGTGGAAAAGACTGCACACGGCAGTCGGATGGAGCGAGAGTAGAAATATTTGTAGTATAAGTAATCTTATGAGGCTTGCTCGTAAAAGTGGAGGTCGTGGGCGGGCCAAGGCCAAGGTCTTCCTGGTTCAGAGATGAGGGCTGTGGGATCTTAAAAAGAAAAGTCTTTCTTTCAGTCGCCGAGTGACTGGGAACACCAAGGAAGAAAAAGGTTGCAGGGACAGCTGGGATTAATATCTATATCGACCGGGGGGTTTAGATCACCGTCCCTGAAGATCCCCAAAGAAGCAAAGTTCACACACACATACATCCAGTATCACATAAGACATCAGCATGTGAGACCTGGTGCCTTGCAGGATTTCGCTTTCGCACTTGCGTAGCCCCAAAGCTTATTGCGGCCGTCGGAAGAGAGCAAAAAAGAATGGCAACATTTGTAAGAGGGCACCTATGTGCTCGATTGCACCTGATTTCACGGCAGATATCCGATCACCCCACGAACGCTTGCGTCACGCTTGTTCAGCAAGACATAATTGCAGTAAACCAACCCTTGCCGGCCGTAAAGGAAAAAAAAACATGGGCGTCGTCCTTAGTGAACGACGAACATGTCGCCGTCTTTTCCACCAGCAACGACTTATTTTAGTGTCAAGTATGAACCGCTAAGCCCGGGTAGATGGTGTGTGGAGTGGGAACTGGGCATCAAAGTGGGCTGGCTTCTTTTTTTGCTCGGTGTTCAGCAAATTCCCATTTCTTCCGCCGCAGCGAGAAATCTCACGAACAGGAGCCAACAGCTACCAGGGGGTGGGACGCCCTATTCATCAACTAGCCCGCCAAACCCGCCAGGCACCAAGCTTTGACTCTCGGTCCTTGGCTCATGATTGGGCCACAAGTATTTTTTACTCTGTTGCCTCGGAGAGGGGCGGAGGGTGTGAAGGTGGACTCGGCTTTCGTTATACGAAATGGTGGTCAGGTTCACCCCTGGCCATTGGGGAGCCCGACCAAGCTCAGCAATGGGCGGTGCCTGGCCCCGAGCCCCGGTACGTTACGTCCGCGATACAAGGTAGCGGGAAAATGCATCGCGGGATCAGGATTTCAGGGCAAGAGGGTGTCTTTGGGTGTCGAACAAGCAAGTAGGCAAGCTAGACTTGACGTATCTGGTGTAACGCTGTGATGTGAACGAGAGGCGAAAAAACACTGAAAAAACTATGTATGATGATAGCATAAACATGGTGATCTCGCAGATCCGGGAAGGACGGGGGGTGCAGATCAGCTTCTCTATTCCGTACAGGGCCCTTACCTTCAGCTGAACGAGGCAATGCAGAGGGCTGATGAAACAACAGTCCCCGCGTTCTAGCAGCAGATAGACCAACCAGCTACATTGGACGACCCAAAATCGCGGCCGTCGAAACAAGCATAATATCATCATCATCATCACACGTCGACATTCTATATGGCAGATGGTTTGGTTCTGTAGATACACAGAACAATCAGGGCTAAACACAGGGGCACAACGTCCTGCCGTCAGCATGTAGTATTCTCAAAATAGTAGTGACGGCAGACACGTCCCAAAACTGGGACGCGTTTAATGAGATTTTAATGCCGACTGCCAGGCCTACGCCACGTGTGCTGAACCGAAATCCTACACTCTCCAGCTTTGCTGCACTGCTGACCCTGCTTGCTTGCTTGCTTGCCTGTGCCTCTTGTGCCTGCTTTCCCGACAATCTGGGTTGGCAGGGGGGTTATGACTGACCCTTGCTGGCTAAGCCCTGCTGTGTTGTCACGATCCTTGAAGGAATTGCCTATTGCGGACGTCGGATTCGACATCACGAGGCCAATAAAGGGTTTCTTTTTTCTTCCGCACTCGTCGGGGTCGCGATTCAGCCCATTGTGAATTCATTCACGGCGCCCGAGCTGAATGCCGACAGCGACAGCGACAGCCCAGCCCAGTTCCAGGGTACCTAATAAACTATTCATTCAAGGGACAGGCAATTGCCGACTGGGTCCTCAATTCCATTTGAGCTGGAGCCGCATTATTACTACTATAGTCATAACTTTTATTTTTTCCACCCCTGGGATCCGCATTGCTAGCAAATTTTGGAGGAGTAGGTAATTCCGAAGCTTTGACTGGCTCACTAACATTTGCTCCGGCAAAAACCTCGAAAACGAAATCAGTGTTTTTTTTTTTCTTCGCACCAAATGGGTCTCTGCATCCGCTCTGGCCGATGAGAACTGGAGATGCCGAGAGCTGGAGATGATCAGCTCGTCTGAATCTAGTATTATGCCACGTGAGGGAGACTTCACATTTAGGGACGAGACCTCGTTCTATTGGCATGTGGCAAGCCTCCTTCACGATCCTTATCATATGCAGCTGGATAATGCATTGGACCAGGACACAAACACAGCTGTGGCTCAATCCTTTTCGACGGTCTCCTTGATAAGCGAGGAGCTGCATGATTTAGCGAATTGCGGAAGCAAGCTCAAAGTTTACACTACGTGACAAGATGTCTCTGATGCTACGGAAACTAACAGGAAAAAATTCTTCCTTGTGAACAGTGCTTGCTAAGTTGTTGCCTCCCCCACTCATTACTCAACCAGTGTCAAGCCAGTAAAACCCACTGCTCAAAGGCTGAACTCTAAACTAGACCTCGCTGGGCCATGTTCACAACTCTGGCGCCGGCAGATGTGACCGGGTCCTCCGCACGGCGGTCACCGGCGACGACGAGCCCTATCTGATTGTTTCCTGTGCATATATGCCAATGCAGAGAGATGGAGTTCAGAGTCTAGACAGACAATTAAATTGTAGTACATGTGAATGCTTGGCAATTCGCCCGGATATGTTTGCTAGATACCTACACAGCCAAATCTTATTGGCTTGTGGTACGAGCGCTCAGAGAGCTGATCCCAAGACTCGATCAAGTCCAGACAATACTGTTGAACGGCCAACGGAGTTTCAAATCGAGACAGGCTGGAGATTACAAAGACGACGGAAAATAAGAGTCAGCCGCGTGCTCCGTAACATTTACTGGCGGGATTCGGGAATGCCCAACGGGCCCTAAAAAGTTCCAACTAGGACACCCTGACATATTGGAAGTCATCCTACCCTTGACTTCGGCTTTGAAAGAAACACCCAGACGACCCTCGCTCATGTTGACAGATGTTATTAGATGCTTTGCTTGGAAAATTTCTGCCTATTGGGATCGTACTGTGGCTCGAGCGGTAATATCCACAGGACTAATGAGTTGGACGGGATTGTAGCTGTTGGAGCCTCATCGGATAAATAATCCTACAGTACTTTTCTGGGCGCCAAGTGTCAACATCAAACCAGCAATTTGTCTCTGGGCAGACGTCGGCTGAACTCTCTGCTTTTGGGCCTCCTTGTCGTGACTTCGAGGCTTGCCATATGGTTCCGTGCGTCGGCAGACAGAACTCGAGCATGATCCACGACTTTTTCAAATCCGCCAATCTCTCCCAACAATATACTATCGGACATGAGTTGTCTTCTGCACGTCCCTGCAACCCCTTTAGTAGCGGCTCTTCCCGCATCAAAACAAAGCCCAGATAATAGAGTAAGGACCCTCATGAATTTCGGTAGGGCTGCATTGTAGATTTCTCCTAATGCTGGGTTCTGATATTCGGCCCTGCCGCTTAAATGATCTCAAATGCCATCAACATGGTCACCACGGTTCGTGTTTCAGGACAGCGGGTAGAGTTGAGAAGACTATTAAGCTGGTGCACGCTGATGCCCACAGCCCGCTGGCAAAGACTTGTTCTTTAAGGGGTCTCGCTCGAAGTAGAGTCCGCAGGAATGGCACGAAGCAGCATATCGATCAATGTAATTCGGTATAAAACGAGTGTGTTCCTGATCGGGGACGGAGTCAGATCATAGCCTGCCGTCGTTTTCTCCTGGCAGTCGCTCGACGCGCTTCTGTTCCCAGTCGTCGAGGTCTTTTGCGGCAAGTCTCTGAAAAGACGTCAAGGTCAGTATTGTCGCGTGGCACAGCCGTGACGATGGCAAGGTATTGTAACTTACATAGTACTCATCCTTCATGTTGACCTTGCGGCCGCCCTTTCCAACACCCAGTTCTTCCTCGTGTGTCATTTGTCTGACTCGGCGATCGTGTTTCTCGTACCGGACGGCGGCGGCGGGAGTGAGGACAAAAGAACCGGCGACAATTACGGACATGAAAGGCAGACCAAACAGTAGAAAAGGGTGTTTGGCCATGGCAGCGCGATACTTGGCTGCAAATGTGCCAGCGTCGGCCGCGCCACGGAATTTTTTGCTCTGAAATACTGCCATGGTAGCTTCTCGTCGCGAATGTGAGGGCTTAAATGTCAATATGGTGATGGCGCGACAGGAATAACGTAGGAGTAAGGGTCCAACCGGGCTGAATTGTTATGGTCGCAAAGGTAGATGCAGTAGAAAGTTATGACGGCGACGTCGAGGTTCGTGACATCAGCTGTTTAGAGCTCGTACCATTTGACTTTTGGAGCTGTTTGTTTCGTTATCGCTGGTATCAGTTGATAACTGGGCGCTGTGGTTACGTTACGCTACCAGTGGGCTGACGGGTTAGCGAGGTTCTCCGGGCTGCATGCGCTATGCTGGTGCCTGGGAAGCTCCAGGGCTCCCACTGCCGAGTGCTAGACCCTGCTAAAAATTAATTGGCCGTCATGTGACTACGCGAGACCAGCATGTCGGCCAGGCGCGTAGATTGGCAGCAAACGCGATCTAAAGCCAGAAACACATCAAATGTTGCATGAGGTACCTGCTTGATCGGCTCAAGCAGCTTTGCTTCCAACCAACTTGCTAAAGAAGGAGATGCTCCTCAATCGCAACGATGGCACCAACTTCTCATGGAAGAAGCCTGGCCCATGATCGGGACGGCCTCACCAATGGCTCGCTCATCCAAGTACCTCCACCATCAACCCTTGCAGCGCAGCTAGTCGAGAACATAACGGCACCACCGAGATCATCGCGGCCCGATGAGACTGCAGAGCTCAAGAGATGCTTCGGAATTATCGAGAAGGTCAAGAATCAGCCTGCTCTGCTCACAACACCTGCGCAACGTATTGAACATAATCATATGCTCATCTACGTTTATGTCCGAGTGGTCCTCGAAAGCCTACGTTGGGATGACCCGTTTGCCGACGTAACCCACTTGAGCTCTGAGGCTTTGAGAGCCATCAACTTCTTGCGCATGACAATCAAAGAAACACCAAATGTGCTTCTCACCACTCCAGAAGAGCAACAATTTCTTTTTCGTGGGCAATCGCCACTCTGGCTATGGATTTTGCCCAAAGTGCTGAAGGTCTTGGGTCGTGACAAGTGCCCTGATTTGACCAAAGCCATTAAAGATCTGCTACAAGATGTCTTCTTGGTCATTTGCCATACTGGCTCGCTATGGCCGCTTCTTCCTCCATATCTAAAATACATACAAGACTGTATCAAGTGTAAGTGATTTCTTGATGAATTTTATTTGCTTTACAAACTAATTGCCTTCAGCTACTCTGGATTGCCTCACAGATATTCGTCCCTTGTCGTCGAAACATGACGTTGCCATCAGTCTACGGCTACCACCCGACACCGTTCTTGCATCAGTGTCCCATGATGATAAGCTGGAGTCCCTTCAACAACACTGTACCTTCGATGTCACTTCGTCGTCCCATGGCATCAGGCATGCTTTCAGCCTACTTGCAACTTTGACACAGCATATGAGATCGAGCCAAGGATTACAAAATCTGATGTCTCCTATAGACTATACCCCTTGGCTCGTGGACACATACTTTGCGCTTCACCGACTTCAAAGCAAATGGCCTAGTACACGATTCAATCATTTATCTTCTTCATTGCAAGCCATCCTTGGTTTGGCGAAGACAATTCAAGCATCAGTGACGAGTAATCCAGATTCACAACATAAATTTGTCTCCTTTCTCGTCTATCTAATCATGGAATTGGTGGATTATTCTGAAAATTTGCTCCGGACCGAGCAAGATTTCACTGCCGAAAAAGAGCTACTTTGTTCATCGCTTCTTACTCTGACAGGGCTAGCCAACGTCAGCAAACCAGTTGCCAATTTTGTCTCTTTGCAACTGGTACATAGGCTTGAAAGACTGGCAACTGAGGGTGAACTGATGTCCCCTGAGACCGACTTATGGGTAAGCATGGCACTTTCATAAATGTTGTGAGATTACTGACTTTGAGTCGGAGAAATGTTACGAATTGCTGCGACGTGCCTCCTCTGGATCGCTATCGGCAACCCAGACCCAAGCTGGAGCTGTTACACGTTTCGAGAGTAGCAGCTTGTGCCGTCAGTTTGAAAGCCTCAAGATCCTGCTACCCACTACCCTTTTCAACTTTTCGGATCGTGTTCGAAACAAGCGTAGAAAGGTCGAAGCGACACCGAAAGCCTTGGTTCAGATTCTTAAGGTTCTCTATCGGATCCTAGACACGGAGTACAGCGATGCTCATGGTGACCTTGCTACACTCGTCAAGTATGTTGCTTTCTCGATCGAAGGAATACTCCATATTAACAATAAGCAGGACAAAGTTCACCGACATTGGTGAGAAAGATCAATGTACACTGCTTGATCTTTTGGGTCACGCTTGCTGTGCAACATTCGACGGTTTTGCGATCAAATCCCTGCTTGGTAAGAAGGGCTCATCCACTTTCCAATGTCGCACTTGTAGTCACAACACAATGCCACAAGAAAAGCCGAGCTGCTGCGAACCTGGTGCGCGATCCAGCATTCTTGCAGCGTTCAGGGCCGTAGTAGATATGCCAGACTTCAACGTATTGCGTCGACCTCGAGTTGCTGCTATGACAACCTTGAGACGTCTTGTGACGCATTCACCAGATTCTGACTTTTTGGACCTGGAAACATCGACCATTGGACTTTGGTGCATGAAATCTCTTTCGAGTTCGAATCGAGAGCTCCGCATCGCTTCATGGTATGTAGCGGGGCGAAATCCGTTTTCTGCTCAGTACGATTATACTAAAGAGTATCGACAGCCGAACATTGCCAGCCTTTTTAAACAACTGGATGAGCAATAGTTCCAATGATGGTGTAGTACAACAAAATCGTGCATTTGCACTTCAAGCTCTGAGCTCCATCTCAGACCAGGCGTTGCCTCATCTTGCTGAAACATGCATCATGGCATGGTCTCATGTTGGACGGTGAGAAAATCCTGTTTCTGGCATCAGATTCCACCGTGCTAACAAGTTTTTAGTATGGTTAGCGATGATCAACTCAATCTCGTTCTCGTCAAATTGGTCGACTATCTGAGTCGTGAGAATGCAATCATATCTGCGGCAGCTTTTGATGAGGTACGTTAAGCAAGGAAATAAGGATCCCAGCTACTAAAAGCTCGATTTCTAGATTCTCAACTTGGCTCGATCTCGCACAGTCTCCCCACGAGAGCTATTTCAACCCTACTGGAAGAACATCGCTTTTTCAGCAGTCAAGGATTTGGACTCGCAACCAAAGTTGACACGCTTACTTGCCGAACTGCTCGAAATCACCGTGCCAGACTTGCTATTGATGATACAGAGAGAGGCACTCCCTTGGCTGGTACTCAAGGGAAAATCAGGGGCCATCCAACAGATTGCAGACGCTCGCGCCGAAAAAGCGTCATGGCAGCCATGCTTGGACAAGAACAATCTTGGGCCTATTGTCGCCCTTCTCCTAATCCAGAATGTGCCTGACGTGGAAGCGCATGCAATGACCCTCCTACGGCATATTTCACCTCACTTTGAAGGATTCGGTCTAGGCGATTTGATCCTTGTAGAGCCAGTACTAATATGCCTTGAACTTTTGAAAGCAGCTGGCGAGGCAGAGGAGGAGCGAAAACCTCATGTAAGTTGCCAGACTTGCCGTGGGTCTCCTTTATTAACAAGTGAATTATAGATTCGCCAGGCACTCGATTTGATGGTCAATCTTTATTACAAGGCGAATGGGGATCTTAAGCAGAAGAAATCCAACACTACTGGTCTATTTCTTCTCGATCAGGTGCTTGGTTTGGTTTCCAATCTGACTGAAATATTCAACATATTCCCCGATTCCCTCTCCATCATGGAGGAACGGCAACGTTCTATCAGAGCCATGGAGGAGCTTCTTCGCATCGGAAAGAAGAATATTCGAATGGCCCGTCCGCAAGTGAGTTATAGAAAGACAAAATCCGTGTTCAAATCGGTAAACCTTTATCTGACTTGGTGACAGATCTCTTCATGCATATTGTCATGTATGCCAGATGACAAATTACGTGCGTCTGCATTTTCTTGCTGGACAGCCATGATCCTCTATCTTGGCGCCGATGATGTCGAAAGTCTGATCGAAACCACCTTCTTCATCATCGGTCACTACTGGACCGCGTTTGACGAGACGAGTCACGAACGGGCTAGAAAGCTACTGGAGTATATGCTTGAGAAGCACTCTATACTATTGGAAGAGATGATCAGCAAGCTTCCTTCCTTTGGCCATATCAGCGCCTTGGCTCGGGTAGAAAAGAATCTAAACGCGCTGCGGAAACCCGTTGATAACAGAACGGCTTTCAATCTACTCGCCGAAAGGATTGGGCATGAAAACTCTGGAGTAGTTCTGCAAGCCTTGAGAGAGCTTACTTCATATTTGCAGATACAACAGGGATATCTCCAAGCCTCAGCTGTGAGTGAACAACCCGACTCTGTTGTATCGACATTGGCCCGCGCCCTGCTTGACTGCTCATCGAAGTTTGCCACGGATGGGGACGAGATCAGTCGGCTGTGTAACCAGAGCCTGGGTCTTCTTGGTTGTCTTGACCCCAATCGTGTGGAAACAGTGAGGGACGAACGTCAGATTACTGTTGAACACAACTTTACCAAGGCTACCGAGGTCAATAACTTCATCATGACCCTCCTGGAAGATGTGATGGTCAAGTCGTTCCTCTCAGCCACCGATGGCAACTTTCAGGGTCTTGTATCTTATGCAATGCAAGAATTGTTAAATAGGATCGATATGTCTGCTGCTATTCATATGCATCAACATCCAGTCCGGGGAGATGCAAGGCAAGCTGAAGCTGATGATCTCTACCGATTGTGGACTTCCATGTCAGAGGGGGCCCGAGAGGTCTTGGTGCCATTTCTAAGCTCAAGGTACAAGTTACAAGCAATCACCACGGCAAATGCGGAATACCCAATCTTCCGCCCCGGCAGGACTTATGGCTCCTGGATGCGCATTTTCACTCTTGACCTGCTTCGGAGGCCGCAAAGCACGTTTACGGAATACATCTTTGAGCCAATCTGTCGTGTCATCAAACTCAAAGACCTCTCGATCGCCGAGTTCATGTTTCCGTTCCTGGTACTCCATGTCATCACGGGCGATGAAAGCACCGATGACGTGAAAAAGAGTATTCTGCAAGAGCTGCTTAACGTATTGCAAAATGAGCCTCCGAAAGAGGCCTCATATAGCGAAAAAGAGGACAAAAAGCTATACTATGAGGTGAACGACCACCAACCCTGCTGTACTGAAAAATTATGCTTACCAAATCTAGGCCGTTTTTCGAGTCCTCGACTATGCCATGCGGTGGCTCCAGATCAAGCGAAGCCGGCAAAACCAAACACCCCAGGATGATCTTTGGATCAAAAGAGTCCAAACGATTCTCAATGCCATCCCGGCCGAATTGATTTCTCAGCGAGCTGTTGATTGTAAATCCTTTTCACGAGCCTTGTTTCATCTTGAACAACATATTCGCGAAGTCGATCAAGAGAAGAAAACAAGTAGTGAAGACCGGGAGCGCCTTTTGTTGCGTTTACAGGATATATACGCTCAGATTGATGAGCCCGATGGCCTGGAGGGCATTTCAGCTCATCTACATGTGCTTGATATTAACCAGCAGATATTGAGCCACCGTAAGGCTGGACGATGGACCGAGGCACAGACCTGGTATGAGGTCAAGCTGGCTGAAGACCCCGACAACGTTGATATACAGACTGAACTTCTCACCTGCCTGAAAGAGTCTGGCCAACACGGTTCGTCCTATTTCCTTTTTCGTTCTGCTAGACTTTGAGTGACTAACGTTTGAAAAGATGTATTATTGAACTATGTTGAAGGTATTGAGAAACACACTGCGGTGAACACGATCAGTCAAATAGTTCCTTACGCCGTGGAGGCATCTTGGGCCACGGGCAGATGGGAGACCATGCGCAAGTTCATCGCCAAGTATCAAGGTGACTCCACGGAGAACTTTAACGTGTCCGTCGCTCAAGCGCTCAGTCATCTTGAGAAAGGCTCAACACAAGCGTTCATCGAGCAGATGACAATGATGCGCGATAGAGTGAGCTCTTCAATGACCTCCACGGCTACCTCATCCCTCCATGCTTGCCACGATGCTCTACTCAAGTGTCATGTGCTCACAGACCTTGAGCTCATCGCCGGTGTCAACAATGATGGTAGCCAACATCCACAGGAAGTGATAAAAACGCTTGACCGGCGCCTGGAGGTGCTTGGCTCATATGTTAATGACAAGCAGTACATTCTATGCATCAGGCGTGCAGCTATGGAACTGTCTCGGTAAGTCAACAGATAGTCTTCCTCTCATATCTCGAATACTAATCAGCGTAGATCACGATTCAGTAGTCTAGACATTTCCTCCATGTGGTTGACCAGTGCGAGACTCGCTCGCAAATCGAATTCGCTGCACCAGTCTTTCAATGCTGTCCTTCACGCATCGCAGCTTGGAGATAACAATTCGACGATCGAGAACGCACGGATATTGTGGAAACAAGGTCATAACAGACAGGCCATTCAGACGCTGCAGAGTGCAATCAATAGCAGCGTCTTCTCGAGCAAGAGTTTCGCAACAGATGGGGATTCGTCGGAGAGAAATCCCGAATCGCAACAAAACATGACCATAGCCAGGGCGCAGCTACTCCTGGCGAAATGGTTGGACAGTGCTGGCCAGACACATGCAAGCGCTCTGCGCCAGCGGTACCAGAATGTTCCCAAAAACTATAGTCAATGGGAGAAGGGACACTACTACCTCGGAAGGCACTACAAGAAAGTTCTCGAGTCTGAAAAGGCACTGAGTCCAGACATGCAGAGCGATGAGTATCTATCTGGTGAAACCGTCAGGCTCGTCATTGAGAACTACATCCGGTCGCTCAACTACGGCACGAAGTACCTCTACCAGACTCTACCAAGGATATTGACTCTCTGGCTGGAGTTTGGAGCTCAGTTGGAAAAGGCGCCCGAGGGCAAGGTCTCCTTCTCACGAGAGCTTCATCATCGAAGAAAGACCCAACTAGATTCACTCCACGTGTACTTGCTCAAGTATCTGCAACGACTTCCTGCATATATTTTCTATACAGCTCTTCCGCAAATGGTTGCGCGCATTGCGCATCCAAACGAGCATGTCTTCAAAGTTTTGGAGCAATTCATCCTCAAAGTCATCGAAGCCCACCCCCGACAGGCGCTGTGGAGCTTGTTTGCAATCATGACATCAAGGCAGTCGGGAACCGAGCGCCGATTACGTGGCCAGCAGATATTAACAAAGCTGCGCGGAATATCGAAGCCAGTAGATGGAGGTACCGGTGATCTCAAGTCGTTGCTACGAAAAGGCGAAAAGTTGGCGAATCAACTCCTGCTGGCATGCAATAATGGCGACTTTCAAAGCAACCGAACCACACATGCCAGTATCACCCGAGACCTTAACTTCAACCACAACTGCTGTCCCTGCCCGCTCGTCGTTCCTGTCGAGGCCTGTCTGACAGCAACCCTCCCAACACTGACAGACAACGTCAAGAAACACAAGGCATTTTCTCGCGATGTAATCACAATTGACAGTTTCTTGGACGATGTTCTTGTCCTGGGATCACTTGCGAAGCCCCGAAGACTGACCGCCCGTGGTTCGGACGGAAAGCTCTATATGCTGCTCATCAAGCCCAAAGACGACCTCAGAACAGACCAGCGTTTGATGGAGTTCAATAGCATGATCAACCGTTCACTCAAACGAGATGCAGAATCCAGCCGTAGGCAACTGTATATCAAGACATATGCAGTGACGCCATTGAACGAAGAGTGCGGAATCATTGAATGGATCGACGGGCTCAAGACACTTCGCGATATTCTCCTCAACATCTACCGATCTCGCGGGATTGTTCCCAACTACAACTCTCTTGCCCAGATGATGAAGGATGCGACCATGAGCGACAAAAACACAAAAATATTTACGGATTCAGTATTGGGAATGTTCCCTCCCGTCCTGCCGTTTTGGTTCATTTCGCAATTTCCCAACTCATCGGCATGGTTTGCGGCACGTTTGAGATATACTCGTTCATGTGCGGTCATGTCCATGGTAGGAACAATCCTTGGTTTGGGAGATCGTCACGGCGAAAATGTACTTCTCGAAGAAGGCAATGGTGGTGTCTTTCACGTCGACTTCAATTGTCTGTTTGACAAGGGCCTCACGTTTGCGCAGCCGGAACGAGTTCCGTTTCGCCTGACCCACAACATGGTGGCGGCCATGGGAGCGCATGGCTACGAGGGACCTTTTAGAAAGTGCTCCGAGCTAACATTGAGCATCCTCCGCCAACAAGAGGAGACATTGATGACCATTCTCGAGGCGTTCATCTACGACCCCACGCTCGATCTGCAAAAGGACAAGAAACGCAAACACGAGATCGTCAAAATGAACCCACCGGCCGTAGTAGAGAATATCAAGAGGAAGGTGAGAGGTCTGCTGCCTAACGAAAGCATCCCACTCAGTGTAGAGGGCCAGGTTGAGGAGCTTGTCAAGCAGGCGGTACACCCACGGAACCTTGCAGCCATGTATATCGGATGGTGTCCATTTTTGTAGTGGTTTATGATAAACATGATCTCTTCTTCTCCCCCCAGATGTCTCAACAATTGTTGTACTATATGATACCTATATAACCAAATGATTTGAAACCCCTCCAAAGCCCAGAAGCCCCCCAATACTGTACGTCATAGCGCTAACAGACGGGGGCTTCCCCGCTGGTCAATCTGCCCCACACCGCGAACCATGAATGCTGGACTGGACTCTGGAGGTTATCTTTGTTTTTGGAGATATTTAGTCGTCGACCTCGTGCACGCCACAGAGAATAGGATTTTCAAAGTTTTGGCAGCGAACATCTGTGTCACTTGCAATCTCAAGGGCAAGAATCATGTCCCTTGAAGACGCCAAGGTGACTTTGACAGCACCACTGGTCAGTTTGTGCCCCCTTCGGACGAGACGACCTGAAACATTGGTCGACTTTGCGGCGACAATTACTGATGCGCGCAACTTTTTTTTTTCCCTAGTCCAATGATGAGTCCAAATGGATCAAGCTGCTTAGTATAGAGTACAAGGACCCTACTGGCAAGTCGAGGACCTGGGAGAGCGCCGAGCGGCTCACGCGGCCCAAGGGCGGTGAAATTGATGGCGTGGGCATCTTTGCCGTCCTGGAAAAGGAGACTGGTGAGTTTGCATGTCGGTGTAATAGGAACATATGTATCGAGCACTCTAGTGTCTTCATGATTCCAACCCCCAGTCGCCCGCCACGCCGTCCACAAAAGCATTGTGTTAAGCGCGGCTAATAATTTGGATGGTCGTCCCTTTGCAGGTCCCGAGATCATATTACAGAAGCAATACCGTCCACCCATTGACAAGGTCACCATTGAGGTTCCGGCCGGCCTGATTGACGAGGGCGAGACGGCCGAGGAGGCGGCGGTGCGCGAGTTGCGGGAGGAGACGGGCTATGTCGGCACGGCGAGCATGACGACTCCCGTCATGTTCAATGGTGAGTGTGATCTCTCACTGCTCTGATTCAATTCGCACCACAACATGTACTGGGCATGGAGGACTAAGACATCTGCATGCTGTCGCTAGACCCCGGGTTTTGCAACACGAATCTACGCATGATTCACGTGACCATCGACATGAGCCGGCCAGAGAACCAGAATCTCAAGCCGGAGCTCGAGGACAGCGAGTTCATCGAGGTCTTTACGGTGAAGCTGACCGACTTGTATGCCGAGTGTGAGAAGCTGGAAGCCCAAGGGTACGCCATTGATGCTAGAGTGGGCACTTTGGCCGAGGGGATCGAGGTTGCAAAGAAGTTTAAGCTGTGAGGGGTCCAATGCAGTATGATCTGATCCTGTCGGCAAATTGGGAAGTAGTTTTGTGAAAGAAAGTTTCGGAAATTCCGCGGAAGCGTCCGATGAGTTGGTCGCGTTTATCGCTTACAGAATCAGTAGAGGTCGGAAGAGACTGTAGAAAGGAGGATTAGAAACGTAACCACATCACCCTTCCTAAGGTATGACGATTAGATGCAGGTGGTGAAAAGACGCATGTCAAGAAGCACGATGTGATGTGGTAAGAACTGAGGAGTCACCTCCATGAATATGATATGATACTCGACAGAGTCAGTGTCGTATTATTGCATTTTAGGTCTGCTATAACAGCCAATGATGCAAGCATATTGGACTCGGAAGTCACCGTATCGGCCCTTGCCCTCAAGGCCTTTTGTTTGGCTCGTAGGTTACTTGCACCGTGACTGTCTTTGATATCGGTTTCAATATCGGATCGTCGCTTTCATAGCCCGCATTTTGATCTCCATTCGACGATTGCGAGTCCGTTCCGCCGCGAATGTTTGTTACATGGTGGTGTTCATCCGGTCGCAAACTATGCCTCCCGTCATTATCATCGCACTCGTCGACGCGTGTGTGCATCAACGTGTCCAATTGGTATTTCGCGCCCTTGGGTTGCAGAGGACCGCTTCCGAATGTCCGTATGCCGGGTCGCTCCAGTCCTTTTGACGAGGATTTGGCACCTGAACTCCTTTCGCCAATGATGGAGGGTGCAATGTGGTGGAAGAATCGCCGCAGGGTCGGGAGGCAGCAGCACATGATGAGGAGATTTGATTCTATGCAACTGTAATTATCTTAGTTATCATCTTCTCGCCCTGTATGACATAAATGACTTACATCCAGAGTGTGCCTTTCGTCAAGGCGTAGGTTTGGTCTTGGTCCGTGAGACTTGGTAATAATATCACCAGCCGGACAATCGATGTGACGAGGGTACTAATCACATTTATTCATTAGTACACCCAGAGCTTCCACGGCGAATGGTTGCTGATCAAAAGAACGTACATGGATCCGATGGCAAACAAGAACAGAACAATTATTTTCTGTCGCGTAGGCATGTTCAAGCCAACAATGACTGGAACCGGGAGAGCGAGGAGAATGACATCAGTAAACACCCCAATCCCAGCTGTAGCGACGTATATCGCAGGCCTGTGAAGGCATTGTGCTATTTGTGCCAGTTGCGGGTCCCAACTGGCCGCTATCGGTTTGCAGGCAAACACGAGGCTGAAAAAGATGGCCATTGACGAGCCCACGCAGAGAAACATGGTGATCCAGACGAATATCTGATACGTCTTGAATGGAGACAACCGCCGGTAGAAGAGACAGAGGGTAGCCTTGGCCGATGCGACTGTAAAGGTGTAGACCAAGGGTGCTGCGAAGATGACCTAGTGGTTGTGTGACGTTTTAGTTTCGGTGACTTGTTTGGAAGCGCGAATAGAGGCTCTTTCCAAAGATACATACACGACTAAAATACTGATACCTCTCCAAGGGCATCTCGTAGGCGTGAACGCCTACGGCCTTGACTACGTATAGTCGCAGCAATTCCGCTTGTGTGCCTACTGAAGTTGCCCAGGCGAAGAGCACGGTGGCTGGCAGGTGCATCGTCAGTAGCTGACCCAACTGACGTGGACTGGAGGGGCATGATTTGCTCACTCACCATCCTCAATCTGGAACTTCTTCAGGAGAAATATTTTTGTATAAAGACGCTGGCAAAGAAAGGCAAAAGCAAGAATATTCTCTACAATGATGACGGAGACTATTTCTGTTTTCCCGATTTGCGGTGGATTGGCAAAATTCACCACATAGCCGTCTGGCGGCGCCATGATGACTTCTACGCCATCGACGGTCACCATCGTGTCTGTGGATTGGCGGTGTCCTTTCGATTCCTAATTGTGCGACAAGCGTTATGCTCAAAATTGATCGAATTTAAGGCGACTACTCATTTTTCTTTTTCTTGGGAATCGGTGAGTTTAGTAATGAATAGCTCGAGCTAGACGTTAGGTTGCCGTCGCTCTATGAATCTCAAAGAAGAACTTGGCAATGCCATCTTACTTGTTGGATCGCCATGTTATGCAGCAGAAGCACCCCTTCCTCTCAAGAATATGAATAAGCATGCACTCCTTGGAATTTTCCAAAGTCACGATAGCAGTAGTTCTTGATTTGACAGGGGCACCTAGGACCCCCCCGAATAGAGTTCGTCCTCGTAATAACGACACTACCCTAGCAGACTGGGAATCATACATATATATTCCAGTGTTACATGTTAGAAAGCCAATAGCAAGAAACAATTTCCTTTACAATGGACAGGGCAAAGGCGGAAGGCCTCCCGGCGCGTTATGCCAACCAGGGGACTGTCAGGGTATGGGCGGAAGCTTGAGTAGCCGCATACCGGGTACCCATCAGCCATCGCCGGGGAAGTTTCCGATGCTACTATCGTATGGATCTGGGCAAATAAACCGCTGTGGGTCGGAGTTTATCGTCCAGAGAGGAACGAACCGCCGGAACATCCCCACTGCTTAGAGTTTGGTATATTCCCACAGAGGCTTTTTACCCATTATTACAACAGTATGTGATTCAAAATTCCATCCAAGCCGAAACACTCTTGAGTGCTGTCAGATAGATCTAGTTCATGGCACGTTTTAATTCCAGTGCAATAACAAGATATGATATGTTCTGGCCGCGCGTATGACCGCCAAGCAATATAGTGCTGAAATTGTGGTGGAAAAGACCAGGGTCTTCATCCCCGCACAGCGAATAGTCGTTCCCCCGAGTCCCCGAAGCCCTGTCATTCACCGCTATGAGCTCCATACAGCGACCATCCTTCCCATATCCAGACCCTGAAAAATGGACTCTTGTTCACGGATTTGATCCCTCCAAACCCACAACGTTCCGCTGCCTGGCTGCTGCATACCTTGTACCTACTGCAGGTATCCACTACCGAACGACACTGTCGAGAACGTGGCAATGGTGTGCTGCATCAACCAACAGTTTGCATGCAGGAAAAAAAGAGAGGAACCTGGCTTCCGATAATCTGGGAATATTCTTGGCAAATTGCCCGATTCAACCTCGGTCTGTGACCATCTCAATTTATTCCCTTTCGCGGAGCCTCTTTCTGGTGGCAAAATATCGGCATCATGATATGTCCCGCCAGACCTACCCAGGTATTATTCCGCATGTAGAAAAGGCATCTTCACCCCGTGCCCCGGCCGGTGCATAAGAATTTCAGTCTGTTTGCGTTTCAAACCCTTTCGTGTGATCCCTGATTATAGGATTCAAGTCAGTCGCCTGAACAACGGCTCTCGCTTTTGGTTCTCTCCCTACATTTCAAATGAGAATGCAAAATCCTCTCACGCCTGCGGTTGCAGCCGCTGCGGCGCTGCTCCCGACCCAAAGTATGGCAGCCTGTGGAACCAATGGCACAACATCGTCCTGCGTAAGCCCGCGTAGTTCTAGTCATCAGGTCTGAGCGCCGACGGCCTTGCTAACACGGACGGTTGTAGTGCCAAGTCTTGGAAAGCGCCGGTATCTCTATCATCTATCCCGGATCCGAGTTGTATGAGAACCGTACGGAGTCATACTGGTCCCTTACGTCTCAGTTGACGCCTTGGTGCATTGTAAGTCATTTCATCCTCGCCACTGCCTTCTTCAACCAGTGTCTGTTTCAAATCGAAGTTGTGAAAATTAACATTTGCCCAGGCCCAACCCAAGACGGCTGAGGAAGTCTCCACTGCGGTTGTTACTCTAGTTGAGAATACATCATGTGAATTTGCTGTTCGAAGTGGCGGGCATTTCATCTGGCCGGCGAATAATAGTAAGTGCATTATTATAATTGAACATATGACCCCAGGCCTAACGGTATAAAACAGTCGAGGAGGGCGTCACTATCGACTTGGGTTTCATGAATGCTACCACATATGATGAGGAGACCCAGATAGCGTCCGTCTTACCTGGATCGAGATGGCGCGGCGTCTACGAGGCACTGGATCCATACAATGCCACCGTGCCCGGCGGTCGTGCTGCTTCAGTCGGCGTTGCGGGTTTCTTGACGGGTGGAGGCAACTCGTTCTACTCGGCGCGCAAGGGATTCGCTTGTGACAATGTTGTCAACTTTGAGGTTGTGTTGGCCAGCGGGTAAGTCCTTTGTTATCTCATGACGACCAAAACGGCTCGAGTCTAACTTGAAATAGCGAGATCATCAACGCCAATGCCACGGACAACTCTGACCTCTTTCAGTCGCTCAAGGGAGGTCAGTCCAACTTTGGCATCGTGACTCGCTTCGATATGCAGGCTTTCGACGCCCCTTTGCTGTGGGGAGGTGTCGTGCAATACAACAAGACGACAGGGCCACAACACATTGACGCCTATGTCGACTGGACCAACAATGTCCAGAACGACCCGAACGGCTCAGCCATTGTCTTTTGGTCATACCAGCCGACGCTGAAGGACATCATCATCATCACGTCGTACGTGGACACGGCCGGAAATGTCGCTCCCGCTGCGTTTGACGAGTTTCTAGCGATCCCTGGTAATCTGTCCAGCACGATGAGAACTGCCAGTCACCTGGAGCTCACCAACGAGCTCGAGCAACCCACCGGATACCGCGACATTTGGTGGACGGGCACAATCAAGAACGACAAGCGCGTGTACGAGCGCGTCATTGAGCTGCACGAGGAGCTCTGCGACTTCATGGCCGCCCAGTCGCCCGACGGGGACTTTGTGACGCAGGCCATGTTCCAGTCGATCCCGACCATTTTCTCGCAGCACAGCGAGGAGCGAGGCGGCAACGTGCTGGGTCTGGACCGCGAGACCGAGCCCGTCGTCATGCTGCTCTTCACCCTGGCCGTCAATGGCGTCGAGCAGCAGACCGTGGCGCAGGAGCAGATGCGCAAGTTTGGCGAGGCCGTCATGGACTATGCCAGCAGCATCGATGCCGCTGCCGAGTGGGAGTACATCAACTATTCTTACGACTACATGGACCCGCTGGCCACGTACGGCGCTGAGAATATCGCCAAGATCCAGGCTGCAGCTGCCAAGTATGACCCCTCGGGTGTCTTTCAGACTCGTGCCCCCGGAGGTTACAAGATTACCAAGTCTCAGGGCACAGTGGCATGAAGATAGCTACCTAACCTTGCATGTATATTAGTACATGACTTAAGTTCTGACCTAGACAGTTGTATATACCGCTAAAAGTAATAATACTCAAACCACCAGAAAGCACACAAAATCAATCATGGACTCGTGTTATTTCGGTCTTAGCAAGTCGTTATGTGAACTCGACTTTGACATCGTTCTGACCATACACCAGGTGAAGTCAAAGTTTGACCCACGTGCCATGTCAAAACAACAACACTTTGCAACGGACACATTTCATGATGCTTGCGCAGTATGATGCGGCATGCCACTCAGTACTAGAGAAGTGTATATAAGCACCAACTCACATCGGCTCAGACGATGGACGGGTTGTTCTTCCTCCTGGCGTTTGCCACATTGCCTCTTCTTATATCATGCTCCCGTACTAGTGGCACCCCTAAATACTACACCGATAGGGAGGAATCCGCATTGATGATACTAGGTTAGTCTAGTCTAGTCTTGGTCTGTGTCTCGTTATGTTGGAAAGTTGGGATACTGCCGGATAATGTAGCCGGAGTTATGGCGTGATTCGCTGGGAATATTTGCACCAAGCTCCTTTTACAGCAGCAATGCATGGATTGGCGCGTGATGTTGATGGAAGTTCCCCAGGTTGGCAGCACAGTGCTGAGTGATTTGGTTCGAGTCTGGGAGCGCAGATTGGCGATGAGGAACAGTGCCAAAGCCTGGATTTAACACGGTCCAACAAAGTGCAACAGCTGCACCTAATAATGCAACGACTTAGGGAACTGAGAAAAACCGACAAGGGGCTATGATGGATCACAAACTAATTGCAAAGGACCCTGATCACAATTACCTACCAAGTCAACCAGGAGTGACGGATTCGGACTATTGCAAAAATGTTGACGGCTGCCGACGTCGCAAAACACGACTCCAAAGAATCATGCTGGGTGATTGTCGCTGGCTTTGTGTATGATGTGACCGAATTTCTCAACAACCACCCTGGTGGCGCGGCGTCTATACTGAGATATGCTGGTCGGGTAAGAAAGTGCCTTGCCCTGATTCTACCAAAATAGAATCTGTGTCGTCTAGGATTGTTGCATGTTAACTAGCAGATGAAGGATGCCACGGACGAATATAATCTGTTCCATGCACCAACTCTGATCTTGAAAGAGCTCTCAAAAGGTCAGTCTCTCATTTCGGTTGGGCAGAGTATCAGCTAACTCCTCCAGATAAACACCTAGGTCCCATTGACATACAGCAAGTCATTGGCGCACAGCATTCGGCGCATAGCGTAGAACATGATGTGATGCCCTTGAGTATTTGCCAATCTCTAGATGACATCCGGGCAGCGGCAGAGGTCAAACTGTCGGCGAGAGCTCGAACCTACTTTGCCAGCGGCGCAGAGAGCATGACTTCGGTCAGGAACAACAGACTGCACTGGGAAGCCATCAGCTTTTATCCCCGGATACTGCGAAACGTCAGCAGCCTGTCCATGACTTGTCGCGTCATGGGCTCTCCAAGCAGCCTTCCGATATTTATTGCTCCCGCCGCCGCCGCCAAACTCGGCCACCCTGAAGGAGAGCTTTGTCTGGCTCGTGGGGCCGCGCGCATGGCGATACCGCAATGTGTCTGCACATATTCATCCTTTACCAACGAGGAGATAGTGCAATGCTTCGAGAACGAACCACTCCGGCGTGGGGGTGCCTTGTTTTTCCAATTATATGTGCCCAAGATCAAAAAGGAAGCCGAACACCTCATCAAGCGAGCAAAATCGTTGAACTTCCAGGCCTTGGTCATCACGGTCGACTCTCCCGTAATTGGCAAGCGTGAAGATGACGATCGCCTCAGGACGAGCACCGAGCACCGAAATGAGATTGAATCGCAGCCACCTGGGAAGTATCTGCCTGGCGAAGAAGCTCCGACGTTGCGAGGAGTTCATTGTAGTACGTTGGAGTGGAGTGATATACCATGGATCAGGACACTATGGGGATCCAAACCTATTATCCTCAAGGGCATCCAGTCAGCAGAAGATGCTTATGAAGCCACAAAGCATGACCTGGATGGGATCTACCTCAGCAACCACGGAGGGCGTCAACTCGACTTTGCCCCGAGTTCTGTGCAAACCCTGCTCGAGATCAACGCTAAGTACCCTCAAGTGTTGAAAATGCTAGATATATACGTCGATGGAGGGGTTTCTAGGGGAAGTGATGTCGTCAAGGCGCTGTGTCTGGGTGCAAAGGCAGTGGGTATCGGGCGCGGATTCATGTATGCACTCAGTGCCTATGGGACAGATGGTGTCCTGCGCGCCATTGAATGTGAGCGATTTACCATTATCTCTTTGGATCATTTTGCTAATAATTTATTAGTCTTAAGTGACGAGATTCAAACCACCCTCAGACTTCTTGGCGTGACGGACATTGCGCAACTGAATCCCGCATATATCAACACACGGCGTTTGGCAAATGAGTTGGGTATCGGCCATGTCAAGGCTGTAATCTAGGATTTAAAGTTTTTGTGTCACAATATGAGCTACCTTTGTTTTGAACTTCATGAATCAGATAACCCAAGCATGCCTTATTTGCAGAACACGGTCCTATCAGAAGGGGATAGAGAGCAATGAGACTAGAGTGAGGGCCTCTTTGTTTTTGGGCTCTCTTGCGTAGCTTGTTCCAGATGAACGGCAAGTCCAGCGGATAATGTGCTGGCATCTGAAGATACAACAAGGAACTTCATGCCGTCCTGTGTTCGGCTTCTGATCATGTCTGGATCCATTGCAAGGGAACCGATGAACTTTCCATATTTCTGGCCCAGTGTACAAATCTTTTCCAATGCTTCCATGAATACTGGCTCACTGCCATCAAGGCCGGACAATCCAAGTGACAGTCTCAAGTCCATTGGACCTACGAATATCCCAGAAACACCCGTTGTGGAAATTATGTCCTCGGCATTTGCGACACCCTCTTTTGATTCAATCATTGGAAAGATTGCCACCTCACCATTCTTTGCTCTTTGGAAATACTCCCTCACGCCTCCTTGCGGTCCACGTGGTAGACCCCAAGAAGCCCTGGCCGGACCAAAGCTTCGACTACCATGAGGCGGATAGGCGGCACCATCTATAATCCGGTCCACCTCTTTCTTGTTGTTAACCATGGGCACAATAATGCCAGATGCGCCGCTGTCGAGTGCCCACTTGATCCACTCCACGCCATGGGAAGGCACACGGATGATGGGGAAACTCGCACCCCGAGACGAAGCGACGATGGCGTGTACCATCTGTGTCGTGATTTCGGGAGATAATGGCGAGTGCTCCATGTCGATCAAGACGAAATGGTATCCGATGGTTCCAATAATTTGCGCAATGACTGTGGATGGAATGGTGAGCGCAGTGCCCAATAATGGGCCTTTGTGCCTGTCCATTGCAGCGATGATACTTTCAGGTTGGGCGTGTTCTCCTCCAGACTGGCTCGCGCCAGGAACGGAGCGCTTGTCATTGTCTGAATACATGAATTATGTTCGAGAAGGAGCTGACTGAAGCAAAGAAAGAATCTAGTTACTTTAATGCTGAATAAAGATATTCATCTGCTTGATTGATGAAGTTGATTTTGGTTTCAATTTGAGTATGAATTATCTTTATACTAATGAAAGTGGGGTACATGACGGAGAGTTTGGGCACGCAATTGCTGGCAGAACGGAAAAAAACACCCATAGAACCCGACATCAAGAATGTATACAGCGAATGACTGGCTTCGAATGTGCCGCCACTATTTCGACAGACCAGCTTGCCAGGAACATCCAACCCCATTCTCCCCCCATCCAAAACTTCCATCATCTTTCACAGTCGTTCTTCGCATATCACGCTTATACTTGCCGCCGTAGCTTCCAGCGCCTGTCGCTCGATGGAGAACGGCTCTATTGTCCCACATGACGAGGTCACCGTTATTCTCATATCGAACCGTCAATTTGTACTGGGGCTTGGCAACCCAAGCCAGGAGCTCTTGTATGAGCGGACGACTATCTTCCATGGTCTCGTTGTCAAAGTGATGAGCGTATGTCGTAATATAGATATTTTTCCGCCCCGACTCTTCGTGAAGTGATACAAGCCGGTGACGAGACATTGGCGAGTCAAGTGGCTCGACGTTGGCAAAGACATCAGGGGCCGCCAGCTTGCGATTGTGAAACAGGGAATTGTTGGTTATCAAGCCTTCAAGCTGACGTTTCTTGTCATTCGGGAGATCCTCATATGCTTTGCGCGAGTCCAAGTACTCAGTCTCTCCTCCGGTGCCGGTCGGTGGCAGTTCAACGGCACGGAGAAGGGAGTATGCACAACGCTGGGGATTGTAAGCCATGTCTGCATGCCATAGACTGTTCCCCTTGGATGACGCCATGCGGATCGGATCCGCGTCTGTTATCACGTTGCCATTCTCGTCCAAATTGGAAACGTCAAATATCTCTGGCTGTTCGGGAAAGCGCATTGCCCGGCCCGCCTTGATGTGTGCCTTTACATCATCCAAATGTCCGAATTGTCGAGAAAATTCAATGTGCTGGTCATTATCGAGATTGGCGCACCGAAAAACTAGCACGCCATATTTGTGAACGGCAGCTCGAATTTCACTGATGACGGACTGACTAATGGGCATCTGCCATTTCATTCCCTTTACTTCGGCGCCAAACGCCTCGTGTAATGGAGTAAAGGATAGATCTGTGGCTGCAGTGGTGCCTGGCATTTTGAGCCGTAATATTGGAGGTATGACTCGTATAATCCAAGCAAGGCCAATGGTTGACAATACTAATGTTGATCACATTCACTTTGTCCAAAGGCCTTATCTTTATAATAAGACTATCTAATCTAATAATGTGAGGTGTTTCCAATACTGCATCCGGAGCAATAACAAGTGATCTGACCGTGTCGATGAAATGTCACTAGGGAATCTCTTAGAGGCCAAGGTACAGGGACGTAGTCTGGCGCCAATCCATTAGAACGACTAGGTTAGCAAGTTGAGGTGGCTAGGTGCTATGACTTTCCGGACAACCCGCCGGACTATGCTATAAAGTTTGCCTGCCGTTCAAGTAGCGCCTGGAGATCCCTTCGGCTATATCTTCCGATCTACCCAAGGGACTTCCCCGTGATTCACCACGTCATCCAGCTTACCGAGATACCCACTCCGAATACAACCTGTACTCGGCTTGTTGCATCTATGCCCGGCCACAGCTAGGTATATCATCACAACTGTACTTAGTAGTGGGAATTATTTTCGTGCCTTTCAACATTTTTTTTTTAAATTCCATCTCGTCAGACCAAACCATGGGCAAAAACACCGCATCCGCTTCAACTGTACTTCCCTTTTCGCGGGAACAAGTCTACGACTTTGTCTCCAACCCACACAATTGGCCCCTGACCTACAAAGGCAGCGGAGGCATTCAGAAGCACCTGCAACTACCACTGAAACTTGGCGACAAATGGACAGAAAAGGTTTCCCTAGCAAAGAACACCTATTACTCTGAATGGACATTGATCACTGCGATTCGCCCGAGCAAGTTCGTCTTTGAGCAAGTGAATGGTATCGGCGCGCTCAATGAAGAGCTCGAGGGCGGGGTCGAGGGGACGACCAAGATTGAGTATGTCTTTGACGAGGTCAACATGACTGTGGAGGACAAGACGGAAAAGGGAACCCTATTTACGCGAACGTTTAGCTCGGAGCTGCCGCGAGGCGTGGAAATGCCCGAGGATCTGCTGGTTGTGTGTATGAGGACAGTTGGTATTGAGGGATATCACGATGCGGTGGCGCGAGAGCTGGCAAAGACACATACCGCCACGTGATTCTTGCAAGGGGGTGGCCACTTGAATCCGCAACACATCGTAATGCGAGATACACTTCCTGAAAATAGAACAATACAATAAAAAGCTCTTCAGCTCCCTGTGGCTAGGCCGGTGGATGTGTCAGTGTTGGAACTTCTGGCTGAATCATGCGTAGTGATCATTTATGGTAAGTAGAACAGCTATATTACAAAGAGTGTGTTAAATACCTGTTATCACTATGAACTAAAATAAAATAAATAATTTTCCAAACCACTGCCTACTGGCCCTACCAAATAAGAAACCCGTCTGTCCCAGTCCAGCCTTCAGAAAAAGTGGAGGATAATCCATCAATGGCATTAGGTGTGTTGAGCGACGATGATAATCTCAACCTCAGCGCTTCACAATGCTGACTGCAATTAGAGGGTTACTCTGTAGTGCACCCAACAGCATCCGGAACACAATGCTGGAGCCCACTGTTGCTACAAGCATGAAAAGCACGAAGCTCCCAAGCCCTATAGTCTCAAGCGCTGCCCTTCCTTGCTTTGCAGGTGGATTACCAGTGGTCGACTCGGCTCCAGTCTGTTCTCCGAGTTGGGGGACGTATTTGAACTCGTACTTGTAACCACCCTTCAAACCATCCTTGCTCTCAACTATGTATTCCCAGAATAGATTTCGAAAAAACTGCGAGTGTTAGTAATCAGTGCACAAGAAGCAGAAAACCAGGGCCAATGTACCTCTATTTGCCACCTGTCCCAGGCTGGGATAGATCGTCCAATGTAGGTGGCAGCCATCAGCAACCAGGCCTGCCCACGAATCACTGCCATCCAGTAGAATCCAGGCTTGCCAATGCCCACATCGTCACAGAGCGCATCGCCATTGACATATCTAGTCCCAGCCTCAAAGAACTCTTTCGGGACGTAGATGGGCGCAACCCGGTCCAGAGCCTTGACCAGGTTCTGGGCGAGCGCGCGCGAGTTGGCCGTCGGCTTGAGGCAATCATACATGATGGACTCCATCGTCGCCAGAGCCCTCTGGGGACTGTCCAGGACGTAGGACGGGGCTCCAATGACGTGAGTGACCCATCGCCACAGGGCCAGGTAGTCGAGGGCCTCTTGTTCGCGAACGTAGATGCCCTGGCGCGGCATGGAGAGCCACACTAGGTTGGTGGAAAAGGCACAGACGGACTGCATCGAATCAAGCTCATTGATGGGCACGCCAAACTTGGCCACGTCAAAGTAGCCAGGGCGCTGCTTGTTGAGCTTGAGGATGCGGTTGCGGACCGAAGCGTGCAAAAGACGGACCCGGACAATGGAAGCAAACCCTTCACCACCGGGTTTGACGCCGTCGAGCGATCTCGTGACTTGAAGCATGAGCTGAAATGTCTCAAAGAGACGATTCTTTGCTACTTTGATGGAATGCCCGCCGGTGCGCACCAGCGTCTCTGCTGGACGAAAAGCACTGCCCTTTGAAGAGTCGTTAATCGTACGCACGGAAACATCTCTACCAGCACCGACATACCGTGGTGGCCAGGAGCCCCTGAAATGCAAACCCAGCAATCACCGCGGGCGCATAGCGATAGAAGACCTCTTGGCCGCGCTCAATCTGCTCCCAGTCAACCCAGTCTGGGATGGTGTTGACCTCATCCCAGAGCTCTTGCAGCCGCTCGTCTCTATGCCTGTTGTCCCTCAACAAGGCATATGTGTCACGGTCAGTCTGCGGGTCTTGTTCCTTGGTCTTTGCATACCAACCAGCCCTTGGCGGAGGTGGTGGAAAGAATGCATCCAAGGCGTCGAGGGCATCTGAGCCGACAGTGTCGTATCTCTGCAACAGAGGATGTAATTCTTCAGCAGTGAGATGATCCTCCGTCACCTTGAACTTGTACCCGTAGGAATCGCAAATTTGACCTGTCGCCATTGTGTCGCGGTGAGTTTGATATTCTTCAAATCGGGGTCATGCAAAAGTGTAGTAGATATCTGACGATTGATTATCTTGAGTCATCTGCCCCTTGCCATTTTATCTATGTATATATACACCATGTCTTACTTTGGTTCTGTCGACATCTCGTGTCATACAGTTTGATTCAATGGTCGATGGAGGCGATCGATGTGACGGACATGGCGAGCGCTACTACTGCGCCGCCCGTATGCCGGAGCCGACATGCCCAATGCAGCGAAGTATGTTTCGGTCATGTGGAGCCCGCTTCGTTGGAGGTTGGAGTGCATGAGCCCGCCAAGCTCGCGTGTAAATGATGACCGAGATTTTCATGACTGCATTCTCCGCTGCCACGCCACCAATAATTCCCGGGGCGGATGAAACTGTGCTTGGGACTACGCTCACGCCCCTCCCTGAGTCCCCTCTGCGCAACTTTTCTGTTTTCCGATAATTATACCCAGTCTCGGCACATGACAATCGCGCTGATATGGTGGTGACCATTGACCATAAGCTGGAATTAGTGGTATAGATGGAAAAGCTTGCCGGATGTATGTACCAAAGACATTTGACTTGCTATACATGGACTATGTATTTCAGATGCTATCAAAACAGAGATGGAGATGTAGGAAATGGGAATATTGGAATCTGGTTTGTAACAGCGTCTTTTAGACCAAGTGAGCTTTATCTTGTATGTGATTAGATACAACATTATAACGACGCCGTTGAAACCTGCCTCAGCCAAATCGTAGACATGCATTTTCCCGGAGTCGCACTGGTGACTGGAGCTGGATCAGGTACCGCAGGTCATGTGCAAGTGGCGAGCCAATGCTGATGTGCTTATTAGGAATCGGCCGTGCGACTGCGTTTCTCTATGCCAAGGAGGGATGTACACGCATTGCTGTGGCCGACATAAACAAGAGCAACGCCGATGAGACAAGGAAGGAGATTGAGACGAAATACTCCAATGTTGATGTTCTATCAATCCAAGTTGGTAGGCTTGCCACACTATACTGCCCGCAAAAAGAACACCGATGGTGACAACACGTGAAATTGTAGATATAACATCCGAGCAATCGGTAAACGACATGGTTTCTCTCGTTGTTCGCAAGTTCAACAGAATCGACTATGCTTGCAACGCCGCGGGCGTTCTCATCCCTGGGCCGACCGACGAGGTGTCAGTGTCGGCCTGGAAGAAACAAATCGACGTCAACCTCCACGGCACTTGGCTGTGTCATCGCGCCGAAATCATTCAGATGCTCAAGCAGGACGCTATCAAGGCCGACGATGGCTACTTCCCCAGTCGCGGGTCCATTGCCAATGTGGCATCCATGTGCGCGCTCATGGTCTACGATCACCTGCCGGCTTACTGTGCAAGTAAGCACGCCATATTGGGCTTTACTCGGGCCGACGGCATGAGATATGCCAAACAAGGTATCCGTGTCAATGCCATTTGTCCCGGGGTCACAGCGACGCCGATGGTGGGAGATGTGCCGGAAACCGCTTCGAGCGGCAGCCTAGACGCCCAAGCTATGATGAATGAGATGGCAACGGGCAGGTTTGGTCTTCCTGAAGAAGTTGCCGAGGCCATAGTCTGGGTGACGAGCGGGCGAGCCAGTTTGATCGTTGCCGGTCACTTGACGCCAAATGGTGGTGAGTGTAGCCACAGTACGGTTCTATTCCACAGTATCACATACTTACGAGAATGTAGGAATGATCGGAGCGTAGCCAAAGGCTCTAGGGTGGGAGTCACTTGACCTCGGCTCTTAGTCTCAATGGTTGCTGGCTCCCAAAAGACAGGACCAAATTTGTACTTCGTGTGTTCAAGGTTCAAGTCGTAGTACAGTACTATGACAGTCATTTCTTTTTACAAGTCTACAAATATTTCCCGTGATACACATTGCAGCATGATTATGAATTGGGTCAAATCACAAGTGCTGGCCACCTATTTGCAGCTGTAGCATGCGACGTGAACATGATGACTTATAGTGCATTGTCAACGAAGTAACCCCAAGTCTGTATCGCCAAGCCAATTAGTATTATTCCGGTCTTGGTCACCAGATGTGCCATCCAACAGCATATCGGTATGTCCCAGGATAACATCATCAGTCAAAAGAGCCTCCATCGAACCCCATGATCCGGGCTGGGGTAGGCATGAGCCCTGTTCCGGATGTGTTGATGAACTACCTGCGAAGCCTATCAGAGAGTCGGCTTGCCCAAATAGACCCGCTAACTCTACATTTCGTGTGATTCGTGCCAAGGTGCTTCTCATCTTCTCCGCGACGGGGTAGTGTTTCTGCGCCGACTCCATGGATTTAGACAAGACTCTCAACAACTGCATATCGTCCGAGGCCAAGGTGTTGGGATATCCGCTTGGGGGATGAAGGATATGTGACACAATGGTGCTAGCCGCGATGTACATGTTATCCAGCATGATGGTGATGAAATTCTCAATGCCAAATATTTCGCGATATGCCAAAACCAGGCGGCAGATACTGACGGCATTATCGTGCATGATGCTGCGGGATTTCTCCATGCGGAGGCAGTCGCTAGAAATCGGGGGCTGTTGTTTCTTTATTATTCTGATGAGAGCCCTGTGCAGTACGATGCGAATGCCGTGAAACTGAATGTTGAGGCCGTATGCTGACTGATCCAGTTCCGAGATGCGGCAATGTTGCGAAGAGATGTCGCGGGGAATCAAGTCGTAGGCATTCATGATCTTGTTATCGACCTGTAAAAGTTCCTCTACCCGATTACGGTTCAGAGAGGCACCCGAAGCATTCAAGCACTCAGTGACCTCGGAGATGCGAGTGCAAAGATTGACCCAGCATGTGAGGTTCTTATTGTCGCAAGTGGCAATTATGGACGGCTGGCTGCTGACATCCATGGTACCAGTCGGTATGCAACCTGGCCGGCCCAAGTATAAAGCCCACGTTTTGTCATAGACGAATGCACTCATGAACAAGAGAGATCGCATTTTCAAGTCTGTTTGGGACAGGATTCCCTGGTTGACTAGGGCAGTGCAGTCTTGATGGGCCCCTAGGTCGTACAGGAGCCGACAAGCGATTCCTTTTCTGAGTATTAATATGAGAATCACAATGACAAAGAACTATGCTTGGTATCTCTCACCGCAATAAATCCACCCAGCACGGTCCTGGGCATTTGTTGCCTCAAAGTCGCTCAGGAGGAGAAATCCAGCAATCGAGGCTAGATTCGGATTTTCGAGCTCAAACACCACCTCATGCTTTGCCCTATCTGCATAGGCACGCCCTAGCTTCCTAACCCCTGGTGATGTGCTGATCCTGGTGGCACATGCCAGGAGGCAACTTTCCAGAAAGTCCGAATAGTATTGTGACCGGACACCAAGCTTTCGATGCGAAGTGAACAGATCTTCATCGACAACCTGAACAGACCATGAATAATACTCCCAGCATGACCGTAACAGGACACGGCGTAATTGTGGCGAATCCATATCCACGACAAATTCTGGATCAAAAGTGGTGGTTGGCAAAGACGATGCTTTGCTCGCCGATGGCGATTGAATGTGCAGTTGGGTCGTAGGGCCATAGTAGTGGATTTGGCCAGAACTAGAATTTGCATCGAGGCTAGAAACTTCATCATCCATCTCTGGTGTCAGGTAGACGGAAAACCCAGCAGTGTCCTGTAAACATGCGACGTCGTGATCCAGTGCATGCTGCGGCATATTGGCACCGAGAGCCATGCCGGTGGAGCTGCCACTGCTCTGATCGCATGGAGCCACATTTATTACTTCTTTTGCGCACCCTTCCATGTTTTCGGCATGGCCGCTCTGTAAAGACATAGGCGTCTGGGCCCTACGCAGCTGTCAATCAACAATCTCACAATATACCGGAGATGGGAAGGATTCCCATACCTTGGTACATCTTCGTTACTATTACCTTCTCCTACCATCCCTTGATTTGTATTGGAAGTCTCGTCACAGTCGGACTGATCAGATAAGTCGGACAAGTCTTCGGAAGGCATGCGGTTGGACCGACGTGTTATTTGCTCTTGAGAACCTTTTTGGTAGTCACTAGAATTGAAACAGGTAAGCATCAGGTAAAGCCATGCACAGGCGTCGATGTATCAGCCATACCTAATGAGAGCCTCGACAGAGTGAATGCGCCTTTGCAATGATGCAATGTGCTGCCTAGAACCGTACCTATATTGGTCTACTGTTAGTCGGCTATTATATTATTGATCTGGATGGACAGACGTCTGGTAGACACGACTTACTTTCGACGATCATCGTTCTTGATGAGCACGCATTCAATATCAGATGTGCGGCATGCAGTGCATCGCGTGCCCGACTTTGCATTCTGTGCATCACACTGAGTTGAGTCAAGGTTAATAACTAAACCAGCCAATGTTTGAAGCAGCTCAACAAACCTTGGTCTTCTTTTGGCGGCAACTCACACAAGCTACCGATGCTCTGGGACCGCTGCGGCCGACATTTGATCGTCGCCGTGTTGTTGCGGACGAGGCGGCTGACTCCCCAGTATTTACCACCACTTCATCGGACATGTGTTTCGAGGGCCAACAGCTTTCGTTTTGCTCGTATACTCAAATGTGGAATTGTACGATGAGGAGGATACAAGAAAGACAAAGAAGAATATATGCAAATTGCAGTGCACAGGGCAAAGCAGTTCAATCAAACGACTGCCGCAGAACCTAACAAATATAGAAATGCTTCATGTGCATCTTCACAACAAGACTAAGTATACGCTACTACTGCACTACGGTTACATGGCCACTAATGCGGAGGTAAAGGCGATGGCAAGGGGATGAAGGCGGGGTGCATTGATTTATTGGGGTAACCCTGTATACTCGGGGAGTAGTTTCTTTAGAAGGGTGTATATATAACTGCTCAAAGTTGAGCTTTTCTTCCTTGCAAGTATTCTGCATTGATTGGAAATTGGACCCCGATGGTAATGATATTGCCCTTAGGGTATCCCCGAGGTTGCGAGAGAAGAAGGGCAAAATACTGAAGTCATGTTCAATTCCTGCAAGTTCTCAGGCTCGGCGCGTTACTTGTCTGTCTATTGTTAGATAATAATGATGGATGCAATAGTAAAGTGCCTTGTTCACCGCTGCATATTGAAGATCCAGGGGCAAGACAAGGCAAGCATCGGCATGCGGGTTGTGTCAAAAATGTGACAATAGTAATTATCGCCGGCTGCATTTTCCGGGTTTTGATCTGCAGTGGGACAAATACGTACTCCAACTTGTAGGTGAAAGATCAGTGCAGCTAGCTGGTATTGAGGATCTTGCCCCGAAGGATGTCATTGCACCCATTTGACCGAGTAGACAAATGATTGAACACAACCAGTGGTGATGCTCGGGGCAGAGGAAGACGAGATGATTTGTCATTATATGAATTCGGGTAGCGATATACCTAGGTTAGGCAAGTAGCTTAGTTGATGCCAGGGATCAGGTTTATGCCCCGCTATGCAGTGTACAGAGTAGTAGTTCCCACGGAAGCATGAACGGCAACTTGCAATCCAGCTACCCATGCAATGATAAAGAATGCATCCGGATAGTTCTTCAAAGTCAACTCCGAAGCTTCCGCTGTATGATATGCCAAATAGCGCGGGGAGGTGTTCGCTGTATGCGTCGCTATTGTACAATGAATCAACAAGAACACATCCGTAAAGTGAGAATCCCCAGACTTCGTGGCATGGCCCAACGCAAGGTCCCCCACCCTGCCGGACGATGGGTAGAACGTTCGGCAGACGCAGCTGGGCGAGAGAGGATATCTTTATTAACTAGAGATACGTTTGGTCTGTAATTTGAAATGCGCTGGATTGGTAATACTTAATATGTGATGAATGTGTATATGTGTGGTGACTTAGGTATGAAGACTACTTCACGTACAGAGTACTATACTGGGGACAAGAGTTACTTATACCCCAATCCGAGCAATCCTTGTACTAGGCACATTACTTGCATGCAAACAACCAACAGGATTGGACAATATGGACGGCTTTCTTGGGAAAAATCAGCGGTGGATTTATATACAGTGTGCTATCCTTCAAGGAACTTGCTTGCTCTTATCAGAGGAGCTTCAGGTGTTTTGCGGGCTCTGATGCTCCTTGATCAGTGCTCGTCTACCACGAGGGTGCCTCAATCAGCGATGAAACCAAAAGATGTGCTATTTGATCCTCCCCTGCATTTCCGTACTCCTTGACACTCGGTGACGGCCTGGAGCAAAAATGACCGATTGCGTAGCAATGACTGAGTGGCCAGTGACATGGCCTCCAACGCACGCCCGCTGCGAGCTGGCAATGCCACAATGGATCAGCGGGAGCACATCGGAAATCCCGCAAAAGCAGTTTGACTAGAAAGAGAGAATAGAACGGTCATTAGAGGAAAAAGTAACTAGCTGACACTTAGTCTTGAGACTATAAAGTGTCATAGTTAATAGTATAGCTAATTCATGTTTTGCCAGTGACCGCCGGTCCACACGGCCATCTGGACTGCTAGGTCCGAGTCCGAGCCGAGCCGAGGGCATCAACGCCGGGGATGGGGTCGGAGCTGTTCAAGCCCCGCGGCGGACCTTGCCACCATCCCCCTTTGCTTTCTACGGCATTGTAGCTCCGTGTTCTTCGCTGGAAACAACAAGACTCCCCTGGTCTCCCGTCTTGGCGTTTACGCGTCCCAACAGTTCCTCTCAAGCACTGCCGATCCCATTTCGGGTTGTGGGCTGCGTCAGTTACCAATCCCTCGTTACTGATTGGAGGACATTTGATAGTGGTAATTCATGGCTGGACTCGCCCTCGTGCTGATGACGACGCCAGATTTGCGAGCTTCTTCGCTTGATAGATTCGCTTCATTCAAGATAAAACGTCGGATTTTCATGGTCTGCTCGAGCACATGAGCAATTCAAGGCACAGATGACCAGTCTATCTAGCGGGGCGAACTACCCGACGGCATGAGGAAGAGATAATTAATTCAAACGTCAGTAATTAGAATATGTCATCGAGATACCAACGGCCTTGAGATACAAAGAAATGTAGTTGGCATATGCTTAACTACGTCAACAAAGTTAATCGTTAAGCTTTTGTGGATCTGCGCCGAGCCCAGGGTCATCTGGGGTAGGCCAGTGTGTTTTAGGACCCCTGGCCAAGCTTGAATAGCAATGCATCATGGCAGAGGTGCTTCGACAACTCGAGTGGATGGCCTGTAGGTAAAACATGCAAAATTCTGATTTACATCACACCTGCAGGTGTCCACGCGGCAAGGCGCCCACAGTCCTGGTTCATGAGCATGGGCCCAAGGCCTCTCGAACCAATAGGAAAATACTGTTTTGCAACCTTTCTATTCACGAGGCTCTGTCATTTCGGCTGGCCCAGAACATCAGTTGCCGACTACCATCAGACCCTCGTGATTGGAGTCACCCAGCACATGTGAATTCTTGCTACTGCTGGAAGCAGTACTCGGGCTCTTTCTCGTCCGCTCAAGCTTGTAGGCATGATATCAAAAGTCATCAGCGAGTCTCACTTCAAGGTAGTAGGTTCAAGGAGATGGGGAAGCCCAAGAACGTTCCGAAATGATTGGTGATTATGAAATATTTGCACAAACTACGCGCCCCGATCGTCGTAGATTCGGCCATGGTTCCTCTTTCACAAAATTCATAGCTTGCGAATTCTTTTGCCAAGATTCATCCTAGATATTCGCCAAAGTCTTGATTTGCTGAATTATTCGTTCCAGCACCAAGGGCGTACGCGGCTCATGCAGGGACACTTACGAATACCCAAGGAGTTAATCATTCTGTTAGTCAAGTTGCAGAAGCTCATGAATTGAATATATAAGATGAAAGAATCACTCTCCATCTTCATCTTTTTCGACTCGACATCAGTTCAACACCCCCTTTGATTCTACCCATCAGTCCGACAGGAAATTACTTGAGATGTTCTTCTCCAAGTTGGTTATTCTTGCTCTTGCCGCCGTTGCGGCCGCCCACCCTGGGCACGAGGCTGAGGAGCACTGGGCAGCCATCGCCGCCCGCACTCAGCGCGTCAACACCAGAAGGGCCTTGGAGAACTGCGCCGCTTCTCTCGAGTCTCGCGGCCATGCAGCTCGCGCAATCGAGCGACGTGCCGCAGAGGCAGCGAGGCAACGCATAGCTCGCAGGATCCCGGTCAACAGTGAGCCAACCCCTTCCCCGTCAGAACCTTGTACTTGACACGCCTAACACGCCCGTCACACCAGACCCTTACCGCAAGCGTGCCGCTGTCAGAAGAGACACCACCAGTATCCTCAACAAGGACCATGAGGGCACCCTCGACCCCGATGAGGCCCAGGCTGATGAGTCGTACGTCTTCAACAGCACTACTTGTGCTGTTTTGAACCCCCAGGGCGAAGTCGGCCCTTTTTACGTCAAGGGTGAATACGTCCGCTCAGATGTTACCGACTCGGAGCCCGGCGTCGAGATCATCATGGAGGCCCAGGTGATTGATGTCAACACTTGCGAGCCGCTGGTGGGCGCCTGGTTCGATATCTGGAACTGCAACTCTACGGGCGTCTACTCGGGCGTCCAGTCCAATGGCAACGGCAACAGCAACGACGCCACCAACCTGGACAACACAGCTCTGCGCGGTATCCAGCAGACGGACGACAACGGTGTCGTCACGTTTACGAGTAAGTCTTCTCGCTGTATATCTCATTTTCAAATCAAACCGCCCCGTCTCTAATCACGTTTCTTGCAGCCATATACCCTGGTCACTACTCGGGTCGCACCAACCATATGCACGTTGTCCTGCACACGGAAGCCGAGGAGCAAACCAATGGCACCATCACCATGGGCACGGTACCTCACATTGGCCAGTTCTTCTGGGACCAGAGCCTCACGACACAAGTCGAGGCGCTCAGCCCGTACAATACCAACACCATCACCCTGACGACCAATGCCCAGGACCGCGTCTTTGGCGAGCAGGAGACGGCTGGCACCACCTCGGACCCCGTCTTCAACTATGTCTTCCTTGGCGACTCCATCAGCGACGGCATCTTTCAGTGGATCGTGGTTGGCGTCGACACTTCGGCCTCTTACACGCCCACCTACAGCTTTGAGCTGACCGAGGATGGCGGTGTTCCCGTGAGCTCCGGCGGTGGTGGCGGTGCTGGCGGCGGCGGCGGCGGCCCACCTTCGTAGGCTGCCCTTGTCGCCCGCGTACACCTCCATCACGTTGAGATGTATTGCCCGTGGACTTGCCTGAAAAAACAGCATATGCGGTGTGGGAAAGATAAAAAATGGAACGTTTGGATTGCTGGTGGTCCTCAGCCATAATTATTCGATTCTCGGGGGATTTTAAGCTTGTAGATATGAAGTTTGCTGTTATGGGGTGCTGTTAGCAGCACCCCTTGTTAAATAACCACTCTCTTTTGCTCTTGCAGTAGCATCACATTGCAAATATTTTCTTGGACCTTGTGATGCATTCTTGTTGCCATGGCGATTTCCCTCTTCACAGATTGGTATCTGCCTGAATAATAATTCCGACCCCAAAAAGTTTATCGTGACGTGCAAGCCCTTGCCGAAAGTGAGCTTTTCAGGAAGTTGCTTTCAACTCATACCCTCTGGGAGATACTCTTTGTTTGACGAATAAGTCTCATCCTGCTCGTAAATCCAAGGTTCGTCTTTCATCTCCATCTCTTCTTTGGTGATGACCAGTGGGTTTCCACGGAAATCCAATCGGACACCAGGCCAGATAAAGGTCCGCCACATGTAACCTAGAATACTGGGCTCTTCCAAAGTGGGCGCAATGTGAGGCGCAATGAGTTCCCGGTGCTTCTGCGGCAGAACAGACCAATGTAGGCCTGGGTACAAGTGATGAATTGTGTGGAATCCATTATTGAAACAAAGCCAGTTGAGCAATGGGTCCGTAAAGTTGCGCGCAAAGTTGTACTTGGACGAACTATCACAACCATCATGTTGTAGCAAGTTCAGTGACAAGATGCAGTATTTTGCATAGAATTGAGGAATCAGCGCAAACCAAATCCAACGACGCCAGTCAAGTAATATCAGCACAGCCATGGTGCCAAACACTACTGCTTGTTCCAGGCGCCGCTGTCGCGCAATCGGCCTATTCTTTCGTTCCTGAGCAGCGAAATACAACTTCTCGTCATCGCTCCCAGTCAAAACGATGTGCCAGAAGAACAAGATACCGTTCAGCAGATTCCATTGGTATGATACTTTCGTAGTACGCACTAACAGCAACAGTCAGCCTTTTTGAAGGATTTCGCAATACCTCCCCAGATGCCAACCGGGACGAAAAGTGCTTGACCCAACTCGGGTGGAACTCACTGAAATCTCTGGCTTGCTGGGGATACTTGTGGTGCGACAGATTATGCCCCGGAATGAAGACGGAGACTGAAAAACCATACTGCAGCGACAGGCAGAGCTGATATAGTCCATTCAATCGTGGGTTGTAGAATAAGGGTGCATGAATGGCATTGTGCGTCGCCACCGCGCCCATGAAGGAGAGTTGAAAGAGTGATAGCCAAATCGCAAATGAGAGTAGGCCGGCGGATAGAGGCGACTCAAAGTTTATCCAGGCATAGATGAATACCGCGAAGAAGAGAGCAGTGCATCCTAGCTGGCGTGTGTCCTCAACATGCCTGAGTCCACTTCTCTTTGGTCTTGGTTGGATGGATGATTCCCTTGGCATTCCATCAGGGGTTTTCGGGTCGGCCGGCTGCCCCTTCATGATATTACCCCAAGTCGGTGGCCCAATGTAGAAGCAACAGCGATAAAGGCAAAGGGAAACTCCAGCAAAGGGAGGGAAAGATCGAGAATTCGAAGCCTCTTCAAACCCATGTGATTTTTGTATGGTTGCAAAAGTGAAAAAAATGTCAAGAAAGGGATAAAAAAAAAAGGACAATGAATGAAAGTGGAGTCCCCTAGTAAAGAATAAGCTCCCCATTCCCTAGCAGTGATAGCCACATTCCATTGAACACGTGGTGTCGCACAAACATAAGCTGATGTAATTTAATAATCTGTGACTTTCTGTTGGGACTTGTGCTAAACCTTCTCTCTGCGAATATATGCACCGCTGCAACGAGTGAATCGGAGAAACGGGAAGCAGTGCTCGTAGCAACCTTCAGAATCATTAGGTTACGTGGTTTCTGAATTTGGCGGCACTGTTCCACTGTCCTTTGGAGGGTCAGCGAAGAGAAGGGACGGCACTTTTAGTGCCGGGTTGCGATCCAGCGAGTCGGGTCTCGGCTATGTTGGGCCCCTACCTGGAGCCTAGCAGGTACCCGTCTAGGTGTGGGTGGTAGTGCTTCACCGGCTGCTACCGCGTTAATTGAGCCGCTAGATTCCAGAAGGTACCTTCATGATAGTGGGTTGAAAACCACACTAGGCCACGCCAGCCAATCATGGAAATTTCGCTTTTACACATGCGAGTCACGATAAAAAGGTTCGGTGCGGTGGATTAAAAAAAAGGGGGATTCTACTTACATTGAATTGAATTGCCGGCCCAAGTCTGTTAATATCCCCATCTCAGCCTCTTCAGCCTGCTCTGGTAGTTATTATGCATAGTATTGAACCTTTCTTCTTTGCATTCCCCGTACGCTTGATACTCCTTCATTCATCTATCGGAGGTTCTCTGGAATTGGCGCCCTTGCACCTCAGATGTTCTTGGACACCTCTGTTTTCGTTCTCTTCGCGTCCCAGGCCGTTGGTGACCAAGCTGCCTTCGTACAGGAGCCACTGACTAGCCGCGCGCCTCCTGTGTCTGATGCCAATCGTTCCAAAATGGTCATTCTAGTAGTCTCAACGAAAAAGTAGCCCAGGTCGCCGACAAGGTGAAAGCACTTCTTGAAAATAAATCTGATAATATCATCATCTACAACCGCCTAGAGGCAATTGATTGTGCTCATATCGATGATGAGGCTACAGTGGTCAGTTCCGTGAAGCCTGAAGCTTTCATATGAAATCGCATTAGAGAAATGGGGAGGGCTTAAAAAGTTGTTTGCCAGTGGCAGAACGCTGCTGTGGGTGAGCAGAGAAAGACGCGCAGGGAACCCTTGGTCCCATATGCCCGTTGGCTTTGGTCGTACAGCGATGAACGAGACACCAGATCTGTGTGCTTGGTTTCTAGACCCTGCCGCAACCGCTCAAGTCAACGCTCGCATGATAGCGGAGAGCTTTTGCGCATCCAGGATGAGCAGCCTCAGGGGGACAACAGTAGCCTCTTGTGGACCGCTGAGACGGAGGTTGTGGTTGATGCTTAAGGCTGCCAGTTCGTACCACGTCCAAGACTTATCGCAAAGTTCAACAACCGATATAACTGCTACCGTCGCTCCATATTCGAGGAGTTGGATGCAAGAGAAAGTGTATTAGAGTTGTGTAGATCCAGTGACGACTTCAGCGTTCGAGAGGGACCCAGGTACGCTGGCGCTGAGTATGACGGATCGGAGGCAATCAAGCTGCTAACGATGGTACAACTCTTCTAGCCATTCGAACTGGTGCTGGCCTATAATTCCTCGCGCAATGTCGCGATTTTTCTGGGCAGTGATACCTTGCGCTTGCTCTGACTCCAAGGAATGTTTTGCATGTCCCCAAAGAACAGGCAGTGCTCGACTGCCCTGATGAGATTGGCATCTCACGGACTGACTCGATTGCCACTGTGGCAAGTCATTCGGTCGCTTCTGTCCGGAGTCGAAGGCCTCTCCCTGGCCACAAAGCCCTCTTGCGTAGTGATCCGAGTCTCATTGCGCAGCTGCTGGAGCTCAGGCTGCTGCAAGGGGCCTTCAGGTGCTGTTTACCATAGATGTCTTTGATGACGCCACAATGCCCTGCACCTGGTTCCAGATACTTGCATGCACACGCAGCTACGAGCTTTTGCAATTGCGCTCGGCAGACTTCGTATGCTTTGCCGGGGTTTCCGAAGAGGATAAGTCCCAGAATGACAAGGTAATGCTCTCGTTGCTCTCGTATCACTGCCATCGCGGAACCTCCACGCCTCCAACGTGAGCCTGACCTCGGCGCTGGCTGGACTATGCCTGCCACGACAGAATCCAGTGCACTACGTATCGTCAGCAGGAGTTGCTATCTACCATGGCCGTTATCCTTTCCTCGAAGTCTCAATCAGTGACCCCGGATGTGTGTATCCTACAAGCGACAAGCCTTTTGGGTACAGATGTCCCAGAGCGACCAACAAGCGTCTGTTTGAGCGCGATCATCAACAGTTTGACCTACCCGGACCATACATCGCACATCGACCATCATTCGCGAAGGTTACGTGGATGCCACCAAGGGCACGCCACCGCGAGTTGGGTCAATGCTGGACCGACTGGAGTATCTCAGTGGCGACGATGGAGCATTGTATAATGTGCTGCCCGTGGCCGAATCGGCGCGCAACGCCACCGCTGAGGGCTTGCATGAAGCTGTCGCAGCATACATATTATGGTAATACGCAGATTGATACATGACAGTAGAATATGAACTTGCTTATTCATAAAGTATTTGAGTCGATTTCGAGATTCATATGTGCTATGAATTTGCACCCTTAATGACAGAAGAACAAACATTTGTTAGTGCTCAAGAAGCCGCACTGCGGGGCTTGGGGGAGGAGAGCCAGAGCTTGGTGTCCTGCACTTATGCCAGCTGTCAACAATCCAATCAAGATCAGTGTCTTGGCCAAAAAGCCATGCGCAATGGGACAGCGGGTGGCGAGAGCAGTAGGTACTTAAGAGAGCCAGATTACCCAAATAACCATCCATCAATTAAGGTAGTGAGGGAACAATTTGTGGAAAGTTGACTTTGACTAAAGTAATGAGTACAACTCTCGTTTTGATGGATAAAAGCATCAGACCCCGGGACCTCCGGCTTGACGGCTATTACCGGTGGACTATGGGAGGCAATTACACAGTAGGTCTTCTGCACTTTATTTAACTAAACCCAGGTAGCCAGATCCGTTCATCTGTACTGAATACACTAAGTCCCCATCAATCTCTCACATGGTAGGTAGCACCACCACTATTACGATCTGGAGAAAGTCCGTACTTATCCAAGTCAAGTCAAGCTGGCTAGGTCAGCCACTGTCATCGGAAGGCTTCACCAGACAGAGAAAAAAAAAAAGAAAAAAAAAAAGAATGCTCGCAAGCGAGCCCAGCGCCGACAAAAGCATCGTGAGCGTGGCCAACGCGTTACGTACGAAGCAGAAGTTCAGCGTCGGCGACAAGAAGTCGGCCAGAGGGCGCAAAGAAGCACTGGAGCTCAATGCCAGCTAAAAAAGCGGACTGGACCACGAGGTCGTGGCAGAGGGCTTTGAGAGCAGTGGCAGCGTTGAACGGCAACGGCAAACGGCTGCACATGTCAACAGAGGGCGCTCAACGCCAGCATTGACGAAAGCCGCGGTGCTCCCAGAGTAGCGCCGGGAGTGTGATCTGCCAACCGAGGGCGCGGTGCTCACGAAGCAGCACCGGCCAGGCAATGCCAAGGGAAGCAGTGGACTGCGTGCATAATGTATAGCACCGTGAACCGTTCAGTGGTGGAGGCATCGTGAACCAGGAGTTCAGTGCTAGAGGGCGCACGTCAAGCTGCCATTTAGGGGATCAAGCCTGCACGTAACGACGATTCCCCACACAATTCGGCATCGTACGAGGGCGTTCAGCGCCAACCCCGCGGAAGGTACGGCACTTAGCGAACACGAGCACAAAGTCTCTGCTGTAGACGAGCTTCGAAGGTATGAGTAAAATGCCCACAAATGAGAACGATTTGGCAGTCTCAACTGCCGGGGGTGGAATTGACAGGGTAAAGAATCAATTCAATATTCGCCCTTTCAGGGGACCCCTGTGTCTCCGGGGTAGTGGTCGACTAGGTGAACAGATAAAGAAAGTTTAAAATACGGACCCTGTAGGAATGTATCCAAGGCCTTGACGCAATGCCGCGCATTTTCGTTCTGTTCTGAGGCTCTTATCTATATATGACAGGCGGCAAATAAGTCTCCCGTCATCATGAAGTGGAATTTCAAATATTCAGTGTTATTCAACTTGGAGTGTCGGGATTAGGATCAACAGAAATGTGCGACTTTTCGGTTTATGGAACACCAAGTCCAGAATGGATAGCCGGGGCTTCAAACTTGCCATCATTCCTACCCCAGGTCGAATCCATTGTCGAATGGCGGAAAATCTTCAATGCGCAACGTGAGGCAACCGTTGCCGAGGAATTCAAGAGCGTCAAGACGCAGGTTCGCATCCAGGACTATTCGATACCCACACGTGACGGTTCAAGCATCGGAGCGAGGTGCTACTGGCCTATAAATGCAGAACCAGGCAAGAGCTTGCCCGTGTATATGCATTTGCTTGGCGGTGGTTTCATCTTTGGGAGCTTGGCGACCGAGGACGCGATATGTGCCCGTATTGCCATCAACACGCAGATCATCGTGCTGAGCATCGAAGCCCGGCACACTCCCGAGCATAGTTATCCGACGGCATGGAACGACACGAACGACGCGTTCGACTGGCTTCACGATCATATCGAGGAGCTTGGTGGCAATGCGCATCAGGTCATTATAGGCGGTCAGTCAAGCGGCGGTCAGCTAGCAGCATCACTGGTTCTCAAGAGGAATCTCGACTCGAGCTCGGAACGCCCTGCTATTGCGGGTCAACTATTGATGGTCCCGTGCTTGGTCAGTATGTCTTGCTACGAGCCGCAGCTTGCAAAGCTCAAGAGCAAAGATATCAGCTCCTACGAACAAAACAGATTTGCGCCTCTTGCACCGCTTACTGTTTGTCGCTTTTTCGAGGAACTGCTGGAAATCGATGACCCACAAGTTGACGATATTGAACTGAATCCAGGAAATGCAACACCTGACCAAGTTCAAGGACTGCCCCCGACGATGTTTCTCATTACAGGGTGGGATCCGATGAGAGACGAGGGATTATTGTATGCAAAGATGCTCGTAGAAGCAGGGTAAGAACAAATATCTCATCATCAGCTCATTGCCATCAGCTAAAAGCTCCCCAGGGTTCCAGTGGATATCCACATGTTTCCGGGCCTTCCACATAACTTCAGAAGAGTTCTGAATAATGTCCCGGAGTCTGCCCGATGGGACCGCACTATTGAGCGAGGTATACAGTGGCTGCTTTCCAACCCGATGGCTACTGGCATGTTTGAGATTAAGGAAAAATAGAGTGGAGCGTAAATGAGAGTGAAGAGGTGGTGAACTGCACTTGTGACATAATTGGATAGAGTCCTTTCAGGTGTTTCAATCTAAATATTTATGCATAGTATCACTATATTTCTGCACTTATTAACAAGTTTTAACATTGACCCATCACGAGTGGAAAAGACTAAGTGAGATTCCGTCATACTTAACACAGAAGAATCGCAATGATTGGCGTATTCAAGGTATCTTTACTTGTGAAGCGCGTTCGTCTCCAGAGGAAGACCTCAAGGTGTCTCAGCCGTAGTCGAACTATTGAGTTGCCTTCAGTCGATCCACCACTGTTTGACCTAATGCGTTCAAGGTCCCTTTGCCCATTATTTCGAAGACACCAATCTTGAAACCAAAAGTAGCCTTCCACCAATCTCGCAACTCCATAGCCACCATTGAATCCATGCCAAATTGACTCAGCCCGATTGATGTGTCAATATCTTGATTTGTCTTGAGGAGCAAGTTGAGCAGCTTCTCTCCAATTCCCCGCGCGATCGCGGTTACCGTTTCAGGCTTTATTAGTATATTTGGATCGTCTCTGATTGACGCCAGAAGGCCCGTCAAGCTGTTGTCGGCAGAGATCGCAGACTGTCCCGTAACATGCGCTGCAGCGGGCGCATTGTGGTAGACAGACATGCGGATATCTCTGCGCTGTCGTGCACTGCTACCGGGATTGCTAAGCGGTACGGTAGGCTTGATTCCAATCATGAAATTGCGTGAATCGTTCTCCGTTTGGGTCTGGGCTGCGCGTGGTTGCATCGCGACTCGGAGTGCATTCAAGAGCTCGGCTTCCCGGACCGGCCGCCACCCTGTGCCTTTCATTTTGCGGAACAACTCCTCATTTCGTGTTAGATAGCCCACCTCATCCATGGCGCCAATCGCTATCGAGGTACACGGTAGCCCGTCTTTAGTCCGGTATCGTGAAAAAGCGTCGAGAAATGTGTTGGCCGCAGCATAGTTGGCTTGTCCGGGCTGTCCCAGAATCCCGGAGAGCGAACTGAACAGGATGAAAAAGTCCAGCGCATCCCCGCGGGAAGAAACGGCATTGTGGAGGTTCCAGGTGCCTTGGATCTTTGGTTTGACTGCGCCATTCCAATCTTCAATTGACATGCGTGAGAAGTTCTCATCACGTATCACCATGGACATCTGAATGATGCCTTTCAATGGGTACCTGCTAGCTTCCACGGCGCGAGAAACATCCTGAATGTCTGTTACACTACCGCGAACCAGTGTAACAGAACATCCCATACTCTCCAGCTCGTGCGCAAATTCTTGGTCACGTTTTTCGACGCCGGCACTCCGAGACAGGAATGTGAGGTGGCGGGCACCGCATTCGACCATCCACGTCGAGAGCGAACGGCCTAGTCCTCCAAGTCCACCAACAAGAAGGTACGACGCTGAGCTCTCAAGTCGAAGCTCCTGTTGTTTTGGAGCAAGAATATTTCCAAGCTGCAATGCACCTGCACTATCGCGAACTTGTATCACTATTTTGCCAATATGACTCCCCTGCGCCATAAATCGGAATGCCTCCTCGACGTTGGCCGCACTGGCGAGCTTAGCTAGTGCTATGGGACGTATCACGTCTTGGCGGAAGTATTCCATCATGGAACCTAGAACCCTGGCGATAGAACTGATGTTAGTGGAAACGATTCCTATTGTTTTGGGGGAAAGGGAAGAGTAATATGCACTCACTTGGCAAGTTCCTTCGGTCTCTCGGCACGCAGCTGGTCAATGTCAACACAGCAGTAATTCCGGTTGTCCAGAAACATGTCCATATCCAGCTTGCCCGCGCCAAGTATATCTCTCTTGCCAATCTCGACCATTGTTCCAAATTTGGCTACACATCTCCATGTCGCGTGTAGTAGTTCGCCAGACAGCGAGTTCAAGATGGCGTCGACTCCTCGGTTGTTTGTCTGGCGCATGATCCCTTCAACAAAGGCAGTGCTGCGTGAATCAAAAATGTGACTTCTAGGGATTCCAAAGGACTCCATCAAATACGTTGCTTTGAGATCGCTACTGACAGTCGTATAGATCTCGGCTCCGATCATCTGCGCAATCTGAATAGCAGCGAGCCCAGCACCACCGCAACCGCTATGAATCAATACTGACTGCCCCTCCTGGAGGCGACCCATGTTGATCAAGGAATGAATTGCAGTCCCGAAAACGAGAACCATGGTTGCTGCATCAATAAACGACAAATTGTTAGGTATCTTCACAAAAAGATCCTGCGTGTCGGTTACCCAGGTGGCAAAGGTCTTGGTACCAACGAGGCACACCCGATCTCCGACCTTGAACTTGGTTGCTTCGGGACCAAGTTGCCGAACCACACCAACTGCTTCGTAGCCAAGCTCATCCTTGGGAAGGTCGAGAACACCAATAGCAATGAGAACATCCTGATTCGCGCAAAGTTAGCTCGACTGCACTCCATCCTGATCCCTCGTAGAGTTCTTACCCTGAAATTTAGGCCGAGTGCGTGGACTTCCATCTCAATCTGGTCACCTTGGGGAGCCAAGGCTGTTCGAGCTAGCCAATGTAACGAGTCAAGACGCCCCGGGCGACCGACATTCAAAACTGCATCGCTTTTGTCTTGAGATGAATCGCAATGGTCGTCGAGAGAGAAAGGAAAGAAACGGTTGACACGAACACCGCGGTCAGAGACGGAATATTCCAAGTCTGGACCCATGGCATCGTCACCTTGCCGTGTGTAGAATTTGTCGAAGACATCGGCTACCTCGGGAATGGATGCCTGCGGACTTTCTGTCTCGCACGTAGCAAAGTCGATGGCAGTTTCAGAGCGAATGGTACGTGCTAGTCCTATGATTGGCGCGTACCTAGGATCATTACACACTGACTGTGATGCACGGGTAACCCAGAAAAGTCCAGCCTCGCAGATGCGGGCCACGAAACGTTTGAGATCATCCAGCCGCCCTGCATCAATGTCGTCCAAGAACGGTCCTTCGTCGTCAAGAAGAGCAAGAATATCTTGCCCTGGGGTCGGTTCGTCTTGCAATGTGCAGTGACATAGCTCGTACCCACGTGCTTGCAATTCTGCCTCTAATCTGCTCGGCTCACTTGTTGCACTGCCTCCAAGCACAGTGATTTTCCCCCTTTGTAATTCGCGCACGGGCTTGGCTACAAGGACTGAGTTCGTGCGAGATACTTCATGGAAGTCGATCTCGAATCCGTCGATCCGTAGTTCTTCTTCCAATCTCCCCATTTCAACGAGCGGCCCGTCAGATCGAGCATCCTCAAAAGCCTTCCACCAAGTCGGAATCGTACCGAGAACATAATTGACCCACAACAACCCTGGTCTTGTCTCCTGAATGAGTAGCCTGCCGCGGGGACTCAATAGCGTCCGCATGTGTGCCAGGCTTTTCTTGAGGTTTGGCGTGGAAGTCAGGACTCCAGAAGCAATGATCAAATCAAACTGAGAGAAGGGAAATTTTTGCTTGCTCGGGTCTTTGCCGATGTCCAACGAGGCAAAATCGAGACCTGGTGTGCTCTTGTAACGACCTTTTGCCGCCTTGACTACATGTGGCGACGGATCGGAAAGAATATACTGAGAATAGAGCCTCTGGCCATTTGCTTGCGTCAGATAGCTCAAGTAGTCGGCTGTTGCTGTGCCTTCCCCGGCACCGAGCTCGAGGACTCGGAGGTTTGGCGTACTTAGTCCTAGGCGTCTAAAGAAAGCCTCGCTATTGTATTTATGTACGAAAGTTAGAAATTTGCCAAGCGTATCGTCTCCGTTCAAAATCGCAAGCGGGTGCTTGGTGCCGCTGTACAGCGCGACGGCGTTGGCGCAAATCTTTGATATAGCCATGGCGGCATCGTAAGTCGGAGTGTCACTCAATGACATCACGCGTTTATCGAGCCGGTCCTGTAGTACGGCAGTGTCTTCTTGTAGCAACTCGACATCCTGAGCATCCAACCATGCCTTGTACTTTCGCATCGACGTTATTACCGTTGTGCCTGGTTGGACGCTCTTCCGGCAAATTGTGGATGCCAAGAGTGCGATCTCGTCCAGAGCATCGCCATATGAGCTTTGCCAATCATTGGGACAAACAAGCGTATCCGTTGTGTCAAAGCCAATGTGCTGTATCCACTCGGACCTTGCTGTGATAGGAATATCGTCGTCAAGCTCTTCATCGATTGGGTCGTCGAGGGGAGTCATGTTGGTACCCGAGACCTTCAACACGACTCGAGTCCCCGCCACACCAAGACCTTCACCAGTGAGTCCTGTAGCAGTGATATCGGCAGACGCTGATACCGCAATATCATCCACAGTGGAGCGAAATATTGTCAGAGATGCAATACTTGTGGGAAGAACTTGCCGGTAGTCTCGTGCGGAGCCGTGCCAAGCTGCACAGCTAAGCAGCTGAAAATAGGCGTCCAGAATGACCGGATGCAAGTGATAGTTGGCTTCATCTCCGTGCCAATTATTACGTACATTGGCCAGACCTGAGCGGCGCGATGACGTCGAAGTTGATATCTTTTCCAGACAGGTGAAATGATAGCCATAGTCCAGACCCTTCCTCCGCACAGTTTCGTACCATTTGGATGATTCAACTCTGCGAGGGAGATTAATTTGCAATGTTACCGGCCGAGCGTCAATATCCGCTTCAGCCTTTACTTCGCCAACGCAATGCTTTGTCCAGACATGGCCGTTATGTGAAGAGATTGAGAACTCCCACCACTGGCTATCTAGCGTATCTGTGAGGCGATGTTGCCTCAGAGCTGTGATGATCTCTGTCGGCTTCTCCTGGTCTACGATCATTGCCTTGCTAACAATAATCTTTCGTAGGCTGAACCCGTCTTGAATACCAGTGACCTGCCGCACAGCCTCGCCGGCAATAGCTACGTAGGCAGCAAACGGAAATATGACATCCTGCTTGATCTTATGATCCCGAACCCACGGTGCATTTTCCAGATGAAAGAGATTTCTCCAAACCGGTTCAGATTCCGTGCTTTCAGGTATTTTCGATCCGAGGAGGTCATGATGCGGGTCACGTCTCAGTCTCCACTCCTTCACAACCCTCGTCTCAAACCAGTGGCTTTCTGGGTGATTCCATGGATATCGAGGGAGATCTCCGAGACATTTGCCTCCTGAAAACAATGATTTGAAATCGACAGGGACATGCAAAGTGAACAGTGTGCCCAGTAAAGATAGGAAGGTGTCATAACTATTCTGCTCCCGTACTTGTGCAGAGATTATTGGTGCCTCGCTCGAAAACTGCGTTCGAATCTGTCGTAGGGGTCCAGAAAGTGCTGAATGCGGACCTATCTCGACCAAAATTGGATTGGGCAGGTCTTTGTGTGCGAAAATATCCGAGACAGCAGCCCGAAAGTACACTGGAGACTCTAAGTTGGTCTGCCAATATTTGGGTCCCAGATGCGTCGCGTCGGGATTTTCGAGAAGTGCTCCAGCCACGCTGGAGAAGAACAACTTTGAAGGGGCCGATGAAGCGACTTTGGCATCCTGCATCGCTGCGTGATAGGCACTGCCGATCTCAACCATATGGTGAGAATGGTAAGCCTGATCGACCTTCAAGACAGTAGCTAGGGCGCCTGGACGTGCCTCCTTGACAGCAGCTACGACCTGTGCCACTCCCTCTGCATCTCCCGAAATAGTCGAGCTGTGAGGCGAGTTATCGCAAGCCAAGACCACAGAAGGGACCAGAAATTGGCGACTTTCAGCCCAACTTAGCCCAAGTGCTGCCATGGCGCCACTCTTTGCTTGTCTCGTTGACAGCAGCCCACGATAGTAGGCCACAATGATAGCATCTTCCCGAGTCAGGGCCCCAGCAGCATAAGCTGCGGCAATCTCCCCACTGGAGTGACCAACTACCGCTGCAGGCGTGACCCCGACCGAGGCAAGACTGTCCACCAAAGCCAGCTGTAGCGCAGTACATAGCGGTTGAGAAAGCTCTGCCTGGTTTACACGGCTTGTGCTTGCTGGCTTGGCTAATTCCTCCTCGAGGGTCCAGCCCGGCGCAGCAAAAGCCTGCAAATGTGCATCGAGATGTTTGATGGTGTCTCTGAATACAGAGTTTGACTCCATTAGGTCGCAGCCCATCCTGGCCCACTGCGCACCCTGTCCTGTAAATACCATGACAAGAGAAGATTTCCGGCTTGGCTTTGCGACAGAAGTCGGCACAGTGATAGACCCCACATCTCTTTCGTTGGTTACGACAAAGGACCGATAAGGCAGATGTTCACGTCTGTTCGCAAGAGTGAATGCGACATCCGACAATAAGATGGGGTTCTTCTTGAGGAAGGCATCATATCTCTCGACCAATGGCTGGACAGATTCGGTGGTATTGGCTGAATACACCAACAATTGTGATTTACCTTCTTCTTGGATTGTAGCTTGGGGCAGATCGTGCCGTGTTATACCAAAGCTGCTTGCTGAGTCGAGAATAATATGTGCGTTTGTGCCACCGATTCCAAAGGAATTCTCACAATTGTTAACAGATATGGGGAAACATGTCGGAGATGTTTACTTACAACGCTGACACGCTCCTCACAACATGGGGGCCAAGCCAAAGGTTCGGATGGGACAGTCAGTCGGCCGCGTTTCCAAGGGATTGCTGGGTTTGGTGGGCTTGACTTGATTTGGGGCGGGATTATCCGATGTTCCAGCGCAAGGACTGCCTTCAGTACGGATGTCAAACCCGAAGCTCCCTCAGAATGACCCAAGTTTGCCTCAAAATATCATCAGTATACAAGCGTACTTGAAAAAAGTGAATACTAACCTTGACTGAGCCAATATGTATTCCACTATGTCCGAAAACTCGAGCCACAGCCTCCGTCTCAATCGGATCCCCAACAGGCGTCCCAGTCCCGTGACACTCAAAAAATGCAGTTTGTGACAGGTCTGAAATGTCTGCTATATCGTATGCCCTTCTAATCAGCGCCTCCTGCGAGTCTGTTCCGGGAACAGTCACGCCTTGGGTCTTGCCGTCATGATTTACGGCTGATCCGCGTATCACAGCTCGCACTGGATTGCCATCACGCAAGGCGTCATGTAAGGGCTTTACAAATATAGCCACAATTGCTTCGCCTCTTCCATATCCATCGGCATTGGCAGAGAAAGTCTTGCAGGATCCATCTGGATTGAGTGTACCAAGCTCAGACATGGCAGTGGTCAAGCCAGGTGCTAGAACAAGGTTGGTACCTCCAACAATTGCAGATTTACAATCACCTCGGTCGAGAGCCATGCATGCTTCATTCAGGCCCACCAGGGCAGCTGAACAGCCGGTCCGGATTGTTAAGCTGAGTGCATACTTAGTTTACAGTTCTCATCGTCCCAGGATAGGTCAGACTTTTACCTTGGCCCACGCAGATCCATCTCGTACGATATACGGTTTGAAAGCATGAAATCGTGGTTGGCAGTGACCTGATACCTGCTGTACTTTTGCGAGTCACTGACGGAAAGGTCATACCAATCCTGGCCATAGCTTCCAGCATAGACTCCAATATTCTGGCCACGCCAATTGATTTCGCCTGCGTCATCAACAGCTTCTCGCGCCACCTCGAGCAGCAATCGGTGTTGTGGGTCAACGCGCTCGATTTCAGAACGAGGCATAGAAAAGAACGATGTGTCAATGGCGCCAATATCGACGTCTTGATCCAAGAAATAGCCAAATTCGGCTTTCGTCGTGCCCGGCTTTCCCCCTAGAGATTGGTAAGCCGACAGATTGTAGCGGCTTTCAGGTATAGGTGATCGCGCATCTCCTTTGTTTAGGAGAAACTCCCATAGTTCTTGTGGAGTGGATATGCCCCCTGGGAGGCGACATGCCATTCCACAGATGGCAATGGGAGTGAAAGGTTTCTGAGTAGAATGTACTCCATTCTGCTCAGGTATGATATGGTCAGGGACATGCTCCCTAGCGGGAGAATCATCAACAGATGCAGTCATGATTGAAGACTTCTGCTTATCTGTGTAGGTGTCGAGCAGAGCACAGAATATGTCAAAAGGAATGTTGGAATGGCTCGTCGACGCAATCACCTGGGTCTACTTTGATACATAAGAACAGCCTGCCTGGATATTCGTATATACTGTAGTAGGATATCTTGCCCAGGCAGGAAATTCAGACCAGGAGACCCGTTTATTGGCCGTGGACCTGAAGTTAAAATGTTGACTCAGCAGATTTAGAGTTCTGACTGCGCTGTTATCCCAGAAGGCTCCATCCTCGTCAAAGGTCGCCGCACTATGCCAGGTACCCGAGACTGCCTAAGCGATTGCTGCCGACGGGAATCTGTATGCAATACTTCAGGGCGAAATTCGAACAGCACGAGTATCCCGCCGATCATTTCCGGATTAAACCTTCAGTTCAGTCTACAAGTACGACATGCCATTTGAATTTCTAATCAACAGAATGCTCTGAAATTCAATGATAACGTTTCATCGGCAGAGTCGCTTCCCCTTACCGCGGCAAATTCATACGGCAGATGGGATTTCAAGCGATAACTAACAGATTGCGGATCTTTCTAGATCTGTGTGACTGCGGAACACATGGATCGTAGCGGGGTACGAAAAGCTTGGCGTAAATACACGAGGGGGAAGGCGAGCCTGCTCAAAAAAGTATTTAGTGAATAAAGTATAAAAATGGCAATTGTATTTACCTGCCATGATATTGAGAAACACAGTGGGGTACGCTAAAGCCATATTGTGTAATGTTCCAGGGGTGTAAACAGGGCCTGTAACGGAAGGCATGCAGTGATTAAACCTTCTTTCGATTATCGATACCCGAAAGCATGGGTTTTTCAAATTTCGCATGGATGATTTCTGACGCTAAGATCTAAAGATCATGGTCCCATCTCGTTGCACACCGGATGCACTGTGCCCAAGATCACTAGTCTATATTTTAACAGCAAAGTTAGTAAACGGGGTCGGCATTTATATAGTGAAGTTTTGAACGACTTTGATGCAGGGACGTACATGCATATGTAGCACAGGTGCGGTAGTTGTTGCAGAGACCCGTGTATGTGAGTGTTACTGGCACATTGCAATCATATAACTCTGAACTCGGTCGACTTTCAGCCACGTTCAACCCCAAAATCTGATAGGTACTATACAGACCTGTCTTATGCGCCGAAGAAAGTCAAATATCATCTTTGATATTTGATATAAACAGTTTTAGAACTGCAGCAGCGATGTCCAACATCCAGGAACCACAATATTCTCATCTGTCTAAGGAGGCGCCCGCCAGTCAGACTCCGTTTGTACTAGCTCTAGATGAAGTTGTTCCGACTGTTTCCGTCTCTCGACCTGTGCTGAATGGCGATTGGTCCATCGACCCTCGCAATCCCAAGACTTGGAGTCTGAGATGCCGGATCTATCACACGGCTATACCGGCAATCTACTGTTTTGTGGCGTGAGTCTGCATTCCATGTTATGGCTCTTAGCAATATAGTGCTCTGCTAAGTTGGACCTCAGAACGTTCAACACTTCGGTCTACGCGCCGGGCATTTACCAGCTAGCCGACCAGTTTCAAACGAGCGAAACCCTTGCGATTCTAGGACTCTCTATCTATCTTTTTGGTCTCGGTATGTAAGCAATATGAAATGTCTTCAAATAGTATCTCACATCTAGGAATAATGGCGCTGATGACCATGTTCAGCATTCGGTCCTATGATTGGTGGCCCCATATCTGAAAATTATGGTCGTAAGCCTGTCTATTTATACACGCTGCCAGTCTTCATTCTCGCAACAATGGGAGCTGGTCTTTCCAGAAATGTTGCTGCATTTGTCGTTTGCCGATTCCTTGCCGGCCTAGCGGGCGCGTCCTGTCTTGCCGTCTCAGCGGGCACGGTAGCTGACGTATGGGACATGGCGCTCGGGGGTGGCCTAGCAGCTGTATTGGTGGTACAAATGGGATTTTCCGGAGCATCCATCGCTCCTCTTGTGGGCGGGTATATCATCCAAACTCGCAATGACTGGCGCTGGACCATGTGGGCTGTCCTGATCATGACGGCCCCTCTACTCGCGGCCGTGGTGTGCTCCAAGGAGACATCTAAGAAGCAGATACTAAAACACGAGACAAAACCAGAGGGGTTACCAGATAGGCAGCGACTCCAATTACGGCTCATTCTTCTCCGCCCTATGATGATGCTTTTTATGGAGCCAATTGTGGGTACGTGTGAAAGAAGACGACTTCTTATCATTGATACTGCCTATGGAAACCTTGAATGCTAACTCAAATTACAAATAGTGAGTAATGCTTTATGCAACAGAATCGAAAAATTTCGATTTGATGGTTATTCTGGCAGAGAAGCTTACTTTTTATCGTCTAGGCGTCAATTACAGTCTATAATGCTTTTGTGTATGGTATCTTTTTTGCCTTTTTCCACGGTTATACATATGTCTTCGGAAGGGTGTATAACTTCACAAGCGCGGAGGTTGGATTGACATTCATTGGAATATTTATTGGTGTGACTTTGGCAGTCCCGACTTTTATCGTGGTGAACAAGACTCTATACGCCAAGGCAAAAGCCAAGGCACCAGATGGAAGGCCGCCGCCAGAAGAGAGGCTTTACAGTTCAATACTAGGTTCCATAGGGATTTCAGTCTCCCTATTCTGGTTTGCATGGACGGCACGGGCTGACGTTCACTGGATCGTTCCTACGGCAGCAGGGGCATTGTTTGGCTGGGGTATTGTTTCCTTATTTGTAAGTGTTTCCCGTGAGCCTTTCTTGAACGCGAGATATTTCTAACCGATATAGCTCGGCATGGTGATCTACTTGATCGAGACTTATCAGGCCAACCACGGGGCTTCGGCCAACGCTGCTCTCACGTTCCTTCGTTTCTCTGTTGGCGCCAGCTTCCCCCTCTTTGTGATACAGATGTACGACAGGCTCGGGATTTCGTGGGCCATTAGCCTCATCGGATTTATTAGTGTGGTATTGTTACCTATTCCTTGGGTTTTGTATCGATGGGGTCCCTTTTTGAGAAGCAAAAGCACCTTTGGGCCTTCAAAAATATAAAATGGTAGTACGGGATGATGCTGAGTAGCTCACACCAGAATAATTGTCCTATTATACAGCTAGTATCTAAAATAAAGAGTGAAAATTCAAGATGGCCTAAATCTACGAAAGAATTGTGCGAGCAAAGAGACTCAATGAACCCCCGTTTGTCATCCGAAGGGTGCCACTGTCCTCAGCCACACTGTGGCGTATCAAGTAGTTCAGGAGCGAATGCCAATGTCATGGTAGAAGGCGTCCTGCTTTGGTTCCCGTCCAAGAAAATCCTTCAACATGTCTATTGGATTCCGGCTTCCGCCCGGTTGGAGTATAAGACGCCTGTATCTCTTGCCTACGTCGCTATCTCGGAGGTTGTCTTTGAATGCACTGTGGAAGATGTCTGCCGAATAGACCTGGGAACTTCAAGGTGTCAATTAGAGGTAGTGAAATGACGGATCGCAATAACTCACAAGAGGTAAGAGTAGTAGTTGCAAGCCGAGCCCTCGATAAAGTGTACCGTGGTCGCAAAGTAGTGTCCGTAGTCGAATGTTTCCGTATCACTGGCGCGGATCAAGCCAATTTCTTCCCTTTTCTGGTGAAACCACTGCTTCATATCTGCCATTGATAGTTCGCTCTCCCCATGAATGAGCATGTCGAATTTGGCGAGAACAATCTGCCTCAGGGTCCCCAGAACATCTACGAAACGGGTCGAGGCCAATTTCTCGGCAACTTCTAGCGGCAGCTTCTCTGCCGGCAATTCTGCCTTGTTGTGCTCATTTTTCCAGATTTCGGCGTATTCCTCCGAAATGTAGGAATAGTGCTTGGTGAAGGAGGATAATTGCGAGGGCGTCCAGCACCAGTTCTCCAACATCTGGCTGGGCATTTCAACAAAGTCAAAAGGGCAGCGATGGCCGTGCAGCCCTGCATACCGCGTGCGTGAGAGAAGATCATGCATCCCGTGTCCCAGTTCGTGAAACATTTGAATGACATTGGCGTGCTGTAGCAACGAAGGCCTGTCAGAAGACGGTGGTGGAAAATTTGTCAAGAGTGCGGTCGCGCATTGATGCCGTTCCCCATTCACGCCTGAAAACCCCGGGTGGATGCTGAAGTTTGCGCATGTTGAATACTTTCCCTGTCTTGCGAATAGATCCGTGTACAAGTACCCGATGAAATCATTCTGGCTTTTGGCATCCCGTTCCCAGACAGTGAACATCTTGACATCTTTGTGCCAGGTCAGAGTAGCTGGGTCTACAGCAAGCCTTTGGCACACATTTTTGCCCACCTCGTAAAATTTGATTGCGAAGACATCCTCGAATATCTCAAGCATCCCACCGAGGACAGGTTCAACTGGGAAATACTCAGAGATCTGGCGGTTGTCCACCTCGTATAAACGTTCCAGGTGCTTTTCATGATAGTAGTCCTTGTCCCAAACATAGAACCCGTCCGAACCGTCGTCGTGCGACTCTGCTCGCTTGATCCCTTCAAGGTTTCGTAGTCCTTCCCGGCCCAAAGGCATCAAAGCGTCCTGGAGTTGAGTCAAGAATGATTCAATATTGGCGGGGTCACCAGCCATCTTCCTCTCTAGAGTCTTGGTCGCAAAGCTTTTGGAACCCAGAAGCCTCGCCTGCTGAAGTCTCAGTCGTATAACGTCGGCGAATGGGTCCAAAGCAGCTGAAACCGAGTGCTCATACTGCTGAAGTATCGCTTTTCGAACACAGCTGTCATGTACTTGTGCCAAGACTGTTCTTTGCGTGGAGTGCTTGAGGGGAACACCGAATGTTTCAACGCCGGAAGTTTCGTCCATGTTTCGTTGAAAAGAATTGAGCACGCTTGATGTCACGCCGGCGAGATTTTCTCGAGTCAACCAGATTACGTCCTTGTTATCGATGAGGACACGATTGAAATCAGCACGCCGAAGCGCAATGTCTTCCTTGATCTTGGTGAGTTTGGCGCTGTTTTCCATATCAAGTTCGCAGCCCGCGCCCACGAAATTGTGATACCATTTTTCAGTAAGCCTCTTTGACTCCGCATCCAAGTTAATGCTGTGTAGCTGGCTGTAGACTACTTGGATCCTCTGGAATATGTCTTTTCGAGAAAACCATGATTCATAGATCTTTCGGCAACGCATGTGGGCTTTGCTTGCCTCGAGACGCAGTTGAGCATCACTCGAGGCAGCCTCCAGGAGCCCAGCTCGCCCACCACAAATTGCCAACGGACCCTCGGCGAGAGCCATTGGGAGAATGGCGCTGTCAAACGTGGCATCTTTCGGCTGGCAGGTAAGTACAGTCTCGATGGCGGTTTTCAGTGCTGATTCAGCCTCGAGAAGGTTTTGCGTCAGAGACTCAGCAGTATCCGTAAATGTTGGCAAGTCCAAAGGGAAAGGAAAACCAGAAAATGATGGCTCCATGATAATTTGAACAGGTAACTATGTGTACTTGAGAATAGTCAGGTAAAATGAATGGACAGACAACTATCAATATTGAACAGACAAAATAGCAGAGGCAATTTTTGAACAGTACTTATAGGATCTCTTTCAGTAGGGCTATATAATTATCACAGCTAAAGTTCTTGTAGCACATGTCAGCGAATACTGATATTATATCATTGAAAGAATTAGTGCAGGGCGTGATCACATCCTTCTGCAGATGCACCTTGTGATCATGCAGGTAAGAGGGGTTCGCAAGTCTTATTGGAGTAGCTAAGAGCAGATCTAGGATATTTGCTGGATATAGGGCATCTTATTTCCGAACTGTATGCCCCTGATGCTGTTTAGCGAGCCGTATGACAGTTGGTCTGAGAATGAATAATCTGTTCTCATATAGCTTTCATATCTGCTTTTATCTTTGTACAATTATAGAAAGTGGCCTTTGAAGCACATGTAAGAGAATCAGTCTGGTTGCACTGCCAAGGTTTCCCCAGCATTACAGGTAGTGTGTAAAAGAAAGAACTAGCGCCTACAGTCCACTAAACACACCTGTAGGCGCCTTTGAGTGCTGTAATAGTCGTGTCCGCCACCTAGCATGAGCCTCCACCTTGTACAATCAGGCCGGCACGCAACAAAGGGAATCCCACACCAGTTTCTTCGGATCGCGGTAATCATTGATTCCACGGATCCCACTCGGCTTCTTGTTCCCTTTGGTTTTCCACGGCCCGGATGCACCGCGATGTAGTACCTGCAGGGTTCCTTGTAGCATTGTGATTGGAAGAATTTTACCCCTCTCCCTCGCACTCCTCTGGTCCGAAGTACTTTAATTAACCAAAATCTAGATGATAAATGCTTCTCCTTTTTTTCTTTTTTTTTTCTTAAAAAAAAAAGAAGCGGAAAACAAAAAAGAGACAATTAGGACACAGCAAAGAAATCACGGGGAAAAGAAATAACATATAATCAATAATAAAACCAATCCAAGCACGCGCATAACCTTCTGTATTCCCGGGATGAGCGCCAGCTACATATTCCTTAAGGTACTTCTGTATCGTTCCATGCCCTGTCAGCACGCCGTTCGACTCGGAGCAACTACTTGATCCTTTACCAACTCGAACGCAACAGCGAAAGACTAGGATGCGGAAACATCAAGACACATCTGCTGGCGATGCTGAGAAGAAGCGAAGACAAAACCGAATCGCACAACAGAGTTCCCGGTCAAGACAAAATGCATATGTACGCAATCTGGAGGCTCTTGTCGAGGCCGTCAAGGTCAAGTGCAACGAGGACGATGCGAGCAAGTATTCAAAACTTCTCAAGGCGCATTTGCAGCTTATAGAGGAGAAGCGGGAACTGGAAGACGCATTCCTGCGATTAAGGCAGAGGTTGCTTAGCATTGGAAACATGTCAGTTACGGCAGCGGGTAAGTAAATGGTCGTCGCCCCACGCCGGCCACTGGGGAAATTGCTAGTATCTCACAGAGTAAATAGAAGATCCGAGCTTTAGTCGATATCTTCATACTCAATCAAGTGACGACACGCCTACTACAGACTCTGGGCCGACAGACTCAACGCCAACCGCCCAGTCGCCGCATTCAATCAATGAAGCTGCCACCGCGGGACTATTGCCCCAAAGGATGGGCCCCTTGCATGCTGACACGGGCGTTGGGCAAGCCAACGAACCTGAATTGACCCACCCGACGATCGCGCACCATCATACTCCTGCATCAGCGCAAAATGGACTTTTTGTCCCCGAAATTCATTGGTCGGCCGACACGGGCGATACAGTACCAGACCAGAGCATTGACTTACAGGCAATGACACCAACGCCTGGCCTTGTAACGATGCAGGCTCGTATACCAAGACCCATTTTTGAGACCTATACATCCAATACAGGCACTATCAGCAACGCCGCCATTTTCGCACAGCAAGTTTACTTCGCGGCAAGTAAAGTGCTGACAGGAGCATCGACAAATAGCCTCATTCTGCCGATCGGATACAAGCAATCACCCCATCCACCAGGAGATCTCGTTAACGAAATCGCATCTAGCGCTGTCGAAGTAATCGGTTCATTAGCCGGTTTGAATACTTATATATATGGCGTTGTAGGTTTTCTCAGTTTTTATAATGATGTGATCATTTGCAAATTTACTAACGCCTTTGCTGATTGGAACCGTAGAGATTCGCAAATTGTATGGAGCAGGTCTTGCGCTGGCGCTTGACCAACGACCAAGAGGTACGAATGGCCATATCCGAGCCCTTTCGGCCTACGACTCTGCAGCGCAAAACGCCGACACACCCCGTCGTCATAGACTTTATCAATTGGCCGTCCATAAGAGACCAAATGATTCTCATGTCGAACAAGATCGATCTGGACGCCATGTGCCGCGATCTCGTTTTGAACACGGTGGTGGAGATACCGCACCGTCAAATCGCAGTTCGTGTGCACGATGTACTGTTCCAACATGTCCTACCACGTATCCAAGGATGCAGTACACATGGCGAAATATCTATGCTTTTCAATTCAAAGTGGATATACCTGACAATACCTTCGTCAAGTCAAGGCCCGCGTCACGGCACAGCCTCGCCCATCGAGGATGCCCTTGCTATGGAGATTGCGAACCGGATTCAGCGGCGCAGCAATGGAGCCCCGACTGTACAAGACGTCAATAGCATGCTACCTATACCAGGAGCCATGGGACTTAGCACTGGAAGCGTACTTACAACCCTTCTTCCTGGTATGCTCAACGACTTTGGCATTGGCAGGATTGAAACATGGAAAGTGTCACATGACTTTGCTAGAAAGTATCCATACATCAACTGTTCTTCCGGTATAGCGTCTACAAAGCCAAAATACAGAGACTCATGTACTAATACGAGACTTAGTAATATCGGCGTATGAGATGGTTCCTTGTCCCGTGGATCTAGGGACCACTGAATCCTGTTCAGACCCGCCGAGCTGGGAGGAAATATCTTTCTAATTGAAACCTCTTACGAATCAAATGATAGCTTACACAAGGACCGGGTATACTATGAGAGGAAAACAAAGATTGTTTGTTTCATGAGACTGGCTTCTATTCTCAACTCTTCTAATCAAGAAGCCAAGTCGTGAACCATATCTGCCATCTTTCTCACTCTGGCTTCTTCCGCAGGGAGATCAGGTTGAAATTTCGTGAAGCGTTCGTCCAGCTCAGCGCTATTAATATAAGGGCTTAAATCCGGCTCATCCGACATCATGTCCTTTGTAAAGCCAAGTCCCATAAACTCCCACATGTTCAAGGAATTGTCATATTGGATCTCAAAGTTTTCAAAGCGCGGCTGCTTCATGGCTTGACAAAAGTGCAGCGAGCTCCCGGGCCAGATGGCATTGACGCGGCCGGTTCTGCTGTCCTTGTACCAGGAGCGGCACTTTGGATCATCCCAGGCAGTGCCAGCCACCCACGCCTGGGTGTGCTCATTGAAAGCATCCGTCACCGATTGTTTGGGGCAAAGGGAGTGAATATGCTCGCGTTGAACCTTTTGCACCATTTGTACAATATACTTGGCGACGGCCTGCAGGGCCCCCATGACGCTGCCGTTGGCAATGGGGAAGGACGGGCCCATGACGGTAAAGTAATTTGGCATGTCCGGCACCGCCACGCTCAGGTAACCCTCTGGAATGCTTTTCCACTTGTCCTGGAGCGATACGCCATTTCTCCCGATGATGGGGTAGCGCGGTCGGAAGCTGACGTCGAACCCCGTGGCACAGATGATGGTGTCCACCTCGACCTCGTCGCCGTTGGAGCCAATGATGCTGTGGGGCGTCACCTTTGTCACGGCGCATCGGTGAATATTGACGTTGGCTTCTTGCACGGCACGCATATAGGGGTTTCCAGGAGTCAAGCGGCGGCAGCCAACAGCAAAATCGGGAAGTAGCTGCTGGAAGATCTGGTCGTCGGTAATGTATCGCCTCATCCGATCAGTAAAATGTTTGCGGATCATCTTTGCCTCTGCGCTGTTGACCATGAATGCCTTGAGACCAGCGACTGTATTCAGCTTGTCTTCAATGAATTTTGCCTTGTTGACGAGCGCATCGGCATTTTCCCTCAGGATTGATTTGTCCTCGTCGGAATCTAGCATGATTAAGTTTGGAACGATGCGATTGTTTTGACTGTGGGTCGACTCACAGTGAAAATTGTCCCCTGCGTGGTCGGCAAACTCGGCAAACCATACTGGTGTTCGTACAAACACATCCAACTGCTTAACATGTGGTTGCATGGTCGGCACGACTTGGATCGATGTTGCACCGGATCCTATGACTGCCACACGCTCGTCTTTCCATTCGTCCTGGCCATAATCGGCGGGCCATCTGGCAGTATGGATCAGACGGCCCTTGAATGAATGCAGTCCTTCAACATCGTCGGGGAACTTCCAAGAGTTCAATATCCCGCCTGCTCCAATCAGAATATCGCATGTGTCTGTTCTGACCTCGCCAGTGACGGAGTCCTGGATCTTCAGGTGCCATTTTCCTTTCTCCTCGTCCCAAGTACATCCCATGACGGCAGAATTGAAGGTGATGTACTTTCTGAGCTCGAAACACTCGACTACTCTGCTGAGATAGCGAAATATATCCTCGGATGGACTCAGGTATTTCGGCCAGTCCGGATAGAGAGCAAATCCAAATGTATATGCATGAGATGGCACATCGCAAGCCGCACCAGGGTACCTGTTCTGTAATGTCTGTTAGTCCACAAGCAAATCAAGACCAATGAGTAGGTATAGAATTTGCATACCTCCAGCCATGTGCCACCAATGTCGCCATTCTTCTCATAGACTACGTGCTCGAGGTTTTCGCCATGCTTCTGAAACAGGTATGACAGAAAGATACCACTGATGCCTGCACCAATCGTCACGACCTTGACGTGCTTACTACACGCATCCAGGATAACATCGGGGATCTGGTATTCTCCTTTCTTATGGCCAATTCTATAACCGTATTTGCCTCCCGGCTGGTCGTTCGGAATACATTCGTCTGCGCCGTTTACTTTACTGGGATCGAAGACCATCTTGCTGAAGTTTGCGGAACCCTGGCAATAACAATAGTTGTAGAATTTGGAGAGAATGAAGGAGATGGCATGGATTGCATATCGCATTGGTCTCGTACTTGCGCCGGCTACCTGCTTTAAGTATGGCCGAACATCCCAGATACGAGATATAACCGCGGGCACATGTGTGATGGGGGAGGCAAGTCCGAGTTCTGCCCACCGTGCAGTCTACATCTGAAGTCAATTCTGTCGGCAGAAGCGGATTCAACTTGGTTGTTCCTATTGTTCTTTTGGAAATGCATCACCCGTACCAAAGATGATTGATGCTTTAGCATGTTCCGGTCGTATAGTACGAATGTGTCAGCAGTCCCTTGAATGCTGCTTTTCCGTGGTCCGGAAAACGACGCCAACGGGGACGGGTTAGATTGTTGTGACTCCGAAGTAGGGCCAAGGGGACTGGAGAACTCCCATAGAAAACATACTAGAATTTGATAAGAAGCAATGATGCGGTGTGTTCGATGATTTCAGATTCGACATTTGTAAACACAACCCTCTACTTTGCTTGCATCTCATGTGCGCCATGAGTTCTCGGCTTGGCTTCTCAACATTCCACAATGTCATTGACGAACAGCTCTCCCCTACCGTAAAAGCACGACGATGCACGAACCCTTCGACTCTGGAGGATAACCCAGCTGCGCCTTTATCGACCCAGGACGACGTAGACCGCGCCGTCGCAAATGCAAGGAAAGCCTTTGCAACCTGGTCACAGGTACCACTCGATGCCCGGAAGCAAGCGGTCATTGACTTTGCCCATGCTCTATCGAAAGAAGTCGATGGCTTTGCCGAGATGCTTACTAAGGAGAAAGGCCGCCCGGTAAGTCCTTGTCAGCTTTAGGGGAGATTTCGCATGTGCCATTCAAGATTGAACACAAGCTTACAATTAAAGCTTGTGCTTGCTAAAGCTGAAGTCCAAATCGGGGTTCAGTGGTTGATACAACAAGCTCAGATGGACTTTAGGGACGAGGAGGTCTGGGAAAAGAGTGACAAGACGATCCTTACGAGATACACCCCATTAGGTATTGCTGTCGGTATCGTGCCATGGAACTGTAAGTATAGCTTCCCACAGATACAATTGTATCACTCGCTGAACAAGAAAATAGTCCCAATTACTATCGGTAAGTGCTTGCCTAGACCTCGAGGTCAGAATGTGCACATTAACAAGTGACTAGCATGTGGCAAGATTGCACCCGCCCTCATAACTGGCAATGTCTTTATCATGAAACCTTCGTAAGCCTTTAATTTGCGCTTTACCAGCCATAGATGCTGATGTTCATAGTCCATTCACTCCATACTGCGCTCTCAAGCTTTGCGAGTTCGCTCAGGCTTACTTTCCGCCAGGTGTCTTTCAGTGTCTTAGCGGTGACGATGATCTTGGGCCAATGCTCACCCACCATGAAGGGGTTGACAAGATCAGTTTTACCGGCTCCACCGAGGTGGGAAGAAGGGTGATCAAAGCTTGTAGTGAGACCTTCAAGCGGGTCACGCTCGAACTGTGAGCTACAGCAAATGCTCTTGTGGGATTACGATACTGACCTTGACTCAAGGGGCGGCAACGATGCGGCAATTGTTTTTCCGGATGTTGACATTCCCACCACAGCCGCTGCGGTACGTTTTTATCCGATAAATTCGGGTCGAATATGACGATTGATCATTCTGTTTCTTACCACCAGCTTGCACAATTGTCATGGTTCAACTCCGGTCAAGTAAGTAATCGTCGAAAGATTGAGACTTTTTTTTTTTTTCTTTTTTGGGTTCTACAACTAAGAAAACGTTCCAGGTCTGTGTGGCCGTCAAGCGCATCTATGTGCACGCATCTATATACGACGAATTTCTGAAGGCGTTTACGGCGATCACGCAATCTCTCGTGGTAGGCGACGGCTTTGTCGATGGAACCACGATCGGACCAGTATCAAACTCGCTTCAATACAATCGAGTGCGCGATTTGATATCAGATGTCATTTCTCAGGGACAGTCCGTTTCCTATGGCGGCCGGGCGCATGCATCGTCCAAGGGAAACTCCATTGGGTATTTTATCGAACCAGTCATTGTGGACAACCCGCCAGACACTTCTCGCGTCGTTCAGGAGGAGCCATTTGGTAGGCCGACACAAAGCTATATTACGCTTACAGCTAGATGACTGACTTGTACAGGCCCCGTTGTTCCTCTAATGCAGTGGAATACTGAAGATGAAGTCATTCAAAGGGCTAATGCGACCAAGTTTGGTCTCGGAGCTTCGGTTTGGTCCGCAGACATTTCAGTGGCCAAGCGCGTAGCGAGAAGACTAGAGGCAGGTACAGTGTGGATCAATAACCACATGCAATTGGACCCTACGGTTGCGAATGGGCCGTACAAGCACTCTGGCCTTGGTGTCGAGTATGGAGTTGCGGGCATGAGAAGCTATTGCAACGTGCAATCGATCCATGTCTCAAAGCCTGAACTTGCATGAACACTAAACAGATAGGTTATAGTTGAAGTGTCTATTATTTATTGTTTCCTGGTCGTGCGCACATGTGGTGGAGGCCGGATATTCATTTTCCTGAATGAGCAATGATTTGTATTAGTAACTGGTAGGGATACTAGCGCGTGACATTTTTCTTTAAATTCTATTGATCCGCCTGATTCCATTCGACCCAGTAAACGCAGCAGCAGCATCAGTGTCCCACTTCATGTTGTAAATGTGCATTTGGCTCATCATGCTTGTCAATCGCCTTTAGCAGGTAGTAAGTGTTGAGAAGCAGAGAAAAACCAAAGGAGGCGGCTGGAACCCAAAATGCCATCGCTCCATGCCAAGCAAAAGCCCCTCGCTTGCTACAATGAATACCCAAGGCTCCAAGAAATCCCAGGGGCCAGATCGAAGAGGCATAGGCAACCCAGCGAGGAAATAGGGGAACTTCCCTTGTATCGCTCAGTATCGCCCAGGAAAAGGCAAAGTTGGAGCCGATAAAGGTGACAAAAGGGATCGCCGTAATCATCCACGTCATGTCGTTGAGAAGAAGCGTGAGCTCAAGAGGTCGATCAAGCCGGAAAACCGTGATGCAGAAGAATAATGATGGGAGAGTGATGGAGTAGGCAGAAATGGTACCGCTGATGGACTGGCAGGCAATCATGGTGTGCGTGCAGCCCGGAATTCTCGCCATTTGACCAGATGTAGCCGCCACAAAGGCACAGTAAAACATGCCGGTGAATTGCATCAGACCGGCGCCGGCCTTGAATCCAGCTTCATGTGAGCGATAGTGAGCGACTACCTCTTCTGCTGTGCGATAGGGCGCAATGGGAGGTAAAAGGTCTGCAGTGAGAAAGAGTAAAAAGAAGAAGAATGCAGAAATAGGTCCTGACCAAACGCAAAGCTTGTCAAACGTTTTGGCGCTTGGTTTTCCTTTCAAGTGCGCTCCAATCCGAGATGACAGAGCATTTCGGCTGGAAGCTGACAGGGGCTTTTCGGGGCCCATTTTCGCTTCTTTTTTTTTTAGAAGAAGTGAACAAAAAATGAACGATGGGCAGTACGTTTTCTTAAAATCTGCATTACTAGTGACATACACAAAGACCCGGATCTGAAGTTACTCGGAGAGTTGATTGTTACAAGCTCCAACATTTGGCATTGTGGTACGGATTCGTTTTCCGAGATGTTCAAATGTCATTGTCTGCTAGTGTGCCGATTATGTTCAGACCGCTGCGTAGCCGGTACAACTGGTAAGGCGATCACAAGCACACCATTAACCGCGTTGTTTCCAAGAAAACCGACTTAAATTTGTCGCTTTTGAACCCGAACTTCCGACTGGAATCACATCTTGTCTGGCCATTGCAAAGTAGTCTTATACGTGACTAGCAACTATACCAGGCCGTCCTTGGCAGGTTGACCTACATTTTCTGGTATTCAGCACCGTTTAAGACAGTAGTGAATCAAGTTTCAAGATGACGACAAAATCAGATACCCTAATTGATGAGAACTACAAATTCATCAAACAGCAACTTGCAGCTATTGATCCCGCGGATATCGTCGCTCAGCGCCTTGTCCTAGAGACTTTACACAGCAGCGCATTAGAGCCACTGGACGTCACTTATGAGGAGGTACGGTGTCCCGGCACCACACGGCCGGCCATTTGGTGCAAACCATTAGTCGCTTTTTTAAACCATGCAATTCTATATACGCACGGAGGCGCCGGGTTTGCGGGGTCCCCACAGAGTCATCGCAAGATTGCCGGCCATATCGCCAAGGCATCTGGCTGTCCAGCTTTAGTGATCGACTATCGTCTCGTTCCCGAACATCCCTTTCCAGCTGGACTCCTGGACGCACTGGCGGCCTACAAGTGGATGCTCGAGACCATACCCGCCCACAATATTGCCGTGGTCGGCGACTCCATGGGCGGTAATCTAGCAATCAGCCTAGTTCTCAAGGCTCGAGAAACAGGCCTTGCACCACCATCGGCTATAGTGGCAATCTCGCCATGGCTAGATATGGAACAGTTTGGTACTTCTATTCGAGACAATATCGATCGCGATCTCTTGGCATCTCCTGGCACCTTTGCCCAAATTTCTAAACTTTACTTAGGAGAGACTTGTCCACAGGACCCATTTGCGAATCCTCTTTACGGCGAATACCATGGATTTCCCCCAATGTTTCTGACCGCTGGAGGAGCGGAGATGCTGGCTGATAATGCTACAAGGCTTGGGGAAAGGGCCCAAGCAGCGGGGGCTCACGTCGAGGTGGAGGTAGTACCAGATATGCAGCACGTTTTCCCTTTCATGGCGGGTAATTCCAAAGTGGCAGACAGGACTGTTGAGAAGATTGGTCACTTTATAAAGATCAATTTGAATCTGTTGTGAGAATGTAAGCCTTGCCCTTATAGCTCAGCAATCAGTAGACAAGAGTTTGCGCAATGGATACTTTCAGTGACCAGATAGCTATGTTAATAGACATAACGGAAGCCGACCTTTTCCTTGTCTGTCATGTCGTCCAACATGTCGTCCGCACTCAATTCTGTAGCACCACTCTCAATCCTGTCCCGCTGCTTGTTTTCGAACCAGCATCCCGCTGCATAGATGCCCATGCATACAATCGCCCCGATTTCGCAACCCAAGATGGCGTTATATCCAGTGGTATAGGATGGAGACTCGCTAGACTTGAATAACTGCGGTGCTATGATGTTGGCAATACAATAACTGCTGAAAACCATTGCGTTGACAGTAAGCTTCTTCGTATGGCCCGATGTATTTGCCAGAGGAAGTGAAATGACTTATGTGACGTTAGCCAAGTGCCTCGATAGGTGGGTATCATGGAATATGACTTACTTGTTGGATAAGCACCCCAGAAAAAGTAGAAGAAATAGTACGAAACGAGAAGTCCGTTCTTATTATCGGAAGGGAGTTCTGGATCTGGTTAGTAATGATTTGCTAAAAACACAAGGACCGAAGAAAGCTTACTCCGTATAAGTATGGAACAAATCATCGGCACAAGACAGCAGAGAGAGCCCCATAGACTTCGTTTGTTTGTAGTGACGCGAGAAAGTCCAGACACAATAAAGGCAGACACAGTCTGGAATACGCCGGTCGGCATCCCGAGAAGAGTGGTCTGCAAAGCTCCATAGCCCATTCCAGAGACGATCTGTGCGGCAAAGGTAACAAGGCCACCGTTGGGGATGTTGAGCAAGATGGATATCGCGACAATCAGCCATGACTTCCAATCCAGGAACCCTTCCCTGACCTGGTACCATTTGAATTGCTGGCAGAGTTAGTGGAGGCAATGTTATCACGAGAGAGGGGAGCCAACCTTGTTGTGCATGCCAGTCATATTTTCCTTTAGCCTATCAACGGCAATGTATTTCTCTTTCTCATTCAAGAATCCGCCACTTAATGGAGAGTCTGGCAAGAAGAGGAAGAGTACTATTCCCCAAACAAAGGTAAATCCTCCAAGAGTTATGAAGAGTAGTCTCCACGATGCAATTCCGGTAGTTGCATGGCCAATGCCCCATGAGACCAAGCCAGTAATGACCTTTTTCACATGTTAGCAAAAAGCATATTTGTGTCACGATGATGAGAGCCAAAGTACTCACCGATGATAATGATGTGAACCAACTGAAATCTGTCAGCGCGTTTGGAGAGAGAGTGATATAGGCCGGAACCGTGAGTAGGTAGAAGTCAACTTACACTGTCACACGAAGTGTTTGTTCCGGTTTTGTGTACCACATTACGGTAATAACACTCATCATGGGGTACAGAGGAGCTTCAAAAAATCCCATGATGAAGCGCAACGTCATTATACCAGCCGCATTTTGGGTAGCGCCCATTAACGAAACAAGTACACCCCACATCAAAACTGTACCCGATAGCAGTTTGGCGATTGGTAGGCGCTGCATGACGGGACCAAACGGCCATTCACCAAGAAGAAAGCCAAAATAGAAGATTGATCCGACTGTAAATCATCAGTAGATGAAAGAATAGTGTTGTTGGTTTGTCTGAACACTCACCCCAGTTGTACTGTTGACCGACCAGGTGGAGGTCTGCAGTCATACCATAGAGCGCAGCATTGGAAATAATGATTTTCTTGCAAAGGGTTAGCCAAAAAAAAAAAAAAAATTATGTCACTGATCTTTGACTTGCATCAATTGCTGACAAGTTGGTCGTGATCCACATCAAAGGCATCAATCTCCAATCAATCTTGCGAACCAACTTCTTTGCCTCGTCGAGGGAATAGGACCCGTATTGGCTGGCATGGTCGTGAAGGTACTGCGCTGCCTCGTTGGATTGTTCGGCTTGTTTCTCGTCCGAGATCCCTTCTTCAATGAACGTAGTGTCGGCAACCTTGGCTCCAATCTCTTTATCCTGCTGGGGTGGTAGAGATGGCATCGTTTACCTAATGACAAGCAGTTCTTCACAGACTCTGGCCTCAACTTTGTGGAGTGAACAGGAATGAAGCCGGAGAAATCAACGAAGCAGAAGAATGCCAAGATACGGACTGCAAAAATATGAACTCAGACAGTTTCTCGATCGATCTGCACAAGCGACCATGAATAATATGTCTTAGAGGGGCTGAGTCAGTACCCAGCGGGGTGTGAATTCTTGTGACACGCGAGAACTCCAGAGAAGGGATCAATCATCGAGGTGATTTAGAGATATCGAATGAAAGACAGGGTGGCATTTCTACGGGATCAAATATTCTTCCACCACAGGCAGAGCATTTGGTATTGGCACATTCCAGGGGCCCCGGACGCACTAGATAGTAGCAGGACTGTGAAGATCGGGAGCTTCACTTCCTACCGCTTCATCTCCTACCTCATTCAGGGCACATTAGTAGTGCATTGTCCAGCCAGCAGTGCTGATAGTGGTCCGGTCAGACATGATTTGGAAGGTTTCTACCTATATCTTATCTTATCTTGTTTGCTGGCCATTGTACCTGGTGTATCTTTTGAAGCATACTGAGAGCTGGGGTGGTCGATTCGGTTTCATCCATGCACAGGAGCTCACCTTGTACAGACTATTCTAAGAATCAAATCAGATTCTGTCGGACATTCGGTCGAAAATGGTCCTGATATCAAAGTGCGCCATTGTATCATATTTGTGTATGATTGTCGGACACTCGGACGCAATGTCCGAAGATCTTTGATAACGGCATGTTCGGCCTCCAAGAGCGGAGCACTTAGTGCACAATGTTGGTACCCCGGTTTGGGGAGCTCCCCACTATTCCGGAGTGTTGTGCGGGCGGCTTGTTTAGATAACTTGGGCTGTTATTAATCAATCCTCATGCCCGAAGAAAGAGCCATCTTGACGGCATTGATGTCCGGAGTACTATTGTTGATATTGAGGTATCTAGATGGATTTGAAAACCCTGCTGTCGTGTCTGGCTTGGATGGACTATAGAAGTCCCAAGCCTGCCCGTAGCAAGACAAGCTAGTACACTGGACTCTGTTCCTAGTTCATGCGCTCCGCAACTTTGTGCAACGTATTTCCAGCCCAATAAATCAGCGACGCACAACCAATTGCCACTACGAAACCAAGGTCTAATCTTTCGCCTCTAAAAAAGTATTCAGCATGCCTCACGCCCAAGGCCTCAAGATTGCCATTCTCATCAATGAGTTCTCCAAGCAGACTCAACCGATGAAAGATGCATATCGCACAATCCTAGCCACTGTTGAGCCAGACGCGACGATTGAATTTTTCGATCCGATAAATGCCCAAGAGTATCCCGATGTGGCGAAATTTGATCTCATTGTCCTGAGCGGCGGCAGCGTATTTGTCATGGAAGAGGTCCCTTGGGTCATGAAGATGCGGGCCTTTATCAAGTCGACAGTAGAAACGCAACCCACCAAGAAGATGATGGGCATTTGCTGGGGCCACCAGATCATCAATGTCGCCCTCGGAGGTATCGTGGAAGAAATGGGCTCGGCCGATGTAAGATGACTTTTGATTTCAATAGTATTGTGTTATTTGGCCAAGTCTAATAACTGCTTGCAGGTTGGCGTCCATACAATACCTCTGACAGAAGAGGGCAGTCAGTTCTTCCAGGGTACCACCCTTCAGAGCTCTAGCGAGTTCAAAATTCAGCAATTTCACAAACGCGACGTCACAAAGCCAGCCCCCGGCCTCATTCCCTTGGCCAAGAATAATGAAGCTTTTATTAATGAGCAGAACACCATCATCACGTTTCAGGGTCATCCCGAGATGAATGTAGAATGGGCTTATACAGCCGCTTCCGGCTTTCCTGCCTACATTGCCCTCACAGGGTACACGATGGAGGAGATATTAGAAAGCGTCAAAATTCCTACTGATGGTGAGGCCATTTGGAGGCGCGTTTTGGAGTGGGTAAGGGAGTAGATTTATGTAGAAGATATAAACATGTCTGTCCTTGACATGAATTTCTCGGACAGTGGCCATGGAATATCCTTCTGTGGCGGCGTTGTCAATGTTAGGAGAACGCTCAATTATCAGGATTGACCCAAGGATCTCCCAAACCAAAGTACTCCTGCCCAAAGTCCATTTGCTCATTGTACCAAGTACCCGGCTCTAGTCCTTCATGGAATCGTCCTCCAAAGTCCTCTTGTCGGTGGGCTGGAGGCGACGGCTGAGAACCCGCCACAGTCGAATTGATGAGTGGTTGATGGGCAGTGCGGCGGTTGCCAACGGCCCATACCGGCCGCTTTTGGCGGAGAATTTCTTCAATCATGTCGATAGTTCGATAATGCGCACCAAGATACCTTACTTGTTCCACAAGTTTTCCCAAGTCTTCCAAGTCTCTGGGTAGTGGCCATTTATAAATAGATGCCGAGAGATCGTTGGTTAGCGGGACCAACTTTGAGACAATCTCAAACGCATCGCGGTATGGTTCTGCCTCTCGCCACCTTTCGGCCAAGAGAACTAAATTATTTGAGCACGTACGAACTCCTCTCGATGCATATGACGGCTCAAATTCGTCAGACCTCATATGCGGCGGGGTAGTCCAGAAACAATACAGAATCGTGATACCTGCTTGGAATTGTGACAACACCTGAATCGAATTGTTAAAACCAAGATTGGACAGGAAGCGGGGATGTATCAATCTACTCACTGCAAGCCAGGAGTGGGCAATCTGCCGGCTTCTTTGTATCTGCTGGAACGTGATGCAGGCATTGCAACAAGCGATAATTGCTTTGGCGCCCACTGCATGTCGTACCTCGTCGTTGGAGCCCGATGCGAGTCCAACGATACTGTAATAAGCCACCATTCTGAACCAGTTCCGACCACCATATCCTGGCTTGTCGGTAGGCATGGGTATGGATGCTTGCCATTCTTCCAACTCCTGGCAGAATTGGGAGCGCATCCGGTCCAACGCCAACTGTGACGTGGACGGTCCCAATGAGGGGCTCGAACACGTGCTGATGATCCGCGACTGTATTTTTCTTCCATATGTCAAATGATGCGCAACACAAACCTCGCTCTTTTCACATTGAGTGGCGAAGTCTTGGCTCTCGGGTGGGGTGATGGCCTCTGGTGTCAATCTAGGGTTGACGGAAAACATCTGAAATTGTTCAGCCCTGGGAGAGGGGGCGATGGGTACATATTGTCTTACCTGCACAGTGATGAATTCGTCCGGGATAGAGACAGGATGCCCAAAGGCTATGGCAACCCCGCGATCAAGACCATAGCAGCACCACCATATGCGTCTCCTCATCTGCTCTGACTGTGAATGTTCGTGCAGAGACCTATCCTTGCGTGACGACTTGCGATGTAGCCCTGCGGTGATGGCAGTACGAGTGGCGGCAGAAGTGTGTTGTATGATAGCATTTGAAGATGAGCTGTGCAAGGCATGCATGGTGAGCAGAAGCAGGAACACGGTTTCTCTCACCAGGTCCTTGCCAGAAAACAGCTTTGGAAGGTAATACTTTTCGACGTGGGCATAAAGTACCTCGGTACGCGTGGGATTCTGTCGCGTGTTACCATCAAAGATTAGTGCGCCTATGCTTAATACCATGCAAAACACACATTGTTGAAAATCGTCGAGTTCAGTACCCAAACGCCCCGCCTTCCACGCGCTGTAGAACTTGTCTAGCTCCGTTTTACAGAGGAATGGATACTGAGGGTGGACATATGTGAGATAGGTCTCGAACAGCGAGCGGGCGTCGGCCTCACTGAGCAAATCGAACGGCCCTTCTTTCCCAGAGTCCGTTCCAAGGTTGCAATTGCCCTGTACCAAGTTCGGATAATCACGATACTTTCTTGGATAAGGTGCAGAAGTGGTTGGTGGCAGCGGAGATGGATTCTGCGTCTCTCGTGGCGATGAATCCAACGCCCCGAAAGTTGGCAATTCAGGTTTGCTCAGAACATGAGATGCAGCCTGCATTTGCGAGTTCTTGTGTCTTGCTGTCTTCAATGCATATGGCTGCTTTGGCGAGACGTTGCGTCGCAAAGATGCTGGGCTAGCAGAAGATGCCTTTGGAACCTGCACTTGCTCATCGGTATTGTGACCCGGCTCTTGATGTGGCGAGCTCTCTTGCGGACTGAGCTGCGGCGACTCGAAATTGATGTCTGGCAGCGTTTCGTGATCCTGGAGGGTATCGACACTCGCCGCTCCTTGGTTGTCCAGCCTCTTCTCTAGCAGAGCTAGCCTCCGAAGCAGGGCATTCGTGTCAATGCTACATCGGCAGATGAGCAAATGCCATGCGCGGTTTTGTAAGAGATATTCAGGGGTACTCACTTTGATAGCTGGGATGCCCTCTGCCCCTTTTGTGGTATGCATTCTGGTGACCAGATTTGGATTTAGGACTTCGATCTAAAGAAACGACCCGTGCGGGACAGGACTGACCTTTTTTGGCATGAACGCAATGTCCGCATCGCGGACGTACATTGTCGCACTTATGAGGAAATCAGTAAATCTTCGGGCAAAAACATTAATGAAAATGTCTTGCTCAACCTTTTGCTTCCGATCACGACATCTTTGACATGCAAGGACTCGTTTGGACAGTGATCCAGTGGACCTTCTCCCCACCCCCGCAGGGCGTTCAGCAGGAGACTTCTCCATCAGGCTTGATATCTAGGCGCAGCTTCGGACGGTAGACACATTCAGAGAAGAGCACTGTCGCGATATTGCGTTTATCGGACAAAATCAATGCGTGATCTCCCTATTCAAGGTCTGGGTGGGAAATGTGCCATGGGTACAAGGCACGTACTCAGTGTCTGGGGCATGAGCGTATCTACCAGACCGAGATAAGCGTTGGTAGGTACCTACTTATCTGCAACGACGATCGGCGCTGTCCCTCACCATATTCTCCACTTTACTCATTCACCTATTCTCTACTCTCTACCTAGTAGCTTTGTCGCGCGGCATCATGTACCGAGCTATTTTCTCCTATTGATCAGTTGAACAAGTCGAGTGTCATCTACAAAAGCATGGAATGTCCAGAATTTCGGCAGATAGTTAACGCCCTCAAACAAGGTCAAAGGGAGTTTCTGCGCCTCCGAGTCCACCTCTCTTGGACTTTTTCCCACAAGGTCCGTGTCACACCTCGCCATTGTCCCAACTTGACAAAAGTGGAAGCTCTACATCCGAAAGTAGGGGCGAGTGACTGAGACTGTCTTGTTGCAAAAACTCATCAGATACTACATCGTAATAGTTGACGACGTTTGGTATCTTCACCTCTCCATAAGTTGTCAATGCCCGTAGTCGGCGCGAAGAAATAGTTAGTCCATTCGATGGATAGAATAGGCCGCACTCCACACGCCGCCATGTCTTGCCCGGAAGTAGCTCCATGCTGAGTTCAATCGAACGAACTTTTCCATCATCACCTTGCGTCCAGGCGTTTAGTCTCATCCTTGTCGTGATCTTCTTGTAGTGGAAACAATAATAGATTGGCATTATAAACAATATCAGGCCGAATGTGAGCGGCCATGTGATGAGTGGATATATGTTCCAGGACCATGGGCGCTGTATCGAGAGCCCTGCCTCGGTGAGTTCAAAGCCTTTAGCGCCCAGCTTCTCCTTCGAACCTCGCGGCCTGGCCAGTCCTGTATCAAATGTAATACTCCCAGCATCGCGGAAACAAACTGGGGCGGGAGCGAATAGCCCACTCGATGCAATCTCACTCGATCTCCAAGCAAACAAAGTCTCATCGAAAGGTGTATCGCGGTTCCACGTTCTCAGGATCTCGTGCTGGAGACGCAAGAATTCTGCAGGGCCTTGACCATATCTTGCGTCGAGATATACGTTGAATATGCCAAGCATGCAGTAGGCCCGGTCTTCAATGTGCTGCGTAGTTCTGAGCGACAACCAACTCATTTTTTGACCCAAGCTGGCATCTCTGAAAGAACCGTGCAAACGCAAGATGTCTTCAGAGATATTGGTTGCTAGTGAAATGTCCGCAGCAAGCTCCGTACGAGATCCGATGAGATTCCAATCCCTATCGTAGAACTCGACCTGGGCTGGCGCTAGAAGCTCTTGCAGCGTCCAACCACGGCGAAACCACTCGCTATTGAGAAACTGCCTCCGAGAAGCGTCAGATCCGTCCCATGACACATCCACCAGGTACGCATAGCAGACGACAGCCTCGGCGTACCAGCGAAACATTGAACCAATGGCCGTACTTAATTCACTCTGATCTGCCTTGTTGATACACACTGTGTCGATCCATATATGTTCAATCGGAGGGGTATCCATCGACACAAGTTGCTGGGCTTGTTTGCATGCACGTGCAATCTTGTAGAGTGACGACTGTTCCTCCACGTCAGCCGATTGAGATTGCACCCCCAGCGCGGCTGGATGTTGCAACGGAACATCTCGTAATCGGTCTTTTGTAAGGGTACTAAAGTCCTGAAAAGTGATTTCTTTGCCTACCCAGCGGTGCGAGAGAATGGCATATCGAGGCTTTGGGCGTGACGTGCCGCCCAAGGAATGCCACAATCTGTCCTGCGCGTTATCAAGGGTACGTTCCTGGAACCCAGACGCAAACTCAAAACTGTGGACGTGGAGGAGTCTCATTGTATGAGAGCGCAGAAGTAATCAGGGACCTAGATAAACTTGAGAAAAAGGGTACCTAGATAGTTGAGACTGCAAAAGCTTACGTAGCGATTAAAATAGTTCCATGTGTTTGGTTGTAAATTTCTAGTTGCTGTGTAATCTGTCCTTCTCTCGATTCCACGGCATCCTGGATTTTACGCCTGCCTGAATACTGCGCCTCATTGGACACTGCGCCAGGCTTGTTTGGAGCTACAGTACCAAAAGCTTGGCTGGCCAATGTGAGGTAAGCATCGGGGTCGGAGAAACAGGATACCGATTCATCCTTGTTCGTCTCACACGTTTGTGTGCTGCGGAATCCATAAAACACAAGGCAGAACACACGATCATTACATTAAGGTATGGATGTCGAGACACCAAAGGGCTAATTTCTCCCATTGCGAATGACATGGGTACCTGCACTGTGGTTCACTAAAATGATGGTGGGGCTCTGAAATACAGGGATCGGTAGGGTGTTCAAAACCAGAGCAGAAGATGGGCTACAGTGGTCGCGCATACCCCGCTTCAAATACTCCGATTGTTTACAGGTTCGTTGAATTTACTACCAGTTAATATCTAATTCACCATTGTATTGGGCTTTCCCTGTCTTCATTTCGGTATCACCTCAGAGTTTTCTTACGAATATGCAAGAGCCACCGAGTTATTCGTACGCTATGGTCATCAAATCATGCTGCGACATGGTGCTTTGGCGCGAGCCTTCGTCCAAGCCCACCGGAATCAGGGGACATTGTAAGGTATGCTATTGGATATCTAGAGGTTAGTCAAAATTCTTGGCGCTATAGAGTATAGCCGCACTAATCAAAGTCGGCCGCCTTCGTCAACATCTGCACGGAAAGCTCCAAGACAACAACCCATTCGTGGAAAGTGCCATTTCATAGAGACTCAATTTTCTACCTTCTATATACACTTGCCTTGACTCGAATGTGTCCCGATCGGCCCAAGTCAACCGGGGTACGGAATATTTCGAATTTTCAGGACTGTGAGAACGTGTATATAATGTTGAATAGCATCTGCCACAAATGGATATGTTTGAATCAGAGCAAGTCGAGAAATATTCTTCCTTCCCCATCAGAAACGTCAAAATGTTTGCAAAGGCATTGATACTCGGTCTTGCTTGTCTGCCATCATGGGCAATCAACGTGCCCTCGACCCAGGAACGTCGCGGCTATCCACTAGTTGGATATCTAGGGGCCTTCTTCTACGGACACGATCCCTACGTGTATCTCTACACGAGCTTGAATAGCGATCCGACCAACTTTACGGTTCTCAACGACGGAGATCCAGTCATTGTCCCAACCCTGGGAACCGGTGGTGTTCGAGACCCGACCATCGTCCGCGGCAGGGGCACCGACCTTGGTAGCTATTGGCTGCTTGGCACTGATCTAGACATCTCCAAGGTACCTTAGTCATAGTATCACCACCCCAAGCTCTGGTCCAAGGACTAATCAAGCTTTACAAAGACAAACTGGGATGATGCCGATCGCATCGGATCCCGGGCCATGTTCATCTGGCAAAGCGACGACCTTGTAACCTGGTCTGATGAGAGATTGGTCACAATGGAGAATGAGACTGCTGGAATGGTGTACGCGCCTGATGCTATCTGGGATGGGGACAAAAGTGTGTACCATTCCAACTCGGAATCCGTTCTCTTTTCTTGCCTGAGCTGATTGTCTGTGGTAATAGAGCAATACTTTGTGTACTGGGCTTCACGATTCGTAGGTACATCTCCTTGATGAGTTTTTCAGGCATGCTAACCGAGTCATTTAATGACGAGTAGTTTAATGAAGATGATCTAGATCATGAAGGTAGATCAACATCTTATACCATTCGATATTCATATACAACGGATTTTGAGACCTTTACGGATCCTCAAGACTGGTTTGGAGGAGGCAGACTTGACGCCAACCTTTTACAACTCGACGGCAGCTCCTATGCTCGGTTTTACAAGAACCAAAGTGCTAGTCAGATCTACCAACAAATTTCCGCAAACGGTCTCCTTGGTGATTGGTCAGAGGGCACTGCGGTCATGGACGACAACACGGAAGGTCCTTATGCATTTTGGGACAATGTCGAATCGAACAAGGCGCATCTCCTCCTTGACTACTATTCTGGAGGCACAGGCTATGTTGATTTCGACAGTGATTCCGTAGAGGATGGAGTGTGGGAGCGCAACGAGGACAGCTCGATACCAACAGGTCTCAGACATGGTTCTGTACTTGCAATCAACCAAGGGGATCTTACAGCTTTGCAAAGAGCATACTTGTAACAAAATCGAGATGAAGGCAAATTAGCTCGCGTTCTTGGGTGTACTGGGGTTATAGCACAGGTATTGACATTTTTAGTCAGGTACTAGAATCATTGCAAACTGATGTAAATGTACCAAAAATGCAGGTAATATGCTCTCACCGCATACAGCAACTACATATGTACAGCTTCCTTGTCCTTCTTCATTCCAAAATAGACTTGTACACCACCAACGGCGCCTTCCTTGCCTCCCACACTATGTTCAATAAACTGGGCAAGATGACGAGTGGCATCCCGTTCTATGCGCTGCGCCTTCCTCAGATACCGTTACTTTCCATCATTGATGCTTGGTCCTCTTCACGTGGCTACCCAGATAGGTACCTATGTACCCGTCATTTATCACCTGTGTGGATAGAGCAACTGTTCGATAGACTCTAGAACATGGTCCAGACTTTCTCGGCTGCGCTGGATGGTGGACCACTTACCCCTCAGAAACGCCTTCAGTCCACCAGTGGCAACGCGGACATGGGAACGGGTCATATCATCGGAAGGATCGGTTGGCATCAGCCGGTCCAATAGTAACAGAACTAACCCTGATCTGTAACACTCTACTTCTAGTTCAGTGAGTCGCATTCGGATCGAGTCGTGCGGCGCCACTCCACGACTGTTTGTCGCATTCTTCGCATCCACTGGAAGTCTCCTGATACATATCTTCCCATGGCGCTTCTCTGCGCCGGCTTTAATCAACAATGCAGCCATCTCAGATTCATGCTGACGCTCTTCATCCGACATTGATTTGGAAAGGTCTTCTTCCTTAACGCTCCCCAAATCACGTGCCTTACCTATTACCATAACACATGCTCTGTTGATCACTTTTCTGCTCAACTGAAAGATGTAACCTTCTTTGAACAGTCTGTAGAGCATGTCTAGGCCATGGACATGGCACACCATGGCACATAATATCGCTTGAGTGACCTGGAAATCAAGTCTCCTTTCTCGATTGAAAAGATGCTCTACGAAAGCTCTTGCCCAGGGATTCTCAAGCGCGGTCAAAACCACTTCTTGAATGAAAATGGTGGAATCTCCACTTTGATCTGAAGGGCCTTGTAGTAAAGACCTCCCAGCTGCCTGACTTCCAGCTACCACTGTGAAAAATGCCTCAGTGACTGGGTTCTGGTTGATGCTTCGGTCCAAGAGCTGTATCAAAAGAAACTCGCCGTGTCTCGCATTCGTCACAGCAAGAATCATCTCAGCCGTGAAGTTGATTTGGTCTCCATCTATAGCCAGTAGGAGTTGTATCAGTTCTCTTCCCTGTTGAATATTCTTGGTGGCAGCCAGGATGACCTCCCAGGTTGTCCTAATCTCTGTCCTTCGATTTCGAAGAAGTCTCATCATTTCAGTCCCATGATTCTCGTTCCTAGCTGCAGCCTCCACCACGGTGTCTGGGAACTGGGTCTTGTGTTTCCAACAGTGAAGAAGTAACATCATGACATCCTGGTCAAAGAGTTCTGCGGCGTATATACCAGTTTGTTCCATCTCAGTGCATTCGGCATGCTGGGAAATCAGTCTGACCATTGTTTGAAACTTGTCTGCGAGTTCAAATTGCTGGGAATCTCTGTGCATCGATGCGAGATAGCGCATATATGTCACAGCCTCTGGATGCCCCCAGCCCCCCTTGCCTTTCGAAACCGTCCATAGTTTCTGGTAGATTTCCACAGCTCGCTTGTAGTCTCCTGAGGACCATAATATAAGCGCCAGCTGAGACTTGTGGAATGGCTCCTCGACCTTAAGAATATCTTTGTAGTCGCTTTGACCGTGAGTGCTTGTCGTTGTTCTTTCCCAGTCCCAAATCAACAAGAATCTCCGGGACAAGAGTGAGAATACATCCGAATTCTCGATGAGTCGTTGACAACGCACAGTGTCCTCCTCCATGAGGTCCACTGAAATTCTGACGATGATCAAATGGCTCTCACAAAGCCTGATGATCATGGGTTTTGGCGCTCCCTCCAAGATACAGACAATATCTCCTGCTAGAACCGAGGGTGCTGTCGATTCCATGCAAAGGGCAGCTTCATATTGGTCAGTCCCATGCTTCGGTGTTCTGACACATATCAGTTCCCTGTCACGTCCACAGGACAATACTGTGCAGACATGCCCAAGAACATATCCGCTGCTCTGAATTACAGCGATATAATGCTTTTCCCATGTTGTGACATGGACATGGTCGGAAAGCACAGCTTTAACCAATCGCCGTAAGAGTTCTCTCCACGAAAGGTTGTAATTGGGCTTTAAGCCGCTTTCGCCAGGATTTACTGATCTGATACCAAGCAGGGCGTAGACTCTGTCTAGGGGATTTGTAGCATGGCGAGTATGGAACGTGTCGATCAATTCACCTAAAGGGTGTAGTCCCAACGTAAATCCTTCCACCTGGCCTTGGATGTCTTTGTGTCGAAATGCTGCACCCCCAATGAGGTACTTCAAAGGACTAATCAGACTTCGCCTGTCTTCATAGGCCTCTTCTAGATTGTCCAGACCTGTGCAAAATGTTTTCCCTTCAATTCGCGCGGATCCACACATGATTACCACGTGCCGGGCTGCGGCGACTTCTTGGAGGACCTGGGCACACGCCAATGTTAACAGGATTTTCTCGTGCCATAGGTCGCCGGACATCTTACCCAGACCCGATCAAACCATGATCTCTTGAGCAACGCGGCGACAGCAGGTATTGCAGATGTCATATCAATGGTCTCGTTCGAAATTTGTATATGTTCCCCAGCCACTCGTATGTGCTCAATTGCTTGACTACTATGCTCAGTTGAGTCACCAAGCCAGACAAGCACTCTTGCCGCTCTGGCATAGATCAGCGCCATCATTTGGACCTGCTTGTTGACTTCTTTGGTGTTGCCTTGGTCGATACAGATAGCGTCTGCCCACAGGTATCGCTCCAGGAAACAGTCTCGCAATGAGCGCAGCGCCGAATGAAGACTTGCTGTCACAGGAACATTGTATTCGCCTATGGTGATACTCTGGGGCTTTTCTGAAGAGCCCCACGCATAGGACAAGGCCTCATACAGACCACAACTGCCATCTGTATTCAGCAGGGGGTAGTCGAGGAGTTCACACTCAATCGGTGCATCCTTATCGCGGTGTGGACTCAGCCGGAGTAGGCGAATATGGCCCTCCGGCAGGGTTGAATGGGAATAAACAGACGACATCCTGCTGTCGGGCACAAGCCGGGACTTCCCTCTCAAAGTGGCAAGCAGAGGGTGATGAGTGATTCTTTTGTAGGTAGCGATCGTGAAATGAGTACGTAGTGTCGGGCAGATGCGGGGAATAGCAAAAATACACCGCGGAACCAGGCGCCCACGTCAGCCTTGTATGCCCCATTGATGCAAGACTGTACTTAGGTACAGTATCTCATGGTGTGATGAAGATGCACTCAGCCCGGTTCGTGTGCATGGATGTTTTTGCCAGGTACCACATGCTATGGGCAGCGGCAACCCTCTCACAGCTCTTGAAAACATGTTTTGTGATATTTTGTTTATCTACCTAGGCACGCTGCAGTCACAACTCGCACGGTAATCCTTTTTTTTAAAAAAAAAAAAAATATATAATGGGGGGGAGAAAAAAAAAAGGCTCGAGCCCTTGGACTGTTTAAGAGAAGAGCGACGACTGTCTCAACGGTGGTGCTGGGCTGAGAACCGGGTGGAGGGTAGAATGCAATCCTGCTATGCTACGCTACAAGTAGCGAATGTCGAGCCTACCGGGCACACCTGTCTCTCTCCAGGCAGTGCTGGCATCTTACGCCGCCCCGCATAGAGGAGGTGCTCTGTATACCTATTGGGTGCCTTTGGAATCACAGAATTCGTGGTTCTATCAACCGTCATCCGATTATTGACGACTTGAAGGGAAATAGTCGGAAGCAGGATTTTTGAAGCAACGCGCCGACAGATGTCCTTTTACAGATTTGATCCAATAGCCTATCTGAAAGTTGCTTAACTGTGGTGCAGTACTGATTAGCCAGTGCGAGCAGCGTGGTTGGGCCCACCCCGGACGCTCAAGCTGGACGAGATGTCCACAACCAATAGATGAAAGTAGTATCGAAAAGAAGCCAGTCTTCTATCTCATGAACCAGGCGCAGTATGAATCCAGGACACGCCTTCGTATGTCCACCACCATCATAGTAAAACTTGTTGACTAAATACCTATGTCTAAAGCAGCTGTATTCCGTACCGGGCACGCTGCCCCTGCCTGCCAGCCATTCTTCCTTTGCTCCGCTATAAGCACCCACTTAGTGCCGATGGGCGGCTCTGCCGCATGGTGGGCAAAAACGGTGTCCTGGCACCGCCATGCTGCTCCGACAATTCATACAAAGCCCAGTCTTGGGACCCGACGAGACATAAGTCCGTGTGTACGTCTCAGTCTTGACAGTGCCGCTGTGGATCGCTCTTCCGCAAGGGATGCAGAAACGGTGACCAGGCTTGGCGCTGTTGCGTCTGCACTGTAGACATGCGGGCATGTTGGCTGGCGAGAAAGTGATTATTGGGTAGTGGTTATCGGGTACTAATTCATATCATGGTCAGCGTCGAAGGGGAGTAGGTACACATGAAGAGAGTTGGGACATTGATATTAGTGCTCATGCAAGCGCTGCAATTGAAGTACCTTTGGATTCTCTTCGACTAAATCAACTTTCGCGTTGGTTCTTTCGCGTCGCACTGTGATAATTCGAAATGGGTATACTAGTTTGAAATCAAAGAGGTTCTGTCACGCGTTGACTAATTGTAAGAGTGCGCGAATGCCAGCTCAAGTGGGTTGAATTCAAGCTTATAAAAGACGCCGAAGGATTGTTTTCTAGCAAATGGCGGACGAATTATTGTCCCGGTTAAAACAATATCAAGTCCTATGTGACCATAAGGCTGCGTCTATCTAGGCAGATGAGGGGATCACGAGGCAGGCTGTGGCATCAAGTTGTTATTCAGGCTACCTTTGAAATCACAGCCTTGGGGGCTATAGAATCCTATCATGTATTATCAGCCACTTTATATGAACAAAGTATCGGCAGTGACTCACAGGGTTTGCATCTCCGCCCACTTGAGGAACCAATAAATATTCCTGTCGAGTTTGGGGGTGAGAGAACTTTTGAACGCAACGTTGCGATGCATGCTTGGTGAGGATGATAGTGGAGTGGTCAGATCTCTCTAGAAAGGGCTAGAGCGAGGCGCCTCCCCCTCTGCATATGACCGCCGAGTCCTCGAATTTCAAAACATCGGGTCAAGGTAGTCCATTCGAGCACATCATTGATGCACTTATTGGCAATGCGCTTCAGCGACGGCGGCAGTGCTCAGTACTATGTATACGTAGGCAGAGGTGTATATCCCGTGTAAAACATGTGACTGACGCAGGATAGCATGGAATGTTGAGGTGCCCTGACACTGATATTTGCAAAATATAGCATGGATATAGTGACATGCAATGGTGAGGCAGGGATCGTCACCTCTGGCTACCTTGCATCCCCCGGTACCCATCCAGGTAAATGTGCGAAAGTGTCGTTCTGTGTGTAGAGCAGAGAAGGGAATGAATTGGTCGGACGACATGTCCGAATGTCCGTCTTTGGGGGCGATAAAGAAGTGCAGTTTTGGCGCCACGTCGCGTTTGTCAATTTGGGAACATTGTGAGTTTGGGCATGCCCAGGTAGTGTAATGTACAGCAGTGTGGGGGAAACACCAAAAAACACTTGTAAACAAGCAGTCTTGGTTGAAGCATGTGTAGTTCTTGCTATCAAACGTATTATGATGAGGTGAATGCAATCTCACTATCGAAACAAAAAAGAAAAAGATTACTCATTACGGAGTTTTTGTTTCTTTACCTATCTCACCCCAGCCTTTCGTTCTTCAATCAGTGAAGCAGCCGAAGCATGGGCCTTATCTCGAAAATAGCCTACACTAATTCCTGGCCGGGTTCAGTTGATAGCGGAATCTTCACTGAGGATTAGCGGGGGCCGTCGCGATAACGAGGAGCAGTTATCAACACAGCGCATTTCTCTCAGTTTTGATAGTACATTGTAGTTGAGAATGGATATATACTCTACGGAAAAGACTGTAATGGCAGAAATTTTTCAACGACAAAAAATCTTTAATTCAAATAAAATGTCAGAAGATTCGGAAATTCAGGCATCTCCCTCCATAGCTTCTGTGTATACCGAAAATGCCACAAAGGCTAGCGACAAGAATCTTGACATCGCTGCAGAGTTCATTAGTCGTTTTGAAGGAACGTCGTATACCACCCAAGAGGAGAAAGCCTTCCGATGGAGGCTGGACAAGCGTTTAATTCCTATTCTATTTTTCAACATTACGCTCGGCGCCGTTGACAAGTCCACAATCAGCATGGGTGCATTGTGCGGCCCCTTTGCCAATAATCAAATCGACATGCTGTTTGGCTGACAATAAGTGTTTTAGATACAATTTGCGAGCCGATGTCGATATGCTGGACGGAGACCGCTACTCATGGGCCGGGAGCGCTTTTTATCTTGGCTATCTGCTTTGGTGCTTTCCTGCAGGCAGCCTGCTCCAAAAGTTTCCTCTCGCCAAGACCATGATGGCCTTTTAAATCATGTGGGGTATTGTGCTCATCGGTACTGGCTTCACCAAGAGCTTCCCGGCCTTTGTGGCCATGCGAGTACTTCTTGGCGTTCTTGAGGCTCCCATTGCTCCGGGCAACTTCTTGGTGATGGGCATGTGGTATACCAGAAAGGAGCAGCCGTTGCGCAGTGGTCTCTTTTACACTGGCATGAGCTCTTTTATTACAGGACCGCTTGGTTATGTGTAAGATCATTGGTATTCTTGCCTTTAGTGTCGTTCATCCTGACTCGATTCGCAGTGTGGGATTCATTACAAATGAGTGGTTCTCTCCCTGGAGGGCTCTGTTTTGGGTTGTCGGATCTATAACCATTGCATACGCCATCATACTTGGCATTCTCTTGCCAGACAACCCAGTCCAATCCAAATTCACCACTGAAAAGGAAAAGTTTATTGCAATTGATCGACTAAGGGCTGATCAGGTCGGTGTGGAAAACAAACAGTGGAAATGGGGGCAGTTTTGGGAGGCCATGCTCGACATCAAGACCTGGATACTCTTCATACTCAATGTTTTGATCAATATTCCCAATGGTGGGCTGGGAAACGTGAGTTCCAGGTGCGCTATCATTCGGGACGATGTATTGACTCCAGTTAATAGTTCACCCCCCTCATTATTGCTGGCCTTGGATACTCGTCGCGTATTGCCAGTTTGCTGTTTATGGTTGTGGGCATCACTTCCACAGCCTCATGTTACATGTGCAATGGCGCTGTGTTCCTTGCGAATCATTATAACCCAAGACTCCAAGTTCGAGGTGCTGCCATGATCTTTGGTCTTGTTGTGGCCATGATTTCAACAATTTTTCTCTACACCCTTCCGACGACTGCAATCCAGAACCGTCTTGTTGCGCTATTCATGGCCTACTTTTACCTCGGTCCGTACGTTGTCTCCATCGGGCTCGCCAGTGCCAACACTGCCGGATACACGAAAAAAGTGACGGTCAACTCCATGATTTTCAGTAAGCAACTTCCCATATCATTTCTCCTTTCTCCGGGTAGTATGATGAGCAAGCACTGCCCAAATTGGCGCTTCAAGAGAGCATACTCAGACATATTTCTCAAAAGAGCTGCTTCAAACTCATTTATCTACCCGGATAGGCAATTGCTAACATATGTTGTTGTAGTGGGTTGGTGTGCTTCAAATATTGTTGGACCATTCTGTTTCAAGACGAACCAAGCTCCATTGTACCCGTTTGGCATCGCTGCTATGCTATTTTCCAACGCAGGTTCAATTATCATGACTTGTCTCTACATACTGTGTTGCTGGTCCGATAACCGTCAGCGAGATAGGAAGGCTGCAGTTGAAGGAACCATTCCGGTCGCAGAAACTGAATTCAGAGATTTTACGGACAAGCAGAACCCGAATTTCCGATACGTTTGGTAGTATGATGGATTCACCGGAGTTACACCTTGATTTATCTATCTGATTTATTCCATAGACAGAACCTATTAGACAAGCGCGTATCACGGACTTTTAATTGCTTGCTGCATCTGGTCGGACGAAATGTCCGAAAATCATGGCCTAGTTCTGGGAGCCATAGCAGTTCCGGAGCAGCATGTTTTCATCTGCTTTCAATTCATCGACACGTGGTCGAGATGGAAATCGCTGAAATTGCAAACGGACTTTGCTCTAGGCATAGACATTAATGGTCCTTCTAAGAGGCTTATCGCGCCCTCGAAACCCGTGTTCTTCAAGTCAATGAAGGACCGGAAAGACACGGCCGAGCCATCAAGTGCTGCAATAGGCCCGTGCCATGGCGCTAAAGCATGCCACCAAGTCAACTGAGGATGGATATTACAGAGTATAATCGCTATCTCTTAGCACCTGGAAATGAATAATTGCGTTCTGGGCTCAACCAATGCTATGGATTCTGCATGTATTCCTGAACTGATCGAGCTGCGACTCTGTGTTTGTGGCGATCTCTTTTGGTTTTTTTTATGACCCCATTTTCTTTCCCGCAATGGTTCAGAGCCCAAATGATGTACCTATAATTCACAGTCGAGCTAAAGGCCCGTCTGAGCGAGCAATGCCGAGAGACGCTGTAGTTATTTCCGAAATGTTCTTGCAACCTGCCAACAACATGCACCGCCTGAAGTCATCGTACAGGATTTGGAGTGTCTTTTCCACTCCTTTTTGCCCGTCGTACTTTTCAGGAATGTTAGTTCATTCCGCTTATCAAGTGCTAACAAATGATGGACTGTCAAACTTACTGCTAGGCCCCAAATCGTTGGCCGACCAATCCAGCAGCACTGAGCGCCCAGAGCAATGGCCTTGAAAATGTCCGCACCAGTGCGAAAGCCACCATCAACATGGACGGGTATCTTGCCATCCGCAGCCTTGACACACTCTGGCAGTGCATCTAGAGTAGCTACTGCCCAGTTCAATTGTCTGCCGCCGTGATTACTGACAAGAACGCCGTCGCAGCCGTACTGACGGGCCAACATGACGTCTTCTGCCGTCAGGATTCCCTTGATCCAGATTTCCATCTTCGTCTTGCTCCGCAACCACGGAATCTCCTGGGCCCATGAGTGAGCATCCGAGTTGAAAGTCACAAAACCATCGTCATGTGTCTGGGACTGTATCATTTCTGTAGTCTTTTCGAGCATTGGAAAAGAGAGACCTGCAGGCGTACGAAAATCATTGCGCCATTCATTGAAGCGAACGCCCAGCACCGGGCTATCGGCCGTGAGAAAGATGGCTGTACATCCAGCGGCTTCTGCCCGACGAATGATGCGCTCCTGCAGCGCCCGGTCTTTCATGGTGTAGAGCTGCATCGCATGCGCAATGGGGCCGACTTTCCGGCCGGCCGCCACCACGTCCTCGACTGAATAGTTTGCAAAGGAAGAGACGCCCATGTTGATGCCGAATTTGGCACAGGCTCGGCTCGTGGCCAGCTCGCCGTCTGGGTGCGCCATGGCTTGAATGCCTGCCGGCGAGACGCACAAGGGAACTGGAATCTTGCGCCCTAGAACCTGCACGCTGGTGTCTGCCGCCGAGACATCCCTCAAGACGCGGGGCCGAATGCGATATTTGGCAAAGGCGGCTCGGTTTTCATTTACGGTGATTTGTTCCGCTGAGCCAGAGTCAAAGAATTCTGTATACGAATGTGCTCAGCGACAAGATCCTGCCTAGCTGGATATGCAAATGCAATTTGTCGTACCTGTATGCGACTTTTTCAGTTTCTTGACGGCCTCATTGTGAATGTCGTCAACGCACAGCAGTGGAACCATTTTATCAATCATACTGGAGGCAACAAAACTTGATGCAACACGAGTAAACGGCAAAATTTGTCTAGAGTCGTGCTTGCCTTGTTGTTCTAAACAGAATTTAGCTATTTTTCTATAGAAACAAACGATGCCCTTGTTGATGCTCATGTTATGACATTATACACTGCATTCAGCTCCACTCCGCTTAGGTTGCGACATCGGAAGTCCGGACAAGGAGATTCGGACTCTGAATCCGTTATCGACTGGTGATACTGCAGGCGATAGGCGCCTATAGCAGGCTAGTCGGGGCCCAATGACCAACCACCTTGACTGATTTGATAAGCCACTATCATGCGTCCACAGAATTCGGCGCAGATAGTATCACAGGTGTTTTCAACATGAGGGGCAAGTGAAGGCTAACCTGAAATCACAGTTTTCGGAAAGTAGGAGTGCACTTACTCTTTTTGGTTTGAGAAGCTGTGCATTTGCTTTGTTCACAGAGATTGATTTCCACTTGGTTGCTTGAGCTGCACTTTATAGTTCTCCTACCTGCGCCCACTGCTCATAAACTCGAGGGCGAATCAACTACGTCCACTCCACACCCGTGTCTTTCACTTCGAAATGGCTTCCAAGCTCAGCACCGTCGGCATCCCAAAGGGTGCAAGCGCCAAGGTCTCCATCATCAACAATTCCTTTCTCTGGGATTTCCCCGTGGACAATTACATTCAACCCAAGGTTCCTGGGTTTGACAAGTTTTATATGCCCACCTATTCATTCTTGATTGAGAATGCTCAGGGTCGCAAAGTTCTTTTCGACTTTGGTCTTCGAAAAGACTGGCATAATCTTCCACCCGAGGCTCAACATGAGATCAGTGGTGATGGAATCAAAATTAATGTGGAGAAGGATGTTGTGGACATATTACTCGAAGGTGGCGTGAAGGGAGACGAGATTGAAGCAGTGGTATTTAGGTAAGAATTTGGAAAGGACCCGGAACCGACAAGAATTTTTCTAATCCTATACCTAGTCATCATCATTGGGACCACATTGGAGATATGGCCAGACTTCCATCCAAAACAGACATCATTGTCGGTCCCGGGTTTTCCAGCGCGTTTCTGCCTGGGTACCCGGGTAACCCAGAGTCTCCCATATTGCAAACCGACTACGAGTGAGTATTCTATTGCTTTCTCATTTCGTCATAGAGAAAGCAAGAACTAAGAGATTCAGAAACCACAAGCTGCGGGAAATCAACTTCTCTGGCCCCGATGTTGCTGCCACTGTGGCTATAGGCGCGTTCCAGGGATATGACTATTTTGGAGATGGCTCTCTTTACTTGGTGGATGCACCGGGTCACAGTATCGGACATATATGTGGCTTGGTACGGACAAGTTCAGGTGAAGGCAACGATACCTTTATCTTGATGGGAGCCGACGCATGCCATCATAACGGAGAGTTTCGGCCATCACCATGGCACCCTTTGCCGGATTCGATACTCCCGAACCCATTGACTGGAAGTGCAGTACATCCCTGCCCAGCGGCAAAGTGGGCAAGCCATTTAGAAAACAAGGGAAGATCAAAAGAAATGGCATTCTTTGACATTCCCGACGCCACAGCTGGAGCAGCGTACACACATGATGTACAGGCCTCGAGGAAAACCATTTCAAACGTGCAGGACACAGATTCGGGCGACGATATTCTGGTCATTCTTGCCCATGACGACAGTGTCAGGAATATTGTTGACTTCTTTCCCAAGCCTTTGAATGACTGGAAGTCCAAAGGATGGGGTGTAGTATCTCGGTGGGCTTTCTTGAAGGATCTCGAAAGTGCATGTCACGAGAGCGCATAAAGTTAATGCAAGACACTTATCATGCCAATCCATGAAGCCAGCTGCGGCATTGAGCTATCTGAAATTGACTGTTTTCGAGTGCGACAAGAGGCCTTCTCCTGAGGAAGGGATGTGATTCCCGCGCCCGCCCTGCATGGAAACTATTCCGGATCTCCCATGAGGCAACCTACTATCGTGACCATGAAAGTGATGCTTACTTGGAAGTATAGCCCCTAGAAAAATTTCAGCAAACGCCTCGCTATATGGAAAATGAACAAACCCATCTACTATGAGTGTCGACCCACTCATGAAACTACTCATGGAGGACGCAAGAAAGATGATACAGTCCACAACCTCCTCGACCTGGCCTATACGTTTCATCGGAGTAGCTAGAATTTCTGCTTCCATGTGGCCAGCTGCTGTAGCTTCCTTCAATAGGGCAGTGTCGACATAGCCGGGACAAATGGCATTGATGCGGATCCCATGTTGAGCGTACTTGTTGGCTTCCTAGATGGAATCTATGAGCCCGAATCGCAACTGAGAATACACTTCATACCGTTCGCGTTAGACCAATCACTGCGTGCTTCGACGCTGCATATACCGTGGCCGGCATGCTGGACGATATCCCAACAACACCATACATTGATGAGACGTTGACAATGACGCCCCTCCCGTATCGCAGGCCCTTGGATCTGAGTGTAAACGTAAATGGCTGTAATATGATCGGAGATAATTAAGAGAGGTGGCAGTGCTCTTGCTTGGACATTTGTTTAATCTCGGCTCTTTGGCACAGCCATACCCCATTCAAATTGATGTTGATTGTAGACTGCCACTCTTGGAACGATATGTCAAACGCCTCTCCTCGCGGGCCACTCACACCAGCATTGTTCACTGCAATGTCAATGCGGCCAAACCTTTTGACGGTTGCCTCAATGGCAGCATTGACTGAGGGCTCAGAGGAGACGTCTGTTGGTATCGCGAGCACATCGACATTTTCATATTGAGTGCTTAATTCAGCCACCCATGCTTCTAATGCGGTCCGATCAACATCACTTATGGCTATGTTTTTCACTCCGCTGGCAATGAATCCAAATATAGTACCCTTCCCAATGCCTGTGATTGTCAGTGGATTAGCAAGACTCCCTAGTATTTGTATAATGTTCTGGGGGCCCTTACCCGATGCTCCACCGGTCACAAAAACCACACCACCAACAAGTGAGCTGGTTGACTTGCTCATGATGATGTTTCAAGTCTTCAGTTCTTTAAAAAGCCAAACGTCCTTCAAGTCGGTGACCTTTCGAATGTTGGCTACTGATTAATTTGCATTGGAAATCAATTATTATGCAAATTTCTTAGCGGGCCTTGACTGGGATTCATTCCGCAGAGAGTAGGTCTGGACACGATTTGGAGTGGGGTGTTCCCAATGACCCGGATCCAGCGGACTTTGGAGTTTGATTTTCCGCGCCACCCAAAATGACAGTTTTCCGGTCTTGACAATGTTCGGTAATCTTATGCCGTTTGGGCTTTGGGTCGCTTATGGCTCTTTCACTGCCCAGATTGAGACAAGATGCGAATAGCCAGTGTTCACTCATATTAAGGAGGCCGATAAGAACTCGGAAGAGCTGGGGAGACATCTATCTAGGATCTTCTCAGAGTCGTTCAATGATCAGTACCTTATTTCCCAATCCTGGAAACATTGCAACAATAATCTATCAATATGGCAGACGTCAATATTGCACAAAATCTTGAAGGGTTGAAGCCCACAATTGATGAAGTGAAGAGACAGGCCAGCGACTTAAATGGATCTCTTGGGTTCGACCCAGAGGTTCTAAGCAAAACGTATACGGCGGAGAAGAATGCACGACTAGAGTCAGGTAATACCTCGACATATCGACACGTCATAAAGTCCGGATTGGGCCACTTCTTAGACGACCCTTGGAGTGCATCGCACATTGTTCGCGAACCTGTGCAAGCCCATCATGAGGTCATCATTGTTGGCGGAGGATTCGGGGGCCTGCTCATGGCAGTCAGACTCCTACAGGCCGGCATCAATGACATCTTGATCATTGAAAAGGGCAGTGATTTTGGTGGCACCTGGTGATTTTATCTCAAGCACCCTATTCCGTCTAATCTTCTAACACAATAAAAGGTACTGGAATCGATATCCCGGCGCGCAATGCGATATAGAGTCCTACATCTATATGCCTCTCCAAGAAGAGCTGGGGTACGTGGCAAAGGAAAAGTACGCTCGTGGACCTGAGCTGTTTCAGCATGCCCAAAATATTGCCAAGAAGTACAAATTGTACGAAAATGTGCTTTTCCAGACAGAGGTGAAAAGTTTCAGATGGGGCGAGGAAGCATCTATCTGGACTGTTGAGACTCAGCGCGGAGACAATTTGCAAGCTCAGTGGGTCATCCCAGCGGCTGGTCCCTTACACACGCCCAAATTTCCCGGGGTTCCTGGCATCGAGGACTTTGAGGGTGTTAGTTTTCACACCTGCCGTTGGGACTACAATTACACCAAAGGGAATCACTATGGCAATCTGATAGGCCTTTCAGACAAGAGGGTTGCTATTATTGGAACAGGAGCGTCTGCAGTTCAAGTAGTGCCACGGGTCGGGGAATGGGCCAAGCAGTTGTACGTGTTTCAGAGGACGCCGTCATCTGTTGATATCCGTGACAATCGACCGACGGACCCAGACTGGGCCCGTTCACTTAAGCCAGGCTGGCAGCAAGCACGGATGGACAACTTCAACTCCATTGTCAGCGGTACGCCCACTGACGAGGACATGGTCAATGACAAGTGGACAGAGATCCTCCGCGCCGTGGCCGGTGGGTTTGGGGCTGGTGGCGACGACACGTTGAGTCCCGAGGAGCTGGCGGCGAAAATGCAGCTCGCAGATTTCAGACAGATGGAGACCATTCGAGCACGTGTTCAAGACTTGGTCAAAGATCCAAAAACGGCAGAGGCCTTGAAGCCATGGTACAATCAGTTTTGTAAGCGGCCTTGTTTCCACGACGAGTATCTCCAGACCTTTAACCGTCCAAACGTCACGCTGGTCAATACGCATGGGCGAGGCGTGGAAGCAGTCACCAAGAAGGGGATCATTGCCAACGGCAAGGAGATTGAACTAGACTGTATCATCTACGCAACCGGATTTGAATGGCAACAAGAGTGGTCCCACCAGACTGGGACGCAAATCTACGGCCGGAAAGGCTTGACCATAACGGAAAAGTGGGCAGATGGGGTATCAACGTTCCACGGCTGGGGCGTCAACGGATTCCCGAACCTTCTCATGGTCTCGATTGCCCAATCTGGTTCGACTCCCAACTATGTACACAGCGCCAATTTTATGAGTCAGCACTTTGCGTACATCGTCAAGAGTTGCAAAGATCGTGGCATCAGGACTATAGAGCCGACTGCAGAAGCAGAAGCTGAATGGGTGCTAGAGATTCTCAAAGTTGGTGCGCCCAGAGCCCAGTTCCTAAAAGAGTGCACGCCGGGCTACTACAATGAAGAAGGAAAAATGTCAGAGAAGGTGACACGCGCGAATCCGTATGGTGGCGGTGGAGTTCAATACCTCAGTATCCTGACTGAATGGAGGAATGAAGACAAGCTGGCCGGGCTTCAGAAAACCCCGGTCGAGGTTTTGCCTTCCTATTAGACCCAGGACCATAATACAACTGCAGTTCAAGGCAAGATAGACATCGATCCATTGTGTACACGAGTGCAATTTTTTTCCCCTTCTCCGTATAATGAGTGTCTACCCAAGCTAGGCCCAACGGACTGCACGGAAAATAAGCAGTATACGAGCCCTCAGCCTAGAAAACACCCTTTAAGTCTCAGTTCTGGCATGATCCGGATATCCCATCGCGGCCCAAGCACATAGTATCGGAATTGTGCTATTCCCCGATGTCCCCAATCTCGGATGCCCGGGTAAAGTGAGCTTCAGCAGCCATGTAGTAGAGCGTCAATTCATCTCCTCAGGTTTGTAATATTTCTAAAACCGAATTCCAATTTGAAACTCTCGAATTACTCGGAAATGGTTCGAACATTGCATCTCAGTAGGGGTATCATCTGCTCTTCTTGCACATATTGACTATGCTTTTCCCAGGAGTGGCATTAGTGACGGGAGCTGGTTCAGGTATTGTTGGGAACTATTGACTATCATTTGTGTGCTGGCAATACTAAAGGCGACCAGGTATCGGACGTCAGACAGCTCTCTTACTTGCACAAGAGGGGTGCTCGAGAATAGCAATTGCCGACATCAACGAGGTCGGCGTCGCTGAGACGAGAGATGCGATTGAGAACTTGACTCGAAATGTAGACATTCTCGTCATTCATCTCGGTATGCTAGACATGTCCCTCTTGTGGAAATCCCAGCACTGACTTGAGCCAGATGTTGCCTCAGAGGATTCGATCAAGTCCATGATTGATACTACGGTCGGAAAATTCAGTCGAATCGACTATGCCTGCAATGTCGCAGGACTTTGCATCTCTGGCGAGACAGTAGCAACTTCCAGCGAGTCCTGGGACAAGCTTTTCCAGGTGAATGCTCGCGGTACATGGCTCTGCCAAAAGTATGAGATTCTCCATATGCAGAAGCAAGATCCCCTGGAGTCGCCAGACAGCAAACACAAGAGTCGCGGTTCCATTCTAAATGTGTCGTCCATGGCTGGACGACAGGGACAAGCCAATCTTGTCGCCTATGGGGCGGCCAAGCATGCGGTAGTTGGCTTCACGAAGGCCGACGGAATGCGCTACGGTTCAGTTGGCATCCGTATCAATGCCGTCTGTCCAGGAGCCATCAAGACTCCCATGTTGACCATTTTTGCGAATGAGAGAGTCGGCGGTCATCTAGACAATTTGGCGTTGCAGAGACTCGGGGACCCGGAAGAGATTGCGGAATGTGTCGTCTGGCTGTCTTCACGTCGCGCAAGCTATGTCACTGCAACAACACTTTCGCCACACGGAGGTAAGAAACCCCCATTTCCCTATGCATTCTATGGTATTGATAGAGCTCTTATCAGGTATGATGGATGGATGACTCAACGTTGGTTGCGAATACTCACAGCACTAGCTGGGCTATATGGCAGGACGCCTGTTGGTCAGTACACGGTACGCACAGAAACGATGGAAGAATGGTTATAAAATGAAAGAGCGAATATATTTGAGCTGAAGAGGCACAAGATTGGAGTGCTGGTGGTGCGGTGATCTCTCACTCCAGTATGGCAGATATAGCTAAGGAAAGTGGGTGTAGACGTCAAAAGGGCGGAAAAGCCGATGTGGCTTTGACGGTCGTCGTACTAGCACGTGATAGCAGCAGCCGTACCCCTGCCCACTGCCTCTTGCAATGGCTTTCCAAGCTACCTACTCCTACGACCTGATGATATCGATAGCCTTGTTGAAGTCGCCGATCTTTCTTGTGAGCCTTGTTCGGTACGACTTGGCCGATTTAGTCTCGCCGACAATCCGCTCAAGCTCTTCGGGACTAAGGTTAATTACCCAATCCTGATTGAAAACGTTGAGAGGGTTCGAAGGGCCATGGAGCAGGTGAAACCCAACCGCCAGCTGGAAAATATTGTCAATGAATCGATCGAGCGCCAGCTGATAGTAAGCCTGAAGGATGTCATGAATCTTTTCCTGCAACTGCTCCATGTTGCGCTTCTCCTGGGCGACTTTGGGGATGTCGTCCAGGTTAACCATATATTGCACCTCGCCATACTGGGCCTGATCTTTCCTAGCTGTGGGCTTCAGAAGCTCAGCAATCCGATTCCCGCGAGCTTTCGACAGAGCCTTGGCAAATTGTGGATTTAGAGTATACGGCTTCTTGCGGCGTTCCACCTCTATCAGTAGGTCGGCCTGTTCGATGGCCGCCTTGTACCTCTCTACGAGACTCCCGACAATTGCGGCCCATAGTTTGCCCCGCCCTTGAGGATCCGGCCAGACGGAACGGAGAGCGGTGCCGATGAATCGATGAAGAGCGATAATGCATCTTCTCATGTAGGTCCAGGTCATTTGACCCCATTTGCGCGACTGCTCTGCAAACGCCACAGAAACAAAATTTGGATTGAAGGTCCCAAGGTCCAGGCCCCGTGAGCGCAGGTAGACATCTTCGATCCACTCTGTGATGTCCTGGGGTGCAATAGGCTGCAGCGGCGGCGGTATCATAATGTCGCCAAGTTCATGAGGCTCCTCGTCTCTGAGGTCATCAAGACTGGCTCTTTGGAGGAGCAATCGCACTTTTTGTACCATGGCTTCATCGTCTTCACTGTCTGAATTACTAAAGTCGTTGCTTGGGGTAGACGGTTCCGACACCCCGACGAGAGCGAACGGGCGGGAATGAGCTTTCTTTTGAAAGTCAGCACTGAAGACTTCCGTTATATTGGCAATGCGAGTGATCAGACGTAGCTCGTCTTCATCAAATGCTGCATCGGCGTTGTAGTCCGCAGACAAGGCCGCTCTAACGCGATCCTGGAATGCTCCAGCAATCAGATTCAGAAAGCTGCGCTGCTCTCGCTCATCCTGACGCGGCGGCCCAAGGCTGTTGAGCTCCTTGTTGCATTCCTTGATCTGTTCATTGATTTCTCGCCCCAGCTGAGGAAAAAACTGGCGGGTAATGTCGAGCAGCAGAGTCGAGAGTTGGGCCTTAAGTGCAGTAATTCCCAGTCGATGATGAGGGAGAGTTTTCCACGGCTGCATCTCAAAAAACTGATCAAGTTGTGACTGTTTCAAGGCATTGCCGTCCGCCCCACGATTGCGAACGAGGAAGTAGCCAAGATTTAGAGGCCTCCTGTTGCCCCGAACGAGGTCGCAGACGGCATCTTGTGCACCAGATTCGAGAACCAGGTCGGGCTTCGTGAGAACACCAATTGTCCGCTCCCCATTCTTGTCGTACTCTTCTGCAAGTTCCAAGATCTCTTGTGTGGCGATATCAACATTGCTCGGCAAGACCGCGAGGATGATCGTACGACTCTCTTTGATGTAGCTTTTGACTAGATCCCTCACCATGGTCATATCGTCTTTGGTGGTACCTTGAGTGGTAGTGCGAAAAATGCCAGGTACGTCAATAATGGTTAGGTAGTCCTCACGGGGTCCATGAATCTCGATCTTGAGTACGTCCTCGCTGAAAACCGTGCCATTCTCGGACTTGAGATCAGCCCTCAAACCCATTCGTTCATTTGCCTATTTCATCTTGAGCTTTGAAATTTGACGGACGATAATCGAGATCAACTGACCTTCTTCAAAATTTCCAAGAATTGATCTTTCAACTCCAAGGAAGACTTGAGCTTCATACTGAATCCACTAACATGCTTTTTGTGCTCCTCGGATGAGTGAGGGCCGGGGATGATGCGTACTTCAACGTGTTCGTTACCATTGGTACGTCGAGATGTGATCTGAGTAGCATGCCGGGTGCAAAGTTGTTGATCCTTCGGGAATGGAACCCCACTCAGGCTTTCTAGCAATGAAGACTTGCCAGAGCTCTGATCGCCGACTACGACCAGCTGTGTGAAAGGTGAGTCTGTGGCCGACCCTGCTCAATATTGGTCTGGGCACATACCTGAGGAAGGGGCACATGTTGGCCAATATTCAAATCACGGAGCCTGTCAACCTTCTCAAGTAGAGCCGGATCTGACAACAGATTAGTATCCTGAACCATGGTCATCTCGAGGTTTGTGATGCAGTTTATGAAATAAAATTGGATAGTTGTTTTCTTGGGAAATGTTGCGATGATGACTAGAATGATGATTGTGTATTCTCCTCAATTTTCAGGATCTACCCATCTCTTTTATAGATGTGAGGGCAACTACACGCACACTTCGGATTCCAAATTATCAATGCTTCATTTTCTTCCACTTCCTGATCTTTTCTCTCGGGTTTCCAATTCTGATCCTCACCAACGTGTATTGTAGTTAAAGGTACAAATCCGCTTAATTTACACAAAATCGGTATCTTGTCACATGCCTGTCCATAAAACAAAATTTATCATGATTTGCGGTCAGGGGTCGAAAGTTTAAACCGGCAACGCAGATTGGTTCAAAGTGAGGAATGACAGATTTAAGCGCGAACCAGATAAGAAAAGCATGAGCCGCGGTTGCAATGACATCGCATCCTCCCACGGGCGGCCCGTATCGGGCTGCATGATAAATCACGCTGCTTGATGTTTGGTTGATTTTGAGGCGTGCATGTCCATTATGTTCCCGCCCTCCTCCCGATTGGCCATTTTTGAGGCTGCGACTGCATGGGATTGAGCTTATTGCAGGTCGCTACCGTGGCTTCTGGCCTGTTGAGGCTAGCATTGCCTTGTCAAACCTGCAAGCGGGGTCATTCGGCACATCACTATCTTATTCAACCACACGCTGAGTCGGCCCAGATAGAGTGTAGAGAGACACGGAAGAAACCATATTCTCCGGTTAACAGCCCTCAGTAAGTATCGTGTTGCGACTATACGGTCGGGCCATAACGTTAAGGTAAAGTTTCCTTACTTCACGCGGATATATATTGTACATAACTTCTCGAGATCCTTTCGCCTCGTCTCCCTCTCCAATCATACCATAGTCATACTTTTATGAAAATACTTCTGCATTTCAAACCTTCTGGAACCCATATCGCCCAGCCCTTCTTATAAACTGAGGTTGGGCCTCCTGTGCCCTAAACAGGAGGCCCGCAGTGCTTAACTCGTGTCGAGCAACGAACAGCAGCATGTTTGTCTCAGTCAACAAGTCTCATCCTGCTTAGGCAGCCACGGTCCTTCAACACACTCATCATCACAGGATTTCGGGTATTTTGGCTCTAGCGGATGTGTGGATGGCGACGTGCACAAGCATTGCAGTGAGCACGAATGTCACCCGGCACCCGCCGGCCCCCCGTTTTTCTCGGATAATGACAACGTTGATACTGTCTTGCTAGGATTTGGATCTTGCTTTCGTACTCACCAAGACAATTCCGAGGATTTCAACGATTTCAACGCCCATTGGATTCCCCACTCTCCTATCCCAGATGGTTCACATCCCTGGGATGAAAACCCACTGCGGTCTCCCAGTGCAACCTTTGCGGATACTCCAGCAGTGGTTCAAAGCGACAACACCTCTCACCTGCGCTGCGACTTGTGCATGGAGAATTTCTCCGGTCGCAATAACCTGAATCGCCACCTCGAAACTAAACATAAACTCGGCAAAGAATACTGGGTTTGCACGGTCAGGGACTGCACCAGGTACGATAAACCATGGTTCAGAAAGGATAATTTTCGCCGACACTGTCGAAGTCGACATCCGACAGTGGGCTTTGCACAGTTTGGCCTGTGAATACTTTCGTGTCTGCTTCATTTGTGGTTGTTCATCATGGTACAAGATCCCTCAGGATCGAAGGTCTATACAATGTTGTTCAACAATATCTAAGAAGGCAGTACATCGGCGTGGATCATCTCGACTTCTATATCTCTAAGCCATCCAGTCAGCGTGGCCCCTCACAGATTGCTGAAGCAGTATGATGGTATCAAATAGTATTCAAAAGGCAAATAGTCGCATAGAAGTCCCTAATTGAAAGAGTCCGTGCATCACTGCTGGTATTCTCCGTTTTCGTAAGGTCTGGAACATGAACCATGTGATGGGACACACAAAATAGATTTGGGCACGATGATGCAAAATTTGGAAATTTTAGTCCCGAAGATTTATCACCCGTCAGGATTTATGAGAGTGTTGATGCTACCTGAAGCAGCCCGCCTTAACGGTTAGCTCAAAGCTCAGGGGCGTCCTAGTGCGCATTCACCCCACCCGTGCTGCGCGGAATGAAGCTGAAATGCCACGAGCACTCGTGATATCATGATGCCAATTTGTATTTTTTGTTCAACCTGTCGCCTACATAATAGGTAAAATTGAAAAATGCAAATACCGGCATGATTCAAATACCAGCATCCAGACCAATTTTTCAAGTCAATTGCCTCTCGGTAGTCTTGACATAACACTTACCGAGGTGAGAATCAAGCCATCATGAAGTATTAAGCTTCTCCCATCTCAGCCCACGAGCGGCTTGGGCCGTTGGAGATATCCTGTAACTACGAAAGTTTAATGAAGGAGTCGAAACGGTATGAGTTGTGGAAATGGCCGCCTTTTCTTTTCTGTCAACGCTTCTTAATTGTGAAGAAAAGGGGAATGCATACCTTCGCATTGCTAAATAAGTCAATAAGTTGGCCATGCTGCAAACGAGTTTTGATCTTATGTTGATATCTATCACTTTTCATCCACTTATACTGCAACGCGATTATTTCTGGCAAATATTGCTCACGTTACGATGTTATGTCTCACACTTGTCCTAGGCCTGCTATTTACCAAGCAAGCTCTTACCAAGCGGCATCATCAGCATCATGGTCACTATACACTGATGCCGCCACCCGTGTACAGCGGTGGGATAACCGCCGTACCCACGAGCGCTCTCTCGACCTCTGCGACCTTGGACAACTTGCAAACCACAGTCCCGACCACAAGTACAACAAGCGCCCACCCGGTCCAGCCAACCTTTGTTCTCCGGGATGCAGAAGATCAAGAGGTGACATTGTGGTATGAAGAGTATGCCGGCGACAAAAGAGGCTTCCCATACTTTCGATCGGCGTCTGAAGTAGGCAACACTTCCATTTTCACCTTGGCCAGAAACGGGAATCTTGTTCATATAAGTCCTGAGCTCCCCACGACAAATTATGTTGCATCTGGAACCGAGTTCTATCCATTCTTGTTCCGTGAGCCTGGTTCTGTCTTCCGCCTTTGTGCATGTTCAATACCTAATTGTACTTGTTCAATCGATGAAGACACGCTGCAATTGGACTGCGATTGTGGTGGACTCACAAGGTTTTGCATATATCCGTCTAGATTCATATTTCCATGCAATGGATCGGATGCAATTTCAAGCGAGTTGTTCTTGTATGCAACCCCGATCGCGTCAAATACGACGACCCCAGCCAGCTCTGCGCCATCAAGCACAAAGAGCGGCAACGTTGCGCAACCAACCTTCAAGATCCAAGATGCAGGACAAACACGAAAACTTGCAGTTTCTTATGACCGGAACAATATCAACGGAAAACTAGGGTTTCCCGTGGCCACCAGACTAGGCGAAAATGACACATGGACCTTGAACGACAAGGGCAACATTGTTCATGTTGGCCCTGGGTCACGGACAGAAGGCTTCATTCTGTGGGGTTTGGAAGACCGTGATTTTGAATTGGCTCATCCAGAGCACCCCGAATTTGAATATGGAGAAGGGAGCAAAGATTATTCTCCATACACTTATACCATCGACCCAATCACATCACGGCTCACTTGCAATCAGAATGCGTCCCTGGGAATCTGCTTCATTTACGTCGAGAGCTTTTGGTCGTGCGCTGAACCCTTTGCCGATATTCAGAAGATATTCTGGTTTGCAGTCCCAGTTGATCCACCCACTCCGGCGGCGACGGTAACGAGTACGCAGTCTCCTCAACCAACGTTCCGCATTCAAGATGCACAACAGAAGAGCGAGCTGTACCTCGATTATTCATTCGTTGAACCCACGTCATCAATCATTTTTGTCAAATTTGGGCCTGTCGGGGCCCAGCCAGGTGTTATGCCCTTATTCACCTTGAACGAAAGGGGTAATCTTATTTACGTGACCCCCGGTACACATTTCACTGGCTTCCATGCGTATGGCGTCGAGTTCTTTCCATTTCGGTTTGGAGATCCCGATCCCCGCTTCAGAGACGTTTTCGAAGATGATTGCGTTTGCTCCATCGACTCAGTCACATCACAATTAAGCTGCAATTGCGCCGGTGTCACGGTTAATTGCCTCCAACCGTGCGACAAATTAACTTGCCTCGATGAATGTGACCCATGGCATGTATTTCCGGTGGATCCAGATATTCTGACTATAGGAAGTTCATCGACAGGCATAGTTGCTGCTTAGATTTCGACTTATCGGGGGCTTATTAGGGTTGAATACATACTTATGCAGCATCACATCGCTCCAAGCATCACAATATCTCGCAGGCAGGAAATAAGTGCGAAATAGTGGAATATCTTTGATTGTTTCAAATGAGAAAAACATTGTCAAGTCAAATATTTCCGTCCTTGGCCAAATCTAGACGCGCTATAAAAGAGAGCTTGCTGTGCTGACCCTTGAAGGTTCAGAATATCGCCATGGCATTTGAATAACTGCCAACCGAACCTGTAATGGGGTTAATTCAGTTGAAATCAACCTCTGAAATCCTTTTGAACTGACCCTCTATGTTCATTGGCATACTGGCAAAGAAGAACTCGTACTGCCCACGTTCTTGGCACGTATTCGCCAGCGCCTCCATGTCCCAGAGTTCTCCAATGGGAAGACCCCACAATGGGAGAAGGTTGACATGGTGATTCCACTCTGGACGTTGTGGCCATACTTCAAACGCAGGTGCATCCGAAGCCACGACGCTAAAGTAGTTGTCGTGTAGAAAGTCGGCCATTTCCTCTGATTGATCAACTCCGACTAGGGTATGACCGTATTTCGGCACTTGCGTCAGCTTCAGTCTCTGCTCGGGAGTCATTCGCTCATACGATTCGATCCAACCTGTTCTGATCAGTAGTATGTCCCCATATCTCAGCTCGATTCCGTGGGATTTGGCGCAGGCTTCAAGTTCTGTCGCAGAAATTGGGTGTCTGCTATTCGGGTCATAACTGCCTTTGACATGACGCCAGTAGTCCAAGAGCACACCTCTCCCAACTATACCGTATCAGTCCATGGACATGACTACCCTTTTGGCATGGGTGCCATCTCCTCAATATTTACCGCCCCCAATAGTTAATGGAAGGACTTACTGATGCCACTCTTACACCACGCCTGCACGCCGATGCGGGAGCTATTCTTGATGTCTTCTTGTGTAGTCTTGCAATTTTAGTTACGATTCGAAGCTTCGGGTTGATTACACAAACATTGTTGTAATAAAGCCACTGGCCATTATGCTCAACGCTGACCTGCTGGAGGGTGAGCCACTGGTCACACATGAATGCCGACAGACACATACATGCCGGAAGCCATCCCACTATTCCATCATCAGTCTTTGTCTTCTTCAAACGGGGAAATGGCTCACCTGAGATCCACTTTGCGAGTTGAAATGCAGAATTTCGTCATTCCCTGGTGGTCCCAGCGACTTTATCTCGTGGTGAAACGGCTCACGACCAAACAATGGCGGATTTGGCAAATGCGCAGGCCAGCTATGAAGAGTCAACCTCAAAGGTTTTACCTCACATGTTGGAACAAATACTTAAGATTGACGACTTTGCCTTCGTGAATCAGTTTCGATGCTTCTGCGATTCTCTGTGGCGTGAGCATATTCAAGCGTCCCAGCTATCGATATTAGCTACCAAGGGATTTTTCGGATACAAAATTCAAATCATACTTCGTCATTTTCACCCCAGAACCATGCTGCTCCCTTTGGAGCCCCTGCAATTTGGGGTAGCTCTGACCTCTTGGGGAGGGAATTTGAGTTTGGATCAAAAATCATGTTTGGCCAATTGGAGCGTGCAAGTAAGGGGCTTCAATTCGTAAATCGAAGAAACAGTAATGAACGAGACTACTCCATGTTTGAACTCAATAATGCCTTATAAAATAGATTTTCCGCATCCCCAAAATCGTTTTCTTCTTGTCAACGTTCCCAAATAGTCGGCTAGGGGCCGGAAATAAGAGCCGTTCAAATAGAAGGTCCACATTTGATCAATGCTCGTCCTGCTTGCTGGCTTCAACAGAAATGTGGCTGATCTTTAGCCCGAATAATCACTGTGCGATTGTATTCTTTTCGCTGCTTGCGCTTCAGATGGAAGCAACGAGTATCTAAGTATCGTCAACTCAACTTCTTACCCCACATAACCTTGATCTTATCTCCGACTGCCCAGGTACATTTCTAGACACGCAATAATGTACGGCTTGCGGAATTGATTGTGAAGCACGTGACAAATATGAGAATCTCGATACACTATTTGCGTATCTATATACAGCGTCTTGACCCCTGCAAACTCAATAGTCGTTGTAGCCTTCTTCTGGCGTGTCAAAGTACCACGTTGTGTCCAGCCCCGGCTCCTCCTTGGTGGAGAAGCCATGGCCAAGATATCGGAAGCGATTGTGACTGAAATACTTGTACTCAAAGTCCTCAAAACGGATATGCTGCATCGCATGGAACCAATGTATGCGACTCCCCGGGTGCAAAGCCACAATTGGCCCATCAACCGTGCCATTTTTGAACCACGACCGACATGGCGTAGCCCAAGCTGTTCTCTTCATGAATTCAGCGACATGTTCGTTGAAATCTCGAACCGCTGCGGGTAATGGAGCAACCGCTTTGATGTTTTGAGTCTGTATCTTTTTCATCATGTTGATGATGTACTTGGTTGCATGCTCAATGATGGGCAGGACAGACCCGTGTCCGACAGGCGAGTTTGGCCCCAGAAACACTAGGGTGGCTGTTAAACCTCTGCTTTCATCTGTCATGCACGAGAACTTACTAAAGTAGTTTGGGAAACCTGCCGCGGCGGTCGACAAGTATGCTTCAGGCTTTTCTCGCCATTCTTCTTTGATGTCGCGTCCATCTCGTCCAATCAGCTTGAATCGAGGACAAAAGCCAATGTCAAATCCAGTGGCACAGATGAGCGTGTCGACTTTCAGCTCCTCTCCTGTTGCCAGGACTATTCCATCTGACGATACTCGAGATATCTTATCCGTGATGACGCGGACGTTGTCTTCGGAAAGCGCTTCCAAGAAGCCATTTCCCGGTGTCGGTCGTTTGCAGCCGACGGCAAAATTGCCGGGCATCAAGTGTTGCAACAATGCTTCATCCTTGAGCTTGCTCTTCATCTCGTTGATGGAGAACTGCCGCGCAGTGGCTTGCTCTTCACTATCCGCAATAATCTGTAGAAATACCATGACTTAGTTCCGATCATGCAACGGAGAGAAATAATGACTCACGAATTTGAATCTGGTGTTCAATTCTCCTTCAATCTCCTTCCGATATCGACGATATACGTCGGGATTCTCTCGAAACTCCCGTTTCTGCTCCTCGGAAACTAGCAAGAAGTTAGTCAAAGCAGTACATTTTTAGCAGTTGGTTGGTGCAGAGGCCTACAGGCAAAGTTCGCGCCCCCAGGCCCAGCATGACTCTGTGCGAACCCCGCGGTGATCCATGTTGGGCTGCGCACAAATGCAAACAATGAGCTTACGACTGTATAAGTGTCAGTTTCTGATTCGTCAATTCACGACCGATTGTCTTACCGGGCTGTATTGTTGGAATGATTTGTATGCCAGAGGAACCCGATCCCAACACTGCGACTCTTTTGCCATCTACAGTCTGATCCGCATCCCATGTCGCACTGTGGACGAGACTTCCATTGAACGAATGAAGCCCTGGAATGTCTGGCCACTTCCAATTGTTGAGAATTCCGCTTCCGTTGATCAGAATATGGCACTGATCTTCGACCATCTCACCCGAATCCAGAGCATGCATCTTGACCTTCCAGATTCCTTGTTCCTCATTCCAGATCGCCTCGGAGACGCTATGGCGCAACCTGATGTACTTGTAAAGTTCATACTTGTGCGCTATGCCCTGAAAGTACTGGAGGATCTCGTTCCATGGCGAGTAGCTGATCGTATTAACATCCATCCAGCACACATGAGATTACTTCACATCGCGCCTTACTAATGAGTCCACTCCGGATTGGGCTCCCAGGTGAACTGATAATTATGAGATGGAATGTCGCAAGCACACCCAGGGTACCTAGATCGAGGTTAGAAGCAAGTATGCTCGCTACGTTGGTGTAATAAAAATCTCACCGATTCTCAAACCAAGTTCCTCCCACATCCGCATTCTTTTCGTAAATAGTGAGCTCAAAATTCTTCATGTGCAGTTCCATGTGACGAGCCAGGTTTAGGCCGCTTGCACCTGCTCCTACTACGATCACGCGTATTGGCCGGGGATGGCCCAGTGGCTCTTCGGTGACTTCATACATTGCGTTGTGCGTCAAATTAGATGTACTGCTCAGGAACCTTGACGGTGCTTATCATCAGTCAAGATGTCACCATTTATCATAAGCTGTTCGCAAGTCACATCAACATTGATTACTGGTATTGCCATCATCTTTGCAGAACAGGACAAACTCCCTGTGATAGGTGGTATTGCCGCGGGGCAACCTGACCCGTGATGCACGTGATTCCCTTGATCAGAGTAACATTAAGCTGGCGATCTGTGAATGCGGGGGTTGTGACACCGGCCGGAAACTTGACCCGAAGTCTTGCCACCGATTTTCAATCGGAAAACAAAGCGGCCTCTGACACGCTCCCAGCATACAGCTCAGGCAATTTCCGGAACACAGAAAGCGGTTCCTCTGTGATGTGTGGAGTACTCGCCACTTCTTTGTGAAGATTCAGACTACATGCCGCGGACTATATTTGGATAGCTTCGTTTAGTGGCTCTGCAATTGTGATTTCTTTACTGCAGTGCATTTACATCATTCTTACTTGCTTGAACAATGACTCATCCTGGAAGACTCGAAGGTAAGGTGGCCATAGTCACAGGGGGTGGAGCTGGCTTCGGGGTCGGAATAGTGGATAAGTTTGTTCATGAAGGCGCCAAGGTCGTCATTCTAGATGTTGTCGAGGAGAATGCTCAAGCAGTCGTCTCCAAGCATCCAAAAGGATCTTCCGTTGCCATCAAGGGAGATGTCTCTAGCGAGAGCGATTGGAAACGTGCCTTGGAAGTCGCAGTGCAGACCTTTGGAAAGCTCGATGTCGTGGTCAACAATGCCGGTGTGGTGTACACCGCTGGCCCCAGCACGGAAACTGCCGAGTCAGACTTTGATCGTGTCGTCAAGGTCAATCTCAAGTCACTCTTTTGGTCAAGCCGAGTTATTATTCCCTACTATAAGGAGAGAGGGGAGGGCCTGGGCGGCCTCTTCATCAACATTTCCAGCATGTCCTCACCCCGACCTCGGCCTGGATTAATCTGGTATGGAGCCACCAAAGCAGGTGTTACCAATGCCAGCAAAGGGCTTGCACTCGAATGGGCAAAACATAATATTCGCTTCAATGTGATCCATCCTGTTGCCGGAGAGACGAATATGTGAGTGACTCCTGCTTGCCTCTTGACTCTGACAGGATTCTAATTCTGCAACTAGGGTGCCATTCTTTCTCGGTGGTGAAGATTCTCCCGAAAGTCGAGCTAAAATGATGAGCACAATCCCCCTTGGACGATTTGCGGTGCCTTCCGACATAGGAAATACGGCAGCGTGGCTGGCAAGCGATGAAGCAAGCCTTCTGACTGGTGCATCTATTGATGTCGACGGTGGAAGAGGAATCTGACATAAAATCCTAATTGATGGGTATTGGAGTGTAGCCTGAATTGAATTATTTGCTGTTCTACCGGTTCAGTGCACCATACCTTGATTCCATCGTATTGTGTGTTCCGGATCTTCATTGCCGATCGAGGCTTGTGAGAGAAACGTCTGTACCCCCTGTCGCACGCGTGGCGTATACGCCGTCACTAGAAGTATTGAAGTATAAGTAACAGCAGATCACATTGCACAGAAAGAAACTTTGAGCTGCATCCATGGTCACCCATTTCTTCTACTCTTCACCCACCCTGCCTTTCATTTGCAACACCATGGCGGATCGATACAATTCACCATACCATCACTTGGGAAATCCATATCCGGAGTGGGTCGAGGTGAGACCTTTTCCTGCCTTTCCATATTCCGTGCTGACAGCGACAGTTTTATACCAAACAGCCCGATCGAGTGCCCCAGTTGGTTGGCTCGCCCAAGGAGATGCGAGATGTAATGCAATTCTTGAAAGCAAAGGCAACGAGTATGGTGCCGCCAATGGAAGATGGCATTACTGTACAGAATCTCTCCTATCCTGCCGCCGATGGCGCCCAAATACCCCTTAGGCTGTACACACCTTCTGGAAGAACCAATCCCGGCCCGGCCATTGTTTAGTACATACCACTATTACCGCGATTCTTCTCCGCAGCCACTGACAGCATGCAGTATCCACGGCGGCGGCTGGACGCTCGGAGATCTTGAAGGAGAAGATCTGTCTTGTCGCTCAATGTGTCTGCATGCCGACTGCGTGGTGGTGAGCATGGACTATCGGCTGTAAGGTATATTTGTTCATCGCTGGGAACAAGACTGACGAGTGTAAAGTGCACCTGAACACCAGTTTCCAATTGGTCTTGAGGACGTCTGGGCCGCCGTTGTGTGGGCAAGTATCTGTCTTGGTACGAAGTGAGCAATGTACATGTTCTGACATATTTAGACCATCGAAAACGCCGCGCATATTCTTGTGGACGTGAACTGTCTAATTATTGGCGGTTCAAGTTCTGGCGGCAACATGGTATGTCTCAATCTATGTTATTTTTATCTCCGCCGGCCTTGCTAATCAAGTGCAGGCTGCCGTGTTAGCTCACAGGGCCCGGGATCGTGGGATCTGTCTCAAAGGTCAAATACTTCGCATTCCATCAGTCTGTCACATTGATGTTTATCCTCCAAACCTCAACCTTTGGAGCATGGAAGAACTAAAAGATGCTCCTCTCTTGTCCAAAAGATCCATGGAGCTTTTTTGGAGCTATTATAACCCTTCCAATCCGGCCAATCCGGACGCTTCACCTCTCTTGCGGGAAAGCTTTGCGGGACTCGCCCCGGCTTATGTGCAGATTGCCGGTATGGATCCGCTCCGTGATGAAGGTCTCGCATACGTCGACAAATTGCAGCAGGCCAAGTAAGAGGAACCTCACAAGCTCGGTCTACTGCCTCTCATAGCGTGCTTCTATTGCTTTTTCCAGAGAATGCTAATTGTGCCTATAGTGTTCAAGTCAAGTTGGATGTCTATCCGGGCTTTCCTCATGCTTTTGGCTACTTCCCAGAGCTTCCATCGGCAAGAACACTGGAGAGAGATCTTCTCAAAGCCATCAGAGAGATGATTGATCGTGAAACCTGAAAGACTTCTCTTGCCGAGAAAAGGTCGTTATTGGTGGGAATGCGACAGGGGCCCAAGATCACACGTATATACCTAGGTATACACACTAGGTTGGTACCTACTTTACGTACTTTAAAAAAGAATGTCACCTTAATCATTGGCGTCCCTAAATACCCTAGACACTTCATGATTCACCAAGGCGGACAATATGTATAAACCAACAGTTCCTTGAGTGAGCCCTCAGTGACAATACATCATATTGATTGCTACAAACAAACATGTGTCTTTCACATTCATCTTTGTCCCAAACTCAAGGGTCAGGACCTGTTTGCAAATTGTAACAGCTCTTTTTGATACTGCGTGCTGCTCTAGAATATCGCTAGAGCATTGGGCGGACTTGCTACACCTCCATCAACGTTCAATGGGCAACTTGTGACGAAAAAGGTCCATCTATTGTGGTTTTTGCACTCCTCCGCCAGTGCCTCCAGATCCCACAGCTCCCCCAGCGGTGTTCCCCACAGTGCTAGGGCGTTGTCATGAATGCCTATCGTCCGTCATCATCAGCATGGTGAAATCTCACTTTGGGTTCAAGTAGTCTCGCTTACGGTACGGCCCATCCGCTGGCCAAGCCTCAAAGGCCATGTTATCGCCAATCAAGGCAGAGAAGTGCTGATTCCACAGCCACTCAATGGACTCTGCGGTGCCTTCGAGTCCAATGTAATCGTGGCGCTTCTTGCAACCTTGCACTCGCTCCTCGGAGCTCGCTTCATTATACCACTTGATCCATCCAGTCCTCAGCATCAAAAGATCTCCAACGCGAAACTGCACTCCCTGGTCCTTGGCGATATCGATGAGATCGTGGTGTGTAATACAATGCTTGCTTGCTGCACTGTACCTGAGACCCTTTTGAGCTGCCCATGAGACATAATCGAGCAAAACACCGCGGCCAATGACGCCCCCTCGCTTTTGCCACTCTATTATTGACATTAACGCCAGTGCATCAGATGTAGGAATAGCCACAAACCTTGAATGCCGTTCTTGTTGTTGGGGTTCAAGCCACTGATCTCCTCATGGGTCAGACCATTATAGTAAAGTCCTGTAGGCTGATGCGCCCAGTGACCTTGCATAGATCAGTAGCTTATTCTTTACAATCAATCACAGGCCAACACTTACGGAGACCGTCCCATTGACTGCTTGTTTGCGTATTGATGTATATCTCATCGTCATGACCAACCAAATTCGGCTTCAAGTCGAGAAACTTGTGTACAATTGCGTTTCGGTTGTGCCCTGGGTCTTCAATCCTCTCGAGTGGCCAACTAATCATACCCATTAGTTTCCTCAATGACTGACCAGTGCGCTTTTACTCACTTGAGTGAGACCGATACTCCAGTCTGAATCTCTTTCTTGGCCTCCAAAATAGTCTCTGGGGTTAGAAGATTTAGACTCCCAACTTGGTCCTTCACTCCATTCTTGTCCCAAATACCCCAAGCACATCCTGGCGGCATTCCGGGGACCGGAGGAAGCTCCGTATACTGAGGTATGTTGAATTCAGGCCGAGACATCATTCCTTGCTGTTTTTAAACTTATCCAATTTATTCGAATAATTCTTTTTGCACTCATATTCTTGATCCAATCCAAACTCAGTCGGTATTCGTTTTGTATATGCTCATGCCAATAGCAATAGCAACGCCCACGGCCCCGAGCCGGCTAATCTGCAAGACCGTCCGGGGTCGGAAAATGTCTCCGATACTTGCCACTATTGGAGTATAGACATGACTGTGCCCCAAAATGTCATACATATGTGCATGCACGATCAACCAAAAGTATATCCATAGGTTTTCTCATTGAAATAAAACATAGGCATCATCCTTTCCACCCTCCAAGGTGACAACGATCTTACTGTAAAAGACAGCTCTTCTTTTGTTGCTGCATTGATTCTGTTATTTACAAATTCAAGAAGCTGGGCGAGATACAACAGTCTGAAGTGGCATATACATAGGCTTTGGCGACGAGATGTTGAAATATTGATTGACCGAGAAGAGCTTAGACATAACGAAATTGGACTGTGGGAAGTTTTCCACTGGCGTGTGACCAAGACTGGCGTTCGCGCGCAACCAGAATCATACCTGTTGCATTCCTAGCCTTGGGTTTTATTTTGATCGAGTCGAAGATAGTTTAGACTCGTGTCTTGGTGATCGTGGCACTTGGCCAGGAATAAACTCATGATTTTGCCAGTGGTACAATACTGGCTGATCACCTAAACGTTTACACAAGAAGTGGACTGACCTCGAAGAATATACCAACTTTTCAAGAATCTCAAACATGAATCAATTGATAAGTCCACTCCTAAAAGTAGGACTGTATGTGCTCCAGAAGCTGGATAAGTGAGTTCGCCCAGCTTAGTCAGCAAAGACCAGCGATCGCATGTTGGACATCACACAGTACTTGAATCTAAAGCATCGACTTGGGAACCCAGTACAATGTTATGATATCTCTTGCATCCCTTTCTTGACTTTTTCTGACGAGGATCGCCAAACCTTCTTTAGGCGCTTGTCAGACTGATCTTCGTTGATCCCCACAGCGGTGCTCCGTTAGGGCTGAGGCGCAAGACCCGGGTAGGTGCCGCTAAGACGGGGCCAATAACTCAAGATCAGTTTCACTCGGCGTGATTATTCGCGTTTCCAGATCTTGCCCGATGCTATACATGCCGGCGGAGCTGGGCATAAGCGCTGCGTAGTGGTGCAGTGTCAGAAAATGATCACGGCTTGGTGATGATGAGAGAATCTCCACCGCAACGAAAGACCCATGTGGTGGCCCGCAAGTCACGTCCACAGTTGGACGTGGCCGAGTTTCCACATGGCACATATTACGATAAATTTCTCCGTAATATATCTAAAATTTTGGCAATCACGAATGCTCAAATCCTGGAACTATTTGCTTTCCGGGATTACAGACAACATCCGACATAACACGAAAAGCAGTCACGTTTTCCTCTAACTAAGGCTCTGACAGTATCCTTCACTTTAGCTGTTGAATAGGCAGAAATCCAGACCATCATGGCGCACGAAGCACACAATTTGCTTCGACGGAAGAAGGTTCTGATGCTCACAAACTCGGAACATGGGCAAGCCAACGTCCATCTCGCTGTAGCCTATGCCATGCTTCAGCAAGACCCCAGCACTGAGGTGCACATTGCATCGTTCCCAAGACTGGCCAAGTTCGTGACCGAGATGTCCGACTTTGCCGTTCAGAACATCCCGGGCGCCTCGCCGATCCAGTTCCACGGGCTTCGCGGAACGTCCTTTATCGACTGCATCCTGAATCCGGATATTGACTTCTTCTCCGTAGCCAACACGACGCCAAGCTTCTGGACCTTGTTCACGGTTCTGGGAGGCATGTCGGTCTGCATGGGCGCGTGGAATGCAGAGCAGTTTATGGAGGTGTACAGAAGCTGCATCGATATCATCGACAAGGTCGACGCTGATATCGTGGCGGTTGACAATCTCTTTTTCCCGGGAGTCACGGCTTGCCATCACATTGAATGCAACTGGTTGATGTTGAGTCCAAACTCTCTCAAGGACTTTGTCGCTAACCGACAGCCAAAGCTGGCTGGACTGTGGAAGTATCCCAGGTAAGCAGCACACGGTAACGATACTGGAGTTGTTGTCGAAAGTTCTTCGACTTCCTTCGTCTATTCCACAATCCTGTTAACAGAGTATCAGCTTTGGTCTCATTTGCGAGTATCCTATCCCTTGGTACCAGCGGCTCCTCAATGTCGTTTACAGCCTCTGCGGCTTGTACATGGCCATGACCAACGACAGAGTGAAGGAAATCAAACATTTGGTCAAAGCAGAGACGGGCAAGGAAGCCGTGGTAATGATGGACTTGATGAAGTCCCCGCCCGCTGGAGTTCCAATACTGATCAGCAATCTACCGGAGCTAGACTTTCCGCTGACGACAATGCCAGACATTGTCACGTGCGGACCAATCCTTCGTCCAACGGCTTCAGTCGCTGAGGAAGACCCGGAGCTTTTCAAATGGCTTTGCGCCGGTCCGACTGTCCTGATCAATCTTGGGACTCACTGTCTGACGGGAGAACCTTCAGCTATTGAGATGGCCAAGGCTCTTCGCCTATTGTTTGATATGGCGTGCCGCGAATCGAAGCTGTCTGGTTTGCGCGTTCTTTGGAAGATGAAGCAGCCACCTGACGAGCCGTACAGTGTCGATGTCAAGTCATCACTGTATGATATTCTGAACAAAGAGATGCTCGAGGATAGGGTGCGGATTGAGGAGTGGATCAAAGTAGAGCCTGGGGCGATACTGGAGACTGGCCAAGTCATTTGTTCTATCAACCATGGCGGAGCGAGCTCCTGGAACGAAGCAATCTGGTCAGTAATCATTCCCTGTACAATGAGAAGAGTGCTTTAACACTTTCTCCAATGACTTGGAGATGCCTTGCTAATAATTCAGTAGTGCTGGAGTGCCACAAATCATTTGTGAGTAGAACTTCCCATCTCTAAACAATTCTGCGGGTCAGGATTGCTTCTCTTGCCACTCCAAGAGGATGGCCGCGGAACGAGACCCCACGAGAGGCAGTGTCGATCCCTTCGTTTTATTAATACAGCTTGCTAATTGAGAGATTTTCTAGTGGCCCAATGGGTTGATACCTATGACTATGCGATCCGGACAGAGATGCTTGGCATTGGGCTCTTTGGTAACAAGCAGACTCCGCCCGGTTGGACGGCCCAGGAACTTGGACCAAAGCTTGTAGCAACTACAGTTGGAGAGAGTGCCGCCACTATGAGGTCAAAAGTACAAGAATTATCTAGACTTTGTTGCATGCGCCCTGGAGGATTAGGAAGAGACTTTGCGGCGCGGTTCATCCTCGAAAAGGCATGATCCCATTCTGCCAAATTCATGGCAGGAACAAGCTCTCACCCCTTTTCATCTGCCTCTCGTGTAGCAAATGGATACATCTTACAGATCACTTCACTGTGCGCTGAGGCTGTCAGCTTATGTTGACAAACAATGATGACGTGTAGCTTCCAGACGCGTTTTGTTTGATTCACTCAAACCAAGACGCACAATTTTCAGTCTAGATTCTAGCATAAAATGACTACGCGTACCGCCTCACTCAAGCTTATACCCTTGAGTAACTACCAATTATTGTTACTCAGCACTCTCTGAGTTGTCCTTAGTAGTTATAACAGCTTGTTCGATGTATCGAGGTGGTTTTGACAGAATGCGAAGAACACAAGTCTAATGTTGATACTCATGCGCAATACTGCTACAAGATTCAATCAGGTTCAAGCCGAATGACCAAGTTTCTAAGTTAATGGAGTTTGCTGCTGTAAGATTGAAGACATTACTGGCCCGCGGTCGCGTAGGCAACGGGCCCAGCCAAGTTGTGTCTATTTTCGCGAAAAGCAAACGGACGGTGCCCACCAAGGTCCCACGTTGATATTGAATGAGGCCTTACAGTAGACTAAAAATGAAGAACTTGCAAACGGCGATGGATGCCTAGCACGCGTTGAAAGTCGAAGCAGAGCCTGCAATCAGTGGCAGGCGCCCGGCCTCGAAATGAGTCTATAAATGCCTCCCCAGATACCAGAGATTTTTTCGCTTTCCTTTCCCACAACCAGGCGTTTTCATTGACGCATTGCCATTCATTGCCTTCATTTAGGTCACTCCCTTACTGATAGTAGCATAAGACTGCTACTTTTCTGCTTCCTTGCTACACTCACAGCAATATCTGTCGTCAGTCAGACAAAACAGAGTCTCGACACATTGTCGTACTTTCAACATTTGGAATCATCTCCTGTACCCGTCTTGGATCTTTCTTGGTTGCCCCAACACCCTTCTTGCTTCTGAACACTTTGACGTGTTTGAACACGTCGCTGCTGCTGAAGATGTCGCCGTCTCCGATCCCGTCGCTGCCGAAGCATGCATTGCGGCGCGGCGATAACAAGGAGGAACCCATCGGTAAGTCGAATCACCTCCGATACAACATCCATTTATCCTTTTTTTTCTTCCATCGAAACGTTTCAGCTTTCGATGAGCACATGCCTCTTGCGTTATTTCAGCTTGTCAACCACGGTTCACCTTTGGTATTTTCCCCATTAGCTTTTCACTGATCCTTATTATTCTAGACATCACCTCCTCGCCGATTGTGAAGCAGGAGAAAAGAGTTCTGTGTTCTGTTGAATCCGCTCAAACGTCACCGTCAGCGCGCAAGTTCCGCAAGAAGTCAGTGGGCACTGATGGCGACAAAGATTTAATTGCAAGGACGGATTCGAAGACTTCAGCTACTACCCCCGCACCTGGCCCCGTACGTTCCCGTCGAGAACAAAACAATGGTGAAAACGACTTTGAAGCTCGATTTCGCAATCTTCGCAACAAGTACATGGGCACTGCTGGCACGAGTGATTCGGCCAAGAACACGAGAGTGCTAGAGAGCCCGGCGGCCAAGAGCACCATCAAGTATGAGATCACTCCCGATCTCCCCGACGTAAGTCCCAGTACTTTCACTACATATTTCACTTGCCTTCATCTCCCATTCCTGTTGTCAGTGACAGTCAATATCAAGGAACGCCGAGCTAACCCCTCAATGAGACTGCACCTGTTGGTGGTCTCCCTGACCAGAACTTGACCGACTGTGGACGCGACCAGACACTCGCCCCAAAAAAGAAATTGCATTACCTAAGCGACGACTCAGACGTAGACAGCCTTTTCGACGAGAATGCATCCATTGGCGGCATGGATGATAATGAGGACGATGACGACGACGAAGATGATGATGATGGTTTCATCACATCGTTTTCCTCCTATCAAAGCAGAAGATCGAATGTATCGAAAAGCACCGCTGCTTCTTCTGTGGCTCCGTCCGTGGCTCCCTGCGACTACCACACCTATTTGTCTTCTTTGCGTACCCCCGCTCCTCTAACAAATCATTCGCGCCTTCCCGACGATCGGGAGTCAACACCCGAAGGCTTCGTGGGACATCTATTTGCCCACCAACATATTGCCCTGGCTTGGATGATCAAGATGGAGGGCAACAACCAGTTTCGCGGCGGCATTCTCGCAGATGAGATGGGCTTGGGCAAGACCCTCTCGGTACTTGCCCTGATTGCAAGCAAACACGGCCGGGCAGCCAAAGGCACCAGACCCGGAGTAAGTGTGCCCCTCACAATTCTCACCTTGACCATGAGCTCTTCAACTGACTCACTCTTGTAGCCCACTCTTATCATTTGTCCGCTTTCACTGCTCCAGCAATGGATCACAGAGATCATCAAGAAGATTGAGCAAGGTCCAGACAAACTGCGTGTTGTTGATGCACACGACTCGAAGAACAAGAACATGACCTTTGAACAGATGCGTCAGTATGACATTGTGGTCACAACCTACGAACACATTCGGGCCGAGAATGATAAGAAGAATGGCAGACGCAAGGGCCACTCTTCGTTCTATGTCGACAACGGATCGTGGTTTCACAGAATCGTCCTTGACGAAAGCCAGCGCATCAAAAACCGGACTTCGTCCGTGTTCAAGGCTGTACATAATCTTCGGGCCAAATACCGCTGGCTGCTGACCGGCACCCCAATCCAGAACAAAATTGAGGAGATGTACACCTCAATTGCGTTTCTGCGCAACGACCCCTACAATGACTGGCACATGTTCAAGAAGGATTTCAGCAGCCTCCTGCACAAGAAGAGCCAGGATGGGTACGATCGCATGCAAATGGCACGCTTCAAGGGCTTTCTCGAACAGTTTGTTCTGCACCGCACCAAGGAGGATATCATCGATGGCGAAAAGATCATCGACCTGCCCCCGAAAACGGTGAACAAGGTCTTTGTTGAACTGAGCGAGGCCGAGCGTGATTTCTACAAGGATCTCGAGCAAGACGTGCAGACAAAGTTTCGCGATCTGGTGACCGAGGGCCTCAACAGACAGGGCCACGCCCGTGCCTTGACATGGTCTCTTCGCCTGCGCCTGGCTTGCTGCCACCCGCTCCTCATTGCCAACACCGCCGATCTGAACAGCATGGACATGGATCCGGAGCTGGCGGCAAAGTGTAATCTCGAGAACGGTCTCGATCTTAAGCGTCTGCGCGATGCTGTCACCAGCCACATTGGTCGCCGACGCTACATGGACCACCTCTCGATCGTTTGGCAGGACTCTGCCAAGATCAACACCCTGATGACCTTGGTGAACTCGCTCAACGAGGAAGGCCACAAGACTCTAGTCTTTTCCCAGTGGACCGGCCTTCTCGACCTGGCCGAGTGGAAGATGACGCAGAGCGGCATTTCCTTTGCGCGCTTCGACGGCTCAATGACGATGGTGGCGCGCGACCAGGCCATTGCCAAGCTCCAAGACGATGACAACTGCAAAGTCATGCTCATCTCTCTCCGCGCAGGCAACGCCGGCCTCAACCTCGTCATGGCTTCGCGCGTCATTCTGCTCGACCCGGACTGGAACCCCTACATTGAGGACCAGGCCATTGGTCGCGTGCACCGCATCGGACAGACCAAGCCCGTGGTCGTGTACCGTCTGCTGGCCAAGGACACCATTGAGGACCGCGTGCTGACGCTCCAGCGCAAGAAACGCGCACAGATCAGCGATGCCATGGGCGATGTCAACATTGACAGTGAGGATCCCGACGTCGATGAGCACGGCTTAGGTGTTTCGAGCGGCAACTTGGCTTTCCTGATTGGAGGTAGTGGTTGAGACTACAATTTGACCAGAAGCCGAACTGGAAAATATGAATGTAGGAATTACGATGAATCATGAGACTGGATATGATGCCCCTGAAGTACGGTATGAGTAATGGGTAATGAGAACATGGCAAACTGATTGCCAGGACGGAAAATAGTCACATCTCTTGCAGGAAAACATTAGTAGCAGAGAAGTACGAGAAATACAAAAGTAAACCAATCACAGAAAAGGTGTGCTTTGCAAATGTGTCACCGAGTAAAATCCCAAGACCACTTGTGAATACATATTAACTACGTCATTCGTGCAAGAACGGGACATGAATATAGAGAAAAACGGTAATAACTACAAAATGCACAAGCCTTCTCCGGAGAGCTGAGCCTGGATGTATGAGCGGGGTTAACAATGCGCGTTCAGATTGAGGCAAGATAAACCTATAAATGCCAGAGACTTTTACATCGCTTGAAACTAACAACCTTTTCCTTCCTCTTAATGACATTGTGACATGCTCTCTATTGCCTAAAAAAGTCCACCACCAATTGCTCTAGTGTCTCCTTGCTCTCTTGTCCAGCTGCCCAAGTAACATTGCGCTGCTTCACGTCCCTGTTCTCAACCCACCGCATTTGCAACCTCAAGGCCAGATCTGGGGAATCTGTAATATCGAGTCTGACTTCATTCTTGCCAAGAGCCCTAATCACGGCACCGGATGTAGTCTCGGACCAGTCCAGGTCGTCACGGCCCAGTTTCTCTGCAGCGAGGCTGGCGACCCAGTCGACAATGACACGAACGGACGCTTGGCGAATGTAGTAGATTGCCTCGTCGACATTTGGATATGCGTCTTGAGAATATGGTGGGTACAATTCCTCGAGCTCATTTGACTTTGTCTGCGCTGGGGCAGGGTTTTGGCCTTGAGCTGCTGGATTGTTGTTGGATGCTCCGGGGAGAAAGACCATGAATTGTGTCGAGGCCATTGGTGTAACGAAGCTTCTGCCGCGGAGGCCAATTCGGGCTTGTGGGGTGAACGTGAGTTCCGCGGTAAGTTCGAGTAATTGGGCGAGGTTGATGATCAGTGCCTCGGAGGGTGACGCTCGCCAGATCTGCTGCAGAGCTAATTGGGCAATTTGTTGTGGTGGGAGTTGTGGGCCGGGAGGAATCATAGTCTGGGTAAAGTCTGCGGTTGAAAACCCGGCATTTTGAAGAATCGTCTTGAGCTTTGTCAAAAAGTAGGTGAGTTTGGTGCATGCATTGTCGTATGTCAGCCGGGAGATGAGGGGGCGTAGGATGCTGAGAGGTGGTGCTTCGCGGCCAGTGGTTGTTTGTGTTGACTGAGTGCGCTTGAAGTAGCTCAAGCGATGGCTGAACAACAGAAGGAAGTGGAGGCCAAGGACGACGGTGTTTGCGAATTGATTGTCTGGAAGATCGCCGCCGGCATCGGGTGCATCCAGGTCTTCCAGTGTGAGGATGACTTTTGTCTCCGGGTCTGCCTCGTAGATTATTTGGTCGTCGATAGATTGAACCTTGAGGGAGAGAAGGGTTCGTGCTTCTTTGTTGATCTCGTACCACAGCTCCTGAGAGAATATGGTGTTGCGCGCCTCCAAGACGCGATCTTGGAGGGGAGCTTTCTCATCGACCTGGCCGGGCAACCGCGATTTGCCCGTCACCTGGCCATTCTTGATGACAACAGCCCGAACTCTCTTGGATGATCCACCGGAAACACCACGCTCTAGTCTGACAGTCCCGTCGTCATTCCTTCGCAGAGGAGCAATGCTGCTGTTTCTGTACTCGGGTGCCGACTCTGCGAAGCCGTAGCGGACTCCCAAGGTGTGGGGGTCGTAAGGCAGTGAGGTGACAGTCCATCCATTGTCACTGACTGCAAGCACATCTGCCCAGTACTTGGTCTCCAGGCTGATCTCCTTCTCCAATCGCTCCGCAGCCTCGAGAACAGAGTCGACCATCTTGTTGGTACCAATCAACCTCCAGCCCGTGGCCACTGCAAGGTCGTCCTGGGTACGTGCTGGCGTGATGTTGGAGTCCTGAAGTCGTGATGCACCCAAAACGCCGAAGCCCACGAGGTCGCGCAAGGCGGGAGAAAGCGTGGTGTTGGCTTGATTGGGCGTCTCTTTGGAGAGCAGAAGCGAGACAAAATCCAGGCTCAGCATGGCAGATTGATGGGCAAACTCGATGTTGCGCAAGAACTCCTCGCGGGCTTCGAGGGTCGTCTTGGACTTTGCGCCGTCCGAGTCGACGTCCATGTCAGAATCACTATCCGGGCTGCTCGCGGCGCTCTGGTTGCGGCCATCCTCTGCGGCGTGCAATTCCTCGCGCAGCTCCATCTCGGTGACATTGCGGAAGCCTCCACGCTCGGCATTGACGCGCGCGATGAACTCACCAAGCTTCTTGGGCTTCTTGTCGCCTCTCGGCCAGGGCCGCAGCGTAAAGAGCGACGGGCTAGTCGAGGCCATGGTGGGTTGACCTGACCTGAGGGTGAGAATGAGATGAGAGGCAAAGACTTGTTTCGCAGGAAAATTTGCCGTGCCGAGATGCAAGCAGTTCAGTATGGAAAGGATGGGATTGCTGGATGAGGTATCTGGCCCAAAGAATGAGGAGAAGCGCGCGACGATGAGGTTTGAGAGGTTGAAGTTTGAGAAGTTGGACAGACGCTTGCTTGTCTACCTACATTCCAATGTTGATACTTGAGAGAAATATGTGGATCTATGCTTGCCTGCAGCGAATCACTTTTCAGTGTGGCTTTAGCTGCACTGTGCCCGCTTTGCCGCCCCAACTGTCAGACGCACTGTGAGTGGGGGATGGCTTTGGACAGATGAGGTGAGTTTGCAATCAGCCTGGACTTGCTGGTACTCAACTTAAATGTTCAGTAGGATAGGTAATTAGCACACGGTCCAACTTAAATTGGTTGCCGCAGAGCACAAGGGAATTCGGCTACGACCCATGATCTACGGCGGGCTGAACATGACGGGAGCTCGCGGGGGCAGAGTTTTGATATTTCAAAGCCAGATGTGACCGGATTCGCACAAGTTTAAAAAAAACCATGTTGGAATTGCTGATGGCACAATCTATGAGTGGATCTAATCTCATTCATGCAGAGTTATCAGGACCTTTTGCGTTGTTTTCATAGTCCACGAGATTGGAGTATCAAGCAGGCACCTCTCCAAATCTGTACTGACTCCAACCCATACTGCCTTCATGCAAGGTCCAGGTCCGTGTTCCTTGCTCCTCGCTTGCCGCACCCGCCGCAACATACACTGGCATGAGGTGGTCCATCCACTACAAATATGAGTATCAGCGGAGGAGTTTTGACGTTGATCAAGAACTGGGATTACTCACCGGATGTGCTTGCTTCGCATCGGGACGCCTAGCAGCCTCGGCCATGCGGGCCTGTCGCTCAGCCGGTGGCGCCTCGGTGGCATCTTTCAAAGCTTCGTCAAAGGACACCGTGTAAGGCATCGGCCCTGGGTTCCCGCGCGATGCAAACATGTCTCTGAGATTATGTACCGACATGCCTGCGCCAATAATCACGATGTTCTCGTCGCGCAGTGAAGCCACAGCCTGGCCGAGGCGATAGTGTTGGTCGGGATCTTCGCTGTGGAACAAGCTAACTTGGACTAGCGGTACGTTCAGAGGGTTCTCCTCTGGATTGAAAGCTGCAAAATTATTTAGCAAAGATTGCATTATTTCCTTTTCGTAGAACACGACTCACCAACATGGAAACCCGACCAAACACCATGGTCCAGACCTCGGGTGACACCTTTGGCCTTGATGCCGGCGTCTTTGAGAAGACCGAGGATTTTGTTTGCCAGTTCTGGGCTGCCCCTGTTGGGATACTCTGCCTCATAAAAATACGATGGGAATCCATAAAAGCTATACAAATGGTTAGTGGGACGTGTGCATATTCAAGGTGATGCGCTTTACTAACTCGTAGATCAAATCGGTATGTTCCGCCGTATTCACCTCAATAGTGTCCCGAGATCCTTCCCAGTGCCCCGAAAAGACGACAATTGCCGTAGGCTTCACCTTTTTGGTAATTTCCTGGCCGATGCCTTGAAGTATCGGATATACTGGGTGGCCCTTTTCATATTGCACCGTCGGCTGCGGGGAAATGAAATCAGTGGAGTTCTTTTCGCGATTCTAGAGGTTCATCATGTTCACTTACGCCGCCATGGCTAAAGAAGTAAACGGGGGCTTTCTTAGCCGACATTGTGGACGGCGGGGTTTTTCTGCTGGTATGGAATGCTGCGATGAATTTGGATATAGGACGAAGTGGCCAGGCGGACATGGAATCTAGGTTGATATTTGTGAACGATAAGACAATGGCTAACCCGACGACGGCGACGGAAGTAAAAAGTATAGATCGGAAAGATACCGGGAGTGCCATAGGGGTCTCTTGAAGTCGGGTAGGGGGTGAGATCCGGGGTGAAGTATATGCAAGCACTTTGGGCACCAAGAAGCGTTGCAATTGGACGACTGGAAACAACCAGTCACTTAAACTTGGCATTTCCAAGCAGCTGCTATTCGTGATTACCAAGGATATGTCAGCAATTGCGAATTAATTGGTCAAAACTGAATGTGCACGGATTTACGGAATACGGGGGAAACGAGTGAAATATGCAAATATCCCAGCTGTATGCAGCTATCCACCACAACCCATCACTCGAGAGCCGAGGCCACATTCCGGAATCTGGGGTCCATTCCGCCCCCACCCAAGACATTGTTGGCGCTAGCAAACAGCCAAGGCCTCGACCATATCTGCTACTTTTTGGATAGTAGTACCTTGTATCCATCCCATCACCGGACTTACGAGCCGACGAATGAATGACGAGGATTCTGTCTCAAGCTAACTCTATTGTACCCCTCGTGTTGGTATACTCAATCGTTCTTGCGGTGCTTTTGGGTCTCTTTGTCACGTTTGTCCAGCCCGTCGTCGCCTCATCGTCCGAGACCTCGTACGCAGCCATCACCGCCACCATGAGCGGTCTCAAGCGTCTGCCTCCGTTGCTCTTGCCGGCACCCGCTGCCCGCCACACGGCCACCGTCATCTTCTTCCACGGCCTGGGCGACACGGGCTATGGTTGGGCTGATGCCGTGCAGAACTGGAGACGTCGATCCAAGCTCGACGAGGTCAAGTTCATCTTGCCTCACGCCCCTCAAATCCCCATCACCTGCGTGAGTAGATATTCAGCTAGAGATCGCTGTTTGTCACGTGAACTGACATGGACATAGAACGGAGGTATGCGGATGCCTGGCTGGTATGATATTGTGAGTCTAGACACTCGACTCTTGACAATTCCATGAGAGAATCCAAAATTATTGACATGGCACCCTACTAGGTTGCGCTCACGGGTGCGCCTGACGACCTGCGCCGGCAGCAGGACGAGGCTGGCATGCTAGTGAGCCGGGCCTACATCAGCGGCCTGATCCAAGCCGAGATCGACAATGGCGTGCCCGCCGACCGCATCGTGCTGGGCGGGTTCTCGCAGGGCGGCGCCATGTCGCTGTTTGCCGGCCTGACCACGCCGCGCAAGATTGCCGGAATCGTCGGCATGTCGTCGTACCTGCCCCTCGACGCCAAGCTGCCCGAGTTCCTCGGCGAGGGCAACCACAACCAGGACACGCCCATCCTCATGTGCCACGGCACCGCCGACAATGTCGTGCCCGCGTCCGCTGGTCGCAGCAGTGCCGAGCTGCTCAAGAAGACTGGCTTCGACGTCACCTGGAAGGAGTATCCAGGCATGGCTCACTCGGCGTGTCTCGAGGAGCTTGACGATGTCGAAGCTTTCCTCGCTAGCCGTCTACCTGCCCTGGGCGAGGAGAAGAGGTCCGAGTTGTGAGTGAGATAGACCGCGGTTATTCAGTGCTGTAGAAACACATCTGCACTTCTTCCCCGGTATCTTTCCTGAAAACAGAGCCCCCCTGCTTTTTAGAAACACAACTTTAAAAGGGGTTGTCCTAGGCATCCGTAGATTTATCATAGGTCGCTTCTAATATCAGGAGCACCATTAATTCAGCTTGAAGAGAATGCCATACCGATTCAACTTGTTCTCATAAATGCAATCAGATTGTAAAACAGGTCGTAGTAAGGCGCTACCTCTATCATTAAAAAATCGATCTAAACATGTCAAACAAACTTGGTATCGTTGCAGCATTTACTTTTTCTAAAAATGACCTCTCAAGCCAAGAACTCTGCCCAAAATGCCGCGATTAGAACCATTCCCCAAAACGGTGAATCAAAATCAGAACGCGACCTCATGGTAACTCAGCAATGATGGGCTTCCGAACGATACTTGCGTCCATCTCATGAACCGTCAGCTTCGTAGCGCCCAACTCGGCAGGTTTGCTAGCCGGGCTCAGCTCATGTAACGGCTTGACCGTGTCACCGAGCTCTGCCCGCGGCTTCATGGTCGCTTGTCCATCAATCTCTGGCAGCGCTACCGGCTGGCCTCCTGCCTCTGCAATCTTGGGAACAGACCCGTGTCGCCATCGCTCCAGGAGCGCTTTGGTGCCTGGAAAATCGGCCAGCGTCGTATTTCCAGCCCGTTTCGAGTAGTTTAGCATCTGTGTCTCTTGGTATGGGCTCATGCCCTTGGAATCACCAATGTCCATGTTCGCACCGCCCGAGCACAGCACGCTCGCAACGTCGGCGCGGCCCCAGAGTACGGCCTGGTGCAGTGGCGTCTGCCCTAGAGTATTCTTCACGTCTGGGTTGTCTCCAGCTTCCAGAAGTGCCTTGACAATTGCCGACGAGTCTGGGTAGCCGCCTTTATCTATGGCGAGATGCAGAGTCATACGTCCCATAATGTCGGTTGTGGATTGCGGTTCGGCTCCGAGTCTAAGCAAGAAGGAAACCATGTCGGGATCGCTCTTCTTGATGTATTTGTGTAGAAGGGTCTCGTTCTGTGCATCGTGAATGTTGAGATCCGCTCCAGCACCAGCCAGAAGATTCAAGATCTCGCGTGACGTAGCAGCCGCTAGAGCCAACGTGTCGAAGCTCTCACCAGGATTGCCGCCCTTGTTGAGAATAGCCTCGCAAACTTCAAGGCTTCCCGACTCGACAGCCGCGTACAAGATCGAATCTTGAGGCGCCGCGTTCAGCGTGTACACGTGTGCGCCAAGGTTAAGCAGCGCGTGCGTGGCCTCGGCGTTGCCGCGCTTTGCTGCATAATAGAGCGCCGTCTTGACATGCGTCTTTGGCGCTTCCAAGTCCACCTTGCCGTTGGCCGAAGCCAGGATGTTCAGACAGTTGGGGCAGCCAAAGTCGGCAGCGTAGTGCATGGCCGTGGCTCCGTGGCGGTCTGCGTGATTCGGATTCGCCCCCAAAGAAACTAGTTTCTGGACAATGCTACAGATACCCAGGGAAGCGGCCACGTGCAGAGCAGTCATCTTGTCTCGCTTCTCGACAATCAAGTTATCGGTCCACCGGTGCTCCATGATTTTGGATACCTTTTCCAACTCCCTGTGCAGAATGGCGTCCCACAATGGCTGCTCAACTATCTTGATTTGTGCCGGCAGCTTTTCCGGGGGCATATCGTCGGCGGGATCCCTGGTAAACTTGTTTCGATACCTGAGTTTGGTGCCCTTCTTTTTCGAGGGCACAGATTTCAACTCCCAGGCTGGAGAGACACCTCGTGCATACTCTGAAATTCTGCTTCTGAACTCGGCAGGGTTTACCTCATCAACCTGTGCGTTCAAGGTCAAGTCTTGCGTCGACGCGGAAGACTTCTGCATCATGGCTATGGACTTGAGTTTGCGCGCCGAGGGCACGTATATACTCGATGTTTTGAAGGCATCGCGCCAGTAACTATTTCTTCGGCTCTGTGATGGGTCCGTAGATGGCGTGGGCAGGAGCATGCGTGACAAAGTAGCATAATTTGGAACGGCTGGACTTGATGAACCTGTATGACTCGACGAGGCCGAGCCACGGTGGAGCGTCACGGAGTTTTGTGTATGGTGACTGCTCTCGGTCACGGAGCTAGCACTTTCGCTATGCTCCGTCTGAGGACTCCTGGGACTTTGCGGATCGTCGACGGTGACTTGAGGAACGCCAGCAACAGCTGCTTCTGTGGCAGGAGGAGAAGTGTACTCTGCTGCATCATCCCAGGCAGCTATCAGACAAGCCCGGTCTTCTGAACCCGTGATCTCCACCTGCTTGGTCGCCTCGCTCTCTGGCCTCGACACATTCAGATACACCTCCAATGCGCTCAGTTGCTTGTTCAACCTGGCCTCACATAACGCAATTTCTGTCGTTTCCCATATGCTGCTAACAGAAGTCCATTCTGGAAAAGGACTTGAGCGAGCTTGCTCAATCTGAGTGAGGTTTTCTTGGACAACCTTGGACACGAACCCGAGCGCTTTGAAATGCAAGTCGAGTGCCTCTACATCGCTGGTGTTTTGGAACGCAGGCTGATCGCGGTCCAGTAGTGGTAAAAGATGATCCAGAGTTTGTTTGCCGCGAGCAATTTGTGACTGGAGTTCCCGCAATTCCGATGGCACATCGCGGTATACTCGTAATAGCTGGTTTACTTTTACAGCCGACGAACCAGCTGTGCCACTCAGTTCTGCGCAGGTAGCTGCGAGATGCAGATATTTAGTGGCATCCATTCCGAAAGAAAAAATTATATCATGAGATGACAATCTCAAAAGGTAACGAGTCCAAGTTCTCAACGCTTGGCAGCTCAATGGCAAGGAATTAGGACATATTTGAAGAAAAGCTTGGCCTTGCTTGGGCTGTCGCTGATCATAAAAGGAAAGGAAAGCTTGAACATGGCTCAGCACTAACCTGGCAGGTTGCCAAACTGCCCCCGAATCCCCATTTGGCCTGCAGGATCAGTTATGCGGTTGGCTCATTTGCGCCGATCAGCATCCGCTCCAACCTTCAGCTGAACCATATAATAGGCGGTCCCTTTGTAGGGATTTGCTCGAAGGATTCCTAGCACTTTCCCCCGGCTAGCCAGTGCCGCACCAAAACGTTGCGGGCAGGGCTGGGCTGTGCCGCCGCCTAAAAGAGCTGAGCCTAGCAGGTCGTAGGCGTATTACGGGGCCTAGTTCGACGATTTAGGCCATGCATCAGCAAGGGTGAGGGATTGTGATGAGACCCTAACGCGTTATGTAAGACTACATTGTTTATGCTGTGAGTGACTGGGAATTGGATTGATTCGGCTTTTGACATTTTTAAAACATATCATATAATACGGTGTTTATCCAGAGAAGCGTTTGGCCTCATGGCTATGCAAATAGACTGATGTGTGGTCGCTGTTATACTGCTGGTCAGCTTAGATTGTCATGTACGAACAACCAACTGTCGCAGGTTTCCCGACGCTAGTTATGTACGTAGTAATATCATCCATCTGCCGGCTGTCCTTGTCCATTATATTCAAGTTTGCAGTGAATCCCAAAGGAACATTGTATAAATAGGCGTGTTTACTCATGCATGCTTCATCTAATATTCAGTCTCATCTGAATGCAAGAAAGATTATATTTAATACAGCATCAAGCACAAATCATGGTAGGATAAAGATACTGTACATCGGATGACGGATGGGACGCCGCGCAATGAATTCACGAGCCGCCTAAAGTCCGATTAACGCCGCCACACCTACAGCTTGCGATGACCTAAACCGATGGTAATACGGCAAGTATGGTACGGACATAGGCTTGATAGGCTGTCCTACCCCGCCAGACACATGGAAGGGTATCTCTAAGGCCTGTCGTTGTCGTCATGAAACATTTCCATTTTCATAGCCATTTGATCTTACGATATCACCTCAATTGAATACCATTCTTTCCTATCTTGCAAACTTGTTCCATCCGAATTGTTCACAAAGTGTAATAAATCGTAGAGCTTCGGAGCTTCGACGTCATTACGATCGCGAGCTCACCGTTAGCGTATCGAGCTCCCTACCATTCGGCTTACAAAGATAACGATCCCCGTAAACGTCCGACTAAACAATGAGCGTTCAACGAGCCGAGTCGGATGATGGCGAGCAGCAGGAACTATTCATGGATGCTGAAGATGATATAGAAGATGATGACGATTTCGAGCCGGGCGACGAGGACGAAGAGGAGGAAGATGACGACGATCACAGCGTCATGGAGGAACTATTTGCGCAGACCGAACAGCTGCAAGAGATGGATGACGACGACGAGTTCCACGGTGAGTGATCTTCCTGTGACCTCTGCGTGTACAGTCCAGGTCTAAAATTGGAAGCAGATGCAGAGCAAGGCGATATCGAGTTCGTCGTCGAGGTGGAAAACGATACCGGCGGTGCCGCGGGGACTGCCGGCAACAATGCGGCGGATGATATCACACAGCGTGTCGTGCGACTGATAGGGAACCCCCGGATTGCCTTGACCCAGAGACAACTACTGGCCATGCTACGAGGCTCGAATCTTAGCCACTACATTTTCGACGACGACGATGACGAGGATGCAGGTCCATGGGCTAGACGGCGGCAACGGCGGCATTCGCGGGACCCCAACCGCTTCCCAAAGGTGCCGAGCGAAAAGGGAAGGGAGCTCATGGATTCAGGCACATTTGGTGCCACGGAGCAGCAAAAGTCAATCAGTGCCAAGAAGCGTATTGCACGCAGGATACTGGATCGCGAAATGGGCATTGGCAGTTCAACGAATCGAAGGCTCAACCAGGGGCTGATGGCACAAACCATGCTGCCCACTTCGGACGCCGAGATGATTATCAACTACGATGAGCCTGTCTACTCGGGACAGTTTTCAGACGATGGAAACTTTTTCTATTCGTGCGTCAAGGACTTCAAGGTACGGATGTACGACACATCGAATCCGTACAACTGGAGACATTACAAGACGGTCGCATTCCCAGGCGGCTCCTGGACCCTCACCGATGCTTCATTGAGTCCCGACAACAAGTGGCTAGCGTACACATCCATTGAGAGCAGAGTCTGTCTGGCACCCACAGACCCCAACGACACTGGAGACCCTTATATGCTCAATCTCGCCGGCGACCGGGGTTTCCGTGGACAGATGGGATGGCGGGGAGGTTTCGGCATCTGGTCTATCCGGTTCTCTGGTGATGGCAAGGAGCTCGTGGCCGGAACCAACGCCAACTCTATTGTAGTATACGACATTGAGTCACGGCAGGTCCTGCACTCGATCGAAGGTCACGAGGATCACGTGAATGCCGTCTGCTTTGCCGACAAGTCATCTCCACACATCTTGTACTCCGGCTCGGACGATGCGACCATCAAAGTCTGGGACAGGCGGTCGATGGGTGATGGTCGTGAAGCAGGCGCCTTTGTGGGCCACATTGAAGGATTGACCTATATTGACAGCAAAGGCGACGGTCGATACATTTTGAGCAACGGCAAAGACCAAAGCATGAAGCTCTGGGACCTCAAGATGATGTACACGACGGCGCAGTTCCGCGAAAAGAACCCGACACGCCATACCGGCTACTCTAACTTTGACTACCGGTGGGAGCCATATGACGACAACGACTGGTTCCCGCACCCAGACGACAACTCTGTGGTGACGTTCCGGGGCGGACACAGGGTATTGAGGACACTGATTAGGTGTCATTTTTCGCCACCAGGCAGCACCGACAGCCGCTACGTTTATACGGGCAGCCATGACGGCAAGGTCTGGATTTACAACATGGATGCGACGGTGGCAGGTACGGTCGACGTGCGCGCAGCCAGCATGAATCCTGGTGCTCTCCCCGGACGGTGGAGGGCGCACCAGCGGACAAGAGGGTTCCACGGTTGGTCAACGTGTGTAAGAGATGCTAGTTGGCATCCCAACGCGCCGTTCATTGCAGGTGAGTTGAGTTCTTACAATCTACGTGAAAGCTTCCACAACTGACTATATCATTTTTTCTTAGCATCTTCATTGAATGGCTGGGACCACCGCGTAGGCACCGTCAGTGTACATTCGTTCAACGAGAATAAAGTGGACGAGGGAGAGCCGCCCATGGGTACGGGATACTCTGATAAGCTACGGCCAGTGAGCGATGATTTGAGATCCGGCTCCTCAGATTCTTATGGAGAGGACAATGATGACGAGGAAGAAGAAGAAGAGGAAGAGTCTGATGAGGACGAGGATTTTGAGATCTAGCGTCACCTCTCCTCGGAGGTGTTGTCAAAGGAAGTTGTTCTCACAAAATGCGCTTGTCGCGACAAATGCTTCAATTCATTCGTTGTCCAATATGTTTTTGTTTTCTTGGTTTGTATGTTGTACATAGGCCCCAATACCAATGCAATGTGATTATGACGAGCTGCACGCAGCACCGAATCCATGCAATGTGTTCTTGTTTCGAAATGCCGGCTCGCCATTTTCAACCAGCTTGAATCGTACTGAGTATTAAATTTTCCTTGCTGGCAAGGCCGAGCTGTGCATTTGTTGGTATATAGCTCAGCCTGCTCATTTGCCGCAAACCGTAAAAGGCCCCCTTTTGGGGCCCCTCAAGCCCATCCAAAATGCATCGCTCGATCGTTTCATATGCCCCCCCGTCGTACCGTGTCAATTGACTTCTACCGCTCCCAGAAAGAGGGAACGTGTTTATGCGCCACCAACGAGGATGTTGTTAACGGGGATGTGGATGAGCTTGACGATGTAGCCGACGGCACCCATGATAAGGAAACCGACGCCGACAGCCTGGCAGATCTTGATCTGTAAGATGGGGGACAGGTTAGTAGTCACGTTGCTGAAACTCCGCATTCCAGAGAGAAGGTTTCCGGGCTAGACAACGTACAAATTCCTTGCCATCAGGCTTGGTGCACCTGTTGATGAACAACGAGCCCTCCTTGACAAAGTCCCTAGGCAGGTCGAGGATCTCTTGAACTTGGTCGCTCATCTTGACGGATGATGTGGTTTTGGACGAAAAAAGTTTCGCAGGTAATAGGCGACGAGGAGAAGTCGATTGGCGAAAACGGTGGACTTTGAAGGAGTGGGTGGAAGAAGAGAATTGGGGGGTATCGCGACGTGGTCGTGTGTTCGTGAGAAGGTCGAGATAATAAAATAATTCGGAGCTCTGTCCTTTTGGCTTAGGAGGCGCAACTGGGGGAGGATGCGGCCAGATTGACGCTCAATTGGGACAGGGGTCTTCTATCAGCTGGGGGAGTCGAGATGCTCTGGATGCTTCTCTTGACAAGTGGCACTGGCGGCTCCAAACGACTCTGGCCAGAAATCCTCCAGCTGCCAGCCAAAACTCAACCCTGGGGGGTGGTTGCACCAAAACCCAGGTGAGCGGAGGTCGGGCGACAGAAGGCGTGGAATTGCAGGCAAGGTGTTAAGAACAGGTTGACAGGGATGGCCTAGCGCCCAGCGATCCCATTTGGACTCCACTACTGACCAGCCTAGCCTCCAATGTTACCTGGATAGAAGGGCAGAGACAGGGATGCCCACCCGGAGCCGGGACCCCTTTCTAGTGGATCCTGGGTGGTCTGAGGCTTGAGCTCAGGGCTCCATCCGACAAGCAGAGCTCCAAGCAGCAAGGTCCCGACATCGAAACAAACCAAAACCACATGCATCAACTGACTGGGCGTTTGTGCATCTAACGTACATTTACCTTTCAGGTACAACACCCGTTGGGCATCTTGACTCGCCGCTTCTGGCCTTTCCCATCGATTGTTCACTGACCTCTAGCATCTCCATTTGACTACACCGTTTGATCACTTCACCTGCCCCGTCGGTCGCGATCACATTCAGAACCTCCAACCCTCACCGAAGCAGGCACGGCGTCGAGAACAAGCGGCTTTCCCTCGTCACATATCATTCTCTTGTCTTTTTTTCAAGACATTGCACCGACTGTCTTGGCCTATCGCCTCGCTAGCCTGCCGACACAATCGACCGACCCTGACAAGCCGGACGAGTACGTGAAGGAAAGCCAGCCAAGGGAGGGAGCAAGAAGCGGCTCGCCTTTGGTCATCATTCAAAGGATACTTCATTTCATTTGGGCTGTTCCATTCCTCTCCTGCAGAGACAAGATTGCAAGCACAGAGCTTCATCTTCGGCGACTCTCCATAAGGATCAGCTTGTCTGTAGCTATCCAACCTACTATTTCTGTCGGTCAAGAAGCCATCAAGGAAGAGAGTGTACATATCGGTCGGGCGAGCCTGTTCGTCCTTCGTCTAGTCTGCAAGAGGAAGTCAGGAATGTACGTATAGCTGGGACAAGTTCATGAGATTTGTCTTCTCTCTATTTCCTTTGCATCGCATACGGAGCACTCCGTCTTTCCTTTCTCTCTCTATCCTTCGCAGCATGTATGTACGTTCTGCCTTACTGATAACATGGCTTGGAAGACCACAGGAAAGTGTACTTATCGGAAGAAGAGAAAAATACACGCCATACTTTGATTCCCTTGGACTTGGCCTCGACTCTGAGCACTGTACTTGAGTAGCTCTATAATTTGGGCATCTCGTACTGAATCGATTACAAACAGAACCGCGCAATATCACTAGAAGAGTCAACAGGCTACCCGCCTGGTACCCTGAGCATCGCATTCGCGACAGCCGTCACAGCAGCACACATTTATCTTCACGGAACTCCTCAGCACAATGGCCGACGAAGACTTTGAGATCGACATCTACGGCTCCGCCGACAACGACACCCAAAACGATGCACCCGGCCAAGATAACAATGCCCAGTCTTATGAGAGTAACACGGCGATTACAGTGGCAAATGGCTCTAACAACTCCACCCAGCCCCAGGTCAACCGCCATGATGACCATGGCTCCGAAGATCATCATGATCATGACATTGATACAAACAACAACGATGGTGCCGGCTCGCATTCGATCACTCAACAGCCCCAACAAGGAGTGAAACGGAAGGAGGGCTCAGATGACAGACCCATCGACCATGGTGCTACCAGCTGTCTCATGATTTCGGAGCTGAACTGGTGGAACACGGACGATGACATCCGCAAGTGGGTTGTCCAGGCAGGATGTGAGGACGAGCTCAAGGATATCACTTTTAGTGAGCACAAGGTGAATGGCAAAAGCAAAGGGTAAGCCTGGCCCTTAACATATCCCATCTGCTATTGTATTTTGGGGTGGCCCCATTTCTTCAGAATGTGCAAATGATCAAAGGCGTGGTAGCGACGTGACGCTTGTCATATCCCTCGATTCACCTACACTCGACTTGTGCTGACAACATTCTTTCTAGCCAAGCATACGTCGACTTCACCTCACAGCAGGCCGCTACTGCTACTAAACACCAGATAGATCAGGCTGAGTGTCCTGCGGGGTCCAAGAAGCCTACTGCCTTGTATTCCACGCCTCACAATAACCCATTCCGTACTTTGCCCAAGGATGCACCAGCCCGTGGCAATAAGGAGCTTGGCGCCCGTGGGGGTGCTACTGCTGGTGGATTCAATAATCGTGGAAATTTTAACAGCAATTTCCGGGGCCGCGGAAATTTCAACAATGGTCCTCGTGGTGGTGGATTTAACCCCAACTTTTCGGGTGGGAACATGGGCTTCAATAATAACATGGGAGCTGGGTTCAATCCGTCCATGGGCGGCGGCGGCGGCGGCGGCTTTAATGGTGGCTACAACAACCGTGGCGGCAATATGATGCGCGGCGGAATGGGTGGCATGAGAGGTCGTGGAGGAATGAACAACATGATGGGCAACATGGGCATGCCAGGTGAGTTCTCAATGCTAGAGACGCTTTCATCAACAATCAATTGACCTTGACAGGTTTCAACCCCATGCAAATGGGTGGAATGCCCGGCAACATGGGTATGGGTATGATGGGCAATGGTATGCAGCCACAATTCAATCCCAACTTCTTTGGTGGCAATCAAGGCGGTGGCAACGACTGGCAACAGAACCCGCACGGTGCCAAGCGACCCCGGGGAGAGTAGGACTCTCGCCCGTCGGTATCTCATACGATTGGTTCTCAACCCTCGTCGTCTACGCCGCCGTCCGGTCATCAACAGACCTCCGTCAGGACCCTCGTCAGGACTCGAACCGGTTACGTGCGAAATATCCCTGGACATCCGACGCGCCGAGGGCTATGAGTCCCGTTCTGCAGCGAAAATCACTCGAAGGTTGTACTACCATAATTGCTGGTACGGTCTGGTCTTGAGATGGATAGGCTATGCGCCTACGCCCAATCTTAATTTTGAAGTCATCGACGTATTACTAGCTCTGCTAGTGGACTAGCATCGTCCTATACTACTAGCATGATTGTTGACTCGGTTGCGTACGGTAAATTATAGCATTCCGTTTCCTTGACCGCTCTTAAATCAAGATTGCAAATCAGCTGTGTGTCGGCATCGAACTTGGTTTGCAACTTTACTGCCTGGCTCAAACCCGGTGGAAGCGCCCGAAGAGTATCAAAACAGAGAAAGATGAGGGCATCGGGAGGTGAATGCCTCATCAAATATGTTGGAGTAACAGACTTCATACCTCGACAGCACAGATCCGAATCATGATGTTATCTCATGATTGTTGTCTGCAAAGGTAGTTACGAAAGCGGAGACTCGGCATCACCATAGCTGCACGCAGTATCATTACCTGCCAGGCCGAGGGCCAAAGGTCGAGATGTTTTGTGTTAATTAATACAATTGGTTTAAATCAGCCAGAAACTAAGATGCTGCGCATTTCCCAGCAACCCATCATTCTTTCGAGGTTTGAAAGAATGTGTCCTTGTGTATGGATACTTGAGGTAGTTGATTAATACCGAACCCAACATGACAATATTAGAGACGTGACTCGCTTCATTTCGGGGATGTGATTTGACCGGAGCAATATTGTTTCTGTTCAGACACGATGTTTCGTTGGTAAACTCCGTGTACCGAGATATGGGTGAGGTGGGCAGATACTTCAAGTTTCTTTCAAGTGTGCAACCTGTATGTATGTCTGCCAACTACTCAGTGAGTATTAACGGACGGTGAAAAGATTGTGGATCCCACTACGATTGCATTTCCTTCTTCTCTAGCACAAAATATGAATTTGCGATGGTCCGTAGGTAAACTCCGCATCGCGTCTGTTTCTTGGAGACCAGCGAATAATGTGAACACGGGCATCAATTGAGTGTAAACGGATGGTGCAGCCTTATTTCCGAAAGGCGGGGTGTGCTTGCCGATTGAGCTGGGGGATAATATTGTGTATATAATCATTTGTGTTCCTTCGTAAGCTGCCAAGAGATTAGAAACAAGACAAAATCAACATTCCAGCATTATACCGATTCATCGGTACTTTATAATTGAAATCACACATATTTCCCACCAAATTGAGATCAGTCCAAACCACTACAACAAGCCAACCATGGCCTCGGCACCATCACAAATTCCCTCGGAAACCCTGTCAGCCACAGCAACAGCTTGGCTCGACGCCCTAGGGAGCCTCGATCCGGAACGCCTCCGCGCCGTCATGAGCCCCGACTACAGTCATACCTTTGCGCCAGGATCGCTGACCCGGCTCGCCAATAGCTCCAAGGACCGCGAGGCCATGTGCGGACACGTCGAACACGTGGGCCGGGTCTTGACCAGCTTTCCCATCTTTCCCCGACAGGTGTGGCCCAACCCGTCGCTGCGACAGGTTGTCGTCTGGGCGGATTCCAAGGCCAACTTCAGGGACGGGGCCACAAAGGGACCCGATGAGGACTGGGAATTTGCCGGCGAATACATGTTTGTCATTACCATGAATGAGACAGGGGACAAGGTGGACAAGGTGCTCGAGTTTCTTGACTCCAAGGCTACGGAGCGCGCGTGGGAGCTGATGGCTAAGGCTTTGAAGAACCTTGAGAGTCAGTGAAGAGGTGAGCTTGCTCATTGGAGGATTTTGACAAAGTCATAGAATCAGTACCTATCGTCAATAGAAGACACTATGTTTCCTCTATACCGATGCCATAACTCGCCAGCTGTTCGACAAGCTGCTCATTGGAGTCAGGATCATGTATAGTCCGCCTTGTATTCATGAGGCGCCCGTTGTAAATCGTCCCTTCGTAAGCAGCGTCACAGGCAGCTCACGTAGAGTATGGTGATAACATCGTCGAATCTAAGAGCATTTAACACTTACTGCAAGATCCAAAACTGTGTCTTTACTCCCATTCAACAATTGTCCACATTTCAAATTATCAATTATGGGCAGGTAAAGGACGGCCGGCGCCGGCTTAAGGTGTGGAGTCGTCCGGCGTTCCTATCTCGGGCGGGGTTTAGTTTAGTGCTCGGTGCCACCATTTGTAAACCACTTCGACACGGAGCATCACCCGGGACACACCTGATACTTTACACATTCCTTCAAAATAAACTCCAAAGGGAAGACCGAAGTCCATACGCGATTATAATCATGGCCCCAGTATACCCAAAGTTTGACGTCATCAAGTCTGGACACCTGGATGTGTCTTCAGTCCACTCCATCTACTGGGAAGAGTGCGGTGCGCCCTCGGGCGTACCCATCATCTACCTCCATGGCGGACCGGGTGGTGGCATCGAGAACTCGGACAGACTGTACTTTGACCCCGCCCACTACCGCAGCATCCTCTTTGACCAGCGCGGATCCGGACGATCGACGCCCCATGCGTCGCTCGAGGAGAACACGACCTGGCACCTGGTAGCAGACATTGAGAAGCTGCGCGAGCACCTCGGCGTCGACCGCTGGATCGTCTTTGGCGGCTCCTGGGGCTCGACTCTCTCGCTCGCCTATGCCGAGGCGCACCCGGATCGCTGCCTGGGTCTGATCCTCCGCGGCATCTTCACCCTGCGCCGCGAGGAGCTCTTGTTCTACTACCAGCAGGGCGCCAACTTTTTGTTCCCAGACTATTTTGAGCACTACAAGTCTGTGATTCCCGAGGAGGAGCGCGGTGATATGATGGGCGCTTTCTACAAGAGGCTCACTGGTGACAATCAGGAGGAGAAGCTCAAGTGGTTAGTGCTGCCTCAAACGGGTTTGAGTCTAAAGATGCTAATTGTGGCTCGTTTCTAGCGCCGATGCTTGGAGTCGATGGGAAGTGTCGACAAGCAAGCTCATTGTTGATCCATCATACATTGCCAAGGCAGAAGATCCAAAATGGTACGTTTTATCCCGTAAAGCCAGAGCGCTCTGGGAGCCACAGCTGACCTTATCCTCAGGGCATTGGCATTCGCACGCATCGAGTGTCACTTTTTCGTCAACGGCGGCTGGATGAAGGACGGCCAACTCATTGATGATGCTCACAAGATCAAGCACCTTCCCATTGTCATTGTCCAGGGCCGCTACGATGTGGTCTGCCCGGCCAAGACGAGCTGGGACTTGTACCAGGCCCTCGGCGGAAAGGACAATAGCAATGTCGAGTACAAAATTATTGGGGATGCTGGCCACAGTGCTCACGAAGCGACAATTGAGGAGGCCCTGGTGGACGCGGCTGAAAAGTTCAAGTCTATCAAGGCATGATCACCAGATTCACAGGATCAAACTAGATATTGAAGTATTGCCACAACCTAGATCCAGTACAAATAAAAGTCCACGTCAAGCATTGAGCAGTCGCCAACTCTCTAGAAGGGTGCATTACACTGTCAGCTTGGTGTTGTGCTCTGCAGCCCGATGACTGTGATGTTGAGGTCGCCTTTAGTTTGCCGGCTTCACTGGGCCGAAACAAATCTCTTTCTGGATGAAACTGCCGAAGTAGATTGTGAGAAAAGTTCGATGGGATAAACGTTGTAGTATAATCACGGGATAAATTCAATTGTAATCACTAAAATCATATTATGTAGGACGACAATCAACGGACACAAGACAACGATGCTCTGTTATCTGATGCCGTAAACGTCTTTCCAATTTCATAAATGAGGCTTTGGATTCAATGCAGTCATGTCTGGATCATGGTCGATGGTTCCATTGTGAAGGCCATGGGAAAAGAATTTACCGCAGCTCAACTGTCTTTCGTTCACCCCAAGAGCGCCGACCCATAGCCAACCTGAGAACAGAAAAATTGATCAGAAGACACGACTCGAAACAAGCTCAGACGAGCATTTTACTGCGTTTTGTTTCAGATCGCCAAGTCCACGTTTGTAAGAAGTCTGTCATTTATTCAGTTGTTGCCTGTGTTTTTTATGTAAACTTTTTCATCACCTCTATCGTCAATCCCACCCTTTCTTGACCAAACATCGTTCGAGGACTTGAGGCGACAATTGGGTTCTGTTGGTTGGATTCGTCAACAACCAAAGATATTTCGCTCTTCCTCTCCGATAACAATTATCCACGTGAACTCACGTCTTGTCACACAGCAAGTATAGTATCCTCTTTCGAGAAAACCCCTATCGTCGTCATGGATGCACTCAGGGACTACTTTCGCCAAGGCAAGATGCCTCCTGAGGGTGTATTCAGATCAAGCATGGCCGACATCATGTCCTCTGAGAATACCTCAAAGGTAAGCAATATTCCGCCATTGGTGTAATGAGAATCTATCAAACTAACGACTCTATTTGCTGGCACAGCCTCCCAACAAGAAGCGACGACTCGAGACGGTCGCCTCCGACTTCCTTGATGAGGATGATGGTGATGATGTTGATGATGAAGATGATGAGAATGACGGGCCTGACAAGCTTGAAGAGCACGATGAGCAGAACGCCCGATTGGAGAATACGGTCCAGCGATGTGTGGCACTCATCCGTCGATCGCTTGACGAAATGGCCCAAGAGACTGAGGCCTCGCAGTCTGAAATCGTGTCAGATCTCGAGGATCAGCTCGCCAAGATGACTTCAAAGAAAGATTACTACAAGAAACGCGTCATTTCGCAAGAGAACAAGATGGCCTCAAAGAACGACAAGCTGAGGCAGCAGGAGCAGGAGATTCTAGCATTGAAGGCAGAGGTCCAATGGCACAAGCAAGCAACATCGCAGGCCATGCGAGATCTCCAGCATTTGAGCGGCCAGGCGTTTTACACCAGAAACGAGATGCTTCGACTTCTCAATGTCGTTTAGCATGCACCTGCCGAGATCTACCATCGGGTAGTCTACAGAAATCGGATTCCCCTACAACATGTTATGATAGGGTCAGGTGGCTTGCATTTCTGTTCACAAGGGTTCAGCTCGAGCAAGAACGCCAGAGAAGTTATTGAAGCTCGAGAGATGGGACTAGAGCTTGACGCAGGATCGCAAAGGGTTGAAGAAACACCTCTTAAAAGAAGCATTTGTTGAGCGGACGGTTTGTTCATTGTAATCACACCACAGACAGGCAATGCAGATATGCGAAATGGAAATATGCTATGATCTGACCAAGATTGGCCGTTTTACCCATTGACACACAATTGTCAATCGACTCTGCCAGATCTTTTACTACTCTTTCCCTAGACACAACCTCTGCAATCAAGGTCCTTGCCACTCTTTGGTATTCCATCCTGCAGGTCTACCTCTTTGTGCCATCTTTTTATTCACCTTTTTGAATCAACCACTATCTCTTGAAAACAATTCCAGAAACACTTCAAATAACTCAGCTTGCTTGAGTCCCGTTTTGATTCATCTCCCTGGCAACCTCCTTCCTTACCAGCGACATGGACCGTGTCGAAGGCTTTACAATGGAAAATTCCGAGTACATAGATTTGACGACTGGCTTTGACAGCGACGACGATGACAGCGACGACGATGACAACGACGAGAAATTCATGACAGGGCCGCAAAACCTTTTTTCCAAAGTCCACGTAAGCTTGACCCTGTTGATCGCAACGCATAAGAATCTGTAACACTAAGACTACTTTACACAGGGAATGTTAGAGACTCAGAGCAAGAAGCGACGCCTCGCTCCCGACAATGGAAAAAACGAGAACCTCAACGACGCCACCGCGGCTTCTTCTTCATCCCCTCCTCAGACACTTCCCCAAGAGACGCGACAGCGACCCCAGGACCAAGCAAATTGGGAAGTCATTCGGCAGCTAAATGAGAGCCACGCCGAAAATCATAATCTCAAAAAAGAGGTCTCCCAAATGAAGGGCAGGATACGTGAGCTGGAAACAGATCTCGGCAGCAAAGATGACGACCTGAAGAAGGCCCTCCACGATGGAAAAGAATGGAAGGAACAGATGGAGCGCTTTGGCGAGGAAATTCTTCGACTGAATGAGAAGGAAGGGACAAATTACAAGATCATGGCAGAAGACAATTACAAGGTAGCAATGGACCGTCGCGAGGCTTGGCGCAAATATCATTCCACACGCAAGGAGCTTGACGAGAAGCGCAAGAGCGAAGCGGCCATGAGACGCGAGTTACGCCGAATGTACAAGGTTCTGCGCAAGGCATCCCCAGAGACATTTGAGATGGAAACGACAGGGGACAGAAATGGAATGTTCCTCGACATACTCTTGGAAGATTAATTCTCACTGCTCATCGAAAATCAGGAACGCATCGCAGTTTGACAACTGACAGCGCTACAAGATCGTAGCGAGGCGTCACAATTTCATGGATTGGAAGAACAGGGTTGCCTCTTCACAGGTTGAGACATTCGTCATTCACTGTAATCATGTCACGGACATGCAATGCAGATAGGCAAAATGGAAATACGCCATGATTTGACCAAGATGGTCCATCTTCATTATCAACGTTTTCTCCATGCTCTTCGTGAATTCTACCACGCAAATGAAAACTATCTGCAGACTTGCTGCTAGTAACAATTGGTTCTAAATCATTGCTCTTTGGTATCATCGATCCAGGAAAAAACATGACTCCAGGTCCAATGTTTTCTTTTCCCCCCTCTTTCTTTTGTTCGATCTCGTTTCCATCATTTGTGTTTTTGAAAAAACTCCCCAAGTACGCCAAGTGATGCGCTAGGAGATGCTCATGTAAGAAAGACGGGATGCGTGTACTATACAATCAAATCTCGCCAAAGCATGGATTAGAAGAGCAGCAGAGCCGAAGGAGCCTTGGCTGGGATGCATGAAAAAAAAAAAAAAATTCAATCGCGAGAGGCTGAGTGATCGGAAACACTCTTCGCCATAGAGGTGAGATGATGGACTAGTCATACTGACTCAAATATGAAGAAAAGGATCGCCTCTGTCCGCGACATTCTTCTTCTTCTTCTTGGCAGCCAATAAAGTGCTGCCAAAAGAGGGCATCGACTGCTGGCGGATCAACTCGGGACGCGTGCCGAGGGTCATTAGGTTTCTCAAAGAGGACTTTCTGAGAGGAAACGTGGCATCCTCGAGATTTTCTTTCTGTGGAGTTCGGAGTGCCTGTGTGCTCTACATTACAGAACACTCGCCCTCCTGCTGCTTGTCCATCTTGCTTCGGGAAATGCGTTCTCGTGCGCGGGGGCCAGTATTCTTGCCACCAGAGCGTTTAAGGTCCTCGAGACGTTCGCGGGCTTTGGGGAAATTTTGGGCTGCCAATCATGTTAGATTCCTCTTACAAAATGAGTCAATGTGCAAAGTTACTTACCGGCAGCTCTCCAGTACCAGCGCTTTGATTCTTCCAAATTGGCGGCAATTCCAATGCCAACTTCCGTAAAGTAGCCCATGGCATACTCTGCCTTTGCCAGACCAGCTGATGCTGCCTTTCTCGCCCAAAGGTATGCTTCTGTATCGCTCTGCTGCAAAATACCTTCACTGCCAGTAAGATACCAACCACTAAGGGCAAGCTCAGATTGGTGCTCTTCCTGTGCTGCAGCTCGTGAATACCACATGATGGAGGATCGTGGGTCGACTGGACAGCCCATCAGACCATACTCGTAAGCACAACCCATTCTAAATTGACTGAATTTGTACCCTAGATTAGCAGCCTGCTCGAATAGCTGGAAGGCATACGCTTCGTCGCGTAGAATCATATCGTTTGGCTGCGCAGATTCGTAAAGGAGACCCAATTCATGCAACGCGTGGGGATTCTCGGGATCAGCACGTTCAGCGGCCCTCTTGAGCCAACCGACGGCCTCCCGCGGATTATTAGGCTGACCAAGCAGTCCCTTGAGCAAGATCATTCCAACCTTATACATCGCAGGAGTGTCGCCGAGAGTTGCTGCTCGCTTATACCACTGAATAGCTTTGAGTGGATCCTTGCGCGTGCCACCGCCCTCATCGTTACCCAGCTCGCAGCAGACGGCAGTCCGATAAGCAGCACCAGCGTGGCCAAGCTTCGCAGATGACTGATATAATGTGAAAGCCTCCTTGCTGTCCGGCTCAAAGCCGAGATTGCCACGACCCATGCAGTCTGCCAGGAAGAACATGGCGTCGGGGTTTTGTGCGCTTGCGAGCTTCTTGAGAATCTTGTGAGCATCCATGATGTAGCGTTCCCGAGACCGTGCACGGGCTTTGGGGTCTGGCAACTGCGGAACCAGGACATCGGCGGCCTCCACCAACTTCTTTGCGAGTGTGAGTGCTGACTGTTGATCATTCGGATCGGTCTTGATAACGGCGCGCAGTTGCTCAAGCTCTTCTATCGTGACCGGTACATGTACCACTGAATTGGGTCGGCCGTTTGCCGGCTGCGGGCTGGGTTGTGGCCTGCCTTGGGCAAGTATCGCTGCTGGAGGGGGGCCACTATACTGTCTCTGCGGGGGCGGCTTATCCTGCATATTCACCATTGAGTTTGGCATCAGGCCGGGTCGGATAGGAGCTGGGTGACCTGATCCAGGGCCTGCTTGCGGTGCCCGAGGTGGGGGAACGTTCGGCAGGGCTCCCGCAGGCGGTCCTGGCATATCGGGATTGTATGCTTGGAAGCCGCCAGTGGGTACAGGAGGCATTTCACTTGCCATTTCAAACACGGCTGCTTGTGGTTCACGCAGGTTTGGCTGGGACATGGTTCGACTGAGTTCAGCCACGCGAGCTGGGCCCTGTTGAGGCGTTCCGGGTGTAGGCCGCATTGGCTGGTCAAACGAGCCCCGGTGTGGTCCTTCGTCAAAGTTTGGCATTCCGTTCGGGGGCTGGGGCATCTCGCTGTTTCTTGGATGGTAATAAGCATCGTAGAAATCGCCAAAGGATGCGCGCACGCCTTGTTGAGCCCATGGTGCTTGTCCGGGAGGCTCATAGCTGTCCCAATCCGGAGCACCTGGAGGTCCAAGTGATGTGGGCGGCCCTTGCGGTGGATATTGTCTTTGCGGCATAGGTCGGTTACCCTGAGCAGTCGAAGGCCTCGGAGGACCACCTCGCCCGCCTGGAGGATATGGCGCACTGTCGGCTCTGGGCGGCGGTCGCATTCCTCCCATACCCATACCAACTGGGGGTTCGTTGTTTGGCATGGTCATGCTTCGTGACGGCGGTCCATAACCATCGCCGTATCCATCGTCTTGAAACCCGCCATAACCAGGACCTGGCGGTGCTCCACGAGGCGGGGGAGCCCGTGGTCCACCTCTTTGACTGTCCAATGATGGTCTGCCACCATATCCGTCATCCATCGTCGGTCGTCTCTGTCCAGGCCCTCTACCTGCCGGCGGAGGAACATTTTGTCGTCTTGGGGGAGGTCGTGCGCCGCCTCCTGGTCCGCCAGGGCCATTGATATTCATGTTTTCCATACCAGCTAGTATCCGATTCTCTTCGTCTAGGTCGGAGCGCCGTGATTGACCGGGCATGATGGGGAATGCGCTGCCGAAGCTTTGCTCTTGGGGGCTGACCATTGATTGACCCATGCGACTCACTGTTCCTTGTCATTAGCCTAAATGCACACATGGTCACAAATGCGCAGACCTACTTGATGGATCGGACCCCGATGATCGACCAGGAGGACCTGGCCGACCTGGGCCGGGCGCAAATCCTCCACGGCCCGGGCCCGGGCCTGAAGGCAAACCTCCTCGTCCTCTGTTCATCGGGCCTCCTCTTGCATTCTGTGGTGGGCGCCCTCCTCTTCCTGGGCCGCCACCGTACCCGTCCTGTGGAAAGTTACCGTTGGGTGGCGGCCGTCCCCGCCCGTAGCCCATATCTTGCGGCGGGCCGTAACCTTGATCATAACCATCGTCGTACCCGTCGTACCCGTGGCCGTAATCGTCCTGGTACTGGTCGTATTGCTGCTGCATAGGGGGACCGCCGCCGCCAGGGGCAGGTCTCCGCGCCGCGGGTCCTGCGTAGGGGCGCTGTTGTTCTGGGAAGCCTCCGTTGTAAGCCATGTTCGTCGGCTGGGCGCGATTCCGTCGCTGCCCTGTCACTGTCGCTTGCGGCGTGCTCTACTTTCCCAGATGTACGGAGCTTCGAGTGGTCCGGTGGAGAGGCTGATGTTTATCTATCGGTAAAGTCTGCGGACGAACTGAATGAAAGGGATCGGTCGCAGAAAATCACGAGAAAGCCATCAGCTGAGAAAGGAGTGTGGGGGGCCTTTTTTCGTGGGTGTGTGCGTGTGCGTGTGTGTCCGTGTTTGTGTATGTGTATGTGTGAGCTTGAATGTGGTGTGTGTTATTTCCGATTCGAGATGTACGTAGGATTCCAGGTTGGATTGATTACTGTAAGGTACCCGAGGAAGGATGGCCAGTCAGATGAGCGCAAGACGTTGCAGCCAAACCGAGACAAAGCCTGTCAGAAGGGTACCTGGGCAAGGTGTTGTTGTATTGCCAGCTCAGCTGCCACTGTCACGACCTTTGCTGGAGAGTAAGAGGTAGAGAATAGACAGTAGCAGCAGCGAAAGCGCAGTGCGACTGTTCCTATTTTTTCTCCCTCTTTCTAAAATTGGGAGGGGGTAGTTTCGCCTCGGTGTTGATCGTCAGTTTCGGCGCGCAAGGTGGGTTTTGGTGGAAGGTCGATACTTTTAGTGGTCGTTCCCAGCGGGCGGGTCACTCTACCTAGGGAATCCTGCGGGTGGAAACCTTGGAGGAACAGATAGCGAGGAGGGAGGGGAGGGGACCTGGGACTCGAGAGCTGTTGAGTGAGAAATGACCCCGCCAACGTGCAGCGCAACCCAGTGTGTCTCGGGGGGTCCTGGCGACTTGGTTCGCGGGATGGCTTATGTAGTTCCAATGCAGTAGTACTTGGGGGCGTTAGTCGCATGCACTCCAGACACCGCCGTCTATCCGTTTGTCGTCAGCTAATAATGCGCCGAGGGATGCGCCCAGGCTGTGGCAGGTCAACAAAAAGAAGATGTAAGCGAACCCCGAGAGGCAGCTTGAGCTTGGGTCGCGGCTATTTCGGAAGAAGTCGTTCAAAAGTCCTATGCAGCCCAGAGAAATGAATTTGTTGTAGCGAGTAACGGATTGTGGGCGGCAGTTCAGTGTCTTACTTGCTGCGTGCGCCAGCCGTAGGAATCGATCTTGCTCCGCTGGATCTGTCCGATAGAGTTCAGACCGTCAGGTCAAGATGTATCCCTTCGGGCAATGACAAGTCGTGCGAGCAGCTTCTAGGAAGAAGAAAGGAAGTAAAAGGCTAAATGGGCCCAAAAGCTATAGTCGAGCGCTTAACTAGTGGCTCGTATGTAATGTATGCGCGGCTACGTACACACGGAATAGGTGTGTTGCAGGTGTGAGAGTGACAACACGACCTCTTCAGATAGACGAAAAACAAACTGAACTACCCAGCCTGGGAACTTGAGCTATAAGATGCGGGAAGCCAGCCGTGTGTAATGACATAGGACGAGTGAGGCTGTACAAAAAGAGTCTATCCCATGTATCGCCTCCGCGTGGTGGTGAGAAGTGACAAGAAGGGTTTACCCCGGCTCGTGGGGCTATTATGCATCAATTGGTACCTACAGACTTTCAACTCAAGCTTGTCTGCTTTTTAGCTTTCGGCTATGTGATGCAGTATCTCAAATTCAAGTACCCCGGATTAGCATTCGCATCTTCCCATTGTTCTTTGTCAAGCATCTGTGAAGCCGCCTTGTTGGCTGTTTTTGTTCACCATAACAATACAACAATGAACACCCTCAACAGCCTGGCGCCGCCATTCCCGTCGAGTGCTTTTTCAACGTGCCATAATTCAGGGTCGTCTGGGGCAAAAATGGGGCGCCAGTTAATAACGACAGCCGCTAACCGACCATTTTGGTACTTCACCTGACTAACACGATTTGTCGATCATGGTAAAGACGCCGAGTGGTTCACCTACAGTAGGTGCCTCGAGCAACAGGCAAGGTCTGGTCAAAGGACGATACATGACGGGAAACCCTCCTAGCACAGGAACATTGTCCGTCATGGAAGAGGGCAGAAAAAGACGATGCATGAAATTGATTTCGTGGCCAATTCCAAGCAGAGTGCTTTAATGCCAGTAGCACGCCGGGAAGTGCTATCGTCATACCCAAGCGTTGTATCAAATCTGTCAGGGGACATCAAGGACCGTACCACTGATTGGACACATGCGGTCCGTAGGGTCTTGGCGTGCTGCCTCCAAACGTTCCGAAGAGCCGGGTTAAAGATTCTTTTGTTGGATGCTGAGATTTTTTTTCGTACTCTTGCCGTAAAAAGTATTGTTGTTCTGGGAAAACATGAGCTGGACATTTCGTCATGCATCAATACAGGCCCCATAGCAGATTGAGCAGGCCAAAGTCCAACTGCTACCAATCGAATCTCCATGCAGGCAGACACTCTTCCACCAGCACGTATGTAAAATCAAGCAAACACCGGGACTTGGCTCGTACATAACTGGTGATTTACTCTTCTGGAACAATTGCTGATTGAGACGTTTTGTGATCCAAAGCAGTCAGTAGTTGACAGGAGCAGGAGTAATTGGACCTTGCTGCGTCGAATCAACAGTTCTTACCTTACAAGTGGGGGCATGAAACTCTAATTAACTCTGAAGCAAAGAAGCAACTTACTCGGATTGTCTGGTATTTCCGTTTCTTTGCCAGCGTGTAGCTCTCAAATGAGCGCACATCAATGTGCGTGTATTCCAAGTGCTATCCGTGGACGTAATTGGTAAGAGTCCTGCTATAGTGGAAGAGAAGGATACCTCAAAACTGCCTAGTGCCTGGGCGACTCACGTCAGTGACATCACGGAGGCCTCGTGATCCCAGCACTATATTCACTAGAACACTGCCAGTGGAAGTGTAGAAATACCAGGAAAAAAAAAAAAAGTCAGAAGCTTCTTTTTAGTCCGGCTGGCCCGCAGACTAGAGCGACACGCTATGCAGGTCATGGGGCTGAGGTTCAAGTGGCCAATGTGAGACGTGACTGCCCGGCTTTGCACAATGCCTGACTGAATGCCTCTTTCGCTTCCGACTTTCCAGCTTTGAGCAGCTCAGCTACAGGCTTAGACACCCTACGGCGGGACACCTCAGCAGGAAGGTAAATGTTGCGGCCGAGCCGAGCCACTTTACAAGCATTACGCGCTAAAACAAGCAGGCACCTTTGTTTATACCAGACACAGCTCCCACCACTGGTGATAGGGCATGAGCACTAATCCACTGTTGCCCACTACCTTACCTTGTATGTGCTGCAACAGAGGTCCAATTGGATAAGAAGCATGCCGTTTCTGCAGCAAATCACTTAATCTGATGCTCTCATTCAGAGAGGTTTTGACTGTCATGATCCAATTGAATGCCGTAGAGAGGCAGCCATTAACTGCTGCACCAAGTTACTGCGTATGCTGCCGCGCCTTGTATGAAAACCAAACCCCAGACTGTTATGCGCCCAAGTCCCGGGTGCCAAGACAAACATCCAAGAAAAGCCCAGAAGGCCCAAGAAAGCTTCTTCCATGCCCGCTGGGTCCTTCTAGCCCGGTGAAACTGTTCCCAGTTCAGCAGGACATGCCACGCACGGATCAAAAAGCCATGGATATACGTACGACTGAGGGCCCAGCTTCCAGAGCCTGACCTGGTTCCTGAATGTCTGAGATGGCATCTCGGCCCCGCAATACACTTGCTGTAACCTGTGCGTTCCATTAAAGAGTCCACTTACTCGGCATCTATTATTACATGTTTGATGCAACAAAAGACTGTCCGGCATTTAATGCAAGAGAGTATCCCAATGGTCTGGATTTCTGGACACGAAGTGCTCTCGAAGCGGCCGAAACTATGCGTAGCTTGGCCGGGCCCTGGCGATGTCAACTGTGATTTTCGCGGGCCAGAAATAATGCTGTATGAATGAACCTACTTGATCATGTTGATTTCGAAGGGATGTCTGAAATACAACTTTGCCGCAGAGAACTACCTCCACCATTCAACCTGAGCATCGGATCTGGGAATAGTCAGCTTAACATGATCAAAAGGCCTAAGTTCAATGGTTCGCTGGTGCTATCACATTGTACGTAGGTGATGAGTTCACTAGTAACCAGCGTCTTGAGAACCCAGCATCGCCTATGAAAATTGATTCAAATGATTTCTATTCCCTTTCAACGGGCTCCGGCTCTCATCACCCACCTAAGACAATGATTTCCTTGCAGTATGCCTTGCACCAAGATCGGGCTAGCAAGGCGTTTTGAGATGTGCGTTGACCAATCAGTAGAGAATCACTTGTGCTGTAAGGTGGCACAGCCGCCGAGTCCTGGGCACCATGCATATTGGGCTGCAAAGACTGGCGAGGCTGCGGGCGATTGGGGAGGGACTTTTCTCTCCATCGGTTTGCACTTCCTTTTCGCTTACATGAAAATTTGCTGATGAAACACTCACTTCATCGATGCCGTCGTCGCGATATGCATCAATGCTGGGTGGTACTTTGTCGAGAAAGCAGATACCCGCTAGTCGTCCCGGGGATGATTGGTCTCGATCAACACACAACCATTGTCAGAACTTCATAGAAACGGGTGACCCAAGATGTCAACCACTGATCACTTTAGTATCGGGTGGATTTGTGCCATCGACACGGAGATCATTGCTGCCGAGATCATGTTTGACGAAATACTCAGCGCACCGGATGGTATCCCTACGAGTGACGTGAACTCCTACAAGTTTGGTCGCATCTCAGGGCATCATGTCGTTGTCGCTTGCCTGCCGCAAAGTCAATGTTAGTGCCTTTTATTTGAAGTTCTCTCCCCAGCTAGAGAGAATGATATTTCAATATTGTTACAGGATTTAGATTCTTTCTAGTGTTCGATAAGGGAATGATAACTAACACCTACTTACTAATCAGATGGAATCTCGAATGCGACCGCCGCTGTGAAAGATATGTTACGCAGCTTCCCTATAAAGACTGTTGTTATGGTGGGAATTGCGGGCGGCGCGCCAAATCTTGCCAATGGCGTTGATATCCGCCTTGGAGATGTGGTCGTAAGCTCGCCAGGCTCTCACAATGGTGGAGTGTTGCAGTATGGGTATGGAAAGAAGCACCAAGATGAAAATGACCCGTTGCGCTTCGAGACGACCGGCCATCTAAATCAGCCTCCACTCAGCATGCTCAATGCTGTGAACCAGTTGAAAGCCACTCACCGAATGGAGGGACACCAAATCCAGCGAAATATGGAGGAAGCATTGCTCAAAAGACCAAAACTCAAGGCAAAGTTAAGGCGAGAGCTTCAACGTCCTGATACCGCGACGGACAGACTCTACCAGTCCAGCATCATCCATGCTGAGGATCATAGGACCTGTGACGCTTGCGGGGATGATCAAGCGACACTAGCCATGAGAGATGCGCGAGATCCGGACGACGACGACCCAGTGATCCACTACGGTCTTATAGCATCTTCCGACTCTTTAATGAAAGACGCTATAATGCGGGACAGATTATCGCGGGAGAGGAATGTCCTGTGCTTTGAGATGGAAGCCGCTGGGTTAATGAATCACGTCCCTTGCATTGCAATACGTGGCATTTGTGATTACTCGGATTCTCACAAGAACAAAATCTGGCAAGGGTACGCCGCAATGACAGCAGCTGCATATGCGAAGGAGCTCCTTGGCGACATACGGCCTGATCAGATGAGAGCAGAAGGGCGACTCATTGACAGACTTGAAGCAGGTCTGTCTAAATGTTCGTAGAGTTGCATGTATCGTCTACATCATTTTGTTTAACTGACATGACCTAGTGAATAATGAAGTGGCGGACATCAAAAATGGAATTCATCGAGGGAAAATCGCGAAGTGGCTATCACCACCTGACCCTTCGACCAACCTCAATAAGGCACAAGCTCAGCATCAGAGCGGTACTGGCGATTGGTTTCTCGGGTCTGATACGTATCTGACTTGGAAGAAAGAACGGAACTCCTTCTTGTGGCTTCATGGCATACCGGGATGTGGAAAAACAGTCTTGAGCTCTAGTATTGTTGCCGACATAGCTTCAAGTCCATTGTCGTCGCAAAGTCTGCTGTACTTTTACTTCGACTTTAATGATGCCGATAAACAATCGCTCGGAGGGGCAGTGCGTTCGCTAATTTCTCAAATGTACTCTCAGCAGAAAGTTATTCGGAGCCAAGTCGAAGCCTTGCACTCGTCGTGTCAAGGGGGAGATCGTCAGCCGGATGATGCATCCTTACATAAGCTTCTTCATGACATACTACAGCACGCTGGAGAGGTTTGGATGGTACTTGATGCACTGGATGAATGTCATAATCGAGATGAAGACCCAAGGCACAAACTACTGCCGTGGATCAAAGGTCTCCGAGACCTCGGTCTGAACATCCACATCATGGTCACGAGTCGACCCGAGCAAGACATCAAGTCATCTGTTGAGGCATGGGCCAGTAACAAAGAAATGATTCATCTACGAAGCAACTTGGTGGATGATGATATCAAAGCGTACATCAAATCAAAGATCGAAGCCATGGACAGATGGAAAACCCGATCCGATGTCCGAGAAACCATCGAGACTGCTTTGTCACAGAAGGCAAATGGAATGTAAGCACTTCAAATGATCCTCCGGAGTTCTGCATGCTGATGAAAACCCAGGTTTCGTTGGGTCTCTTGCCAATTCGATGTTCTGAATGACTGCATTGATTTGCCATCCGTACAAAGGGAATTACAAAATCTTCCTCGGAGTCTAGAGGCAACATACGAACGGATCTTACAAAATGTGAAAGAGCAGCATCGCAGATATGCAACGCGACTATTGCAATTCTTGACTTATTCGGATCGACCACTTAGGCTGGAAGAGGCGGTGGACGCAATCGCGGTCGACACATCTAGCCAGCCTCGATTTGACCCGAAGAATCGATTACCTATTCCACACGACATAATTCAATGCTGCTCCAGCCTCGTAGTTCTAGTCAAAGCAAGGAATGGAGTTGACGAGCTCAACCTTGCTCACTTTTCTGTCCAGGAATACCTCATGTCAAGCCGACCAAAAGCGTTCTTGACGGAAGATCTTGAGAAGCTGAATGCTACTGCTGCTATCCTGGAGACATGTCTGTCCTATCTGCTTGACATAGAGTGTTCAACCGGGGAGTTTCAACTGCCATTTGGAAAAGATGATAGGTATCCCTTAGTGGATTACTGTGTTGACAATTGGTTGGACTATGCGACTTTCGTCGAGCTATCTACAAAGAAGGCGGTTCCTATTGTCTTGGAATACCTCCACTCGGAAAGATTCACCATAATCCGAAATGTGTACCAGGACAGTTCGGAACACCGACCAAGAGACAAGGGAGGTCTTCGTACTTTAACATTGTCGAGAAGCGGAGATGTCGAAGTTATTGAGGAAAGTGTTGCGCGTTTGCGCTGCGCAGCGTCTGGCGGCCTACAATATACCACTCGTGTTCTACTTGCTAGAGGGGTAGATATCAACGCTAGATCGAGGTGGAGAAATACCGCTATATCCATTGCTTCATACTTTGGCCATTTGGATGTGGTACAGGAACTGCTCAAGAATGGAGCGGCAGTGAACACACAATCCGGATGTCATGAGCGCGACGCTCTTCGATGCGCCTCAATGAAAGGTCATACTGAGATCGTTCAACTGCTACTCGATCACAAAGCAGAAATTCATACAAATGACTCAGAGCGCGAGAATGCCCTACATCTTGCTTTACGTTATGATCATATTGAGGTCGTCCAGAGATTGCTCGAGTACGGGGCGAATGCTGATCAAAGTGGGGGACGGCGTAAGCCTCCACTCTTTGTCGCTTTAGAGCGTGGTAATACAGACATGGTTCGAACGTTGCTTCTCCATGGCGCCGATGTTACCATCCAAATTCACCACAAATGCGCTCTAGCCATCGCCTCACTCAACGGATATGAAGAGATCGTTCGAATATTGCTCGCACATTGTCCACATGTAAGGTTGCATGATCCTCAAGGGATTGCCATGACAGGCGCCGTAAGGAAAGGACACTTGAAAATAGTCCAAATGTTGCTTGATCATGGAGTGGATATCAACGCTCGTGTCAAGATAACGTATAGGAACACTCACTGTATGTTCACTGCTCCCCCACCAGGCGACGATGGCGAAACTTTCCTTGCTCTGGCTTCGCGCTCAGGGCATACTGAAGTCGTTGAGGTCCTGCTCGCCCGCGGCGCAAATGTCAACGCACAATCCCTTGATGGCAGTGCTCTCGAACAGGCTACATCGCAAGGACATATAGAAGTCGTGCGAGCTTTGCTCAACCATGGTGCACATGATATAAATGGTCGAGCCCTCGCATATGCTCTACGCCAGAAAACTCAATTTAATGAGTTCGGGGATATTGCCCAGCTCCTCCAGCCTGAAGCCATGACTTCGATGAAACGCATAGCAACGGCTGATTCGGATTTGAATTTCCACAAAAAGAGAGGAATGATATCATCAGGTGACACCTAGGGCTTTTTGTTCCTGGGATTTGGTCTCTCTTCCTTCTAATACTGCGCTACATCTCTTCACTTTCCATGGTACTGCTTGCTATCCTTTCCTTCATGTTCTCTTCTACTTATTTCAATTCTAAACAATGTGCTGGGATTAGTACACATTAGATTTAAAGAATTTTATTTTCCATTTTTTCGTTTTCCTTTTCCCGCATTAAGCATATCGTGAGATCAAAATGGCTCCGTACAATAAATGTGTTTACATGGCCACTCGAGCCACGACGCACGTCCTTCCCACTTAATTAATTGACGGTCAATATCTTTGAACAAGCGCTCTGTCCATCCTTTTGTGTACCAGTGCTTCATTCCTAGGCACTTGAAAAGCACCGCAAAATGTGCCAAAATAACAAGTGCAGCGGGCTCTGAGGCTTCTATATCAGCCATGATGGATTGATCCAATACATAGGGCCAGTATAGAACGGTGCCGATTTCCGCATGAGCACCACCCCAAGCAATGAGTCTGGTTGCTGTCTCCAGACCATCTATGGCGGCGGTATAATGCTCGCTATCGCCTGCCGAATATGGTGAGGCTGATGTTCTTGAGACGCTCGATATGCTTAGTGAGCGCAGTCTTTGCAGAGCGTCAAAAGTGTCGACAGGCAAACCACAATGGCTAACATCAAGGAGGCTAGGAGTGAAAAGGATAAGCGATTGGACCACGTTGCGTATGTCAAGGCGTGCAATGAACTGAAAGGGCGAATGCAAGATATGCGGCTGCAAGATGAACAGGCATACATACCTCTGTGTATTCTTAACATCGGTTGGAGGCCAAATCCCATACACGATTGGTGCAAACTCAGATGCAGTGATGAGTCGCGTAAATGGGTCAATTGTCGCACGGATTCCTCGAACAACAGAAAACAGCTCGAGAACTCGCCTGATTGGCGTCTGAAGACCTTGCTTTCCGGATCTTGCCGGCAAGGATAGACAGTGGAGTATGATGATAGTGGTGAAACACAATACCTGCCTCCAATTCTCCATATTTACATGAGGAAGACAAGCTCTAAATGCTTCCGAGCCTATGAGATAGTAGTGGGCTGACAAATCCAAGTACCGCTGGCGCTCACTGGGTACCAAGAGACCTTTGTGCAGTGCAGATATGGAAAGGATGCCGTGCATAACGAAGGCGCACGCGTAGCCTTCTCGTGGCTTGACAACCTTCCACACATGGCGCATATCCTCACGCATGGCTAGGGTATCCGCTGTAACGGTACAGTAGTGATGCATCAATTCAGCCTCCCGCCCCCATCGTTCATTGAAGCCGCTTGAGTTATCTTCTTCGGGAGCCAAATGATTGTTCGAGTTGGCGAGGCTGGCATCTGCGGTCATGACCATGGACATGGTCCAGGGCAATTGACTATTTCTGACCATGCGGGACGCATCCGTCGCTTTCTCGGGGCCTAGACTGCAGTGTACATCACGTCGTCTGCAATGGAAGCAGCAAGGTGCGGCTTCATCACACTAAACCATTATAAGCCTCCAGGGTGGTGAATAGATTATTGAAGACTTTAGTACCTTGATCTTGCGGCGTTTGCATTCATTACAGCCATTGCGAGACTTTGTGTGAGTTCGTCGACTAGTCATATTCCGTGAAAAGCTGTTGAAAGTATCCAAGGAATTTCGAAATAGTTATTTTGCGACACACGTAATGCGAAATCCGAATCCGAGGACTCGCATAGAAAAGTCTGGTAAAACAAGGCTCTTACTGCAGAAAAAGCGCGGTGTGGCATACGGGAGGTGGTTTTGATAGAGGAGGCGCGAATGGAAAATTCAGTGGTGATAACGCAAAAAGAAAAGGAGCTATAGGTACACTTTGAAGGAATGTGCTGGTTCTGGTAGCTCGTAATGATGTTGGGTAGTTTTCTCCACTATTTGTGACCAAGTAACACCACCACCTAACAACTTTCGTATTTCGTATAATCCGAGGTCCGAATCCGCGTATTCGCAACCGGCGTAATGCCGGCGCTAAACATGGGGCCGGCTTGAACATAGGACGGCTTTAATTCTATGGCTTAGCCAATAAGTGCGCCTAAGCCTCGAACTTTGTCCCTATATAGGGCGGCTTTCCCAAAATATGCAACATGGTCTATTATCGAAAAAAACTCGCAGCGTGGATCGATTCAAGGAAGGGGAATCTCTTGCCATTTTCAAATCCAACTCTGGCGTGATTGTTGGTATTTCACCAGGGCCACCACTCATTACAATGTCAACCTGCAATCCCGATTACGAGAATGCATCCTGGTCTCTCTACCGATACGCACCATCGGCTCCAACGTCTGGAGTGTTCTGCATCCTGTTCGGCCTCACAACCATTTTGCATCTGATTCAGATGTGCAAGACAAAGACTTGGTATCTTGCTGCGCTTGTTGTTGGGGCAGCATGTAGGTCGTTCTCGGCTTGGAACATTCAGATGTCTGGCAAAGCTGATATTGAGCAGGTGAATGCATTGGCTATGCCGCCCGCGTAGCATCCGCCCTAGAAGAGCCAGGCTGTTGGAGTCTTGGGCCTTATGTCGTCCAGTCTATTCTGATACTCATCGCTCCCGCCTTTTTTGCAGCTTCCATCTACATGATATTGGGCAGGATTATTGTATTGACTGATGGGGAGTGTTACTCAGTTGTCAAGAGACGATTACTCACACGAGTGTTTGTCGGTGGTGATGTCTTATCTCTGCTGACACAGTCCAATGGTAGGTGAATAACGGCGCCCTGAGCTAGAGATATTTTTCGAGATCCATGAATGGTAACTGACATCTCTGTGTTTACAGGAAGTGGTATGATGGCTATCGGCGGCAGCCTCGTCGACATTGGAGAATACATCGTCATTGCCGGATTGTCCATTCAGCTCGCTTTCTTTGGAGCGTTTGTGGTTGTTGCCGCTATTTTCCAGCATCGGATGCATCGTCAGCCAACTCCAAAGTCGTTTGATCCACAGATTCGATGGCGAAAATATCTTATGACGCTTTACGTGACCAGCGGCCTCATACTAGTTCGAAGTCTCTTTCGAGTGGCCGAGTATATATCTGGAAACGATGGTGTGCTTATGAGAAGCGAAGCGTATACATTTGTTTTCGACTCGGTTTTGATGTTGGTCGTTCTCGTTTGGCTGAACTGGTATCATCCTAGTGAGATTGGTCTCTTGTTGAGGGGTGAACAAACAGTCGACAATGGGTTGAAACTGGTGTCGCTCAAAAGGCGTCGATCTGACACGGTGGATACCTGCTCGTCCAACACACAACTGAATCCGAGCACCTATGCCAAAGTATAAACATGCGGCGGAGCAGATAATGTCAGTTTAAAGAGATTTCATCGTGGTTCTATGACATGATAGACAAAACCAGGGTATATAAGCTTCAACAATACATCTTGATTTCGTTTACTCAAATACTGGCGTCGTGAAAGAGCTACAAGTTACCGCAAGAGGTGCCAAAACGGCAACAGCATTGAGCATTAAATAGAAGCCCAGCATATTGGCCCAAAATCGTCCTATTATCACAAGGTCAACAGGAATGTAGTTCATATATACAAGCCGTCACAGCTGTTGGGATCTTTCATGTTAACATGAAATACATGTTCTTCTCGCGCATGACATTTCTCCAGTCAATACATCCTAGACCACCTGTATCTTCGTTACGAGCCCAGGTCTGCCGGTCAACCCTCCGCCACACTTCCATGACCAATGATTTGGCAACATTGATGTTTCCAATTTGATGACGCCTCGCACGCGCGAACCAAATGAGCGCCCGGTGACGCAAGGGTATGTCGACTGCTTCCACGGCCGCTATGAATGCCACCCAAAGTGTATTTGCAACGGTCATGCCGCTTGATATCGCATCAATGTTTTCGAGGTGCTCCAAAGCCTTGTCGACTAGATGTTGGCCAGAAAGACTTGCATCACTCAGAGCGCCGCTACGAAGTTCTCTAGGTGGAATGATGGTTGAGCCCCCGTCACAGAGGGCTCGCCGAAAGAATATTGCTGTGCTATACCGAAACGCAGCCATGTGGTTTTCCTTAATTTCTTGACAAATGAAGTCAGAAACTCCATGTTGATTGCCCGAGCCAATGAGGTTGAGCCCATCGAAATGGGATGATTCATTCAACGCGCTGTAGACCTCATGCTCCAGGGTCTTCAATTGTTCGACATGGCTCTGCAACCATTGTTCATCCATCGATAGATTTTCTTTGACTCTAGATAGATCGATAATTTTGCTGATACACTGCAGTGTCTGTGAAGAGACCCCAAATGTAATGTCCAGCGGATACTCGCAGGAAATCTGAGAAGCTCCATGTTGCTGAACGTTTTCTGCAAGATCACAATTTGCTCCTGTATCTTCAAAGAGCTGACTGGAAAGACTTGCGAATGGCTGATCTTCGCTTTCAGTTTGAGCTGACATTTCTGTGAACTGGGTCCAGCCTGACGTGTCGCCAATAATCTGTAGGCATTTAAAGATCCTAAGAAGTGTTATACTTTTGGTGTTTGATGTCCACCAGCTGATACCGCCTGTAAAACGAATGGTTTGTTTAGCAAGAAGCAGGTGCTCGTATCCTGCCCCTTCGTGTTCGCCGCTGAATACCTGTGAGTCTAGTCAGCCCAGTTCTCCACATTGACTGTTGTTCAACTTATATCACCCGATTTGTCTTTGGAGCTTGATCACCATACCTCTATTGTTGCCATAGTCATAGCAGCTGCTAGTAATGCCATCCTGTCCATGCGATCTGCTAGGAGACTTTTGGAGAGCTGCAGATCGTGTACGATTGATCTGAGCCTTTTTGATGCTTCTGTTTTGCGTTCTTGAGCTTGACCGATGAGTGTGGTCTTGTCCTTACGTGCCGTCGTGGCTTTATGAAATCCAGCTGCAGATGAGAGGGCATGGAATAAGCAACTTTTAGCGTCCGATGGTGGTCCAGTTACTGCCAAGGGATAATAAAGGCGTAGCCATGGGTTGAAGGTTGGTGCTAGAATAGGCATCATGAGATGACATGCATGAGACTTCCAGTGAGCCAACAGAGCACCAGTCCTGTCGTGTATCCCGTTGAGCAGGTCGCCTAGACCAAGCCGTTGGATCTTTCTTGAATACGACCGGCGATCAGATTCTGTAGTGGCAGATCCAGCTAGACATTCCTCTGGCTGTTGTGGTGGCGAAAACAACATATCATCCGAAGAGTGCTGTCGCTGGCCAAGACCCGAGACTGTATCGTCACTGAATGCTAGTTCTTCCTCGGTTTCGATCAATGTACGAAATTCCGCCGACGGAGAGATACATTGTCCAGCATGATCATCAAAGGATGCTCCCTCCATAAAGTTGGGAGATTCATGCGTTTCCTCCGTCGCTGCTGAGAAGTGAGCCGAAAAGCCGCCTCCTCGGCCATGACTTATAGGCGCGTTTACGATTGTTTCGTTGATAGAATCATCTTGGCTGGTGCTCCGGAATACATCTTTGGACCCCCCCAAGATTTGCTCCATCCACTCCCAGTTCAGAGAATGTGGCACATTCACCGTCTGGCGACCATGGTCCAACTTTGTAGCATCCTGACTGATCTTGTTGGAATGATTTGGCACAATATGTTCTGATCCACCAGAAATGCCATCACATGTGTAGATGCGTGACCGTTTGCAGTTCCAGCAAATTGGCTTACCGAGATCACACTGTGGCAGACTCCTTCAGCATCTTGTAGTATTCTTGAAATGTATCTCGACCTACTTTGATCTTTCTCGTTCTACATGTTCCACATCCCTGGCGAATGTTCAGAATTCAATAACCCTTGCATCATTCATAGCAAGCGCCTAGAGTGATTCTCACCAAATAGAGTCGACCACCCTTGCGACGTTTTGAGGGCGATGCCAGTGAATCAAGCACATGTTTGGGGGGTGCCGCTTGCGCGGATGGCTTATCATTGGATGTCGCCATTACTCTGTATCTTTTGAGGACATTTGATGCGTCTCGTAACGATCTCGGCTTGGTAGTTGCCGACAATTTCTGGACCACCAGAGTCTTACCCGTATGCCGGATTCTGAAAGAGTGCTGGAGATTGCGAATTGCTCAGCCATTCCGCCGATTCGCATCTCAGCGCGCCGATGTCATCAAGCGAACTGGTGGGTCGTGAGCGGGGTATGTTCGCGCCGAACTTACGGTCTGCGCCTAGACTTCACTAGAAATAGGACGAAAAGTTCGGGCCGGGTCTTGGGCTGCTCAGATAAGAATAGTCGGCGGTCAAAATGCGATTATGTACATCTCTTATGTACCGCCAATGATTGATGTACACCCACATTTGTTGGAGTATACGATGTTTAAGTAGACTCTATTGAAGTTTTCGAATATCCAAGCCCGTATGCAGCATCTTGAGGCTATGTGATTCAATCCAAGTTCTGAATTGTACTAAATTGTTTTCATCTACCTACCAGGCACAAGACTTCTGCTTGTACAGTCAAAGATATTTTCTTCCTTTCTCAGTTGCAGTCCCCGCCAGATCCTCAACCATGCAGAGACCTCTCCTAGCTAGGCTCAGCGGCGCGCGATGGCCATTTTCGGTACAACGTGTACTGACATCAAAATGTGTCAATCGCACAGGCATTACGGCCCCCTGCCATCAACGACTTTATTCCCAGCCGCGGGTCTTGATACCCGAGGAGTCTAGACCTAGAGCCAATGCATCATTCAAGACGGATCAGAAGGTCGGCCAGGTACCACTTTTCATTGACAACAAGCCAGTCGCTTCTCAGGCAACCCAGTTCATCGATATACACGACCCAAGTACGAACGAGATTGTCGGGCGCGTACCAGAGATCACAACAACCGAGTTTGAGGATGCAGTGTCTTCGGCGGAAAAGGCATTCCCAAAATGGCGGGCGACGAGTGTGCTAGCGAGGCAACAAGTAATGTTCAAATTCGTGTCCCTCATTCGCGAGAATTGGGACCGTTTAGCTGAGAGCATTACTTTGGAACAAGGAAAAACTCTGCCAGACGCGCGCGGAGACGTACTTCGGGGCTTGCAAGTAGCTGAAGCAGCTTGCGCCGCACCCGAACTGCTCAAGGGAGAAGTGCTCGAAATGTCCCAAGACATGGAAACAAGGACTTACCGAGAGCCGTTGGGAGTCGTGGCAGCTATTTGCCCATTCAGTATGTTCCTGACAAATTCTTGCCTAGGAAGCAAAGACTAATCATTGTAGATTTTCCTGCCATGATTCCTCTCTGGTCGATACCAATTGCTGCTATCACTGGAAACACCCTCATCTTGAAGCCCTCTGAGCGCGCTCCAGGTGCAGCCATGATCTTAGCAGAGCTTGCAAGAGACGCAGGCTTTCCAGAAGGCGTGTTGAACATAGTCCATGGAGGGCTGAAGACGGTCGATTCCATCCTAGAACACCCTGCCATCAAAGCTGTCAGTTTCGTTGGCGGAAATCGGGCAGGTGAATATATATTCACCAAAGGCTCTGCACATGGCAAGCGCGTGCAAGCTAACCTAGGCGCCAAAAATCATGCTGTTGCTCTCCCCGACTGCGATAAGCTTCATTTCATCAACAGCGTCGTTGGTGCTGCGTTCGGCGCTGGCGGACAGCGCTGCATGGCACTGAGCACGGTGGTCCTCGTGGGAGAAACCAAGGAATGATTGCCCGAGATAGTCGAGGCATCCAGAACACTCAAGGTCGACAATGGCTTCCAAAATGGTACAGACCTTGGGCCAGTCATATCGACTCAGAGCTTGCAGCGTATAGAGGGCCTTATTCAGAGCGCCGAAGATGAAGGGGCTACTATTTTGCTTGATGGACGAGGATACAAGCCGGACAACAAGGACTATTCCAATGGAAACTGGATTGCACCAACAATTATTTCGAACGTGTCACCAGAGATGCGATGCCATCGCGAAGAAATATTTGGGCCAGTTCTCCTGTGTATTGAAACCCAGACACTTGAGGATGCGATATCTTTGATTAACCAAAATGAGTACGGTAATGGGACAGCCATTTTCACACGATCTGGCCCTGCAGCAGAAAAGTTCCGACGAAACATTGAGGCGGGGCAAGTCGGTATCAACGTCCCAATACCCGTACCTCTGCCCATGTTTTCTTTCACCGGGAACAAGAAGAGCGTGGCAGGTGGTGGTGCAAGCACTTTTTACGGGCGGCCTGGCATCGCATTCTACACACAGCAGAAGACTGTCACATCATTGTGGAGGAGCAAAAACGACGAATCCAAGAAAGCCCTTGTATCTATGCCAACTCAATCATGATCTATCCTGAGTCGGGAATAGTGGCGTTGGGTACTTTTATAAAGGAATCAGCACCAACATTCGAGAGAGCTACTTCAGAGTATGTCAATACGTCGTTTAGAAGTCCTCTAAAGAATACAGCAAATCATGCTTCATACATATCCGTGAACAGCTGAGCGCCATCTTTAACCGTACTTTGATAATAACTAGGTGGTTCTTGAACATTTTTGAATCTTGTTGAATTCGAGACAAAGAGCGCCGACATATGGAGTTTATGATTTATGACTGAACAAATTAATAAAAGATTTCCTACCAAGATGAAATTTTTTTGTCATAGAATTCAAGCAGGCTATTAGCATAGTGGTGCTGTAAGACTAACATCGGCTCCGAGCGTACTAGCTACTCTCCCGAACCGCCCAAGTTCACTTTCCAACGACTTGGACTTCGTCAGGGCTAATCATGACGCGTGTAGCTGAGAGCAATGAACATATTCTTGTTATTTCCATTATGGTCCAAAAATAACCAGGATAACGATTCTCTGAGCATTCCAGCTCAAAGAATAAGTAAAGTCCGACCTCGGTAACAATTTGCACAAGGTCCAACCGCTCAATCTATTCGATGATCCTACAAAACAAGATTGCGCGGCTTAGGTCGCCCGGGGGATAAGACTGATTAGCGCATAGTTCGGGATTACCATACTAGGAACCGATTGCCTGAACCCTTCTTCCTGAATAACTCTTTGAATTGAAGAGCCGTTGAGGTCATACTATCACTTGGCGATTCTTCCGAGATCGATATCCAAAACTTGCCTAATTGGCTGTTACATACTACCTAGGTACAAAGCAGATACGAAATCCCCACGATACTCGACCCCTCAATAGTTCGCCCCGAGCCTTTTTTTTTTTAGGCCATTATAGTGGCTTTGCGGGGTTGGTAGGGAGCGGGGGATCTCCACAAGGGCGTGTGTTTGTGATGCCTATAATACCAACGAGACTGGTATCAGAGGAATAGCGATCCTCAAGACAACAAAACATCATGGTCCAAGTTTTGAATTGCTTCCGAAAAGCATCATCTGATATAGCGACTATGAGAGAATCTCTTTTCTCCGGACGACTTCCGCCGGTTTCCGTCACTATTGCTGCACTATCGCTTGCATTGGTGTTCGTTATACTTCGTTTCGCGGTACCACTTCCTTGTCCTCTATTAACACTAGCATTTACTAATACTATCCCAGCTCAGGCTCTGGCCTATTAGGACTGTAACGTCTCATGAAACACATGTGGGTGGCAAAGCCTCCTCAGGTGGGAGCTGGGGAAAAATTGAGCCACTTCCCAACTTTGACTGGAGCATGACAACGCGGCGGAAATATCGCGTATTCAAACCTGTATTCCATATCACTATGGGTGGGTCTCCCTTTATTTACAATGACGTTTCAAGTGTAGGATGTTGATATTGAGTGCAACAGGGGTTCAATCGAGTACAGCGTCAGATTTGATCACCATTGACGAAGATTATTCAGAACGCGTCGTCCTCAGGCGTGACCTTGTCGCACGTCATGGATCAACTGTTTGCGGATACACGTCCAAAGGCCAGGACACCGTAAGGGAGCTCTATGAATATCTCCTTAAAGAATACTTGCCTGTTCGTTTCCCCACTCTATTCAAGCTTTCTCATGATGGGACGACTTTTATGAATCTGGTCACTCAAAAGTTGTTTCCTACGACTCCACCTCAAGATACGTATGAGGCTTTGAAGATCCTCGCTGAGACTGTGGAGGAAGACTTTTTCTTTCTGAAACCGACTCCTTCAGGTCATGAAGTCGTTGCTTTTGTTTGCTGTTTTCCGTCGGGATGGAATCCATCCTCCAAGCTTGGAAAAAACATGAACCAGATCCACGTCCCAGTCCCATCATACGAGAAAATCGGCCAGAGTATGGAACGTTACTTTAACAGGTTGAAAGTTGGCGACTATGTGAAGCGTGTCAATGTGAGCCTGCCCTCTGTTCCGCCCGAAAGGATGATGCAGCCACAGTGCGCTCCCAGCTAATAAAGTATTATGCAGTGGGCTGTGCAAACTCATCCTGACCTATTCAATCTCAAGGGGAATCACGTATCAGAAAGTGACAAAATCGATTCCAATGAGGTGATTGATATTAAAGAGGTAAGAATCATTGCGTTACAAAGCTTCGTTGCAACAAGGCTGACATTGACCTGCAGACGTTCTTGCGGAGTGAACTTCAAACACTGACGCGCTTACCGCAAACCGGTGCGATTTTGTTTTCATTCAAAACATACTTGTACCCGGTCCGAGAAATCAAGGCTGAGGGAAGAGGTTTGCAGTTTGCCGATGCAATCGAGGGCCTCAGAACGGGGAACGCCCCAGGCATGTGGACTTACAAAGGCGGAATACGCTGGGGTAAACAAGTTTGCGATTATCTCCGGTCTCAGAGTTAATTCAGTCTGTGAATTCAATTTGACACGGCGAGCGTCATCATGGCTCAAAAAGAACAGAGCAACTGCTGCTGCGTTATTCCCCAAAATGAACAACACTTGAATGTGGAGGTTTTATTACCCGGGGGACTGCATGCTAGAAATCTATATTTTCGTGCTCAAGAGACCGACGCTGTCCGCGACCTTAACACCTTTTTTCGGTCCTAGGATCTTTACAGGTTCCGTACATGCTCTTCACCATAATTGTATACACCGTGACATTGCGAAACAACTCAATAGTATCCTGTAACATTACAATCGAGCCGCGTTGGTTTTGTGAGGCACGAACTTTGCGAACTCATTGAGGCACTCCGGGTTCGCAATTGAGCCCCAGGTGATCTTTTCTCCGCAAATAATACCCTTCACAACCTTCTCCATCTTCTTCCCATTCATCGAATAAGGTATATCCTTCACTTGCCAGATCTCCTCCGGTACGTGTCGGGCGCTTAGCGTCTGGCGAATACCCTGTGTGATTCTAGACCGCAGTGAGGCGTCCAAAATCGCACTTGGGCTCCTCATTTTGATAAACATGACGACCCTCTCTTCTTCTCGGTCGCTTTCTACCTTGACACGCTGGCCCACAGCTACTGAGTCTTCAATCTCTGGAAAGCGACTGATCACGTCATACAGCTCAGCCGTACCAAAGCGGATGCCTGTATTTGAGCTCATCATTAGCTCACTATTACTCAATATGCTGTTATGATTCATGTTGCGCAGAAGTTTAGGCACGAGGAGGATAGGGATAAAATAGCATTTGTCCATACCTCCTGGGTTAAGGACCCCGTCACTGCGTCCGTGTAGAGAAAACCCTCCTGTAACAGGGTTTCGCGAAATAGAATCGCCGTGGCTCCAAACGCCGTGGTTGAGTGCAAAGTACGTATCGAAGTATTTGCTGTCTTTTGCATCGTCGCCCCAGAACTTGATCGGCATGCTGACGAAAGGCCTTGTAATGACGAGCTCACCCTGTTCGTTTGATGAGTCTTCCGCTACACTACCCCCGAGATCCCAGATTTCAACCTTCATGCCCAGCACTGGGGCAGCTAACTCATTCCCGTTGACAGGTGATAGGTTGTTGCCGCCAACAACTAGAAATTAATGTCCATGTGTCAGTGCTAGACGTCATCATATGTCGAGCAGAATTGCGTTACAGGGAACTCATTTACTTACTCGCTCCCACGAGATCGGTGCCGCCAGAACTATTTTGTAGACCTATGTGACTTGGGAATCTATCCGCATAGAACCAGTCGACAAGACTAGTCGCGAGCGGAGAGCCGGCAACGAGGACATTCTGGAGGCCCTCCAAGCGCCTTGCGATTTGAGTGCTTGCTGGGTCAAATTTCAGTGCGCCAAGGAATTTTGGGCTGGTACCCCAATGGGTTACCCTTCAAGTTCCAGTCAGTCGATTGGCTGCAATCATTCAAAACATGTTATTGATCATGATGACGAAACAAATACGTACCCTTGGCTTTCGAGCAGGCTGAGTTGATGGGAGGGGCTTGGATGGAGAGGACTTCCATCGTACAAGATGATCCTTGATCCAAGACTCAGTGCGCCAATGAGCACATTCCACATCATCCAGCCAGTCTAGTGAGTGGATATATAGAAATTAGTATCATCCATCAAAAGAGAAGGAGAAATGAGTGAGCGTGCACTATTTCTTCCTTCTTTCTTCAACGAGTAGGTAAAATAGAGATACGATGGCAAGACGCACAGTTGTGTACTGGTAGTATGTAGAGCCTATTCCCATGTCCATATTCATTGCCAAATCGAGCTTGTTCTTTAGGAGGGCTGCTCCCCCAGAGTGGCAGATACCTACACAGTATGTTAGTGGATGGGGGAATATTACAGCAATGATGCATGATATTACAGTCAACTCACATTTCGGGCTGCCCGTGGTCCCAGAACTTTGTATTGTTTAAGTGTCAGTCAAAGCTCCAATCTTGCTACTGCAAAGTAGAAAAACTGGTCGGCTAGGCCTGATGGCCACCGGACGGAATCCACTTACGTGAACAAAATGTATATGGGATGATCAAACATTACTTGAACAAATTCGAGGGGCTGGGCTGGGACATCGAGAAATATCTCGAGAGCAATGCTGAGAGGTAGGACAGGAGTGAGTTAGCATTTTGTTACGATTTAAGGGATGGCTCAATTGCGCCATTTGATATGTCGCAAATCTGAGTCGCTTACAGTCCGCCTTGCGTCCAGGTAGGATCATTGACGACGATGACCTTGTCTAGGCATGAAACCTTGGCCTTGAGCTCCTCGACGGCGCCACTAAGACGATCCCTCAGGTTCCGGCTTTTGTTCGCATAGAACACGTGAGGTTCAATGAACATAATCTTTGGTTGAATCTGGACAAATCTCTCGACAATGGCTTTTGGTCCCATATCGGGTGACGCGGACGAAAAAATAGCTCCAACAGCACCGGCAGCGAGTGCGATGAGTAAAGCCTCAAGGGAGTTGGTTACGATCGCTGGGCGTGAAGTTAGTTGTTTTGACACTGCCCCGACCGCCCCTGTCCTCGCTCGTCTTTACATACGCGGCAGCGAGAGGAAGTAATAGATATGGGCAGAGTGCATGTCGACTACTCACCTGCAACACGGTCTCCCTTTACAACGCCAGCATTTCTAAATGCAGTAGTATAAGAGGCGACAAGTTCTCGCAACTGTTTCCAATTCAAGTGCCTCCAATCCTTCCCCCCTTCGCGACATGCAGAGACTGCAATCATGTCTGGATGAGCGGCGAGACCGGTTGCCAGCAGATTCTCGGTGAAATTCATCTCGGCTCCGGGAAACCATTGCGGCCTCGGCCACATGGAGGCAAGAGAGTTGGCTACCTTCAGCGGCGGCTTCGACGTGACGAGCCCGCTAAAGTTCCACAGCTCTTGGTAGAACAATTCCATGTTCTCGATGGTCCATCCATGCAGTGATGCATAGTCTGGTAGGAACACGTGGTATCGCTGGTTGACGTGCCGCCTAAAGGCGTCGAGGACCGTAAGATGAGGGCTGGGGTGAACCCAAACGGGTGCTATCTTTTGGGCCATGGCTGATGAATCGGTAGTGACAGGGGTACTAGCTGGATTGGGACTTCAAAATATGACTGAAAACCTTTTCCCCTCGCTAGGATACAAGCACAAGGGATAAAAATTGCTTCGGCGGAGGAAAGTTGAGTTAATAACTGGGGAGAGTTGGGGTTTCCCCATATCTGAGATACCGCCGGAGGAACTTCCTTGCTAGTTGCCCCGGAGCATTTCGTAATGCTCCCGCATGTATTTTTTGGATCCGCCGGACCGCCACATGCCTTACCCGGCCAGCTATGCGTGGACATGGGGACGGCGTATACCGGAATTTTGCAAGACAAAAGCTCTAAGTAATGTTTAAACCTAGGGTCCAGGGCGATGTGTTCAATTGGCAAATCGTGTAAAGTGATGTGCTTGATCACGTTCTAGCTCGTTTTCCATCATCGTGCCGCCCTATATTTAGCACTCGATACGCAGGATTTCTTAGCTCACATACTGAGGGTTAGATCGCAGCGCGAAATCACAACAACTATCCATGGCCACATTTTCTTTTCGACAGTGAATTCTTACAATAATGTACGAGACGGACGTCATTATTGTTGGCGCTGGTCCATCTGGTCTGACTCTTGCGGTTGCACTCAGTCAGCTTCAAATCCAGGTAAATTAAGACCAGCCTACAAAAGTTTCGCTTTACTGAATTCTTCCAAGTCACTTGTGATCGAGAAGCAGCATGACATCTGCGAAGACCCTCGAGCTATCGCGCTCGCTGGTGATGCATGGCGCATCTTGTCCCTGGTTGGGATCTCTGTGGAGGAGATGGCACGTATAAGTCAACGTAAGCATTTTATATAGTAAAGACACGAGGAGAAGGATGGAAGAAGGAGAACCTTTTGCTCAGGTGTGAGCAATTACTTTCACATACTTCAGCTAATGCGTACTTGCCTACCTATTCTTGCAGCCATTTCTGAGCTACAGTTTCACGACAGAATCTTTACCTCTGAGCCGTTTCTCCGGCTTGAACAAACGCCAGACTGGGCGGGCCATGCATTACCTAATACCAGCGTCAATTTGCAGCCAGGTCTAGGTAAGCTGATTTCTCAACCCTCACTTCCGGTTCCCATGGCATATCTTCATAGCCCATAGTGAACTTACACGTGGGCTTCGATAGAACAACTTCTCCGCGATAGAGCGCAGTCATCAGACATGATCACACTGAAGCTGGACTGCGAGGTGGTTGGGATCGATCAGAATGCAAGCAACGTCGAGATCACGTACGAAGAAAAGTATACACACCGACGACAAACCATCCGTGGAAAATATGTCGTGGGGGCGGACGGAAAACGAGGCTTCGTTCGAAAGTCATTTCTAGAAGAGAAGGGGATCAAGCAAGAAACAGGACAGTATGTGATCCCCCCTAGTCTTCGCTCTTGTTCTCCAATTTCGGCCCAAAGAAGACATCTAACCTGGCAGCAGGTACCGTTACGAGGCCACCTGGGTTGCTGCCAATCTCAAATTAACCATGCCCACACCCGACACGCACCCGCAATTCCCTCTCTGGGATCTAGGATATGAGCCAGAGGAGCTGTGGGACCTTTTTTGGCCTAAAGGATGGCAGTATGCGATGTCCAATATGACTGCCACAGCAGTTGAAATAAGCCGATTACTAATTGAATGGATTTGGCAGCTTCTGCAACCATCCTGTGATGCCCGTAGCAACGGGCCGATTTGGCCCTATTTCGGAAAAGTACTGGAGGTACGAGACTTTATCAAAAGTGCCTATGGCACATTGTTGCATTGACTGATCAAAGAGTTTGGCAGGTTCGAATATGAGCTGCCCCCAAACTTCGCGCTTCCGGAAAACGTCATGACGCACCTCGAGGAGCAAATGAATCCTCATCTGACGCTCGCAGCTTCAAGCCTACGGTACGTATTTGATGATATTCATTTCTCCACAAATCCCGAGCAGCAGACCATAACTAACGAGTCTGATAGTCGCAACGGTCGCCAGCCCAATTCACCCGTTCGTTTTCCATGGGATTGTGTAGAAATCTTGCGTTGTGGACCAGCACAGTAAGTCCTTCATAGACGCTTGTCTCAAGATCCCTCCCTTCCAGACTTATGACACAACTTTCACTTTGCAAATGGGTACCCCAACTTTGAATCCGGTGCCATGAACTGAAATGTTTACCATTTAGTTTTGCCCAGAAAGTCGTGAACAGGTGGTTCGATGGGCGAACCATCCTCATTGGAGACGCTGCTCATGTGTTCCCCCCTTTCGCAGCTCAAGGAATTCTCAACGGTGTACGCGACGCACTTGGATTATGCTGGCGCCTAGAACTTCTCATCAAAGGCCCCAAGAAGACAGCCTCAAACATGGAGACATCGTCTTTTGACTCGGAGCTGCTGTTATCGACCTGGTCCAACGAGCGGCGTCATGGTGTGGATGAATCTGCGAATCAGACTGCTGAAAACGAGTACGCGCTGCAGATCAAATCGAATGCACTGCGCTGGGCCATTTGGTGCGCGGACACCGCGATGAGCTGGGCGATGCCCTTCCGACAAACACTAATTCGAAGCCACTTTTGCGACAGGGCTGGCTTCCGCGGAGCCAAGGGTGGCTTCTTCCTCGAGAGTGAAGGAGGTGGGGTAAAGACTGCTCAGATCTTTGTTCAAGGTATCAAAGGAAACGAGTCGGTCGAGTTATCAGACAAGTTACTTCGACACCACAAAGCAGCCTTGACGATACTAGTTCTACACGATCCGACATCAGAGGAAGAGCTGGCGCGCGTCCATGAGGTCCTGAAGCGGCTGAATATTCCGACGAACTTCCTCGCAGAGAATGTCATCATTTTGAATGACAGGATTTCAGAACAGCAACTACCTCGGAGACTTCAAGGTCCGCTTTTCTTAACCCCTGCAAGGACGGCGATGATCTCCAGGGCCGGATACCAACAGCTTCCACTCTACGATCCCGGCTCGTTTAGAATGAGATTTCAAGCCAATGCCAAGTACGCATTAGTTCGCCCCGACTTCATCATATTTTCACAGGCCCAGACACTGGAGCAGCTCGAAAGTCAGATCTGCCAGGCTTGCAGTATGGTGACAAATAGCTGAACGCATCACTGGCGTTGAGCATGCCTGCCCATGGCAGAAGAATAGCGCGCTGTATCGGTTTGCTTGTTTCGCCTTGCTATTTCGTTGTTAGTTGTGATCATCTGTCAAGAGACGTATATACACAATTCCACAGTGTGATGATCCATCACTGAACAGTTGAAGGCTCATTTTATGAATTTCTCTCACCATGATTTGAGATGGAAACTTGGCGCAAATTGACTATCGAAGTGCAGGATTCCAATCCAAGAACAAGTTGATGTCGTCAATAATAGGATTTGGGGTGTCCTCGATGAGATCCAGCTGATTGTTCGCCGAACACTCCGAGTCATTTTGGCTTTGACAGCTGCCTACCGATTCACTTGTGACCCCGAATGATGAAACCAGACATATAGCGTCTTCTGAGCCAGCTTGACTTGCCTCGTCGAAGACAGAGAAACTGATCTGTCCTTCTAGCAAATAAGTAGAAAGAAAGCTAAACGCTGATTTGTAGGTCAGACACATCGGAGACTTATCCCATAGTGATCTAAGTACATCTGTTACGTGTCAGCTTCTCTTTGCACCTGGAGTTGGTCTTTGGCTCTATCGTTGCTGAGGAGTTTCGCTACTGGCGCAACACATACCTGCTAGGCGGTTCGCTTGCTTGGAAGTCAGCGTATGCTTCCCCAAGATGCCACACACTCCTGAAAACATTGTGGATGAAGTACATACCCAGGGGCCAATAGCGGCCAATTTGACCCAAGAAGAGTAGTATCAGGTCGATGTGATGGGACGACGGAGTAATATTGGACGTGTCAGCTGCCCGTATACCATGGTCTAGGGTAAAGATAATTCCGGTGACAAAGATGATGTATGCGCTCTTCGCATCGATAGCCTCGAAGTAGTCTGGCTTCCAGTTCTGCGCGACGTGGAGCACCTCATTTGCTCGAGCGATGACATTTTGCCATCGCCCGTGTATTATCGACTCGGTTGACGTTGCGTCGGTGTCATCCAATTGTATAGCTAATCCAGCATGTAATAGGCAGGCACTACAGGTTCCGCAAGGCACATTAATATGTGGAAAGAGAATGAGAGAAATTTCAAGCAAGTTAGTTGCAGAGGACTCACCATTGCCAGACAAACAATGTCTCCAGTCTGTCCCGGTGTTCTCTTTCTGTCTCTCCGTTGCTGAAATCGCGGCTCGGATTGAAGACCCAGACAGGCAATGAAAGCGTGGCTGCGCAAAAATCACTTTCTAATTCACGGAACCGAGCTTTCCAGGCTGTCCCGCAACCGTGTTTGACGGAGAGTCTCAAATCCGTGACAGATCTCATGAATGCGCAGGCACCGATGTGTAGGCTCCTGCCCCGGCATGACGATCTGGAGAACAACATGGTCATCGTCTCCCAGAGCTTGAGATCCTTTGTAAGCGATAATTCTGGCTCTCCAACATGTTCGAGATTTCTTCGCTTTGGGCTGACAGGGTTGGAAAGATCAGGCACCGGCGCATTGGGTAGTGTCATGTTTCCCCGCGCAGGGTCCGTTACAGCGTGAGAAATTATCCTGTTTCTGCGCTGTCAGATCTTTTACCATTTATGTGCAAGCCTTTGACTTGAAGGTCTAGGTATGAGGACTTGGGCTCTGCTCACGCCATTGCGCTGAAAAATGTGTCCAGTGAATAGATACACCACCACACAGTCCGTAGCTCTTCGGACTCAAGTTTGCTCCGTGAGCCTCCCGCATTCTGGTCATTAGCCGCAATGATTCTGTAATAGAGTTCTGCCATTCGGGTGAGTCGTCCCATATCGGCCACGGCCTCCCACGTGGTTGCCTTGGCAAGTTTGTATAGACAGAGCAGAATGGATGCTTTCAGCTCGTCCATGGTCAAGTTGGCAGCATTTGCACGATGTGTAGCCCTCGTAACGAAGTCATCAGGAGACAAAGGGTAGCCTTGCTGATGAGACGATGTGTACAAAGAAGCAACGGCGTAGATGGACATTCGTAGCCGAAGTGACATGCTAGAAATTCCATACTTGCTTGTTGCGTTGGAGCGCAGGAACGGATACGTTGGCTGTACGTGATGGATATATAGTTCCAGTCTAGCTCGTCTGATTAGTCTCGTGGATGATAGAGATGTGCAACCCATTTAATGACTGACAAGACTTTTTCCATCTCCGGGTTTATTTCCAAGGATGCATGCTCCCCGCTGGAGTTGTTACTGGGCAGATTGTGCGGCAAGCTTGGTACAGTAGTATCTAGCAAGGGCATGGCGACATTAGTTCCTTCACCTTCGGGTCCTGCTAAGCCATCTGTCCATAACGCATCACTGGTCAGGAAACCCAAGTCTGGATACTGATCTTCATGAATGAATTCTGAGTCTGACATGGATGGGGGCTCAACAAGATTATGCTCCTGGCCGGGGTCCATCGACGTCGCAGAGTCGGTTACCGAGGACGCAATGTCGATGATTCGTTTGGGAGGACCTATCGAGTAAGACGAGGCATTATGAGACGCGGTTGAGTATCACGGATGGGGTTTGATTGGTTACAAATGGTCCAACATACCAGGTTTTCTTCTATATCTGCTATACTTGCACGTGATACGACGCATAGAGCACGATGTACAAGGCGGTGTTTTCATGTCGCCTGAAAAAATAGAACGGGTCAAAGGATTAGCTGGAGAATCATATAGCGTCTGGATCTGGCGAGCTGCAGCCTCAAGGTGGGCCAATTACATTTAATCTTCTTCCTGAAAATAAGCAACATGGATCAGCTTGAATGATAGGCAGTAAGGAGTCGAGATGTGCACATACACCCTGCAATTGTCACAGACACGAAGTTTGAGTTGGACATAACCATCTGTGTGCTGTCGGGCCTTCGTAACCGGGCCGTTTGGGTTTGGCTGGTCAACAGATTGCATCTCGTCCTCCACCATGGCATAGATTTTGGCGGACGCCGCAAGGCGGCGTATGTTGTGTGATATTTTAATCGAATAGCCTGCCAATGGCACTCTGGAGGAGAAGGGAAAATAAAGATGGACTGACAAGGACGGGAACAGAGGTGAGCTCTGTCCATCGCGGAAGAGGAAATTTCTCCGGGTCCGTTTCCACATGCCGCGGCCCCGCAAGACGGGAGTTGATTGGGGCTAGTTAAATGCGGGGTATATGATCGCCCCCTGGAAGACGGCCTAGCCCGCACACCTGGCAGCGATAAGTACTGCCATGTTCCGCTAGGTACATGTACACTGTGCATTACAAAACTGGGAACGCAGTGGTGAGGGCTAGCGTACAGCATGCCCGGTCAGGACTGTTAACTTGAAGCATCCAGGGCGTAAACAAGGATTTCTTAACAACAAATCTGTTCTTCTAATGAAAATTATTCAAAGTTATGACGATATAGTTGTAACTTGATCAGATTCACATTTTTCATCAATTGGCAATTGTGAGCATTGACAGGCTCATACCTAGCCCCACGTCAACCAGCCAACAAAATTAGATACATTATAATCAACCAACAAACATGTCGACGGTAACAAACGCCTTGGCAACTACTCAGCAGCGACTACACACCCCTCAGTGACATTCATCATAGTGGTAAAGATAGCAAATAAATCTATTTGTGGTATTTTGCTAGGTTGGTGCTCTTTTCTCATTCTGTTCAAAAGACCATTGTGTTTACGAGAGTACCGATGTCGCTAATTTTAATGGATACGACATCCCCATCTTTCAGTGAATATTTGGGATCAGAAAAGTATCCTATCCCAGGAGGAGAACCGGTCATTATCATAGAACCGGCAGGCAAGGTTGTGCCTATGAATCCACCCGGCGAGTGTCAGTCATCTGATGAACCGTTTGGTTTGGAATCGATGCAAGCAGAAGGGGAAGATCAGGTAGAAACGCACCTTGTGAGAGAAAGCTGACGAGGGTAGCTGCATCATGGATCAGATTGCAGTCACTGTTTTGGAAGATCTTGCCATTGATCTTGGTAACAATCCGCTTGCTGGCCGCATCGCCGAACGACTGGGCGTTTGCTAGCACTGGCCCCAAAGGGGCAAAGCCGTCGAATGCCTTGCATCGCGTGAACTGTTGTCCTCCTCTTTTGGGATCTTGGAATCCACGAGCTGTTAGGTCATTTCCCACGGTGTAGCCTAGAATGTATGCCGGAGCATCTTCAATGCTGACATTCAGGGCATCCTTGGACGTGACGATAACGAGTTCCCCCTAGAATACGGTCAGCGGATTGGTAGAGGATGAGCACGGGACTTGTGGGCGAGATCCCAGTATAAATTACCTCAAAATCAAGGAAGTTGGTTGCTGCCACCTTGGGGACTGCTATCGGTCCTGGTACACTTAGGGCGCGCCGAGGTTTATACCACATGACGGGGTCCAATGGTACTGTGAGCTGTAGCATGACAATTCAATTAATTAGTTCCGAAGAAGAGATGATGTAAATGGGATCCTAGAGGTCTTACATTTGCCTCTTCTGCATGCTCGCGGTAGTTGAGTCCTATGCAAACAATATCTCCATCGTACGGTACCGGTGCCAAAAGCTTTAAATCACATCCAGTCAGTTACTGCCTCTGGTATATCGACAGACTTGAAGAATGGGGCAATAAAACATTGATTGCTCCCTGCATGGAAGCAACGCGTATGTGGGACAAATACCTTTTCTATCGTAAGGGACTGTCCATCCTTCTCATCTGCAAGGTCAGTGAACGAGGAGAATCCCGTAACACTTTGACCTTGTAGCTGCGTTGTGTCTGTTCCGGACTTGATGGAAGCAAAGTATCTCTTGCCATCTTTGGCCTCGAAATGGGCGAGATGTGTCCAGGGTACCATGCTGAAATTTTCGGATGCAAATGTAACGCACGTCTGTTGAAAATGAAGATGCAGTATTTGACCTGAAGTGTCGGGTTTCGTACTCGAAAGCTTTGTAGGGAAGAGCAGGGTGAATATAGCGATACAGACACCATCAATCATTTTAGCGGTTCCCCAGATGCTAAAATAAGATGGTCCGAATGGCCCGAAATGTCCGTCCGGGTTTTACTTAGCTCCCCTTAGCAAGTCAACCCCGCTGAGATGTTCCGCGGCGCCACTTCCGGAGCAACTCAACTCCTATTTTCTCGGAAGTGGGAACACCGCCACGTGGAATAAACAAGGAAAATGGGTACGTACTGATTATGAGTTAGGCCCAATCGCGTATGATCTGTGCATTTTCTCTTCTTCCTACGCTCGCATCCTGCCGTCCCTCCTTTTCTGCCCCCATAACTCACGAAATGAAAAGAATTCTGATTATCAGGGGTTTCAGAAGTAACCATAATGAGAGGGGCAAGCTTAGTGATGAAGTAACCAATTACTCAAGCCATGACGGTTTTGTTGAAGTTTAGCAGTGAGTTATAAGTAATTACCCTACTCTAAAGATCAAGACGTCAGACCCGACGACTCTCAGCTCGCCTAATGAAAGTTCAACTCAATCTCCCACTAATAATGACAATGATTGCTTAAGCAGCAGTGGGCCGGGTGCCATCTTCAGACATGGTGCCGTTCATTTCCGGACCCCAGACTGCAAATGGACCTGCCACGCTTCTCTGCATTCCTGTGTCTGCATTCACAACATCGCCGTCCGCGTAGTGCTCAATTGTGAACCCGCTCGTGTCCCTCCAGTAGTCGAAAATTTGCGACCCCAGTATATGCCTCCCCACACCCCAAACGCTTTTGTAGCCCTTGTCAGCCAGCCAGTCATGCCCAAGAATCTGCGTATCAAAATCCTCGACCTCGTAGGACGTGTGGTGCATCCGGTCATGTTCTCCAGGTTGCGCCCGGGAGACGAAAAGTGTGTGGTGGTCCGTGTAGCGCTGTCCAAGGTCTAAGTGGAGGAACGTGATCACGTCTAGATCCTCATTGCTGGGATCGAATTGCACATCAGACGGGACGAGATTGAATTTTCCCGTGTACCATCGGGTTTCTTCATCCCAGTTTGCAACGACGAATCCGTAGTGACCGAGCTTGTGTACAAGGGCAGGACCCGAGTGAAAACGATGGAATTTGCCTATCGAGAGAACTTACGATTAGACATGTACCAAATGGAGCAAATATACTGTGTGGTTCAACTTACCCAACCTTTGTTTGTTCACACTTCCATTCAAGGGACCTGTACTTTCCACCTGGGCAGACGGGACAGATTCGCTGATGACTCGGTCCTCATACCGTATACAATGTGCAAGGGGAACCCAGATGGCGACTGGACGGTGACCCTCTGGCCGCCCCCCGGAAAATGAGAAAGGCTCGTGACTTCTGCACCATCCATGACCGCTGCCTTATCAAAATCCGCCCGTGTCTGCGCGAGGAACGCCGCGCCTCGGAACTGCGGCTCTCCAGACGTCGACTTGTGTGCCACGTAGCAATACTGGTCCTTGCCATAGCCGCGGTAGATAGCGATGTCTTCATCATTGTGCTCGACCTTGATGAAGCCAAAGTCCGAGGCAAATTTGTCAAATACGTCGAGGTCCGGGTGATCGAACAAGACGTGAGAAATCCTCTCAAGCTGGATTTTTGATGGGTCGTTTCGAATCTCGGGGAGTCGCGTAGAGGCCATAGTAGCTAATGGGTCTGTGATGAGGTTCAAGGAAGAAATGACTCGGCCAAGATTCTGGAATCAATGGGAACACTGCTTTAATTCTCGTGTGATATATCCACATTCAGATCAGAATATCTGGCAAAAGACCGAAGGTGATTGCTGCGCGCAATCCTTGCTATATCGTTCATCTCTCTGGCCCTCGATGGTCCTGTTGGTCCGAGCAGTTATCCCGCGAATTTGTGGGTCGCCTATAATTCCGGAACATCCTTACAACACCAATCATGTATCCGAGGCCCGCGCATGCCGTGACGTTGCCACTTCGGCATTCTGAGTAGGCAAGGGGAAAGTAGAAATCGAGGATAGTTTTAGACGCTAACTGTGTATGTGATGGACTTTTTGAGTACCCCAAGAAACATACACCCTCCTGAAAAGCTTCCGTTAACTAGTCTCAAAACTGAACGCCCGTCCTCCCTACTCTTTCTACCCCATACCAGTTCTGCCTTTCATCATGGACGCACAAGTCGACGAATCTTCCAAGCACCTGGACTTTACAATAATTCACAAGCAGTTCATCGTCGGACTCGCGGTGATCTCAGTACTAGCATGGCTGCTTCAATCTCTTTTCTTGGCTTGTCGAGACGGCCTTCGTGACGTGCCTGGACCATGGCCCGCAAAGTTCACCCCGCTGTGGCGGTTCATGTTTGTGTACAATGGCGAGGCCCATGAAAAGTACCGAAAACTACATGCTGAATATGGTCCCATCGTACGGACGGCTCCTAATGTGGTAGATATTTCGGACCCATCCGCCATACCCGCGCTTTATGGTATTGGCAGCATGTATTTCAAGGCACGTAGGCATTCTTCCACCCCCCCCCCCTCTCTCTCCTCTGAGACCACATTGGCGCGGCGTTAGAGCATGTAGTCTGACAAAACTGGCTTGTGCCAATCAGTCCGATTTCTACAGCACATTCGACGTCATTCATGAGAAAGATTTCATGTCGAGCATGTTCTCAACTCGGTCTTCCAATGAGCACAAGGCGATAAAACGGCCAGTTGCACAAAAATACAGCATGAGCTCCATTAGAACCCTCGAGTATCTTGTCGATCCATGCAGCGAGATATTCACCAATGCCATGGAGGAGCTCGAAGGTCAAGTAATTGATCTAGGCGTCTGGTTGCAGTGGTACGCCTTTGATGTCATTGGGGCCATGACTTTTGCAAAGCGATTCGGATTTATGGAACAGCGAAAAGATGTTAAAAACGTCATTTCAGGCATCGATTTGGGTCTCCGAGTTGGCAGTATCCTTGGACAGATCCCGTTGCTGAACTGCTTGTCATGGAGAAGCAAGACCATCCGCAATGCCTTCGGTCACTTCTCGCTTTCAGATCCTATGGACATTGTTACAAAGGTAAGCATCGGACAGTATTCAGCTATCTACTTTTTCACCATTTCCTTTAGCTGCAAATTCACTTCTAACAAGTTCAGATGGTGTTGGAAGCCGTTGAGGCGTATGACGCGGAAGCAGCCACGGGAAATGAACGGGGTGATTTCCTAGCATTTTTCCGACAGCAATCAAAGTCATCGGGGGAGTCTATGGCGCAAAAGGAGTTAATGAACCATCTAACCAACAACCTGTAAGTCGATTCAGGCGACAAATACAAATCGCTCTTCCCTTCATAATGTGCATTACTTGTCTAATCGTATAATCGTGTAGGCTGGCAGGCAGCGACACCACTGCTATCTCATTGAGAGCCGTGTTCTACTATTTTCTGCGAAACCCACAGTGTTATGACAAGCTACAAGCAGAGATAGACCATTATGATGATTCTGGGAAACTCTCGCCTGTAATAAGTTACACCGAGAGTCTACAAATGAACTATCTGTACGTGTACATGAATACCATCTCAGATTGTCAAGGTACCTTTACTAATCAACGGGCCTCCAAACAGTCACCTGGTTTTGAAAGAAGCCATGCGGATGCATCCGGGAGTACAGTTTCCTCTCGAGAGGGTAGTTCCCAGTGGGGGTGTCAAAATCTGTGGGCAGTTCATACCCGAAGGTGCCGTGGTGGGTGTGAATGCAGCAGTTATCCATAGGGATCGTAAGATCTTTGGCGACGATGCGGATGAGTTCCGGCCCCAGCGTTGGCTCTGCGATGAAGAGAAGGCCAAGAATATGGACCGCCACCTTTTGACCGTAAGCCTACCGAACCTGACTAGACTAGTGTCTTCAAACTGACGATAAGTAGTTCGGGGCGGGAGCGAGAACGTGTATCGGAAAGAATATCTCTATTATGGAGATGGGTAAACTTGTCCCACAGGTGCTGCGACAGTTTCAATTGGAGTGGGCGTCGGATGAGCCGGAATGGAAGATTCAAACATACTGGTTTGCTAAGCAGACTGGATTGCTTGTACGTTTTCGTAAACGATCTCGACCCGCCAAGGCCGCTACATGATGGCTTTGTGGGCGGTAGGCGCTTATTTCTTGCAGCTGAAGAAAGAGAACATAAGCCATCCAGGGAACGCAGATGAATTGAGTAGAATCAACTACATTGGGCTTTATTCGCACAGGTACATCTGAGGTTGGGGGGGTTTATGGCAGTTTTTGGTCAAAAGGATTGGTCATTCAACATTACTTTCTGTAATATCATGCTCGACTTGTTGTGATCATCGGAGATATATAGGCCTGTCCACAAGTTCCGACTTATACAATCATATTTCCGACTGCATGCTGCTGTTTTAGCTCAACGAATACTATAATTTGGTGCTGTAAAAAGGCAGGAATAAGTGGAACACTTTATCACCCATGCATATATTTGACCATCCAACCTTTGTTGAACATGGATAAACCAACCAATACAACATCTATCATCCCTTTCGTGTCACAAATTTTAACGTAAACAGGGTTGTCATTACCTCCCGTCTAAGATTTGGTACAGCTTGTTGCTGAGAAATTAGCTAGAGGCACTGGACCGGCATGTTCTTGAGCAGGATAATGTTTATAATCGATTGCGCATTTTGCATAGCGTCAGTTCAGATCTTTCTCGACTGACAAGGAACAGTTGAACATCGTTTGAGTCAGCACTTCAAGGTATGACAACAATCACACTCTGCGCGTGGAAGAAAGAATTGTGAAAGAGCAGTGTAGAGACCAGACGTTTATTAAACAAGCGACAAGTAGGAACAGAATTATTATCAATATCATGGTCAGTGGGCATTGACTTACCTAAGAGCGACTTTGAAATCGTGGCGGCAGTATACAGAGCCAGAGCTTGATTAATGGTCTCGCTTATAGAAATGCGAGCCATGAATGCGAGATGTGGAGTCGAATTGATTCAAATACACTAAAATCTACGCTTAGAATTAGACAGCGGCGGGGGCGTTCTTTTTGGTAAAGCTTATTTCTATCAGGTTCATTTTTAGAAGTTTTGAGGGCCCTGCGTAATAATCCCTGCCAAGCCTAGGGAATGAACGTTGTCCACGGGAGCCAAAGCTTGAATCCCTGGGCAAAATCTTGTCGCTGGCAAATAATGTAGCGGGCCTGGAAATCATGGTCAAAAAGGCGCATTCAAGCTTATTTATTCAAATGAAAAATGATTAGAAATTCTGCAAAATCGTGATGCAACTGGATCTTATAGGCGCAAGACCGCCATCGGGCTCAGTCAGAATGTCTATACTCTACACCATCGAGTGTGACTTTTACAGGGCATGCAATTGACTCTCTGTCCTGCATCTATATGATTGGGCAGTGTGTCCAATAATATCCGCCCTGTAAGTGACGCGCGTCTGGCTAATGAAGGGTCGAACCACAGCGTGGGTATTGAAGCTTGATTTATCCCGGCTATCTCTAAAATAGTGCCACCGATCCAGATCCACGGCGTCGCAAGTTCGGCAACAAGGTCCGAAGACAATAGAAAGCTGGGCCAGCCCATCGGAAGGATCGTTCAGAAAAATTGCAATAATGGTCTAGACAATATTTTCGACTTCTTCATATCTCATTCATGCCATTGATCTTGAGCACTATGGCAAATTTTATCAATGTTCTCGGCGTCGGCGTTGGCGTCGGCATCCAGACCCTGGTATACCCCTTGTAGGTTCAAACCAGGAAGCATTTCCACTTCAAAAACAAACTATCGTAAATAGTCTATTATAAAATTCTTGAGATATCCTATATTTAGGTATTTTCTTCATGGTAGACGGGCACTGACAGTCTGACTAGCTCACAATCTAGTCCACGAGACATCATGGACTGATGGAGCCTTTGATGAAGCCTCGGCTTCAGAGATGAAATGAACTGGCGACTGGTTCTAGTCTCGCATTTCATAGCCCGAGAAAATGTGTATATAAGCACCTCGATGCCACTCATATGCGAATTAGGAGGGCCTCTCCAGCTACAGTTCAGTCATCAATATGAAGCTCTGGTACGCGGCTTTGCCGCTCTTCGCGGCGAGCCGCACCCAAGCAAAGGCCGTCTTTGCTCACTTCATGGTACGTCATTGATTGGTATTGGTTCATGTGTCTCTTCAAACTGACACGGTGATGTTCAATAGGTCGGAAACACCGCAGAATATACTTCGGACACCTGGTCGGACGATTTTGGTCTTGCTCAAGATGCCCACCTCGACGCCTTCGCGCTCAACATGGCTTACGGTGACACTCTCAACGACGATCAAGTCCCAACTGCGTTCTCAGTGGCAGAGAGCTTGGGCTTCAAGCTCTTCTTCTCGTTTGACTATGCTGGTAATGGCGCTTGGCCAGAAGCTGATGTCAAGTCCATGATTGAAAAGTATTCTTCAAGCTCGGCATACTTCTCAGATGGAGGGAAGCCTCTAGTCTCCACATTTGAAGGCCCGGACAACGCAGATGACTGGACCAGCATCAAGTCATCCACTGGCTGTCTCTTTATTCCCGACTGGTCCTCTCTCGGAGCCAAAGATGCCACTGCCTTGGGTGTCGCTGACGGTCTATTCAGTTGGGCCGCTTGGCCCAACGGCCCCAATAACATGAACACCTATGTCGATGCTTCTTACGAGGAGTTCATGACATCGTCCATGCCCTACATGATGGCTGTATCACCATGGTTCTACACTAACCTGCCCGGCTACAGCAAGAATTGGCTTTGGCGTGGCGACTCCCTGTGGAACGACCGATGGACTGAGGTGCTCTTTTGGCAGCCCGAGTACGTCGAGCTGTTGACCTGGAACGACTATGGTGAAAGCCACTACTTTGGACCAATCCGCGATAATACCGTTCTAGATGTCGGCGAGGCGCCTTTTGACTACGTTAGCGATATGCCTCATGACGGTTGGCGAGCATTGCTGCCGTTTTGGATCGACATGTATAAGACGGGCACGGCAAGTGTGTCCGAGGAAGTCTTGGTTATCTGGTATCGTGTCAACCCCGCGTCTGCATGCTCCAGTGGCGGTACAAGCGGCAATACGGCCAGCCAGTTCCAGGTGGAGTACCCGCCCAGCGAGGTCGTTCAGGATCGAATCTATTTTAATGCTCTGTTGACATCCGAGGCCTCTGTCACTGTCACCATTGGCGGAACGGCGGTGAGTGCAGAGTGGTCATCCAAGCCCTGGGATGGTGTAGGCGTGTACAATGGCAGCGCACCCATCAATGGTCTGACCGGTGCAGTCGTCGTTACAGTCAGTGGTATGTCCGTGACGGGCAAGGATATTACAACCAGCTGCACTGACGGTTATTCGAACTTCAACGCCTGGGTTGGGTCTACTACAAAGAGCGTCTCTGCCGTTTCGCCCGAACTGAATCTATCTGAACAAAATTGCACCAGTGGATGGGCCGTCGGAAACTTTCTCGGTCTCTGCGCTACGTCGTGTTACTATGGATACTGCCCCACCGGCGCGTGCCTCTGTACGTCAATGGGCCCGTTGAACGAATCGCCCGAATCGACTGGCGTGAAAGGGTATCCGATTGCCGGCGAGGGATCTAGCTATAGTGGTCTCTGCTCATTCGACTGTAACATTGGTTACTGTCCGGATACCGCATGCGGAACCACCGAGGTCGAGTTGACGGAGCCTACCGTCTCCCCCTTCACGCCGGCTTCCTGTACATCGGGGTCCTACACCTCGGATCCCAACTACGCGGGCCTATGTTCGTACGCCTGCAATTATGGCTTTTGTCCCATCTACAAGTGCACTTGCGACAGCACCGGCACTCTTGTTCTCCCGCCCGACACGGAGGACGGCGAGTCGGGCGAGCCTATAGACTCGACCGACCAGAGCGGGTTGTGCGAATTTGCCTGCGCCCGCGGCTATTGTCCCGACGGTGCATGCACATACACTGGCGACGACGACACATATGTCGACGACACGGGCATTGTCAGCCACCGAACTGGTAGCGATTCCACCGTGCTGCCCATTAACTCGACCACTTGTCCCTACTGGGGCGACGCCGATACGACGGAGTGGAACACGCTCTTTTGCAACGTGACTGCAGACGAAGATCTCATCTTGACATCGTATTCGGCGGCTGAGCGCTGGGAAAATGCATACGCGCAGCACGCTTACTCTTGCTTCGAGAGTTGGTACCTCAATGCCGAAAAGGCAGACGAACTTGGCTTCTTTGAGAGCTGGGAAGAGACCGTGCTGTACTATATGGGCTACAAGAACTACCAGATGAAGTGTCTGATTGATTCGGGCACCAACTGTGATCAAGATATTAGCTGCAGTGGCAACGATTACACCCTCGCCGCCTATCTTGTATCGGGCTCCATGGTGCGGATCAAGAACTTTTATAATGATTGGTACGATGCCTTGGACCAGGTTGCTTCAAGTTTTGATTCCGAAGATGTAAGTATCTGAAAACCTGCTTCATTCCCCCCCCCCCCCCCCCCCCCCCCCCAACAAAGTCTCTCGCTGACACATGGCATTACAGTTCAAAGAGACGTTCGCCAACGGTGAAGAGGACTCCATTGTGGATCAACTGAACAAGTGGGCACTCAATATGATTTTCGAGGCAGCCGGTAGTCTGATCTTCCGAGGACTCAGTACCTCGTTTGGATCAGCAGGTGAAAAGGCAGAAGAGTATCTCGGCAGTAGCTACGAGTCCTTCACCGAGTGGGCCGTGGACAAGATCATGCCCTCGGACAACGACGGCGTCAAGCTGTCTGTGATCGACTCCCTATTAAACGACACCATCTATACTTCGCAAAAGGCTCTCGAGGACTACGTCACGGAGATATTCAACGGTAGCGGCACCAGTATGGCGCATCTCTACAATCAAATCCAGGGAGGCACTTGGTTGCACATTGCCGACGAGAAGGTCAGTGATGTCCGGGAGACGACCAAAAAGTTCGTCATTAGCCAGGTCCTCCAGCCGGCTTGGGCCTTGGCCACGAGCTCCAGCATTGTCATCATCGTTTCCGACGACAAAGACGATACGAGCAATCCGTTTGCAGGCGGGGGACTCAACGCAGACGAGGCCGAAAGTGTCCGCTACAGCTACGACGGCCAGACCTTTTGGCTGGTGAGAATGAAGGAGTGTACTTCTTATGGATATCAATCCGACTCGTGCTCATCCGATCCTTGGGCGGCAGTCCACGGACACGCGGCCCTGGAAACCTCTGACGCCTGGGGTTTGAACAAGACCGACATCATTGTCAGCTCCAACGAAGGCAAAAAGCTCAACGGGGGCGAAAACGGCTACGTTCTCCAAGATGCCGGCGATGGAGCGTATTTTCTCAATGGCGCCGGCGACAAGTCCTCGTGGGTCTATGAAAATGGTGTACAGACGCCGGGTGTGTTTTCATACCCTATTTGCAGCTATGACTTGGCGCATATCAACTGGTCGGTGGCGAACTCAAAAGGCAGTTCGGTAGATATATGCAGCACGTACCCGTGCTGCTCCTGCGATGAACTAGGTGTAACTGGCGGCAGCTGCGAAGACTAATACAGGAATTTGCATTATCGTAAATATTCCTTTTTATAGTTTGATTCCTTTGTTGGTTGATAGAAGCTATTGCATGGTTGCTACAGGACCGCATCTCACTATTGCGTCTCTGACCGAATTGGTGCAAAAGGACATAACTATGTATTTAACCTAGGTACTAAGTAGACGGGTTATTGCGTGGAGCCTTAACTAATGGTTTAAAGATAAAACAACTGTTTTTAGAACAAATTGATCTTATTTGCTTGAATGCTTTAATTAGTTGACTTTTTATGCTGCTTAATTAAAGTCGTAGCTATTATTAAAGGCTTTATTGAAATATCGCTCTAATGCCTGCTCCCGTGTCACTTCGTTACGGCACTGCTTGTCTATGGTAAGCTGTCACGTCTCGATCCGACCTGTCGCAGTCTGAGCGCAGCATCTCCATCCTCGAGAGATACCCAAATTCTGGCCGCCATAGTCCTCATCCCATTCTCGGTCCTAAGATCGGCCTTATTCTCCCTTGGCCGGGGATGTACCACCATGGCCTCATCAACCCAGTCCATTCCACCAGGACCATGAAGCAACAAGGCTAGTGGTGACGATTTCCACACGGGCAGTTCAGACCGGTGAGTCGCAAAGACCGTGAGAGCAAGAACAAGAAGGGTCAGCGAGGCTGTTATTGCTGGCAGTGCCAGCCACGCCCAGCTGGCCTGTATACAAGTGGCCCTATGAAAAGCTTGACCCAGTATCGGCTCGCTGTAGTTTGGGTCCCCATTCAGACGGGTCCATACTGTCAAGGTTTGTGCGACGCTCTCGAAAACGGCATTGATGCTCGTCATGTTGATGTTCCCCGAATCGTATAAATAACGTATCTGTTGTGGACCACTGAAGTCATCCACTTCTCCTTCTAGTGTGTCGGAAAGAGTATCAAACATATCAATCAAGATGTTTTTTTCGAAGATATAGACACACTTTTTTGAAAGAAAAGATTTCACGACCGGCAAGAATGTAAGATCATTAAGATCATGTCGTGTCCCGGTCAATTTGTATGGGAGCCAGCGGCCCTTGCCATGCAAATCATAACCTTGAGCAGCAAGCTCAGTGCGGTCCTGTTCGATGATGCAATGCTTATCAAGTATACTAAAGGTCGACATTCCCCGGGCCCATGGGATATCACTTGTTGACTCCGTCAGATTCTCATGAATCTCAAAGGAATTTATATCTGCGGTGTATGTGCGAACGCAAGGCTGGATGGAACATTGAGCGACGCCATAGCCACGACAGCTCCACGTATTGTTTGTGTGTGAGCTATCACAGATTTTTGGGCGCTCTGAAAGTGGGGGAAAAGCACCAAACCAAGGATTCACAGCATATATTACGCCGTAATCGACGCCTTGGATGAATTCATAATTGCCGGTCGTGTTTTGGATGTCGGCATGAGTTGACCTCCAAACTGCCTTGACTTTTAGTCGTGGACCAGAGTAGGAGCTGGTAGAGCCGTACGTGGTAAATGTGGCCGAAAAATAAGAATTAACTGCCGTCGTGTGGTTGCATATCTGACCAGAGCAATGAGTTTGGTATTCAATTTGATCCGAAAGGTCTTTGCACTTGCTACAAAATGCAAGCGTACTGTAACTAGTGTCGAAAGTACAATTTCCTGTAGAGCAATAAAAGCCGGACAGATTTGGCGGTTGATAGTAACCTGAAGCAAGAGCCGGCTGTAATGTGGTTGGCAACATTCTGAGCTGGAATACATTCGTCCGAGGTATTGATGGGCTTTTTCCACCAGCGGATAGTATATTGCAACTAGTCAATTGTGACAGTTGCTGGAAAAATGGGTCGAGGGCAATGCCAAATATGGTCACCAAAGCGGCTAAAGCCACTACTGGTTGGCGCAGATGACGCATATATAGCCATTTAACTGCACCGTAAGGGCTTCTTCCTGCGTCCTGAAATAAGGCGACGTCTTTAAGAGGATGCCGAGAACGATACCATCTCCATTGCAGCTGGCCAACGCAAGAGATTAAAATAAGAGCCATGCTGCCTTTAAAGACGAAAGCGTAGGTTGAGATCAAGGCGTTGATGGTTATAGACAGAGGCCATTCTGGAATAGGTTGTCCGTCATGTATACGTAGAGTGATTACGGTTGCGATAATCATAACGAGTAACAAAATTGCGTTTATAGTCTCTGATATCCAATATTCAATTCCGAAATAACGGTATTGTGGTGCCTTTGGGGACCTTTCTTTTGCTGACTGTACGGTTTGTGAATCGATCTCGACTGAAGCTACACGACTGTCGAGCCACGCATCTGCTGCTCTCTCCGTGAGAGTAAGTACAGAATCAGATTGCTGGCTGTCTGGGCATATTTGTAACGCCGGTTTTAGCGCTGGATTTGAGCTTGCCTCAGCGTTGAAACTTGTGCCTGTAGATGCATCTGACGGATGGATAGCGCTCTGAGCGTCATCTCTCAGCAAAGAAATCTCAGTAGAGGAGTCCAATGCCATTTTGAAACAAATGTATAAATCGGCAGACCCTTAGAGATGCCCTTTTAGTTTGCCGGTCCCTAAGTACTGCGTGGCAATGAGATACTGGGATGCTGAACATGACAGAGTGCCCATGTAATATGCTGCGCGAATATGTGGATAAATCCATCTACTCAGCTATTTATTGTTCATCATGATTGTAAAGAAGTGTCACACGAGACACTAAGTCTCGGACGGGCCAGCCTACATATAGCACACGAAGTGTTGTACGACCCAGGAACAATTAAAAATAAGCATTGGTGTCACACAAATTACAAATAACACAAAAAAACGTCGCAAGGGTAAGACTAGCCTCGTATTATTACTGAGAATTCTTAAAATATTGGCTGTGGTGGCGCTCGCCAGAGATTGCATTGGTCACACTCGGCCCAATCCATTATCTCAAGTTGGCTGTAAATGTGACTGTCGCGTTTAATTGGTTTGAAAGAGAGCTAAAGGAGGGCGGAGGGGGCCTCCATGCAAAACAGAACGCATTGGCCTCAGCATTAGAATCGCCCGGTGTATTTTCGCAACCTACTTGCAGCTATGACTTGGCGCACATCAACCGCACTCGGAAGGGAGTTCGGTGGATAAATGTAGCACCTATCCGTGCTGCTCCTGCGATGAGCTCGGTGTAACTGGCGGCAGCTGCTAAGACCAAGACGGGAACTCGCACTGCCGCAAATATTCCTTCTTGTAGTCCGATACTTTTTCAGTAATACCTTTCACTTCGAACCCTTGGTACTAAATGTAATATTTGCTTCGTATCCTGGCCCCGATTCCAATGTACTATTCAGAGTGTGACGATGAAAAGATTCTCAATTCCCTTTCCAAACCGTGGCTGGATGCAACAAGCGTTGCATTGGGAGTCTGCCAAGATCACATCCTTTTTGAGATGCGTGGCCACGACGATTGCCACTGCTTTGGCAACGTCGGTATCATATATCGATGGTAATATGCCGACTGAGGTGAAATACTCAGTCTTTCCTGATTCGGTCAGCCGAAGACCCCACGGAACCGTGGAGACTTCGTCTTCGCGGATAGCCCATTTCACTGTAATCCCCAAGCAAGGGGCTAATCTTGGGGGGTTTGATATACTCCAAGATCCTCTCGTTGGCTCAATTTCAAACGTTGTCGCGCAGGGCACTGAAGCCCTTCGACAGTGGAACGCAGTGCCCCTGCTCTTGAGAACGGCCTTGATCAAAGATGCCGGTCCGACTGCAAGTGCGCTATTCATTGAGTTGTCCTCGAGTCCAAATAGAAAATCAATTTGTAGCGACTCGACTTGTTGGGTCACACCAAGGCTGACCGAGACCATGGGTTGTATAGATTGCACTGGCTCCGGCATGGAGGAAATGTCATTCCTATCGCGGATAGAGGGATATGAGCTACCGCCCCATTCAATGTGGCCCGGAACGATACTTATGCGTCCCAAGACCTCTCGGTCGAGTACAAAATCCTGGAGGACTGAATAAAATGAGCAGACGCCGCCATGCGAAAATGCGTTTGCTCCGTTCTCATCGGTCGTTTTCCTCCCGGCGAAAAGCATCATGCACCCCAAAAACTCATTCTCTAGAAACGTAGGGTTCAGTATCCGATTGATCTCAGTCTGTCGTACAAGGTCTTGCCCTGGTGTCCCGGACCTTCGAGGGGTGTCTGCAATCGCGTTGTGTGCATTGTGGTATACCCACATCATACCGTCTCGTCTCATTCCCATCTTGGTAGCCATGGCCGTCGTTGATAGGATCTGACAAATGATGATTACGGACTCGAAAATTGCAAGCCTGCAAAGGCTGTTGATACTGGATGATTCGCCCTGCGGCAAACAGCAACTACATTTGCAAGCTTTTCGAATTTCAAACATGGACCGTATGTATTCAATTTGTGCGTCTTTGAACGAACGATCCAGTTGCTTGTAACTGATCTGGGTTAATGAGTGGAGTTCGGGACATATTTCGAAAGAGTTGCGGATAAACCCACGCCCGCCCGATTCGGTAAAATAGTGCTTGTGTTGTGTTGCATGGTACAAGTCCACTCCTGGACTTTCAAAATCCATGATTCCAGCAAAAATGCGGGCGGCGCATCCAAAGCCGGTCCCTATGGTTTCTTCCAGCTTCAAGAGTTGAGCGAATTCCAATCCATACGCTTCACGAAAGCACTCATCCCAGGGTAGCCTTCCACCGTAGAAAGGCGGTTCACTAATGGATAGAAGTTTCATGATGCCAGATCGGTCACGGAGCCTAAAAGTCTTGCTAGTGACGGCCAAGGTCAGATCGACAGTAGTTGCGGTAGCAGTAGCGAGCGAGTCATCATCCAATTGAATGACCAAGCCCGGCCGCGAGACGCAGTCCTTGGTCTGGTACATGGTCATGCCTTTTGCGTCGATGATGCTGACGTTGAAGCCATACATCCATTCGCCCACGGCGGCGAGCCAACCAGCACCGACTCCTCCTTTGATGCTGATTTGGTGAAAATGATTTCTGGAGAGCATTCCAAGCGCAAGGATCGTAACACTCAAGTCATGTGGGCTGGGGCATAGTGCATCTGGAATCTGCCCCGATCGCCGGGCTTGAAGCTTTTGCTGCAGCCGCCTTTGTCTAGGAACTAGCCTCGTGAACGAATCAACCAAGACTGGAAATTTGGTATGGGCAAGCACGCCACTACAGGCCTTGACCAGCATCTGCCACTCCTTGAGAGATGGCATGAAACCCGAGGGAGGATTATACGATGCAGTCATGGAGTGGAGGACAGTCGCGGCAAAGTCTTCGTGGAAAGTTTCACCAAGCGCCGAGCACAAGGCGACCAGACCTTTGCCTTCAGTCGTGGATCCCAAGGTGCGCACCAGGCTGCGGAGGCCGAATCCAAACCAAATCACGTCGCCAAGGCCACGATAGCTCCGGAGACTGTTCAGCGCGTCTTGTATGTTCTTCTCACCGCTAGTGGAGAGCCTCAAGTTCTTTGCAATCTCCTGTCCGACCATGATGGTAAATGGCTGCACGCCGGCAGCCATGAAGCGGCCGAGTATGTCGACAGTGAAGGCGACGGAGCTGCGCGACAGGCTGACCCAATCCAGAGAGCCTTGCTGTGCAAACCCGCTGCCAGAGGTATTAGCAAGCGTCCCATCTGGGACACCTTCACCGTTTTCCATCATGAAGAAGATGATGACACCAGGGAAGTTGGACAAAGATTAGCACTATTCGGAATACGGTCCCGCAAAGCTGCTCCTTACTAGGAAGAAGTTATTTCTCTCAAGCTGATGTTGACCTACCTAGGTGTTTGGGCACCTACATTAGTCCTAAGCAGTATATACCCTGCAGTCGTTGTAGCTGAAAGTGTACCCTGGTTCAGCTGAAAGTGCGGGGCAGCACGCCAAGTCACAAACTCTTGTGTACAACATTGAAGCATACGAGACGATGATAGTTACCATAGTGCTACATTGTGCCTGCTTGTGACGCAGTCCATGTATAGCAGCATCCTATAAAAGCTTCTCGTTGCTAGGCAATAACCTTCTCTTACGGATCTTAGATTCGGGAACGTAGATGTTATAGCTGCTTAAACCCTTCAATTGGACGCTAAGACGCCCCTTAAGCGATGGTTTTTATACTTATCTGCTTGGGTATTGTATCGCCATAAATGGGATAGGCCAGCACCTTTTTTAGTGAGTTGTATCTCGTCCTCGTTAGGTACGCGACCATGGCTAATTCTTAATTGGTGCCAGCGGTGAATTTAGGGTCTTATTTCGCTTGTGCATATATGTTACTGACCAAGGGCGACGTCCCATCGCAGCTATCCCAATCTGCCGCGACGCTAGAGGTGCAGGGCACCGCTGCAAAAGCTGATCTTGGCGGGACGATCCCATAGACTTTAGGCAGCGCGGCAGTGTCGCGTTGGATGCAATCCTAGACACACGATAAGCAAGCAAGGAACAATTAAGGAGACTCAGCCGACATCTTTGCATCAGAAGAGCGAACTTGAGGCTCAACGATGCAAACTTTGCAGAAACATGGATTCGATTCCCACGTGACTGGAACAGACATGCAACAATAGGGCAAATCAGCAGCCGATTGTGCCCAAGGAGCAGTCTTGTACATGATTCCACAGAGACCATTCAAATGATTATCAGTGCTCTGATCATTTTAGTCTACAAGGTGAATGCGCCTACAAGTAGGGCCTAGGTTGCGGGATCGTACTTGAATGGACTCACGTCCCCTAGGACAGTCATATCATAAAATAAAATGGAAATATGTATAAGGTCCAGAGTGCTCTGTATCATTGGTTTTCTTTGAAACATGCGCTAATAATAGAGGATGTAGTACTCGTATGAACCTGGCTAACTTGACTCGAGGAGGAATCCAAGGCCCAGCTCCAACCCCTGTCCTCGCTTCCTTTCCAAGCCTTATGGTAGCCTTATATCTGCCATTAACCCGGCAAGTCACAAGAACGAGTTTTCTTTTGCTTCAGTTATTGTCGGCAATTGTTGGCGAGACCAAGTGCTACTTCACTGGAGTGCATCATCTTCGAACAGGGTTCAGCGCAGTCGAAAGGAGAAAAGGAACATCTGAAGAGTTGAAGCGTCAGTCAGGTTGACTACTTATTCGTTGATACACCAAAGTCTATTTTCCCCGACTCGGCAGAATTATTGCATTCCATGTCTGAGGATCCGCAAACGTGGGTGTTCCCACCACCGGGTGCTGCGTCGCCGCCGACGAGTCAAACGGGCAATTTTGGACCGGTTTACCCAAATGACACGATCATTTTGGACTGGACTCCTCGAACTGAGACACCACTTATTGGCCTGGGCTGCTGGAATGGCTCCAACCGTAAAGCAGACACACCTGTCAGTTGCGGGGGAATACTAATGTCTATATAGACTTTGATACTGATATCCGATCCGACTCGATCTCAAAAGGACAAACAGCACCCGTCAGGTACACTTTCAACCAACGATTTACCATTAAAGATGACGTAGAGACGCTCTACTGCCACTTTACCTTTACTGGTACCAACAATGGTAACACTGTCGTGTGGGAATTTGAAAAAGGGAAAGCATCCGAACAACGCACATTTTCATCACCTGCAAGCACAAACTCGACCGTGAGTTCATCATCGAATGATGCTACAAACTCAACCACAAATTCACCATCGAATAACGCTACACTCAGCGCTGGAGCCGCTGTGGGTATCGGTGTCGGTGCAACAGCATTTGTATTCCTGGTGATAGGCGCTGGGCTCCTGTTTTGGATGCGCCGTAGGCGACAGCCCTTTGCACGGCAGATTCCGTCAACATCGTCGGCGGCAATGACCTACGAGCCTGTAACCCAATTCCAACCTTCTTCTCAGTCGCACACTACCGATGTCAGCATGGTTGGTGAACTCGAGCAGCCAGAATACCGTGCACCCGCTCGGGAACTTCACGGTCTCCCCAGCACAATAATCAGTGAACTCGGAGACAATATTGGCACCGACGAGCACATTGATGGCTATAAATACCGGGCTAGTTGAAGGCAAATAAGTTCTAATTCTCCGATATATAAATTAATCGCAAGGGACTTGACTCGCTGGATGACTTGAACACCGACCAAGGTCATAACCCCCAAGGATCGCACTGGCTCCAGGCTCGAGGATATGCTGATCATATCACGAATGCAAAGGTGCGGAGGACCGGCCTGTTCGATATAGCGTGGAGCGATTTTATATGTCCCGAGCCCTCTCCTTCGGGGACGGATCCCTGGATGGCCGACTAGATGAGTACCGCTGCTGCAGGAGAATGGAGATGATGATAAAGCGCAGCCGAATCCTGAAGCAACATGCACGTGGAACGAGGGTGGGGATTGATACCGTTTGGATTCACGCAGGGAAAGCTGACTTGAGCACCTAGACCTATGGTCATTCCAGCCGCGAGTGCCACGCAGTGGACAAAGTCGCGGGTTGTGTAAATATATTCGAGGTGGAAATGGGTCTGACGTGTAACAGTATCGCGTGGGCTGGATGACATCCAATCGGTCTTTGAGGCAGATCTGGAACTAATGTAGGACAATATTGGCTTCAGTACATTGGAATCTGAGGATTCTCACTGCATGACATTTTATAAGCAGGGCCGTTGTTTCTATTGTTTCCTTTATGCAAAGTTCACAGGCTATCTTCGATTTTGTTGAAATAAAACAAGCACTGAAGCCATTGACGATCAGAATTTTCATGTTTTGGTATCCATCCTCTCTTGACGCTCTTCGGTCTCAAATCTCTCCCGGCTGCACTTCCAGTGGGAGGCTCTTACTTTGCGTCCATTTCTGCTCGTCGCGTCATAGCTGTATCTGATGTGGTCTTCCCGGTCCGCTGGATACTCAAGTGGTTATTGACCTCGGGGCGTAACCACTACGTCAAATCCGTGCATCAAATAAAAGCCGGCGTTGATAATATCTGCAGGGTGTGCCGGGTCTACAACAGCGAACTCGAATCGACTCAGGAGCTGGGATCGCGTTGGCAAATAGGGTCTCAAATTCTTGCCGGTACAAACTCACCTCGGTTAGAGCCTTGTTCATTTCCATAAACACCAAAGGCCTTCCCAGACACTGGTATCGTCCATAACCGAATTGGAAATCGAGACTCTCGGTCATGGCGCTCAGTCGTGCTTGCGGTTGATTCAACCATCTCTCGGGCCGATACTGGTCGGCGTCCTCGCCCCAGAACTGCTTGTTCCTGTAGGCTCCCCATACGTCCATGCCGACTTGCGTGCCGGCCGGGAGTCTGTAGCCAGCGACCGTGTCTCCTCCCGCTGGCACCTCTTTGAATACCAGTGGGGTTCCGCCGGGATAGATGCGCAATCCTTCCCGGACCACGGCTTGTAGATATGGAAGCTGCTTGGCCTGTGACATTTGGATTGGTGTTTCAGAGCTTATAAGACCATCCGCTCTCGCCTTGTCCAGCTCTGCTAGCAAGTTTCTGTATACTCTCGGATTCGAAGTCACGTACAAAATGGTCATGCGAACCGCAGTCGCAACAGAGTCAGTCCCAGCAACGCTTCGCATCCAGTTAGCGTCCTATCTTTTCATGAAGGGGTAGCTATCAAGACCGCTACTCACACAGACACCAATGACTGGTTTACAGCTTGATCCTTAGTAACGCCCATCTTCATGAACAGACCTACTAGGTCCCTACGGCCGTCGGGGCCTGCCTGATAACGAGCGCCAATGACTTCCTCGCTGTGTCTAATCTCAATTTGTAAGCATACCGTCTGGCAAGAAAAGGATATGCTGATTATTTACATACCTGATGAAACGTCCCAGACCTACCGGGTCAGTAGACTTGGGAAGCGCCTCGCTAAATGGCCATAACTGTGTAAACCACGCCAGACTCGGAAGAACGGCCAAGATGGACGCAATGGTGAAGAAGTCTTCGTTCCACTTGAGAAAGCCATAAGAGTCATTACCCTCGTCCAAGAAGCCAAAGGCCTTGCCAAACGTGATATCACCAACAAGGTCCAAGGCGAACAGATGAGTAATGGCAGCAATGTCCATGGTCCGCGCCGGGCCCGTCTTGTCCTCTTCAGAAGAGCCAGCATCGATACGCGAAACAAATTTCCTCTCAATCAGATCCAGCAGGCGACAAACCTGGCGGTCGACGGCCTGTTCCATCTCGATAGAGCCGCGGTAGCCCGACGCAATCTTGTTCCTAAACGCCGTGTGACTGGGCTCGTGGACCGTGGAAAAGGAATGGTCCTGGCCCTTGATGAAGCGAAACGGACGGTACCAGCCTCCTTTGCTATAGGGCGACTTGACGGCGGATATCCTCTGCACCGTTTTGACGTCACTGGTGATGACGGAGTTTGGCCCGACTCTGATCAAAGGGCCTTGCGCGTTCTTGTTAGCTTTGTAGCCTTTGCGAGGACCACGTTGCAGCTCACCATATGTTTTCGTCCATTTCCAAATCTCGGAATGCGGGCTGCCGTCTAGATGTGTTTTGAGAAACCCAAGCGACGAGACTGACTGGAATAGCGGGCCTGGGACATGGCTCAGGCGGACATATGAGCGAATGCTGGCCGCAATATACACAAAGATGAGAATGCCCAGCAAAACCTTCCAATCCGCAAAGAGCTCGGTGATTGGGCCCGTCTGGGGGTTCTCGAAAACCATGGTGGTAGCGTGCGTGAACCGATGAGCGCTGAGGAGCCTTGCACTAGTAGTTGAAACCAAAGTGAAATATATGGAATACACGTGGTTGTTTTGGGACTGACCTCGGATTATCGTGGCCACGGTTTTAACACCACGACCACATAGTACGGCGTATTTGGCCTGTTGTTAGGGCCGACGGCAACCCCAATCGATGTCGAGGGGCAGGGAGACTGACTATGCCGTACAGGGCCCGAACGACCAGGTTTCTTGCATATCTACAGGGTATAGACGAATGATACGTCCTTAATTCTCAATACCTGCCAAAGTCTGGTCATATCTGCCGAGACGACATAGGTAGTAGGTACGATTGGGAGGCATGATCCGTCTGTGGGGAATTATTTGGATACTCATATTTCCGCTCTTGTGGCATAATTGACAAATATTGCTGGTCTAAAGCCACAATGCAGCTGGAAATGGATCCCAATCGCGGACGTGCCCAGATGGGGAACGGTCTAGGTGCCAGATCTTCCAAAGTCGCCCATTGGCATTCAAATGGCCAGCTGTGGATGTGACGCCGAGATGGTACCATGCGTGTCAACAGGATGTGGGACTTGATTGTCCATCATATCATGTTTTCCGGGAGTGTATCCATTTTTTTATCGTGTGCAGGCAAAAGATTTCGACCCCTTCTAAAACTACTCCTCATTTGTTCATATTCTTAACGTTTTCATGATCTGCTTCCAGGATCTTATCTCACGCCCGTTGCTTCTTGGTTGAGATTTCGCCCTCATGCCCACTGCTTGCATTCCGCTGCACGTATTCCGGTACAAGCTTGTCACTTGAAGGGGGGAAAATAACACAACCAAGAAACCGAGAAATCCTCACCCGGTTTTCTATACACTTCTTTTTACCAAGAATGAGGTTTGCTCAGATATGGAGGGATAAATCCATGGGGGACGGCAAATTTCTATGCGATCCAACTAGTATATGGAAGAAAAGACCTTTTTGCTGGCAACTGTTTCCGGATGGTCTGCGCCTAGAATCTTGGTACGGAGCTTTAGCACATGCCGGTGCATTGTACCGGCTTCCGAAAGGTAGCCTTGGGCGGCGAGCGATTGTGCATGCCAAAACATGGTAGCTAGTGTATTGGGATGTTCCTCGCCTTCAACCTTGGTTTGGAGTTCTGATACCTGCCGAAATAATGCTACGGCCTCGGAGTTGTGGCCTTGGAAGTGGAGCGCCATGGCAATACAACTTATGCTGCTGAGTGTATTTGGATGTTCCGCACCTATAACTCTGATTTGGGTTTCTGATAACTGCCGATACATCGCTTCGGCATCGGAATAGTGGCCTTGACAGTGGATTGTAAAAGCAAGCATATGTGTGCTTTGAAGGGTATCTGGATGCTCCGCGCCCACCACCTTGGCTTGGAGTTCCAAAACCTGCCGATATATTGCTTCGGCCAGGGAATAGTGGCCTTGGTTGTGGAGCGCCTCGGCGATACGACTCATGGTTTGGAGTGTATCTGGATGTTCCGCACCCAAAACTCTGGTTTGGAAATCTGATACCTGCCGAAACATTGCTTCGGCATGGGAATGGCGGCCTTGATCGCGGAGTGTGAAAGCAAGCATATATGTGCTGTCGATTGTAGATGGATGCTCCGCGCCTAGCACCTTGGTAGAAAGCTCTAATGTCTGCCGTTGCATTGCCTCCGCGTCGGAGAAGTGGCCTGTAGTGGTGAGTGTGAAAGCGACCCAGGCCATGCTTCTGAGTGTATCTGGATGATCAAATCCAAATAACGTCTTTTGAGTTTTGAAGCATTCTTGGAAGATCTTCATGGCCTTGTTGTATAGCCCTTGCTTCCAAACCACTTCGCCAAGTCCCTGTAGTGCTCTCAGGGTATGCCTGTGTGACTTGCCGTACAGTACTCGACAACGGGAGATCAACTTCCTAAAAGTTTCTTCTGCAGAACGATATCTCCCTTGTTCGAGACGAACTTGGCCTAGCTTAAGCTCTGTGTGTAGTGCATCAAGATTGTCATCCAAGCCCGACTGCTCCCTATGGAGAGAAAGCTGGAGGCGAAGCTGTGCCTCGTCCGCTGATAGATATGGATGTGTGGGTGCTTCATCATTTGTCGGCCACGGGGCTGGACTCTGCCCTGTGAAGTCGCTGTCGTGAGATTCAAGTATGCTGGAGACAGATGGTGTTGGGGAATGGATAGTGCTTCCATAGCCTCCCTGTGGCGATTGGATCGCCATGGCTATCGGAGTATGCGACGAGGAGGGACCACCCGACGGCGAGGAGGCCTGTTCGGAAGGTGTCCACGCCATCATTTCGGTAGGCGTAGCTATGCACCATTAGTAAGGATCAAAACGTGGAGTGAGTGGCTCAATGTGAAAGACATACAAGCTGCTGGACTCGGAGCATAGATGGCGTCGCCTGGAATATTGTTCCTTTTCATCCAAGTGTCTACTTTTCCAGGGTTGACGGTGAAGTTGTGAACTTTGAAATTGAGATCCTTTTTTCCTGGTTCGACGAGTCTTCTGTGTTGCCTTTTCCTTACAATCGCCTGCATCACATTCTTCTTGACATTCTTGTCGAATCCCCAACTCGTCACAGCGGACCTGTATTGCCGAAGGCTGTGGGAGGTCAGCATTGTCGTTTGCGACACCGGAAAATACAAACATAATAACTCACGTGGCTTCAAAGGGAAATTCTTCTTCAATTGCAATCTTAACTTCCGGTAGCGGCATGTTGTCGTCAATATGCAGCTCGATGATCCGGGCTTTTACGGGTGTCCAGTCCCCGGCACGCAGTGTTGGAGCCTTTCGCTTTCTCGGATTGAGAGCTGGTGGCGGCATCGATTGTCGCGGGTCACTGTTGGCATTGCTGGGCACAGAATAGGTCGGCAGTTCCTGTGATTCCATGGCTGTATAGTTTGGAATTGAAACGTGAACCGGCAATATCGGAACATACGCCGCGCTGTAGCCAGAGTATGCTGCCGGCCCGGATAGAGTAGCACCATCGCTGGTTGTGGATCCCTCCGTCCATGGCGTGAAGTTGTCAATGCTGGGCTGTATGGGGTTTGAATGCAATGGTGGGGACCAAGACACTGTGTGAGGTGACGATGGAAGGTTGCTGTCTGGCAATGGCCAGCGGTTGCCCATTCTGCTGTTAATAGCGGGTTGTGTTCAGTGGTGTATGAAATGAGAATGAAGCATTGATACAGGACATCTGTTAGCAAGCAGTCAATAGACTTGTCACATACTTAAGCATAATCCTCCTGGGCCGCGATGGACTCGAGATGTATTGGAAGGTGTCCCAGTGTCAGCTGAGATTTATTCGATGGTCGATGCTGATTTGACCACAAAAGTACAATCTTGGGACTAGGGTGAATGGGCCGCCCGCCTGTACTAGATAGACCCTGGCCATGTGTCGTAAAACAAAAGCCACACGCATTGCGCCTCCCCTCCAGCACAGAACAAAACTACAATTTGACAATACGTACCGCTATCCTCGCATGCAGCACAAAAGTGCAATTCTACGGCTGCAGCAATCATTGGTCCAGTCTGGACCCCCTCAAGTCGGTACCTAGGTACCTTACGTACATGACGTTACGTCCCTGCCCAACAGTCGGGCGACAAGGCGCATAGCACCCGGCAAGATGTTGCATACATGGGTCGCAAGTACGTAGAGTCCTTGGCCCGACTCACGTCGACTCGGACAAAACTACAATACCGCCCTGAAGCAAACCAGCTTTCCTCGACCTTGACAAAACTACAATGACCATGATGTTGTTGATGCGGATGGCTTCGAAAGAACAAAAATACAATCTTTGTTTCTGCCCCTGCTTCTGCCTCGTAGACGGGCAGACGTAAGTAATATATAACGGTCAGTAAAGATGTTTGAACTCTGAACACCACTCTTCAGCATTAGATTCAATCTCCTTCACTTAATATTTTATGACTGCCAAATTGTCACCACCGCTTTGGCCGGCATTCGTGACCGCAACTATGGTGTATTTGTCGGACGCCGCAAGTATCATAGCAATCCCTCTTGGGCTTCTGCAGGTCCTGATTGGCTTGATATCGCTGTGGCAGCAATGGCGGCTTGGAAGACAGCAGTAAGGCACCCCCTGGGAAAAAAAAAAGAGAGAGAGAGATGGGAGCTGCCGACTTGAGCTGGTTGACTGATGCTGGGCAGATTAGACTACGCGCAAGCGACGCCGCACGATGCAGAACCAGGACGTTGGAACGTACACGGCAACCGAACCGCTGTAGGGGCTCAAGCACCGCGACCCTAGCAACTATTAAGCTTCCAGAATCCATCTACGATCCGCGCGTAATCAGGAAAAGTTGGGAAAGTGCGCAAGATTCTTTCGCCTGAAGGCCCGAGTCAAAGTCATGCGCATGCACGTCGCGCTATTGGCATTTCATTCCTTATGGTGTTGCAGTCAACTCTCAAGGAGACCGCCAAAGTCAAAACCAAGCATATAGTAGAGGAGTTTGGGAGATGTTTATGGATTGTATTACTTTATAGAGCTTGTTCTGAAGACCCCTCACCAGGCCAATTCATTATTGGTGACCAAGATGTGTGTTGTACATGCAAGGGTTTATATGGATGTCATCCAAGACAGCCATAGTGCGAACATGCTATCTCGGTACATTTACTTGATAAGGCTCCTTGTGTGATAATTGTGCTGATTCAGGTATACCACTTTCAATGAAGAATGTGAGGATTATGTCAAGCAACCTCACCATTTGAACCACCCCGAAAATAATTATATCAACTTCCAATACATCGTTTATAAACACATACTATGTAGAATGCGAAGGTCAATGACATGTTTCAATTCTTTCTGGGTATATAGTGTATGACGTCTAAGATCCAAGCGATTGAGGCCCCCACTTTAAATGTCTACAGTGAGCAATGACCGCGCTTTAAGCTCTAAAGCTTTAGGGATTAGTGGGTTGGGGTAGCTCAATCAGTGCGACACAAACTACAGAGTACCATCTTGCTGGTTACGGGATTGCAGCGGCTCAGTACCAAACGAAGCTCCAACCAGCAACGAAAGTGAACCTCGCAAACCGGCGCTGAACAACCTCAATTTCTCACCACACCAGGTAAAAGCAATTGACCAAGATGGCGGCAAAAGGCTCAAAGATGGGGACATACCTCAAGATGCTGGCCACGTGAGTCTTCTTTCCTCTTTTCGCGCGTTTCCCGGCGTCCCGTCGCAACCCTGCCCAGTCCAGTCCTGTCGCATTTCGCAAAGCCCATGACTAACGTTCTTCACGATGACCACAGCGGCGCCGTGGTCTGTGTAGGAGGACCTGCATTCGTATTTTGGATCCAGCCGACCGACGAGGAGCTCTTTAAGCGATACAGCCCCGAGCTGCAAAAGAAGAGCCTGGAGAGGCGACACGAGCGACAGCAAGAGTTTGACGACTTTGTCAACCAGTTGAAAGACTTTTCAAAGTCGGACAAGCCGAGTACGTATCCATAACCGGAGCGAGACAGCGATTGTCCCCGTCAATTCCGCCCGACACAGACACTGACCCGATATTCTAGTATGGACGGTGCAAGAGGAAGCTGCTAGAGCATACAGGCTGGAGAGGTTACGCGAGGACGCGAGGGTCGCCGAGGAGGCCAAGGCGCAGAAAGAGGCCATGCGAAAGGAGTCGGGGCTATCGGGCAGCTCATAAGGACCTTTGAGATGTATCATTGTCGCCATTGTCATCGCGGTCGGCCATGTACGAGATATGGAACGTCATGGGTATGCATTTGGGAAAAAGACGGCGTTTTGGGTTTGATTTTCTTCTGCATTGACAGAATTACTGGCTCCCAACTTTGAGCCACACTATATTCTAATGAATATACTTGTATATCAAAGTACTGCACGACTTTTGCAGGGCAAACGAATCACTACTTAAAGGAATCCCATGTTTACGACTCCCGTGATGCTGCCCTCAAGACCAAGCTCCCGTCACGAGCAAAAAAATCACGTCTGACACCACGAGTGGGGTGTCGCTAACAATGGTCCAAGTCCGCTAACGGCCCTGACTGCGAATGGGAACTGACAAGATGGTCATCAGTTTGCAGCATCCAGCATTTCGTCTAGAAGAAATTTGGAAAAAGCGTCAAAATGATAGTCCTCAGCCATACTTCATAATGAGAACATCATCCAAACCATGGCAGTAAAGTTTGGTGAAAATAAAGTCGTTTCTTGTAGTACACATCCGCCGTGAAGGAAATTTCTGATTTTTCTTGCATCCCTCATTTATTTACACCCAATTGCTCCACTCGAGAACATCAAAAGCAACAATGGAAAAAGTCGAGGCACTCCTCGAGTGGGCTACAGAAAAAGGCATTCAGCATAATGGTATTTTGCCAAAACACTTGCCAGGCCGCGGCGTCGGTGTGATTGCAATCCGTGATGTCAAGGTCGGTTTCCCCATCATACTGTGTCAGTCCGACCATGTTCCAACTAACACGATCTACAGCCCGGCGAGGTTGTTCTTCAAGTTCCGACATCAACTCTGCGCAGCATTGATACGGTGCCCAAAAATGTCCGCGCAAAGCTGCCAAAGGACCTGTCTGTCCAGGGATTGTTGGCCGCAGATCTAGCCCTAGATGACACGGACAAGTACAACGTCTGGAACGCCGTGTGTCCGTCTCTCGCAGACTTTGCCTCGATGCCTCTACTTTGGCCGGCGTCCCTGCAATGTCTCCTTCCCGGGGTAGCCAAGAAGCTTTTGTCCAAGCAGCAAGCCAAGCTAGCCAAGGACCGAGCGACGGTCGGCGCCGCGTTTCCCGACCTCGACCAGGACCGGTACACACACGGCTGGCTGCTGGCCAACACGCGCACCTTTTACTACCTCAGCCCGGCGCGCCGGCGGCGGAAGCGAGACGACCACATGGTCCTGCAGCCCGTGGCCGACCTCTTGAACCACGCCGACGCGGGCTGCGACGTGCACTTTGGCGACGCCGCCTTTACCGTGCGCGCCGACCGCGCCTACGCCGCCGGGGACGAGATCTTTATCTGCTACGGTCGCCACGGCGGCGACTTTCTCATGGTCGAGTACGGTTTCGACATGGATGAGAACCGCTGGGACGAGGCCGGCTTGGACGAGATGGTGCTGTCCGTGCTGGACGAAAAGTCTAGGGAAATGCTCGACGACCGTGGGTTCCTCGGCGGGTATGTGCTGGATCGTGGCCAAGTGTGCTATCGTACCCAGGCTGCTCTCCGAACCTTGTGCTGTAGCGAGAGGGAGTGGTCGAGGTTTGTCGATGGGATGGACGATGGAGAGCGCAGCCAGAAAAAGGTAGACGAGTTGCTAGTAGAATTACTTGGAAAGTATTCTACGAGCATTATCGGGACAATGGAGGAGATTGACGGCCTGCAAGAAGGCGAGCCGTGCCAGAGAGGTCTCTTGGCCGCGAGATGGAGACATATCCTAAGACTTGTACAGGGCACACTCGACAGACTACGACAAGACCTAGGTTCTTGAGTTGAGCTTATAAAACCACAAAATCAATTTCCACCTCCATACTACGCCTCATCCCGAGAAACAGGGAATATATACTACTTCACCAAGTCGTGTCACCAAATGGCGCACTGTTTCGTCAACCTCCATTTCAAACTTGAGATGCTAGCGCATCACTCTTCGAGAAAGACGAACATGACGCAAATCATTGGCTCGTGTTTGTTGGGTATTTAGATAAAGTGTTTGGAGCTACAGCGACTTCCTTGTCTCTCAATACTATGCTTCAAAAGCCTCCCTCCTCGCATCCGTCTTTATAGTTACGAATGTGGGCAATGTCTTTCCCTTTCAGGTGTGATATACTGTGATCTGCTTAGACCTTTTCGGGCTTATCAAGGTCGGCCTCGGTCCTTAGGAAGTCCAACAGACCAACATCCCTCTGAGCATCTAGCAGCATCTTGGCGTCCTCGGCACCAGTGTGACTCTTGAACACGCGGTCCATATCTTCAAGCGTCGCGTTCTATCGCAAAAGATTATATATTAGTATCGCAACGCTAAAGGGAAGTGTCTCTGGGGGTGTGGAGGAAAACAAACATACCTTTGTCTCGGGCAGCACAAACCACACCCAGAAGAAGCCAAAGAACAAGAAGACGGCAAAGAAGATATAAGTGCCCCAAGCCCAAGCCTCAAACATGGGCGGGACCAAAAAGGCAATGGCGAAATTATTGACCCAGTTGGAACTGGCACCAATGGACGCGCCGCGGGCACGGATGGACAGCGGAAAGACCTCGGACACGAGCACCCAGGACGCGGGACCCCAGCCGTAACCGAACGCGCCAATGTAGATCCAGATGAGCACGACGGCGGCCCATCCGGCGTCGGTGTGGTGCGGCCAGTCGTGGCGGAACTTGGCCACAATGATGCCCACCGTGACCATGCAGACAAACATGACGATGGAGCCCGTCATGAGCATGGATTTACGGCCGAGCTTGTCAATGAGGAACTATTCACAATGATTAGATTAGACTGCAATCTTTTCTCACAAGGATAAACTTACCATGGCGGGTAACGTGCTCACGAGGAAAACACTTCCAGTGACACCAGTCGCAAGAAGGGCAATCGTTCCATCGGAGAAGCCGTAGCTCTGGAATACATTTGAGGCATAGTAGATGACTGTAAACGACTTGCGTTAGTAATTGACACACAAAACGTCAGAGCCCACCCCATGATAGATCTCCCTGTACATATAGCGCTGCACCCATATTCAACCAAATAACCAATCATTCCCCGCTTGCAGCCCTATTGCATGTCAAGTAAAAGAAATAAAGTACTCACTTGAATCAATTCCGGACCACTGCTGCCAAAACATGACAAGCCACGCCGTCGCAACACGTTTGAAGTTGTCACGTGACCTGAACAAATGAACATAGCCAGAGACCTCACGGACAAAGATGCTCTGGTTCTCCTATTGTGTAGAATTCTCATGTCAGCCAAGATGTCCATTTCGTATACAACGTCTTTTGACGTGAACGTACCTTGGCAGCCAACTTGGGAAAAGTCTTTCTAAACACGCGATCCTCAAACAGGGCCTCGGCCCTGATCTCGAGGTACTCGGCGTGGACTAGGGGATCCTCGATGTCACGCTTGCGCAGCCAGGCCAGCGTCTTCTTGGCCTCGTCGTAGCGGCCGACCTTGACGAGCCAGCGGGGCGAAAAGGGCATCCACCAGATACCAATGGCGAGCAAGACAGAGGGGATACCCTGGATGATGGAGGGAAGACGCCAGGCCAGGTCCGACTGCGACTCGCCCGTCCCGCCGATATAGTTGCTGCCGTAGCCGATCCAAAAGCTGAGAAAGATACCCAGGATGGTGGCGAGCTGGTAAAACGAGACGATAAAACCGCGCGTCTCGGGGGCCGAGATCTCGGCGTTATAGAGGGGGCCCACGCCGGAAAAGGTGCCGACGCCTAGACCGGTAAAGAAGCGGCCGGCGTACAGCAGGGCGGGCTTGCCCGCCGTGGCGCCAACGTACAGGTAGGAGCCCAGAATGACCCAGCAGCACGCGCTGAACATGGTGTACTTGCGCGAGAACATTTCGCCCAGCAGACCCGCTGACAGGGAGCCCACGATGCCGCCCAGCTGCAAAACCGACGTCAGCCAGCCCTGGGCCGTCGAGGACTCGACCACCGAGGGAAAGTTTTCGGTAAATCGCGTCATGACGAGGGATTGTGATAGAATGCCCTGTTGGTATCCATATTCGAAACCGCCAAATCTACATTACAAAATTCTCAATGTCAGAGAGACACGAGCCAAAAAAAACAATGACACGACATATACTGGAGTTGTAACATGTTCGAACCCGACAAGCACTTACGACGCGAATAACGCAATAAAGATGATCTTTGGATTGGCCTTGATCGAATGCCACCTGTCTCGCACGGCAGCCTCAACTCTCCAGTCTGCCGTGGCGACCTCATCGACGTGGACCGGTTGGGCCTCATCGGTGGTTGCCGTCTCCTTGTGACCAGCGACTGGCACCGTGTGCTCTTGTTCTGCCTTTTCGGCCATGACGCTTCTGTTACTCGGGCCCAGTGGGACAAGGCTCTCTCGAGTTTTTCAGATGGAGCAAAGTAAAAGGAAGTAAGAAAATATCAAAACATTATTCACGAGGACTGGACCGTCTGTCAGAACTGTGGGCAGTCCCCCTCGGTTATGTACCTCATCGTTTGAACATGCCGGGTCTCATGCGGTGTGAATACAGGATAGATCGGTCCTATGTGAGCCCGAGGTGCTTGCCGATCGTATCATGTTTTGCGCATGGCTCCCGGGCACCGTTGTGACATCGTCCCCAAGGTAGACTGGTAATAAGCTATCCTGTCAAGAACCCACATGGTACTTTTTCTTGCCTCTCCCTTAAGTTTTTACGAGCCATCGTCTCACGCCGCCTGGTTGCTTGGATCTGGTGCTTCTTTTTTGTGCTCCACGGGCGCCTAGTACTTCCTAAAACGATCAACTCGCGGGGTTAGTACACAGCAGATGGCCAAGGGGGGGCTAGACGTTATGCGGGGAAGGGGGGAAAGCGGATGCTTAGACTTGTCTCATTCATTCGTTGAACCTGGGGTAGAACGTGGAGAAAACCGAGGGCAATTAGACAATTAGTACCATCGCCAATACCATGGGCAGGGGCTTTAATTGCCGCTCTTGTACGTAACCCGCCGATTCGCGGCGATTCAAGCCAAATAGGACAAGGCTACTGCATTGTTTTTTGTCCTCTTTTACGAAAAATCATCGGATACCACCGCCATTCCCTGGAAGTGACCGAATCTACGTACCATGCATGGTAACACATGAATCAGACGACACCATCTGCTGCCAATATAGTATATGTATGAGAGAATGACTTTTTTGAAGAACTACGCTCCTCGGTTTTAGGTAATTGCTTTGCTACATCATCTACCACCATTCTGTTACTCTTCGAGATAGTCTGCCAGGAATTCTTCCAAGGCCTTACCACGGCCTCGGACCCATTCTGCTGGAGAATCCACCCATGGCTCGTAAACGCCTCTGATCGCATCGAGTTCTTCTTGACCTGCCTGTGCCTTTGGCTTGGATCGCGCAAAGCCACGAATCAACTCATCTATAACGAGTATCTTGAGCTTGTCCGCCATCTTTGGCCGTTTTGCATCCACCCTTTTCACAAAGGCAAGACCTATAGGGAGCCATTGCTCACTTGCCCATCCGTTCGTGGCAACCCGACTCAGGTTTTCATCCCATCTCTCATGATAGGGCACGTCATCTGCCACCAGCTCGTCAATCAAATCAGAATACTCGGCCACAAACATGCTCACTTCCTCCTGTGACGGTGTCTGATCCCGGGTTGGGTACACTCCCTTCAGCACCATTGTCTTGATCGCCAACACTCGTGGAAGCTCGTCCGGACTTCTGTCTGGGTTGTGCTGCCATTCTTCTGTTCTCAGGCCTTCGACGTCTTTAATGGCCTTGTCCAGCACCGGAAGGCAGTTGATTTTCCACTGATCTTGCTTCTTCGAATTCGGCGTCCCGATGAAAGTAATCAGTGTCTCAAAACCGCCGACGTCAGAGCTGTTGACGCAATCGGTCAGAAGCTGATTCAGGAATACCTGGAGTCTTTTGATAGTCTCCTCTTCAGCTTTGGCATCAATATCGAGCAAAACTCCGACAAACTGATTGAGAGCTTCATGAGTTCCAGGACCTAACACCGTCTTCTTGGTTCGGCGGCCGCCGGAAGCAGACAGAGTCATGGCGCGAATACCTTGGCCCGGATAACTAGCCCGCCCACCCCGGCCGCCACGGCCAGAACGAAAACCACCCCGACCAACTCCGGGAACACGCCGAATGACTTGGGTAGTGTCGGTGCCATCCCAGAGATGAAGCCAGTGCTTGCCTCCATTGGACCCGAGAACATCCTTTTCACTCTTCACTGCTCCAACTGCCGCCCATAGATCCTTGTCGGGATGCATTTTGACGAACAGATAGTCCCTTAGCAGCTCAAAATTGACCTTATTTCGTGCTTGCGGAACTTCGCACCAGAGCGTCAGCAATAGCTCGGGCTTCACTGGCATCGCAGGAAGAGTGCATGCTGCGATATTGAGCTTCTGTCTTTTCACAAATAGGGTATTCCAACGGGCATTCTCCGAAGCAGATCTTTCGCAGATTGGAAGGAGGATGCGCGTGATCCACTCGGCGTACTCGGGGGTCTCTTTTGACCATCGATCCGCTGCTCTGACCAAGAAGTCAAGAATCTCAGGCAGTTGATCAATGGGTAGTGCATCGTACAACTCTGGCAAAGGCCCGTCGCCATTCTCGGCCTGGAGCCAGTCTCTCTCCGTTGGCGGGGCTCGCTCATTGATGGAAGATACAATCGGTATGACATGCTTCTCAAGAGCCTCGTAGATTCGATTCTTGAGTTTCGACTGCTTCGTTCTCTCCAACGTATTGATGAGACTTGATACAATTGCATATCGAACATCCGGATGCGGAGAGCTGTTCAACAAGGTGCCGAGTACATCACAGGCAGTAGACTGATCAATGAAGCAGGCATCGTCGAGTATTTGCGCCAACATCTTGATACTGCTCACCTTAACATGAGCTGGCGGGGCCTCTTCTTCTGCTGCTTGTGCCTCGTCCAACGGCTTTGGCACAGACGACTTGTCTTTGGAGTTTTCCCTCTCGGCTCTCTTCTTGGAATTATGTGCGACGAGTTGCTCGTGCCGCTGGTACATTTTGGCAGAGACTTCGGTCATCAAAGCCGAGGCGTTGGCAGCCGACAGTCGGTGGAGGAACCCGATGTTGAGCAGGCGACGATGCCAGGAGCTATCATCATTCCGATCTAGCACCACATGCTGGACCAGTTGACTCGCAATTCGAGGACAATCGCCGCTTACAAGCATTCTGATAAGTGCCATTGTCGTTCTTAGGAGATCGGGGTCCTTTTTCTCATCACTGTCCAATCTTTGCGTGACCGACAGAGCAAGCTTGTGCAGCATCGAAACGGGAATTTGCAATCCCATTTGGGATAGCATGCTAATTGGACGACTGGCATTTTCGTTCTTGTAGGCCTCGAGAAATTCCTGGTCGAGATAGAGTCCTGGGTACCGGGGGTCGGCTTGTGCTGGGAAAGGCTTCAACAATAATGAAGAATCAGAGCCGTATTTGGTGTTGATATACGCAATGGCTGCGGCAATCAGCGCTTCTCTACGTTGCGGAGTCGATGAATCGAGGTTAGACCATTCTGGCTTTTTACGTGGAGATGGCGTCATCTGGGGGGTGACATCTTTGAATTTCGAGTAAATCGTCGGTTCACCATGACTTACGTTCCAAAGTGCATGATCGAGACAGATTTGTGGCAAGATCCGCGAGGAAGTCTTGGTGGGCTTTCTTCCTGCCAGCCAAGGTGCCCATTCAGCAGGATTACCATTGACATCAGGCTCAGGCAAGTCTGTGGCTGTTACCTCGGTGTCTGGACCAAGACCCAGCCTACTGAGATCCTTTTCCATGTCTGGAATGTTGGTCTTGTTACAGTAATAGTCTCTCCAGAATGCGGTAGCCTCTGCGTCGTTCAGGCGTCTCTCCAGTGGCGTGCTCGTGCTCGAGAATAGACCATTGGCATGTTTCCAAGCCTTACGCAGCCTTTCATCGCGGTCTGCTTGATCTTTGGCTGCACACAAGTAATGTGAAAGGGCAAATTTATAGCTTTCTTGGAATTGTCCAATAGCTTCTCGAATTTCTTGGTCCTCCTCGGAATAGTCAGTTGGGATTTGCTCCAACATGCCCAATGGACAGAACACGACAGCTTCGCAGCGACTCTCCAAATAAGGCATTCTAGGCATATTGAAGTCTTCAGCGCGAAGGTTTGCGCAAAGATTTTGAACTGGAAGACCACGAGGCCAGGGACCGCTAATATCGGTAGTTGCAGGGTGGATGGTGGGTCGAAAATCCCTCCAAAGCTCGTCTCGCCTTTGAGCTATCTCGTCCAAGAACATACCAGTGCAAGAAGATGGTGTCTCAACGCTCCACTGACTTTTGAAAGGACCACAGCTTGAATTGAGACGCAACTCCTTGTTCTGTTCTTGCAATAAGAAACGCTCTGATTTGAGAAGAAACTCCATGGTAGGCTCCCAGATATGGTGCATGATATCGCCATCAGAGAATTTGTAGTGGTTTTGCAGCGTCTGCGTTCGTCTAATTCGTTCCTGCAAGACGTTCGGGAGTAGATTGGTAACCGAGCTCCAGTGGTATAATTGAAAGAAAGGTTCCTGAATGCCCATTGCCGCCGTTTCGAGCAAGCCGAAGATGATGTCGTCGCTCTGTTTGACCTTTTCACTGATCTCTGAAAGCTGAGGAAGCTGACCATGGGTGTGAGACGGTATGCCACTGAGTAGATCATTGACCATATCGTGATCCAGAGGTCCGTATTGGTAAAGGTACTCTACAGTGTTTTGATCGCGATTGAAGCGACGGGCCCATGTCAGTGTCTCGGAAACCAAATTCAGTGATTTTGCGGCAATGCAGAGATCTAGTGCAGATTTTGCATTTTGGCCACGTGCGTTGGGATCACGGGAGTTTGAGGCCTTCTTCTTGCGTTCGGCCACCTCCTTCTGCACAGCGGGGAACCACGAAGCTTCCTCATCTGGATAAGCGCTCATTTGTGACTCGAGAGAGGCAGAAACAATATGCAAATCGAGGGAGTTGTAGTTCTTGCTCATGTAGGACCGCACTCTGGAAGGGAGCAGGCTATCGCCAAACATGGTGAATTTATCGTCGTCCGGAAGGATCCGCCAAAGTCTTCTGAACAGGCGCAGCGCAGAAGAACGATCGAGCAAGGAAAATAGATCGACGGGCCACTTGCTGTACAAACTTGCCAACTTGTCGTTGTCGGCGTCTGTCTCAATGCTGATATCCACCTTCCAGCCAGGAGCATGAAGCAGAATCAAGCGGAGCAGATCAAATCTCATTTTCTTTTCGACATTTGACATTAATTGCAGCACTGTGCGAAAATTGTTGTGGCCTTTGGACGGGAGCAAGGCAGCAAGGCTAATCAAAAGCTCGTTGGCCTGACTGTCATTGGGAGACCGCCGCTTCAGATAGGCCGCAAAGTAGAGCGGCAAGAATGAACCACTGATCTCTTTAGATACCATTGGCTCTTTCGCAGCACAATCTATAGCTAGGCGAAGAACATGTGCAATGGACTTGCGGTCGTGAGATCTGCGTAGTCGAGTCAAGGTTGGTTGAACCAGCCCCGACATGACTTTGTCGCCATTGAAGTGCAGGACTGACTGATCACTAGCGATACGCTCCAGGACAATCAGACTGAAGCGGCGGCTGTTCTTGAATAGGTGCCTGTACTCGGTGATCTGTTTGCGTTTGCTCTCGTCGGCCTCAAAAATGGCCGTTAAAGCAGTTTCTTCATACGAAGGACCATGCACGGTGATAAACTTGCGTCCAGGCTTGCGATCTCCAGTGTCATCTAGCACCTTGTCGGCGGTGCACGAAGGCAACAGACGCCGGTAACACCATTTCAACGGACGTTCATCGGGATTTTGAGAATTGCCATTTCCTGTCAGGGTATCGTAGAGCTGTGTGACGGCTTGCTGGCGCTGTGTCAATCCGCTAGGGGCTAAGGCAGAGAAGCTGATGGTCTCACACATCGTGGAGACATGCTGGACGCTAAAAGTCGCCAACAGCTCTGACAAGCCTTGAACACCACCAACAGCGTCCCAGATGGCTGCAAATGTGTCGTCTTTTCGCAGCCACTTGCCGAATCGTCGGATGGCGGTAAGACGGGCGCAGTTGGAAACATCTTGGCGGAGGGCAGCTACAATGGCATCTGCACTCTTGCACACTCCCATCCAAACATGGAAGACATTGGGGGCTATCGAGCCGGACTCGATCGAGCTCAGGAGATGATTCGAAATGCTTTCCCAGCTGCGTGACTCGAGCTGCTTTTGCAGGAACCGAGCTTGTTGGGCTGGTGTATTGCTGCGAAGGATCTTGTTGTCGATGAGGGACGACATGACTGCACTCTAGACTCTAGTCCCTCAGCATGGCCAAAGGGAGGCGGTGGCAGAAATCAAACCACTCAATCGTCGAGACAAACGAGTGAAATGAGTTCAACGAATATCTGGGTAGGTATTACACACGGCAGGTACGCCTGATATTTATTCAAGAGCTGTCGGTCGAGGAAACTGCCAGCCAATTAATTGGACTGTTGGCTCCAGCTTCTCCAGCTTGGCTAGGTTAGTCTGTTTAGTCACGCCGAACAGGCACCACTCCGTCATTTTCGACAATCCTAAGGCTCGAACCCGGCGAGCTGAATTTAGTCATGTATGTTTTGTGGGGAATCGAGTGGCACAATGTACAAGGTATCATATGAAATTTGAATATTAATATGGCGCAATCTGTTGATGCTAGAAACAAAGAGGTGAAAGGTTTTTGTAGGTAGTGATCCGAACAAAGGCTACACCTTAACACAATATCTAGGATTGCATGTTGAGAACGATTACTAGGTGTAGGTGCTAGTATTCCACTCTGATAACTGTAAACACAGTACTAGAGCTCCGATAAATTGAGAATCCCCAACCAAACACGATCAAAATACATATTGCCAAAACAAGACTTGAAAACATTGAGCCAGACATTGATGGTGATGGTTGAAAATGAATTGCATTGCGCCTACCGTCTATATGTGTCATTATAATAACGCCTCTAAGTTCCCCATCTTTGTATGTCAATGTGGCTCGAGTCTATCATGAATGCGGTTTCGTCTAAAATCCAACGCACTCGCTACTTCTAAAGCCAGGTTCATTCATCCATTGGTTTTCTAAAAACCCAGGCCCTTTCATCTCAATTTCGCATGCACAGGTCGCCGTTTTTTTTGGTTTATTCGTCCTCTTCCTCTTCCTCTGTATGGCCATTACTCTTCATCATCAGTGTCAGCGGGGTGGGGAGTGCCCTTGGGGCTGTTGAGCCACTCAATGTGTCTCAAACGTCTCCGCACCTCCTGCTCCTTGAGCTCCTTCTTGGTCTTCTTCTTCTTCTTCTTGGCACGGAACTTTAGCGGCGTATCGTCCTCAGCGCCGCTGTTGACCGCACTACTGACAACACTGCTGGCTGCAGTGCTAGCCACAGCGCTGTTCAGCCCAGATCCCGGTCGCGAATCTTCGAGGGAAAGCATGTTGGCGCCCTTAATGACCATCTTTCCATCGTTGACATGCCACTGCTCGTTGGACAGGGCGCCAACAAACTCCTCGTTGTGAGAAATCATGACGACACCACCCCTGAAGGTTCGAATGGCCATAGCAAGACCACCCATCGAGTCTCGGTCCAAGAAGTTAGTAGGCTCGTCCAGAACCAACAAGTGGGGGTTGTTCCACATGGCACCAGCAATGACAACCTTGACCTTTTGTCCTCCGGACAGCGAGCCAATCTCGTTGTGGTTGGCGATCTCGGGATCAAGACCAAGATCCTCAAAGTGCTTCGAGATGACCTTGGGCTGCAGCTCACGATAACCGAGACCCTCACGAGATGCCTCGTGGTCGTCGAACTCTTGAATGAGCTTGTCAAAGCCCCACTCAAGAAGTGTCTCGCGAGAGACTTGTGTGTTGTACTTGGGGAGCGTGAATCTCCATTTTCTGGACATTTTGGTCAGCAGGACTCATTCAACGCGGCTGAAAGAAAAGCTTACACTTCGTATTGGAAAGACTTCTTCCACTTTTGTCGACCGACCAAGGCCTCGATCTGCCTCTCGCCCTTGCCATCGCCAAGATCGATTTTCTTGTCCATCTGCTCCTTGTCCTTGTCGGAAAGGATACGAGTCTGCTTCAAGAAAACTTCGCGGTCGTCTCCATTGGCGTATCTCCATTGTAGGTACTGGTTAGGCGTCTTCTCGAGATGCATTTCGACGTGCTCCAGGGCGTGCTGCTTGATGTATCCGATACGCAGGTTGGGGTGCTTCTCAACGCGTCCGGTGGTGGGAACGGTCTCGCCAGTCAACATCTTGATCAAGGTGGATTTACCTGCACCGTTCGGGCCAATGACAGCAATTCTCGAAGATAGAGTGAGTCGGCAAGAGACGTCGGAAAGTTGGACCTTGGTAGCGCCGGGGTACTTGTAAGAACAGTTGGACATGCGGATGATAGCGGCAGTCTGCGACTTGACTCCACTGAGGATACCCGGAGGAGGGAACTTGAACTGCACCGTCGTGGCGGCAAGCTCATAGTAGGCCTTGGCCTCTGGCTTTACCTTGACAAAAGCAGCCAGGTTACCCTTGTAGCAGGCAAGCTTCTTGCCAGGCTCGTAGTGGTAGATGTCAGTGGTGACGTTATCCAAGAATCCAGAGTCGTGGGATACGATCAAACTGGTAATCTCAGTGTGCGTCTTGAGGTAGTTCTCGAGCCATGCGATGTTTGCAACGTCCAAGTGGTTAGTAGGTTCGTCCAGCAAGAGAACGTCAGCCTTTTGCAGCATGGCCCTAGCCAGAGCCAGCTTCATCTTCCAACCTCCAGACAAGGACCCAACCTTCTCGGACTGGCGACCTTCAGGGCCAGCAGTGAAACCGAACTCGGCCAAGACTTCCGAGATACGTTCACGACCTTCCGATGCAATAGTAGGATCTTTGACCATAAAATCCAGGATGGTGATGTCAGCATCCTCACCCTGGTTGTGCTCCACATAACATGTTCGCAAAACGTCCTGGGGCGGGAAACCTTCTAGCTTGCCGTTGGCAATACTCTTCATCAAAGTAGACTTTCCAGCACCGTTTCGGCCGCAGAGACCGTACCGGTGACCCTTGAGAAGGCGCAGGTTGGTGTGAGAAAGCAGAAGCATACCACCGTATGCCAGTGAGAAGTCTGCGTTGACGATCTCAGTCTCGCCGTCGTCCTCCTTTTCCGGAACTCCGTACTTGCGCTGGTCCTCCTCGAGGAAGTGTTGCTGGACTGCGGCGCCAACAGGCTCACTGGGCTCGTTCTTCATGGCGTCCTTCAGGTAAGGGGCAATTCTATCCTCAATGCGCTGGATCTGGCGGTGGTTGACGTCCTCAACAACCATGTCGCAAATGTAGACACGCTCGTCTTCGGCAATGACATCCAGTGGACCGACAGCCTTCTTGATCTCAGGGCCAAGAACCTTCCAGACATCATCCACGCTCGTTCTCTCGACGACGGCCTCGTCGTTGCTCATGGCTTTGTCCATGACGTCGAGGGCCCGCTGAGCCAGTTCACGCACTTCGGGAAGAGATGCGCGGTCAAGAACACTCTTGACACCAGGCTGCAGCTTAGGCAAGAAAGTACGAGCCTCGATAGGATCGTGCACAAGCTTGGTCAAATTCTCGGTAATAACGACACTCTGGCGAAGGACTTCCTGAGTTGTAGATGGGTTGTTGAGAGTACGCTCCAGGAAAGGGGTAAGGAGCGCAAGAACGGGCGAAGTGACGATAGCGACAAAGGTTGTCTGAGACAGGGCGTGGATAGCCTTTTGCAGGGTCTGCGTCGAGGGGTGGTGCATGGTGTCGATGAGTAGAGGGATTCTCGGGGCAACATCATCGTTGGAGAGCAGGGCGGTGAGAGATGTCATGGTGGCAACGGCTTGCTTCTCGACCTCGGCCTTGAGGTCGTGCATGTCTCCCTCGACAATGGGGATGAGACTAGCAAGCTTGGCACCCATGGCCTCGCGAAGCAGGTCCTTCTCCAATGCCTCCTCCTTTGTGCATCCAATTTCCATCTTGGACTTGTCAGCGATCTTCTGAATCAGCTTGAGAGCGCCGACACGTCCTTGCCACTTGCCCGTCTTCTTGGAGAGATAGGCAGTGAGAGCAGGAAGTAGACCGACGACGAGGGCCTCGGCGCCCAGGCAGCGGAAGAGGGCATCGAGACCATATTGGGCAGCATCGCGCACGACGGCGCCCTTGTCGGAGAGGGCATCCAGAGCGCAACCGACCACACCATCTTGACGGCGGAGGAAGGAAACTTCACTCAGACGCTGCTTGGGAGTGATCCTTTCCAGGAGCGCACCGAGAAGGTTCTGAGCAGACTCGCGCTCGAGACCGCTCTTCTTGTTGGCGGCGCCAGTCTTGACCCTGTTGAGGACACCATATTCAATCAGACCCTGGTAGCCAACCGTGTTCAGGAGTTCGTCGCAGAGGGCGTAGGCTCGCTGGATGGACTCGTCAGAAGTCTTTGCGTTGAAGATGCTCTCGAGGAGTTCGACAAATGGCGGGGGAGGGGCCGACCCCGACTTCGATATCATTATCGGCGGCGATACGGGGTGAGGCATCGTGAACGAGTAGTGCGAATGAACGCAGCAGGAAGATGGGGAAACTTTTGAGGGGCAAAATCGAGTCTTTTTGCAATCAAGACTCGGCGCTGTGTACCAAAGATACAATCAGCAAGCACCCAGAAGAAGCCCGTCAACCAGGGCGAAAGTAGGGAAGGAAAATAGAATAATGTGAACAGAAAAGAGTTTTTTTTCGAAAATGGGAATCTCACTGCGCCAAATGTCAGAAATGCGAAATGTCAGAGGGGCGCCGCTTATCTGACAGGCGGCGCAATGCATCTGCCCCTCGAAATTTTTTTTTTCTCCCCTTCCCTTATCGGCGTTTGGGCAGACACATAGGAAAAAACGGATACGCCCCGGCCCCTCGCTTGGAGGCCTGGGCTTCGTCTTAGTTCGGGGCCAATAGCCAGCTGTGGTAGGTGGCTTTTCAGCGGCGGCCCACTAATGAGAAACACTAGATAATGATGGAGAGCGCAAGTGACGGCATGTTCTTTTAGTGGCCCGGGATTGGCTGGTTTTAATGTTGGTAATCCAACTGCATGTCTGAGAGGCATCTGGCGATTGATGCGTACGTAGGGCGACAGTGTCTTTTATTACTGACACCCATGAAACCTTAAGATCGAAGCAATACGCAGATAACCAATACAAAGATTGACTAGTTTTGAAGCGCGGCTTTGGTGTTGAACATCTTCCTCCTTGTTCGAAGCCACGAGATAAAGCAGCACTGAATTGAAACACCGAGGTATCTAACCTAGTACCTGATGCACCAAAACCGTCACATGCTCATTCCTCGTCCGAGTCCTGGGAAGATACACGTTGGGGTATCTATCTAGGTACCTTCGCTCTACCTTGGTAATCCGATCCATCCAGGTCCGCCTTCCTGGAATGATTGCAGCACGGCAGATCCATCAAAAAAAGCCTCCAAACGCCCGACGATGCTTTCTAAAATAAAAAACCTCACAATATTCCCCGATTCCCGAAGTCTTGTGCCTCCATCCCAGATGCCGCTAGAAAAAAAATACAATGATCCCAACCCGATTCTATTCGCGAGAGGCCGATACCTGTGCTGATGCGCGCCCATATCATTTCGAGCTGTCTTTCGCACCAGGTATCAAGCCATATGATACACCTGAGCCTCCTTGTCAATATTTCCAGGTCCATAATCCCTCGACTTGAACAGTATTTGCTGAAGGAGCTGAGAAAAAAGCCTCGGCAGTCCACCACTGCCCCGGAGCTGTCGCGCGAATGGGAGAGTGGCAACTGAACACAAGATCCTATAAACAGGATCCACAAGAGCACATCTTCGTGAAGTTCGTCCTGGGCCTCGTTTCTCAACGAGCCGGGCGTGCTGTCCGATGGGGAGCTGTAATATCCTCTATTTCCTGTCCGCCATTCCTGTATCGTCGGCCCGCAAAGAGCTGCATTGCTTCTCCGGTCGCTAGACGTTGATGGTGTTGTGTCCACGAATAGGTTGAGGCCGACGACGACGCTGTAAAGACTGCCCATCAACGATTCGACAAGGTATCTGTGGCTTGGTGCTTGTGGAGGTTGTGCTCGCAATGCCATATGCAGGTACAGATGGCTAGCATAGACCAATGCATCCGACAGGTCCATTGGCTTGTTGTATGCCATGGTTAAACTATTTTCATTCGTCTCAACCGGCGAGACCTGCGAGATTCTGTGGCTGTGAGACCGAATCATTTCCTCCAAACTGCACAGACTGTACTCGACCATATATATGCTGTCGCTAATTCGTCCCCGCTCCATTTTGAGGCTTTCTAGCTTTTCAAACTCAAAAGTGTTTACCGCTTGCGTTATCGAAAACATCAGCTCAAACAGGTCAATGGCCTCACGATTGTGTATGACGAGGCCGCCATCGAGGTGACTTGGTGCTAGGGCGTTGATCATCATGGACCGCGATACAAAACGATCGCAAGTGTCGAGAGCTGGTTCTAGTGTTGGTATGAAAGAAAAGGATAGCGGGCTTTGCGAAGCGGTTGCATAAGCAAAGTCGGCCCACGCCAGCGCGCGCTGAAGGAGAAGAGTGTGTCCAAAGACTTCGATACCGCCACGCAACTCCACCATTTTTCTCAACCCCTTTAAATGCGCCGCTGCCGCAGGGAGTGAGCCAATAAAGGCCTCGACGTGGACCAGCAGGGCTACGGATACGATGACGGCATCCGAAACCGTAGCATCACCCTTTCCCTCGACCACCAGTCGTTTGTTGATAGACTTGATGGTCTCATACCGATGGAAGTCTATCGTCGTCATATCGTCCCAGTCAACCAAGGCACAGTGCATCGCCGCTGCCAGGCCCATGAATCCGTGAGTCATGGCTGGGTCGATAGTGATCTTTCAAGGAAATCGTGAGCCATGACAGAAGGACATGCCCCTGATAGAGAACTTACAAAATCAAACCAATCTCCATCCGGGTTCATGGCGTGGCCGAGGGCTAGAAAACTGGAGCGATAAGTCTTGATATATTCTGGCGTATCATTTTGATCAAACCATTGCTGCACAAACTTTCCCTGTGCTGAAAGACATATACTCGTCATCCATCTGAACAGCTTTTCCGTTAGAGACGTTGTTCGGATGGGCAGCACAGAAAATGCAGGCAGATGTGACGCCACGATGAGGCCAAGTCCGTTGTCAGTTGGCATGTCGCTCTGGTAACCATCCTGCCTCTGCTCAATCTTGATTTCACTGATGAGTTCATCATAGGTGGTCCCTTCTGCATCAGTTGACGTCGGACTAGCTGCTGGGAGCAGATGCTGTGAATCTGTGGGCAAATGTGTCGATGAGGTGTCGCTAGGGCTTGCCTCGCTTCGAGGAGAAGAAGACTTTGGTGGTGTATATCTATGGGCAGATGACGAAGGCCTCTGATTCACCCGAAATTTGGAAACACGTTCCTTCTGAGATGCTCTCTTTGGCGTTGCAGACTGTCTCGCCGAAGGCTCGTTGGGTAACTTCTGGCGCCTTGCGTGTGACCGTACTCTTTTCCTCGTCTCATCATCCCGCTTGATTGTATTCACCGAGGTGATGAACTGAAAACCAGTGACTCCCATTGTTGTCGGCGAAGTCATGGTTACCTGTTGCACATGGCATCGAGTCTATGTTGTTGAAGACCCGAGATTGCCCAGCTGCCTCTTGCCACGGGTCGAAGGCGCTTATCGGGGATATTTGAAGGTACCGGAAATAGAATAAGTCTACAGATGACGGAGAGACGCTGGGGACACCCAAGGGCCTCTTATTGGTTCTCTACGGCCAGGCCATCACGGGGGAGGCACCGCCTCAATAAGTATGCATGTTGAGCTTGAAAGTTGCATTGGACGGCAATGCAAGGATCGCCGCGACCACTTTTCTTTCGCTGCTACGCACCCGCACTATTGCGCACAAGTCTGGTCGCATCCGGCCTGCCGAACACCCCCCATCGAGGAGCAATAACGCCTACCAGGCCTACCTTGACCCTTGGCCTACCTGGGTTGGGTTTGGCAGATCGCCCATGTCAGCACTTGGGTGGGTGCCCCTAGGGGCTTGATCCAGTGATCCCCCCCACTAACGGGCGGCAGCAACACCCCGAACGAACGGCTTATAATATCATGACAGGGCTTACCTGGTAGATACTCCCACTTCATTACATAGTCGTATCTGATCTGGCCGCCCGCATCAGCCTGCCATCGAGCCCAGAACTCGACAGCAAAAAATCATTTCGCCTAATCTTTCCTGGTAGTTTCCGTAGAATCAACTCAGTTCGGCTGAAGACTCTCAACCGAGTTACTGGGGGATGGCTTCATGGGCATGTCCGACCTCAAACCCACACGTCACTTTGGTGAAATACTGACAGAGCATGTAGGTACTGCAAGCAAGGTTCTGCCTCCTGCGGCGTGTCCGGACCAATTGGCAAGTAACAGAATCCTACCAACGGCCATGCCTATTATAGCACTGTGGTCTCTTCAGTTGCATTTCGCCGCGGGAGGAACATGTTTTGCCCCCGACTTGCGATGAAAATGTTTCGTTTCAATTGTCGAAGGAAAAAAGAAAGAAAAGAAACAACTGGCACAGTAGTTGCAGCCGAGTTCGTCTGAACTCTTCAACAAGACAGGCATCACAGACTGCAAGGGTCCAATGTTCAGCTAACTCAATAGTACACGCCAATCTCATTGTCCATTTTAGGAAATGTTGATTTTTCTTCGGCCCAGATCGTGCCCGGGACGCTAAAGTGCATCGCCCCCCCAGCCTGTAGTATCGCCAATTCGACAACCTCCATCGCGCGCGATATGGCGGCTATCGCTACGGCTGACATAAAATCTCCGAATTCCAGATCAAAAGGTTTGTAATCATTTGACATTGTGGGCGTCTCTTTTGCTACACGGCGTGCCCCTTGCATGATGATATTGGGGCCTCTGGAGGATAGCCCTGGTCAGGATGGCTGTTCGTCCAACGTCGAGCATGTGAAGACTAGGCACTCCATCATTCAACTTCCCAGGGTCAACATCATGACCCCATTCGAATTACATCGAAGATGCGATTCTCACCAAAGAAAAGAAAAATCCCCCTTCGCTTGCTGGATCTCTGACGGTGGATTGACTGCACGTTCTGCTCAATGTCATGGAATTAAACGGCCCCGTGGAAGCATAGCCATTATGTCTATATTTAAATGATATGATCGCGATCCTTCGGAGTAGTCAAAAGAGGCTATGCCTTTTCCCGAACTCAACTAAACATTGGCTTGTCTACCAGCATGTTTCATGGCATGGAACGAGACCATAACAGGAATATAGTACTCCAGTTACCGATTGGCGACTAACAAAGAGTCGAAAGAACAGCAGGGCTACAGGCTGCGATGAAGACGCACCGAACACCGACATCAATGGTTGGCTCAAGCTCGAACATACATGCTTGACATTCTCTCCAGCGGCAACCGCTACAGTCATCCTAGGTTGTCTCAGCGAGGCTCTAGGTGGTGGTGTCCGCCTACTATTGCAAATCTGCTGTCAACACGCTTCTGCCGCTCGGCTGCGTCCGAAAGGAGTGTGGTCATATATGCATGGAAGGTCAAGCGCATGAACGGCGATCGTCAAGGTTGAAAATCCTTGAATATACTGCTTGCTGCAAGAGTACTGTAACGTTTCTTAGGCATGCCTGTAAATGATTTCACCCGCAAGGTTGCCTAAGATGTCACCGAGAAAGAAACCCCCAGGCTCTCCTCGAAGGGGCCAACGGCCAACGCCCTGCGTCACTGGACGTTGCACCACAAGGCTTCGACATGATCATTCTGCTGGATCATGATAACAGCGCAATGGGAAGGTGCGAATACTGCAAGACATTGGTCTCGGGACAGCCTGGTAGTGATCACAGGCTTTGGACGTTGCTTGGTGGGGAACTCTACCATCTTCCATGCAGATAGTGCTGACAGGAATTAAGATTCCGTGCCCTTGACCCGCAGAGCTAGACAGATCACTTCCGGAGCAGCCTGTCGCTCTCATTGAGGAGTCAGTCCTGAAACATTTGGGCTTAATAGACGACGTGCTCCTCCGGAGACGCCTAGGCGAATACTGGAGTTTTATATTCCGTCCAAAACTCGACGTAGTAAGCACCAATGTGCTTTCACTTGCCTGTGGAGTCCGGACCTACCTTTGACGATTTCTAATTATTTTTGTCTCGCATCAAAAGGTGACTCTATTAAAACTCCTACTGATCAGTTCTCTAAATACTCTCCATAGTCGAGGGAATCCTCGGGGTATGCCCTTGTCCTGGTCTATGCGTGGACCCAGTGGAAACGGGGCAACTTTTAGACTACTTGGCTACGGGTCTTCGCATGTTGCCCAATCACTGAGATTCTATCAGTCTGGGGTATGGCGAATGCTATTAGCATATGGAGATTGTTTGCGTTGACTACAAGTCTTGCATGGAGACAGTCATGTTCGTTGTGTCAAGCCTCCCGCGCAAGATGAGGGACCAGCCATCCCACTTACACACCACCACCATCTGGGAACGAGACCCCAAATCGAATAGACACACGCCACATGATCTTTGAGTGGTTGTGTATTTTGCTGGTGTGGTCTACCTACACGCCTGGAGACACATTCACCACAGTGGAGTGGCCGCAATCCAGTGCACGAGCCATGGATTGATCCTGTGATATGCGGCCGCCTGCATATTGAGACCCCCCTAATGACGCGAGATGTTTCTATCTTTACAACGATCCTAGCCAGTGATTTGGAAATTCCCGCCGTTGAACTAGTGCAAAACCTGGTGAAGAAGAAAAAGTGTGGAGAGCCGCTGCAAGTTGCTCAAAGGATTGACCGAAGTTCACCTGCCTTGGCATGCAGAGAAGGCTATCAGAAATGACCTTCCGTCTTTTGTCAGTCTATCGGTCGCTCAAGACGATTCCGCAGACTAGTTGCTTGTCTTGTTACCGATCGAACAAGTGATAAGATACCATGTCAGGTTACAAAGTGGTATGCTCGCATGTCGATCGGAGCCTTTGGGAGTATCTACTGGGTTGATCTACCTGCCTTTGCGCCTGTATGTCTCGGCAGGCATGTCGCTCTCATAGGACTCATGACAATCAAAACGATCATTGGAGGATCAGAGGACCAAAAAGACTGGGGCAGATTCTCATCACTTGGAGATATGATGACATGTTGAATTGTCAGTGCTATCTATTCATATGCAAGAGTCAAACTTCCGAAACATTACCAATGAAGGAAACAATATGCAGAGACAAGAAGAAAAGAAATACATGAAAGGTATCCCAGAGGCAGTGTATCCAACTTGCGAAGAAGACGGCCCCATAGCGCCTAAAAGCATCCTTCACGTTCTAAAGCCTGGAGTGGGATCGGATGCAATGATTGGATGGTATCACTCAGGCAAAACCGAGTCTTTCACTTTGCGATGACTCCATGATGGACATGAAATCGTACCCGAAAACTATATATTTGAAAAGGTGAGTGTGGCCATGTAACCTAGTACCAAGTCGGCGGCCCATCTGCCCAATGTCGGAGCACTACCATGTCAAGAGTCAGTAACATTTCCTTTCAAATATTCGAATGCGCAAAGAGGAGGCTCTGGGGAGCATGTTGGAGGCCCAAGATTGAAGAGCCAACATACTGCAAACGGCGACATTCGCCCCTTTTCTTCCTCTGTCTTTTTTTTTTTTTTTTTTTTTTGCTTTTGCTTTCAAGTGAAGATGAAGTGTATGGTATGCTAGGTAAAAGGAGAAATGGGAAAAGGTTTTGCTTACTGTTTTCAATTGCCTGCATCCATTCCCATTCAAAGCACGCACCTAGCTGGTCGGCCTCTTCTTGCGACGGGTCGCGTCCTCCCCACATCTCCCTTTTCCAAGCCTCGTTGTTGGAGTAATGCGGTATGAGACCACTATGAATTGATGAAGGGGTTAGCAGATTGTACTCGAGTACACGCTGGCTTGAAACATCCGAACAGCTTGTTCGGGTAGCTATAGGTGCAAACATTCCAACATGAGAGACGAGATTGGAACAACAAGATTGACAATGAAATAGAATATGAGGGGGAGTGAAAGCAGAGGTAATACTAAAGGGAATTAAAGGGAAATGTTGGAAACTCACTCATCTCGTATCTTGATCAAGCACAACCACGCCATGTTCCAGCTCCGATTCGACCCGGGGTCGCTCCGCACGCGGCGGACGGCCTCGGCGACCACGTCGGCGCTCATGGGGTAGTTGGGCGTGAGCCCGCGCAGCTCGACGAGGAACTGGTTGCCGACATAGTAGGACCAGGCGCTGGTCATGGGCGCCTGGAACGCCAGGGCCTCTTCCTCGGATTCGCAGCTCGCCGCCACTCTTTCAATGCGCCGCAGCTCCGTGAGGGTGTTGACACGGTGCGTCCGTAGTGACTCGATGAGTTGGGCATTGGAGGACTGCCGGGGGACAAGGTTGGAGGAGATTAGAACAATGAAACGGTCTAGATGAGATGGAAGGGAAATGTTCGTGGGCTCGCATTGCTATTGCCTCTGGTATGTTGTAGGCAGATGGAAACCCTCATGCTTGAATGTTGCCACGAGACTTTGAGAGGATAAGATACGAAGTAGAAATCAATACTTACTTGACTCGATCGGCTCTTCTTCCCGCTGTGGGAACTCCGACCTGACCTCGACGACATGTTTTTCAATGTGATGATTGACTTGTGAGTTTATAACAATGGTTTGGTAGAAGTTGAAGTGGATGGCTGGTAATGAAGCAATTCCGGCGCTGGAGGGTGTGGACTTCCTAATATATATGCTGGCAACTGTCTCGTTTCTCGTTTTCTGAAATTTTGAGATACTTGGAAGGTCCCGGAATGTGATTCACTCAATAGCTTCTCAGTCCTGTTCATGAATCGGCGGCTTCTGTCGAGTTCGGACTCGGATTGCTAGTCATCTTTGAACGTTTTATCCTCGAATCTGCAGCACTCGTAACCGTTCTAGACTCGATTGGACTGCAAAGAACTGCGTCTTTACCAGCGATTTCATCACAATCTCTTCTGCATGACTGCTGTCAGCAATCCTGTGGTGATCATCTGATATTATTTCGTCAGGCAGGAAACTGATTTGTGGTGGGATTGCCAGGTATGAAGTACTTTCAGAGAGTACAAGTCTCTCTGAATCTTTGATGAAGCAGGTTCAGCAGGCAGAACAGGCGTATATCATCTGAATCCAGAATGCTAAGGGCGCCAAGGGATACAGCCTAACCTGGGATCAACCTTCGTTGACTTGGTGACGATCGCGTTGAGGATGGCGAAGACATCAAAATGCCCATCGTGGCCTTTATTGGCGAACATTCTGGCAATGCAACAACGTGATTGAAGTAGGATTCCTACTCTATGAAGGATAGTGGCTGTCCTTGTAGACCAATGTGATCCGATCGAGTGCTTTATGGAGATTTCAACATTACCGCTTTGAATATCCCTTGTTCAATGTGGATCGAGTCAGTCATGGTGTTGAGGCTCATTGCTGCTACAGCGATGGAATCATATCATGCCAGCTAGCTGGGTATGGGAGTCACATCCATGTTTTGGCAGTCCCGAACTTAATCAGCCGTTCCTATTGGCTCATTTGCGCGGTTGAGTATTTCGAGTCCAATTCCCAGTTGATATGGACAGCGGCATATATCAAAAGGCAGAAGTGATCTACGAGACAACATTGAAATCGCGGAATTAGCCATCGTGAGATTTTAGCAAGGAGCCGAGCCATCCTCTCGGGACCGTTGATGGGCGCCACCAGGAAGAAGCACTGTATTCTTTCATTAATTTATTGTTATTGTTGTTACTAACAGGCTTGTTGCAGGTATTTGACGCAGATAATCGCGACCTCTCCTTGTGATTATTGCCACATGATGGAAAGCCCATGGTCGAGTATCAGATCATAACCTCTAACCTGGGCTCCATTCTGTATGGAACAGCCCTATGGTGGCTGCGCTAACAAACATATCATGTTGTTATTACCAACAGTGTGGATGCATGATTTATGATTCAGAACCACCAAGCCACGATGGGAGCAAAATGGGTTGTATGTCGGTCCCCCGCCGCGATCGGGGCCAGCCAAGAGTATGACGAACAATAGTCATTGAGAGGTGGCCGCTTCGGCTCTGCCACCTGACTCGGGCAAATCCATCTGCCTAAACATGTGCCTCACGCGTGGCGCCTATAGCGACTCTTGTTATTGTTGGTATGATCTGTATTGAGAGTGATGTCGAAATCTCCAAAAACCCTAGTAAATTGCTGACAATGGCGTCTGGCAGGAAGATGTTGGGTTTTTATGGGTAAGGTGAATATGCCCTTTCCGGCAAGGGGGTACGGGGTGCTCATGCCTGGGGGATTTGTCTGTTTGGCTACGTGCTTGGAAAAAAAAAAAAGCTTCAATCAAGGCAAGGTCTATCAAGCTCATCTGTTCGATACGTTATGATTGACTTCATCTCATGCCTGAGTTGATTTGCTTAACGACGATTGGGGCCCATGCGCGTGCTCAAATTTGGCATAGAGTTTCAAAGGAACCAGTAAGCGTGGCTGGCTATAAAGGATCACTTTCGGCAATAGTAATGCAGGGTGCCAATCATCGCCCGACAGGGAATCTTGGCTTTTCCGATGCAACGTTCCTTGTCCAAAAGACCAGATGGAGATTGAAGTTCAAGTTTTGGTTGCTTTCGTCAATCATATCGGCCTGAGCATAGTACGAGTTGATTACTTCAGATCTATACATGATCCTTTTTATGTCCGAAACTAAGATTGATGCCGAATAAAAATCATTTGAAAGGATCACGCCTTGACACAATGGGCCGTGGCTGTAAGCCTAGTGATGACACTTGGCCAATGATCATCGTGGCTGTTCCGCCATGGCAGTCGGGGATCACCTAAAGTGAGGCCATACGGCACACATGAGACGAGGTGGCAAAAATGGATCTGATTTGGACTGATACTTTGTTCTGCTGCTCATCAGAGAACTGTTCTAGAAAGACAGTGCGAATAGCTCATCTAGCGGAACGCGGCATGACCGCCATGATCATGAATTAATCAGATATCACCGAGCTTCCTCATCTTCCGAGTGGTCGTCTTCCTCTTCATATCCGTCGTCGGTACTCTCCAATCCTTCAGCATGGATAGCATAGCTGCCTAACCAGCCGGCGAGCGATATCCCTGCAAAGAGGCCCCATGCCAACGCCTCACCTTTGGGCTGCACGTTGATGGAGAGCGAGAAGAGACTGCCCGAGACAAAGGGCCCGAAGCTTCGACCAGCAGCCGAAAGAGTTTGCGCAATACCCTGCAACGTGCCCAGAGTGGCATGAGACGGGGCAGAATTGGTGATCTGGAGAACATTAGCAAGATAGTCCTACATGAAGATCCATGAACGTCTAAATCTGTGAAAGCTTACCAACAACATGACGCTCGAAAGCCCTCCGACGGCGCAAATGTTTTTGATGACCAGAATGAAGCCCATTTCCACATACAACCAAATCTTGCTATCTCCGAAGCCGAACGGAGGCGAAGACTCTCGATATCCGACCCAGGGCATAAGGGCCATGCTGATGGCGAATCCGAGTAGGGAGCCTCGATAGGTGCCAAGATTTCCCAACTTGGCCTTGATTGGTCTGAATGCGAAGAGTTGGAACAAGATTGTAAAGATTCCGGCGACAGAGAGTGACACGCCAATGACATCCGCATGCAATCCTCTGCCAGTCGGAGGTTTACCAGATGCAAAGAGCGGGTACAGACTGCTGAATGAGATGTTGGAGACTTGGAATACAAGATATGTAATCAACAATAGTATTGTGGTGCGGTTGGACAATTGTCGCCATGTGGCCGGATCCGAGGGGCCTTTTGCGTCGTCATCATCTTCGGCATCGTCTGAGCTGAGCAAACCGCTTTGCTCATCTGTCCCATCTAAAGCTCTACCATTTTGACCCTCTGGCGAATTGTCCAACGAGTGCTTCAGCTTGTTTTTTGTCCTCCTCATGCAACAACACAACCAATGCAGTTTCTCTTGCCAATCTGGCGCTGCTCCAGGCTCCTCCAGTGTTTCTTTGAACCAAAAGAACAGAACAATAACGCTTAGAGCTAGCAGAGATGCCCCCATAATGTTGGGTGCCAGGAACGGGTATGTGTCGCCAGCCACTTTGCCGACGAGCAGGCCACCGAGCGCAGGTCCGGTAATGCTGCCCAAACTGTAGACTACAGGCAACCAGGTAAAGGCTTTGCTCTGGTTGCTTCGATCCGTCAGTTCGCCCAAACATGTCGGTACGACTGCAGCATTGCCGTTCAGCAGCCCCATGGCCACATGCACCAGAACAATGTGCCAATATCGCGTGCAAAAGCCAAAGAGCATGAAGCAGCCGCACAACAATGACGTTCCCATGAGCATTACTGGTTTCCTGCCTATTATGTCGGAGAGGTATCCCCAGAGTAAATTTGTGGTAAGTTGTGCGAGTGCGAATGAAGACGCGAGCAGTCCAACGTATACGCCCACCCTCTCACTGTCGACGCCGGGGAAGGATGCCACCATGGCAGGCAAGTATGGCGATATCGAGTTGAGGGCCGTCTGCTCGGCCAGCGACAGAAGGGCAAGAAGGGCCAGCTGGGAGATTGGCAGAGGCGTGGCCGAAGAGTGCGCATCGGCGTTGAGGGAGGTGGACGAGGACGAGTTGGATTCGCGGCCTCGGTGGCCGGCGGTCTTGGGGGGAGGTGTCGGAAATGTGTGATAGTGCTGGGTCGTCGACTGCCTCCGCAATGTGCCAGACTTGCGCAGCGTGGACCGCAGAGTCGGCAATGGCGAGCCGGCACGGAATGAACCTCGCGATGTGAGCCGGGCAGGCGGCCGAGCCCTTCGGTTCTCCATGGTTTCGGGGCAGTCTGGGTTGTTGTCGTCGGTTCGGCGGGGAACTGCTTGTAGCTGCTCACTCGGCGCGGGGGACTTGAACGTCCGGGCGGGAACGTTTCTGAGGCGATTGGCCGGAGATCAAGTCGACATGTAGTTTTTTTCAATTCCCAATCTTGGAATCTTGTCGCATGCAATTGCTTTCCCCGATTGACGTTTTCGAAAATCGCTAGTCGGTAGAGTGTCGTTTCGTTTCCTCCACTGGTGGTTGGGGGTACGTCAGAGAGCTAGTCAAGGGCGGACCAATACCGGAAGCTCTCTCAAGCAGTAGGTAGTAAACGATGCCGTCACTAAACGATCGGCACTAGGTACCTAATGTATCTTAGATCTCTCGCTGCGGGTCGCTGCTTTTCTAGGCGATGCGAGCTAGCTAGCGATGAATCGTGGCGCGTCAACAGTACAAGCTCTCGTCGCTACTTACAAAGACAGAAAGGAAGGAAAAATGTGAGTTCAAATCATTAGAAAGCTTGGAAGATATAAACAAAACAAAGGAGAGTGAAGAAAAAACTTCTCATCTACTAATCCATTTGCCCACTTTCAAGCAGGGCTCTTCTGCCAGTAACATGCGAGGTAATTCAGAGCAAAAGCAGGCGGGGCTCAAGTCGCGTGGGACAAGGCGGAATGCTGATGACCTTTGCAATTCAAATGCTTCTCTTTGGCTACAAATTATTGACAGTCGCTATTCGCTCGCTCGCTCGCCTAAGTTAGTGTAGTAGTGTACAGGCTGGTCTGGTTACAGCACCATGTCCGTCCGTCCCGCCCTGCCACCATGCCATGGTTAGTTGCCAGGCTTCTTTTTTTTTTTTTTTCTTCCTCCCCTCTCCCTCCCCTTCGGCCAGGTCTAGGTCTGGCATTGCTAATCGCCGCTCTATCACCGAGGTCGTGCGAAGTCGCGCGATTGGGGGATCTTTTGCTCCGGCGTTGTAACCTTAATAGACGATGCATTTGCCAATTCTTCTTCAACTTCAGCATTATATTCTCAAGTCGCTCATACGGTTCGTGCGTAGTTGGACTCTTCAACACTAGATCCCCATTCGCATTTCACCCAGACTTGCGTTTCCTCCATTGTTTGTGACTGCATGTTAGACGGACATGGAACAACCTACTCCTCGCTAGGCGCATCACAAAGGACCACGCGCGCAATAGCACCGACGGCCTGCAATTTCATCTTAAATTACATTATGACTGCTGCTACTTGCGCGTACTGTGGGCGCGAGCAATCACTCATCATCTGCAACACAATCATAACTGCCATTTCATCCTCTCATTCTGCTGCTTATTCTACCAATCAAAGTATCCAGTCGTTGTACTGGACGTCTCAATGCGGTAGCTTCTGCTACGACTTCATTCAACAATTCTAGCGCCCGGGGCTGTGTTGATATGTCACGTCTCTCGAGCTCAGTGACGCGGTCGGAAAGCCGGGCAGGAATATCTTGCAGCGTCGCCGAGCGTCTCCTGTAGCGACACACTCTTTCCTTTTCTTGATTCAGGCGTGTTCTGGTCTTGGCCAGTTCTGATTCCAGCACCTCGATCTGCCGGATAAGCGCCATAACGTCTCGGGTAGTGTAATCCTGCTCCTCATGGCTGCCGAACCGCGAGAGAGCCCTCTCTAGCAGTTGCGAGAGGCTGGCGTGCTCGAGCCACCACCGACCAATTTGATCCACATGATTGCCCCTTGCGTCGTGGTCCCGGTTGGCGTGCGGAGCCAGGTGATGCCGCCACCGGTCGTAGGGACTTGTTTCCGGCGTGAAACGAGGTGCCGCTTCCGAGAAGACTCGTGCCGAGCTGGACGCGCCCAAAGACCCTGACACTCCGGATCTACGGCGAGATTGCCGTGTTCCAACGTCAGCCCGGTTGCTCTGCCAGCTTTGCCGACTTGACCTTGGACTGTATTCGTTCGTCAAAAGACAGGATCTTCCAATTGGTGAAATGAATCTTAGAGATACTTACCGCTCTGTAGAGACATGAGAGCGACGAGAGCGACTTGCACAATTCCCCATGCCAACCGATATATCAATACTTCCGCTTAATGCCAATGACAATCTTGAGAAAGTAGTTGGTCCGTCATTATAAGTTTTGACGCTGTCCATCTACTCATTGACGCTGTAGTTCATGTCCAAGACTCCAGGAGATATGTTTCGGGTACTGGTGTGAAATCCAGTCTAAACTTCGCATTCATTAGAGCATTCATGAGAAAGGTTTCTCTTCATTTTAGACACGCCGCCTCAGCGATAGCGCTGAGAAGAACACACAGACGAAGGATTGACTTGTGCTCCGTTTATTTTTAAGCTGTTGACATGCTTGTCTCGTTAAGCCATCGCCGTACCAAGACCTCCATGAGTGAAGCCAGGCGATATCTCTGTTCGGGAGTGGGGAAGTGGAACAGCCGTATGTTGAGACAGTCCCCTATAACATGACAAAGAAATGTTGCGGTGAAGCAGTTATGCACTCATTGGCAATCAGATTGTACATTTCACCCCCATTATTGTATCTAGACGGCCAGTGTCCCGATGAGTCTCTTTGCAACTCTCAGGTTCCCTCACGTCGTTATAATCACTGAATCTTGGCATTACAAGTTTTCATCATCAAAGGTGGACATTTGCAAGAATATTGTTGCTATTCTGATTTCATCCTCATATTACCGGATTTTATAGGCGCTGAGGAATACGTTAGCAAGATTTCGAGAAGGACGGGATTGCATTGTGAGCCATACTCATATATGAGTTCAGATCCTCGCCACAGGCATGTGCCCACCCAGATCTCAAAATTGACCTTGTCTGCATACCGCGGATCATTTGTCCTCATATTGATTACCATGCGGTGCCGATATTGCCTTGGGTCGATTGCGAGTGCCTGCTCCTCATGCTCCAGGGCATTCATAACAGCTTCGGATCCAGTGCGAACGCCGCGAGCTTTGCATTCGATGCTGCAAATTATCAGAAATGTTCCATCATGACTTTTGCCCGCCTCTTTGCACTTACATGGCGGGTGGCTCATCGTTTGTCTTTAACTTGAATTTTGCCTCAACTTGCGTGCCATAAGAATTCCCAAAACTCATGTCCACGCTATCCTGGCCACCATCCTAAATGAGAGTTATCACATTAGCTCCGGTTTCGAGATCCGATCCTCGTGAATATGGGAAGACTTACCACAACACTTCCAGTACCAACATTTCCAGACCAAACACCTTCAGTAAAGGTCGTCAACTTCTTGAACCCATCGCCAACTGCTAATGTTGCTACATTAGAGCTCAACACAACCTTCATGCGAAAGTCGGCTTCCAATCGCGGTGGCGGAAGCGATAATCCTGGATGCAGTTGGCTCATAATTTCTGCAGACTCTTTGGAAAGCGGCCTATTTACGCTTGGTCTACCTCAGCATGGAACACATGAAAAAGCTTTGGAGGGCAATGCACCTACCGTTCATCGGTCTGTTTTGCTTCTTGCACCTGGCGTTGTTCCCATTTCTTCTCGACGGCCGCCCACTATAGATTTCCATAGATTAGCGTCTCTTTGCAACTCTACTCGCGATTGACTTGAAATAATGTCTCTCAACATTACAGGTTGTGCATATATCAGTATTACCGGAACGGCAATACCTGGCCTTTGAAAATTACGTACACCGCTATGCCTTCGCTCGGGTTCTCTAACGCGACCTTGGTAAAAAGAACCGAGAAGATTGGCATCCCAGCCCGAGTCGTCCTCGGGCAATGTCGCCGGAACCAATGGCGGCAGTTGCCCCTTCACCGTCTCCCGCGGCCACAGCGAGCCAGGCATAACGTGCTCCGGAGAATCCGCGGCGGCGCTGGGTGGCATGCTCATTCGGACGACAATGCCGACGACAGGATGCTGAAGAGGCTCTTGAGAAGATGAATTGCTTTGATCCTTTTTCAACAAATCTCGTCTCTACAATTTTCTTAAAAACAGAGAATTTGGCATTACCTAACATATGGCAGAATTATTTCTTGTCCTTGGACTCCTAAACGGGCGCCGGCTTATAGATCCAACCGGTGCGGGTCAAATGGTGTGGTCCGTTACGGTCTTACATGTGGCCAGTCGGCGCAACATTGGACCGCGCCTGTGCTTATTTCTTTTTGGCCGTCTGCGTTCCTGATCAGCGAGGAACAAAGAATGCTACCGATTCATTCATTAAAGGCATTAAATGTAAAGGATTAAGCATTAAACCACAGGGTTAAAAGTTTAAAATAATTATAAGATTTTCTCCGCGAATCCACACTTTATTTTGCGATCGCAATGCCGCACGGGGGGGAACAGCATGTCGTGCGTCAAGTCTTGTTCGGAGATGAGGATCAAGCCGGGTATGCCCCTCGTCGAACCCACAGGCCCCGAATGTGTGTCCCGGAGATTTCATCGACAAGGAGTCTCCCTGGCCGAGCCCCGGGATTGGCTAAGCCTGAGGAATACCCTTTCCGCGCAACAAACAGTGGACTTGATCGTCAGACCGGTTCGGATTCAAGTCACACATGCCACAGGCAGGACAAGCATAAGTTCTCCATGCCGGGAGAGATCGTGGTTCATTATCACGGACTCCCCTCCGGTCCTCTGTTATTGGGTCAAAATCCTATCTTTCACTGCTTCCCCGGATGCCAACTCTGGCTCGCAAAGGGATTTTTGTGGATCAATCTGGCCTCCCCCCGGTCATAGAGATAGAACTCAATGTCAAAACGCTCACACGCCTTTTGGTCACGTTCCCCCGCGAAACATTATGTTGGACCTGGCCATCCCTGGACGTTACATTTTGACCTTGAAATCTTTCAGATAAGATTTCGTTATGTCGCTGTGCCAAGAATCCAGGCACGTTTGATGACCCGACCAAAACGAGTCACGTGTAGCAGCAAGGCCATTTATGCTTCCGACTCCAGGACTTAAATGATAGGAGATTGAGTATATGTTCTCAGTTTATAAATCTTGTTGTGCGACAAACTTTACCTGAGAAGTTATCTTCAAAATAATTGCAAATAGTCATTAGGCTTTCGTCATACAAGATATGTTGGAGGTTGTTGAACATCACGTCATTCATGAGCAATTTAGATTAGACTGCCTGATAACGTGCCATGTTTACACCAACATGAAATGCCGGCGCAGCCCCTTTACCACAAAAAGGCTAATAGAGCACACCTCATGTCAGAGCTTATGTCAGGATAGGAGCAGGAGGAGAAGCTACTTCTTGTGCAAGTTTATCTGCTCCTTGACAGACTGTCGGGTCAAGCTAGGCACGACCAGCGATTGGACATGCATTCTACTCCACGTGCACACGCATACTCACGCATACTCTTGGCTGAATACAGGTGACTCAGCCTGGCACTTCAACATCTGCCGATAGTCACAAACCATCTGTGACGAGACAGACGTGAGCGACTTGGGAACAATACATATCTTGCGACTTGTGCGCATGTGCGAGCAGAAATCGTGACAATCGCACAATTCTGGATGACAGAAGAAAACAAATGGACGCCCGTCGCCGACTGGTAGTACCTCACACTAACACTAGGAACTAAATTCATGATGCAAGTTGAGTCTTGCTTCGATCCGAACCCAAATGCACCGTCACTATAAAACCTAAATCGGTCGCAAAACCATCAAATAGAATCTTGAGCGGCGCCATTTTCAAACGTGACGGTCCCAGCGATTGCAATTTCCACTCACGTCAAGACCCTGCATATGCCATACCAAAACCACGTCTTTCAGTTCGTTATCAGGGTCTTTTTGCCCAGAAAAGGGTTCAACGTTGCCCGGCTTTCGTCATAGACCAGCTGTGATTCGCTGTCCTGTTTCAGCTATGCACCCTGATTTGGTGTGGGGCTACGTCATTGCTATCGATCTGCTTTCCCCCCACGGGGAGCCAACAACGATAAACCACCATGAACGACGAAAAACAGGTTTGAGTGACGAATTGTCTCATTACGACTCCAGGGGTGTACAGTAACTTAGGAGAGGATTTCGCAGGTCAAATAGAGCCAAGGGTCCATCGAAGAACTCATGTTTTGTGCCGAACTTCCATCTCTTATAGTACAGAAAAACTTGATATCTTGGTATCCTTGAACCTCTCGCGTCAGACACCTTTGCCGGTATCCGACCAAAACATATTCTATATTCCCATTACTCAGAGCCAAGAAATCCCACCCTACCTACAACCATGCCTCTCTTCAGCCGCAAGGAAGAAGTTGTCGAGCCGGAACCCGTCGTGCACGAGGAGCCCAAGCGAAGCCACGGCTTGTTCGGCAGCCGGCGCGAGCGGTCTCCCTCACCCACATCGACGGTCGCGACCTCGACGACGAGTAACTCGCACCACACATCAGGTACGAAGTCCTCTTACCACACCACGCGCACGCACCATAATGGGGCGGGCAGCGTTGGCGGCGGCGGCGGCGGCGGCGGCATCTTTCGCAGGTCGACTGACGCGAGCTCCGTGGCTTCCACGACTACAGGCCGGAGATCCCTACTGTCCCGTTCCTTTGGACACGGCAATAATGTCGAAATGGACCCGTCCATTGTCGCGGCGCGCGAGCATGTCCTCAATGCCGAGACGGCCGAGCGCGAAGCCGATCGCGCCCTCGAGGCCGCCCGCCTCCGTGTCCGTGAGGCCCGCAACGAGGTCAAGCGCCTTGAACTCGAGGCTGCTGAGGAGGCCAAGCGCGCCAAGATTAAGCAATACCACGCCCGCGAGGTCTCGAAGCGCGGAAAGCAACTTGGACGTATGTTGAACCTAGTCTCCTCCAATGTGAAATCGAAAGTATATGTATGACTAACCCGTAAACAGGTCACGACTTGTAAATACTACACAGCATGGTATGCTGGAAACCTATATGAGCATATTAAGATGACGAACAGAAACGACTTATGATTGATCTAAATGATCCTGGGGAGCTGTATTTTATATATCACTAGCGAAGCATGATTTTGGTCATTTTTGGCGCAAGGAAGTGTATAAAAAAGGTTTATAAATAACAAGATCCTTCCAACGCACACCCGGTCCGCAAATTTTAGCGGCCATGAACGCTATGAACGGCTCCACTAGTTCTCGCACTTGCCCTAAGATGAACGCCCCTAGCGGTCGTGATAAACCCTGAATATTTGCATTTACTTGCCAAGAGCATTTCCAAGGTCTGCGAACATGATGGAGGGAAGATATTTATAGCGTTGTTTGTGTGTTTTCGAGTTTCTATTTCATTGGATTCTGAGTGTGATGGATAGACCTGATTGAAGTAGAGCAGGTTTCGTTGACTGAAGTACTGCAAGTGTCAGCGACTGCTCCGCTACAGTTGGCACCCTGTACAGAGGGTTGTGGACATGGCTCTGGAGATGGTGCAGGCGATCTTCGGGAGCGATCTGCTTCGACAGGTTTAGCATTGGGATCTTGATTCTCTTTAGTTCGCTCCATTACTATTCTTCTCAGAGCTGATGAGGACAGGAATTGATTCACAGGAGCGCAATGGACATGTTGCAGGTCTCGCTTAACGTTGCAGGTTCCTTGTCATTCACTGGCCGGTTGCGTTTTGGGTGTCGACATGAACAATGAACTTGAGTGAATGGCAGCTGGAATAATTTACCTCTAAGCTACAATGTATCAATGCATCAATCTTCCATTGTCATTTCACATCAAAAGAACAATTATTATCATTACTTCTAGAATGGAGCTGATGTTGAGGCTGCACACAGCAAGTCCTCGATGGAAGAGGTAGAGATGAGTGGGGAAGGCAGTGGACGGACTATAACGTCATCAAACTAACAATCGGCCGTGGGAGCATTGATACTTTGAACAGTCCGTATGTGGCATAATGTCCGATTCATTTATTGGAATATCTGTGCCGTGGTATATTCGAGTCATTATTCACCAAGTAGAACCAAAGTTTTCATGGTCAATCAATACCCGCGTCTGTGGCTAACCGGGTGTCTGCGGTTGCGTGCTCCGATGGTCACACGGGTGCTCCACCGCCCAACCCCTCTCAGCTGATAAGAGAGTCAGTCAGTCACCTGCAGAATATGAAGAAGGAGTTGACCTTTACAAACACGGATTCTGTAGATTTCATCCAATATCGATGTAGTAGCAGTGGAAGAGGCTTTTTAAACATCAAGAGTTTTGCAATATCCAACGTGAGATGGCGGATCATCGGGGCGAAGCGGCGTCGTCGGGGAGTATACACACAGGCGGCGGCATCTCGGCTTCTACACCCCTCCTCGGGGCCGACGCCTCCCCTCCGGCATTGGACCACTTTGCGCCCGGCGACCCCGACAACCCGCGCAACTGGTCACCGTGGCGCAAATGGCTCATTGTCGCCGCCATCACCCCCATCGACTTGTCCGTGTCCTGGGGCGCGTCGGGATTCTCGCCCGCCACCGCCAGCTTCCGCGCCGAGTTTGGTCTGTCGGAGACGGTCGCCACGCTCGGTCTGAGCCTCTACATTGCCGGTCTTGCCCTGGGACCAATGTCGCTGGCGCCACTGAGTGAGTTCTTTGGAAGGAGCGTCATCTATGTGGGATCCTATGCCGTGTTTCTGGTTCTTTTGGCTGCCACGGCGCTGGTGCAGCATGTGGCTGGATTCATGGTGCTGCGCTTTTTCAGTGGCCTCTTTGCTGCTGTGACGATTGGTATGTTTTGCTTTTATTCGAATGATTCAATCGAGTTTCGTTGACATTCGAGACAGCCAATTTTGGTGGCTCTATTGCAGACATGTGGACTCATCACGAGACCGGCATCGCCATGTCCATCTATCTCTGGGCCGCTACATGCGGAAGTCCCTCCGGGTTTTTTGCCATGTCATTTGTAGCCGAGTATCGAGGCTGGCGTGAGGTGTTTTGGGCTCTGCTGGGTGTCTGCGGGACATTTTGGCTGATCATGGCACTGACCCTTCGCGAGACGCGGCATACCACCATTCTCCGTAATCGCGTCAAGGCCGCGAGAAAGCGCAATGGTGCCAATGCAGACGATTCCAAGCCAGATGGCCTACACCGCAGATCCGCGCACGAGTTGTTCAACGTCGCCTTGACGAGGCCCTTTCGGTTCTTGCTGACAGAGGCCATCATCATCTTTGCAGCCCTCTACAATGGCTATCTCTATGGCCTGAGCTTTTTGTTCAATGGCGCATTCAGAATGGTCTTCGGCGAGGGTCACGGGTTCAGCACTCTAGAGGTTGGATGCGCATTCTTGGGAATTGCGTTTGGCATATCCGTCGGTCCATTCACAAATTTGTGGCAGGAGAGGTACTACCAGAAGCGCCTCGCATCTTCAAGCAGTGCGGCCGTTCCAGAGGCTCGGTTACAGTTGGCCATGGTAGCCGCTGTTGGTGAGTAGTCCGAATCCTGTGTGGTATCGTTGTCTGACACACAACAGTTTTTCCCATATCGTTATTTTGGTTCGCTTGGACAACTGATGCGAGCATCGCGCCCATTGTGCCAATTGTGGCTTCGGCATTCTGGGGATGGTCCTTTTACACACTTATTTTGATGACTTTCCAGTATACTGAAGACGCATATAGGGTAAGCCATGTCATAACTGCTGCCCCACTACACTATCTCATGTTCAATCTTTAGGTCTACTCAGCTTCAGCTTTGGCTGGTATTGGCTTGGTTCGCAACATTGCCGGCGCTGCATTTCCCCTCTTTGGCCGAGAGTTATTCTCTAAACTAGGGTATCAGTGGGGAGGAAGTTTACTGGCTTTTCTGAGTATTGCTTTAATACCAATCCCCTTCGTCTTGGCTCGTTACGGGCCTGTCATTAGACGGAAAAGTCCGTGGGCGAGCCAACATATGGACGATGGGGTCGATGACTAGGACCGCTCAAGCTACAAAGAGCGCCAAGCAAAGGCGATGGAAAAGGCTCATCTATGCGCTCAATGGAACAATGGGGGAACCAAAACTAGACAAAAAGGGCATTTTGGCCTGTTTCAGAATTTCAGGCTTTGTTCAGATCGTGCAGGGTCCAATGAAGAGAGAAAATGGTCTGGCACCAATTTAATTTTCAAAATCCATGTTTCTCATATCATTATTTTCGACTGCCCTCAGTCCCAACCATGGAGCTTCCACCAATACCGGGACCCAAGTTGGGCCCTTTTCAGTCACCGAATGGCAATGCTGGCCGGCTGGAAATCGAATTTCTCAACGAGCTTGGCACGGGCGCCCATTCGATAGTCTGGAAAGTAAAGATTGATGGTACGCTATTTGCGTTGAAGCTGGTAAGACTGACAGTCTTAGGTTGAGACTTGGTGATGGGCTTGCACTGACTACCCCAGTTCAAACGGGGGAAGTACTACAATCATTTGGACTGGTACGAACGACCCCACGATGAAGACATGGAAAAGCTTAATCTTGATCACGACAAACTCAATTTCCAATGCCTCCCGTTCTTCAGCGAATGCCGCGCCTATGGTCGATTAAAAGAAACCAAGAACGAACACCTGGCGGCCAAGTGCTACGGATATCTTGTACTCGATAGATCCTATTCAAAACGAATACGGAACGCTGGCATAACGAAAAGGGATCTTATAGAATGGCAGTTCTGGGCGCAGTGGGAGGATGACCACGATGAACATCTTCCACTGCCCGACGATAAGGATGAAAAATCTCTTCGCGATTGGTTCAACAACGTTATGGAGAGCGACGAACCTCCATTACCGACTCCATATCCGGTCAAGGCAATAGTGAAGGAACTTGTGGAGAAAAAGACCACATTTCTCCCTGAGCACGTTTCACGTATGATGCGGGATCTGCAACAGCTTCATCGACTGGGGATAATACATGGTGACATCAAGGAAGATGCTTACGTCAACGGTCTCATAGTCGACTTCAGCTCCGCTAGGACTGTACCTCATTTTCTACTCGACAAGAAGACAGTGTTCCGGAGCATTGAATGGGTGAAAAGTTACACTAGATCCGACTATTCCTGCTTCGATGAACAGCTGGAAGAATATGATATGATACCCGGTAGGCCAAAAATCTGCACCCGTATGCTCCAGGGCAAAGTGCGGTACAATCTTCGAGATAGGCCAGACAGCGAAGAAATGAAGCTTCGATGCATAAAGTTCTATGCTGATCGATATCGGTGGAAGCCTGCACGTGGGGACATTATGGGCCTGCGTCAAATCCAAGACTGGTCTGCAGCATGGATTCGAGGCCTCGTTGATGAGGGTGAATGGGAGGACAGCGAGGAAGAACCCGAAGAGGATGACTGGTATGGCGGAAGAGAATGGATGACTAGGACAGAGCTGCTATACAAGCCATCTTTTTGGCGACAGTTTGATGGTTAGTGAACACTATTGCGGGAGTAGCCAAATTGTCGAACGCATTCATAAGCACTATTAGCCCTCTGACTTTTGCTCAAAATTTCATTTTTGGCAGAACATGTCTTGATTCGTTTCTTAAGAACTAAATGCCCCGCGGCTGCACTCAGGATGCCATCGACGGGCGACGCGTATTTCTCCCGGCCTCCCGGTGGTAATTGATTCTCCAAGATGAAGTTGAAGCATTTGGGAAACTAAATCTCGGAATTCTCGTTTGCCCGCTTGTATAACATAGACAGCCACGTAGAATCGTTGATGAAGGGAGCCATGTAGCCGGAGCCATTTTCTGCTACACCCTCAGCCGTCAACTTTTTCGAAAGAAAGTGGGATTCATAGTTCACGGAGTCCATAGTAAAGACTATTTGCAAAGCAATAAAAGTTTCCTGTGATCTAAGTTAGTGACATACACAACAATAATATCTGAGGTAAATGGCAGAATAAATTAATACCGTCCAGTTTTAGTTTGATTGGCAAATAATTAACAACAAGTTCTCAGTCTATCTAGGCTATATACATTTTCATTCGTTGCAATGTCATAAGGAGATGCTAGTCACATCCTCTAGCTACACCTCTCGCTCCAAGAGCTTGAGATGGAGGTGTTCTTTCAACTCGGAATAAGGCCGCTCAGCGCCTGACATCTTATTTCGGTACCTTGTGTTTCCATCTACGGCGTGGGTATCTTTCGAATCGTTGAAATCGGCAATGCGGTACCAGATTATAAGATCTTCGTTGAGATAGGTTTCACCCACTGAGTAGGTATGGCGGGCACGGCTGTTATGAGCGGCAATAGTCGCACAATAAAGTGCCAACTCCGGCGTAAGTGTGTCTGGGGCGTATGTCTCTTGCCAGACCACCCGCACAACTTTGACACCTGTTCTAGGTTTTCCGTCACCTCTGTCTCGACCGCCAATCAGTCTCGTATTACAAATGAGAAGCTCTTCCTCCGAGTGTAGACAACCAAGTGGCACGTTAGCCCACAAACAGTATGTGCTGGTCTGATCTATAGGTCGCAGCATGTTCCTGCCATCTTTCTCGCTGCATTTCTCCGATGAGCTGGCATTCTTGCATTGAAGTTTAGCCGCCGAACTTTCCGGTTTATTCGGAGTCTTCTTCAATTGTTCAAGTTTGTCCTTCGACTTCTGAAATGTCCAGTTTACACTTCTTTTACTTTCCCCCACCAATAGAACTTCAAGTGAGTCTAGCAACTTGGCCTTGAATTTCTCATGTGTATATTGCGCCTTCGCCTTTCCTCGCGCAGCTTTGTGGTTCTGGGTTATTCTTGAAGACTCGGAATTTATAAACGACCACAATTCAGGTGGAGGACGGACAACTACCCAGTCTGGCGTTACAGTGATATCCTTTCCAACGTATTTGTGATACGATTCCGTAATATATGATTTTTTGAGAACAAACTCTTGGTAATGTAACATAGTCTCTGGAGTCTCTAGATTAGACGGAGGGTAATAGGTTGAATCGTTGACAGTCGCTTTCGCGGCGGGTGTTACGGTCTCTAATGTGTATTCCCTGAATATGGTCGTAAGAGAAGCCTCATTGATAGTAAACAATGAAGACTCTGACAAACTTTGAGGACCCATGGAGTCAGGCGCCTCCATGAGCAGATACGGCCCAAAGGCGAGCATTACATTTTCAAAAGTGAATTCTTCCCAGACTTCAATCTCTTCGGTTATTGCGAAGTTCGGGTTGTCCGTATTTCTACCATTTTTTAGCTCTGACGAGTCCGGCTGGCGGCGTCCTGATGTGAGAACATCTAAAATGGTCGGCTGGTAGGACGTTTTGTTTTGTTCAGTGGCCGTTGAATCAGGGATGGAGTAGAAGTTTTGCTCAAGAAGTTTCGCCTTGTTGTTAACCACGATGTGTGGACAGTGATCGCAGATGGTTTGTTGGTCTTTTGTTTTGCTTTGTTCAGAGGCCCTTGAATCGGGGGTATGATAGAAGTTTTGCACAATTTTTGTCGCCTCATTGTTAACCACAGTGCGTGGACAGTGGTCATGGACAAATCCAGGTGATTGTGACATATTGCAGCAATAGAATGCAATGGCAAAGTATAATAATGGGATATAGTGATAGAATATCGTATTCGAATATAAAGATAAAATGGAAGATTGTTTCAACTCTGGTAGATCAAATAAACCAACAGAATACTCGGCCAATACCCCCAAATTTATACCTCTCAAGATTCATCCTTGATCTTTTAATGTCTGAAAGAACACATATTATTGTCTTTATTCTCTTTCACATAATAATACAACACAGCCAATATATATCTTAAACCTTAGGTCTAGACCATGTCAGAGTCGGATCAAAGGGTCATCCGACAGTAAACAGGTACCTGGAAAGTTTCTGGATCACCGAATGATGCGGCAAATACATCATGTTTCTCACTAATCCACACTTTTTTGACACGATAAAGCAACTCAGTAGGAGACCTTGTCCGGCTAGCAAGTATAAAGAGACAAACCTCGTCAACCGTCGATTTTCAGATGCGCCACAAGCAACTAATCCATGTGGTTATTCATCTTCAGTCTCACAAGGCTCCTGATTGTGCTTAGTAAAAGGGCCTTTGCTCCCATCTGCGCGCTCGGTAGCATTTCACTAAATGAAACCATCGGCAACATCATCTTCAGTAGATCCATTATATCCTTACCAACCTTTGCATTAACACTAGTACGTGGCACCAAATGAAGCATATCTCATAATCTGTTATGACAACATACCACTGAGCCATATTGCAAATATAGGTTCTCCACACTAAGCTCAGGATGTTTTAGAGTGATATATCGCGCAACACCTGTACAGTCCGAATCTGTGGTGACGAATGGATGGAGACTACGGAATATAGCCGACTCTCCAAATAAGGCTTGAGATTGCTGATTTGGTCAATCCTGTCGCTACTCCGTTCGACGCCTATTAATCTGTTATAGTGTTTCTCACTGTGCCCAGGCCCTGCGCATTTAGGGAGAGCTGTAATTCGAGAACTTAATGCCAAGTGATGATGTCCTTATTTGTGTAGTCGATAAAAGCAATTATCTTCCGGCCGTTTAGTCAATAATAAAGCCTCTACACTTTTAATTGTGCTATCACCACTCAAGAATTCTCGTCTTGTATGGGCGCAAGTGACCGGCAAGGATCCAAAGTTAGTAGCATGTTCTGAACAGAATTGCCCAGTCACTATTGAAGCAGAATAACTTTTCACTCGCCCATCGCATTTGATGGTCACTGGGTTTGTTGTTTCCACTCCCTTTACATTTGTCTGAACTTATGTCAAACTGGTATGAACCTCTGAATCTTGCTCGAGAACGACTTCTGAGGGAGCGAATGGTGCTTCGAACTTTTTCTCAATTGCGTCTTTTGAAATAGGAGGCCAGCCTCCTTCATTTGGGGCTTCATGCTCCACTATAGACTATATATATATATATATACCTTCCACTACTCCCAGAGATACGTACAGATACTCAACCAAATAGTCAATGCCTTCACCTCCCATGTCTTCACTCCTCTAAACAGCGCCGTTTAGTATTTGAGCTGAAATCTGTGCCGCGTTTTCGCTTTGCTCTGAAAACGAGGGTAGGACTGCTATTTTGAGCGGGATCTGGGCCAGAGTCTTTTCCAACAGTATCATCCTCTGTTTTCGTTGAAACGACAGACCGTACTTCAGAGGGTGATGAGGGGTTCATATTCGTCGTCTTGTTGATCTTTTCTCTTCGATACTCAGATCCCGACGCATGAAGATGAAATCCTTCAATGTAATAGTGCAAATGAAGTTTACTGTTGACAGTGATGGATGATGGTTGTGGCATGATAGGCTCCTGCGACATATGAATCTTAAAAGAATCATCATCAGGGAGAGCTTGTATCGTTAACTTGCAGAGGTAGTGATTATGAATGATATTGTTGGTAGTGATAGATTGTTGTGGCATACTCAACTCCTGTGGCGTATCAGATTGTTCCCGTTGTGGTTGTTGTTCTCGTTGTTGAAGATAATTCATGATAGTTGGTTGCAACTTCTTGCAGTAGAAGAGGTTATGAATTATATTATTCAAGGTAAGAGAGGGTTGTGGCTTCGTCGACTGCTGAGGCGTACCAGTCTGTTGACGACCATCAGCAATCATAACTGGCTGCGATACATCGCAGTGGCAGTCATAATGATTAACATGATGCGTATACAAGTGACAATTGAAAACCCTAGATTGTTTTTCAATATCAGGGTGATCGCACATGGTGATGAAATATGGCGATAAGAAGGTAATAGACTGCTCGTGTTTGAACTCTGCTAAATTGGATTCATTGGAGGAATGTTCTTCTCGGAGCCCAAGCTTTATACCTCTCAAGGTCCATCAACGGTAGTTTAATCACTTAAAGAACAATTCAAAAAGTCTTTGTCTTTCTTATGATGTGCGCAATTAATCCCAGCTTCATTTCGTCACAGAGAAAAGACCACAAAGCATATTGCATCACTCTGTACGAACAAAGATGCTTTGTCCGTGGCTCGATCCATGACGTTGGTTGGCCTTTATTCAACTTGAATTGCCTCATCAAAACATCAGGGTGCCTTTACAGTCACACCTGCATGAAGATTTCTCTAGTACATCGATACAGCACTCGATACGGCTGATTCGAATCAAGTGATGCTCTCTGACTCACGCTCTTGGTACTGAAAAGACTTCTGCAGTAGGTGTAGCGAGGTCTCGCCAATCCACGGGATGGAGTGTTTTTGTAACGCTGAACCAAAATACAGCATTCCATTTTGAACATTATTGATCGCGACATCGGGTCCAGAACCTCGTCGGGGTTGACGTGGTTTCTTAGAGTAGAACGGTTATGTTGTGGAGACGGCTGAAAATGGACAGGATCTTCTCTTCAGCTGCCTACAGGGGTGAGCTCGCAAGACCCACGTTGACAGCGACTGACATGTGGTGCCGAGCAAATGTATGCCCACTTCAAAGTTCACAGCTTCTCTTGTGCACGCATATAGGAGTATCAATTGAGAAGAAAAAAAAGATCTCATTTCCTTCATTAAATTACAAGATCAGAGTCAGCACGCCACCGGCACTGAAGAGTACGTAAGACTGGCGTTTGTGGCTGCCGCTCAAGGCGTGCTGTACCCTCGGGACCTAAATAAACTAGTTCTATACTATGATTTATCGGTCGATTCTCTCTCTTTTAATCGTTAGTCGCCGCTGGACCCAGACTGCCGGCATTTGGGAGTCCGGGGCTAGACAAGAAAACGCATGCAGCTTTGCTAGGATCCTCCACATCTCACCGCATTCTTCTCCAATGCCACGGGTGGGCTTAAAAATAAATCGCCCTTGGCAATTAGATCTAGATCTCCATGATTCTTTTCTGTACCGAAGACCCTAGACTCATGATCTCGCTGTTCAGACACTGAACTAGAGCTGAATGCGGCATAGCCTCTTTAATCAGCTTCCTTCCTCTGCTCAACTTGTTTAGATAGTCGCGAATGGAACAAGCTGAAGTGTGGAGAGAAGCTGACTGAAAATGCTCTATATTGAAATTGTTCCATGGATTCGAGATGAGCGCGCTGTCTCCATCAAAATATTCTCCGCACATCTGGATCAAGGTGGATTTGGTCTGTGGAGAAGACGATGCCTTCTTCAACAACATTATATAAAGGCGTATTTGCCGCCCGTCGAGTATCAATGAAGTTTTGCAAGCAGCCTTGGAAATTGCCTCCAGACCCGCCTCTTTGACTCTTTTTGCCTCTTGACCATCAAAGCCGAAAAGATGCGCTCTCCAGCTTCCCTTGCCCTTTTGCTTCCGCTGGCAGTTTCTGCTGCGCCAACAAGCAGCAATGCTAATGCCGTTCTGCAAGAGCTGTTCTGCAAGGTCAATGTTGTCGTCGTTTCTGCTCTCAAGAAGGACGCCGCAGCAACCTCGTACTGCTCGAGCTACCTGTCGATACCGACGTTGACCTAGTAAGGCTACTGCCTATATATTATCTCCGAACGGCTTACTAAATGGTATATAGCACGGCAACGGCTACTTCGACCCCTGCCAGCGTCTACACCACGGTGCCAACCACCGTTACTGCCGATGCCGTCACTGATACTCTCACGACTACGTCTACCGTGACTACTGATGTCACCACCACTGAGACATCTACTGAGGTAAGCAATTTGATTATTGAAGATGAACATGGTTTCTAAATGTTGGCCATATAGATTGTCACCGAGACCACCACTCAGACTACCTCGACAGCCACCTTGACTTGTCTCAACAGTGCCTACACTGCTTCTACGCCCGTCGGTACTATTCTAGAGAAGCGTAGTGCTGCCGCTACAAAGCCGACTTGCATCCCCACGACTTGGGCCTCTGCCGTAGTGTCCACTGCCTGCTCGTGCTTGTCTATCCCCACCCCTTCCACCACGACTACCGTCACCCAGACTCTGGTGCCCGGAACCATTACCGTCACTTCCACTGACACCTTGACGCCCACTGTCACTGCGTGAGTTTTGACGAATCTCGTTGTAATTATTATTCTGTGTACTGAACTTTGATGATATAGCACCGAGACTGCCACATCCACTGCTACAAACACACAGACCGAGACTGTCACCACCACCTCGACTACCACCCTGACTGCCTATGCCGAGGCTACGACCATTGCCAGCAACGGTATTGCTTACCGCAAATACGTAAGTACCCCTATGCCAGCCTTTCTCCACATGAGCAACTTCCTGACTTACACAATCTAGACTCACTCCTACAATGCCGACTCCAGCAGCAGCGGCTACACCTCGTCTGCCTTCAAGTCCCTGACCCCTGACTGGTCCGGTGTCCTGCAGTCCCTGACCTTTAACACCCCCAACTGGTCCGGCGGCTCGCAGTACCTGACCCTGTCGGACCACTCGGCCTTTTTGGCGACTCAGGCTGCGCTCCTGCTGCAGGGCTTCTTCATTGCCAAGCAGACGGGCACATACACCTTTTCCAGCTCCAAGGACTACATTGACAACTGGGGCTACCTGTGGACCGGCGACGTGGCCTACAGCACCTGGAGCGACTCCAACACCAACTTCCAGGCCAGCCGCACCGGCGCCGGCTACTATGGCGGCTCCTACAGCGTCACCCTTAATGCCGGCGACGCTATCCCCCTCGCCTGGCTCTGGGCCAACGGTGGCGGTGTCTCCCAGAGCTACTTTAAGCTCACTTCGCCCGATGGCACCAGCACCACAGATACCTCGGGCTTCTTTGTCCAGGCTTGCAGCTCCAGCGTTTTTGCATAAACGGGTCCTGCATATATGGACATGACAAAGTATAGGGCTAGTTGACGAATGTCCTGGCTCAGTAATACATATAATTAATGATAATGGTTTTCACCAAAGCATACAAGAATGCATTTGTTTACTCGTGATCGTGTGCTTGAAATGTGGTTGTATCCAAGTATTTGGGCATATATGAAGACGAAATTCCGACTCGTGCAAAGAAAATGGCGACACAATAAAATCATGTCGCAGGCGATGCACACTTTTGCCGCATGATGTCAGCAGCTTGACTGAAGAACGAATTGATTCGAAAGGTCACGGGCTTGAGAAACAGCACAGTGCGGCTACTTGACGTAGCCTCGAGTCGTAGTAATGAGCTCTGGAAACCTTCCAGGAGTTGATAGGCTTTGCGCACGTCGGCTGGTTTTCTGGCGAGCAGAAAGAGATATATGAGGAAATTGCCGCATAGTATCAATTGAGACCGAGCGTCTATAAGTTGGTAGTTCATCAGTCATGCTCAATTGTAGGGATGGTCGTCCATGGATGAAGAAGATAATACTCACGTCGCGGGATAAATCCATGAAGACAAGTAATGTCCAGATCGGCAAAGAAGTTCACGAAGTCCTCAAATTCCGCAAGAGCAATTGCGAACCACTGCTGGAGACTTGAACTGTCATCTGCTCTGGCTTTGGCAGTTGCTGGATGCATGAGAGCACGCCATAACAGGACCTCTGTGGCATAATACGAGATATGTAATGGATCTAATGTGTTGTGAATATCATGTCAATGGTCTGGAAGTTTGAGATGACAGGTAACTCACTATTATCATTCGGTCTGGAATTCTTACCCGCTTCGGTCCCCAGGCAGCGAGGTAGGAGGTCATGCCAATCTTGAAGTTGCAGCCGCACTGCCTGGAGACGTAGCTCTTTGGATTTGATATTGGTGCTTAACTCTCGAGTTGGCTGAATCTGGCTTTGATTTCTATCTTTAGCGCTAGGCTGGTGCATGGAAACCTCGACACGGATACTTACAAGGCGCAAGTTAGGAGCTCATGTAACGACTGCGAGATGCGTATCGCCTCCAGATACCGTACAGCAACAGCAGATTGGAACCGTGCATTTTCGGGCTCCACGAAATGCATGAGGTCTTCTGGAACATCCTCATCAATGCGTAAATGATCCATCTGAAGTGGCGCGGTATCAAACGAGCTGGCGTGTACATGAAGAGGGTTCCCATGGCACACCGAGGACCACGCATCCGTGGCAAAGACAGCCCACCAAAGTTTCTTGCGCAGAGCCTTTTCCCATGCTGGAATATTCCACGCCTCGGGGTCGCGATGCAGCCCAATCATTTGCGCGCATGCCGTCGCCTGCGACGTCGAGGTCCATGTGCTGGGCGTCTCGACGCTGTCTACGTCGGGAGGTTGAATGTGTAAAAGGAGAAGACAAGCTTGCAGCTTGGCCAGATTCGGCGCCTCGAGCTCCCGTCTTAGAGATTCATAGGCGAGGGCGACTAGTTCGTGCTGTTGGAAAGCCAGTGGGGTACTCACACCAGGGCGATCGTTCCAGAAGACGCATGCGAGGGCGTAAACGGCACCTCTGAGCGAAGCTGGGAGAGCTGTTGTCCGTGCAGTCGTGTATTGCCTTAGGAATCGAGTTTTGGAGAGAATCGGGTACACTGGGTGGACGTGATGAAAGTACAGACGAACAAGATCTGGGCCAAAAGGGTCAACCAGAGCTTCTATCCTGTCGGATGCATTCTGCATAGACTGGTTCGTGTAGATGGGGAACTCATTTTCCAGAAGGAGGAAATGTATTGGGGCGTGGTCATGGGAGTATGCGCCACGATAGACTTGGATTATGTTGGCGTCCACCTCGTCTTGGTCATTAATGATTGCTGATCTAAAGGTGTCCAGAAGAAAGCCATCCTGCTCTGAAGCTGGACCCATGTAGTGCGCCGTCTTTCCATCATTACCTTCAAGTGTCAATAATTGTCGTGCACGAGGCGTTGTCGAACTTGAAGGAGCAGATGGCACAATGGGACTGGGCAAGACAGATGTGCCATCATCCTGCGTTGTGCTCGTCGAATCGGTCGGAGGTGAGACTGCACTGTCGTTGGAGTGGACGCAATCTTCATATTGCTCTGCCAATCTAGCTGAGACCTCTGTTGATCTCGTAGACCCCTGGCGGCCGGGTCTACGGCGTGGCGTATTAGCCAGAGAAGCCTCACAAGACAGACCTCTCTGTTTGCAAAAGTCGCCTGCGAGGGAATGTAAGTCGAAAACAATTCCAAAACCTAAAAACGATTGTGTATACAACTTACAAGGGGGCCCAGAGGGAATCACGCAAGCTGTTTTCCGTTGTCTACACCTGTCGCAAGGGCGCCGTTTCCTACTTCTCCACTGTCTTGATCCAAAGGTGCTTTCAACGGTAAACTTGCCGGGCCGTGACTCCAGTTCGTGATCTAGCTGCTGAGGATCCATTCGATCACTTGCACGGTTACTCTGAAGGCCTGGCCATAAACAGGGAGTCGTCGGGTAAGTTGACGAGGCAGTAGGCCATATTGAAGGGCAATGTATGGTCGGCTTATCTTTGCCTCCACTTCCTCTGATGCCGATAGTTGGCCGATCTGGACTGGGCTGTCGGAGTAGGCCGGAGCTAGCGCAAGTGCGTTGAGAAAGTCGGTAGATTGCAACGGCGACATCAATGCCAACTGTCAGAATTCAGCTCTTATATCATAGAATTGTCGTATGCTAATTGATTCATGGAACTGTGTGATATATCGCGTGATTGATCTCTCACATGAATAATCCATGCATGCTGATGAGTCCAAATCTTCCTGCTTGAGAGACACATACACTGGTCCATTCATCGGGGGCCGCACAGGCAGACATAAACGAGCGTGATCAAACCAGTGCAACACATCAGTTCACGATGGCTGAGTAATACCCAGGAGTTTATGGTGCTGTTGATGCACTTCAATAAGTTTGCTCATGTGCATGTTGCAAAGAAGTGTAGACTCTGTACAATTGGATTCCACGTCTAGCCATTAAATCATTCCGACGACAGCAGTAGTAGCACACCCTAAAATGTGGCTCATTGGCGTGGATCGTGCGTATTCCGACACGAATACTCTCGCATATCTACACCCGCCATCAGAAATACACCCAAGATCATGTTTTTCCCAAGTTTATACGTCATCCATCTGTGTCCTTATCAAAGTCTGTCCCCGACTCGTTGGCACGTCCAACTTGGTCGAACCCTCGATTTCGTGAGATGCAGCATCTTGATTGTCGGAAACTCCGTCCAACGGCCTGTCCCAAGCCAGGTGATGTTGACGCATGATTTCCTTGGCACTTTCCGGACCCTTGACAAACGCATCCACGGCGGGATCAGGAAATATCCAGTGCAGCAGTGCGAAACACCCAGCGCTCGAAAGAAAGCCGTAAAGATAGTTGATGTAGTATAGCTCAATAGCTCCATCGGGGACGCTGATTGATGTATTGATGGAAGCAATGAACCCGGGGAGACATGGGGTTACGCCGACGACCCACTGTTTGGATCGACTATTAGTAGCGGTTCGAGGATTCAAGATTCGGTATCGCGAGGAAAAGAAAGCAAGAAAAAAAGGTGGAAACTCACTGCCACGGGTGCACGCCAATTGATGCCTGCCTTGAACCAGTAGATCCCGTCAGAGTCACCACGGTACATGTCATCCGTCCGTAGCTTTTGCTTGTAAACGATCAGGTAGCTAGCAGCCATCATGCCAGTCATTGGTGCCAGGAAGACTCCATAGCCAGAAAGGACCGAGAGGAACGTTGTCGCCGTATTCACAAGCCGCCATGGGTTGACGACCGGGCTCAAGATTGCCGTGATATATGCGCCTCTGCGAATATTGATAAACTTGGGAAATAGTGCCGAAAGGTCGATGCCGCCGGCCAGCGCATTGCCGGCAATGTTGCTGGCCATTTGGGCAATAGTCAGGGCCAGACCGGCAAAGAAGACGGCCGCGCGTGTGCCCGCGCTGGGATCCTTTTGGAGCAAGCTGGCCAACAAGGTTGGGGGGTTCCAAACCGCCTCGCCGCCCAGGCGATTTTGCGTGGCAGCAGTGACCAAGATGCCCAAAACCGACGCAAAGATACTATAAAGCGGAAAGGCAAAGGCCTGGCCCCAAATAGCGTGCGCGGGTCGCTGTGCAAAACGAGCAAAGTCGTTTTGGTTGAGAATGCCCGCCGCAATCGACCCGATGGTAGTCATGACACCCCAAATCATGAGCCATGCAACGCTATAAGGTCCCTGGGTTTGAGGAAGCTCACTACCAGAACCTATAGTGGAGCCGAAACCTTCTGGGCCCATGGTCGCCAGTGCCCAAATGAGCAATATGACGAAGAACCCCATGGTGATGATGCTAGAAATGTTGAACCACTTTTGAATCCGGTGAGGACGAATCCATAGGAACGGAAGTATGACGACGGAGAAGATGACATAGGACACAAATTGCGCCGAGGTCATGCCTGTTTCTGCCGGAATGGTGTTTGGAATATGATCCTCGAGGTTCGGATCCCAGGAGAGCAGCATGCAGTAAATGCATTCGCCGCCAATCCAGGCCTGAAAGGCATACCTATTGAGACATGGTCAGCTCTGGACTGCGTGCGAGACTTGGTGCCATGGACATCTCTGAGAGTGGGTATACCAACCAAACTGGAGACACCTATTAGTATGCTATTCAAAAGTAAACATATCCAATGACACTCACTGAAAGAGAGAAAGACTCTGTTCCATATAACGAATTGAGATCCCCACACGCCCCAAACCGTCCTGCTGTATACCGAAAATCCAACTAGGTTGCCATTAGCGACATTTGGAATGGCGGAATTGGAGTATGCCAAACTCACTATTATAGTGGGCGCCGGCCAGCGAACTGACTAAGAGTGCGGCGGTTGCAATCAAATTTCCCACGACAATGGCTAATAAACATACATGTATTAATACCTACTATCGCCCGAATCGCATCAGTGCATCTCACTTACAAATTGTAGCTTGCCACCAGGTAAGGCCCAGGGGAATAAGGGCGCTGCCAGTGAGGTAGGTTGCAATACTGCAATTGATCAAAAGCCCTGGCCCACAACATCTAGTCAGCATAAGACCGCCCAGAAGCAAAGTCTTCTCTCCAGGAAAAGGTGCGTACAAAAATTGTTGAAGGCTAGAAAGTTCCACGTGTGGTGTTCCAAGTCGAGGGGCCGAATATCTTCGTTCTACAGGGCTCAACTGTCAGTAAAACGACATGTTTTCCACTTGCCGACCCGCATTCAGAACATACAATCCACCTGGACCCATGGTCCAATCGCATTCGACTCCAGAGTGTCGACATTGTGTTGGCAGAACCTTGCTTATGAGGAAGAAAATTGTGCAGATGACTGCATTGGATGTGGTTTTCATTTCTGCAACAAATGTCAGCTGCTGGGTGCGACGAACCCGGAGTATTTCAGATCACGGCAGTGGATGTTGAGAGACATTCCATTGGTTGTGTTATCTCGGGGTGCTATCAGCGCAGCAGGGGTTGCAGGTGGGGATGAGATTGTCGGCCAACTTTATCTACCGTCGGCCTATTTCCTATCCACAATGACTACGTCGAATAGAGTTGCAAATCTAATCCAGTATCTGATTGGTTATAATATCTAGATGGTGTTCAACTTGATCATGGTGAAGAAGAGAACTTGATATAAGACGAAGCGTGTTTCGCAGTCATATTCTAGACATGACCAACCGTAGGCACTGACGCCGCTTCCCCATCAGCCATCATGTCTCTTTACAGAATCGGTGTCGATGTCGGCGGCACTAATACTGATGCTGCCATCTTGGACATAACAGCAGCCCATACTCCGGAGAGGGGTGTGCTAGCCTCGCATAAAGCCGCCACGACCGAGGACATTACGAGTGGCATCGAGGCCGCCATCCGTGCGGTGCTGTCTCAGTCTCAAGTCGATCAGCGCCGCATCCTCAGTGTCACGATTGGCACCACGCACTTCATCAATGCTTTGGTTGAAGCAGACGCCCGGAGGCTCGACCGGGTTGCAGTAGTCCGACTTTGTGGCCCTTTTACCCGCCAGCTGCCCCCGTACTCCGACTTCCCGGTCGGCTTGCGCCGCATCTTGGATGGGGGCGCATACTACTTGGACGGTGGCTTTGAAGTGGACGGCCGCGAGATCTTGCCGCTCAACCCCGAGCAAATCAAGGCCGCCGCAAAGGACATTGTCAAGTCCGGCGTATTGTCTGTGGCACTGGTGGGCGTTTTCTCACCGCTTGATCACCAAGGCCTGCAAGAGGAGACGTGCCGAAAGATCATGCTAGAAGAAGCGCCAGAGCTGCGCATCGTGTGCTCGCGCGACATTGGCCCAACAGGGCTGCTTGAGAGGGAAAATGCCACCATATTGAACGCCTCAATCTTGCGGACGGGCTCTCGGGTCACCAATGGCTTTAAGCGCGCCATGGCACGCCTCAATCTTTCTTGCGCTCTATATCTATCACAAAACGATGGTACCCTCATCGACGCCGACTCGGCGGCCAAGTTCCCAATCAAGACCTTTGCCAGTGGACCCACCAACAGCATGACTGGCGCTGCCTTTCTGGCAGGTATGAACCAGCAGACACAGCCCAAGTCGGTAACTGCAGAATCTGGAGCGGGTAATGAAGTTTTACCTCAGATACTTGTCGTTGATATTGGAGGTACAACAACAGACGTCTGCGCCCTCTTGCCCAGCGGACTGCCCCGGCAAGCTCCTGGCTTCGTAGAGGTTGGCGGCGTCCGCACCGCTTTCTCCATGCCAGAGGTTGTCTCCATCGGTCTGGGTGGTGGCAGCAAGGTTGACCTGCGCGAAAAAGATGTCACTGTAGGTCCCGGGTCGGTCGGACACCGGATTCAGGAAGAGGCAAAAATATTTGGAGGTTCAACGGTGACAGCCACAGATATCATCGTCGCCATGGGCAAAGCTCAACTCGGCGACCCAAGCCTGGTTCAAGACATTGCGTCCAGTACGGTCGATGGCGCATATCAAAGCATCAAAAAGGGTTTAGAGAGCGTGATTGAGAAAATGCGCGTATCTTCAGCGCCAGTGCATATTCTCCTCGTGGGCGGTGGTTCCCTGCTCGTCACGGGCGACTTGGATGGGGTAGAAAAGTGCATCCGCCCAATCCACCAAGGCGCAGCCAATGCAGTAGGCGCTGCCATTGCCAAGGTTTCGGGAGAAGTCGACACGATCGAGCTTGTAGGTGGCAAGGACGAAAAGGCCATTGTGGACAAGGTGCGACAACAAGCCATTGACGAGGCCATGGCCAAGGGGGCGAGACGCGATGATGTCGAGGTTGTCGAGATCATCAAGACGCCACTTCAATATGTGACCAATGGTGCCATGCGAATTCAAGTCCGCGCAATTGGGTCCTTGGCCATTCCAGATACACTCCCGTCGCTTCTACCTACCTCGACTCTGGTCAATGGCGCAGAAAACGATGAAGAAGACTCGAGTCCAAAGATTAGTGTCCCAGATGCTCTGGAGCCCACCATCAAACCTTCTCTCAAGGTAGATCTTGCTACATACCGCCCAGATGTCCGCAATGGAATTTGGTATATATCCGAGGTTGACCTGGAAATGATCTCTACCGGTTGCGGCATCCTTGGTACCGGCGGCGGTGGGCCTACCCACCACGAGTTTTTGAAGAGCCTCAGTACTTTGCGCACGACTAGCGCAGGCAAGATGAGGGTTATATCTCCAAAATCACTCAAGGATACAGATATTGTCAGTTTCGGGTCGTGGTACGGCAGCCCGAGCGTGATCAATGAGCGTATCGCAGGAGGCGGCGAGATCATTGGTGGTATCAAAGCCGCCAACAAGATACTTGGCAACGAAAGTTTTGATGCACTCTTGTTGGATGAAATGTATGTTTACAATTTGCATTTTCGATGATGGATGAAGGCTGACAATCGTCACAGCGGCGGCGGTAATGGACTGAGCATTTTCCCTCCGGCCGTGCACTTTGACGTTCCCATTGTGGACGGTGATGCCATGGGAAGAGCCTATCCAACCATGTACCATGGTAAGTTGATTATCATCCCATGCCCTCCAAACAGACTGGAATATTAACGTTCATTTTTCAGCGACATTCAGTGTCTATGGACACAGCATGACTCCTTGCGTTCTCTCAGACGCCCGTGGTAACGTATCAGCAGTCATGGTAAGTATTCCCAAGTCTGATGTAGATTATCCGTGAAAGAGTTCCCAAACTGACTAGTCTAGCATGCGGACACACCCACACGGCTCGAAAGCATACTGCGCACTACGGCAATCGAGCTCGGCCTGGGCTGTGCTGTATGTGCGAATCCTCTTGCCGGCTCCGTCATCAAGGAATATGGAGTACCGAATACGCTGTCGCAAGCTTGGTTCCTAGGCAAAGCTGTACATCTTGCCCGAAGGCAAAAGGTGGACCATGTCGATGCTATCGTGAGTTGGAATTCCTTGGCAACTTTGAAATTCATGGCTAACAATCAAAATCAGTTTGCTGAGACCCCGGGAAAGCTACTTTACCGTGGAAAGATTGTGGACGTGCAGCGGTACATTGGAGGAGGCTACACGATGGGAGTCGTTGTTATAGCGCCCGCAGAGGACGAAGACGTGAAGCGTCACGGGAAAGTACAGCCAATGCGGGATCACCACATGAGGATTCCGTTCCAAAACGAGTACCTATACGCAGCACTGTCGCCAGACGGTTCCGAGGATGGCCAGGAGGTCGTTTGCACTGTGCCGGATCTGATATCGATCCTTGGCCAAGATGGTGAGGCTATCGGCTCCCAGGATCTACGCTATGGATTACGGGTAGACGTGATTGCGCTGCCTGCTCATCCGCTGTGGAAGAGCGAGGCCGGCTTAAAGGTCGGTGGTCCTGAAGGGTTTGGGCTTGATATGCCATTCGTCGGAGTTGATCAGAGCTTTTCCGAGGTGAGAAGTGTCATAGATGAGTACAATGTCAATCAGGTATGAGCGCGTTCATTGAGAAATAAATGAATAATTTTCAAGGACAAGACCGTCATTCCTTATCGTTTGCACTGAACAGCTTCTACTTGCTCCGCCATCGCGAATAGCTTCGCCTTGATGTAGTAAATCAAGGAAATACCGAGGCAGAGGATATACGTAACAACACACCAATATTGACGTTGCACAAAATTTGGGATGGAGAATATGAGTGAGACTTATTCCTAGCGAGCTAGCGAGGGCAAAATCATCTGCCGAATGTCGCTATCATGAAAAGTTGCTTTTTTTGTGCAAATCATGGTGTTGAGGAGGTCATGAGAACCTTGCTCCTGCAGCAGGCTCGATAAGCCTTTGGGGTAGTTAAAAACCAGGCCAATGATCGATTGCCATTTCAATGAGTGCAACCTGAACTCTGCTCGTCAGGCACTGAGTAGAAGAAGGAAGTGTTTTGTGTGTCGCATCTCGGGAATTCATGATAAGGAACACGTGGGGTTGGGAAATGTGTGCCTATTTCCTGAGTGCATCAAATTTCTTTTTGCTTGATTGGTGTTGTTGAGATAATGGCACAGTCGTCGGCCAGCGAGCAGATCATTAGCTGGGGCCTTGGATGTGAGTACAGCGGGTAGGATGCAGTTAGCTGACCTGCGTTAGGCACCCCACTGCAGCTTCACCCGCTGGTTGTCGTCTAGCGGCAAAGGGACCGTCGACAACCCTCTACATTACAGCTAAGCTAAATTCGTGTCTCGGATTTTTGCTCGACGGCTTTTCCTGCACATTCATATTGAGTTATTCCGCAATCAATTTGAGCTTGACCTGTCGGGGAAACATGGAGACTCCCAGCATAAATGGACGCATGCTTGAGGATATTGAAGATGAAGATCAATCTCTTCCCCGCAAACGCCGCACCCGTCGCTCTGGCGCTCTGCCCAAGAAGCTCCCCGCCCCTCTGTATAAAGCGACGGTGAAGGAGCTAGCAGACAAGGTGCGAACAAAGTCTTCTTCCACTGCCAACATTGACAAAGCCATTACGGAGCGGATCAAAAAGTGCCTGGAGCGCGCAAACCATCCAAACACACCCGAGGCAGAGGCCAAGACAGCTTTGCATCTAGCATCACGATGGATGGCACAAAACAATGTAACGCAGGCCGAACTCCTCGCTCATGAGGCACCCGAGCAGCAAAAGCAATATGCCGGGCAAAGCATCGTCGCAATCATTCGCCTCGACGGCGACAAGTACAAGTCCGTGAGACAACAAAGCTACGTCGGCGCTCTAATGAGCGCCATGAATACCTTTTTCGACTGTAAATCTTACACGACAATGGGGCGCTCGTCCTTGCATCTGACATTCTACGGCATTGCGGAAAACACGGTAGCCGCGGCCATGGCCTTTGAAATGGTGTACAACTCCATTGCCGAGTGGGCTAGACCATACAAGGGCGTGGCTAGCAAGAACAGTTATGCCCACGGTTTCTGCAATGAGCTACTCAGACTCGCCGTCAAGGAGAAGAATGATGAGATGATGCAAGCCCGGAAAGCTGAATCCGATGCTACTGCTGCTCGGGCCAGGGAAGAGGAGAACGAGAGGCTGAGACAGCTATCCCGGCTAGCTCCCGGTAGAGAAGACCGCACTGGGGCCCTTTCCGACTCCGAGCCACCAACGGTCAAGGCCGAACACGGTGACACGACAGATGAGTCGGATGACGAACGTGATTGTTCCGAGGTCAAGCTGCCCACCACAGAGGCGGACACGGACTCGGATGACTTCCTGGAACCGGACTTTGATGACACGGACGAGAAGCCACTGGGTGCCTTCGATGACCTCGAGGTGGAAATCAAGAAATCAGTTAAGATTGAACGGTCACCTTCAGTGGTATTCTTGGGTGAAAAATGTGTTGCGCCAGATTTTGTTTCACCTGGCAAGACCAAAGATGGTATACTTGAAACGGACGACGCTGAGCCAGAGTCCAAGTGGGCTTCCCACAGTCAACTCGTGACTTTCCGCAAGACGGCACTCCAGATTGCAGATGACTACTTGCAAGACCAGGATCTTAAGCTTCGCAAGAAATCAGCACAAACTTCGATCAAGGATCGGGCCGCATACAATCAGGGGAAGGAAGACAGCAAAAAGGTTGACGTGCATAGGAAAAGAATAACAGAAGGAAAAGAATGGCAGGATCAATCTTCGTTGGCGGGTTAGAGTAACTCCCCGTCTCATTTTCTTCTCTCCCTTTTCGGTTTTCCGGCCGTCAATGTTACACTTTCCATTTGGTATGAAAAGTCGCAGTAGATAGACCTGCGTGTATTGACTGCTCAGCAAGGCTTGGGCTGTGAGGTTGGTAGCGAAATGGTTTCCAGTTCGGTCATAGGCTTAATTGAAGTGCGCAGAATTTACACCATGGTTTTCATGGCCGGCACTATCATCAAACTCTGCCCCTCCCCATACATCTTGCATTTGATGCCAGTAGCGCCTGTCGGAAACAAAAGCGTTCGGTTTTGTTCTCGCAGCAGTGAAATGCCTGCTGGCACGAGACCGAGAGGTGTCAACACAGACTGATTGAGAGGAGCCACATAGATGTCGAAGCGCTTGGCACTAGACAAATTGCTATTTGCTACCGTTCATCAACTCATGATCTCATCAGTCACTACGCTCAAGATGACTCCGTTGATGCACTATACAAAGCCTCCCAGTCTCTGCACTCTCGCTTGATCATCCCATCAATCACTCCCTTTCCCTGAAAGGTTATCGAAGGCGGCTCAAGTGTCGCATCCGCATTGCAAAGAATGGCCTAATCAACATCATAAGCATTGAGATTGACCTGGAAAATCATGGAAAGAAAATAAAAGACAAAGTTGCAAAAGCTCACCTGACGCAAATAGTCAAAACAGTGCAGCCAATGATCCGGCTCCGCTTCCGGGTCATGGAGACCATGCGAACCCCCCATAGCCGCCCTGCGAGAAGAATGCGACGACGACGACGACGACATGCCGGCCTCGGCCGCGGCAAGCCTCTCGGTCAAGCTCTGGACGGCCTCGCGCATCATGCCCAGACAGTGCAGCTGATGAAACATGGAGATTCCGTTCTTGCGCTCGACACCATGCCTGTCGGGCCGCTTGACGAAGCCGCCGTTGGGGGTGAGCAGGTCCATCCAGAGCATGTCGTGCTCGTGGCTGAGGTTCATGTAGTTTTCATGCTCGGAAAAGATCATTTCTCGCGTGCCCGTGACGGGTATGCTCTTGTGCGTGTCTGGCCTCGTCGGATGCTTTGAGTAGTCGAAAAAGACTGGCGCCAAGAGGCTGTAGAGTGCAAAGGTGAACATCAGTGGGAAGAGGATCCAAACCCCAATGATGTAGCATACGCTCTTGGCCCTTCGGAACACCGACGACCACGTAGATTCCGCCGCCATTTGCCTCATTTCGATCTATCTTTCCAGATATGCGTTGATGTGCAAAGTGATGAAGCGCGATGGTATTTGGCGTTTGGAGAAGGGACATCTTGGTCGGCCAAGGCACTCAATCAGCTGTTTGATTGAAGCTCTGCCACGGTGCCATTTTCCCGTCCCTGGGTATTGCTAGATGCGACCTTCCCTTTTCGGCTCAGCTGGAAGAAATGCGTCGCCACTCTGGTCCCACTGCCAAGATACTGTCCAAATAGGGAAGTAGGACCAGAAAAGATTGATTCGTCAACATGAGTTGTGGCTTGTGCCGTCGAGTGTATTTATAAACAGTCAAGGTGCCTTGCAAGTCAGTCTATCTTATGTGATACCTTGCGCCATCAGTCGCAATATAGAATACTTACTAGGACGTCTGCGAATTCGCGTCGAGTATAATCTGACATTTCGGTTGGCGGATATAAACCGGACGCTAATCTTTAGCTGGTCTGCCCCTCGCTACCACTAACCAGAACTGCTGTACAGTGGATACTGAGCTGGAAGAGAGCCTGTCATATGCTATTTATCTACCTACCCAACATCATAAAATATCGTGGGACGTTTCCGACATTGGCAATCACTTACTAGGGCTATAGTTAATCACAATCAGGTACATCTGATGAGAAAAAGAAAAGGTGAGACATGTACTCTTTATTGATCATGAAAATTTCGTATACACTTCGTACCCAAATGTAAACACCGTCAGGCACTAAAAAAGAAAAATAGGGAAGGAAAATTACCAGCTTCACCGGTGAAGCACAAAATGTCAACCACATCTCCGACACAAAAGCCTTGTCAACAGTCAAAACACACAATGGAAAATCTAAATTTCACAGCTCGAGTCGAGACACCAAATTACTCTTTTTCGAACCAGAGCCACATATGCATCACTGTGGCCACGGATGCTACAAAGCCAGCAAGTGCTTGAGATTCTAGTCGAAAAATAGTTGGCTGCCGGGAGTCTCATTTAAACAGCAATGGACTTGATGAAAGCGGCGGCAGCATTGACATCAGAGCCGTAGCCGAGATGACCGCTTGTGCTGCTGGACTTGCAGCCACCACTGGCGGCGCAGCCGTACGATCCAGCTCCACAGACAGAATCGCCCTAGAGAAAATTGAGTAAACATATAACAATAGAAGCAAGGATTTAGATTCAAGACTTACACTGGCGCAGAAGGAATCAAAGTGAGCCGCATCGACGCCCGTGGGCAGCTGTCCGACATACGGGTCGCCAAAGGTGACGGCGCCAATGACCGACTTTCCAGCCGCCTTGATCTGCTTGGCGGCATTGTGCACAACCATGCCGCCCTGGCTGTAGCCGGTCAAGATGATCTTGGTGTCGGGGCAGCTGGACAAGACGCTCGTGGCGTCGGCGGTCATGGCCTTGGAGCCCGGGCCCGAACCGGTCGCCTCCGAGGTGATGCCGGCCATGTCGGCGGGGTAGCTGGTACCCTGAATTTCGCGATTGTCAGTACAGGGAGTGGATGAGTATAAGAGTTCAAATGTCAACAAACCTTCATGGTGACCTGGTCCGCGCCGAGTGACGACTGGACGGCCTTCTGGAGGCCGGGACCCACGACGGTGCCGAGGGTACCGGTCTCGGTGGTGCCGCGGGCGAAAAGCACCGTGTAGGCCGTGCAGCCGCTAGCTGCGGTAGCCGAGCTGCTGGATGCGGCAGCGTCAGCCGATCCGGTTAGGCTTGAACCGGTTGGCAGCAGCGAGGAGAGACCGGTCAGAGAGTAGTCCGGCCACACGGGGACAGCGGCCGAGAGACCGGCGAGGAAGAGAGTAGACAAGGCTTGTGTAGTCTTCATGTTGGCTGAAAGAATCGTAAGGATGAAGGAAGGATGGTTATATGGACAGATAGATATGTTCCGCGAGTCAATCGCAAGCCGAAAGAAGGTAGAATCGTCAAGAAGCGAAAGTCAATGGTCAAAAATAGTTAGCGAGCGTGAAAGCGAAGGAACGAGATGTAGACAAGAAGCGGAGCGTGAAGCTTGATGGAATTGAAGCCATGAGGAAGTGCAAGTTGCAAGTTTTAATACTTCACAATGATCCTATAGCCACCACCAAGGAGCAACTACAATCGAGCCATGAGCCTCTGTGTAACTCGTGTCGCAAACCTATACCAAATCAGGAGCAGAAAGAGAAATGGAAAGCATTGTGCTCCAGTTTGACGGCCCAAGAAGCAAGATTCAGCAACGATAGGCCCCTTTAGCTCAGTTCTGTATACTGCCGACTAGGCCCAATGCTCGACATTTGTTTCAGAATGCAAGCCTGCTTGGCAAAGATGAAGAAGCCATGACTGACGTCGGATCATTTTTTGTTGCATGTCATAACTCTTCTTGGACATGTGCTCCGTGACGGCTGCATCAACCCCCAGGGCTCTCCGGTAGTGAATACGGGGGATTTGCACATGGCGTTGTTCACCTGTGCAGTGCCGAGCGCCGCTAGAACACGAGGCGAGCCATTTAAACTTCCAGCGTGAAAATGCGATTGGCTAGAAGGGCTCGCAAGCCAGCCGTCAAGTATATTGCAGACGACCCCGTCAGCACAAGCTTAATTTAAACCCCCGACTGATCCCGCTGTTTAGCGGCCCGAATAAGTGGGCACAGCCTAGCTGGGTGATATGATGATCACTTTTGTTTCTTTATTTTCTTTTTCTCCAGATTGGGCTGATGAAATAGAGTATGGTTTCTCGAATTTCCATATTTACTCTTTGCCTCGACTTATACAAAATGGCCGTCTCACTCCACTGCCAAATGCATGCCATCAAAGCTGAATCTTGTGTTTATGAAACAGTAGGCTCAAAATATGGTTTGACCGCTGTAAAAGGCAAGGCTTAGCGGGAATAGGGATGTTCTACAGGCTTCTAGCCAGCCGAGGCACATCGCTAGATGGACCGCGACATCCCTGAGCACACGCTGCTCTTTTAGCTTTGCGCTCGGCCGCAAACAAAGCTCGGGGCGCACCATAATCTGCCCTCTTCGGTACCTTTTACATTTTAGGTCGAGCGAGCAAACCTGCCATTGGTTCCTGAGATTTTCTCGATTTGATATCGCCGATGGAGACGGAGTCAAATATCCGTTCAGGGAGATCCGGATCATACAGGAAAAATCCTCTAATGGAGTGCGCAGGGCATGTCAAGGCTGGTCTAGGCACAGAGAGTCCTTTAGGCCGATTTGGTCTCTCTCGCCTTAACGGCCGAGCTCCTTAGCCACTTGATGCAAGTCCTGATCTTTACCTGACATCATATCCTGATATATTCTCATTCATATACTGCCCACTACTCACAGTGCTCTTGATCTGATCCCTTGTGATAATTTTGCATGGTCTTGGCTTATTGAGATGTGAACAAGACTACAGCGACCTTTCAAACAACATGGTCGATATGTTGTTAGCAACATGGTGGTATCATCATGTAGCCATGTGAGTATCCGCGGGAAGCAGAAAGTGAAAACAATGCAGAGAATCAAGATAAACTCGAGCAAGACAACGGCGCTGCCAATATTCCTTTATACGCCCGCTCCCACCTCGCCTTCCAGCCAGCAAGTAGCAATGCATGCACTCCACACGAAACAACGGATATCATATGATTTATACCACCAAAGAACTATCGTATTATCTCGTCCTTCCTAAGCTAGGCACCTATCTGGGCTATTGTATTGGTTTTGTGAGTCTCACTAGCCATGGTGTTCTTTTGCTACCTTGCTTCAGCTCGAGCAAATTGATCTGTCTGCCTACATTACCCATGGTGGAAACTACTCGTTGATACCCCCAGAATGGCTGCTTTATCATTGTTGTTGCTGATTCGAGTAAGTGTAGTTTGGGTCGTCGTCAATGTCGTCGTAGTCAGGCATGGGATTGTAGTAATTCTCCTGGTACGTGAATTGCTCCTGTCTCTGCAGCTCAAGTTGCTCACAGGGACGGCAACGCGCTTCTACTTTGGTACGAATGGAGTTGTCTTGAACCCCGGCTGCGCAGGTTCCTGTTCTTCTTGCCGCAGAACACTTGGTGATCTTGCCGGGTCTTGCAACTCCCAACCAACGATCCTCGCCGTCGTGTTCAGCATAGGTGCAAAAGTCCTGGAGGACCTGTTGTCTACACATGGCTGCCAAGAGTCTGAGAGCTACAGGAAGTGATCAGTTGACGGTGTGAAAGCTTATTGAGAGTTGGAAATACCTTGACGAATGTTGAGATGTATCGATAGATGTGCTGGTGCTCCACAACTTTGGTTTCTTGAGGCCTCGGGTTGCCCTAATGAGTGTCCTGGAGTGAACAGATAGGCATAATTTAAATGCAGGGGTCTCAAGATGCAAGATTTCTGCTTTTGTAACTGTTGAAATATGATGAATGTGATTAAAATATTCCCGCCGCAAAGAAGATCTAATCACAAAAATATTTGCACAACCAGTAATGAAGTTAATAACTTTATCATTGTATTGAAAACCAGCAGAATATCAGTGCAAGATGGACCATAAGTGAATAACGTAACGTGGTAGGCGGCGACCACATGATTAACTCACACAATTTTGTGCAGTAACATCGAGCTTTGTATTCAACCCACTGTTATTGGATGAAGGTCTCGCAGTTGCCATGTGGCTGGCTTGATACCAGTTCATCATCTCGCTCGAGCATTGATCACTGGCTGCCTTACAATCCAGTTATCTGTTCCGATTTCGCACTGTGGAATAAGGCAAATGAAACCCTTTTCCCAATCCATACTTAGGGCCAGGCCGACTGATACAAAATAAAGCCAAGAGCCGCCCTGAATCACCATAATTGATTATCTGCCTACGAACAATACTTGTGTACATATCATGCACAGATTGAAGCCGTCTTGTATCCAATAGCTGCAGAAAAGACGTATTCTGATCAAAAGCTCGACACTGAAGACGATGATTACGATTTATGGTGGAATACGGGGTCAATTTTCTGATTACAGAAATGTGACTGATAACAAGGTATTGGCAAGGCCAAGCTTCGGCTTATCACAACAGGAGCCAATCTCTCGAGACGTCCGGGCAATCTACCATGGTGATAATGTCTCTGTATTAAGCTTGATAAGCATCTCTAGCTGTGTCACTATTTTTGTGATCTTGCTGAAGTTCCGGCCAAGTGTTTTCTCTCCGTAGCTTTATCCCAAAGGGCTTACAAAGTAGCCACTTGCCTTTGCCGGAATAAATGCTCGATCAACGGCGAGGGTCGATCTAGTAGGTGTAATTATTGCCAAATCCATAATTGGGGTCTTGTGCCCAATAGTCAAACATGTACTCTTGCTGTCTTCTTTCCGATTCTGCTTGTTGTGCCTTGCAAGGGTCGCAAATCTTGGATACTTTAACGGGATTCTTGGTATCATCCTTGATATTACCACAAGCTCTGTCGCCTCTGCCATTTTTGCAAATCTTCAGGGGTTCATTTCTGTTACGTAGGAATGCTCCCCACCAACGATTATCCTGGTCGTGGAAATCGGAGCCGCAGTGATGCTGCTTTACCGATCGGAGACACATGGCTGCAAAGGTCTGAAAGCAGTCAGAAATGGCTACTTTTAGTCGTTCGATATTTGTCTAGGGATTAGATTACTTTGATAAGTTTGCTGATGTAGAGAAGTGAAGTCGAAGTTGATTTACGGTAGCTATGCGGGTTCGCTTTGCTCAGGCTTAAGGTTGTGCTGTACAGGTGTATAGTAGTTAAGCATAGGGGAGTAGGTTTTGGAATCAAGGCTTTTCGAATGAACTTGTTGTTTTATACAATTTTGAATAGCATGGTTGTTATTCACATCACTTAGTGTCAATGACATAGAAAGTTGACCGAATAAATAATATACGCATTTGGCCATGAAGTGGCTGACCCTTCCAGGGCTATGAAATTGAGACCGGAGTGTTACATAATAAGATCTGTTATGGGGGGCGCAATGAAATAAGAGCGAGTATACAGGCCTTGATTCAGAGCATCTTGCATTTAATCATGAAGCTGCTCCATAGAGTCGAAATGTGATACGACCAGTATCTGAAATAAAGAGTAAAATTAAAGATGGTCTACATCTACGAAAATAATGTTTGAACGAACAGACTTAATCAACCTTTCCCATTGTGTCACCCGAAGGGTGCCACATAACCAGCCACACTGTGGCGCATCAAAATGTGTGTACGTAGAATGGCTTCACCATCCAGATAGATTTCACTCCGTACAACAGGTGACGGCAAGTAGATCTATATTCAACGTATCGTGCAAATGGAATACGTTCCTTCGTACGATGGCCTGTAGATAACGCCTGCTGACTTTCGGATGCTAGCAACCGCCAGCCACACTATGGCTGTGGCGGATAGGTAACAGTATCTATCTAGATACCGTCTTCGTACGAGACCGCCATTCCTATTATTCCAACAGTGCATGCTTTTCCCCGAGGCTTCAAGGCAAATTAAGAGGTAGCTCATTTCTTTGTATTAGGCTTAATGATCATCAGTACCTAGGTAGCGGTACTACTATTTCTATGATCTTGCATGAGGCTCAGGCAAGCGTTTTATCTCCTTAGCTTCATCTCCAAGGCGCTTATGAAGCATCCATTTGTCTCCATCGAGGTAAGTGCTCATTCACCAATGAGAGGAGCTCTAATGTGTGTAATTGTTTCCTCCATGGCTACTTTCGCCAAGATACTCGGCGTAGAATTCTCCAAATTCGAACATTGCGTCCATTCCCATTTGCTTGCAAGGCCTGCAAACCTCAAATACTCGAATGGGATCTCCAGGAGCATCCTTGATCGGTCTACCGCAGGGTCTTTGGCCGAATCCCTTGTCGCAGACTATGAGATCAGGCTCTCTGTCGCGTATTTTAGTTCCCCAATAACCACCTCCGTCTGGGTGGTACTCGGAACTGCAGTAATGCTGCTTCACTTTTTGCCAACACATGGCTGAACAAGTCTGTGAACTGTTAGAAATGGCTATATATGTAGGAGTGTAAGTCTTGTTAAGAGACGCAATTACCTTGATAAGTTTGTGGATGTCAAAAAGTGCCAATCGAGTACTATCACCACGCGGGTTCAATTTGTTTAACCTTCGAGTTGGGCCAAATTCTCGTGTAGTAGTTGAGGACAAGAGACTAGATTTCGAAATTCAAGATGCTTGGCTGCAAAGATATGTCTTTTATACTTTTCTAGATATCATGATTGTTATTCACATATCTTGTTGTCGATGACCATCCTCCTGAATCACCGCACACTCTTACATCCGGCAATGAAGTGACTAACTATATCAGCAATACGAAGTCAAGACTGGGGTGCCATGTCATAAGATATGTTCTAACACAACAATTGAATAAGAGAACCTATTCGGGCTTTGTTTTATAGCATCTTATGCATGAAATTGAATCTATTCCCGCAGACTTGTTACACTGGATGTCAAGCTCCTGGTGTTCCAGTCAATGTATCATGCAGGATGTTCCGATTCAAGCAAGATCAATCCAAAAGTTCAAGAAATCAAACAGTTGGGTCAACGTAGTTGCCGCTGGTACGGACACTGGTGTTGTAAATGTAGGCATCGTCGGCAGTGATGTACTATGCACAGATGACGGAGCCATTGAGCTGCATGATATCTCCGACTATAATATTGGTGTCAGGCACGATTTAATAGTAAGGCTATAATGGGAAACTAAATAATTAGTTCAGGGGAAGGTTTTATAGTTAAAGGCTTAGCTCCGGCGACGCCGGAGCTGCTTTAAAGCACTAATAGCGTTTTAGGGATAAATAACAGGATTATAATAGGTAATTTAAAAGGTAAAATTAATTTTAAATATATATAACCCTTATTATTATTATTATTTAAATTTTTTATTTTATTATTATAAAACCCTAATATTTTAATCTTTTTTTTTAATATAAACCGCTAAATCTAAAATTATAATTAATATTAGTAATATAGCTTAAGGTAATAATTAAAGTATTAATACCCTTAAATTTTCGTTTTTTTAAATTATTACGGGTTATTAGCTATTTTAGCCAAAAAAAATAACCTAAAGCGATTTTTTAAATATTTAAATCGATATTTTAAACGCTAAAAAAGCCGAATTAAACGCTTTAATAAAGCTAAAACGGCGCAAACGGGCTATCGAAAAAAAGCAAGCGGCCCTCGCACGCTTACGTATATTTATTAACGACCTTAAACTTATATTAAATTAAAATCCTTTTAAAACCTTAGCTTAACCTGCGTTAGCGCTCCTAAGCGTAATAAACCAAGCGAATATAATATTATAAAAATACGCTAACGCTTCGGCTTTAATATATAAAAAGCACTTTTTTATAAAATTGCGATTTTTTATATATAATTATTAATTTTAATTCGAATTATAAACGGCGGTTTTTCGCTTTAATAATACTAAAATCGCTTTCGCGGTATATTATATAAAAAACGACCCTAAATATAATTAGGTTCGGTATTATAAACGCAAAATATATTTCGGTAATAATTATAAATTTATATAAAAAAATTTAAATAATTTTTCGAAAATAAAATATTAAACCCTAAATTATAAATTATTAAAATAATATAAATATTTATAACCCTATTATAGCGAAAAAACGAAATTATAAATAAATTTATACGCCGATATAAGAATATAAAATTTAAAAAATATAATAATAAAAACAAAAAATACTATATATCGGATTTTATAAAACGATTAACGCGGTTTATTAAAAATTAAATATTCCGCGTAAAAATACTTAATATATATTAAAAAGCGGTAACGGTAATAAGGAAAATAAAATAATTAAAAAACAAAAACGCAAAAATAATATAGCTTAACCGAAAAAAACCCTTAAGTAAACCTTATCGCTTTTAACCCCCGGGAATTTATTAAAATTACAAAAATAAAAAATACCGGTAACGTAAATATATTATTAAATTTTTAAACCCGAATAACAAAAATAGCAATAATAATAAAATAGCGTTAGCGAACTAAAAAAGCCTAATTAATAAAGCGAATAAACCGTAAATAATTATTTAAAAATGCTTTACATACGAAAAAAAAAGTTATATTTTTTTATATTACCCGGAAATACCGAATCGAAAATATAAAAGCTACGATAGCAAAAAATATTATACCTCGGCGTACC